CTGATTGGCGTGAAGGCTCATCATGACATGCATAAGTAATGGATTCCGACATTCGTGCAGAAGCGCGTCTGGACCGACTGATTGGCTGGGCACGATGGGCGGTGGCGGCCCCGTTCAGGCGTTCGTCGCAGCGCCCTGCAACCGCTAATCATCCCGCTGGAGCGCGAAGCCGCAGCGGCCACGGCGAATTTGCCAGGGCCAGTAGCACTTGTGCTTGCTTGAATTAGCACTTGATTAGCTGGGCTTCATGACAGGCAGGGAATGGCGAGAGGCCTGGCCTGGCCGACACGCTATCGAGTGGAATACGGGGTATCAATAGTATACTACTACTGCTGCTGCTATAGAGTACTAGTAGCAAGTAGTCCTAGCAAGTTGAAACGTTGAGATGCGAAAACGGGGTACTGCTGTAATGCTTCGTGCTTGGCAGGTAGCAGCATGGCATGCTGTTTCGAGAGCTCTCGGACGACTACCTTGAGCAATTGATCGGTGGATTGGCTCGGACAACGGCTGCCTTCCTTAGCTGATTGGCACCACTATTCGCAGCAACTTTGAACTTCATACAGACTACATGTAAATATGCATGTTCCCATCCCTCTCTGATCTGCAGAATGGAGGTGCACTAATAAGCAATACCGCTAAGCCATGCCATTGAAGGGCCTGCGATGCACGGCTGAGGAAGCTTTGCTGGCAACTGTAATAAGCGGCAGCGGCCAATAGCGCAGGGGCCGCACCAGGCAGCATCTCCGCATTCTGAAAATGGCATCCGCCGGCTGCAGCCATGATGCGGCTCAGATGCATTGCCTTTCTCATTCGCAGACTTTCTGATATCGAAAACGTTCTTCAGCTGCACGGGTTTAGGCACAGCCGTCGTCTTGCATGTAGCACCATTGGATGTTTGTCATTGATGGCCGTCGCTGTCTCGGAAGTTGGATGCTCCAAAATTAGACGGGCATGGATTATCGGTATATGCGTTGGGCCCCCAGTCCTTGTCAATGGCGAACATCACGGGGTCAATTTTTGGAAGGCCCAGACACCTTCCATTCGACATTCCATAGTAAGCGAGGCCCAGGGCGCCCACTGAGGATCCTGGCCGCTGTTGATCGGTGTGCGAGAGGTTTGGGACAACTCATCGTCGTTGTATAGGTATTTGTACGCACATGCTTGGTTACACGGAGCACTCTGGCTTAGATTACACTTGTGGTATTTTATACTGTAGTCGCCCTATAGACGCTATTTGTAATTGCAGCTTGACAAAGCTTAACCACGGAGAGGTGTGCTACTTGATGCGCCGAGATGGGCACCATCACCCGCTGCTTCTGCGGGCGATATGCAGCCTCACAATTCACCTGGCAAAAGTGACAAAAGGCGAGAGCTAAACGACGGATTGGAAATAAGTCACCATTAAGGTTTCCCGTATAATGTATTATTTGTCGGAGTGCCTGGAAATTGCCGCTTGTAGCACATGGAGGATGGAGCAGCGGCTGGCACAAGCTTCTCTGTCCCATCGCCCTCGCCACACACACACGCATTGAAAACGGGGACAGGGCCGGGGGCCCAGCAGAGGCCTGTTAATGAGACCCAAAGCAACAAACAAACAAACAAACAAACAATGGGTAGGTAGCAGAGCGGCAGCAACATAAAACAAGAAGACGTAAATACAAAGACTACCAACATTACATGTCAACATCAACAAGACAGCCTATAACGAGCCATGGGTAGGACAGGTTGCGCGCCACGACCACGGCTACGGCTGAAGAGCCAGATGGGAATCTCCAGCGGCCGATTTGCTGGGCCGCTCACCGTCTCAGCACAATAAAAGCGAGAAAAAAAAAAAGTCATGACGATATTGTACATTGGCGTCGATGCCGATTGTGTCTGCTTTAGGCAGTGCACAAGCCCCATTTGCACGAATTATCCGGCCTTGGCGTCCAAGTACAGTCTTCCGTATGCACATGCATGAGGCACTACCACCACTCCTCCGCATGAAAAGAGACCAGGGGCGATGCTTATCCGAGCCAGTGTACAGAGCAGAATCGCTCACATTTGGATTTAACATTAGAGCTACCAACGCATTAGCAGCCGTGCTCTGGCGGTGGTGGTGGTGGTGGTGGTGTCTGCGGTGCGACTATTTCAAGGTTCTCATCTCTCATCTGTTGGCGGAGCACGCCAGGTATGGTGCGAGATGAGTGCAGTACCAACAGAAATGCTGCCGCTAGGTATTAATTATCAGTACTGCTCATCACCAACGTCAAACCGCTCCATCACCGAATGCAAGCCGCATCCCTGCCTGCGTGGAACTGAGCGAAAGAGGGAGCAAATAAGGTGGGGGAAAAGGGGCTTCTCTGCCGGGCGCCAAAAAAGAAATGTACTGCACTCTCGTACTTGGGGCTGCATTCTCGTACCACAGCCCTCGTCAGCAGCGACACCGCCTTTATGTGAAGGAAGCACGCAGAAGCACGCAGCGCCCGAGGGAGCAAGCAGATCAAATCAAAAATCAAGCCACTGAAGAGGCAGCTCAGCAGAAGTCTGGGAGACGGGGTCGGGGGCCCTTTGAGACAGGCAGGGAGTGAATCTGTATGCACTTGTGGCGAGAGCGTGTGAGTGCTCACACCACGACTAATTAAAATCACTGCGGATGAGTTTCTTGTCTCGTTTGACATTGTGTTGTTCCTAAACCGCCTTGCTTTTGACGCTGAACGCTGGTCCCGGAGCTGTATAAATCCCAGGTGGGAGCGTGCACAAGCAGCTACACAAGGCGGCTGCCCCTATCTTGTGCGGCGGATTCGGGCTGTTCTGGCGCCTGGTCCCTGTGCGCGTCTGCTGCAGCACGTTCTATCTGAATCGATCGACGGCAAACACGACCTTGGGACGCACACACGAACGCCCACACGTAAAGATATATACAACACGCATCCACGGCGCATCGCATCGCAGCGCAGCGCAGCACATGTTATGTAAACAATTTGTCCCTTTCCTGCCCTCACACCCGGCATGCACGGGGCGCTGCCTCTTCCGCCAGGCCGCACCCCCTCCGAGCGAGCGCTGGTTCGCTGCGCGCACGAGTGGGCAGCCCACACACTCTTCTCCTCAGGCGACGCGTGCGGATGCAGCAGCACAAGTCGACTCTGCCTGCGAGATTAGTGCTTTGGAGCAAACTCGGCTGAACCACTGGCGAGGCCCCCCTCCAGCAAGGGCCAGCGCCAGAGCCAGAGCCTGAGCTCAGAGCCGGGCAGGGCTCCTTGCTCCATGCTCCATGCTCCATGCCCCAACTGGCGGTGCTTGCACAAGTAGTGCCAAGTACCACGGCCATCCATGTCGCGCTCCCCTCTGCTAAGGCTCCTGACCCATGCCCTGGCTCCATGCTGCGAGCTAAGGCGCTGCTGCTGGGCTTGCGCCAAGGTACACCCCCAAGCAGGGGCGGTACCAGAGAGACACGCTGCGGCGCCGCGGTACCTGGAGCACGGAGCATGTACCGCGCCAAAAGAGCTCCATGTAGCTAAACTCAGCTCGTACACCTCACTCCGCTCGCACTCCAGTGCCTGCTCTGCCTGTACGGAGCGTCCCTAGCATTAGCATGAGAGCACTGCCTGTCCAGTTAAAACTACTTCTTGTCTAGTCCTCGCTCATTTCTTCCATCCTCCTACCTCTTATCCCACCTCTTGCTCTTCGACCTCTTCCTTTCCTCTCTCTCTCTCTCTCTTCCCTATCCACTCATTCCCTCATCCATTCAACCGCTTCCTCTGCCGACCACCCAGCAGGTCGAAATAGGAGTTTGGCCTTGGACTGAGGAGAATCGAATCCCGACCGGCCACCGCTTTGAAGACGATCCCCCCTTCGCCCGCGGCCCTCTTATAGAGCATCCAGGACGAGACGGAAGAGAGAGAAGAGGAATAAAAGTGAATCAAGGACTGGTATTTTTTCTGTTTTATTCACTGGTATTCTGTTCTTCTTTCTTTGCTCTTGGTTCCCGCCTGCTTCTCCTTTTTGGCCAGAATTCCTTACCTTTAGCGACAAGGAATTTTGCCATCAACGCCTGGCTCCGCCAACCGCTTCTTTTTTTTCTCGCCCTTTTCGTTCTCCCGGTTGACACTTCGACGAGACGATTTTCGAGAAAGAATAAAGATCTTCCCGAGACTGCAATCGTAGACAATTTTGCCTTTTGTCTCGATCCCACAATTCGCCCAATTACAGGCGTTCCCAGTCCCGGCTTGGAAAATCTGCAAGATTTGGTTGCTCTGGTGGATCTGCTTGCTCAGTTCCCCGTCACCTCGTCTAGCCAGCTTCTGCTTTAAAGGGTCAGCTTCTTGACTATTTGCGCTCACCACCTCGTATGATTTAATCCTTTTGCCCACCGCCTTTCGGTGCCAATCCAGTTCAAGGTGTTCCAGTGTGACAATAGGTAAGACCAGTTTTTTTTTTTTTTTTTTTTCCTTTTCTCTATTCATTCTTTCTCCCTCCTCCAGCAGCCGTCGAGAGAATCGCCAGTATCCGCAGCATTATCTCTAATCGTTGCATGTACGCTCCCTTCAACAGCTGCATACCCGAGCCCGCTCTCCGCATTCTCAGCATCTTCTCCACAGCTGCACTCGAGCTATCATTCGGCGCACTTGCTCTGCGGGAGACGTTTGCTCGTTGATCCCGCCAATTGCCCGACGTGTCTCTCGTTGACTGTCCCTTTTCTGTCCTTTCTCCTCTCTCCTTGTGCGTGGCGGTAAGAGACCATCCCCTGCTTCGGTCCATCGCACCCTCGTGCCAATCCAGCTTGCGCTTCCATGCCAGCCAACCCCCCGTTCAGTAAAAGGGAGTGGCCTGCTCCAGCCTCAGGGGAGGCTTCTCGTGCTGCATGTCTTGGCGGGCTGCCAGATCGCATTTCTTCTACTTGCCTGTCGGGCTTTTTGACCACTCGAGACTAACGCCATTGATTTCTATTAGAGCTGTCCAGTCGGTCCCTTCGTTGTCCTTTAAACGGCGCCCCTTTCCCCGGTCCCTTTTGCATTTTTCGATCGAATTTCCAGCCTACATGATCCCGGCTTTATTCCCAGCCACAGTCACTCTTTTCCATTAGTTTCTTCACCACGCTCCTTAATATCTTAATATCTTAATTCCTAGGGTTGCATTCACTCCTTGATCGCACCCAAGGCTCGCTCTTTACTCAATAGTCTCTCCCACTCAAAGATTCCTGGAGAACTTGCCCGTCACTCTTTTAGACATATAATCAACACCGACCCAATCTAATTTTACAGCAAACCCTCATCCATCATGGCCTATGCTCACCCAGACGAACACTTCTTCATCGAGAGCGATGAGCCCCAGTCCAGTACTCGAAGCTTCCGAGACACCGCAAAGATGCTTGCGCGCAGTCGGCAAGAGACGATTGCTTGCGAGCTCTCTCGTCTTGCCGGCGAGGAGTACCTGGGGGACATCATGACGCATATGCGACACATGGAGGCATGTTGCGACCCTGTCCAGCCTGGGCTATTTTTGACAATCTGGCGCTAACAAATCATCTACAGGAGGAGACCCTTCCCGATGCTAACCTCATTGACATGCAACGTGAGATCCAATGGTTTATGCGACCGTACCTCATCGACTTCCTCATCGAGGCCCATGCCGCTTTCGCCTTACTGCCTGAGACGCTGTTCCTCACCGTCAACCTGCTGGACCGATACTGCTCACGACGAGTGGTGTATAAGCAGCACTACCAGCTCGTTGGCTGCGCCGCTCTTCTCATCGCAGCCAAGTACGGCGACAAGAAGGACCGGGTGCCTCAGATTCATGAACTCAACAACATGTGCTGCGGCCTGTACGATGCCGGCATGTTTACACAAATGGAGATGCACGTCTTGAACACTCTCGAGTGGACCATTGGCCACCCCACCGTTGACTTCTTTACCCAGCTCATGGTTGCGGAAGAGCAGGACGACAAGGAGGTGGAGCACATGGCCGCTTACCTGTGCGAGATTGCCCTGTACCATCGCGATTTTGTTTCGACCAAGCCGTCGATGATGGCACGTTCCTCACTGGCTTTGGCGAGAGCCATTCTGGGCCGACCCGAGGTCAACGACGGCGACTGGGATCACACCGAGAACCTGACCCTGTTGACTCTCTCTCAGCACCTCAACCAGCCTTCGCCAACCCTGGCGCGCAAGTACTCTTCGTCATCCCTGTCCAAGGCATCGCAGAAACTGGCAGACTTTATGGCTGAGCAGGCTGCGATGGCCAGACGCCAAGCCAACCCCCCGTCACCGGCTGCCGAGACTCCTTCAAGACATGCCGCCGACATCTACAGCACCCCTCAGAAGGGCCATGGCGCTGCCACTGGCTTCGACGGTTACCTCACGCCTCCCATCACCCCCGACAATGCTTATGGAAATGCGGCGAAGGAGACTTACCACCAGTTGCCTCCTCGATGCCCCGTCACGCCAACTCCTCCTCAGAGCCATCCTTCTGCATACTCCCAACATGTACAACAATATGCTGCTTTCGTGAACCAGCACGGAATCCACCAGCACTAGGAGCTTTGGTGGCGCATATGTTTGGCATAGTCGATCGAACTAATACAGCACACGCTTTCTTTCCCACCTTCATCCATATTAGCTTATGGGCGATGGGAGGATGTTCATGTTTCAATTTTCGAGGTCATGGCGATGGGCTCGACTTTCCAAGCAACAACATTCAACCTTGATAGTCACTCTCAGAATGATCTGTCTCATATCTACGTCATGGCATTTAGCGATTGATTTTAATTCATTTTTTCTTTTCATATTTTTTTTATCTTGTTATCTATTTCGCAAATCAAATTTCTCAGCAAGTCTTCATGGCACCAAAAAAAAATGGAACGCGGATCATACCCAATTTTCCTCGAGTCGTTTTTTATTTTCTTATTTTCGGTTTTCTGCGCTTCTGGGGCAATGTGCGTGGTTTTCCACGGGTATGGAGCACGCATATCCAGGAGTTGCGCATACTCCCGATAGAAAAGGGGGGTTTTGTCTTGTGGTGGATATAGTATTTGAGGGGATAGAGGAGTTGAAGGGGGAATTTGGCCAGCCTTCAGATTGAGGGTAAAAAGGAACAATAAGAATGCAAAGTGGCCGAGAAAAAAACAGTCACGGATACCACGGAGCGGAGAGGGAGGAGGCTTAAAGGACGTCGGTGCAAGAAGCAGCCGGAAGTTGTGTTTTTCTTTTTTTTCCTACTTTCGGATCTAATCTCTACTTGGCATATGGGAGGAACATGAGCCTTGTTGCAACCAACACAAGGCAATTGGTGTATAATTCTTTCGAAAAGCAGATGGGCAAATGGCGGACGGATTCGCGCTCTCAGGCGCAGTGATACCCATCGCTCTCTTCCAGAACAAAAGGGATTGGAACAAATGAGCTTTATCCGTCCATTTGGCCGATCGAAGGTGGGATAGATGCGTGGGCTGCCCAGATTTGGCCTCTCACAAAATTTACCCCCTCAGCTTGTACATATAAGGTAGTGTGGACAGGCACAGAAGAAGAAAAAAAGAAGTAAAGGTTCTTTTTTTTTTTTGCAGCAGCAGCAGTGCGTGTGCTTTCTAGCGGAACCAGGATGAGAAAAAAGTGGTTTCTAATCGCCTGTTTTTGTCTGTCTTGTATGTAACGTGGTGCAGCTAGTCGTATGGTTTTAATTCTTCCACGCCTACACTGGCGAGTGACGACGAGACTCTTTCCGGTTCCAAGTTTCTACTCTGTAATAATTATATGGTGATATGGTGTAGCTTTTTTGAAGATGTTGCGAAGCACGCAGACGAATGTGGCTTGAACTGCTAACGATATTTCTTTGGTTACTATCTACAGAGCCGTGGAGTATGTCCTCCTGCGTCATTCTTTGGGGCTTACCAAAGAGCGCATTTAATCTTAGTACATTCTACAGCAGAGCTTGGTATGCGCCAAGATGAGCGGATATCAATAGTTTGATGAGGGCGCATGGGACAAGTACTATCACGAGATGACTCAGCGACGCTGTAAGCGGGAGGGAGTCCCCCCCCAAGCTGTCGTGTGAGAATTAAACAGCCGAATGGGGGCTGAATGAGCGATTGGGTGAGATTGAAGCTATCGAGTCCCATCCGTTTGCATGATTATTCCGATGGTTGGAAGTGAAGTGCCGTTAGTGGACTGGAGGCTGGTATGTGGTGCTATAAAAGGGGAAGGGAGAAGGGATGGCTGGATGGCTTGAGAGGTTGGTTTGTGAACAAAGGACGAGAAAGAATTGCAAATATAGGTGGTTGACGTGGAGTAAACAAGGGGAATTATGAAGACAATGGAAGAAGACTATAGGATTTTTTATGTTCCCTTTTGAGCTGTGAGGTTGGATGAGTGAAACGACGAGTGGTTGGTTCTGGGTTTGGGAGGTTGGCGATGCTCCTCTGATGGACTTTTCCTTTGTGGCGTCTGGTGGTTGGTGGTATAGCTTGAAAGGGGGGTAATATAGGGATGTAAAGAGGAATTTTCGTTTGGTATTCATGTGGCCGAATTCGGAGGTGCGATTATAACAGCATATTCTTTGTGTTGAGCCAATTGGCCAGTTGTTAGTGGAAAGGGTTTTACTATGTCCTTGTATATCGGTATATGGCAGTATGCTCTGATCGATCTGCTTCACCGCCAAACTCGTTTTAATAGCCCTTACATCAAGATGATTTATATGTTATAGTGCTATTTTATCAATCAATGCCCTCTTTGCGTAATATAATGTTAATTCCTTGCAGAGACGAAGTCCTAGGCAGAGCTACCCTGTAGTCGCAAGGTGGGGACTAAATTTTCACTTCTCCATTGTGACGATCAATATCCACCGATAGTGAATAGCATCTACCCCGGCGGTTAATGCTTAATATAGTATATATATTGGACATAAGATTGGCAAAGTGAAGTATTGGAGACTTTTATTTGTCGAGATATTGCACCTGTTAGTTTGGTTGTGCCCTCGGAGAGAGGCCAATGCACTAATGTGAAAGGGGTGGAAGTTGCAGAATTAACCGATGTAGACATGTTTCGATAGAGATATCCTAAAGCGTCATAGCTTTTCGCATATCAATAAGAACAAATGCTTAGCAAACGGTTTCTATTTGCTCCATGTACGAGCCTCGACAAAGAGCCTTTGAGATGTCTAGCGCAGCGGATCCGAGACTGCTCCCAACGCGTTTGCGGAATCATGATTTCCGGAATAGGAACTCAAAGAGCTGCCAAATGCTCCGTAAATATCTTTCTATTCAAGGTTAATATGATTCAAGATGCGTACTAATGTTATAATTCGTTGCCAAGGCTATGACCATTAATGTGCTTGAATGCGACAGACCTGTTTCCTGCTTTGTCTTGAGAGTCTCTCTTTCCTACGAATGCCTGAGAAGATCCGCCATAAATATTTAGCGAGTGAATAGAGAATTGAGTTATAACAGTCTTTACTTGATCTTTGGAAGAAACCCACGGTTTGGGGTACTGTGGCAGTGTTTGCCATGTCAGTCGCTGTCTGCTCACCGGTCATCGAGGTGGAAGAGGTGGAACTCTCTCCGTCGAATGTACAATCTTGCTTCCGAGAGCGTAAAGTCGCTGAAGATGAAGCCGCTGGGAAGCTGCAGCTCGAGCTTTTGGAGAGGGTTGAAGATATCCTTGGTAAGCTGGACTTGTTTTGCCGATATACCTAAGTGATTGCGATATTGAATAGCAACGTTGAATCTAACTGTCGTTTTTATCGCTTCACAGAGAAGATAGGAAGGATACTCTCTCGGAATTTCCACAAGCTACCAACAAAAGTACAAGAATTGAGTTCTTCAACAGGGCCGGGAGATCTCTTGCAGCGTTTAAATCTTCTCACGAGAGATCGTGTTCTAGAAGACTTTTTACAGGAGAATCCCCCTTGCCGCCAGCTATTCTCAGAGCTATTCTACTGTCGCTACCCATATTTTAAGGAGCAAGAGAGTACCGAAAATGCTAGTGGCAATGAAGACCAGAAACTATCGCTTGCTGGATCATTCGACGAAGCGTTCGAATCCAAGGACCCAGGAAAGACGGACAGTATAAGCTGGCTGCCTGTCGTAAAAGGTATAGTATATCCATACTACTCATATCCATATAAAAGTGCAATTAACTAACGTCACACAAAGATAATGGAGATATTGAGAGTACAGGAACTTTGAGAAAAGGCTCGCGTTTGCGACCTCTGACAACAAACTTGACCTCGAAAGATGCGCTACTGGAGTGCATAGACGCCTACGATGGCTTTGATCCGCTTTACAGCGATTCAGTAGCGACTTTCTCGATCACAGACCCAATCTCTCTCCACGAGCTTGAGCTGGTGGAGAAGATGTATTCCCACATCGACACACTCTTAAGCAAGGAGTTAGTGGACGAAAGCGTCCAAGGCGTCCTAAATATGGCACCCCATCCCAAGACAGATTTCTCCGAAAGATTTGCCAAATTTTCAAATCTTTCGGAAAAGTTTCAAAAGGAATTCCAAAAGAAGATATTCTCCCAGCTGCCCGCAAAATCTGGAATCGAGTTGGAAATGACCATCGAGCGATATGATCAAGGAGCGAGCGCAGACGAAGACAGAATCGGAAGCGAAAATACCAATTTCGAATCTGAGGCTTCGCAGGATCTGAACAAACGATCTGGGACTTCCACCACTACGGCTGATTCCCAGCTGCAGCCTTATAAAGGGTGGCATATCGAGGGACCCAGAGTCCAGCTAGCCAGGGCAAAGAACTTCCTGGCTGACTGCGACGTCGATCGGACTGCAGACTGGGCGCGCAAAGTCGCAGAACTGAGCGAGTACTTTGCATATCTGCAATCTCAACTCCAAGGGGAGGACTGGATTCACGACCTTGAAGACGCTCTTGATATGCTGCGCGCACATTGCATCTTTGAAAACTACCACTACGGGAATCCACAGCTCATCGTCGACTTTCCAACGGACATCTGGCCAACGCAGAGCAAAAGGCTACCTCCGATTCCAGGCCCTGAGATTATCCTTTGCCCCAAGCGGCGCGATTTGACGGCTCCTAGACGTCTTCTGCATGTGGATGTGGCGAGTGCTTACGACCAGCAGTATGGTCTGCCGGCCGATGTCCTGAGAAGACATTATCTGGAGCCTTACTGGAAGGATAGCGAGGAGTTTTGGGTAGCTGGCCCATTTCCTGATACACCAGAGCCGGGGAACCTCGCAGCGTGCGAGAATGAAGCGTACGAGGAATGTATGGATGGCAGCATGGCGCAGACGGTAAAGTTCCTTGAGGGCAAAGGCAGCTTTCGCCCTCTGCAAAGAAGCACCGGCAGTCATGATGGCGCACTAAAGGTCAAAGGAGAGACTCTGGAAGCGTTTGCAAGATTCCGCGGCGGCAAGCGTGCGGCTCTCCAGCAGTGCCTTGGCATCTTCAACCATGACGAGAACCGGAAAATGTGCACTCTTTTGAGCATCGTCGCTCTTCCTGAGCCTGTTGGGGAGAGAAAGAACGAGAAGGCTGATGCCGGCATCGTATTCACGACCAAGAAGCTGGCAAATCCACCCGAGAAAGAGTCAAGAGACCCCTGGGCCTACACAAGGTCCTATCAGCAGTTCAGGAATGAGGAATTGCGCTGGGCTCACTTGGTGAAGGGCCAATCCATCGAGAAGTCATCTTCATTGTTGTTTGCCGGAAACAATGAAATCGCTATAGATATTCCTAAGAACTGGAAGGGGCCCGTGATGTCTGATCCGATGAATCCCAGCATGATGAAGACGTATGAGCATTTTCGTCGCTGCCAAAAGATCCACCAGGGCTTGAAGCGAGCGGCAAAACGCGCGCCCCGAGATTTCATCATCAGACTCTTGAATGCCGTGGAAGCTGGTCTGGTGGGAGCAGAGTCCGTAACGCAAGAGATGAATCTGAAATTTGGCGAGCACGAGTACGAATCGCCTGGTGGAGGGACTTTTGCCAATATCCGGCCTACAGAAGCAGCGTGGCTAGAGTATATTTGCCAGCCGTCGCGAAATCGGCCATACATGCTAGAAAAATCTCTTGGAAGGCGGGGGGAGCTCATGCTCTCCAGAGTGGCACATATGATGGACGACATCAGCCCTATATCGCTATTCAGGGATACGAAGCCGAGAACGATGAAGGATTTTTTGAAGGAGCTGAATGTTGGATGTCGCGGGCCGGTAAAGAGATATAGATTCACTGAGAATGATGTGAAGCTGCTGGCACCAAAGCTGCATGAGTTGAAGATTCTGAGGTAAGCGTTTCTCCCCCCCTTTTCCCTTATCCTGCTGGAAAGTGGAATTAAGCAGCTGATATCGAGACAGACTCTACACGAACGTATTAAATGGGGAGTGGATGTTTGGGCGGCCAGAGACAGAGTTCCATCCCGAAGACTTGGTCAAGTGGCCTAACCATGAGCCTCAAGAACAGCAAAGCCAGTCTTTGGATGATGATTTTTCAGAGCAAGACTTTGTCATTCCCCCGTCCTCTGAAGATTTCTACGAGTATCCCAAAGGCATGCCCAAAAGAGAAGACGTCATCTCTCTTCGAGACTTCATCAACGATCCAGTAAGGAGCTCTGAGTGGCTTAGGCGAACTGCGAATTTCTTTCACTGCTTGGGCTTCCGACTAGGAAAGACGCTTAAAACACTACAGAGACGACATGAAGAGAACCAAGAGAGGACCATTGATTCAGAGACACAGGAAGATAATGATTCTATTCTTCGTGCTATAATCACGCGCTGGGAGGACGATACTGAAAAGCTCCCCAACGATCCGTTAAACCGCCCGGCGAAGAAAAACAGCTCCTGGCGCATGACCATGACATACCACGACGTGATCAAAACTGCAGATCCAGATACCTATGAGAAACACCAATCAGCGTGGGCAGATGTGTGGTCACAAGATGGCCATCCCGCGTGGAAAGAGGCCTCTGAGATTGTACGCAAGAATCTCATACGCGAGGCGTACGAGAACAAGACAATGCTGTGGCCACTTGCTCTGCCGTACAATAGCTACACCGCGAATTATCAAGTTGCAGACCCAACAACCTGGCGAGAGCGACTCTCGAGATGCTGGAAAGGCGAACAGTCAACGGAGGCGCACGAAGCTCGAGTTGATGCCCTTGATATTCATATCCAAAAGGAAAAGGAAAACGCTAAGAAGGAACGCGGCACCACAACAGCTCAGAAACAAAACCCGAAGCCGACACGACGCGAGCCAGTCTGGACATTTGGGCATCCTTCAAGAAAGAAGGCCGTTCATTTGTTCTGGGACATTAATAACTGGCCGGTGCATCTTCAGTCGGAGAGCAGAAGGCAGATTATTGCGTCTAGAGGTCCTAAGAAGCAGGAACATCGTGATGTTGATGATGCCGCGAACGATGAAGCTACCGCTGCTTGTGTCGAGAAATTAGAGATTAAAGAAGATGAGATGCCGTATTGGAGGAAGGCAGAGCAGCGGCGCAAGTTTGTCCCTGGGAGAGATGAGTTCTGGATGGGGGACACGCCGTTGCAAAAGAGGGTGTTTGAGAAGAGAATGAAGAGGAGTAAGTCAAAAAAAAAAATTGGATTTTGAAAGAAAAAAAAAAAAAAAGAAGTGCTGAATTGCGTCGAAGAACAAAGATCAAACTAACCGTCTTTAAAAACTCACAGGACTTGCGCCGCCAGGGTCGAAGAAGCATACCTGGAGAGACACTCTCAAAACAGCCGTCTTAGGTTCCCCTGAAAAGAGGAAATCCGAAGCCATTTCAGACGACTTGCCGTCTCTGCCTGCGAATCAGATACCTCAAAGTCGACCAGCTAAAAGACGTCACACTCGGACTTTTCTACGAAAGATGGGCAAAGACGAAGAGGAGCGGGATCTGTTCGCCATAGCTAGAGGCGAGAAAGGCATTCGAGAGACGCCGGGCACGGTTCCTATTTGTACCGCTCGGAGAATGGCTTTGGAGGAAGGTGAGGTGACGTATTATATCCCTGAGACGAGGATCTGGGAGGTTGATATGATGGAGATTGATGAGCCTAGGATTGAACTTGGATTGCCGATGAAGAAGTAGTTGCAAGGCTGGGCGGTAAAAGATTAGAAGTTGGCTGGAATATTGAGTCTGCTGAATGTCGTCATTGGATATGGATTGGAAAAGGGGGGGAACCTATCTGACTATTCCTCTCTCGTTTGGTAGTTAGTCAATATGATATGATTCGTATGATTTAAAATAAGATTAAAATGGCAATGAGATCCAAGAACAAAGGGAGAGGATTTCATAGAGTCACCAATGGGCACATCCATAGAACGCAATTTTGAATGAAAGAAACGCCAGTTGAAAATTTTTAATTTCTTCACTTCAGATCATGGCCATTTTTTATATCCTCATGACGCTCATGTCCGAATCAAAGTCCTAACCGGCCGAACCATGCAATGAAACACAAGTTGTATCGTGACTCCGCGCACCGTTTCCAGTCCTCCTCACCACTACACTCCTTCCGTTTCCTCTCTTAGTATCGCTTTCCTTCCCTCAGGGTGTCGGAGAACTCCTCCAGAGGGGATCTGATCAGCTTGGTCTCCTTCCACAGGTTGGGGGTCAGGAAGCCGTAGGTGTTGGAAACGGCGGTGAAGGTGGCCTTGAGGGTGTTCTCGAGGGTCTTGGTGGAACCGGCGGATGAACTGTAGGCATCCTCGACACCAGCGAGCTGGAGGAATCGCTTGACAGCGGGGGAGGCGACAATGCCGGTACCACGGGGGGCAGGGATAAGCTGTTGCAGAGATTGCCATGTCAGTATAAGAAAAAAAAAAAACCCCCCAATTTCCCTCTTCATTTCATTCCAACCGAAACCAAACCAAACCAAACCAGAAAAACAGGACGGATTGAGCTTACTCGGACAGTGACGGAACCGCACTTGCCAGACTCCTTGCAGGGCAGGGAGTGAGGCTGACCAAGGTTGGTACCCCAGTAACCTCTTCGGACGGGGATGACGCTCAGCTTGGCGATGATGATGGCGGCACGGATGGCAGTGGCGACTTCCTTGGAGGTCTTGATTCCGAGACCGACGTGGCCCTCGGAGTCACCAATGATGACGATGGCCTTGAATCGGGTTCGCTGACCGGCACGGGTCTGCTTCTGGACGGGCTTGATCTATATTTCGAGAAAGAGAGAAGATTATCTGGTTAGCTCAAACTGTTCCCATTTCTGCAGCGCTTTCAGCCCAAAAGTCTCGCTCCCTCCTGTTCTCGCGTCCTAGAAGGAAGCAGAGCAAAGCAATTGGGCCCTTTCAAGCGGAAAATGCAATGCGCACCTTCATGACCTCATCCTTCAGCTTGGGGAGGAACTGGTCGACAATCTGGTACTCCTTGATGGGCAGGGAGTGCAGGTAGATCTCCTCCATGCTGGTGATCTTGCCAGCCTTGACAAGACGGCCCAGCTTGGTGACGGGCTGCCACTCCTTCTCCTCGCTCTTGCCGCCACGGCGACCACGGCCACGGCCACGACCACGGCCACGATCACCACCACGACCACGGTCACCACCGCGGGAAGCGAAACCACCGCCACGAGCACCGCCGCGATCAGCCATTGTGTATTATGGGTTTGTTGTTTGTTGCGGCGAGGGAGTTGGTCGGGATAGACGATGCGCAGGATCGGCCCTGATGTTGTTTTTCGTCGAGTTGTGGCCCTCGTAACTGGGGAACTTTTTCGCTGGCGGGGTCTAGTACGGCTTGGGAATTTTACGGGTGTGGTCTGGGTTAGGCGAGCCCTAACAGAAGTGACTTTTGTGGGTCGCTGCCTCAATTGTGAGGCGAGAACATGGTGGGTCTTTTTGGGAAGTTGCTTCACCGAGCAGCTGAGTAAGCCAAAAGCAGCTCACCTAGGTGAGGCAGCGCGTTCTTAGTGTCAGCATGTGGTTGTACGCTCTTTGAAACTTGGATTTGAGAGAAAAACAAAGATGACTCAGTCGAGTATGATACTGCCAGCATTGAAAATGGTAAAATGGATAACTGGAAGCTTCCTAATTCTGTTTGGAGAGTTTTGTTTTGTTCACCAGATTCGCATGTAAGTTGAGATAGTTGAGACCACGATATCGCACCAAGCAAAAGACAAAAACACGAAAGCTGAGGGCTATCCGTAATTCAATATTTGTACATGGCCCAAAAGGCATAGCAATCATAAACAGAAAAGGGAGGGTATCGTGGCTCGAATAACGCGACAGCAAGCTGTACAAACAAAGGTTACCCCTACTCTGACTTGAGGATCAAATTCTCCGACGGCTGAACCCGCTGAGCCCATTCACTGTCATTCTGTTAGCTGCTAGTTCTTGCAAAATATAATAACAACAGGAAGTGAGAAACTTACGTCCAGCCACCATCATAAACCTTTCTAGAGTTGGGATATCCTGCTACTTCCAAGGCAGTGTCAATGGCGCATGCAGTGACACCAGTTCCGCAGGTAGAGATGATGGGTTTGTTCGGATCGACTCCCTTCTCCTCAAAGACTTTCTTCAGTTGATCTGCAGGCAAGAACATCTTGGTTTCAGGATCCAAGACAGCACTGAAAGGCACGCTGATTGATCCTGGCATGTGTCCCGAGGATAGACCCTCGCGAGGCTCAGGGTCCTTGCCAGTAAAGCGGCCACTGGGCCTAGCATCCAAGACCTGAATACCTTCTGCCCCCTCTTTGTTGGAGTCCAAAGCCACTTCTCTGGCCTCTTCGAAGCTGGCAACTCTCTCCGATACAAGCTCCGGGATAGGGTATGGGTTGCATTCAACATTGTATAGCTCTCCGGACTCGGTGGGGTACCCCTCAGCAACCCACTGCTTGAAGTTGTTTAGGATGTGAACTCTGGGATGGCCAAATATCCTGAATGTCCATGCTACACGAGGGGCGCTGAAGATGCCAAGCTCTTTCGTATCGTAGACAACAACCACGTCCTCTCGTCGAATGCCCAATTCGCTCACGGCCGCGGCAAAGCCTTTGCCATCTGGTAGCATGTGAGGATATGGGCTGCGCTTGTCGATGGCTTTGTCCAGGTCAAAAAAGCGCGCCTTTGGGATGCGCTGCTCGCGAAAGACTTGGATACCGGTCCGTTCATCATTGGGGAGGAACCATGCGGCGCATAGGGGAATCACTCGAGCATCGGGGCTTATCGGAGAGGGGGGGTTCTTCTTCAGGGCCTCGTGAAGCTCTTTGGGCGTAACCAAGTAGGATGATAGATTGCGTCTGGTTGACATGCGGGTTCGCCAAAGCTGGTTGCCCAGCCTCGGCAGCCCGACTCGGGCAGACTGGCCAACAGAGACTGAGGACATTGTGAATGATATGAGCTGCGAGTATGGCGCTATTGAGATGCTTTTTTTATTTTTTCGCTTCCGCTGTGGTCGAGCCAGGTGCTGCGCTGAAAAGAGCTCCGAGGCAACTCGGTCTGCGTTGGTTATGCCTCGTTACAGCTTATCTCAGTGGCCTAACCTTAAGCGACCGGCAGCACAGCCATTGCATATGACAAAAGAGTATTGGTGGTGGAGATGAGGTTTGGATTAGATCATGACACACAGGAAAGCTGCGAAAGGTTGATTTGGCGCTTATGGTGGGGGGGAGCTTGGACCACGCATGACAGTTGCAGCGAGTGACTCGCATTTGCGATAAGCTGCAGGCACTACAAAAGAAACTGGCGGCCTGACGCAATGCGCTGATGCTACCCCAAACTTAGCCCTCGGCAGTATCATAGTCGCCGGCAAAGGCGGGATTTATATGCTATTGATCGACAACTATTGATTTTCTTCTCCGTCAATTTGCTACCGAGCGAGACCTAAAGATGGCACTAAGCCGATGGCTTTACGCGCTGCCCATTCTGCTGCCCGCAGCAGTGATGCTGCGAGCTTGGGCTATGCAAGCTCCCGTGGGCCCCTTCATCGACGAGACCTACAGCCGCGGACGATATGTTCTCCAAGATGGAACCAGCGTCCCTATCTCGAGGGCCGTGTTTGGAATCCCCATTCTTGACCGTGCCATTTCTCCGCTCGCCATCATATTCAGCCCATTGGTTTTCTATGACGACCCCAGACTGTGGTGGCAGTGCATCGTTTTCTTGACAGATGCTGCTTCTATTTCGGCCATTCTTATGCTTGAGTCACTCAGAAATGCCAACAAGGGGACTTTGTTCCAAGCGTAAGAACCCTTTGATCCTCTCCCTCCTGGCGTTTGGTTCTGTACTAACTTTTAGAATGGAACAGATCATTCTTTTTGCCTACTTTCTTGGGCCAGTTTGTGACTCTGGGATGTGTTTCACCGGTTTTCGTTTACCTCTTCTACGCATTATCTCCGCTGAAAAAATATTCCACGGCCAGTGCTCGACAGATTGACTGGGCTGGCACGGTTGCTGTTCTGCCATCACTCATTGTAGCATTCTTTCTTCCTCTTGGCATCTCTCTCTTCCATCATGATCTTGAGGTAAGGCACTTGGCAAATTGGTATTGGCAGATTTTCCCAATTACGGGTTGCATACTGCTCTTTGCGCTATCAAACGTGATTAAGCCGTTTGTTGCCAATCGCCAAATCGAAGCCGCCCAGCAACGCAGCCAGACGAGCTTGAAATTCCTAGGAGGAGTTATGGCAACGCTAAGTGCGGCCTCTTACTGGTTCATGCTTCTCTCTTCTCCTCTTGCTGTATCAGAAGTGTTCATCCCGAGTTATTTTTTTGAGCTCCCTGAAGATTCGTTGACAGCAACTTTTACTCTCTTGCAATATGACTATATCCTCACTTCCGCGGCAGTATTGCTTTGGTTGGTATATAGTTTTGGAGATCTTAAAAATGCTGGCGTCTGTCAACTATCCTGGGCTCGAATCTTGCTTTCTTCCATTGCTATTGGCTGCACTGGTGGTCCTGGAGTTCTGATCTTGGTTGGATGGTTGACAAGAGAAAACATGTTGGCAAAAGTAGAGCACGCAAAGATTGGCTAAAATACGATTCAGCTATGGGAGTAGAAATTTATCATAGGCATTCTAGATTGAGGAAAAATGCTTAAACAATCTATTTTCCTTTTCCTTTTCTCTTGTTGGAACACCGAGTCTGCTTGTACTATATAATTTAACAGCCCAAAGCTCAGTCACGAGACTGCTACCCTGGAGTCTAGGGCGGTGCCGCCAATTTCTCTTTCCGACATGCCTTCATCTTGGCTTCAACATCACAACAGATCCAACACAACCCATCAATGTTTTGAAAATTCATCTCCCCCAGAGAAGGGGGCCTGAAAAACATAACCATGAAAGTCACCATCAAAGAATGGAACTCCGTCGCCACATGGCAGTGGGATATTCCCGAAGACGACGTTTGCGGCATCTGTCAGGCTCATTTCGACGGGACATGCCCTACCTGCAAGTATCCTGGCGATGACTGCAGCTTATGTACGTGCAACTCTCGCCTCTGAACCCGTAGTATCAAGGAGGTGACGCGTTAACAAGCTTTTTACAGTATCTGGAAAGTGTGGGCATAGTTTCCATATGGTAAGTCGGCTTTAACGCGTATTTTTAAGAGCGTTAATAATGCTGATATGAGTACGTAGCATTGCATCATGGAGTGGATTAAGCAAGAGTCTGCAAAGGGACAATGTCCCATGTGCCGACAGCGTATGTTTTCTTTCTTTCTCGTTGAAAAAATTTGGCAACTCCAATACTAACTAATGGTTTGAATAGCTTTTGAGTGGAAAGATCAGGCTAATGAGACGCCTGGACCTAATGAGATTCCTGTACAAGCAGATTAAGACAACGAATATGGTAGGGGCAAGGTTACGGATACGGTCAACGGCAATATATCAGTAGATAAAAATTATAGAAACACTAATATTAACAAATTGAACTCGTCATATCATCCGCCATGTCGCGTGCTCATATATATACATAAATTACCTAGAATGCGTGCTATCCAGAAAGTTCCACGACCAGCTCAGGCAACCCCTTCATCATATGCTCATCATGAGGAAACAGCTGTCCCGTATTCCCCTAAGCTTCCGGGACATAGACACCATCTTTGCAGAGCACTACCACCTTTTTGAAGAATCGCCGCCACTCGAGCGGATCTCCCTTGATCTTGACAAACCGAATGTCTAGCACTTCGAAGCCATCTGGGAGCGGCTGCCTATCGACGCAGATTTCTCCGTGCAGACTCTGTCGACGGCCATCGACGGCACGGATCTTGATGGTGACTATGGGGCTACTATTCGGATTCGGCGTGACGGGAGCTAAAGGTACGTTTAGCTGATGCAGTGCGTCGCTGAGCATCTGTATAATGTGGGCAGAGGGCACATGAGAGAAGAAGCGGGTAAGGGATTCGGGAGGGCAAATATCACGGAATCGCCGAGCTTGCTGCGTGAGAGTCATAGACGGCCCTGGCATTTGCGAAAACTGTGACATGGAAGGCTCATCCGCAAGGGAGTCAAGGAGCATGCGACGAGCGTTGTAAGAGCCGGTAGGCAAAGAAGACGGCAGAGCCCTGGAGCGAAGGACAGGAGCCTCCCAGTCCCAGTCTTTGTCGACAATGGGAGTAACTGGGGCTTCCGGCTGGGTAGATGAGAATCGCCCAGCGTTGAGTCCAGAATCAATAGTCGGATCGTGAGATGTCGGGAGGTAGGTATGTTTAGTCGTAGGAATGTGACTGAGGTCGATTCGCAGGTTTTCTAGCATCTTGGTGGCTAGGGCAATGGGATCAAGGATTCTGCCATCAATAGTGAGCAGCGGGTTATGACGTGTATACCAAGGATGCTGTCGTATCTGAGCAAAAGTGAAGCGCTTTTGAGGATCGACAGACATCATGCCCCTGAGAAGGGAGAGCGCTTCCAGAGGCACTCTCTCCCAGAGCGGATCTGAACTCTTCCCTGAAGTCTTTACGTACTCGCCAAACTCCCAGCTTGTCGACGACGGCTCATCCCAGGGCGTGTTGCCGACTAACAAGACAAAGAGGATGACTCCGCATGACCATATATCGACGAGGTCTGGCGAGTACTTGGCTGAGTTGGGTGCCCTCTTATCCACTCTACCACAGGCAAGAATCTCTGGCGCGATATATGGCGGGCTGCCACATAGCGTTGAGCTGGTCTTGCGCTGGCCCTTGTACTCAAACATGGTCGCCATTCCGAAATCGGCCAGCTTCAAGCTTCCATCTTGAGAGAGGAGGATATTCTCTGGCTTGAGATCCCGATGTGCCACGCCTTTGGAGTGCATGAAGCTCACACCGCCTACTAACTGAAGGAAGTAGATCTGAGCAATATCTTCTCGGACACCGACATCCGCCTCAATTTTGTCAAAGAGGTCGCCGCCCTCTGCATACTCCATGGCTATCCATCGCCATATAGCATCTTCTCCTGAAGCAAACCACTCGATAATATTGGGATGCTGGCCAATGTGGGAGTGGAGAGAGACTTCCATGGCAAGCTGCTTTGCAGAGATGCGGCCATGCTTAGTGGCGTATCCCTTGTGAATAAGCTTGACGGCGAACACTGGACTTGATGAGTCTAACGGGATAGCCTTTTTTATTCTGTTTTTGCTCTATCTATTAGTAAGAATTGGAGGACGGTTTTTGCAAAGAAAGGGGTGAATGAGATGTGCTCGTACGAAGCATAGGCACCGCGGCCAACGGTCTTGGATATGATCCGGAAGGGCAACTCCTTTGGTAAAGGGTCAAGCTGCGACTATGAGACAGTTAGCGCTATCCACACGAAATTCGAGTGTGTGAGTGAAGAATTGTAGTATTGGCCGTATCGAAGCTTTTGGGAGAGGTGCACAACAACTCACCATGATGTCTATTAGTGAAACTGCTTCTTCTATATAGCGTCTTGTATCCACACAAGAGCAAAATTTGAAATAGAATAGAATAGAAAACTAGAAGTGTAAAAAAAAAGGTGAATTAAGCACCAGAATGCAATGGTAAGAGTTCAAGCCTTACTCAGAGAGCATGGTTGAAGCATTAATGTTAGGCAGGAATATCTGGATTGTTGTTCACGATAGCGCGCCTCTACCGTGTAAAGAGGTTTTGGAGCTGATTGAATTATGGGCCGTTGCGTTTTGCTTTTTGCCTCTGCTTTGCTCTCGCTGGCGCCCCGCCACTATCCATTGGCTGCACAGCTCAAAGCTTATCTGCTGGGTGCGTTGCTGCGGCAAACAGGCCCCAAATAGCGGTTCCCATTCACTAAAACTCCAGGCTGGCTGACCGGCAACAAAGCGTGTCTTAGTGGCCTGAACACGACGTGTTTTTTTTCTCCCGATCTTGACCTTCCCATCCATTCAGATCCCCGTCATTATCTCGTGCGCATAACCCTTGCTTTTCTTTTTCTTCTTTATTCAGCCATCTTTCCCCAGACACCTCTTTTCTCAGAGCTCGTCACCTTCCTACCTTGTTGGGTAATTTACTTACGCCTGCATTCCGCCGCCTTATTTTTCTGGGGAATTCCTGAGCCTGTTTCGTTGTTGCCCAACGCGGAACGCCTGCCGCTTGTTTGCATCCCTTGTCTACTTCAGACCTATCTTCATATCTTTTTCGAGACGGCTCTTTTGATCGACCCGTGTACTTTGGACCGGGTTTTTTTTTTTTTGACTTTCATAATTCACTCCTTTGTCCATTCCCGCGCAGGATATTATCGTCTGAAGAACCGGTTCTTGTTTACAATGGATTACACCGAGGATAACCAGAACGCCGCCCCCGGCAGTGTCCAGGCCTCCAAGCTCAATGCCGCTCGCAAGGGCCCAGACTCTCAGAGCGTCACCAAAAGGTACGTCCTCTTCTAGCGATGGAATCAACTTGGCAAAGGTGCTCATGTATTCTCAATAGACTCCAGACCGAATTGATGACCCTGATGACCTCGCCAGCGCCCGGAATCTCCGCGTTTCCCTCTGCTGATGGCAACCTCATGTCTTGGACCGCCACCATCGAGGGCCCCGAAGATACGCCATATTCTGGCCTCACGTTTAAGCTGAGCTTCGCGTTCCCTTCCAACTATCCTTATGCTCCACCTACCGTCCTGTTCAAGACGCCCATCTACCACCCCAACGTCGATTTCTCCGGCCGCATCTGCCTCGACATTCTCAAGGACAAGTGGACCGCCGCCTACAACATTCAGACCGTCCTATTGAGCTTGCAAAGCTTACTCGGCGAACCCAACAAGTATGTCTCCTCACTTAGTAGTGTGGCAAGCAATAGAACATCCATTAACTGATACGTCTTCTACAGTGCATCTCCATTGAACGGCGAGGCCGCAGAGCTGTGGGATAAGGACCCCGAAGAGTTTAAGAAGAAGGTTTTGGGGCGACACCGCGACATTGAGGAGGAGTGAAGCATTTTATAGCGTGCAGGCTTTATGATTTTTACGTTATTGGGTATCTGGAGTCTCTGGAGCACACGTCAATCGTTTGATAGGGTATTTGGGTGTATTTTGCATTTCCACAACTAGGGCTGGGGAAAGGGGGGCTGTCCGTCCCTTTCACAAGCGCATGACCGGTTACAACATATAATAGAACCTGTCAAATTCATCATGACAAATCACCGCCTAACCAGGCTGCTTCCCGTCACTTTCCCTTCTGTAACAATCAGGGACTCTCTACCGCGGCAATTGTCGCCGAGGCGAGATGTTTCGTTGTGGAATAAAAAAAACCTTGTTGATCACATTGCCGTCTTTTATTTTAAGCGTGAAAAGCTAGAAGAGCCGGTTGCAACTCCGTAATGCCATGCCACCCCAGAACCATTCCCAAAGAGAAACAAGTTTTCTTTACTCCTCAACGACCTCAGTCGCAAGGCCCTTGGGGTTCTTGACATTGACTGCCTGAACGTAGCTGTACAACTTCTCCTTGGCACCCTCCTCGTCGTTTCGTCGTCGGGAGATTCGGACTCGGATTCTGTAGGCAACACCCTTAACACCCTGCTCCCAAACCTTCTTGTTGAGGGAGGGGTCGATCCGGACGTCAGAGGTACCCTGGGGGAAAGGAGTTAGCATGCATGGCCCATAGGTGAAGAGTTTCGTGTCCATCGCCCAGCAGTCAAACTGCGCTTATCGGGATGTCGCGGTTGGGAAGTCGTACCATGGCCTTGGTGGCGAAAGCCTTGATCTCCTTGATGGCACGGGGAGCCCTCTTCTTGAAGGTAACACCATGCAGCTTTACACATCAACTGTTAGCACTCCTTCTACATGAAATCCTGAATTATCTCCTCTGCGTCCTTTCCCTTCTTTCCCTCCTTTTTTCTGCGGTTCGATAATTCGTTTGGGTAATCGAGGCGACGTACTCTCTTGTGCATGTGGATGGTGTACTCGCGGGCAACCACGTCCGCAATGGCGGAGCGCTGAGTAGGCTTCTTTGACGACATTTCTGGATTTGATAATTAGTTTTCGAGTCGGACGAGAGGTGGCGTGGTTGCGAATGTTGAGGATTCTCTTGCGACCAGCGTTTGACAGAGATTCCGTATGTGAGAGGGAGAGAGGTTTGGTGCGCTTCGTACCTGCGGATCGACTCTTCACGGTCTTGACGTTGGGAAAGGTGGTTGAAGTCGGAAATGCCAAATTCCACAAAATCTTTGTGCGTAGGGCAGGCTCGAAATTCCCGTGGTGGGGGTAGCGAGCCAATCATGGCAAAGTCGCTGCTGGCTCCACTGAAATTCACGTGATGGCCTAACTCGCGGCCGCATCTTGACCTGAGGCATCCATTTTCGACGCCAGTCTGCGCCCCAAGCGGAAATGAAACCAGCGCCAAACTAAATGACCCGTTCTCCATACTGCGTCCAAGAAAGCCATCGCCGCTGCATTCCAGCCATCACCACCGGCAACGAGCTACTACAAGCTGCTGTGTGACGGCGTCTCTTTCGGTCTCTCGCTCGTTTTGTCCTATCGCATCGTTGTTCGTCGCTTTCCTTTGCGCCCATCTACGCCGTTACTCCCCTGGCCGGGAGATTTCTTCCCTTCTTGCGAGCTTCTGTTGTTGCTCGTTGCACAAATTATTCCAATTAGCAACAGGAGTCCTAGGCTATAGCTGGAAAATTCGCTATATCAAGCTCAAGAAACTCGCTCGTTTTTATCGTAATCAACAATCCCATAACCCACCATGGCAGACAGTCGAGAAACCACGGCGTCAACCACGCCTCAGCCCGACATGACGCGCAACAGATTGCCGACCCTTTTCGAGGTTTTGAGCCGTCGCACCCTTCCTCCTGTTGATCTTTTCTCGTTCTATATTTATATGCGAGACCAGCAGCGATCTGTTGACTATCTGGACTTTTGGTATGAGCTATTGAGTGTAAGATAGCCAGAGTATGTGATGAAATACTGATAAATCGGCTAGGCTGGATGTCTCACAACACATGTCGCTTTGTCGCCATTACGTCCGTGAACTTCGAAGATCAGTTCTTATAGCGACTCCGGACCTAGAGAAGACATCTAAGCGATCGTCTCAAATAATGGAGCTTGGCGACCTTGAGTCTCGTGCGGCTGGTCCATCGGGGTACCCAACTGAAAAGGAAAGAGATCACGACGCCCATATGTCGGCCTTCTTGCGCGAAGATCAGAGCCATGAGTCTCCCCAGACGCAGAGCGGCTCGAATCACACGAAGCCCAGCCCTCCATTCAGTCTATCTCACGATGCGACGGATTCAAACTCTCCGGCTCATACGGTTGCTCGACAGGATATTAGGGCCTCTGCCGAGAAAATTCTCTATACATTCTTGATGCCTGGAGCTGAGAGAGAAATTACTCTGCCCGGATCGATCACCCAGGACGTCACGGCTAACATTGAAGAGTACGGTCGAGATGATCCGGAAGTCTTTGATGTAGCCAAGGACTACGTATTCCAGGCGATGGAACGAGATGCTTTTCCCGGTTTCTTGCGAATGAAGGCATTGGGCAATCTTATTCCCCCGACGCTTGTTATGCGTCTCATCATTGGACTTGTCGCCATGTTTGGAGCGTTTTGGACTTCGTTCATCCTCATCTTTCTTGATAAATCTAGAGCACTTCGATGCTGGGTAAGCTTTGTTCCAACCAAACACTAAACTTGCCTACGAAATATTCTGCTAACATGTCGCCCTGCCATAGCTCATTCTTCCATTCACTATTGGCGTTTATTTCCTTGCGTCATATCAATACTCCCTAGACCCTATCTTGGCACTCATCGGATTCAGCGAGTACACGCCCTTTAACTTCTCGCGCATTAGAGAACCCTATGTTCGCCGCCTCCTTGCGAAGCGAGCTATGATGGTACTGGCTGTGACTCTCCTGATTGATGCTGGACTGTGTGTTCTGTTCATTCTTGTCCCGGGCAAGAGACTCTAAATCTTGCTTCGCATGTCTTTCTCAGCCAGGGCATGCCGGACATCACTGGCTTGTACGCAAAAGCTTGGACACAGGCCATCTCCGTGCGCGTACCGTCGAGAGCAAGATTAATTTAATTCAAATAACGACCGTTACGAACAATTTTTTTACAGGGTTTCATCGGGCGACAGGATACCTTTCCCCTTAAACCAAGACCCGAGAAAGAGACCGATAGGGACTTTGGCGTGAGCTTTTAGACTTTTTTTTTTATATATATACACACCCACACACATGTTTTCATTTCATTCTATCTGTATTACAGGCAAATTGTATCATCAGCCGTGGCTTAGAGTTGCTAGTTCAACGTTTTATATTTCTCAATAATATCAAGGTACTGGATGGCTTGCAACTTGTTAAAGTCATGTATTATATCATATTTCGTCGTGACTATCTAAATTTACAACACATTGGAAGTCTAAGTTCCGCTTATCTTGCCAACGTTCTGCCTTGCCTTACAACTTCCTCTTACTGGCTCTTTTTGCCACGTCGTCTGCTGGGTATAAGTCATCGATATCCATCAGCTCGGCATTCGACTCCGCACTCGAGGGGTCAGCCATGGAGCGTTTGCTAATGGCCCTGCGAGTCAGATTGTCTCGCGAGTATCCTGAGAGCATGTTTTTATCCTCACTCACACTTTCCACTAATGTTTGTAGCTTTTTGTCCGAGGCTCGTTTCTCTCTCTCTCGTACAGTGGCCGCATCGCGAATGCTCTTGATCTGCTCTTCGAGGTCCCCGAGGGTAGACTGGCAACGACCAGCCCAGTTTTGCAGGGCACTAATCATATCTGGGATAGTGCCGGGGGCGAGATCTCGGAGAGGAGCAACGCTTGTTACTGAGACGGCCTGGCGAGCAGGGTCGAGGGTGGCATGCAAGAGGCCGGCGTAGATGGCTGTGATGACGAGGTCCTCTACCTCCCGGGGTGAAGAGAGGCCTAGAGCCTTTTGTAATGCATCGTATGATAGGCTTGATCGGTCGCTAGCCAGAGATAGAAGCGAGAGCTGCCGCAGCTTGAGGGTCTGGGTGTCGTTCAGGGTGGGTAGGTCGGCAGTGGCATGGTACGTTCCGTAGGAGCCGTAGGAGAAGATTTGGAGAAGTGTGAGGTATGATGTGAATTCGGGGCTGGCTGCGAGGGCTTGGATCTGCGGTGTCTGGAGCAGCTCAGTGAAGATGAAGGTGTTTGGAGCTGAGGTTGCGCGAGTGACGAGATCGGCGGCAGCGCGGGGAGAGGTGGCTGATTTTGAGAGCGCGAGGAAAGGCTATAGTCATGCTTGGGTGAATATGAATGTCGTATGGAGGGGAAGCCTATTTATCTAACGGGGGTTCGTACCTCTAAAGCGTTCAACGCCTTGGTTTGCTCCATGATGATGCCGTTTCTGTGGCTGTAATTCTTGAAACGTGATGGCAGGCTAATGGATCTCGCTCTAGAGAGGCTGCCGCACGCTCAGTGCGGCGGGGAGTGGGGTAAGGTAATCTCGATCTGATAAGCGAGGCTGACAATTTGGAAGTTTATTGAATGAAGACACCAAAAACCAGTAGTAGTATATGGGTTCGGGATTTGGTGTGGGTTGCTGTTTAGTGCGGACAATCTACGGTCTGGATCTGTTTTGCGTGGGTTTGGGTGTAACAGGAAGGTTTGAGGTCTTGGAAGGCAGCGGTGCTAAGTGGTTGCTGGGCCTAGCTGCATTGGAGGGGCGTGAAACAAAATGGACTTGGGCATTTTAGGTTGGTGAAACTAAAAGTACCTACCAGTATTCTCGCTACCTCTACCTCATTCATCTACAAGTATTCATTGAATTGCGAACTTTTATCATGGAGAAAGCTTTTTCTTGAGCAACAAGAAGCTGAACGGGTTATGGTTATACCTCGGTAGGTAGGTAAGGTAGTAATTGTTGCTGCCGCTGATGCTTACTCCATACAAAATACCCAGTAGTGGGTCCGTGAAGCTGTTGGACGCTGATAGCTCAGCTGGGCTCAGCTGTAAATGCCCCAGATATCTTCATCTGTGCTGCCAACATCTATGTACAAGCTGTACGTCAAAAATACGCACATCCATCACTAATCTCGATTGCTTTGACCCGAAGGATGATACGAGATAGATTACGACAAGCTCCAAAGGGCCGAAGGAACGGCTCTATCCGTGGAAGCAAAGTTCCGCAGAAACATTGCTACCAAACAGCTGCACGATGAAGAGGGGAAATACCGTTGGCATAGCTTGTCATCTTTTAGTTGACATCTACTAATGACTTGAGCTTAAACGAAATGGGAAACGTGTTTGCATGGAATGTTGATTACTTGGCAAAAGTACTGGCGATGTTACCTACTACTGTATCTAGCAGCAGCGGCATATTGGGGTTTGATGCATGCTGACCAGATAGAAAACAGAAGTAGCAGGGAGCGGATTAGGGCTCGCTGCGTGCTAACCAAGCGGAAACTGCGACATTGGCAATATTAACGGACTTTTGCATTCTCGGACGGCTTCACTCGTATCTACGAAATACGGTTGCAAAGGAGCTTGACATCTTGGCTTGTACGAGGCGCAAGAGCAGGTAGTTTATGTAGACTACTGGCCTAATCCGGCATCCAGGCGGTTGGGTAAGGTGTTATCCAGTAATAGCAGCGACTGCCCAAACGAAATGACGGCGGTCCTTCATCAGCATTTGCTAGGCGGGAGAGCGATTATTCAGCGAAGCACTGGCGCATCAGCGCTGATGAAACACGGGCCCAGCCTTTGTGCCGCCTGGGCTTCACGATAGGCGGTTGCTAGCCTCCCTAAAACATGAATAGTGCGACAGTTGCAACGCCTCCGTCTTCCTCCTATTTGGCATTTTTCACGTATAATTGCGTCCAAGTCGACAAAACACCTTAGGCGTCTCTAATCTTTATTTTCTCTTTCATTTCTTTCATTCTCTTCTCCTCCACCTTGCGGCCCTGGCTGGTCTCATTGTGCTTTTTTCCCTTCCTACGTTATTGGCTGAGCCCGGCTGTTGCTGTTTCCGAAAGCCAAGCCTTGTCCCTTATTGAGCCACTTTATTTTCTTATTTTCTCACCTTTCCGGATACCACCACAAGCAGCGCTACTCGTGAGCGACCAACCGCGAGCCGGTCACACACCCATCTGAGGCCGGGCGTTCGTATTGGCTGCAGGATTTGGCTCTCTGTGGCGCTATTCACATTTTCGTGGGCTCCTTCTCTTCCTGGACTGTGCGTGGGAGGATTTATAATAGTACGGTAACTCAAGCACCCTTGCATTCCCTTGCGTCTCACCTCCCTCGTTGCCAGTATAAATGAGAATCATTACCTGTGCCCTGGTGGAGGGCTTGGACTGGGTTCCCCTCTAATGATAAGCGCCGCGGCTTGCTCGGCGAGACACTTTTTGCTGACGGAATCCGATCCGGCTAGGTACTATTAAATCCTCACTCCCAGCCGTTTGCGTTTTTTCTTGCGGAGCTGGTCTCTGAATAAATCCGACGCTTGGTTCGCTCACAGGCCCGGTTACCGAACGATCCAGCTTCTACTTTATTTCTTTATTACTCGTGCGATGCTTGCGGCTTCAAGGTGAACCACATTAAGAAAAAGGCTCTCCGCCGTCCCTACGCGGGCCTTTTGCTTTTCCGCTCGTGAGACAATATATAAGAGCCAAAGGAAAAGACAAAAACAAGTTGTAGAACCTGAAGAGAAGAATCATGGCTCCAGCATACATCAAGGTCCCCGGGCGGGATATCGATGAAGATGCGGGCCTTGCGCCCAAGAGTGCGCACATGGCAACGACCACTCTGCGCGTTGGCGGCATGACGTAGGTCGCGCCAGCTTCCATCCGAACTCAAAACGTTCCAAATAATGTTGTCGCTGACATGTTTTTCACTTCCACAGATGCGGATCATGTACGTCAGCCGTCGAAGGTGGTTTCAAGAACGTCAAGGGTGTCGGCAACGTCTCTGTCAGCCTTGTCATGGAGCGCGCCGTCGTCACGCACGATGCGCAGATTGTCAGCGCCGAAAAAGTCAGAACGATTATCGAGGATACCGGATTCGACGCCGAAGTTGTTTCCACAGACCTCTTGACCCCAGTTGTTCCTCGGTTTTCGGACAAGGCGACCGAGAGTGAAGACGACGGAGTAGTAACGACAACAGTCGCGATTGAGGGCATGACATGTGGCGCCTGTACCTCTGCCGTCGAGGGCGGTTTCAAGGATGTTCCTGGCGTCAAGACCTTCAGTATATCGCTCCTCTCCGAACGGGCCGTTATCGAACACGACCCGAAGCTTCTGTCAGCCGAAAAAATTGCTGAAATTATCGAAGACCGAGGCTTTGGGGCCGAAATTGTTGAGAGTAAAGCCAGCGCCAAGGCCGAGGATCCGGCAAATACCGTTGCCACTACGACTGTAGCCGTCGAGGGAATGACATGCGGTGCCTGCACTTCTGCTGTCGAGGGAGGCTTCAAGGGGGTTGAGGGCGTCTTAAAATTCAATATCAGTCTTCTAGCCGAGCGTGCAGTCATTACTCATGACATCGCGAAGCTCTCTGCTGATAAGATCGCCGAAATTATTGAAGACTGCGGATTCGATGCTACAGTATTGTCTACCACTTTTGACGCCAACGACCACAATGGCACATCAACCACCTCACAGTTCAAGGTCTATGGTAGTCCAGATGCTGCGGCTGCAAAGACTCTCGAGGAAAAGCTGCGAGCTCTTCCTGGTGTTCAGTCTGCTTCACTTAGTCTCTCTACGGATCGCCTTTCTGTCACACATACGCCTGCCGTCACCGGCCTTCGCGCAATTGTCGAGGAGGTAGAAGCAGCGGGCTTTAATGCCCTGGTGGCGGATAGCCAGGACAACAACGCACAGCTCGAGTCGCTTGCCAAAACAAAAGAGATTACAGAATGGAAAAACACCTTCAGGATCTGTGTCGCAGTGGCTGTCCCCGTCATGTTCATCAGCATGATCCTGCCAATGGCTTTCCCGAGCCTAGATTTCGGTGTCATACAGATCATCTCTGGTCTCTATCTCGGCGATCTCGTCTGCATGATTGCCATCACACCAATTCAATTTGGTGTCGGAAAACGATTTTACATTGCAGCCTACAAATCACTCAAGCACCGCGCACCCACTATGGATGTCCTTGTGGCTCTTGGCAGTTCATGCGCCTACTTCTTCAGCGTTATTGCCATGATCATTTCCATAGTCCTACCACCACACACTCGACCAGGTGTGTTTTTTGAGACTAGCGGCATGCTTTTCACTTTCATTTCTCTCGGTCGCTTCCTCGAGAACCGTGCCAAAGGTCAAACTTCAAAGGCTCTGTCTCGCCTCATGTCTCTCGCTCCGTCCATGGCAACCATTTATGCCGATCCCATTGCCGTAGAGAAGGCGTCAGAATCATGGGCCAAATCTGCTGATGAGTCTACCGACACCATGGCCCAGCGTTCAGATGAGGCAAATGCTTCAGTATACGAGGAAAGAAGCATCCCGACCGATCTGCTTCAGGCTGGAGATATCGTCGTTATTCGACCTGGTGATAAAATCCCGGCCGACGGTGTCCTTGTCAGGGGCGAAACCTATGTCGATGAGAGCATGGTCACCGGAGAGGCCATGCCTGTGCAGAAACGCTTAGGGTCCAACTTGATCGGTGGCACGGTCAACGGCAACGGCAGGGTGGATTTCCGTGTCACTCGAGCCGGTCGCGACACCCAACTCAGCCAAATTGTGAAGCTCGTTCAGGACGCCCAGACCACGAGGGCCCCTATCCAGAAGTTGGCCGACACTTTGGCTGGCTACTTTGTTCCTTTGATCTTGGCTCTTAGTTTACTCACTCTCCTTGTATGGTTGATTCTCAGCCACGCCCTCCCCCACCCGCCCATGATCTTCACGAAAGATAACAGCGGAGGCAAGGTCATGGTATGCGTCAAGATCTGTATCTCTGTCATTGTAATTGCATGCCCTTGTGCCCTTGGCTTAGCGACACCAACTGCTGTCATGGTCGGAACGGGTGTGGGAGCTGAGAATGGCATCCTCATCAAGGGCGGAGCCGCACTGGAGACAACCACCAAAATTACCCAAGTCGTATTCGACAAAACTGGCACAATCACGCGCGGAAAGATGAGCGTTGCCAAGATGGAGTTGGTTTCCGGTTGGAAGGGTGACTCGCTACGAAAGAGACTCTGGTGGTCAGCTGTTGGTCTTGCTGAGATGGGCAGCGAACACCCGATTGGCAGAGCCATCTTGGCTGCCGCTAAAGAAGGGCTCGGAATTCTTGATACTGAGAGTGCCATTCCCGGCAGCGTTGTTGACTTCAAGCTTACTGTCGGTGGAGGAATCAATGCCCTCGTTGAGCCAGCGTTGTCTGCTGAACGAACTCGCTACAGGGTTCTGGCCGGAAATGTCAAGTTCCTTGAAGGCAATGGTGTCGAGGTTCCTCAAAGTGCCATTGATGCCGCGGATCAAACCAACTCCTCAGCAAAGGGCAAGGGCAAGGGCTCGCCATCGGAAAATGTAAGCGCAGGAACGACCAATATCTTCATTGCCATTGATGGAAAATATACTGGCCACCTCTGCCTTTCGGATATCATCAAGGATGGTGCGCTCTGGGCCATCTCCGTGCTGCACCGCATGGGTGTCAAGACAGCCATGGTTACCGGAGACCAGCGGCCTACGGCCTTGGCCGTTGCGGCCGTTGTCGGCATCTCTCCTGAGAACGTATTCGCCGGTGTCAAGCCCGAACAGAAGCAAGCCATCATCCAACAGATCCAAGAGCAGGGTGAAGTTGTTGCCATGGTAGGAGACGGCATCAACGACTCCCCGGCCCTGGCTACGGCCGACGTAGGTATTGCCATGTCCAGCGGAACAGATGTCGCCATGGAGGCCGCAGACATCGTCCTGATGCGCCCCGACGATTTGCTATGCGTCCCGTCTGCCATGCATCTCACCCGACACATCTTCCGCCGCATTAAGCTGAACCTGGCATGGGCCTGCCTGTACAACATCATCGGCATCCCCCTCGCCATGGGCTTCTTCCTACCCCTCGGCGTTCACCTACACCCTATGGTGGCAGCAGGCGCCATGGCCTGCAGCAGCGTCAGCGTTGTGCTGAGCAGCCTGATGCTCAAGTACTGGAAGCGCCCCCAGTGGTTCGAGGAGAACTCGCTCGACGCCTCTGGCAACAGCAAGCTGCAGTGGAGGAGCGGCTCCGGCATTGTTGGCTGGGCGAGGGAGATGTTTGGCCGTGTTCGTGGCACGAAGCGCGGCGAGGGATACGTTGCCCTGGAGGATCTCGAGGCTTAAATACACGACTTTTTTTTGTGCAAGAAGTGCGTATTATAAATGCTAGATCTATTAGGCTGTGTTGAGTTGTGCACGCGCGCGGCATGGGTGTATAGTATGCAACGAAAGGTAGTGAAGTTGGATTTGTAAACGAAATGGTAATTGGCCGGACCAAGGAGCATAGCGTGGGTGTTGGACGAATAATGGCGTTTTAATTAGGGACGTAATATGAATAACCGAGATGTCTTTCGTATGTCATGCAACATGCCTCCTTTTGAGTCTTTTGAAGAGTAGCAAGTTCCGCTGCATAGGTGAATATTCAATGAGTCTGTAATAGTAACACGTAGAATTGTAGAAAGTTAAGAGTAGTTACAAATCACTTTTTCAAGATAAACATGACCGGAACTACTCATACTTTCGTAGAAATGTCATCATGCCTCAGACACCTCATTTCTATCTCTTTTAGCTCTAATGTCTTAGTCCAATAGCAAATATATATATATACACGTCTCCAAGCCAGCCCGCAGGCAATTTTACCCCCAGAATGCGTACAAGAGTAATCTCTGAATGGGAATATAAAAAAAAGAAAGAGAAGAGAAAAAGAAAAAGAAATAAACAACCAATGCTTTCCTAAAAAACCATAGTACAAAAAATGAAACTCCCGAGCCAGAAAAGACGCCAAAAAACCATGCCCTATATCCCATTCTTAAAACTCCAAGTCTGGGTTTCAAACTAGTCCACCGGCTCCCAGAGTCGGCCTATTCTCTTCCCCTTCAAAAAGCAAATCGTTATGAGGTTGGCAGAGGTCTCTCCACGCAACAAACTCACCATCCAAGTCTGTCCAGGCGCCGCCGAATTCATCATCAGGGGTATCGCCAGCTGGATAGTACTTCTTCGGAACCCACTTCCGGCCATCAATGAGTTTATGCGTCAGTGGTTCGCCGGCCTGTGAGGCCCTCACGGCGGCTTTGAGTAAAGATTTGACATATGGATAGAACCACAGCGTGGGATACTCAAACTCGACGAATTCCTTGGGGCCAGTGCAATGCCAAAGGCCGTAAATATGATGGGTGATGAAGTTGACGCCCAATTCGACAACGCTAAGCCAGTCTGCCGATGTAGACCCCGGGTGAGCTTCTGGGATGGCGTCGTATAGCTTGCTTAGCGACGCAACGATGCTCTTGGGCATCTTGATGGTGGGAGGCTGAAAGAAAGGTCCCTCTTCGCGGACATCAGCGGTAAGCTTGGCTGTCAAGCCAGATTCGTTGAATTGCATATATCCAAAATATGGCTGATATCCAGCCCTGGTTTGGAACAGCGCAGACTCGTACTCAATGGCAACATGGTACTCGGTCGTCTGGAAAGGATTGGTCTTAGCCGGAATGATCTTGTCAGGTGGAAATTCAGGGATGTCGCTGCCCATCACCCTCGAGCGCCAATATTCCTGTCGACCCCAAACATTGGCCATGTAGTATTGGTCCGATTCCCTGAACTCGTACAAAGGATCATGCGTGGCCCTGATCTCGTCCATTGTAGCGGCAATATATCTCCTTAGGTCGCCAATGGGCCCCATGATTGTCCCTGAATTCAGCCACCGCGGGTCGGCGTAGAACATGGCATTGTCTCCCTTGTCCAGACCCCAGGCAGTTGGTGCTATGGGTGATTCGGGGGCACTCCAGCATCGAGGCGCTACGGGATCAATAGGCCAGCAGATCTTGTCAGGCCCCAGGAAGACGGTCTGGCGAAGGCCACGCCTGTGGAGCTCGCCAACACTGATATCAAAGCGCTGCGCCAGGTGGGCATCAGCACGCTCGGCAACTTGAAAGTACCTCTCGACCATGATCTCGGGGGGTAGTTGAATGAGAATATCATAGCCATCCACGATGATTGCTAAATCGTCGTCCTCATCGGGAGGCAGCGAGTTGAAATATCGCTCCATAGTTCGCAGCTTGGCAAGGTGAGTCTTTGCGGCATCGAATTCGTCAACTCCATGCCAGCCAAGCAGAGTAGGGACTGGATAGCGGTTGACGGCCGAGGAAACTAAGTTGTAGCAGAAATGTAGATTCGGCTGGCTGGCCGGGATGAGATAGTGCAGCCTCGACGTCTTTGGCTCTGGAGCAGAATCCGGGGCAGAATCTTGATTGGCTTTCGAGGAGTTTGAAGACGGCGCTATTAGAGATGCCGGTAGTGTTGCATTTAAGAGTTTAGAACCGTGAGGTAACATAGCAATGAGTCCCTCCTGATGATACATTGATATCAGCTCTATGCGATAACATATATACGAAGAGCCGGGAACTAGGGGATATGGTCACATACAGGATCAGGATACGAGTTGTAGTAGAAGGCTATAGCAAAGAATAAGGCAATTAATGCGGCAACGAAGACGTTTCGCCGCCTACCTGAGGAGGCAATCATGCTTGACAGTGGGAGCGTCGACGACCAACGGCCGAACGACAAGACGGAGTAATGGAATTAAGTCAACTTAGGAGAAAGGAGAGAAGAAGTAAAAAGAAAAAGAAAAAGAAAAAAGAGAGAGAGAGAGAGAGAGAAAGAGAGAAGAAGAGGAGGAGGAGGATATGGCAGATGGAAAGTCAAAAAGATTGAACGTGGTGCAGAGCACACAGGCTGATTACAAAAAAGATGGAAATGAGCGGCAGGATCGAAGTACAAGGTCAACTTGTGCGATCCGCATGAGACCAAGACAAATGGGAAGGTCGCAGGCGTCCAAGAGCCTTTTCACACGAGAATGAAGAAAAAGAAGAAGGACGAAGAGGAGATCATCGTGTCAGCCATAAGTCCTTGAGATTCGGCGGGTGCGGCGTCGCGACTGGAAAGTGATCGTCGCCATGTCGATCCCTCTATCATTCTCCTGTAAGTGGGCGCCGGTATTGGTGGGTTGAGAAGCCAGCCGGCGAAGAGGCAAGAAAGCACTTGTACATTCTGGGAAGAACCCTGAGTAATGTGTATTGAGTAGAATAAGATGAAAGTTTTTTCTAAGCATACTGTGCAGAATATGATAAGAGACGGACTAATGATCTTGGCTCAGCACTGTTGCGATGGATCTTAGGTTTGGATCTTCAGGTGGATTTTCCTCTTGGGGACGCTAGGTCATGCCTGGATCCTCTTTCTTTCTTTCTCATTTGTCGCTGCCCCTGGTGGTTTGGGAAGGCTATTTCGTACAGTAAGAAAGTCTTTTTGATTGGATTACTGTTTGGGGCGGGAGTTGCTGATGCTTCAATGTTTGATATAAAATGACCTACTTTGGATGGCGGAGATGCAGCCAGACAAGGAGCAGCCGGCGGTGTAGTGCCTGATATAAAAGGAATTCTACCGCTGCTGAGATGCGACAAAGGGCTTGTCTACAAGGTAGGCCAGAGATATGCTTATTTAGAGGTATTGGTTCCTTGTAGCATGGCCATTATACCGGGCTTCCATTGATCCCCTTATATCTCGAGGATGGAGGTGGGATTAAGCTGCATCTCTATTCCCTGCAGTTGGGCTCTGCGGATCACTCGTTATCAGTAATCGTGGTATTGAGACACCCGCTGCCCATCAAACTTGTCAGTCGGTATGGGGTACACGTGCTACTCTCCTAGTACAACGACAATCAGCTGTCAAGTGCCTGTATCATCGGCTTGGATCTCTGCAGTGGTCGGTAAAGTGCATACATATAAATCACGTACAGTAGCCGAGAGTAACAAAGCCTTGCAACGTCAAACTATCCGAGATAACTTGGTGCCATTGCAAGGATCCTCATATCAGAAACAGCCGGATAAGCACGCAATTCTGGCCTCTGACATGCGTACCTCCCTCTCCCGTGCTAGGAGATGCCAATCGCTGCAAAAGGGCGCGGGAGATGGACCAATTTGGCAGATGGACAATGTGCAGATCCGACGATCTCTCCTGCATGGCTGGTAACAGGGACCTTGTATACTTGTGCTGTGTCCTTGCTGTCCGTGCCAGTACAGTACGACTTTCTGTATTTCTATTCTTTTTTAATTTTCAGGTGCTGGATAGTAATAGTATGCAGTGTCATAAAATCGTTTCCAGGCCACTCTGTAGGGGTGTCGAGCGTCCAATGTCAGGTGTCTCGGCTACCAGTTGGTTGGCTGTGAGTGCGGCCCGCGACGTCGGCTGTTTCGGAGAATATTGCGCCGAGATTGAAGCAGCGTATAGCACTTGGCATATGACGAATGCTCTTTCGTAGATGCATCAGGACACTGCGAGAGCAAAGCAGTATAAAAAACCCCCAGCATCAGGCGCAGAGCGAGGATACCGAGGAAGCAGTCGCCGCTTTCAACGGCATTTATATATAGGTACACACGTATTATGGGGACCAAAAGCTTGGCGAAAACTTACACCGACACACAAAAGATGCGACAAGCTCGACGCTGATCTGGTGGCTGCGCAGCCTTATGTACCGTGTAGGCGTATAGGTCTCCGTTCTGCGTCAGGAGAGAGCCAGCATGATATCTGTGTTTGTTTGCGGTGCGATGCATCGTGTTTCTATTCCTGTGCACACACGTCATTTGATTATACATACGAGGCAGCAGCAGCAGACTCGTCGCACTATGGCTGCCATACATGCAAAGCGCTTCGTATCAGTTTAGCATTCCACTCTTGTCGGAACATTATGCTGGCAGCAGTACAACTCCCGAAGCAGCCGGCTATAAGGAGAGCCGCAGAGGTGAGCTCCGGACAGAGACAGTCCTGCCCTCTCTGCCAAGACAAGCACAGACGCGACAAACAACATCGAGGTGCTGAAGAGCAGCTCTCGCTATTTAGCCAGCGTGTTCTTCCAGGGCCGTTCAGCGCCGATGCCAAGACGCCGGCGCTGACACTGGATGATATTCCAAGGCAGGGCCCCCCGGTCTCGTGCGCTGGGCCAGTTTGCTATTCGCCTGCTGCGTGGTTGGGAGGCATGAATGTCCACCGCCAGGCAAAAGTCGAGCGTGCAGGAGACGCTGCAGTCCTGCAAATACAGCCCAATCGTCATTCCGTCATCCATCTTTGCGTCGTGTCCCGGCGAGCAGCCCGCCCGCAAGTGCGTCCTGTCATGTACGGGACATGCCCACAGCCCCCTCGTTTATAAACCGCCTGTCTCAGCATGTAGACCGCAATAGCCCGGCTTCAGCGCAATACAGTGGCCTCTAGCGTCCCCTGGTGTCCTTCAGCAGGGCCCAACGCACCTTAAACCCATCCAATTAATCCCATTTCAATGTCCCTTTAACCGCGGTGCGGAAGCGCGGCTTCCAGCGTGCTCCGCTGCCAAGACCTCGCACAGTGCAGACAGCTTCCGCCGCACGGGACGACGCAAGCAGCCACAGCGCCCTTGGCTGCTCCGTCAGGCGTCTTTAGCGCACCTCAGGCCCGCTAGCTGACTCCAGCCGGCCCAGTGCTAAACTCGCGCCCCAGCCAATCCCTTCTCCTAATCGTCCTGCAGCGCCCATTTCGACCTTCAATCTCAACAAGGTCCACGCCACATTTTCCTCCTGTTCGACGCTCTTCCCCTCCTCTACCTCCATCCACTACTTTTTCTTCTTTTCGTTTTCAGGTTTGAGAAACCAACGTGTCCCTTGAAAGACCGTGTCTGCGCCGTCCTTCGCAGCTCCAAATCGTCGCTCGCTCTTCCACCCCGCCTGGCCTTTTGTCTGTCTTGGAGATTCGGAGCCCCCCGGCTTTAATAGTGGTTTGCCTCGTTTTTGCTGCTTCTTGCCATTGCGTCGTTGCCGGCCAACTGGACGACATACGAGTTCTCCGCACGCGACGACCTCGTATCCATCTGTGGCCGCACCCTTGCCAGGCCCAGTCGACAATCTACCACCGAATCTTGCTTCCTCTCGGCTTTTGGCGAGTTATGCTAGCAGGGCCGCCTATAGGAGCTTGAGCCTCTTATACACAAACCTCAGTTCACGCCTCGTTTTCCCAACTTATACGCCCGATTGCATCGGCAGACACCTCGCCCATCATGTCTCGGCGCTCACAGGACGTCGCGCTCCTGACTCCCGAGGAGCAGGACTTCAAGGACGTTGAAGCTGGAAAAAGCGAGAGCGATCCCCAGAATCAGAACCTCGATCATGAATACTCAATACCTAGCACCGTCAAGTTTACTTGGCTGGGAACCTATTTTTTCCTCTCTCTTGTCCTCACTCTTTACAACAAATTAGTCCTTGGCATGGTAAGTTCTATACCCTTCATATGCCAATTCCAAGGCGGTGATGCGATACTTCCAACGCAAACCTTATATGATAAAATGATCCCTTCTCGCCAATCGGTTGCTAATATGTCTTGACGGATTTAGTTTCACTTTCCCTGGCTTCTGACGTTCCTCCACACGTCTTTCGCCAGTGTTGGAACATATGTCATGCTGCAAATGGGCTACTTCAAGCTGTCACGCCTCGGCCGTCGCGAAAACCTTTCCCTCGTTGCCTTCAGCGCTCTATTTACCGCCAACATCGCCGTCTCCAACCTGTCTCTGGCCATGGTGTCTGTTCCTTTCTACCAGACGATGCGCATGCTGACCCCCATCTTTGCCATTGTCATTTTCCGTGTTTGGTATGGCCGAACATATAGCACAATGACGTACCTCTCTCTCGTTCCTCTCATCATTGGTGCTACTATGACCACCGCTGGTGAGATGAGCTTCTCCGACGCCGGATTCCTCCTTACCATTCTGGGTGTCATCCTTGCCGCTCTCAAGGTAATTCAACAGCAGGCCAAGCTTCCCTCGTACATTAACAAGGCTAATCAAAATATTACAGACTGTTGTTACCAACCGATTCATGACCGGGTCATTGGCCCTCCCGCCCGTCGAATTCCTCATGCGCATGTCTCCCCTCGCCGCTCTCCAGGCTCTGGCCTGTGCCACAGCTTCCGGAGAGGTTGCCGGCTTCCGCGCACTCGTCAGAAGCGGCGAAATTCATCTTGGTCCCGCGTCTGCTTCTCTGGCTGGCAACGGTTTCTTGGCGCTACTTCTCAACATCTCATCGTTCAATACCAACAAGCTGGCCGGCGCCCTGACCATGACCGTCTGCGGCAACCTCAAGCAATGCTTGACTGTCATGCTGGGTATTTTCTTATTCAACGTCACTGTTGATTTCCTCAATGGCGCCGGTATGGCCGTCACAATGATTGGAGCTGCCCTCTACAGCAAGGCTGAGTTGGACAATAAAAACAAAAAGAAGCAGCAGCAAGAGGCCGCCTTCAAGCCTACTGAGCAGAGGTAGCCACTATTGGCTGCGTAACAAACTTCAGCATTTTGATATATCCTTTTCTTTTCTCTCTCCCTTAATGATACACTATAAAGATGGATATTTGAAGAAAAAAGCCGGTTGGAGTATTAGGGACAGCAATTCGACCCGACTCATGCTTAACCACGAACCAGAGATGCTTCTAATGGCTGGATAAGCCCCATGTTTTAATATACACATTTGTCTATTTGCTGCCGGTTATAGGCAGCTTCAGAAAGAGATTTTGGTGGGCTACGGAAGTTGTCACGATCAGATGGGATATGGCGTTAGGGAGATGATGATACTCTAGCAACACAACAATGGGTCCTGTATCCGCGGGTGTTTGATAAAAGTTGCCTCTAGGATAGCTCGAGGCATGGCTAATTTTCTTTTTTATCTTCTATGTTTAAATTTTTCTACTCTGACTCCTTTTTTTTTTCAAAGAGCATTATCCATACGTCGATTATGCAGTATATGAAACCAATCTCAAAGAAATGATGCCAGCGATATTATACCCCGTTCCTGTCTCAGCTCAAGCAAAGCACAGCACAGCACAGCCACAATCCTCAACAAGAACTTCTATCTTTTACGTTTCCGTGCTTTTCCTAAAACCAACCCCTGAAGACGAGCCCGGCAAATCGGCGCGCGGGAAGAGCCACTTTTCGGCGCTTGCCATGCAACATATAATTTGAACCTGCATAAGTGTGGCTGCTGGTAGCCGAGACTATCGAAACGCCTTAGTTGCTGCTGCGGCACATTTTTTTTTTCTGCGCTTGCGTAAGATTGGTGCCGATAGTAGTCGGGCGGACGGGGACTATTGAGTGCGATGGTGGGGGTTTTTTCGAGCTTTTTTTTCTTTGGCTTGATCTTTTTTTTTGTTTTTCCCCTGATAATAAGGCTGATGACAGGAGCCTAGCGATTAATAGCATGCTACTAGCATAGAGCTGAGATGGAGACATTGATTTGATGGCTAGATAAAAACAGCACGTGTACTGATTACAATCAATCTTTAGCTCAAATCAATGCAGATTCAAAGGCTACATACCTACAATGTACAGTGTTAAATCAGATTGCTACGTGCGTGAGAGTGACGCAAACTTTATAATCAACATACTTCGTATTTTGTGCTGCCAACGCTGAATCAGCCCTAGCCTAACGCCGTAAATTTCCATCAATCGCTATCAACAAGTAAGTCTCGAGTTTAAATATCCTGAAGACGTTCAGGGGAAGATATTACAATACTAATACTAAAGGCCCTTCCAATAAAAGATAGCCAGGAAAAGCAACGCCAAATTAAGGATGCTCAAGCTCCTAACGCTCCAGAATCAAAAACAACAACCAACCCTTTTCCTTTAAAGCCCATAAAACATGCATGAGAGATGAGATCAATCCACATCTTCCATCTGGCCGCTGTACCGTGATCCTAAAGCACTTTCTTGTCTGAGGTGCCAAATGCCGCGTCTAACATCCTCGAGAGTAGCATCGCCCTCCAAGCCTAGCGCGCGGGCCAGGATCTCGAGGTCGCTTGGGGCTAGGGCCGCGTGTCTCTTCTCCCCAGCACGATCTACCGGCACTGACATGCCGACCAGTGGCGGTGCTACAAGCAGTGGTGTCGTGAGCACAGCCTCCCCCGGCTTTCCGTTGGGGCTCCAGGTCACATCAGCTCCAGCGCAGTTGGTGCTGTTGCTACTGCTATTGTCATCGCTGCGCTTGCTGCGCTCCAGCATTACAAAACGAAGGCCAACTTCAGTGACTGTGACGAGGATGCTGAGAACAATGAGTGCAATAATGATCCAAGTGATGTAGCTCATCTTGGCATCAGCATCCGAGTCGGAAAGAATCTCTGCCAGGTCCAAGAATACACGACAACGCTCGTTGAGTACCTTGATGCGAAGATCTATCTCCAAGTACTCGCGGATAGCCTCGTACAAGGGGTGCAGTGTAGGCTCCGAGTCCCAGAAGAAGTTTGGCACGTCGAGGATATTTGATGCTATTATCCAATGTTAGCTCGATGGAATCATCACTACACACTCGACCATATGCAAAGAGAAAAGGTCCAAAGGGGAGAGGCAAGGGTGAAATGTATACATACAAAGGTTGATATCCACGCGGCTTTTGAAAAGCCGACCGATAATCTTGACAATCTCAGTCCTCGTCATGCCCAGCTCTCCAGTCAGAGCCAGAGTCTTGGGTACATGCTGCGCATCAAGCATCGTCTCAATCATTCTCTCTTCAAAAAAGCAGAGCTTGGTGCTCTGGGCAATTGCATGGCTGATAGTCAACTTGATCATATGGTCTGATCGGGGTAGCAACGTGATCATGTCGTTAAATATTCGCGGCCGCTGCACGTCGGGGCTATATTCAAAATGGAACTCTTCAGTCTCGTAGTCGCCTTGGTCCAGAGGTCTTGAGAGCAGGTTGACGCCGTCTTCAGCATCAGCAAAGGTCAGATCCGCGAGAATGTCCTTTTCTTGATGCTCTGTGAAATTCCAGAAAACAACGACTCCATACGAATAGACAAACATCTCTGCAAAATTTTTTGCCTCGGGCGCAAGGCGATTCATCTGAGAGGAAAGACCGTCGTCTATAGGGTGATATGAGCTCTGCGGTGACAAAAGGCCATCATCGGGCGATAAAGGGCGATCCGAAAAGGCAGATGGTCTTCCTTGGCCATTGCCAGAACCTTCGGTGGCGGATGTATAGGCGTCGTGATCAAAGTAGCCTTCGTGGTGATCCCGTTGTTCGCTACGCTCAATTTCCAGATCAAGAACTGTTTTCCCCGTTCCAGGTGTCTTTAGTATTGGCCGGCTCCGTACTCTGTAGCCTTCGATCCCATTCATCAGCGGAAGAGCATAGATGGCGTAAAGACAGTCGTCGTAGAGCTTAGTCTTAGCTTCGTGCTTCTTCTTCAAAAACTCTGCCGTCTCCTTTGTTTTGAATGCTTGGGCAGTGCAATATGCCGTCAGCCGGCTGACTTTGTCTGTCCTCTGCAATTTAGGTAGGCGTTCTGCATAGCTCTTCCCGCGAATGCCACCCCTTTTGCGAAGCACATCCAGTTCCTCGTCCCTCAGTGGCCGTCCATTCTCGTCCTGTAGTCTCAGATTGGCCGCTGCCTCTCCTTCCAACTCCTCGTCCTCTTCATCCCTTTCGTCGGTGACGGGTAATAGGACCAGCTTTTCACTAATTTTGGTCGTTCGCGAGGGGATTGGTTTGCCAGTGCGGGATGGGGCGCTGGGCAGGCCACCAGCTGATATTCGTCGGGCATTGGGAGGAATCCCGCCGGATGTATGTGGCCTCTGTGCTGGTAGGGGTGGTCCGCGAGGCTGGCCTGATGGAATCTGAGTATCGTGCTGCAGGATGTTATCAACGGTCATGAACCGCATCGGCGTCCGGCCAGGGGTACCAGACGACGTGCCAGGACGCCTCGGTGACCTTCGCTGGTCCGCCCTCTCTCTCGCATCAGTGACCTAATTCATCCATAGTCAGTACATCCCAGTTTGCCTATCAATTAAGCTTCGGGGTTTGGGGCTGGGAGTCGTACCAGCACGGATGGCCTCTGTTTCGCCGACATGATGGGCACAGGCGTGGCGCAGACAGGCACAAGGCGACGATGTCGGCTACTGGAAGAGGTGTGCAACGATGCCAGAAACCGCTTCCGTGCGTGCAGGAGGCGATGTGGAGGCGCCGATTCGATCACACTGCAGAAGCGTGAAGTGCAGCAGCCGCGTCAAAAGTTTAAGAGAATGAAGAGGTTGTCGCCAGCTCCAGCTGTGACCTCATACGGCCCCACCACTGTTTTTTGTGTGCTCGAATTTTTACTGCTACCCTAGAGTAACATGGAAAATTCACTTTTTCGCTGGTTTTGTCTACACAGGATTAAGAGAATTATAATGGCGGATATTCCTATAGAGCAGGTATCAACTATTTTTTTTTTTTTTTTTTTTTTTTTTTTGTGTGTCCTGGTCTTTTTGTCTTCTACCTCTGGTCTTTCTCTCTCACCCTACCACAGTACTCTTGGACAGCAAGCCTTTCTTCCATTATATGTGAACAGAAAAGCCGCCTCTAATTGCGGCCCCTAAAAAAAATCGGAGTCTACTTAGCGCGCCGACCACTACTCCATACCTTACAGAATCAGAATCCAGGCACTGGCCGACTTACACCTAGTCGGTAATATATTGGCCAATGGCACATGAAACACACTGTAAGTTTTTACCAAACCACATGTCGCTAATTTTAGAGGTACAATTTTGTGTTTTAGCTTAAATTTGCACGGTGGGCGAAATGCAGCATCCTGCTGAGCTTTCTCCATAGCGCTATTATTGCCAATTCAACCGTATGACGTCGTTCTGGATGTGCTCCACCCATGGATAAAATATCTGTACGTTGTACTCCGTATGGAATCATGAATTATGCTTATGAAAAGTTAATTCACAGTCGAGAGATTGATTATTAGTAGGCACTGCGCGTAATATTGCTCGAGGTCCATCATGGAAATCCTCCGTGTTCGTCGCGATTCCGGCTTACCATTTCATACCCTGCTCAAAATTCAGGAGCACTAACAAACTCTTCTCCAGCACCCCCCTTTATGCCAATATCAAAACAAACAAAGCGCCTCGGCTTTGCTCTTGGCATAGCGCCGCGTATAGACCCTGCTCCATAGTTTTAGATAGATTTACATCGTGATTTTCCTGCAGAAGCATGCAAGCAAATATGACAGACAGCGCCTCTCAGAGCAGCGCTGGATCGTCAAGTAAGTGGAGAATCTAGCACGCTGCAGCCAATAGCATGGCATAGATCGCATCGTTGCTAGGCGGTTGTCCCGGCTGTTTGTTTACATCTATTCGCTGCCCAACGGCAATGCAGCTCTAATGCACACAGACCCCGCGCTGCGGTAATCCCCTGCTCTGCCGCCCTCTAGCAGGTGACTAAATATTGCCAAGCAGAAAAATAAAGAAAAGAAAACATCCATCTGTGACGGCATTCGCAGCCCTTGACAACCTGCTGAGCGGCTTTTGGGTGGTCTCCTTTTGTTGATTGCACAACCTGCACTTACTTGTAGCTCGACATTATTAGGCTCTCCCGCCCTACGCGCATGTCTTAGAGATCTCTTGTTTCCCTGCGTCGCGCCGCTGGTCGCTGCTCGTATTCCCTTTTTTTTACACCTCTAGTCGTTCCACTGCCGTCACAGGAAGGATGACTTGATAGAGCTTCAGAAGAATCCCCCCCAATACCCGCGCCGGATCATACATCATATAGACGTTTATATCAAACACAGCCCATTCTGGGCGAGACACTAACACTCCTCCAGCAGCATGTCGTCCTATCGAAATAGCCCTCGGCGACAATCTCATGCCATCGATCTGTCCGCGGCCTCCTCCAGCATCAATCGCAACAACTCGACAACCTCGTCGGCCTCTTCTGGCTACTCATACTCCTCTGAAAACAGTGCTCACAGCCAGTCTACATCTGCAAGTAGCATTTACGGATCTCATACTGGCCATAAGCGCGGCCAGAGCGATGTCATAGCCCGAGCACGATTCTTCGAGACGGGGGAGGTGAGCGGCTCCAGTTCGAGCAAAGGTCAAGACAACCCCTATGGCTCAATCCGACAATCGCTTCGCCCTCTGCCGCAGGCTCCAGCTGCTTCTCCCACCAAAGGCCCAGCGACACCACCTCATCTTTCTAAGCCGCGCGAGAGAGGCCAGAGCATAGATATTGGCCGGTTATCGCTGTCACAACCCGATGGATTCACCTCGTCCACAGTGACTCCGACTCCCTCACGGCCTTTGCCGCCACGACCGACATCGATGTTCATGCCTCGGGCCGAGCCTGCTATTCCAGAAGACGAGGTTGTGTCGCCGACGCAGCCCACAGTTCCGACTCACAGCGCTCACATAGCTAGGCCCGATCTTGAGCGGCTGGGCCGATCTTCAACAAGCCAGCTTCGAACGCTTTCTCAACTTGCCAAATCCAAAGACGCAGAGGACTTTAGCATCACTTCGCCTGCGCAGGAAGTAGCTGGTCTTCGCGGAAGGCGGAGGCTACAGCGCGCCGACAAGGCTGCTGGTGGCCGCGGCTCCAAGACAAACTATGGGTGGGAAGGCCGTAACTGGATGGACAAGCAACGCCAGTTCCTTGCGGCATATGAATACCTCTGCCACATAGGTGAAGCCAAAGAGTGGATCGAGGATGTCATCCAACAGACTCTTCCGCCCATTGTTGAGCTGGAAGAGGCATTGCGAGATGGCGTTACGCTGGCAGAAGTGGTGGAGTCTCTCAACCCCGACAGGCGATTTCGAATATTTAGAAACCCAAAGCTGCAATTTCGACATTCCGACAATATTGCCATCTTCTTCCGTTATCTGGACGAGGTGGAGCTGCCTGACCTTTTCCGTTTTGAGCTTATAGACCTCTACGAAAAGAAAAACATCCCCAAAGTCATTTACTGTATTCACGCCCTGAGTTGGCTTCTCTTTCGAAAAGGAATTGTTGATTTCCGTATCGGTAACCTTATCGGGCAACTGGAGTTCGAACATCATGAACTGGAGGCGATGCAGAAGGGATTGGACATGCTTGGGACTAATATGCCCAGCTTCGGCAATATGGGGGCTGATTTTGGAATCCCCGAACCAGAACCAGAGGAGACAGAAGAGGAGAGGATCGACCGCGAACTGGCAGAAAACGAAGATGTAATAATCGACTTCCAGGCTCAGCTTCGCGGTGCATTGCTCCGGTTGAAACTTGGCGAAATGATGCAAGGATTTTGGGACGAAGAGGAGTGGCTGATTGACTTACAAGCAAGAATTCGTGGCGGCTTCACCCGTGAAATCATGAATTACCGACTACAAATGAGGCAATCCGCTATCCTCGTCCAGAGCCTGGTCCGCGGATTCCTTGTTCGAAGGAAGCTTAAGAAGAGTGACCAAGATAGGAAAGCCGCAGAACCTGCTATCTTAGCCTTCCAGAGCATGCTTCGAGCACAGAAAGTTCGTCACGAGATGCAGGGCCTCAAGTCTACCATGGCCAAGTGCGATGCTCCTATTAGGGCCATTCAAGCTATGTCCAAGGGCTTTCTGCTGCGCAAATCTCAGAATATGCAGCAGCAAGAGACGGCAAAGGCTACGACGGAAGTGCAAAATCTCCAGGCGCTCGCTCGAGGCATGCTGAAGCGTCACCAGATCAGTAAAGACGTACGCCAGCTAGAGAAACACACACGAGGGGTTGCCAGCCTCCAAGCTGCCGTTCGGGCAACATTAGTACGAGCAAGAATCGAGAGGCAGCAACAGGAGCTTGAGTCGTTTACCGATGTATTTACATCGCTACAAGCCGCCGCTCGAGCGGCATTCGTTCGGGCCAGAGTTGAACAGCAACAGCAGGATCTTCACGCTTTGAGTGATGTATGGACGTCGCTACAAAGCGCGATTCGTGGCCGCGCTGCCCGAGATCAGCAAGAGGTTCTTAAGGCTGAACTGGCGGAGCATGTGCCCATGATTGGTGAGCTCCAAGCGGCGATGCGCGCGGCCGCTGTGAGGCGAGACATTACGACTCGTCTCGACGGCTTGAAGGAAAATGAAGCTGAGATTATCGAACTCCAAGCGCTTATAAGAGCCATGTTTGAGAGGCGTAGAATCCTTGCCATTCAGCAGCACCTCGAACAGGAGGAACCGGCAATTACAACACTTCAATCGCACATCCGAGGTTGTCTGTACCGAGGGTACCACGCTGATGTGTTGGATGAACTGGCATCTCACGATGCAGAGACAGCCGAATTCCAAGCTATCCTCAAGGCCATGATGGAGCGTGCAAGAATAGACGACCTGCTTACTGAGCTCCTCGAAGAAGAGGACTCCATTGTCATATGCCAAGCAGCTGCCAAAGCTTTCCTGATTAGAGCCCGGTTCGAGGAGAAGATGCGGTACTATGAGGAAAATATGAAAAAGGTCATCAAGATTCAGAGTTTTATGCGTGCCAAGGTGCAAGGCGAGGCGTACAAGAGCCTCACCACGGGCAAAAACCCACCGGTCAGCGCCGTCAAGAACTTTGTGCATTTGCTGAACGATAGTGATTTTGACTTCAACGAAGAAGTCGAGTTTGAGCGGATGCGAAAAACTGTAGTCCAGTCTGTGCGACAGAACGAGATGTTGGAACAGTACATTGATCAACTGGATATCAAGATTGCTCTGCTGGTCAAAAACAAGATCACGCTTGATGAAGTCGTGCGCCACCAGCACACCTTTGGTGGCCACTCCATGGGTCTGTTAGCCAACTCTACGATTGCATCGGCAAATCAATTTGACCTTAAAGCTCTCAATAAAAGCTCCAGAAAGAAGCTGGACTCGTACCAGCAACTGTTCTTCAGCCTACAGACGCAGCCCCAGTACCTTGCCCGACTATTCAAACATATCCGTGTGCAAGGGACGGCCGAAAAGGAAACCAGACGCATTGAGCTTCTTATGATGAGTCTCTTTGGTTATGCTCAGAAACGACGAGAAGAATACTACCTTTTGAAGCTGATAGCTCGAGCAATAAGAGAGGAGGTTGAAAGTGCATCAAGTGCTATGGAGTACTCTCGGGGTCACTATTTCTGGACCAAGCTGCTCACCAACTATACACGGTCTCCGCGGGATCGCAAGTACCTCCGATCTCTCCTGGGCCCCTTGATCCGCGACAATATTATCGATGACCCGGCCCTTGATCTGGAAAGTGACCCGATGCAAATATACAGATCGGCAATCAACAACGAGGAGCTTCGAACCGGACGGCCAGATCATCGACCACTAGATGTGCCACGTGAAGTTGCTATCCGCGATCCCGAGACACGCCGTCTCTTCATTGATCACTTGCGAGATTTGCGAGAGATTTGTGACCAACTGTTCCTGGCCTTGGAAGAACAAGTGCATAAGATGCCTTATGGCCTCCGTTTCGTCTGTAGCGAGATGTTCCAAGCATTGTGCCAGCACTTCACCAATGAGCCGCAAGAGAATCTTTTACAAATGGTGTCTCATTGGTTGTGGAAATTTTACCTCCAACCCGCCGTCACCTCACCTGAAAACTTTGGCGTTATTGACAAGTCGCTCAGCCCTCTTCAGAAGCGGAATCTAGGCGAAGTGGCCAAAGTGGTAGGGCAAATTGCACTTGGTCGGCCATTTGGTGGCGAGAATATCTACCTGCAGCCCCTGAATGCTTTCATTGGTGAATCCATCGAACGGCTGCATCAGATTGCCAGCGATCTCATCACAGTGCCTGACCCAGAGAGGACATTTGATATTGACGAGTTCAACGACTTGTACGCGAAAAACAAGCCTACCTTGTACGTCAAGATGTCGGACGTCTTTGCCATTCATAATCTTGTAGCTGCGGAGCTCTTGGTCATGTCTCCCACTCGGGATGACGTCCTGCGCGAAATCATGCAAGATCTGGGTAGCGCCAAGAGCAACGAAAATGAAATGAGTGCGGCAGGATCAGCAGATATCCAAATGTTCCTGACCCCCAGGGTCCACGACCTTGAAGATCCCGAGGCAGACATCAAAGCTTTGTTTATGGAAACGAAGCGATGTGTTTTGTACATTATTCGAGTGCAAACCGGTGCCAACTTATTGGAAATCCTTGTGAAGCCAATCACTCCTGAAGATGAGGACAAGTGGGAGGCGCTGCTCCGAGAAGAGTTTCCTCAAAACAGCACCTCACGCGGTGCTTATTCAGACGCTAAGATGGCTGATATCACCACCATGTCCTACTACGACCTAAAGCGAACGGCATTGGAGAACATAATGCATTTGGAGCAGATGGGAAGGATCTCAAAGCAGAACCAGTACCAAGACGTACTTAACGCCATTGCTAGTGATATCCGAACCCAAAGCCGTAGACGAGTTCAGAGACAACGAGAACTAGATGGCGTGCGTCTAACCCTTGGTAACTTGAACGACAAGGCGAAGTATTTAGAACAGCAGCGTAAAAGCTACGACGACTATATTGAGCAAGCCATGAAGACACTTCAGAACAAGAAAGGGTGCGTATTATAGATTGCATTTGTTGGAAGCAGTGTAAGCTAACGAAGAAAATAGACGAAAGCGATTCCTTATGCCCTTTACGAAGCAGTACAATCACCAGCGAGAGCTCGAACGCAGTGGCCGGGTGCCAAAATTCGGAAGCTACAAGTATAGTGCACGCGCCTTGTCAGAAAAAGGTGTTTTAGTCGCGTGGACTGGAACCGCGGACCGAGAATGGGACAAGATCGACGTGACCATTTCATGCGATCAGGTTGGCGTATTTTCGATTGAAGGCACGCGAAGCCATATCCAGATTCCCGGAGCAATTGCGCAGGTGCCGATTGAAGACATGCTCCAAGCACAGTTTGAGGCGCACCAATTCATGACACTGTTTGAGGGCACTCTCAAACTCAACGTGAACTTACTGCTGCATCTCATCTACAGGAAATTCTATCGGACACAGTGATGTGGCGCTGCCCAAAGATGAGAACGAATCGGGGCAGGAAGAAGCGGTTGATTTCGCTGATGGTGTGTTTTGCATTCAAGGAATAATCCGGAGCGAGGCGAATTGAATATGTATGGTGTTTGATGGAGTTGGGATAATGCATTTTTGAATGGTCTGTTGAAGTGATGACGATTCCAGGGAATATACACTTGATCGAATATGCGCACACAGCTTATGGGATATGGGATATGGGAAATGAGGAGGAGTGGAAGGGAGGTCAGGTAGAAGTCAAATTGTGAGAAATGACGAGCAGGCGGGCTGGACGGGCGCGAAGATATTATACTCACCATGACCATAATCACCGTCATCATAGTCATCAGTTACATATAGTAGATTCTGTGTTGTAGGATACTTTTTTCTTCTGTATTTTACTTTTCTCTGATGGCACGGCTTTTGGAGATGGTGGAGGGATTGAGGGAGTGGCTCGTTGGGGCTGAATATATAAAAAAGATTAAGAATTCATGCACTTATTTCATCGCGCGTAAGTATGGTTAAGGTGTAAGTGAGTTGACTCCTGATACTAGACTACGTAGTAGCTGAATCCTCGTGTTAGGTAGACTGTCTTGCAGATCACCTGCTGCTGCCGTCAGAGCAGAGCAGACCGATGATCGCTGTTGCTATGTATAAGATCCGATACTAGCGAGATAGGTTCATGATTCAAGTGGCTACAGCAGATCTACACTCTCCGACTATGCCGTGCTGAAGCCCCAGTTGGCGGTGAGTTTGATATCTCGACTCTACGTGACCATGCTCGGTCCCATCACTGATATTCTGGCTGCTGCTCGACGATCTCCTCATGCCTCTCCTTACTGGCATACGTAGTCGTTCGTCATATGATTACTCCTGACCAGGCGCCTCTTGGCTGTCACGGCGATCAACGACGCTAGTTACTGTACGCGTCCAGGAGGGGGACATTTCGATCTCCCGGATTCAGGGTCCTCCAAGACGGAGCAGCAGAGAGTTTGTCAGCCGCATCTTGCATTGCCACTGCTGCCGATAGTAGTGCTGTAGGAATCATACATGCACTAACGGGCATTGGCGTATCTTCCCCACATGCAGCAAAGCCATTAGCCCATACAGTCCCTCCCCGTTGACGCATATACAGTGCTGCTCTGGCTCTAAGCAGCGGCTCGCACGCCTGCGGTGGTCTGGATCACGCAATCGGAGTGGACGCTGGAGAAGGCGAGAGAAGAAAAGAAGGGGATCTGGCCGTGGGGAAGCCGGCGATTGACCAACCACAGCATGGCCGATGCCGAATCGAGTAGTTCGGGGGGGAAATTGGAGCAGGGTCTTCCCACGAAAACGGGCATTTTTGTCGTTGCCTGACGTGTGGGCGCTTGCGCAGGGGGTTAGAGGCGATTTGCTGCTATCTGCTAATCTAGCAGCGGTTGGTCGTGATAGCGCAGGCTGCTTTGGGCGTTATCACGGTCCATGTGACCAGAATTTGCGTTGGAATAAGCGTTGGGCTGGATCTAGTATCGGGTCGTCGCTTATTGTAGGAAGCCGCACAAACCCCCCCAATTCACAAAGATAAATAAAAAAAAACAAGTGAAGAGACGGCGGGAATGAAGGATTCTGGCAGCAAGGGTGACCCGAGGCGAGAGTTACACGGGGGATTCTTTTGCCATGATTCGAGCTTCTTGCGTCAGATGCGCTGCCACCGCACTAGACGGCAGGCTGGCATGCAGAGAAGTCTATTGTCCATTCAGCTGTTAGATTAGCCGGGGTTGAACGGACGGACGAGTTGTGTCTGACACATGCTTGGAGTGGCTAACACGAGACACGCACCACGTACGGGTCGGGCGGGTGTATTTTTTTTTTTTTTTTCCTTTTTTTTTTTTTTTTTTTTTTAAACAGCATTGTTTTGCGTGTACTGTTTCTATAAAAGGACATGTCACAACCTGGATAGTAATAGTAACATGAAAAGCTAACTTTTACGGCTAGCATTTGATTAGTTAATTTGGGGAATTGTTATTCAATGGCCCAGCCGTAGCAAAAGTTATGAATTTACAACCTGCCTTTTTATTTTTTTTTTTTTTTTCCTTTTTTTTTTTGTTTCTCTTTCTAGATGCTACCAAATTTATGCACCAAAGTGAGGATGCATACAGTGCGTAGAACGGATCTCGTGGGCGTCTCGACGAGCAACGCCGCAATTTAGCTCGTGTCAGTAGTATTAGTTTCTCTTGCCAGGCTTGAGAGGAACCACCTTGTTTATCGCATATTTCTGTTTCCTTGTTAATCAAGTCTTGCGTGCTCGCGTGCCCGTCCAATGACCATGCCATTTTAATGCAACTCGGAAGTCGGACGCCCTTATTCTCTTGTTCTCCACATGGAAAGTGGTTGGGGGGCCGAGAGAGTCGGTGTCACAGAAGCTATATAATGGGCTGGATGCAGGCGCACACGCATTCCGCTGGAACAGCCCCCCTTTCCCTCTCTCTTGTGCAAAACTGAAGAAATAAGTAGTTGCTGCTGCACTGTATGCTTAAGTCGTCTTATTGAACCGTCCTTTGTTGAATTGTCTTTGTAGACACACTGTCATCTTGTCTCATCTGTTGCCATCCTCTTCTCGCTCTCTCGCGCCGCCATCGTGACCTCTCACCGTCTCGTCTCTCTGTAAGGTCACTGGGACAAGACAAAAAAAAAAAAAAACACGTTTAACACCATCTTTCAAGGCTATTGAACAACAACATACAACTCAGGCATTGTCAATCCACGCTTTACGGGTCTCTTCTCTTGCCCGCCATGGCGCCCGATCTCAACACCCTCCCGCGCTCTGAAGCGCCTCCTCCTGCCCCCAGCCCTGAGCAGCAAAAGCCAAACATTTTATATATCATGGCGGACCAGCTGGCAGCTCCTCAGCTCAAAATGTACAACCCAGACTCCCAGATCAAGACGCCCAACCTGGACCGTCTGGCGGCTTCAGCCGTCCAGTTCGACTCAGCCTACTGCCCTTCGCCTCTCTGCGCGCCCTCGAGAATGAGCATGATCTCTGGCCTTCTGCCCATGAAGATTGGCGCATACGACAATGCTTCTCAGATCAACTCAGAGGTTCCCACGTATGCTCACTATCTGCGTTCCAAGGGCTATCACACGGCGCTGGCCGGCAAGATGCACTTTGTGGGCGACCAGCTTCACGGCTATGAGCAGCGTCTCACCAGCGACATCTACCCTGGTGACTTTGGTTGGGTCGTGAACTGGGATGAGCCCGATACTCGGCTCGAGTGGTACCACAACGCCAGCTCGATTCTCCAAGCCGGGCCGTGCGGACGCAGCAACCAGTTGGATTATGACGAGGAAGTCATGTACCGAAGCACTCAGTATCTCTGGGACCACGTCCGTGAGGGAGCAGACAAGCGCCCCTTTGCCTTGACCGTCTCCCTCACTCACCCCCACGACCCGTATACCATTACCAAGAAGTACTGGAACCTGTACGAGGACGTGGACATTGCCCTGCCCAAGGTGCGCATCTCCAAGGAGAAGCTGGATACCCACAGCCAACGCCTGCTGAAAGTCTGTGACCTGTGGGATCTTGATTTCACCGACGAGCAGATCAAGAGGGCAAAGAGAGCTTACTACGGCTCGGTGAGCTATGTGGACGACTGCATTGGCAAGCTTCTCGAGACGCTTGAAGATGCCGGTCTGATGGACAACACCATTGTCATCTTTAGCGGTGACCACGGCGACATGTTGGGTGAGCGTGGTCTCTGGTACAAGATGAGCTACTTTGAGTCATCCGTCCGTGTTCCCATGTTGGTCCACTATCCCAAGTGGTTTACCCCTCACCGCGTTACCCAGAACGTCTCGACCCTGGATCTGCTGCCAACTATTTGCGACATCATTGGCACCAAGCCCGCGCCATACCTACCCATGGACGGCGTCAGCATGATGCCGCACCTCTTGGGCCAAGAGGGAGGCGACACGGTCTTCGCCGAGTACACGGGCGAGGGCACCGTCCGCCCCATGATGATGATTCGACGAGGAGCTTGGAAGTACATCACCTGCCCGGCAGACGAGCCGCAGCTGTTCAATCTTGAGAAGGACCCTCTGGAGCTGGACAACCTGGCCCGGTTCGCTTCCAAGATTGAGCCGCAGACGGAGGACGAGAAGGAGGCCAGAGCTGTGTTCTTGAGCTTCGATGCCGAGGCCAAGGCCAAGTGGGACTTTGATGCCATTACTGAGAAGGTGTTGACGTCTCAGCGCAGCAGACGGCTGGTGTGGGATGCGTTGAAGAGGGGCACTTTTACGAGCTGGGATCATAACCCGAGCGATGATGGCCGAGAGAAGTGAGTGTTTCTTCTTGATGATGACAGATTTAGAGTACTTTTGCTGACAATGTGTGATTTTTATAGGTATATCCGATCTCACATGGCGCTGGATGACTTGGAGCGACGTGCGAGATATCCCTTTGTGGACTCGCAGGGCTATGAGATTTCGCCAACCGTTGACTCGACTCGAGGCTAAAGCCACCACTCCCCTTTTTCGCCTTTTTTTTTTTTTTTTCAAAAGGCTTAGCAGATGATGTTTTTCATGAGCTTTTAATTTTGTGTTTGATGCTGCGTGGCATGAAGGGAAATTGGAATAGACTGGATCTGATATCTGATTTGACTTTGTTGATTTGGTTATGGGCGATTGATTGTATGATTTGGCGGGGCATAGCGAGGGAGTACCTATTCTCTAGTTTGATAGGCGTGTTATTTGGGTATAACCAAAAAGTTGACATGAAAATGAATAAATTACAGAATGACTTAATGTTGCCAGTGTTGATGTATATATGATGGGAAATGTTCAGCATCCTAGTTTAATCATCTAGCACCTCGGCTGTAGCTAAAGTTGTGAATTACAATGACATGTATTCTAATGTTTTTCCACCTCCACTGCCTCCACTGCCTCTCTTATTTCCAAGCATTATTTAGTTCTTAAGTATATGCATGAGTGAACCGACCTTGTCATCAATTACGCCTGGGGTGCTGGATAACAAAACTGGGGCGTTGAATAGCACTTCCCCATACGATGCCACCCTCTTGAATACAAGAACCCCACTTCTAGTTGCTACCAAAGGTGCTGTTAGCGCCCGCTCCACTGAAGGCTGCAATTGAACAAAATCGAGCTCGACGTCACTCGACAATGTTAATTTAAACTTCATACTACTACTCTTTTCTGCTTTCTCTTCCGACGCCCAATTCTCCCCCGACTAGAGCTCTTACTTTTTCTAGAACCTCGAGCCTCGAACCCTAACAGCGGAGCACAAAAGGAAAAAGAAAGAATCGGTGCAAGCGGCGCGCTCAAAAGATGGCGACGCTGGGGCTCGACGACGACGAGCTCAAGGCGGTTGAGCAGACGCTGGCTCGGTTGGCGCAGCTCTCAAGCAGCATACAGAGTCTGAAGATGGACATTCTGAAGAGCAATCCGCTTCCACATCCGTATGTTTCGCCCTCACTCTATAAAGTGCCTTCGGGCTTCTCTAATGACCTTTTTTACGTGCAGCTCCTCATTACAAGCCTCCGCCCAGATCCTCCAGCGCAATCTACAAACAGTACTAGACAACCTCAGCGAGAACTCGGAGCTCTTTTCACGAATTGCCGTGCATCCCTCGACAAATTATCCCGGGCGGACGCAAGAGATCGTTTTGACGCAGCTGCTGCGCAAGAAGCTGGAACCAGATGTGGAGGAGCTTGTTGAGCAAGGTCGAGAAACTGCACGCCTAGCTACCCCCGAGGGCATCGCTGAACTACAAGGCATATGGGACGAATTGCGCGAATGGACACACGAAAGGATTGCCAACTACGTGAGGGAAGAGGCCGGAGACGTCTACACAAAAGAAGAGAGGGAGATGGGCATCGAGAATGTCCGCACAGGCCTGAAAAAGGGCCTGGATGAGGAAAGCGATGAAGAGGAGGATGAGGACGAGGATGAAGATGACGAAAGTGAAGATACGATGGACGGGGTCGCAAAATCAGCGGCGGTGGCGAGAGGTCCAGAGCCAGAGACGCTCCTGTGGTTTGCGTCGCGGGGAGATTTTGATGTGCCGCGGAACGTCGAATACGAGCGGAAAACTGGAGTCAAGAGAGGATATGAAGGAGTAAATATACCACCAGGCTCTGGGTCATCCTAGCAGGACGATGATTGGTCTTTTTTTCTTCGAATAATGGATGGAGCTGAGGATGATGCTGAGAGCGGCGAGAATACCCCCTTCAAACTTTAGAATCAACGGATGAGCCGATAGAAATGGATCAGCGACGACAAGTCGAATCAAAACAACCGCCTATGGGCTGAGACTTGCGGCAGTGTCTTGCTATGATGAAGCCGCATGTTGTCTGTGAATTTCTGCACTGATACTGTCAAGCCTGAAAGCTGAAATCGATTATTGCTACCGTGCTGCGTATCATATGATATCCAAGCTTAGTGTCGCGCATAACGCGACTCAGCTGCTGTAAGCAATAGTCTTGGCAAGCTAAATTGAGCAGCATTAGAGCCCAGCGGTGAGCTTGCCCAATGGAGCTGCAATTTAGCCAATTGGATGGCAGCGATACCGTGATAGACTCACCGAAGGAAGGATGATGCATACTCTTCATTTATGTTATTACGACTAGTCGACAGTTGCGCGCGTTGCGATGCGATTTAAGGAATGGAACAGCGCATTCAATCCACGGGCGGCAACGCGGGGCTCTGAGACATTGGGCCTCCATCTCGGGCAGAAAATGAGAGGCTGTGAGCTAATAGTCGCGTGCCGTTCCCCAAGGCGTCTAAGGCGTCTGGATCGAATTCTATCGGGGAGGGAGCTTCGAGTCGCGCCTGGACATCAGCCACGATCACTGGCTCGGCAGATCTCTTAGTATGTAAGAGTGACGTTTCCCCGCAGCGCGATCCAACAGCTGGATCGATACCCGACTTGTGCTTCGTCTTGGGCTTCCCCTCCATTCCGAGATCTGCTGGGACGAAGGATTGATCGCTGTCGAGGATTCTCCTCTTTTTCATCCCATTGCATCCATTCTGTCCATATTTTTCGACGCTTGAGTGACCCGTTATGAGCTTGCATAAACTTTCTAACCGGATTACGTCCTGCTATTGTCACAAAATAGGCCCTCTAGTAAGCCGCCACAGCTTGTTGAGCCAGTGGGTTTTTGTGAGAAGATGGCGTATAAGACGGCGTATCTGACACAGGTCTAGTGCTCACAATGATTCCGTGCTGTTTAACACACATTTGTATGTTGCTTTCCCCCATCGCTTTTGTTTTTGCTCCGAGATGAATACATGTGATGTGGAAAAGTAGGAGTTTCCCTACAGTTATAAAGCTTTCTGTCTTCTGTGGTGAAAAATCAAGAGGTCTTCTTAGTCTTGATGCCAACTTCTCCTTTCCTCTCACCCCCATTACTACAAATCTACTTCAATTTGATTTGATATTTCTAATTTTCCATATTATTCTTCACTTCACAAAATGGATTTGGACATTCGAGATACTCACGCATTACACCTAGCCATGGCAGGGGCCGAATATGAGTACTGCCCATTCATGTTTTGGTACCCGCCTGCGGTGTGCTACTACAAGCATTGGGGGCCCAAGGCAGACGAGGACAGCACTAATGGTGATACATCAGCAGACGGCAATGACATTGCGGAAAATGTCGCCGACAGCAGCAGTAGCAGCAGCAAGGCTTTGGCAGCGGCAATGGCTTCGCCGCTGCTCTCTCTGCCGCCAGAGGTGCGGTTGAGGATCTACTACTGGGCGTATATGATGAGTCCCATCCAGCCCAAGGAGCTGGCGGCGGGGTATCCCATTCCCATGCTGTGCCGCTACATCTTGCACCCGCTGGACCCGAATCTCGAGAGGCAGGTTGAGCAGGAGATTGAGAACGAGAGGGTGATTGTGGACTTTGCAAAGGCGGATCCGGAGCTGGTAGATGGGAAAGGAGCAGACGGCGCTCATGAAGAGGAACAAACGCCGGCGGTGCGGGAACAGAATGAGCTGCAGAGGGCCGTTGCTACCGAGAGGATGGTCAAGGAGAGGATTAAAGAGAAGATGAGGGAGCTGAATAGGAGGATGACGGGGCTACTCAGTTCAGATAGGCCACTCGCGGGGATACCAACGGGTCTACTATGCGCCTGTCGCCAGATATACTTTGAGGCTCGAACGTTACCTTTTGAACAGAACGAGTTTGTCTTCCTCAACTGGTTCTCATCGGGCCTCAACGCCGCTTCAGCAGTGACAAAGTCGCAGCGGCCATGGCAGCGTCTATCGATGCGATACGTGCGGATGGAAGTCATGGCCGAGGATCTCGCGAGGGTAGGGGCGCTGAAGAAGTGGGCGGATCTATGCGGCGGCGGCTCTGACGAGCGTCTGGCGTCGTGGACTCGCGGCCTGCGAGGCCTGCGGCTGAAGATTGTGGGGCAGGTCGGGCGGAAGCACACGGAGAATGCGCAGGAGGCGGAGGATAAGTTTGTGGATGCGCTGGAGGAAGAGGGCGGTGCGAGGAGGTGGGTTGAGGGGGGGAAATTGGCCGAGATGAAGAGCCTGGAGAGGTTGGAGGTTGAGATTATCAAGAATGCGTGGGGGACGGAGGAGAAGATGGCGTGGTGTGCGCAGGTGGAGGAGGCGTTGAGGGAGTTTGGATCGAGGGCTGAGGTTGTGAGCATGGCGAGGATTGTGTAAGCCGTGGTGGGTGGGTGGGTGAATATTACATGAATGAAATGATATGGCCTTGGCGTGATTGTGAGGAGTTGGGGTTCTGATTTTTGGATGGTTTCTATAATGACTTGATGGCGTTTATTGATATGACAATACTATTACGATTAACTATCTTTTATGTAGTACCTTGGTGTGCTTACACGAGAGGATGAGGTTAAATAAATCGATCTTTTATATTGCAGCTGTCTAGGGCATGAACATTCGATACATGGATTGTAGTCAACTTGCAGTCGAATAACGTCGAATTAAAGATGTTTCCTCCAAAATCCTCAACCATTTCCATCTACAACTGTTCCTTAATGTCCTTGATGGAGTCTGCCATTCCCATCACCATATCTTTGATACTGCCCGAGACATGATTGTACCCCTCTCGGTCAGCTCTGACCTCTATGATGATTGTTTCAATGGTGGTGTTTGTTGCATCAAAAGCAGTCGTCATCACGTCGAGCTTAGACGTAAGGTCCCTGTGGCTCTCTTCAAGTGCCTCAAGGCGAGAATGCCTTCTCTGTACCCACTCCGCTCTCTCTGTCCAGAGGCACTGCAGACGATCCAAAGCAGCTTCATCGAACCTTTTGGAACTTTTCGGAGATGATTTAGGGGGTAATCGGTCTAGTATATCGCGTATATCGAGATTGATAGGTGGCGTTGTTCTAGGTGTAGTAACGCTGTATGGTGCAGTGGTGAATTTCTGCTGCTGGGTTGCTTCTTCTATAGAGGCCAAAGCACCGTTTTCTGTGTCCTTTGCTGCTTGATCCATTGGAGTAGCCCTGGGTGTCTGCTGAACAGTGGTTGGTGTATCCAATGTCTGCTTTGTCTTGATCCCCGGAGATGTTTTCTGGCGTTTTGCAGCGGGCAAAACGTCGTCTTTAGTACCGGCCTCATTACCATCAGCCTTGTCTTGAGTGCTAGGAAGACTAGGCACAGGAGTTGGTATGCTATTGCCAATGCTGACTTTCGGTTTCGGTATGCTCGGTTTAGAAATACTACCATCTATTTCTCTTGGGTAATAAGAGAAATCTTCAATGGCCGTCGTTCCGAATGCTTTCTCGATAGGGCTGACGTATTGAGGCGGTAAGTCGCCCTTGTAAAGAGCGTGCATGACGATGTACTCAGGCCACGATAGATGTTCTGGCGCAAAACCTTTTTCGCGGGCATAACGATAGAACATATGGCCTGTTGCCGATTTCATCGCGGTCCTAGTCCTAAAAAAGCGACCTTCTGTGATAATTTGTATGATTTCAAGCCGTTGGTCGTGGTTTAGTTGCGTTACCTGCTTGCGGTACATCCGAAGGCAGGCCAACGCATCTTCATAACTCGAGGAGCCTTTGATGAAAGGACTATATACCCAGATATTATGAGGTACGGTGATGTTTGCAATCGTCAAGTTGGGAGGCGCAGTGCCCAGTCCTATTGCCTGGACAGGCATATCTGCCGATATATGTTGCTGGGCGAAGAGATTGTTGAGGCGATCGCAGAAGAGGACAAAAAGAGAGCAAAAGCTAGAAAGACAAAATTTGCTATGTACAATATGAGAGAGAGTCATTAAGTTGATATAAGCATACATATGTTACCAAACTCTGATCAAGACGTGAATATAAGGTGATGCTTCGTGTTCATTGCCGTCGTAGCAGCCGTTGTGCGGGACAGCTTCCGCCACAAATTGCGCCCCAAACAATTTATCAAGAATCTCTATTAATCCTAGAGATTGTATGATAATCAATAATTACAGTGCTTCGAGCTTCAACAATATCTATCTCTTATACTGTGCCTTTTTTTTTTTTCCAGCGTCTTTTCCCCCCCTCAAGATAATTCAACCATCTGAGCCTCCGTCACCCCCTTTTCTTCTACAACATCTCGAGTAACTTCTACATCTACTACATACGTACCTATTCTATAATTGCAGGTATGCTAGCATCATGGATCTGCTCGCTATTAGTTGAGTCATATCTCGAGTCTGCTCCGTAGAACTAGAGGTGATTCTCCCGCACTCCCCGCCTTGGCATCAATCCGGACAATGGTTCTTTATTCCGACCCGAGAGAGAATTCTTCTACGTCTACCCCGGAACATGTGTTATTTCTTCAGACTTGAGCAAGTTCTACTGTAATCATAAGTAAGTTCATACTATTTAACGACAATACCTCCCCTTTTGACTTTTCTCTCTCTTCCTTTTAGTTCCTTTTTTTCTTACCTTCTCCAATTGCTCAATATCTCTCTTCTTTCTTCCCTCTTTCGTCCTTAGTTTCTCTTATGGGTTATTACACCGAGTTCAAAGATATACTGGAGTTTATAGAGCCTGTTGCGTCACGAGCCCGTAGGCGATATCATCCACATGCTTCGTATACAGTTGCTCTTCACGTTGTTTACGTTTAATCGTCATGTCCCTTTTACGTCACGACACAGCTTGCTTTGCCGTTCGCTGAAGAGCCCGAGTCTTTGCTTATTTCACCCGTGACCACGCGGTCCGTAATTGTCCCCTTGGGTGTATTATATACCGTATGTATGAGGCACGGAAAGGAGAAACGGACCGATTATCGGAGGATATTTTAAACGCTGCGGTCCCTAGTTGCGGTGAAATAAATGGACGTTTATTTCCTGGGCTAGATCTTTTCTCCTATACCATGGCTTGCCGTAAGTAACCGCTATTGAGAACATAGAGGCCGTATAAACATGTGTAGTGTGGGGAGAGAGAGGGCTGAATAATATGTATTATTAATCGTCAGCAGCAGTTAGATTGTGAAATCTCGAAAGCTGGAAAGGCAGTACGGCATGCGTCTTATGTACATGGCATATTATTTTATTGCAGATGCTGTATTGGTCGTGATGCCTCCCCACTTATACATGCTCTTCGAAGGGCGTAGTTCTTATGTAAGTGAGTTGTGCGCCGGATGAGTCACAGACTAGGAAAAATAGCCAAATGACGAGCAAAACAGAAAGAAAGGAGATACAATAAAGCCAGCCAAAAGAGAAAGGAAGAAAGCAATTAGTGTCTTTTGCTGGCGTTAAGCATACGGTATATACCTCCCGAGACAGCTGGCCGAAGGCATGGCTGCGGGCCCTGCTAATGGAGCGGCAAGGCTAATTTCGCATAGCTCGCATTCCGGATATGGAAGCAAAAGGCGATGGAGACAGCTAAAGGCGCTTGGCATCCGTGAATGACGCACCAACGAGCTGAAGACGAAGCGGCGGATGCGAAGACCGGCGGCTTGTCTGGCCAATTAAGCTTGTTTTGAAACGCGATTCGACGGATAACCAACCTGAAGTGACTCTTATTTCGGGGGTTTCTGGGGCCCTGGTTTCCAAGAAGCACATCGGCTGTGTAGCTGTCGGCTGCTGCCGACTAACGTCAAAAGAGAACCTTAAGCCTTGATGACCGCGTCTAATGATTTACATAGCCTACATGTACCTAAAGCTGGGCACATGCAAGCTGCTTTAGGCCTTCCGACGTCGCTTGACTCTCAATGAACTTTAACCTTTACATCTCTGAAAACAATTTTTTTTATAAATTGAGCAGGAAAAATTCGAAAAAATAATCTTTATAACATTCTGGGATTTTAATTTTTCTTTCCTTCTATCCCTGGCGATTCTTGTTTTCGACTTCACCTTGCTTCCGATCATCCCCGGTTGTCATTCAAAAGACTACTGTAATTACCAACGACGTCAACGACTCGTCGCAACGACAGCCCGAAAGCGAAAAGAAGAATAAGAAGAACAAGAAACATTACATTTGCCAACAAAATAATCTCGTCATGAACGCTCGGTGTCAATGCGGCGCCGTCTCGTTCAAGACGCCGCTGCCGGAGCCCCTCGCGCTGTATATATGCCATTGCTCCGAGTGCAAGAAACAGACGGGCTCCGCGTTTGGGACGTCAGCCATTTTCCCACGATTTAAGCTTCCCGAAACTGAGAACTTGAACTGCTATGCGTATGTCAATTGATACTCCTGGTTTCTTGAGTCTGAAGGAAATGGTCATTGTTTGGTTGAGACGTGAAACTGGAGTGGGCAAGATCAAAGTTCTGGTGCTAACGGGGAATCAACTCTAGGCGACCGACAGCGTCAGGGGAAACGCTCTACTGGTATAAGCCCGGCTTTACACACAAATGATTTTGCGAAATATTTAGCTGATGGTAATTTCTTATGCAGCTATTTCTGCCGCCTTTGCGGGACGCGACTCATTCACTTAGCACAGGTATGCCTTCTCGACACACACAAGCACTGCTCCTTTCCCAGCGTATTCTCCCTCTTCCCTATCTCTTACCAGTAGTGCGTCACGAGACTCAAAAACTAACTTCCATTCTCGAATCCTTTCCGTATCAAGTCCCAAAATGTTCTCTCTGTAAAGGGCGGCTGCATTGAGGGCCTAGATTGGTCCAAAGCCATCCACATCTGGACAAAAAGTGCCATGGTGCCTATTCCAGAGGGCTCAGAAGCATACTCGGAGCGATCGAGCAGTGCCGAATTTGGCCAGACCCAAGAGCTCTTGGATTAGCTCTGATACCACCATTTACTTTTTTACTTCTTTGTTTTCCCTTTTTCCTTTTTTTTTTCTTATTACTCAGCTAAAAGGATGAAAAGACCCTTCATATGAGATCAAGAGAATGTCGAATGCATGGATGCTGGGAATTGTGCTGGTGGCGGTGCTATATCTCCGCGGAAATTGTGCTGGTGGCGGTGCTATATCTCCGCGGAAATTGTCAATCTGGTTCATCCAGATATGAATGAGAGTCTTTATTTCTCTAGGATTTGACGCCTAACGTCTCATATCGGTATGGGATGTTGCAGCCTGAGACGGCCGTTAAGAGCATGTACGGGATGCGGGTGCATAGAATAAGCATATACACGATATATACCAGGAGTGAGTTTTTTTTTTTTGTTTTAAGCATCTTAATCATCATAATGGAGTACTACTATATCAATTGCTCTTCACCACTCTGTGGACTATCGTCTCGACTGCTTTCTACCGGTTCACCTCTACCCTCGCTCACCGTTCTCTCAGGCGGAGGCGCGCTAGAGTGCTTCTTCGGATCAAACACGTACATGGGAAACTCGAGAAACACGGTTCTCTTTAGAATCGTCGGCATCTTCTCATACAACTGCGGAGGAAATGGGATGAGGACACTGGTTCGATCCAGCCAGCGCTTGTAGCCTTGCCAATTATTGCCACTTTCATAGCGAGCCTTCGCCTTGGGTCGCTCTGAAAGGGATATTCCCGATACAAAAAGGAGTAAGAAGGTGAGAAAGAATGGGCCTAGAATAGTGGCATAGAGAGCTTTATAGGCCTGGCCGCGAACAAAGCCGTCAGCAGCCGATGAGACGGCGATCATGTATATGGCTAGACTAAGTCAGCTATTTGCCTTTTTTTCCCTTATTGGAGCCATTAGGAGACAAAATGGATCTTACCAAAATGAACAATAATTTCTCCAAAGTAGTTAGGGTGCCTCGATACGGCAAATAGACCTTTATCACAAACAGCTTGGCTGTCGTGCTTGCTCCGGAATCGGTACTTTTGTGCATCGCTAACGGTTTCCATCATCAATCCAATAGAGTACATCACAATACCTACAATGTCTCTCCCCGTTCCAAAACTATGCTGCGGGTAACGGGTCACAGCCGGCGAATTCAGCACCGTCACTGGCAATGAGACGGTCCAGACCCAGAGCATCTGAAGGATCCAGAAACCCAGGAAGGGGAAGAATTTTTGGCGCATTTCATCAAAGCGGTCATCTTTGCCTGTTTTCAGGATACGGAAGAAGAGGAAAGATGTAAGGCGGACGGCCCAGGCGATAAGAAAGAGGGTGACTACGAGCTGGCGGCTTTGATGATGGTGACTGAGTGAGATGGTTACGATGGCGAGGATGATGAAGTTGGAGCCCCCGGCGAAGTCTAGGTGGGATATTTGTGTCAATGATGAAAAGGCCATTGAGGCTTAATGAGAGAAAGAAGAAAAAGGGCTGACCGGTGAGTTTATCGAATTTGCAGGTGTAAGCGATGGCGAAGAAGGAGAGCTGGTATCCCACGGTGATGAGGGCAGTTATGGCGAGATAGTAGTCGTCTAGCACATGTAGAGCCGCCATTTCATTAAGAAAGATGCCTGATGGCTATTGTGAAACTATGAATTCAATCTCGAGATAACATGCATGATGCAGAAATACTATGCTATATATATAAGTAGGTAGGCAGCTTATGCATCTGCAGCAAAAATCAAGTCGTCATTGGCTTGGCTGTTTCTCGATGCGCGCGAGATGGACTGTCTTCTCAGCATCGAGAGAATGTAATTGGAAGCCGGTGGCTTGTCTCTAGCGCTGGTGCTACGAAAGCAGTACGTAGGTACTTGGACTTGTTGTATTCTTTTGTTCGGTGGTACCCCAAAAAATGCCCTTCAATTCTTAGAAGGTACGGAGTGCCCAGCTCTTGGCGTAACAACTCCAACTGGGAAGAATATAAAAATGAAAATCGGAAGTCGGCACTGGAAATATTCCTTTCCGGTATGCAGCTTCTTCTAACCAGAGTCTTCGTCACATTCGCATCTCCAATTTCTCATTCATTCTTCTTCACCATCCCCAGTTGTCGAAACAGTGTGACAATCTTGTTTTAGATTGCCTTGTCATGCATCATAGCGCCGTCCAGATTCGACAGTGGCCAAACAAGCAACAATACGTGCAAGCGCCCTTTCCAGATTCAACAATCTCGCCCCGATAAACTTCACTCAATTCACCCACCGACCCCAATCGCATCTTACATTTTCGTCATGCCAATAGTCAACCAAACATCGTGAAATCAGATCTGATAACTATTAGGCGCCGTCGCTGGCACATACCGACAACCCCACATCGCTTTGGCGCGTCTTTCCTCCATTCGGCTCTCGCCTCGCATGATGAACAAGGCTACTCACCCTTGGGATGCAATCTACATGAAATTAAAATCACCAGATGCCTCAAGCCGTGATCTACAACCATGTCGAGTTTGACCATTGAAAAAGTCGGAAAATACCCGGTACTAAGTTAAACGAGCGGCTCGCTATAATTTCCTGGTCCAGCCCCACTATCGCAAGACCCCGTCCCAGACAGGAGGTGTCTGAACCATGTCTCAGATCCTGGCCTGGACCGCATGGAGTAACGCGAATTGAGTCTAAATCACAACCGCTACGCCGCTATTGTTTGAGCTCCGTATTCGAATCTGGTCAAATGGGGTCTTGGCAATGCGTCAAACATTGTGATGAAGGGTCAAAACGGTCGAAGAAATGAAGGGAACCACGCCGTTTCTGGGAGAGCCCGGGGCTATCCTCTGACAGGCTCTTTCTTCCCTACATCTTTTCCTCTTCTCACGGGACCGGTTTTCTCGTGCGTTGTTCTCATCTTCATTTCTCTTCTCTTGTCGTTTTTGAACCATCGTCCGTTTGGTCGGTGGCGATTTCATTTTCACCCGCACTCTGGGATTTTACAGGCCTGGCGCCGCCTTTATTCAACCGTTGCCGTTCGCTCTTTAATTTTTGGTTCTCTCGCTTCGACTGCGATTAATACGGCATCGGTCATTGATTTATTTCGATATCCAGCTGGCTGACAAGTAATATCTTAATTCTTCATAGCCGAAACATTCTCGCACATTGAGATTGTGGAAACAGCTGCATTGTGATAGTCGTCGTTTGTGGTCTCTTTCAGTATCATTTTGTTCAGAAAATTTAGAAAAGGAAAAGGAAAAAAAAAAAAAAAAGGAAAAGGAAAAGAAGAAGCTACGCGTGCCTTCGTTGTATCTCGGCTCCGTAGAAAATCTTCACAATGAGATCTACGGTTCTTTACGCCCTGCTTGCCTCGACTGCAGTTCAGGTATGTTCTTATAGGTAGAAAACGAGAGCCTCGAATAGTTGAGTAACTGATGGTGTTTAGGGTGCTGCGTTGAATCGCGATAGAAATGGCAATCTGGTTCGCAGGGACAGCTTATTGGATCAGCTGGGCCAGCTTCTCGGTCTGCCTGGTTTGGGGAGTGGAGATAATTCGGTTGTGATCACTACAATCACAACCACCGTCATTCCCGGAGCTACTCAAGTGGTTGGAAACCCAGTCGCGACAATAATCTCAGTTCCGCCTCCGGCTCCTCCACCAGCCGCCCCGACGGTGAATCCTAATGGAGACGGAGTTGGCGTCACCACGATTCCAATCCCATCATCTCTGTTACCGACGACGACGTTTTCCATAGGTCAGTAGCATAAATGCTTGGTCAATGGCGATGACTTCCAGACCCCTGGTTCTAACATGTGAAGCAGCTCCTCCACCAGCGGCATCACAGCCTCCTCCACCAGCGCCGCCTCCTCCTCCGCCGGCTGTCAGCGCTCCTCCAGCAGTACCGCCTCCAGCATCTTCTGCTCCGCCGCCGCCGCCTCCCCCTCCGGCTGTCAGTGCTCCTCCAGCAGTACCGCCTCCAGCATCTTCTGCTCCTCCTCCTCCTCCTCCACCGCCGCCGCCGCCTCCTCCTCCAGCGGTAAACTCTACGGCACCTCCGCCTCCCCCTCCGGCAACATCGGCTGTGCCTCCTCCTCCGCCGCCTCCTCCGGCTTCTACTAGCATCGCAACCTCAAACCTGCCGCCTTCGCCGATTTTCAGCACGCTCCCTGTATCCTCCGCAGCATCAACATCTTCGGCTACTGTGACAACCTCTCAAAGCTCATCCTCTACCTCCGCAAGTGCATCATCCTCTGCGGCAGCTCCCGTTGAGGTTTCCACGTCTCTTATCAAGCCTCCTCCAGCCGCCACTACCAGCGTTTCCACAAGCGTTGCTTCAACGACATCATTGGCTACGACTTCAGCGCCTGCCTCCAGTGCTTCTGCTTCCAGTGCTTCAACTTCCAGCGCTTCAACTTCCAGCGCTTCAACGTCCAGCGTTTCAACTTCCAGTGCTCCTGCTACGACCGCACCTGCTGCAACTACAACTGCTCCTGCAAGTTCAGTTGCTCCCGCGAGCTCGGCCACCCCCGTCGATTCACCTACTTCGGTTGCTCCCGGAGCGCCAGCCAACACTCTCGTCCTCGGCAGCCTTGCTTCCAGTGCTCCACTGCCAGATGGAGAGCCAGCCCCCCTTCCTCTTCCCCCAGCAGCAACCGCGCCTGCTGTTTTCTCAGCTCCGGCGCCGGATCTTAAGGGCTATGAGCTGAGCAGTGTGCTGAATTTGGGCGCCTTGGTTGCCATTCCAGGGGCACCCACGCTCACAGCAGCGGCCGCCGCGGCTCCTTCTATCATCATTGAATCATGAGATTCGGGGAATGGGATAAAATAGACGTGTAGTGTAGTTTGGAGGAATAAGAGTTTTAATGGTTTGGGGAGATTTTGAGATACCATTTGTCAGTCACAGTTTGCTAAAGGCCATGTATGCTTGCGTGTGTTCGTATATATATCATTCATTTAGTCCTTTTGCCCTAACAAAGCAAAAGAGAGAAAAAAAGAAAAATCCAAGACATTATTTCTAGTCTATCTTAGGGGGTATCATGCTTTTGAAACCGTCATTGCTTCTTCCCACACGCCTCCATTATGCTGTATTTTTACAGACGCTCACAGCTACCAAGACCCAACACCTACACACCAATTATATATCCCATATCACTTTTTTTCCGAAGCTGCTGCTCTGGCTGCTAGTTTCATCTTCTTTGCCTCTCGCTTGCTGATAGGCTGTGCATCTTCTCCACCATTCTTCCGTTTCTGGTTCTTCCTCTTGCCAGGTTGGTCTGTCGCCGAGGACTGGTCATCCGTCTGGTCGCCTTCAACTGGATTCTTCTTAACCACCTGCACGATGTTGATGACTCCTCTGAAACCGTCCCTCTTCATGCCCTCGTTAACCACGACGCTCCGCGGTATTGTTCTCAGTCCCTCCATGGCTTTTTCGCTCTGAAGACCCCATACATTGAATAAGTTGACGACATCGGCGGGGGCTCTTAGACCAAAAGCGTTTTTAGCCTCGCTACTCAGTATTATGCCTCGCCCCCGGGTAGCTCTGATGAGGTTGGTCGCGTTGGAGATGAAGTTTGCGCGTCCTCTGGGGTCGGCGGCCAGGGCCTGGGAGTAGCATATCTCGAAGCGCACGCCCCTGGACACGGCGGCCATGCAGGGCTTGGGGCGAAAGTAGAAGGGGAAGTGCTGCGCCATGTCCAGCGAGATGATGGGTATGTCGAGGGTGAGGCAGGCATTCTGGAAGGCCTTTTCGGTGAGGGGCCGGATGGCGAGAAGGTCGTAGACGCCGACCAGGGACGGGAGGCGGTAGTTTGAGGCGGCTGGATCGGCGAGGGGGAGGGTCGCGCGGTGGAGGACGTGAGGCAGCTTGGAGTCGGGAGAGGAGGAGGAGGCCGGGAGAGATGGGAATGGCGTTGTGGGATTCGCGGGGAAGGGCAGCTCGAGGGTGTGGTTGAGGGCGACGGTGGCGTAGCCGAGAGAGGAGGCGGTTGTGAGCGTCTGGAGGAGGCGCTCGGTGGTTGTGGCCGGAGACCAGGCGATGTTGAGGTCGTAGAGCATGGTGTGGGAGGAGGGAGATGGTGATTTGGCTTGGTGTTTTGTGGTTGTTTTGTGGTTGTTTTGGCGTAGAATTTTTTTTTTTTTTGGCCTAGCTGGGCATTACGGAAGGGAGAGAGGTGAAACTAGTTGCTGTTCGTGATGGCTGAATTGTCTGTATTGCGGATGATGTAAGAACAAAGGTCAATGGACTCGACGATGAGGTTGCTGGGCTTTGCGACGGGCGCGAGCAAAGGTGAAGCTGTCATGGGTCGTTTTCAAGATAGAGCGATTAGAAGGGTGCAAGAAATTCTTAGCGCAGCTGCAGCCGTTGGTGGGGTCCAATGCTAAGGCTATAAGGCTGTGGCCCTTGGGTATCCAACCTGGTAGATCAGCCCCACGCCGAGCATATAAAACTTCCGGGTTACATTGATTGTCGTGGAACAGCCGTCACTCCTCTTTTTTCTTTTTCTTTAAAAAATTTTTTTAAAAAAAAAAATACCTAAATAAATATTGGCCAGAACGCTTGCCGGCCTGATCTAAGCTGCTATAGGTATCAAGGCCGAGAAACCCACAAGACATACTTGTACCTGCTTCTAATGCCCTGGCAAGTGGCAAGTGGATGCTACTGCGGCTCGTATTTACTAGCTTGTAAATGCACCGTATCCTTATAGTCCTTATAGTAACAGCTCGTAACCAGCCTATCTTCCAAGCAGATTCTCATAACAATCAACTGCCTTTTTAATGAGAAATCTCTTCATTCATTAAACTTGCTGTTACCAACCACCAGCCGGGAACAGCAAATATACAACTTTATTACTTCAACCTTAGCCTCCTTATAAGTCTTTGCAATGCTGGCAAATATTGTGCACCTATCATCACATCCGTGATCTTTCCGAGTTGATTCAAAGTACCACCGAGTACGGCAGGTCGATGGACCGGACGGCCGTTTCCCATTCAAAACTAGTATAGTACCGCAAGACAGTGGGTATCAGAGCTTGTGTTGTGCTCCAGTTAAGACCCCGGGAACCCGGATAACGGATCAAGCCGTGGTATGCAATACCCGAGGACGGGACTCTAAATAAGCTTACGGCCTCTTGATACTACTTGAGATGCATGCCGATATCTAGTTGCGGACATTATAGATATACACAGCCACCGCTGACTGCATCTCAGTAACTCCTAGGAGATAGTTTCACAAGGTGTGGAGCGGTGGCATTAGTGGTATTACGTTTTATCCGACTCAAAACACTACGGGATTTAACCTTTTATCTCTTAAAATAGAAAAAAAAGGATAAGCAGCGAGTCATAGATTTATAATATTTGGGATCTAATTATGCACACTAGCAACTTTTGCCGGCGAGACTAGACTATATTAACGGTAGACGCGGTACAGACGAGGTCGCTTACTTGTCATCAATGATCATTTAGGTGGTGTTTGTCTAGTTGTTAGTACTATTATATATTCTCACGAGGCGGGTTGCAACCACCCCTGCCAATTGCAATAGTCCTACAAGCAATATGAAATTCTCCACCAAACATATCCATTTGCGTATATTTCTCCGTACTCGCTAACACCGCAAACAGCATTATCTCAGGCGGTGAGAAGGGAAATGTATGGATCAAAGACTTCGGTTATTCTAAAGTCTTCTAAACCAACACTTTGGCTCGTTCTTAATTCTGAATCGAGGCTCTGTTTAAGCAACTTAAATCTTACACGCAAGGAGACTATAGGATGAAATGCAGAGACGCTTTCACTCAAAAAGAAGGTGCGTGATGTTTATGTCCTTTGGAGGAATAGTAAGTGTAAGGTAGAATTGTAAACATGAAGCCTCGGCATGAAGCATAATAGTGAGTCTTGATAATAGGAATAAAAATAAGCTTGTACGAAGCATGTTGATGCTTAATTATAAAAAGGCAACAAGATCTACAACCAGAGTTTCCCAAACAGTTCATCACTTCTACACACTACATTACAAGCAAAATCTCAAAACAGCCTCATACAACCAAACTCAAAATGAAGGTCGCTGCTCTTTTCGGTGCTGTCGCTGCCCTTGCTGGCCCTGCCGCTGCCTTCTGGGGCCAAATGGCTGCTGGTAGTCTCGAAGTCACCGGCGAGGGCCCTGCCTCTCAAACCATCACCTTGACCGACTACAACACCGGGTCCAAATACTCTGGCCAGCTGGTCGGCGGCTTTTCGAGCTCTGGAAAACCAGTCTTGTAAGTGAATGCGCTCATGAGGATGAAACGAAGAAGAAGAGATAAAAAAGGGGGGCCACAGCATAGATCTAGATGACTGACTTGAAGGGGGATTTTTTTTTTTTTTATAGCTTCAATGAGATTACTCCTGGAGGTTACTACTTCTCCGCCACTCTTTGGAGGACCAGCGATGGATGCCACAACATCGACTTTGAGGGCGCTTTGAGCGCGGGCCACGGATACTGCTGCGGCTCTCTTCCTTGTGATCTCGGCGCTTAAGAGTTAGGAAAAAGGCTGATGGGCATACGACGGACGGTTTTTGTTCATGGTACATATAATTTATAACAGTTAACATGTAGACTTTGGAAATCAAGACGTGTTACGTTTATAAAAAGTTGACACTCGGCATGTGAAAGAGCATATTGGCGTCTTATATCATCTTCCGAAGCTCTAGAAGAAGTTACCTTGGTGGGCAGACGAGACTCTTTGTTCAGTAATGGCAGCTCTACTTTCAACAGAAGGGCTGAGATAAAACTACATTACTGCAAAAGTATGCTTTAATATTACCTAGTAGGCATTCCAGCAACTGCTAATACCTCCTCCCTTTTTTTGTCTCTCTTAGACGCTATAAACTCCTCATCGCAGCCCAGTAATAGCGGCTGATTGGAGGTTCAAATGTACCGGCCTCGGTACTTGCAGCGCTAAATCCAGCTTAGCCCGGAACCAAACCGCCTCTCGCGGGGAAGGCAGCGTCAATCATCGTTCGCGCCTGCCCATCAATCACCCCGATCGGACAACCATCAGCCCGCCAAGGGAATAGCTTGGCGCATACGTAACGACCTTTCTTTTCCTCTCTCCTTCTCTCCGCTTTTATACATACACAGCCTCCTTTTTTTCAATATCATCTTCATCATCGCAACCTCTTTCTTATTTCAGCTCTCCCATCTTTGACCTCTTCTTAAGCATCGTACGGTTGTTGTTTTTTTCTCTCCCTTTGTGACTGCCCGCCATGGTCTTCTTCTTCTTTGTCTGCGGCCAACACACCTTTCGCTCCGAGGTCAAGGGCTATGAGGGCGTCATCTGCCAGTGCCACAACTGTGGCAACATGTCTGGTCGAGTCATCAAAAGCCGGCCCTTTTTCACTTTTTGCTTTGTTGTAAGTGGTTCCTTTTTCCTTCCTTGTACTCGCAATGTATGCAAAATGTCGTCTGGCCCGCGTCAATACGCGTGTAACCTAAAAAGCTCTAAATCAGCCTCAGTCATACGACTTTCGATAAATGACCGTGCAGCTAACAGTCCAACACAGCCCATCATCCCATTCACCATATCTGGCTTCGTGGAAGTTGTCTGCCACATTTGCAACTTTCATCAGCCACTGAAGAATCGTCCTGATGTTGTCTCCATGGCTGGCGGCGGCAATGCCGGACCTGGCCCGTTCCCCCCGCCGGCAAATCCAGGATGGGGCCAGCAGCAGCCCCAGGGCCAAGCTCCAGCAAGATACGGCTAAGTCACAGCACAAAAATCCAGCTGTTGATAGTCTCCAGGCTCTTCTACGTAGAAATCTCGCCAGCACGTGCAGATGCATCGTGGGGCGTGAAGAAGCCACATGCATGGACAAGCAGGGCCATGGCGAGCTGCGCAAGACGTCATTACAGAGCCGCCCACATTAGCTAACTGCTAATCTTTGAATACAGCCGCGGGTAACAACGCAGAGCCGCCTATTCAGCTTCGAGGGAGCTTTGAACAGCCAAATATTACCGTCTGTGTTGATGAAAGAATGGAAAGGTACGGCGAGGATTAAAAGGGGCGATGGTTAAGCTTACGACTTGACCGTTATTGCCCCAAGCTACATCTAATCTTTTGTTTTCTAAGCGGGCTTTACTCGTAAATATGAGAATGGCCGCTCTCTATGCAGAACAGCGCATGCAAATATCATGGAGATAGATTCATTTCCAAAGTATGGGGAGTAAGAATAGGAAAATTATGAATCTTGGTTTTTACTTTGTGAGCATGGGTTTTACAGCTGTAACGCTCACCACCAGCTCATTTAAGTTATATAATGATAAATTAAAACATTCAATCGGATATCTTATTTATATCGCTCCAAACAATGCATTTTTACAAGCCATCACTTCTGCAACCTTTTGCCACTTATGACCCCGACGGCCCATCGCCATCTCCGCCATTTATCTTCAAACTCTCTTCAATGGCCCTTTTTAACTCCTCGTCCTCATCACTAGCATTGCTCGCCACTTCTGATACCTCTTTGCCTTTTCCCTTGGAATCCTTCCGTTTCTTAAACTCCTCCTCGGCTAGGCTTTGCTTCTTGACATATTCCATCACAATGTCTTCCTCCGTCTTCTCTTTCTTCATCTGCTCCATTTCATTCATAGACTCCTCAATAGCTCTCCGGAAATGTTCCTCTTCGTCATCTTCCTGTTCCCTCGGTGGCAATGTAGGAGGTATCTTGCGCGATTCATCAATGGCACGCCGTAAATCGGCATCCTCGTCGGTATTCGGTGTAAACGCCGAGCCACTGCTACGCGGCTCATCAGTATGCACAAGTCCGGCCCCAATTCCCCGTGAGCTTGACCCTGGCAGTACAGAAAGCTCTTTTTCGTGCCCAGCCAAGCTCTCCCGAATAGCCTGTTCAATAAGATTCTGATACTCTTCATCCGTGATTTTATACTCCTCGTCTTCAAAGACGTCTGAATTCCTGTTGCCTTCTGTTTTTAAGACCGCAGGATCAGGCAGAGAAGAACCCTGCTGCTGCATTGCCTTGATGCTCTCGCGAATAGCTATTTCAATCATGGCGTCTTCTTCCGGATCTCCACGAGAGGTCTCTCTGACTGAGACCATGATAGCTTCCTCAAATTCTGCATCGGTATTGAGTGATTCTTCCCAGTTTACTGGCGCAGGAGAGGAGGAGCGGGAAAGAGAAAAGCGACTTGAGATTCGGCCTGATCGCGATCGCTGTCGCCGCGGCTTTTCCTCCAATGCAGCCCCCATTTGACGCCGTCCATCTTGGAGTGTAGGGAACCAGGAGGTCGGTCCGCCTCCAGATCCGACTTTAGATTGTTCTCTCTCTTGTCCCCTCAGTTTTGTTTCTTGAATAATCTTCAAATCAGGGTCGTGATTCCAGCGATAGATAATGTCGGCCTTCTCTCCCTCTGATGCATTCTGAAGGTCCCGTTCGCCTTGAACTACTCTCGATGTGATGATATAATTCTGGACACTTCTTGACAAGAATTTGTTAAGTTCAGCATAGGCACCTTGCATCACGTATGCTGGGAGACCCCAAAAACCTAGCACGCCGATTGTTAGTATATCTTGAAAAGAGCGAAAAGTACGTCTATAGACTGCTCACCTGCTGCGGGCTTCGCAATGAGCCCTCCAATACCCTTTCCAACGCCCTTGATCAGCCCAGCAGCACCCTCTTTTTGTGCTCCTCTCATTGGTAACGTAATCAGTCCTGAGATGCCGTCATAAAGGCCGAACCCAAATTCTTTCCCGGCGACTCGCACGCCGCTGTTGAAATCTGTGACCTTTTCGATGGATCGAACGGTGTCGTCGTTATATAATCGCGGAATATTCCTGAAACCTTTTGCAAGCCCTAGACAAAAGTTCATGGGTGACTTGACTCCCGTAGACACAATACGCCCGACGTTTCTGGTCGTGCCCACTGCGGCCTCCATAGTCGCGGCTGCAGAGAGCGCCCTTCGGCGAGATGATGACCGGCTGCCCTGGCTTTCGATAGTAGGAGATCGTGTTCGACCAATTTGCGTCGGCACTGTCGGAAACTGGGTAAGTTGCCCTGTGACAGCGTTTGATTCGCCGGCGGAATCTCCGCTGGTCCTTGCTGGTGACTTGACACCAGGGTGGTCTTGAGTCGAATTCCGTTTTGATCCTGTATCACTTTCATCTCCACTTGCCTGACTACCACTATCCCTTAAGGAATCTCTAGCCTTTTTAGGGCTTTTCAGGATATCCAAAGGCATATCCACTATGGCCATACCAATATCGCTAATATCAGTAACAAGAGAGCAGGCACCTGCTGAGATTGGATCAGGAGGCTGATCTTCCGTGTTGTACTCATAAGGGCGATATCTAGACGAGTAGTTAGCGTCATAAATGAGAGCAATTGGGTTTTCTTTTTCTTCTTACAGCTTAAGATCGGTATATTTCAGGAGACCTTGCTTGACGAGAACCGCGGCAACGAGTGGGCTAAGTCGCACCTTCGTTCTTTTCAGGCGCCAAGCCGCAGCTCGACTAGGGGCCACGGAACAGCGAAGAGAATCTATATCAAGGTGATTATGAAAACTGCGGCTGCCCACTTCTGTACCATCTTCTTCGCGGATCTTGAAGCCAAGCGCTTTTGCTTGATCTTGCGTTTCTGGCTTAAGGCAGAATTTAATCGCCTCGGCCAGATTCTCCGCAGTCAAGCTCTTATAGGGAATCGGATCGGGTCCAGCTTTGGCCCTCGCAATCATGGCGCCCCAAAATGGCTGGTCTCCGAAGAAAGGTACCACGAGGGTGGGTTTACCAGCTTTTATGCCAGCCGCCGTCGTTCCAGCGCCGCCATGGTGGACGACGCAAGAGACTCTTTCGAAGAGCCAATCATGAGGAACGTTGCCAAGCATAAAAACGCCTTCAGGTAGTCCCACTGCGTCGGCTCCCAGGCCTCCCCAGCCTTTAGAAACTAGAGCTCGGACGCCAGCAAGGTGGATAGCATCAAATATCAGCCTAGTCATGGCATTTGGATCGTCAACCACAATAGAACCAAAGCCAATATAGACTGGAGGCGGGCCGGCCTCTAAAAAGGCGGCAAGATCAGGCTCTGGAGTATACGAAGATGCAAGATTCAAGAAGTAAAAGCCAGAAATATCAATATGCGGCCCCCAGTCATTCGGTTTCGGGATCAATGCCGGTGACCTGTACATGTACCGTTAGATGAAAAAGGCTTAGACGTAGTGACTCTGCTGAATACATACCAACAGTAAGTGTAAGATATCTTCAATCTGTTGAGAAGACCTGGAGCCCAGATGAGCGAGAGGGGAGCAAGATCCAATGCACTCTCGCGGAATCGGTTGATGACATCCCCTAATCCCTGCCATGTCATCATTTCAACCAGTGTATAAGTCAAATAGTTAGTGAGAACATCGTCGGCATTAGAATACTGAACATTCGCTAGTGGGTGAGGAAACGCTCGCGTAGGTGACCAAGGCATCCTAGAGGACATGTTAGTGATGAGTGGTAGGGCGCGTTTCCAGAGAGATTCCTCACGTAAACATCATGTGCAGGGGAATTCCAAGCTTCTCCGCAACATGGACATGAGCAAAACTAGGCGGATTCGCAATGATTGCGTCGGCCACAAAGGGCTCGTGGTTTGGATCTCCAGGCATGCCGGCTTCCGGATCCCAGGGCTCGAGTTTCCTATGAGGTTCTGGTGGCGGTCCCAGCCCATCGCCCGCCTCGATGCAAGATCTCCAGCACCCAAGCAGCATCTCTTGAACGCCTCTGCGGCGCTTGCTGATCTCGCCGCTCTTCAAGGCATCCAGGCCAGGCATGAGTCCCGGATGCTTAACCATGAAGGCCATTAGCTCGGCGGGGTCTCCCCCTATACTGAAGAACTCGAGGCCATTCTCTTCAACAAAGGTCTGGAACGTTGGGTGCGTTGCAATACGGATTCGATGGCCATACTTTTCCTTGAGGACTTTTCCAAGAGCAACAAAGGGCTGAACATCGCCACGCGACCCAACAATTTGAATGACGACATTAAGCCGCGGTGGAGGCTGCTTGCCAGGCTCGCCTACGAGACTCGGGAGGGTGTATGCCGGCGGCCTCGTCGGCCGGACAGAAACGGCTATCTGATTGGCGATACTCGGTGCAAGAAGCTCAGCAAGCCTGTGGTTCTTGGTATTGATATTAATGTTGATTCTTCCATCGCCTGGAGTGTCAATGTTAGCAAACCGTAGCTCACCAAGGCGGAAAGGGTGAGAGGACATGCTAGTGGCACCTCTCATCGCAGCGCAGTGCGCGTAAAGAAGAGGTGAGATGGCAGAGCTAATACGCACCTGTTACAGCCGCTTCGGCATCGAATCCGGTCCGCGTGAACTGAAGCTGGTCATGATGATGTCCATAGGCTGGAGGCGCATCAGCAGGCGCTTCAAGCGCAGGAAGCACGAAGCCGTCCGTCACCACGGCCTCAGAGGCAGCCCGATCTCGTCGACGAGGCGGGGTTCTCAGCGAGGGCTGCCTCTTGGGTCGACTGCGCTGGTTCTCGTCGGGCGCCATGGCCAGAGGTTATCCACGGGGAAAAAATCAATCTGAAAGTATCCTCTACCCAGATAGAATCTGCAGACGGGAAGAGTAGAGAGAGTGGACGAGGGAGCCCGGATAGCGCTTGGTCGAAGGTGCAGCAAGCTTGGGGCGAATTGTGAGAGTGTCACCTGCAGATGTACAGAGGCATGGTTGACCGGGCTGATAATCGATCGCAATCTTTCGTTTGATTGTCCAAGTCGCAAGAGTTCAAAGGCAACACAAACACGGAAACGAGGTTGCGGCTTTGACTTGACCTGACTTGGGCGATGACGTGTGGCGCTCATGAGAGGCCTCAATGTCTGCTGGAGTTCGCCAGCAATTGATATCATCGAGTCCTAGCACACACACCCCTGTACTTCAATGCACGTATGACTGTGATCGCTGGAGCGCTCTAGCCTCTCAGCGCTCCGTATCTGCGTCAGTGAGAGGCGGCTAGTTCCAGTTGCCCACTAGCACACCACTGATAGCAGAGCTGGTGGCGGTGATTAACATGGAACCTAAGCATTACAGAGCCGTCATTTCTCGCCGCCCATTAATAATTCGCCAGCGCGTGATATGGAATCTCCCACTACTAGACACTTTTCACATTGAAGTATAATGGGAACTTCCGCAGATACGGTTTCTTGTGCTATTCTAAGTGCTTGCTTGCTACTTTGCTTGTTTGAACGCTTTTCTAAAAATACAGATCCTCCAAGTAGGCAGGTGGGCGCAGATCCTCTTGATGGCACACAGCCTACTGGATACTTCGCTTCATGCAGCAGGACCTCGGCCATTCACCATTATGAAAATATTCGAGGTACACGCGGCCACAGAACTGAACAAGTTCCGGACGGAATATCCACTAGCAAGACCTGAAAAGGGAGCTTGCATAGAAGTAGAAGATGTGTTGAATAACATGTGAGATAGCTCCTAATTGGGAACAATCATGTAATCCCAAGGAGCATCCTAGCTAGACCAGGTTCACTTATCAAGCTCCTAGCACCGAAGGCAAGCTCTCTCCTGACTACATAAATAAAGAACAACGTAGACTTTAGAAGGGAAAAAACGCATACGAAAAATTGGAATAACCTTGTTGCTCATATAATACAAAAAAATGTCATGGTCGCTCAGACTCCATGGTGATTAGGGTGGCAGAATGGATCTGCCGAATCCATACATCCACTTGGGAAAGCCTTTTCCTCCGCATCGGCCTCGTCTCAGCTAGATATGGTATTCATGAAACCTGCGCCGTTATTGGAACCGTTTTCCTCCAAAATAGTATACCATTCTTGTCTCGCCCTCTCTTTCCACACCACTACAATTTCCCATAAAAGAAATTCGTTTAGCTCGAGAACTTGCGGCTGATCTTGGCAATGACTTGATAGAGAAGTTAGCAAAAACAAATGCTACGCTATCAATCATTGTGGGTAATAACTCACTATGCAGAGCAACAACGCTGAAGATGAAAACCAGAGACAAAACGAGAACAACGACGGGGTCAACCTTCAGTCCGGGAGACTCATCAGTGTAGAGTCCTACAATTGTTCACGTTAGCGACATTTCAATTATCAAACAAGAGCCCATATAACAAGCTTGGAGGACGCACTCAGCATGGTGCTGCTGGAGCCGCCAGCGCCAGCGGCCCGTGTGCTGCTTGGCCTAGCATTGGCAAGCTTCTCCTTCTGGTCGGCGGCAGCACGTCGACGAATGGCAGTTCGGGGTCCGCCGGGAGGAGTGGGAGAGGAAGGTCGGCTGATGCTTGAACCGCTGGCCGCGGCGGGGCCATTGGCGGGTGAAGAGGGACGAGAAGACTGTACAGAGAAAGGGAATGTTAGCACGAGCAACCAAGTGACCTCGAACCATCATCCACTGCCGCAGCGCGCAGGTCGACTTCATGCAAAGCGCATAATGCATCGGCCTTGTGACGCGATTCACCAGCGCCGCAGTCCGTATTTCCGGTGGATTTTCAATGTCAATGGAAGAAGAGCGCGCATACCATGGCGAAGGAGTGTGTTTTGGGTATTGACAGTAAAGGAACAAGAATGAGACAATCGACCACGAATCGCTGCAGGATTCTAGAATCGAATTGACAGAGTGCGAAGTAGGAGGGATGTACTTCAGTAGAAGAGTTGGAGTTGGCGCAGCACGGGCTGGTGGAATTGTGGCCCCAAGGACCAGAGTTAAGGCCACATTCACAGAAATCCAGCACTGGCGGCCGAACATTTCTCCGCTACCCCAGAGAAAGGCACGCGCACCCACCACCCACACTTTTAGCGCACGCAGTGCATAGTAGTCTATTGAATTTCAATCAGTGTAGGTGTATAGGATGGAGCGTCTTTCCTATGTTGATTTCCAATCAACCAAACCAATAAGTAGAGGCAACCCGTGCTTTGCTTCATAAAGGCTGAATTTGGAGGCTTTCCATAGTGAAAAGGGAAACTATTAGTATAAAGAAGCTTAAAAGCTAAACCAATTTATCGTTTTTGCAACCAATAAACAGCAACGCTTTCCTATCAACATATATTCTGAGTATCTCACATTGATTCATTACAAAGGCCATATAGAGGCTCGGGGTATTTTTACAATTTGGGGGAGACTATGTATGACGGAGGCCCCTCAAGCAACCTCCAAAAACCTTCGCTAGCCATGTTCGCCGCCATCTCAGCTTTACTCCGCATCACTCGCTGCCCTCCCTTCAAAACCTGCTTCGCAGACTCGCCGCGTGGTATGTGTATAGTTCAAAAACAATGCAAGACAGGCAAAAAAAAAAAAAAACTGTGTAAAAAAAAAAGTGAAAAGAAAAGAAACACAAAGGGAATCACAGAAAGAGAGAGAGAGAGAGAGATGAAAAGGTATGATGAAGAAAATGAAGAGAGAGAGAAAGAAAGAAAAACAAAACAGGGGGAGTGAGAAAGGTGCCAGCTTGCCAGAGAAAATTACAGCATGAACAGCCCAGATATTGCCAACAGTCTTTTAACACGCTCGAGGTGCAAGACGTATCCCAAAGCTCCAACACACGGGATCGCCGCGTATACTAGCCCGTTGCCCAGGCAGTGAGGATTTGAAAATTAATCCTTAATCTATAGGAAAGAATGGCATCTTCTTGTCCCAAGACGCTAATTTGACCCTCCTCCTTTTTTGTAAAAAAAAACGTTTCTGTCTTTCTTTTCTTTCGAGTCGTTTAGATGTGATTGCCGAGTCAGTTGGGGATCTTGGTCAATTCAAACTCCCAGCCGACTTCGCTCATTTCTCGGTCTTTATGACGGAGAGGGAAAACAAAATGAAAAAGAACTTCCGCAGGCTGAGGAGCTGCGTGCCATAGATCAAGGCCGATTATGTAAGATTAGACAGTACATCTACACCCGGAAACGAAGAGATTTCAACCAAACGCCTCCCGCTATGACGGCAATGCTGCAGATCGGGCTGTTGTTGTTTTAGTGCTGAAAAGGAAAAAGGGAAAATGAAACCGAAGGGAAAAAGAATTTTGGGTGTGGTATCTCAGAGAGTGACATCGAGAACCAAGCTGACATCAGAAACACTGGGGCCAGCGAGGTCCTCAAGAACGGGTATAAGGTCTAGCAGCTCGTTGTCGTGCGCGTCAGAAAACCAGCTGCTGATGGGAACAGCATGCTGAGGGTGGAATATGTATGAGGTGGGTGAGTTGTCGATGATAATTGTATCCTTCAAATCTCGACCAACTTGTGAGAGATCTTTGACGTAATTTCCTTGGTGGTTGTAGCAGCTCTCGCGGAACAGACGGTGATGAACAACGCCGTGTATATCTAACTGATCTAAGAGGGGATCGCCATACTATTTTTGCGCACGTACAGGTTAGCTCATCTTATTTCTGCCAGAGGCTCGGGAAAAGTTGCACTCACCTTTGAAACTGATGCCGTGAAAACAACAACTTCGTAAAGTTCTCCAACTCTCTTCATAAACTCGTCCACGCCGGGTCGCTTGATGACATACACGTTATGATAATTGCCTTCAATTTCAACCGGTATTGTGAAGTCGGCTTGATGAAGGATCTGGAGGCTTTGAGTTAGCCAAATTTGTGATATTGCATATCAATAGGGGAGAGGACAAACCTTAAATGAACTGTGGACCAAGGTCTCATCCAGGTCTAAAACAAGACATTTTCTTCCTTTGTGCTCGGGGGCAATAGGGGGCAATAGCCACTTTTGAGGTTCTGGTGCTGAGGGTCCTTCCTGCGTCAGAACGAGTGCTGAGGTTACTAGGGGGCTAGGACCAGGACCAGGCGGAGGAGGGGGCATCGCGGCATCATGAGCCTCCTGTTGCGCCACCTCCGGCTGCACCTCTGGAGTTTCCTCTGCCACCGGCACATCTTGCATTTGCACGTCATCCTCAACCTCTTCTATTTCTCGAACTTCTTCGTTCGGCTCGGGAAGAGGGGTTGGAGGGTCGACCGTAACGGCCAGGGCCTGCTTTGTCTCTTGGCCTGTCTGTTCCTGCATCTTGGTCTGTTCTTGAGTGTTGCTCGACGAGACGGCATCATCCTTGCCCTGCAGGACGGTGCTCGTGGGCACGGGTGGCTTTTCGGTGCTTTGCTTAATCGAGGTCTGATCGTGGGGCGTCTGCGTTCTTGACTTGGCCGTTAATGGTCTTTGGGGTATTTTATCCAGCTTGTGAATCTCTTGAGTAGTAGAGCCCACGGTATTGGCCGAATCAGGCACGCCGCAGCATCCCAATAATGCCAAGAATCCACTGCTCTTCTTCCTCTTCCGTTTCTGCTCGCTCGCTGAAGGAGAGCTGGGCTGCGAAATCTCGGTCGTGCGAGCAGGCTCGGCATCGCCGCTGGAGCTTCCGTTTCGCTGTCTATCCAAAAAGCTGCCCTTGGATTCCCTGGATCTGTTGCCGATGCTGCTGCGTGGATCGTTGATGGTGGCCCCGCTTAAGCCAGTCGTGGTCGGCGAAGATTGGTTCCTCTGCTGCGATGACGCTCGCGACGGCACCTTTAGGAGTCCCCGGCTCTTATCAGAGCTCTCACCATCCTCCGGCGACAGCATTTCTCTTTCTTTCCCCGAACCGGAACCAAGCGGAACTTTGTCTTGCTTGAAGTCGACGATCGCGGTCGTCGCTACGGCTGTTTCGGACATTGCGAATCGTCACTGCATGGAGCTTGTCAGCATACTCGATCAAACACAAACTGAAATGCGACGCAGCAGTGCGCTTTGAAAATGCAAGACAATTCCAAGTTTCAAAGCTCAGTTGGGCCGCAAAAAACAAACAATGCAGGGCGAGAGGACATGGCTAGCGAGGGATGCGAGGCCATCGCAGATGGACAAAACACCAAAGCACTTGCTCTTCATTGCCAAACAGCTCCCCTCCATCCCAATGATAAACCAACTCCGCGTAGACAATGGTGGACGAGAAAATGTAAAATTGCGCAGCTTTAGCGCAACTGCTTATGCATCTGTACTTACCTCAGAGTACCAAGGCAAGCTAGCCAGCTCCCAATTCCAAGCTTTCAACGCAGTCAAAAGAAGGAAAGGAAGGAAAAGGTTTAAAAGACAAAAACAAGAGGGAGAATAAAAATGTAAAATAAGAAAGAAAAAAAAAAAAAGAATGTCAGCCCGCAAGGGGCGTTTGGCAGCGGCGTGCCGTTCGTTTCTCCGAGATGCCCTTTTCCAACGAAAATTACCGGGGGTTGGCGAGGAGCTGAGACGCGCCCGACGGGTACGAAAGATTTAGGGAGTCGATGCAGGACAAAAGGAAATAGGACGACGCAAGAGTCGGGCAGAGACAGAACGGCAGTGCGCTGCCAGTACGAGCGTGAGTCGCCGCAAACAACCGGTGTCAGCGCGGAGACGGTTCGTGATGGCGGGTTTTTCGCGATCAGGAGGGAGGATGGTTGGGGGAAGAGTCGAGGCGACCGCAGCGGCAACGACGTACCGGAGGCCGAAGAAACTGAGGGCACAAGCGAGATGATTGCCTTTAAACGTGATGGTTTGGCTGGGCCAGGTCGGGGATGGTCCGGCGTGCAGGGACGGCGGCTGGGGGAGATTTTGGGGGGTGTTCAAGGTGTGGGTGGGCCTTGTCGAGATTAGCCAACAGCTCTGGCGACTCTGGTGTGTATATGTGGCTGTATCCGGGCGTTAGTGGGGGAACACAGGCGGTGTGCGCCGCTGGGCTCTTGGATACTAGGCACTGTGTCTCAGAAGCTGCTTTGTGCCAAATACGGTGTTCAAGTTGTCTTTATTAACACTGTACAACTGTTAACGCAGTAAAATGCGACCGCGCAGTGGCGCCCTGTCCCAAATCTCCGCTAATGGCGGCCGCCAAGTTCTCATCTTACCGTCCAACGTCCAAATTGTGGGCTTCATTCTGTTCCTCTTTAGGAGAGGCGTGGCTACGGCCGGCGCTCTGCACGGCGGCCCGCTCACACGCTGCGACACATGGAAGGCAAATTCGGTGCTGGGCAGCTTCTGGATGCTGTGCCAGCTGGAGGACGATGCGAAGCAGGCTCTCCCTACAGAGGCCGCTCACTCACTCGCTGGCCGATGCAGTGCTATATAGTCCACCCAGGCCGACAAAGCACGGCTGCCAGATGCCACCTACGACGCGGATGCCGAATACGCAGCGAGCTCATTCGTCCTGAACTCGCACCTGCACACCGCAGCGGCGTGCATGTTCGCATCGGTGCGCTGCAGTTGCGCCAAGCCTGTCGATGGCTTCTCTTTAGGCTGCCCCCCATGGCGTGGTAGGACGGTGGGTCGAGATCTTGCTGCTCCTGGGCTCCCGAGCTCCTACTGGCCACTGCCGACAAGCAAATCAGAGCAGACAAAGGGAAGGGCAGCAGGAGACAAAGCAAAACCTCCCCAGAAAGTCGTCGGGCGCCGCCAATCCCCTCTCCTTGTGCGTGCGGGTGAGCAGCCCTGATCCGGGCATCTTGATTGGCTCTGTTGGCGCCCAGCCTTTGGATCGTTCACATCTTGCCCCGGCGAGCGTCGCAGCACTAGCATACCCGCTGAGCGAGCTGTCGTTGGAGAAAACTGGCCTCGGTGAGGGAGTGCTTGCTTCGCTTCGTATATTGGTGCATGGGGCGTCTTGCAGGCGCCCAGCAAGCATCCCGGCAATGCTCGCTGATTTGGCCCTGGCTACGAAGCAGACCTGTGCGCATATGGAGCGCTCCGTTGTAATACGGAGAACGGGGCCTGTAGGGAATATGTACGGCATCGCTGATTGGCATGCCCAGCAGCGCTGGCACATGGCGGGCACGCAGCTGCTGTGCGTGCGTGCTGCGGCCGTGCATATGGCCAGCTGTTCGCGCAAAGAGCTGCTGCCCGCCCTGTATTCCCGGGCGCATTGTTCCGACCTTGTTTGCGCAGAGGATTGTGTGATGCTGCGCTCATCTACTTGGTACCTAACTAGTGCCCTATGGGTCCTCCGTCACATCTGCTAGTCCGGTAGCGCCCAGTAGCATGATGGAGCGCTCCATAGCAAATTTGGCTATCGATGGCTCTCGCAGATTAGGTGCCTGAGCTTCCTGGGCAAGCTGCAAGCTACCTAATTATAGGTTAGGCGCCTTGCCAGCCTAACCCGGTCCTAAAATGTACATAGTATGTGCGGTGTTACAGGGTAGGGCAGCATCAACCCGATGAGAACGCTCCATTCGCCCGTGTGGTTGTTTTGAATAGCCACATGGATAACATGGGATAATTATAGAAATCTTGCGGTTTCCTTTCTTTTTCTTTTTCCTTTTTCATCATGCTCCTTTAATATTTCCTGAATTTTAAGCAAGGCGGGTAGCGCATACTAAATCAAAGGAAAAACCAGCCAAGAGTTTTAGATGGAAGTAAATTGAGAGCTTCAATAACGGTTCCCTATGCTAAGCAAATCTTCCAGCATAGTGGTATCAAATTGAGTAATATATCGCAAATCGTGTTCACCACGCAATCAACATGGATCCCGCTGAAAGATGTGATATCAAAGTCTTCCTGATTGATATACAGGGGGATATTCCATTGACATACCAACCTGTTGATTAGCAATACAAGGCCTTGGTACATGCGGATCTCACTGACGGTTTAAGCTGCAAATGTGGGGCCGCTTGCGGCTGGCGCAAGCGTTTTTGGGGCTTTTCAAACCTCTGATTTTTCCTCCAGGCAGCTGGCCCAGTTTCCATCTGGAGGCGTCATAGAACCCCCTCAAAAACAACTCTCCAAAAAAACTCAAATGTCCAACGCATTTGTTTATTTTTTCATCATCTTCTCGATGTAAGAATTGTTGGAAAACTTAAGTTCATGCCGTGAGGCGAGGACGCAATAGGCTCTTGAGAATCGCAATCCTCACCTCTCCAGCTATCATGTAACCGTCGAACAATGCACTCGAAGTTTCATCACAACAGCTCAAGGCCATCTCATCATCGTTGAATACTATTAGAACTGCACATTATATCATCTTACAATCATGAGGTCCAAGTGGAGCATGCTCCCGGAGGAGCTGAGACTCCAAGTGCTGGAGACTTTAGCGCATAGCAGCTTCGAGAAGCATGGCTTGACCAACTACGCCCTCGTCTGCAAGTCATGGAAGAGTATATTCGAAAAGGCTAATTTTCGCAGCTTGACCATTGACCAAATGGATTTTGAGAACCTCGCCAAGATCCCAAAGCGTTGCTGGCCATATGTCAAGCACATCTGGCTTCGCATTGAGCTTGAGAAATACTATCCTATGCTAAGGACAGGATCAGTAAGGCCGGAAATGCTGGAAGATACAGCGTCATACAATGACCGGATCGAAGCCACCATAGGGAGGCTCTTTCATATACTCAGCTCCTGGGAAAAGGTGGTTAAGCCAGATGTTCGTGGCATAACTCTAGAGCTGAGCGTCCATTCGCCGAGTAACTCTACCTACATCCCTAGAGGAGTCCATGCAAAAGGTCTAGATATGCGGATGCCGTTTACGCGGAATCGTGAATATCGCAGTACCCCCAATGCTGAAGTCGCCGCTTCCAGAGCACTTGGTGGAAATGTCCACATCAGATTTGACAATCAACTTCCCCGGCTGAAGCTGGTAAAAACACTCATTATACCTAGACATACACGTCGACGGTTCACTTCGTTTACGCTACACCAAATACTCAACAGACTGCCAAATCTGGAATATTTGGCCTATGAGCCATGGAAACAGCCCTTGGATACACTTCAAGACGTGGTTGATGCAGGTATGCCGATGGTTCACGTTTCTATGTTCAAATGCCCATATTTTTTTTTTTTTTTTTTTTGGCTCACATATGTTTTTCTTTAAAAAAAAACTAGGATATGTCAATCTCATAAAAGGTTCTATTCCTGCGCGATTGAAGCAAGTTATATTTTTAGAAGATCGGGATGACACGTTGACAAAGGTTCCTACACTGTCCAACACCGTGGACGAGAAATATGCTCGGAAACCGAACCCTTACATTGGCATGGCTTTGGCGAATAAGAGCCTAGGATTTGAGAACTTGGCGGCAACGTTTCTCGTCGAGGCGAGCGACTTCTTCCAGGCGTACAAGCCAGAGTGGATCTGGAGAGACTTACGATCCTTGACGTTGACATCGTACCTTCTGGACCCTAAGCGAAAAGTTGACGAGATTAACGGCATGCTGCAAGCGGCTGGCGTGGCGGCACTTGCGATGCCCATGCTCCAAACCCTGGAAATATGGAATGGCGGCGTAGGGCACGCGGCTGTCTTCGCCTACCATGCTGAACGGAGTGAAGCCGTCATCTCATGGACCAGCACCTGGGACCTGGTCTTTAACCCATATGTCGTCGATATTTGGCGAAAAGTGGGTTACAAAAACCACCGCTGCGAGAAGCTGGGCATAGAGCAGCATCTCATCGAGGATACCGATGCTATACGGAGATATGTAGACGTTATTGAGTTGCTCAGGACGAAGAAACACGTCATAAGCCGGCAATCATTAGACGAGCTGCGGTACGAACTTGAGAATGACTGTATATGCTTTCCCTAGTCAGGCGGCAGCATGACAGCATGGAGGATTGTAGGAATGAGATGCAACTGACGGATACTCATGCGCACATGTCAGCGTGTCTATCGAATCTTCGATGTTTCTTGATAGAGCCTCTATGTATCTGCTTTGCGATAGCATTTATCTTGCCTAGACATGCCAGAATACAGGTAGAACTACAAGTAGGCTGATGGTATCAACATCAATACATCAATTGGAAATCATGTGAAAAGAGCTTCCCCGGAAAATGACCCCCATCCTGGTGTGGAGTCACGTGTAGCTACTCTGGGGCGGTTCCGTCATGGCTCCGTTTTGGGACGTGGCAAAGCCATCTGGCTGGGCCTCGGGAAATCTGGATGGCGCGGGTTCACATGTCCCAATCCCGGATTTGATCCTCTCCCACGACCATCCACCATCACAACGAAGCAGACTGCGGGTGGCGTTTCCCAGCAGCTGCTTTGGTTGCAACCACGATTGATGCGCTGTTTCTTTTATTTTCTTTTCTTTTTTTGCTAAGCGAACACAAACGCCCATACGCGCAGACGCTGGGCTTGATGACCTTCCCTGACCTTGTTTAGACCGGATCTGCGCCGCTTGAAGCGTCCGGGGAGCTCGTCCAGCAGCCGCGCCGATATTGATACTAGGCAATCATGGCGGCACAGTCGAATCTGCGCAGGACGGCGGCGGAGGATGCGCTGGCCGAATTCTTAGAGAAATGGACTGGCATCCTGGGGAAGAGGCTGCGGTCTACGTCGCGCACCACTCGGACCCTCGCTACGCTCTCGCTCGCCATGTCCATCATCCTCGGCGCTGAGGGTAGCAGGCGGTGGTGGAAGAAACGACGGCACGAGCACGAGCAAGGCCGGAAGCTGGTCCGCACCAATTCATGGCTGCACAACAAGGACGGCTCTCGAACGATCTATGTCCCTTATAAAGACGGCACATCCAAGGTTGTCATCAACACCACGAAGCCTTTGACGTTCGAGGCGCATAGGCGGCTTTTTCTAAATCCTCCAAGAGTGTCAGGTCTTGGCGATGGAACGGTTCCTTCTGCTCAGACAAAGCCGGGCCTAAATTTGGCGTTTCTGCATCAATTCCTTAGTCTCATGAGTATCATGATTCCTCGGTGGTCGAGCAAGGAAGCAGGTCTCCTGCTTAGCCACGGCGTCTTCTTGATGTTAAGAACCTACCTTTCACTGGTGGTAGCCCGCTTAGACGGAGAGCTTGTTCGAGATCTCGTTGCGGGCCAAGGTAAAGCGTTTCTCTGGGGCATTGTAAAGGTATGTCTGCGAGATCTTGACTTTAGGTATCATGCAGTAATTTTTCTAACTCATATTAATCTTTACAGTGGTGTGGACTGGGCACATTTGCCTCGTATACCAATGCTATGATCAAATTCCTCGAATCTAAAGTATCTATTGCGTTCCGAACTCGACTTACTCGATATATCCACGACATATACTTGAACGAAAATCTAAACTACTATAAACTATCCAACTTAGACGGAGGCGTAGGGCAAGGAGCTGATCAGTTCATCACTCAAGATTTAACTCTGTTTTGCGCCTCAGCGGCCAACCTCTATTCATCACTGGGCAAGCCCTTTGTAGACATTTGCGTCTTTAGCTTCCAGCTTTACCGGTCCTTGGGACCTTTGGCCTGGATAGGCCTAATGAGCAACTACTTTTTGACCGCAAGCATTTTGCGGAAGCTATCGCCGCCATTCGGCAAGCTGAAGGCGGTTGAGGGCCGAAAAGAAGGAGATTTCCGCAGCCTGCACGCCCGCCTGATAGCCAATGCGGAAGAAGTAGCGTTTTATGGCGGTGCGGAAATGGAGAAGACGTTCCTCAACAAGGAGTACAAGTCACTCAAGAGCTGGATGGAAGGCATCTATATGCTCAAGATCCGCTACAACATCCTAGAAGACTTTATTTTGAAGTACAGCTGGAGCGCTTACGGCTACCTTCTCGCTTCTTTGCCGGTCTTCCTGCCAGCCTGGGGAGGAGTTGGTGGCGCGGCTGAGATGGCCGAGGGCGGCGAAAAAGGCGGCAGAGAGCGAAATCGCATGAAGAGCTTCATTACGAACAAGCGACTGATGCTCTCGCTCGCTGATGCCGGCGGTCGAATGATGTACTCCATCAAGGACCTTGCCGAATTGGCTGGATATACCAGCCGTGTCTATACACTCATCTCCACGCTTCACCGGGTGCATGCTAATGCTTACTACCTTCGGAGTGGGCAAAGTGAGCTCTACTCCTTGTCTGATGTTCAGGGTACAATCCAGAAGGGCTTTGATGGTGTTCGCTTTGAGCAAGTGCCAGTCGTTGCCCCTGGACTCTGGCCCCAGGGCGGAGAAGAGTTGCTCGAGTCCCTATCTATGATTGTTCGAAGAGGCGAGCATCTTTTGGTATGTATAACTGGCTCTAACGGGTCTCCTTTCTATTATCCCTCTTATATCCCTTGCCCTTTTTGAACCGTAGCTAACGAGCTCTTCTTGTGTATCTAGATCTCTGGTCCTAATGGCGTTGGAAAGTCTGCCATTTCTAGGATACTAGCTGGCCTGTGGCCCGTTTACCGCGGCCTGGTCAGCCGACCGAAGAGCATAGGTGAAGATGGCATCATGTTCCTGCCCCAGCGGCCATACCTTAGCCCTGGAACTCTTCGCGATCAAGTTATCTACCCTGATGGCCACGTGGATATGCGTGAAAAGCGCAAATCGGAGAATGATCTACAGAAGATCCTTGAAGCGGCCCGCCTTGGCTACCTCCCCGATCGTGAGGGCGGCTGGGACACTCGCAAGGAGTGGAAGGATGTGCTCAGCGGTGGCGAGAAGCAGAGGATGCAGTTTGCACGTCTTTTGTACCACGAGCCACAATATGCTATCATCGACGAGGGAACGAGTGCTGTCTCAAGTGACGTTGAGGGTCTGCTGTACGAAACGTGCAAAGAGAGGGGCATCAGTAAGTAGCTCCCTGTGGGTGACAATTGGAAACGAATGCTAACGATATATGTAGCCTTGATTACCATCTCAACGCGAGCCTCTCTGAAGAAGTATCACACTTACAATCTGCAGCTCGGCGTCGGTGACGATGCTGACTCTTGGGAGTTTGAGCGCATCGGTACAGAGCGCGAGAAGATGCAGGTCGAGAAGGAAGTGCAGGATCTACGTGAGCGCCTTGCGCAAGTAGACGAGCTGAAGAAGAGGCGAGAAGAGATTGAGAAGGAACTCAACGCGGTGTGGACAGAGAAGGGTGATCTTCTCGATGCACCATCGTATATTGGCATCGACGAAGCTCCAGTTTCAAGCGAGGAGTCTATCGAGGCCTAAGAAGTCACGCCGGCCGTCTTTTCTGCAAGGGAGGACGATGATGTTGCTGTATGAGTGACATGCATGGATGATCTAGAAGTGCTAATTTCGCATTGGTGGAGATTATAGGGGATTTATCCTTTGGCCTTTTTGTTTGATTTATACCTGGCGCCGCCTGTTTATGTACTATTTTATCCTTCTTTGCCCTAACTAGAGCCGAACGACAGGAGCATACAAAGTTACTACGGAATAGTAGTAGTTATATGTATATTTAGCCACGGCCAAGCTCCCCCGTGGATGTACCCATCTTATTTGGAATGGGGCTGTCCTGAGACATGGAACGCTCTATGAGACACTTGGTGTGAGCGAAGTGGTGATATACCATGTTGGATTTAGCTATCTGGAGTGCCTGTACATGTTATTTCGACTTTATCGGCCTGAGTTATATATATATATATATATATATATATACCCTACTAGTAGGCCTTGGCCTAGGAGGTTTAATCAATTTCACAACTAATGGAGTTGGTATCGTATTCTATAAACCGCGAATACCTAGGTAGCCACGAATGTATATCACACAATAGGCTGCAACAACGTTCCTCACCACAATCCTTCCCCCAATAGCACTATATGATGAGAATACTACTACTACTTAGCAAAACATGCACGTCTGAGACAAGACAGCTCCCATAGGCTTCCGCTTTCAGCCCGTCATTACTAGCGCATTCAATGGCTCCGGTGGGATCGAACTCACCATTGGCTGCTCGACCAACGGCGCGGGACAGCTGAATGAAGGCTTTCTTTTTCGGCCCTCCCTGCATATGCAATCTCAGTATACCGAACCCGCTGTCATCTTAAGCAGTCATGGTGCTAAATAGTGATAGCAATAGTCGAAAAGGAAACCCCCTATAAAAAGACATACATGGCAGATGAAATGACGGTACGGAGTGGTATAGGGGCTTGTCATGTGAATACACTGAGCTGTATTACCTCGCTTCATGTTGGTGTGTAAGTGTGTAAGTACTAATATTGCCTGCATGGATTGCTCAGCCAGCCTCAATTCCAATTTCATCTGCGGGGGATTCGCTCGCCCTGCATTACGCTGGAGTCTGTGGTGATCTTTGAGGTAGTTTATAGGCTTGACCATCATATATGTTTAAGAGGAAATAATGAGGCGAGGTCGCTTCGCATGGCGGCTGATCTGGGCGGGCTACCCGCAATGGTAGAATGTCTCAGCCGAGAAGACAGATTACGCCATTCCATTACAGGAGGTATATAATAGGGGCCGTGGAATACTTTTTTTTTCTCTTTCTTTGTTGTTGACATTTGAATTTTACCCTTTTTAATTTTTCTTATGTTGTAGCGCTTTGTTTCTGTCCCATGTTTTGTGTTCCTCTGTTTTTTGATACTGGGGATGAGAAGAGAACCATCACAACTCTGATACCCAAGTTTAGAGAAAAGCTTTGAGCACCGACCATTAACCTCATATCGGTCTTGATTAATCCCTGTTTTTTTTTTCTTTTTTTTTTTTTTTTTTTTTTACGATTTCAAAAGTTATGGCGCATTCAACCAAGATTCATACTCGGGCTGGATCGCGGGCATCGCTCGTCTCAGTCGGGCAGATGCCTGTCATCAAAGAAGACAGCAACATCATCACACCGGCGCCAGCAATGCTCCGCATACCTGCAAAGAATCCCCACCGAAGTCTGGGACCACAACCTCACGGGGTAATCATACCGTATCTGACGGGCTTTCAGGATCTGCCTCCAAAAACACTGGCCTCGACGGAGGGTAAGGCTGAAGGCGATGATGGAGATGAAAAGACTGTTGTTGGACGGATGACGCCTCCGCCTATAGCAACGTTGAGAAAGAGGCGATGGAATGGAGAGGAGTGGACGCCGAGCGATTCACAGCGAAAATGCCACTTGGTAATAGTGTCATCGGTGATCTTGGTGATTATTGCCGGCATTGCTACTGGACTCACACTGGGCCTTACGAAAACGTGAGTTTGCACACGTCAATTAGATGTCAGTACTTTTGGATGATGGTATGTGTACGCTGTATATATTGAGTACATAGCGGGTGCTCTCAGCAGAGGGGAAAAAATGGCTGATACTAAGATGCCGCAGACCGGTCATGGGCAGCCCCTACAGCAATCAAGATGCCTTTTATCCAGACCTACCAATTGGCGGCTTCGTAGTAGATACGGCTCTCTACGGTTCATCATCCGCATGTACTTCTAATCCAAATGCCTGGCGGTGCCTCTCTTCCAAAGAAAGCCGAGTACCCCGTTTTTACTGGACCATCACCGAGGTGGATTCGAATTATCAAATCTCCTCTGCCGACGACCCCATCGCTTCGTCTCTTACAGATATCCCTCTAACAGTTCTTGACGAGGGTGAGGAAGAGGAACGGTTTGTCTTGTCTTATAAATTCAACACGACTGTTGAGCTGGCAATTACGGCGACAAACCGTGCTGCGAAGTGCGTTTACTCCGATATGATTTTTCAAGCCACGCTTTGGACGAAACGGGAGATGCAACAGCCATCCAGGACGACCAAAAAGCGCGATGATTATGTGAAGTGGCCGGGACTGGTGGAGATTATGGAAATCAAGAATGCTACGCTGGGAGGGGCACCAGAGTGTGTTGATTCTAAGGGTGACAAGATCGCCGATGTGCAAAGTGACGCGCGAGCTTGTGAGTGTATATATAGGACAAAGGGATGGATATAATGATGCTTTCAGGATTGGAAGAGACGTTAGTGTGAATAGATATTGCGTGTATATTGTATGCTAAGCACAGGAACCATATTTCGAAGCCTCCATCACAACTCCCTCATTTATCTGTCTCACTACTCATCATCCACCATACATAATAACAAGGCCGTCTCCCTGCTCAGCATCATACTCAGCTAAATTCTCCTACATATCCAAATCCATTTGGGATTCTATTTCTTCTGGAATCACTTCCATTGGAATAAAATCCCTATTATCAACTGGCATCATGGTGGTATAGCATTGTAACTGTGAAGCTTCCTTGTCTACACTCTCGTAATAAGTCGGATCGGATCTTTTTGTAAAGCAGAAACCGCCGTTGCTCTGCGGTAGGTTTAATCTGTCTGGAGACATCGTGGCATACTTGGCAAGGCACTTGCCATCACGCACATCAACCTCCAGAATATTCGGTATGCGTCTGGGCGCCATGGTCATAATGGGCCATGCCCAGTTTAGGCGCGTAGGACTACCACTAATTGGCTGGGATATGATATCGTCGGGTGCAGTTGTGTTGGCATACCTTGGCGATTTAATTGACAGCTTCTTCGTCCTCTTCGATGTCCACCTAGCCCTAGTTGGGCTTCTTAATGGCAAGAATGATGACAAAGACGTCAAATTGTGTTTAGTTTCCTTTGATCCTCGTAGAGGCACTCCTCCATCTGATGACGATGATGACGATGCTGATGCCATACCAGTCCTCTGTGTCCCTCGTAGAAGAACCCCTCCATCTATTGAAGATGTCGACGTGATAGAAGCCAGATTGCATGCCTCATCTGGACGCACTCCGCCGCCTAAACTCTCTACACTTTCTGATAATGAGTTAGACGCTAAATCGTGCTTAGCTCTTTTTGTCTCACGTAGAATTACTCCACCGTCTGAGTCGCTATCAGAAAACCATGAAGAAGACCGCTTCCTCTGATTTCCGCCCGAAGGAATTGAGTCAGTCGATAGCAAACCTGCTGATGGATCCAATGCCGTCGCATGTACGTCTGTAGAAAGCCCTGGCCTTCTGAGAAGCGTTGGGAACGACTCTTCTGATGAAGCACTCAATAGCGATCGTCTACTTTTGCGTCGGAGAGCAGCTACGTGTGTAATGAGAGGATTCCCGATTTCATCGTACGGTGACGCAGGAGGCGGTGACTGCCTGTCGGAATTTCCTGTATAAGAACCTGCAAAAGAGGGCCGTGCAAAAGGATCTGACCGATATTCACGCTGACCGCGATCAGCGGGATAATTTCTCTGACTTCCTGAAGCCTCAACCGAAATTGTCGAGGTCTGTGAGTCTGATAATGGGACCGAAGGCTGGCTGGCTGGATTTGTCCGTGTAAGTGCCCAAAAGGCATCCCAAAAGGAGCGCGTGTCACCGTCGCTTTCTTTGAAGCCGTGATGTTTGCGTTCACATACATTCCTCAAGAGATAGCTTAGCTGAGGACGGTCCTGTGGTTTCTCGAACTGGCATTGCGCAATTTGGTCGAGAAGCTCGGGCTCGATATAGCTATATTCTGGCTTGCTCAGACGCCAGGCATACGATTCGCCCAAGCATCGTTCATCCCCAGCCTCATATATCATTGTCGTCATTGGATGCGCTGACCAGCTTTGTGTTATGACAGACTCCATCTTGTTGATCTTAATTAGCGTAATCATCCACGGCAAACTAGATCGAACAAAGAAAAGGGGAAAAATAACTCACAATTTTGCCAATGGTGAAGACATTCGTCCAAGTGCCATATCGCCCTGCAACTTCATTCTTTTCTGGTCCAAATGTGTCACCGGTGTATTGTAATACTGATCCTGGACTACTTAGATCGACCTTGTCCCAATCTTCGGAAATGGTTTCCTAACAAATTGTGAGCCATTTCTAACAAAAGCTAGTTTAAGCATCCATACAAAACTTACCGGAGGAGTTCGATTATTTTTGGGGCACCTTCTGGCTTTCCAGTAATCGTAATGATCCCAGCGATCCCAACACTCTCTCATCTTATGACTATAATGCCCGAAATCGTGAAACTAGTGTACGCCAGTGTCAGCTCCTTTTAGTCGGCATTAGATATCTCTCAAACTCACCTTAAGTATGGGATGGTGTGAGTGGTGACCATCTTCAGCAATGAGAACTATTCATCTGTTTGTTAGCGTATTTCTAGTTATAGAGAGAGAGAGAGAGAGAGAGAAAGAGAGCAAAAAAGGAGAGGTCAGTTACTATTTTGCTCTTCTAGGTCAAAATGCACATCATGGCTATCAATCAATGTACTGAGTCTCAATAGCTCATTAATATTTTGCGGATTATCCAGCGAATTTAATACCATGTCAAGACTATTAGGACTCCATCGTTTGACTGATTCCGGCTGAAGCGCGACTGATACAACACCTTTCACCACTGTGAATGTTCCGTTAGTTTATTCCTTTCCACTTCAAATTTATCCTTCCTTGATTCAGAAGATACGCTAATGGGAATATGAAGAAACTTACAGCATTCCCAAATCTCCCATAATACCTTATTCGAAAAACGGACTCCAAAATACGAGGCCTTGGACATTATGTCAAAAAGGCACCCATGCTCTGCATACTCCAAGACAAGAATATCGAGGTCCTTCTGATAAAATCTTACTCCCCTGTTTATTATGTGGCCTCTGTTGATTCTGCGTCTAACATTGTCAGCAATCTCTTGCAAATCTAGGCTCTGGGTGATATGAGAAGCTCCTCTATATCTAAGGTGCCAGTCTAGCTCCCCCTCAAATGTGCCGTTCGCACGGATAGGTATCTTAATGACAACCTTCATACTGCTTTGATCATCGAATATGGCGTTCCAGAGAGTAGCCATGCCAAAGCCGCCTTGGCCGAGGACTTTAACCCATTCAAGCCTGAAGCCATCCCAGTTTAAGAGTTCAATATGCTCTCCGACGAGGTTTGGCTGATCTGTATCATTACTATGAGACTCAGAATAGTCGTCAGCAAAGGGGCATTCGAATGATTGGTCTTGTGGCATAGATGGAGAATCATAGGGAAGTCCGAGTTCATCGCAGTCCTCTGGAAGGATTCTGCTCGTATTGTCAAGTGCCACAGATCTGTCACCGCGAATCAGGGCAGATTGAATAGCTAGGAAATTTTTGGCAGGTATAGCAGAATCGGGTCTTACCGCTCTGCGGCGCACGTTTAGATGGGGTAGCGGTGATGACATGTTGGCTGTGACTAGGACGGCGAGAGATCGATTGTAGGATACGCAGCCATGGTTCAATGTTCCATCCTCACCCTTGCGATGCATGTCGGCAGCTATATAATATGTGTGAGTGGCATGCATAACAAACAACCGATTGCGTAATTGTTCAACAAAGGGGCGTTCGATAAAAATAGATATATTCATATTGACGTTCTCGTACTTGGCCAGGCGCAGCGTCCTCGCTTCATGTTTCTTTTCGGTTTCCTTTGAAGGCATCGAGTTGTTTATTGTTTACTGTTCAAATCGAGTACTTTCATCCAACAAGGATTCCTTTCCTTCTTCTTTTTCTTCCTTCTTTTTTTTCCGGCCTCTTTTCCCCTGGATGATGATACCGTCCCAGGTCAAGTAGACAAGAAACCCCGCCGTTGAACAACCCCTCAAAGAGGCTACAAGCAACCGCAATAGATTCCTTGTGTCTCCACCGAATGGTTTCGGAACGCGTCGTCACCATAAGCAGGATGACGAGGAGTTAACGGTCTTAGAACAAAAGATAAAAGATAGACAGAAAAATCGCAAATACCCGCGGTAGTATAGCCTGGTCTCGACACGATGTCATCTTATCCCTCACCTTCAGACCCATGGCCCATCATGAATCAAGTCCATCAGAGGCCCAAGCGTTCGACGAACTAGACGTTCTTATTAGATGTGTCCCTCTTGTTAGTGGATAATAAGCTCCATAGAGGCGTCGGAAGCCACTGAGCGGCAACCAACCGGAGCAATTAGCCGCATCCTGGACTGCGGAGCATCATGGCATTTAGGCTAAATTGCCATGGGTTCCTCAGCCTGATCACCCGGATATCGACGACCTTTTTCGAGAATTCCAGGTGAATGTAGGAGTTTCCGCAGCGCTCGATAATAATGTCCTTTTGCCCGCCGTACCCACAAAATGACATTTTCGGTGATGTAAGAAGAAGTGACGAGAAGAGAAAGGAGGACTTGTGCAGAAAAAAGCGTCATTATTTCGAGCTAGTTGACAGGCCTAATCGTCATATACTAGTCCCTGTCAGCCACCAACTGCAAACTTGAGAGGCAGTTAAACGCACTAATAGGAGACGAGATATGATCGGGACCCTTAACTCTACTGTTCCCAACAGGTGTTTAGCACCGCCACAAGCCCCCAACTTGGTGAAGAAGAGAACCATCCGGGCCGGTTAGATCTGCTAGTTGCTACCCGCCCTCATGCATATAGGCGGCAAAACTCCCATTATTCACTAGGCGCTGGGCTGGGTCCGACGGTTTATTGCCATGCTGGAGCTTGGCCTCTCCATATGTAGGCCTATCCATCCATCCATCCATCCATCCCATAAGCCCCAGCTGACCTATACTTGGCCAAGCTAGAGGCGTTTCCACTGTGTTGGAGAGGCAAAACAACCCGGGCTAGTGAGATAACAAGGCTGCGGCTGCGAATAAGAGGATCCTAGCTATGAGGCACCGAGCGAGCCTCCTCTCGTGTGGAGTTCGAGCGCTGTGCATAAATAAGCCCCGACAACCACAACCTTCTTTCTTCTTGTCTCGTTTGTCTATCTCATCAAACGTCTCAACGGTTAACAGGTCTTATCGCTGTTTCTCGACCCAAGGCAGACTAGCAGACAAGATGGCGCCCACGCTTAAGCTCAACAGCGGATATGAGATGCCCCAGGTGGGCTTTGGCCTCTGGAAGGTCGACCAGGCAACTGCAGCAGATACCGTGTACAACGCCATCAAGGCTGGTTACCGTCTGTTTGACGGCGCATGTGGTAAGTCTTGGCTCATGTGAATGAGAGATATAAAAGAAAAAAGTAGCTCTCTTCCCCGCTTTCTTCCGTGTAGGAGTTGGGGAAGGCGGCATTGGAGGTAACATCAGCGCTAATATTTTTCTCTCTCCCACTTATACAGACTATGGCAATGAGAAAGAGTGTGGTGAGGGTGTTGCCCGCGCCATCAAGGATGGTCTCGTGAAGCGTGAGGATCTCTTCATCGTCTCCAAGCTGTGGCAGACTTTCCACGACGAGGACAAGGTCGAGCCTATCACCCGCAAGCAGCTTGCCGACTGGCAGATTGACTACTTTGACCTCTTCCTGATCCACTTCCCGGCTGCCCTCGAGTACGTTGACCCTAGCGTCCGTTACCCGCCAGGATGGTTCTATGACGGCGAGAGTGAGGTTCGATGGAGCAAGACCACCCTTCAGCAGACCTGGGGTGCCATGGAGAAGCTGGTAGAGAAGGGTCTTGCCCGAAGCATCGGTGTCTCCAACTACCAGGCTCAGTCTGTGTACGATGCCCTCATCTACGCCAAGATTCGCCCTGCTACGCTGCAAATTGAGCACCACCCCTACCTTCAGCAGCCCGACCTCGTCAACCTTGCTCAGAAGGAGGGCATTGTCGTCACAGCCTATTCTTCTTTCGGCCCCACTGGATTCATGGAGCTTGATATGCCTCGCGCAAAGAGCGCCGCTCCCCTGATGGAACATGCCGCCATCAAGGAGATTGCTGCTAAGCACAAGAAGACTCCCGCTCAGGTCCTCCTTCGATGGGCCACCCAGCGCGGCCTGGCCGTCATCCCCAAGACTTCTCGACCGGAAGTCCTGGCTCAGAATCTGGATTCAACCAACTTTGATCTGGACTCCAGCGACCTGGAAAAGATTGCAGAGATGGATTTGAACATCCGGTTTAACAAGCCCACAAATGTGAGTTACATATCTCCATCGTTTGTATCGTATTGTACCATACTCACATCTCCTTGTAGTACTTCTCTGCCGACAAGCTGTTCCTCTTTGGTTAAATTAAGCGGGGGCCAATTAGATAAAAATAAAATAAAAAGCATTCTTTCTTCCAGTGAATTTCCCTTGTTAGTGTTGTCTTGAGGTCACTATTTTCTCAGTCTCCTTTTTGTAAACAAAAGCTGGGCAGTCAGTCTGTTATATAGAAATGATTATCAGAATATTCTGAACCACGAGAGCCGATAAAAGGCTTCGTCTCTTCCAACAACCAAGCCCTAGCCATGATGTTTCAAATCAATGTGACACAGATGTCTGCATTATTCTAGTGAATGATGCTAGCATATATGAAATAGCCCGATAAACGCCGTAAATGTTTCCCCCAGAAATAGCCCGTTCCGCCATTATCATATACTCCAATTGGCAGGGTGAACATGACCCTAAACTCTGACAAATGCTAAATCGAGTTAGAACATGGTGACACCTGGTAATATTGGGCTTGAGGATACTCACTAGCATCAATTTGCTTGACTTGCGGCAGTGCCAGCCGAACCTTGTTCCTGTATAGAGCGGGGCCACGAAGCTGAAGAGGGTTTCCTTCAAAATACACAGTTGTCAAATCTTCTTTGTCTTTCAGCTCCCTCTCGACGTCGGCAAAGTCCGCAATTTGGTTGTAACTAGCCCACACCTCTTCAAGGTCTTTTAGAGGGCCCACACCCTTGAGACTGGTGATTTGATTGTTGGATATCTCAAGTGTCTTGAGATTGATATTGTTTTCAATGCCTTCAAGAGATTCGAGAGCGTTGTGGGCAATGTAGAGTTCCTCCAAACCGGGCACCTCCTTCAGGGGAGACAAATCTCGGATACGGTTGGACTGAATGCTGAGGAGACGCAATTTGGGAAGCCCACCAAGCCCCGTCAGATCCGTAATCTTGTTCTTCGCTAACCACAGCTCTTCTAGGTTTTTAAGGCTGTCGAGATTCTGGATCTCTCGAATACGGTTTGAGCCCAGTTCCAGAGATCTCAGATTATCAAGGCCTTCAAGACCTTCGATTTTGCTAATTTTATTGGCGACCAGGAATAGCTCCTTCAGTTCCTTGAGATGATTGATGTGCTTGATGTGTTTGATCTTGTTGAAGCTGAGATCCAGGCTCGTAAGCTTTGTCAGGCTGTCTAGTCCTCGAATATGTCCGATTAAGTTGTCATATAAGTCAAGGTCTTCCAAAGTATCGGCAAGGCTGTCGAGGCTCTCGATATCTTGAATGACATTTTGTCGGAGGCAGATGCGGGCCACGTTCTTGAAGCGCTCCAGTCGTAGAGCAGGTATCGACGCGATGCGAGAGTGCGAGACCATGATCTCCTCGGTATCAGAAGCTTCGCTGTCGAGTAAATCTATCATGTGAAACATGTGAGTTAGCTCAGTATCTTGTTGTACGTAGCTGATGGCCTAGGTTTGTGATCTCATACTCTCATCTGCTCGGATCTCCTCGCCGTGCAGGACATTGCTGTCGTCTGAGTATTCCGGGTCTGACAGTGCCTCCGGGTTGGTCATGAGCGCCGACTTGGGAATGCGAAGCTTGCCATCCCATCCTTTGCTGTCCTTGAGAGAAGGGCTGGGCTCGCCGTCGACCTGCGGAGACGGTCTGTCGTCGACGATGTCGATGTGAGCCGTGCGCTCATGCTCTTTTTCTTTTTCTACCGGAGCTTCCATGTCGTGCTGCCGATGCCCATGCAAGCCCGAGGCAGGATCGCTGGCGCAAGGGTCTGGGGGGTTTTTTTTTTCTTTGTGATAGAGCGAAAGCTTGCGCTGCCGAAAATGTTGTTGTTGGGGCAGGGCTACACTGCTATAGCATGGCTTCGAAGGCGAGGGTGGCTGCCTACTAAGTATTCCATAACATTAGGTTTCGAGAGCTTTAAGCTCAAAATGCCTTGCAGGGCCGGGGTGGCGTTTTTGCTTAGTGACGAGTGACGCCTGAGCCCACTATAAATGTTTTGCTGCTGCCGCGGGGTGGTAGGGCAGGGTGCCAGATCCTACTAGAAATCCGAGCCGTCACTCGTCTCGGTCCTCCATATAAATAAGGCCGAGCTACGGCAACTTACGGAAGCTGCTAAATTGGCTGCCACACTCCATTTACACGATAAGAAGTAAGAAGTTCTGCTGTGCTTGAATACAATGTGAATAACCAGATCAAGATTTGTCTCTTGCAGCCCCGCCGTGTTCGGTGACAGGGCTCCGGAATCTGGGCCTTCTGTGATGCGCATCTCACGATTGTCATTTGCGTATTCTAGAGCGCTGGTGATACAGGCCACGGCAAGGAGATACGCAACAGCAGCGCCATGGACGTGGCGGCCACGTAAGTCTGTCGTCCGATGTGAGTATGGCTACGGCATGGCCAAGAGGCAAATCCACATCGGCCAAGTGTTGATGCCACCGGCCATCTTCACCGGACTTTTTCTAGCCCTGTGGTGCTACAAATGCATCATGCTGGTCTTGTTCCAGAATGCCATTATCTACAATCCCTTTCTCCCACCAAATGCTCGGAGCATGCGGATTTCGGACTTTTCACGCCAGTGCGGAGGAATTGAATGGCGAGAGGGCCGCATCAAATCTTTGGATGGCACCGAGATTGCTCTTTGTATAAGTGAGATGTTTTGCGAGCACAAGCCCAATGGCTCACCCAAGACGCCGGTATATATTTTATATTTTCAAGGTATGCACAACTTCTCTCATGCCTTAAAGCAACTGCGAGTAGCTGAGGCGTAGAATAGGAAACGCCTCATCTCTCCCTCCTCGTCTGCCAGATATCTCTGGTATTATGCGTCAACTGAAAGCAGAGACCGAGGGGCCGGTTCATTACACTATAGTTTGCCTCAGCTACAGAGGATATTGGACATCACACGATCGTCCTTCTGAAAAAGGCATTGATCTGGATTCTGAGGCAGCACTTCGATGGATCGCAAAACTCCATCAAGATAGATACAAGCAGACAGAAGGGACTGTACCCAATCCCATCACCATCTTATGGGGGCAGAGTATTGGGTGTGGCCTCGCAACAAATCTGGCAGCCAAAACTCAAAACGCGGCAACTTTACCAATTAACGCCTTGATACTGGAAACACCGTTCACAAACACCCGCGCAATGCTCACGGCGCTGTATCCACAAAAGTGGTTGCCGTATCGACACCTTTGGCCGTTCTTGCGCAACCATCTCGATAGCTGGTCAAACTTGGGCACGATAGCCACAAAAGCCTCAAAACCAGGGGTTTACATAGTGGAGGGTGGTAAAGACGAATTAGTGCCCTCCGACCATGGCAGCACCCTTTACAAGCGGTGCCAGGAGGTTCAGCTATTTGCAGAGCTGCATACAGTCCGCGGAGCTCTTCATAACGATGTGATGGTGCGGAAGGAAGGCAAGCACACCATTGCACGGTCTATTGCCTTGGCTGTTTCACGGGCACAAGAGGCCTATGCAGACCAGAAGCCATCTCTGCGCGGGCCGTCCAAGAGCAAAAATTGAGCGTGGACGGCAAACTTGAATCTTATACTTTAGAGTGCAAGTGCCAAAGCTATGGCGACTACTTCTAATCGTGGTCAAGTCTGCGCCAAGCACTCACACGGGATGCTCGTACCGGCCTTAGTTGATGCAGTAGCTTGCCAGAAACTCAGATAGAAGAAGGCCTGTACCTTGCAACGCAATCTATCCCATGATCCACTGGCGAAAGCACGGCCCAAGATGTACGGCTGTGAGCCGCCGGAGATGGTGATAATTAGATAAAGGGCCCACGGCCTCGAGGCCGCTTCCGCCCCGATCGAAGACAAAGCTTGGGTGCAATTGATCTCAATTGACTCCAAAAACCCAAACTTCATACATCCAAGGATTCCGGCAACGTGCATCACCAAAACTAATTGCTCTACAGGCCCCATAGTTCTCATGCACTATCTCACATTCCTGCAGGCTGGTGATGGACATGGATGGATGCCTCGCACAGCTCCAGGCACCGCACGGCCCTCTAGGCTGTTCCACACCACACTTCCAGCCACTGTTGAAACAGCACTGTCTGCATGACAAGGCTTCGTTGACCAGCCCCCCTTTTGTTGCCTGCTTCCAGCTGTGAGTCGTCAAGCTCGGCAGGGATCCGTGGCCATTGGGCTGCAAATCCGTCTCGTCCGCCCAGAAAAGGGTAGCACATGTGTCAGGGAATCACGTGCTTTCGCAGAATTTTGGCGTCGCCCAGTACCGCACTGTAAACCTTACTGTGCACCGCTTTACGCGAGTGGACGCGTTGGGCCATCTCATTATCACCAACCCTGCCTAGGCCGCCTGGTCGCCTCACTAATGGATCCGGGGGGTGTCCACAGGCAGGCAGCGCCTCTGGTGGGTTTGAGTCTGGAGTCATATAAAACCATGGCATCCACCTGGCTTTGTGCAAAAATCTCGGCTTCGTCTGCCTTTGGTAAGTGAGTCGGTTTCACGGTGCAGTCGATTCACTTGTGGGTTTTTTCTTCTTCTTCTTCAGACTGCTCGTATTTGTCGGCTGTGAAAGGTTTTAGCAATCAATTGCCGCCTAAATTCACGAGCATCGTGCCCTTATTTATTAATATATTTAATCCGCCTCCTACCTACAAGAAGGCTCACCATGTTCTCCAAGCGGCCCGACACTTCCAGCCGGAGCTTCTCCAAGAGCCATAAGGGATCTAAATCCACTTCTTCTTTCAGCACCTCTTTCAGCAAAGATAGCGGAATCACCAAGAAGCGCCATGAGTCTCGCCACCGAAGGCCAGCCACGTCATCTTCCGCTTCTTTTAGCGAGGACACGATCATGACCAGGTAAGCTGACCCGCCTCTCCCTCTCTGTATCACAACTGCAAACTAACCATGTGGCTCTTAGTTTTAGCAACTTGGGCTCGTCTATCGTAACCCTTGTTGTCGGATCTGAACAGCGCCTTTTTGCTGCCCACGAAAACGTCCTCTGCTCAAGCCCCTTCTTCAGCAATGCTCTTCGAAAACTATACACCGATCCTTCCACCAAGAGAATTTCTCTTCCAGAAGAAGAACCTGAGATTTTTAGCTCAGTGCTGGAGTATATGTATAAAGGGGATTATTTCCCCCGCTTGGTGCACAACAAGCGACGAGATTGCTGGGAATTAGAGCCCATCCTCAATGATGATGATAGAAAAGCTGCGGAGAGCACATTATATCATCGCGGCGTTGATGGTGACCTACTCAAAGACACAGTCATCTATTGTGCCGCCGAAAGATATGGCCTAGATGAATTAAAGAAGCTATCTCTGCGCAAGCAAGGCCTTCGTAAGTTCTTGATCCTTACTTCCACTTTTGTGCTTCTTCCTGACTTGGAAACAGAATCGGGCATTCAATGCAGCACTATCCTTGCCTCGGCAAGATATGCATATGCGAACACCCCTGATAACGACTCCAAACTGCGAGCCCACTACTTGGCTTTGATCATCCGGTCTCGCAGCACCTTCAAGCGAAGTGGCACAATGCAGCTGGAGATGTTTAACGGAGGCACGCAGCTTTTCTTCGATCTCTTCGTAGCCCTCTGCAACCACGTCGATGATATCTCATCCGTACAGTAGGTGTTTAGGCTGCATTTTATTAGCGATGGCTATATGATTAACGGCCAAGAAGTAACACTTCGTGGCCTAGTCGCCACATGTAATGATCTCGTCTCAAGCCCACCGACGGGCTAATGTTCTTTCCTATGTCACTTACCGAGAAGATGATACCAACCCAATTGCAAAAACAAAAATCTCGAGGCGTTTTCTTTTTCTTTTCCTATCTTTCTTATTGGCACGATGATTTTCTTGCGCAACTTAGCTCATGATTGTTCCCCTTGCGCTACTTTTTGTATGATTATGCCCGTTTCCGCTAGCACACCCGACGACTTTTTCCTTTTTCCTTTTCTTTTCCGAAATCTGAAGATTCATGGCACTATATGGAACGATGACTACTTGATATTTTAAGGGAGATGGATTATACACTATTTTGGATAAATCGAGATTGAAATCACAGGCCAGGGTCAAGCCTGGAAAGACCATCATAACTGCTTTAAAGCTATGCACATGAGTTTAGAATGAGATGAGAAATTGCTTTTCTTTTTCTTTCCCCTTTTGTCTTTTCTTCCTCTCAATACTTCATAAAGAAGATATAAATTGAACTTTTTTTCACCACGTATTGCCATCTATTGCTTATGAAGTGGTAGAGTTGCGTACAATATCCCAAGACGCCAAGATGTCTTTGTTCGCTGCACCCATCACTATAAAGAAGCGCATTTTTTTTTTTTTACAAAAACTTTTGGGGAAATTTTTATAGGCTAGATCCCTGAAACTCTCTTGAAATGAGTCATTAATTCAAGGTAGGCGATGGTAGGTGTGGCTAGCAGCGAAACGCATGCGGAAGACGCGGGAGGGATCCGGATGGCTGACCAATTGATCAGGCTATCGAATAAAACAGTCATTAGAAGAGGACCTATTGGCCTTTTGAAACTTGTATATCCTCGCTAGCTATCTAATATGTCATGCACACCATAATAATTTGGGCGCCAATCGTGTTAGAGTAATGCAACAGGCGCACGCACCAGCCCATCCACCCAACATTCTTTCTCAGGAAGCTAGGCAACGAGATGCCTTACCGGTGAGGTTCTAAGAGTAATATATCAGTAATAATGACAGAATTTGATCATCTATCAATGTCTAGTTAGACACCAGTGCCTGGGAAAGCGCCTTTCTTAGATAAGACTACGATGCCTCGCTCGCGGGCAATATAGCCTTTCATCAGATCCTGGTTTCAATGTTAGGAACAGGACGGAACGAGTGGATGGGAAAAATATGCAGCAGTGAGCCGTACTTTATAAATCATGTTCGCCAATAGGCACTCAACCTCATCTGTGTCAACCAGCTCTCCTCCGCTCCCCATGCAGATAGCTGCGCGGAATTCCGCGACAGGTACCCGTGTACGGCGTACTGGCGTGGTCTCGCCCTCTTTGAGCTCGTCAAATCCGCCTGCGATGAAAACCTTGCGTAGTAGATTTCGCAAGGCGATATCACGCCCACGCTCGAGCGTAAGGTAAATGCGCCTCTTGACAAACTCATCCTCGCCTTCCTGCAAGGCAATGTCAAAAGCGCGAAGATCGCCTTTTCTGATGCATTGGGCTAGGGGCAGGAACAGTTTTTGTAGGCGAGGAAATGGCTCCAAGAGTGCCTTTGTGGGCAGCACATGGGTTGTAAGAAGGCGGCAAGGGATGAGATAGGTCAGTATTCGCCTAGGATATAACATTAGTATTTCATCGGAAACACCATTCGCATGTCAAACATACTCTAAATTTGCATTCGCGTCCTTGTGACAGAGTTCCCATGCTTCGACAAGATATTTCTCGGCCTAGCGTATGCTATTAGTCACACGCGATACAGGAGGATTATATAATGTCTTACCTCGATATAATTTTCCTCCAAGAAAAATAAAACTCCCTCGTAAAACTTAAAAGTGACTCTCTGTGACTTTGGAAAGGCCGACAATGCTGGCATATCTCCCCTGTATGCGCTTAATGTCTTTAGAATAGTTCGTGAGAGCGAAGCAGAGTTTAGCTTGAAATATGTTTTGAACAGCAGGTTGATAATGAAGTAGATACCCCATTTCCTGGATTCTTCGAGCGGGGCTCTGGATACAAGAGTTAAAAAAGTTTTCAAGGTATTTGAGGGTAGATACAAACCTGTCGTTGAGACAAAGGGTGAATATTCTCTTTAGGTGCTGCTCGCAATCTCTTAATTGACTTTGTTTTTCGGTCTCTGGGTCAAAATCATCCTGTATGAGGGCGGCTCCCCCCGAATTGTCACCAGCACTGCGGCTACGCTCCGTGTCGGATCTGATGGCAAATAGTCTCAAATATTTTCCAATTACATATAAACACGGGATTGTCCACGCTTCGAAGCCAAAGTTGTTATAGCCTCGGATCAGCGCGGATGTTACATCCTTCCAGGATTCGTAAACCTTGGTCCATGTTGACTGCTCCCGCATTAGTTATCATCGGCTTCACTCAGTTGCTAGCACTCAAATTACCTTGCCATCTTCTACAGCAACAACATCCCCAATAGCATTCCAATATGCGGCGTACACCTCGACCCAACCCTTCACTTCCTCGTGATCAAGACTTCGCTGATGAGATGAATTTGACTTGATGAAGTGTTTGATATCGCCTTTGACGCTAGACGAATGGCTGCTCTTCCATATTAACCTTAGTCGCTGAGGATTTCCTGATGAGGCTATTGGAGAGAGCGTTGCCGCGAGCAGGTATCCGTTCTGCTCAGCATGGGCTTTTGCGAAGCCTTTGAACAAGTCGTTCATATCGTCACAAGGTGATGAGCTGATGAACGCGCTTATTGGCTAAATATCGATTAGATTCTTAGCTCCGGTCAAATAGTGTTGAAGAATAAGAAAATCGTACGCGAAAGCGATTCTCTTTTGGGTTTGAATGGGGAATCGTTAATATGCCTACGACATCGTCTTTCTGTTCCACAAGAAGTTCCCTGGCCCATGCCTCCCATTACAGCCCATCCAGCTAGGTACGTACCTTTAGTTCATCTCCTAGAGTGGATGAGGTAATACAGAGGCGCCGTGACTTTTCACGTGATGCTTTCTGACCGTTGGTGGGGGCTATTGATTTTCATTGTGACCAATCGCTGTGAAGGTCAAAGCCCTGCGCCGAATCTGGTGCTCAACCCTCCCCACTCACCCGCACACAAAAATTATCGCTGCATCACCTCTAACTTGACAATCTTCAAATTTCGCGATTTGTCGAGGACATAGACCACCGTCACAGTGAGTCGCGGAGACACTTTTATTAGATATTTCACATACTAACAATCATTCCAGATGGGTAAGAATCTCCTTTTTAGCTCTTCACCAATTCGAGAATGCGCGTTGCCGGGAGGAAAACCAGTCGTCGAATTTTGTCTCGAAATCAGCAAACCACGATATCCCGAACAGAAGTCTCGATTCAACCAATCAATTGAGCATGGGTGGCATCGTTTTTGATGTGGGAAAATGGCTGGACTTGGCGTATTCTATGCAATATCCATGATCGAAAAAGGATTTTCTCTTGTCGAAAGATCTCTATAAATCGAGACATCAAATTTTGAAACGATCGGCACCGACTTTGGCACACGAGACCATCGGCAGCGCGCATTCGAATGGCATTCATTACGCAGGAGTCTTGACCTTGGATACTAACAAACTGCCTTCAGGTCGCCTTCAAGAGTACGAGGTCATCGGGCGCCACTTGCCCACCGAGGCCAACCCTACCCCGGCCATGTACCGGATGACCATCTTCGCCCCTAACGAGACTGTCGCCAAGTCCCGTTACTGGTACTTCTTGCGTGGTCTCAAGAAGGTCAAGAAGGCCACTGGTGAGATCGTCAGCATCAAGGCGGTATGTGGACTTCTCCAAGCCAAAGATAAAAACATGACAAGCGGCTGACGAAGAGGGAAATTATAGATCCACGAGAAGCACCCCGAGAAGGTCAAGAACTTCGGTATCTGGCTGCGATACGATTCTCGATCTGGTACCCACAACATGTACAAGGAGTACCGCGAGCTGACCAGAACCGATGCCGTCGAGTCCCTGTACTCTGACATGGCTGCTCGCCACCGTGCCCGTTTCAGGTCTATCCACGTACGTTGAGTAAAACACGAGCATATATGCTTGTTATTTACTGACAATTTTACCAGATTCTCCGTGTCGTTGAGGTTGAGAAGACCGCCGACATCAAGCGCCCCTACATCAAGCAGCTCGTCACCAAGAACCTCAAGTTCCCTCTCCCCCACCGTATTGCCAAGACCAGCACCCAGAAGCTGTTCAGCGCGAAGCGACCTTCCACTTTCGCTTAAGAATGTTATTGGTTTTGAGGACGGTTGGGCTAGGTTCTGCGGGTGTTTACAACGGATCATGGAAATATCACTGCATTTGCTCGTTTAAAAAAGAGCACTGAATGAACCAAAAAATTCTGAACACGGTGTAGATTTTTATGACTCTAGCAATGTGAATGTCTGTGTTTTTCTTTACCGCGACATTCCGTGTTGATCGCTAAGAGGCACCGATGCTGCAAAGAGACATGAGCTGATGTCACGCTGGTTATTTTCTATAAAAGAAGACGAATTCGGCGGGTCTAGCGGTTAAAAGATGCACAATACAAAAACAATTGCGCCTTCTACAGGCAAACAATTTTTTTTTTCACCTATACATGAACAGCAAATGATGTTTTGCTCTGAAATTGAGTAGCATTGCTTGGTATTCTCTCTCACCATCTCTCTAAGCGTATACTAGTTTGAAGTTTTTTTTTTTTTTTTTTTTTTTTTTTTTTTTTTTTTCCTTTTGCCAAGCTAGAGGCCACGCCACTACGTATCTCCCAGGTCTATCCAAATCGGGCTCACCGTGCTGGACTGCGGAGCCACGAATTCAGATTTCGGCTTGTCCAACCTATTCGAGGCTGCGGACAAGAAGTTCCTACTAATCAATACTCGCCTATAAGCGGCCCGAACAAAACGATTTAAACTCATAAAAGTGTCATAATCCGGTGGTGTTCCGGTATGACTCACGCTAAAACGAGGCTGTTTGATTTTGATAGTAAACCCCCGATCTGCTTTCGAATACTTAAAGTGGTTCTAAAGCAACTATCTTTTTTTTTTAGAACTAAACCTCGTGTCATCAAACTTAAGCTTCTTTTTTGAATTTCTCAGAGACTCTGGCCAAGTTCGCAATACCTATCAGAATACATCTCTGTCGATACAGTACAAATAAACCTCTTCACAATGGCACAAACCAACGATTCCTCTGCCCCCTTAGAATGGGTCACAGTTAAAACAACCTTGCCAAAAGCATACCCAGCCATGTCAACTCGGGAGCCTATCCGAAGTGAGCGCCTAATCCTCCGGCCATATACCGCAACAGACGTCAAGGACTTTCACCTCCTCCGTCTACAGCCGGAAGTCATGAAGTGGACGGGGCAGGGCAGGCCAGACAAAGATTTGGAAGAGACGACAAAGTGCCTGGAAAACAGGCTACCAGGCTCAGCCAGCGGCGAATCCGCATATGAATTCGCCATCTGCTTGGCAGAGACAGGAGAGATGATTGGCACCGGCGGAAGCCACATGCGAGTCGGCGAGCTTGGTTGGCCTGTAATTGGATACATGATTCGATCCGAATTCTGGGGTAAAGGCCTCGCAACAGAACTCATGACCACCTTCTTGAAAGCCTACTGGGCGCTTCCTCGAGAAGAAGTCGATGTCAAGGTGGAGAAGAGCACGATAGTAGGCAACGAGACCGACGTACAGCCAGAGCACATCACAGCGATTACGGCACCTGACAATGGGGCAAGTCAAAACGTTCTAGCGAAACTTGGATTCAAACTGGCTAGGCTATTCGAAGAAGAAGACGCTGATGCTCCGGGCGTTAAGGAGCTCTTGCATGGATATGCGATGCAAAGGCCGCAGGTGTAAGAGGATGTATGTATGTATGATATGCATGGGTGGTGGTGCTAGATACCCGGCTCGCTTTTGTAAATTAGAAGAGAAGCGTCTGCAATTTAGCGATACAGAATAGATACGGTGATAGAAGTAATAGAACCGATTGCTTGAGGCAGAAAATGATGCAGAGCCGCTCCTATCTATGACAAACAATGCCGCGGAGTGCTCCTCGCCGCTGATATCGATTCTATTGTTGCTTGATGTAAACCCTAATGGATCATGCATGATGTCTTAAGCTTTAGGAAGAAGAAAAAATGAATGGGAAAGAAATTACGAAGATTTATTTACAACAAATAAGATATAATAAAAAGAAAGATAATTGATGTCAGACTATTTTGCTCCTCTAAAAATATTCCAAAAATAAATGCAATGCGGCCTGTGTGGATCGAACACACGACCTTCAGATATCAAGTGACTTGAAGTTGAGGCTTCAGTCTGACGCTCTCCCAGCTGAGCTAAGGCCGCAAGCTAATTGGTTGAAAGAACTCCTGGCTAATTGAACTTGTGAATGAAACTATCATTGCAAGATGGCGGAACAACCATTGAATCATTGCATTTGTCTCTTGTTGACGAACTTTGGCGAGTATATCATCGTGTTATTGCATAGGATTGCGTTTGTTGTAGTCATAAAATTGGCGTGGACCTATTCCCAGCTGGTATCTAAACTCTCGCTAATATCTGAAACCTTCGTTTTGAAAGTTTCATCTGCTGATTGACCAATAATAACCATCTTTAGTTTCCATCCCATAGCCCAGACGGACTCCTACCCTAAAAGGGGTGGCCTCCTATATGCTCTAGTACAAAACATTTATCTACCTCATATATTTGTATAATCATTTTCCTGCCTTCTCGTATTTCTCAAGTAGAGCCTTGCAGTTGGTCAGATTTTTCTTTGGCTCCCATGTATTATGCTTGCTTGTGTACCCCTTCCATTTGACCTTGAACCAGTGTTGCATCGTTTCGGGATCAATCCTGGAGTCGACTATTTGCTCAACTTCCCACTCTTTGCGCCCATTATGAGCTTCTTGAGTAGCTTCATCTCCCTTATCGGTCTTCTTTTTACGTAACGTTGTCGCCGTCGTCGCTGGGCGACCACGCTTTCGAACTGCACCTTTCTCTTCAACTTTTTGTTGGGGACGGAGCTTGCGCTTTGTAGAAGAAGACAGCTTCTGCGCAGATGATTTGGGTTTTGTCTCTTGAAGAGTAGCTAGCCGGAGTCTGGATGAGGATCTTGGTTTGGCAGAGACTGATGACAACTTTTCCGTCTCTTTAGGCTGCATTAGATCTTCTTCATCATCCTTCAGGACATTATGGCTCTCTGTCACTGAAGAGGGTGCCAGAGCTCTGACTGAGCTATAGATCGGCGAGGTTGGAGAGTTGATTAGTGAAGCGAATCGATAGGTCGATGATGAAATTGCAGGAGAATCTATAGGCGAGTCCATAAGGTACGGCGATGAGGCTCGGTGATCAAAGTTAATATCGTCGAAAATTCTAACTGGATGTTAGCCTTCGATTTGCTGGATGAAATATCAGGTTATTTACTGGGGCAAGGTTTCTTCGTTACCCAGCCGAGGCATGGCTGCTGCGATATTGATTGCCTTTTAAAATATCAGCCGAGTTGATCGAATCCAAGTTTTATGTGATCAGGTCTATTAAAAGAAAAAAAAAAAAAAAAAAAAAAAAAAAAAAAAGAATGCCTAGGCGCAGAATATGTTTTGTTTTGTATCCTGAAGGGAATGTTATCTCACGTGCAGCGTATGTATCGCCACGTGGGAGCGCTGCGGCCTCCCGATTTCAGCTTGTGTTCTTAATTATAGCAAATTGCAGCTAACACGCTTCTCCTGGGGGAAATATAGACTTGAAATGAGACAACTAGCTAAATATTGATCTATGTCAGCTGATTTCTATAGATGGATGATTGAAGTTGTTGTATTTTTACGGCTAGGCTCGAAGAGAATGATGCGAGACGCAGGTTACCAGTGGTTGATTACTTCTATTCTACTAAATTCATGTTAAGTCGACGTCGGTTCATCTAAGTATACAAAAAACTCAGCCACGCGCAAAGGCTAATGGTTCTGAAACTTCAGATGCTATGCCTTAGAATATGCTTATGCGGAGGATGTCCAGGTGTATATATATATACTGTCTTGTAGGTGGTGCATTCAGTCAAGCTCTTCAACCTCGTCGTCATCAAGTTCACGGAATTTCCCTTCGCGCATTGCTTGCACAACAGGATTCTCAACGTCTATGACGCCAGTCTTCTTAAGTCTAATAGCCAGCTGTTAGTTATCTAAGGATATCCTGGGAACGAAGAAACTTACCGTTCAAAGAGCACAAATAACCTTTCTGCCTCGCGCAGCTTCTCATCTTCAGTCATTGGTGGCAGTTCTGAAACCTTTTCCTGGTCTATGAACTGTCCAGTTATGGGATTCACCATCCTTTGGGCACCCGTGGAGTCGTCTGCGTTGAAGGTCGTTGACGCACTTGCGGGAATGGGTACGTTGTTCTTGAACAAAAAGCCAGAAGCAAATCCGTATCCGACATTCTCTACAAATTTTGATGCGTCTTTATCCGATATCTCGAATAGAAGGTGGGCAATTGCATCTCGCAGCGCGGGTGTCATTGGATTGGTAGAATTCTTCAGCAATCTTGCAGAGAGCGTCTTACCTCTGCCGAGGACTGATTTACGATCCTCTGCAGTTGGCAGCAGTTTGCTGCCGATATACTCGCGCACCGAGCTAGGAGCATGCTCGCTAATCTTGAGCATCGTGCTGATTAGAGGAGTGACAGTGACTTCAAGTTCATTATCGTTATAAGTTGCCATTGCGATATCGAGGAGAGATATTAGCCTGGCAGCAACTTTGTTTGGTTCAGAGCTGGGGTATATAGCAGCTTGGTTTGTGGCTGTAGATATATCAAGATTGATTAGAGCGTTGACTAGAGGTCCAAAGGGCGAGTCCAGGGGATTGGAACTTGGGATATCTTGTTTCCATAATAATGCAGCGATGTGTGGAACGGCGGTATCGAAGTGAGAAGCTTCATCTTTACAAAAGTGAGTGACGTTGAAGAGAAGTTTTAGAATTTCGGAGAGCGCCATGTCTTCCATAGGTTGTGGCTGCTGGGGCTTGGTAGCAGCAAGCTGAGCATGGCGATCGAGATTCTCCGTGATATTCTCAGCCAGATGGTGCTCAGTAATAAGATTACTTAGATGCTCTTTAGTACCATAAGTGGAAAGCAGTAAGATGCGGGAATGAAGAAACTCATTATCCCAGTTATCGGTCTTAAGCCCATCACAGGCTTTCGTAGCAAATCCCTGATCTACAAGCATCCGCCGTGTTTCGGGCTTTAGTAACATGGAATTGGCTAGAACCCTCAAGGCAGCTCGAGACGTATCACTGGACGAGCTTTGGAAACCATACTGTAAGAGCATAGAGATACCCTTGTAGATGTCAGCCTAAGCTTCATCGCGAAAAGCATGTTGTACTTGTAGTAGCTAACCTCCTTGGTAAAAATAGGATCTGCATTCCGGGGATCTCGTCCGTAGATCTTGAGTTCCTCCAGAGCCTCATCTCGGTCTAAGAAACAGTCAAACACGACTCTCACCAAATTAAACAAGATGCTAGTAGCGAAATACCTTTAGGAAGAAGCGAGGCTTTATCAAGATCCTCTGCAAGCTTGTTGACCAGTTCAGTCACTGCCTTAAGCTTGGCTGTATAGGGTTAGCAAGGCCTGTCTTAACCCTTTCGCGACGGTTGAATGGACTCACCAGGGCCCGTTGCTGTGCCCAGTTGGAGACCGGACATGATGGAGAATAAGTTGATTAAAGGCTCAACAAGAGCATGGACGAGTATAAGGGTGTGGCGCGCCGAACTGCGCGTAAAAAGGCCCGCGAATATCTGAAACCCAAAACGGCAGTCCAAGGGTCAAGTGATTTGACGACTGCTGGCTACAGCATAAATGAACGTGCTTCTGATTGGCCGCCACCGATATATGACTGCGCACGCACAGAATATAAAGATTAGTAAGGTGCTATCAGGAATTGGAGAGTGAAAGAGAAGAGAGAGGGAGAGAGGTGTTAGGAGCAGAGAAAGGTGATGAAGATGAAGGTCTGGCGATTGTTGGCCAAAGTCATGAGAGGCGGGCGCAGCGGACCAAAAAAGAGATTAATAAGACGGATAAAGGCCCATCTATTTTCGGTGAGTTTCTAAGGTATTCTGATGTAATTTCGCCAGAAAGCCAGGATTCGCGTTGATTATTGATTCTCAGGTTAAGCGTTGCTTCAACGCCGTGCGTTCTCTTTGCCTTGTGTTATACGCAGCACAAACTGAACAGCTCATTCGGGGTCTGCTGTGGCGACAAACCAGCGATTGGAGCCACTGCCAGAGCTGAGATGGGCGATAAGCGACTGCTGGAGCGTACAAGTAGCTGCAGGTTGCTCCAGATTGTAACCCCTGATTGCGCTGCCAGGTACCTGAGACAGCCTACATGTTAGCACCAATGTCTTGTATCCAGTATCAGGCCCGCGCGACACTCAGCACGGATCAGCGCAGCTCTACATGCTGGTACCTTTAGTCACTATCTTATAGTGGGGGCAGCCACTAAAACGCGTGCTGAAGCGTGCACCGAGCGTGGTCGCGTCTTGCTTAATTGATTTCTCGGTAAAATTCATGGGCCGTGTCACTCCGTATTTCACTTCCCAGCTTTGCAGCTCAGAGTCGAGAGGCGCCATACCGCTGCCACAACCGTAGGGCTGTGATGCAAGTTTAGGCGGCGTTGATGGTGACTTTTTTTTCATCTCATTTCTTGAGCTTCACCTTAGTTCGAACAGACCCTGCGAGATTCCAATGTCTAGTGGACGATCCTCTTCTGGCCGATTCACTGCTGTCTAGATCGCCAGACGCTGCATCGCAGCAGCCATGGCATCTTCAGTAGCCCCGGCTCCAGCTTCCAATCTCGAGACGCTTCTACCGCGGCCACCGACGCCACCGCGAGAAGCAGCCAAAGACAGCGACGGGTTGGTCAAGTCCATATTGAGCCGCGCTCCTTCATCTGATCCTCAGGACAGTCTCCAGACTCCGCCAACTGCGAACACCCCGACCTCGACCGATGCGCCTGATTCAAAGTTGATGTCTAGTCGGACAAGGAAGAAAGTTGTATGGTCAGCACATACCGAGTACAAGGACCCAGTTGACTATCGATCAATCGACAAGATTCCCAGATCCTCCCCCCTCTCGGTTCCTTCGCCGGCTTCCAGACCTATCAAAGGCATTCTCAAACCTTCATCTTCCCCGAGCCGTCTCGCTTTGACGTCTAGTGGTGATTTTGATGCGACTTCAGGCCAGCCCAATATAATCGAAATGTTGGATTCAACCATAAAGCAGCTGGCCGGCTCTGACCGAGATTCGAAACTTGATGCCTATATGATGCTTTCAAGAGCCCTGAAGGCCTCTAATAACCTTCCCGATCGAGTTGCCTTGCAAGACAAGATGAGCCTGTTCATGCAATTCATCCAGCGCGATATTACGTCCAAAAGTGGCACTGGAGCCCCCGATTCTTCATTAATCAATCATGCTCTGACGCTTCTCGCTACGTTTCTCCATTTCCCCGCCATCGCCTCGACCCTCACTTCCGATTTTGGAATCTTCGTTATCGACCACTCTATCCACGCGTTCGAAGACGCTAATACTCCCAAGGATGTTGCTCGACATCTGATGCAAGTTGTTGCGTTCCAAAATTTTTCCTCCAAAGTTATGACATCTGACCGAGTGGGACGGTTGGTCACTGCGATGTATCAAATAGAAGACCATCTCACGGGCAAGAGCATCGTCATGAGCAGAATACACATATATAGGCGTCTGGTCAAGCAGTCAAGCTTGCATATGGTTACCCACTCAAACTGGCTCCAGAACGTGCTTGCAGATATGCTAAGCTCTGTCAAGGATATTCGGGCCCAGGCCGTTGGCCTCGCCACCGAAGCTGGATTTGCCCTGCGATCTGAGAAGCAGTTGATGCGAAAAGCTAGCGAGATATTCCAAACAACAAATGAGGATCAAGCCTATATCGAATTCTATATCCACAGGTTACAGGAAATGCTCAGAGACAGGTCAAGCGCTTCAGCTGTGCCGCAGATATGGAGCGCCATTATTCTTTATATGCGATGCCCTTTGGAGAGGTGGCAATACTATGGCCCTTGGCTAACTCTTGTCCAATCTGCTTTCAACACAACAGATTTTCCCACGAAACAAGAGGCAAACTTTGCCTGGAATAGGTACATCTATCTTACCTTGGTCGATAGCAAAGCTACCCCAAAGAACCTTGGAACCCTCTGCCAGCCCCTGCTAAGCCAGCTTCGGAGACGTGCAAATCCTAAGCAATTAGAAGAAGCTGTGAAGCTCCAAAGGACAGTCATTGGCGGTATATGCAATCTATACTACTATGCGTTTGCCCCAGGCAATGTCAAGTTCCCTCCTGATTCGATATGGGATGTTGCTGTCCAGCCTGTGTTGTCACAACTCATCAGTCTGGATGGTAAGCCCGAAATTCCGGGCGATTGTCTTATGCAGGCTGGCCGTATCTTGACAAGTCTTATGGACGTAGCCACACCTCGGATTTGGAGACACGATCGTATCATGGAGACAACTCCCGCGAAACCTGATGAACTCCCGCCCCTGGACTCAAAGTGGGTGAGGCGGAATTGTGATAAGGTCTTCCAAACGGTTGGCCCCCTTTTAGAGAAAAGGTTTCTCGACTTGGCCAATAAGGATTCTTTGATATTCCGCCTATGGCATGCACTGGTCGGCTCAATTGCGGCCGCTTCCGCGAAGGATATCAAAGTATCAGAAGATACCGCCAAATTCTTCGCTCACGCATTTGGTCTACTGTCCAGGATGTGGCTGGCTGGGATACCCGAAGCTGATAATTCACATGGCCCGGCGTTTCTATCTAGCATTAAGAATTTCATCGAAGTACTTGTTAAAGCCCTGGGTATGCTGCCCTTTACCGAAAAGAGGCTTGCTATGACGGTTGGTAATACTTTTGAACCTATTGCCACACCATCCCAAAATCAGAGTCGACCAAGTTCTCTAGGTACCATTCGAACTCCATTGCAGCACCTCTTTTGCTTGCTGGCTTCTGTCCCATCGGGCGGTGCTGATGACGAAGCCTTATCCGACTTTTTTCTATCCGTTTTTGAGCCCTTTTTTCTTGGTAAAGCAACACAAGCTCGCTTAGAGCTATCCAATGAGCTTCTTCAGCTGTTACCTCGAGCGTCTCCATCCCCCTACGGACCTTGGCTATTAGGCGCACAAAATCTATCTCTTTCACTTGAGAATAGCGAAGCTGCGTCCAGTTTGAATGGAAGCGGTAAAATGCTAGGACTGAAATATCGAGACATAACCTCCTTGCTTGAACGCGGCCTCTTCGGGCACCCTCATCTTCCTCTTGATCGGTGGTTTGCGTTATTTGCACAGCTGTCTGAAAATGTGGTCCGGCAACTGGGTGATGCTGGGCGAGCACTCGCTGTTATCGAGCCCCTGGCAAAAGAGCTGTTAGCCTGTCTTGATCGCGGCGAAGAGAAGCCGTCTGCAACCTCTCTTAAGGCAATACGCTCACTCTTCGATGCTGCCAAGCTGCCACGCGATAAAACTGCTCTAAATACTGCTCGGCAGCGGTTATGGGGAGCTTCCGTAGTCGCCGCCCGAGCAGGTTCGTCTGATCCGTTTGATAACCTCTACAAACTTGGGAACCAAACTTTAGAAACTTTCTACGGCAACTTTGCCATTTTCGATTCAGACAATGACATTGTACCTATTATCGAGAGTATTAAGAGCTTCTTAGTGAGATGTTTCTCTCAGTCAGGCGTTAAAGCCTTTACGAAAGTCGAAGCTGGCCTATGCATGTGGATTGAGGATGATAAATCATGTTATGAACATGATGAAGAGTCACTTCTCTCAAAAGCTGTAAGGATCACCCAACGGCCATTACTTTATATATTTTTGACTAACCTTTTAAAGCTCATTCACACATGGGATGGAATATCAAAGGGGCTTGCTGGCCGGAGACAACTGACAAAAGATGAATTTGACGAGATAGAACCACTTCTGACGTCTGCATTCAGAAGCAAACTTCCCACTATTGTTGACAAGGCAATCGAACTGTGGAATGTGCTAGCTAGGGATGAAGAGAGGCTAGACTGCTCAGACAGCTTGAAATCAGTGGCGTCGAATGCTGGCTCAAAGAAACAGCTCGTGGAATCGAAAGGATCTGGAAAAACCGGCGGGGCGTTCGGAGCCCAAGCTTCTTCATCAAAGGCATCGCCAGACGAAACAAATCTCGTTGTGCTCTCTTTAAATTCATCTCGCCAGGCCGAGCCAGCTTCCATTTCGAAAATGCCCACACGTATGTCAACTCGAAAACGTCGCATGGAAGAAACCCCCGAATCCAGCCGTACAAAGACAGCGAGGCGAACTAGCACTCCTCGACTGCGTCATGACAATTCTCAAATCCAATTTACTCTCGTTGCCTCATCGTCTCCGATCCCTGAAGATGGTTCGCAACACCTCACGGAAAGACAGAAAGAAGTACGAGAAAGGCAGCGTGAAACAGAAGCCATCTACTCAGACATGCGGACAAGCTCTCCACTTCCTGCCAAAGAGAGCTCGCCCATACCGGATGAGAAGGTGGATTCTACTGACAAGCAAGCGGAAGAAGCGACTCCACGCCACACCACGTCTTACGATAACCTAATCAGCTCAACACCAACCCCAAGACGTGGCCAACTCCTGAACATGGATGATAACGATCCTCCGTCCTCACCTCCCATTCCACGGCCATACCCGCTCCTTTCAGAGATTAAGTCTCGCTCTCTGGCTGGCAGCTCATTGGATAGCTGGGAATTTTCATCACCTCCAGGGTCGCCAGAACCCGGTAACCAAGAAGCATTATTAGATATTCAATTGCCTGGGGAGAAGTCGACAAAGACATCTACTAGGAAAGCAGACACAAGAGCTAAAAGTATTGATGCTAGCTTGAGAGATATTATTCCTTCTAGCCTTGGAGAAGAAGAATCTTCATCCTCAGACTTGACAGAATTATCGGATCGAAACGCGTCGTCTTCGCCAGATCCACCACCACAACTTCTCGAAACCCCGACCAAGAAACGGCTGGTTCGCGAGGCTGCTCGCGTGGAAGATAGTCCGAAATCGGTCGACGACGAATTTGTTGATGCTAGGAGCAGTCCCGAAAAGCCCTCATTAGCACAGGCCAATGACACATCGTTCGCGCTCAGCGAAGGAGATGAAACTCGAATGATGAAACTTGCAGAGGAGCTTGAATCGGGTGACCGCGCAGGCCTACAGGAAGAGAGAAACGCTGAAGACAGTTTTGATAAACGACCCAGCGTACAGTCAGCAGAAGCTCGAGCACCATCGCCTCCAATGACTCGTGGGGCAGCTAAGCGCTCCCCCTCGGTCATCGTCCCGCCTATTTCTGCGGAATCTCTTGGCAATGGTGAAGGAGGGAGCAAAAGAAAGAGAAAGCGAGGAGGTTCTCGGCAAAGCAACAGCCGTTCAAAGAAGCAAAAGTCGGAGCAAAAGTCAGAGAACGTAGAAGAGGCAAAAGAGGGAGAAGTACTGGTGATAACCGAAAAGGAACCTCCTGAAACTCCTTCTGTGGGAGTAGAGACCAGGGGAAGCGCACGAAGACAAAGCGAGCAGCGCCAGCGAGAGGACAAGACTTCACGGTCACAAAGACGATCAAGCAAGCGAAATAAGAAAGCGCGAAGTGAAGAAACGGACGATGAGGTGATGTCACAGCTGGTGAACGAATCCCAAGCAGTGACCGAGAGCCAGAAATCAAACAAAGATGCAGGAGAGGAAGTACCAGACACTGATGATGGTCCCCGTCAACCAACAGAACGCGTGGATGTGAAAGCCATGGCGGAAGACAAGGCGGAGAGTGAGCCACAAGCCAAGATCTTGACAATCATGGAAACGCTACAAACCAGCTTGGCGCATTTACGCGATGTAGCGCTGCCTCGAAACGAAGTATATAAGATGGAAGACATGTTGATGGATTTGAAGCGAGAGTTATTCGAAGCAGAGAGACGAGGAAGGGAGAGCACTTAGACATGAGGAGGAAGCATGAGGAGGAAGCCATGAGGAGGAGGAAAATATTACGACAAGCATAATGCATGTGCTGCATCGTACGGCGTCAGGGATGTTCTTTGCTTGGCTTTCTTGCCGTGATTTGCTAAAATTGAGACTTTTACTTCTTTCTTCCTTGTTATTGGGCATCAGCTGATTTTGGCTGTATGACACGGGGTGTATGGATAACTAGGTATTAGATGCTAGAATTTTTGTTCTATGGGAGTGGATATTATGCTTGCATGGAGGTAGATATTGGAAAACGGCCGCAAGGAAATATACTGGCTTGAACATTTTACAAGAAGTGCTGCGCTTGATACCTTCTCTCTCTCTCTCTTTTTTTTTTTTTTTCTTTTTTCTTTTTTTGATTATATCGCATTGAGTAAACTGAATCAAATTAGACGCCAGTCACATCCTCTCAAATTACCCTTTCAAACGAGCTCGACGAGGCCAAATTGTACAGTATAATTTCCTAATTTCTGTAAGCCACCAGACACGGCCAACATGACCATAACGAGAATGGAACAAAATTGGGTCATCCCCGCCGAATCGTAACGGTTGCGGGCAGGGACCGCATCCCGCAGTCCTTGGCTGCTTGGTGTCGTTCCTTCGGATAACCCAATTAGGCAGCCCGGCGGCAAGCAGTCACCGACGCCAAGCATCGAGTCCCGAGGCACACGCACATGGGAAAGGCGCTTATGCCGGTAGATCCATTTTTTTTTAAAAAACATACAAAGTATGGCAAGTATGGGTTTAGGCTTGGACTGGGTAAAAGAAAGAAAATAGATGGCTGCCTGGCGCAACGAGAGATGAGTGGTTGGATGGCTGGAAGGCTGGGAATTTCGTATGCAAAACTCCTAGGTATCTGGTTGGTTGTATGACTGGCCTACAGCTTCAGACTTCAGGAGGAGAAACAAGATAATTTGTAGTTTGGATATCTATGTGAAGAAGGTAAAGATCTCCGATACCAAATTTTAGGTTCTCTTGCTTTATGTATGTACAAGCCCTGTTGATCTTCATTGATTCAAGGGTAATCAATGGGAGGCCGCTATCACGGTATATCCCTACGCATAGAGCGTGTAATACGCGTTCCAAGCTGAATGGCAATTGATACAAGTGCACTCACACACACGCATAACGCTTGTTTATTTCTCAGAAAATTTGGATGAGCCAGTTTAGGCTCCATTTCATCGCAGCAAGTGACGTCAAAAAGGAATAGCTGTTTTTTGTGGGCATCTCGACGCCTTGCCGGCTCGCTTCAGAACGGAGTCGATGTGGGCCCCAAGGTCCATGTGCATTCTATGTGAGAGAGGCCGATGATACCATGGAATTCAACTTGTGCCCATGCCATATCTGGGAATACGGAGCTCCCGACGCAGAAGCTATCGGTCAACTACTCCTCCAAGGCTGACACCATCGTGAGATTGCAAAACCTGGAGTAGCATGCATAACCTTTTCTTCGTAGAACAGTCTGGACCTTTACATGGCCAATTCTCTGAAGGCTTAGGCCTGTTAGGAGCTTGACTTAATCTACCCCAGATTATTCATGCTGCTCGTGTGCCTCGGATCACTTCTTTGGGTATATCCAGAAGATTCAAAATAAGGAAAGGGGGATAGATTCAATGGTGGCTGTCTGGGGAAATCTGGGGATGACTTTCTCTGGGGAGCACGCGAGATAAGACACCGAAAATTGGGACGCGGGGAGAATGAGTCGATACTAGAGCGATGGACCCTCCCCCGGATTTTGCACGTTCCTCGTTTCAGCGCAAAATACGAAGCGATCTGATAATGCCCTTTTTTCACATAGATAGAGCTTGGTTCATCACGGCATATCGCGAGATGGCTTCAAAGACCCTGAGGTATCTGCGCTGGCAGTCTGAATGGCAGATCCAGCGATTCGCCTACAGACCACCAGGAGAGAAGGCGGCGTATTACGCGAGCTAGTCTGCACCGATCAGCTAGCGCCTGGAAGCCAGATGTGCCTGAGCCTTGCTAGCCTTTTCCGATGCAGCATTTTCTTCTTCTCCTCTTCTTGTGCTGACCGATCCGCCCCGACCTCCCGTACACACCAAGTCAGCTTGCTAGGCCTGCCGGCCGGAAAGATTTAAAAAAGATGGCCTAGCAAGGGGGCAACGAGGTTTAAGCCAAAGAGAGGAAGTCGGGTTTCCCAGCTGGTGCACGCCACCGGCCCAGTTGCGCCCTCGATGCCAAAACTAACTTACGTATGGAAGCCAATTCTTTCGGTACCTCACATGAAGAATGAAGAGTGGGTGGTGCTGATCCTTTCTTCTGCATGTTGTGTCGCGTTTTTGCCCTCTCTTTTTGCCTTCGCCCTTGTCAAAACACGCGTGCCAAGGCCCCTTTGATTCCCACTGAGATCCACCATCTGAACCATTGCGCTCGAATCTAATTCGGCGGATGACGTCGATATTTCCCCACGGTTCTCCAGAGAGCGCTATGTGTGTGGCATCACCAATTTGTAGCGGTGGCTTTTATTCCATCCGAGTTGGTCAGTTGGCTTTGACAGCAGGACTCGCCCACAACGAAACCCCAATGTTGTCGAGCCCGTTATTTGATTAGGTAGTTATGAATAACACAGGTCAGCACTAGACGGTTTTCCTCATACAGTATGAATGGTGGCTACTAGAAATACCATTAGCATTGAATTATACGACTCGGTATGTGCAGTAGGATGAGAGGTATGGACGGGGAACTTTAAGTGGACTTGTTCAGCCTATTGCAGCACTAGAACTGCTAGCGGACAGGGGCTAAAACAAACGAAGTCAGTGGTTACTCCATCTTCGGTGCGAATTGTTGGAGAGGATAGAGCACCAGTCCAAGTTTTTTGCCTCCAAATTTTTTTCTCTGTGCCGTCCAAACACGTAGGTAGATTCGATGTTGGGAAAATGCTGTAGAAGCCAAATTTATATATGCTGCCTCAGTAACGAGGCGTTCAGGCGGTGATACAGACGCCAAAGCAGTAGCGACTGAAGGAACGTCATCCAGCATCTCTCGCACGTGCAAGGCGGTGGACTGATATACACATGTACAAAATGCTTTTCGCCTGCCTGGACAAGATCGCCGCCTTTTTTTCCTTCTTCCCCACGCCGCTGGCCTGTAATTCCAATCCCTCGCATGCACATCGCCATACGGACCGGCTGCGCTCCTCGCACGTTGCCGGGGCCCGACTCGACAAGGCGGCCAACTATCAACCATGAACTAAATATTAGTGCAAAACACGCCCATGGGGAGCGCCGGCCGGCTTGCTTCATTGCTCCATCGAGACTACGACTACGGAATGCCTACTCACCTCATCTTCTCACTTCCCGGGAACGGCCATGGAGGTCCAACAGAGGCTCGGCGTCCCCAGTTTTTTCTGTGGACGGGCCATCCATCTTGCTCGAGGCTCGTACTTTGTACTCCCATGTCCGCCATGTCAGTGACCCAGTTTGTCGTTCAACAGGTGTGCGCGATGCGACTTAAAAGGGCCTTACAGCTCCCCCCTCGACGGGTGCTGATCTTGTCTCACTGAACCCGGGATCTTCATCTGCTTCCTTCTTCTTACTCTTTCTCTTTCCAAGGGCTGAAAAGCAACCTCAAGAAATAAAGAAAGGAAGAGGTTACCGCAGCAGCAACTTCGACTCATCAAGAGACTCTGTGCTCTCTCGAGAATAAAGCTGCCATCATGGGGAGATACTTCGGCCTCAGAGGCCAAGCCCTCAACTGGGCCATTGGCACTATTGCTGGCTGCGACTTTCTCTTGTTTGGTTATGGTGAGTTAAAAAAAAAAAAAAAGCTTACGGCTCACAAGCTATCGCAACTATCATCTAACAAGTCATAGACCAAGGTGTCATGGGAGGTATCCTGACACTGCCCATCTTCCTTAACCAGTTCCCCGACATCAATCCAGATCTTGCTACGGATCCCTCTGATGCGTCTAAGCGCTCTACTTACCAGGGTATTGCTGTGGCATCTTACAATCTGGGATGCTTCATCGGCGCCATCATCACCATCTTCATCGGTAACCACCTCGGTCGTCGGAAAATGATCTTTCTTGGTACTTCCATCATGATTATTGGCGCCATCTTGCAATCTTCTGCTTTCACTCTGGAACACTTCATCATTGGTCGTATCATTACAGGTCTTGGCAACGGCGGTAACACATCAACGGTCCCCATGTGGCAGTCTGAGACGTGTTCTGCCCATAAAAGAGGAAAGCTGGTCATGATTGAAGGTGCCCTCATTACTGGCGGCATTATGATTTCTTATTGGATCGACCTTGGCTTATCGTTTGCTCCCGGCTCGGTTGCTTGGCGATTTCCTTTGGCCTTCCAGATTGTCTTTTGTATCTTCATTCTTGCCTTTGTCCTCGGCCTGCCTGAGTCGCCCCGGTGGCTCATTCTCAAGGGTCGCGAAGACGAGGCTAGAGAAGTTATTGCTGCCGTTTCAGACGTTAACATTGGAGATAAGCATGTCGAGAACGAATTCCAAGCCATCAAGGAAACTGCCATGGAGATGAGCAAGGGAACCTATGGCGAGCTATTCCATGCTGACCACAACCGCACTCTTCACCGTACTATCATTGCCTACGTCAACCAGATGTTCCAGCAGATTTCTGGTATTAACCTCATTACCTACTATGCTGCTAAAATCTACTCTGACCTCGGCATGAGCCCCTTCATGTCTCGCCTTCTCGCTGCTCTTAACGGTACTGAATACTTCATCGCTTCTTGGCCCGCTGTCTTCCTCGTGGAGCGTGTTGGGCGCCGAAAGCTCATGCTCTTTGGTGCTGCTGGTCAAGCCGCCACCATGGCTATTCTTGCTGGTGTCAATTCGCGCCCGACGGAAAAGCCTTTCCAGATTGCGGGTATCGTCTTCTTATTCGTATTCAACACTTTCTTTGCTATTGGATGGCTGGGAATGACCTGGCTGTATCCTGCAGAGATTACCCCTCTACGAACTCGTGCTCCGGCCAATGCTCTGTCAACTTCGTCCAACTGGATCTTCAATTTTTTGGTATGGCCTTTTTTTGTCCTTGTTTATAATTTGCCATGCAAAGCTAACACTTGTTTTCTAGGTTGTCATGATCACGCCCGTCTCATTCACCAACATCAAGTGGAAGACGTATGTCGTATTTGCCGTTCTCAATGCTTTTATGGTTCCTTGCGTCTACTTTTTCTTCCCTGAGACAGCCTACCGCTCCCTCGAAGAGATGGACGCTATCTTCCAAAAGGTCAAGGGCTTCCGCGGAGCCTTCGACGTTGTTCACCAGGCAAGAATCGAGCCACGCCGATACGGCAAAAATGGAGAGCTTCTTATCCCTGTGGATGAGATTGACGAGAAAGCCAACGCAGAGCACCACAACGGCAGCACCAGTGAGGGCAGCGATGCTAACAAGGGCATGTTCACGGGCATAGATGAAGAGACTGCTCGGAGATGAATAGCAAGCATCGCATAGGACATAGATCCCGCCGTATGGCATGATGACTATTTAGCCCTTCTTGCACATTCTTACTGCACCCGTTTGCAGTGACTTATATTCCTGCCTTTTTCTTTCTTTTTCTTCTCTTTTTTCCCCTTCCCCTTTGATGTCCCCTCAATGTGGAATGGGGCTACATATACCCAGTTGTTTCACGCATTTTCATAGCTAGAAAGGGCCAGGATAACTCGCGTTGCCCTTGAAGGACTACGTGTGTCATGATTCCAATGTGCGATAGGTAGAATAGACGAACCGATGGCGAGTAGAGTTGATATACACTCGGCATGCTAGCTCGTTATATGTTATTGCTGCCTCTACCTTTGCTATCCTCCCTTGTCTGTTTGTGTGTCTGTTTGTGTCCCTGTACGTACGAGTGAAGTTTTAACATCCGCGATGGGTGCATCACCAGAACAGGATCTGATAGCATATTAACCTGCACCGTCTCTTTGGCAGGAAATATGAGGAGGATCTTTATGCAGCGATCGCTTGTATCGTGAGAGTGTGACGAGCTTCGCTGGCCGTAATGACTGCGTTTCAGACGCCTGTCCTCTTACACGATTCGCCTCTGTCGCAAAGGGTTCATGGTGGCAAGTAGCTGTACTTGCTGAGTGACGTCTTTTCTATTGCCCCAGTAAGTACCGAATACGAGGCGAGGAAGAGGGGTGTAATCGCAACGCTGCAACAGCTACCCCGCCATATGGAGCTAATGCTGATGCAGTCACTCGTCCTTTTCGGCTTCATCTTACCGGAAGCTTTTCCTTCTCTCATATCCCCCCCCCTTGTCCTTGTACAGTGCAGTTGATTGTGTTAGCGGGTAAGCTTGTTGCTGTTGTGTTCCCTCTTCCTCGATTGTTTGAGCTACCTCGTGCTGATTCTTTGGCGCTTTAGAATTGCCATCTTCGAAGCCCTGCGTTTTCCCCTCCACCTCTCTACCTTACATACGCCAACACTCTCGATCGACCAACTCGAACCAAATCCATACTTAAAAATCGCAATCGCATCATCATGGTCGACCGCCCTAACAAGCCCTCAGCTCTGGCTGCCACGCCTGGCCTACAGCCTCAAGCCCAAGTCACCATCTCACACGGCAACTCCCGCGTTACCGCATCGCTCCCCACGGGCGAGAGCGTCGAGGTTCTTCTGTATGGCGCTACCGTGCTGAGCTGGAAGGACGCTTCTGGGGATGAGAAGTTGTGGCTAAGTGAGGGTGCAAAGCTGGACGGAACAAAGGCTGTGCGCGGAGGCATTCCCCTGGTCTTCCCTGTATGTTGTTCCCCTATCCGAAGCTGCGAAGAGGAATTGCGTTGCTTGTCTTGCTCTCTCCCTATATCTATATGCGCGCGGGAAGCTATTCTTGGGTGTTTCTGTCTTCAGCTAACCTCTCAAACTCCCTATAGGTCTTCGGCACTGCTCCCGACCACGAAGCTACCTCCAAGCTGCCCCAGCACGGATTCGCCCGCAACTCCCGCTGGGAGTTCCTTGGCAAGTCCACCAGCGAATCATCCTCCAGCAGCGTCAAGCTCGACTTTGGCCTGTCATCCGAGAACCTTGACGATGCCGCCCGCAGCCTGTGGCCATACAAGTTTGGTCTCCTGTACAGCGTCACGCTCGACCGCGAGAGCCTGAGGACCGCGCTGGTGATCACGAACGAAGGTGATGTGCCATTCGAGTTCCAGACGCTGCTGCACACGTATTTCAAGATCAAGGTAACGCATTTTTGCGCACACACATGGTTTGCACTTTGGATACGCAATACTGACTCGAGAATGTCCAGGACATCTCTTCCGTCCAAATCACCGGGCTCGAAGACTCCCCCTACCACGACAAGGTCGACGGCGTCAAGGGAAAGAACCAATCCTCCGATCCAGTCGCCTTCTCCGGCGAAACCGACCGCGTGTACACTCCCGTCAAGGGACCTAGCCACCCGGTCATCATCTCCGATGGCGGCGAGGCCAAGTTCCGCATTGTGCGCGATAACCTCGACGATGTGGTTGTCTGGAACCCCTGGGTCGACAAATCCGCTGGCATGGGCGATTTCGAGCCCAAGGACGGCTGGAAGAACATGGTCTGCGCGGAGGCTGGTGCGGTGAGCTCATGGCAGAAGCTGGAGAAGGGGGATGCGTTTGAAGGTGCGCAGACGATTTACTTGAAGTAAGAAGGATTATATACATGCACATATCTGTAGACAAATGTACACGTTCACACTCACACTGCGCTGTCCTTGTATATCAACACACACGTTGATGATGATGAAATTCGAAGAATGAAGTTGAATTGTGTTTTCTCACGGTAAATATCGATATATATGCACTGCAGATTTCTTTCCGTCTCATATTTTGTCTTTTCGTCCCGTTCTCCTCCGCGGTATGACGTACCCGGTTCGATAACCTGTTTTATATACAAGGAGGAAAAAAAAAAGGACATAATTTCGTCCGTCTGGTGTACACATTCCTTTGTTTCTGCCTTTCTTTTGTTCGTTTTTATTTGAAAATTGCTCATGAAGCCATGCATACAATACAATTCATATATATTCCCATCTCTCATCGTACCTATTTTCTTTTCTTTTGTCAATTTGTATTTTTTTCATTTTCATTTCCTTAATCTCATTTCTTGTGTTCCCGAGAGTAGTGATCCGCCACCAAGAAAGCCAGCTCAAGAGCCTGCTTCTCATTCAGTCTGGGATCGCAGAAAGACGTGTAATTGGTTGAAAGGTCGTCCTCATCGAGACCCTCGCTGCCGCCCAGACACTCCGTTACAGCGTCGCCGGTGAGCTCTAGGTGAACGCCACCAAGGTAGCTGCCTTCCTCTTTGTGAATGCGCAGCGACTGCTCGAGCTCGCTGTAGATGTCGTTGAACCGGCGGGTCTTGATGCCGGTTGGGGTGGAGAGCGTGTTGCCGTGCATGGGGTCGCACTGCCAGACGACGCATCTGCGGTGCTCCGAGTCCTCGACGGCGCGGATGTGCTTGGGGAGCAGCTCGGCGACCTTGCCGGCACCATAGCGGGTGATGAGAGTGATCTTGCCGGGCTCGCAGGAGGGGTTGAGAGCACGGAGGAGGGCGAGGATGTCTTCAGTTGGGGTAGATGGGCCAACCTTGATGCCGATTGGGTTTGCGATGCCACGGAAGAATTCGACGTGAGCGTGGTCGAGTTGGCGTGTGCGATCACCAATCCAGACGAAGTGGGCGGATGTGTCGTAGTACTCCTTGGATTCGGGTTGAAGAGGCTTGATGGTTGGCGATGAGCTCGGAGGAGTGCCGGGTCTGCTAACGCCAGGATGAGTGGGCTTCTCAAGGAGGCGTGTCAGGGGCTGCTCATATTCAAGCAGGAGACCTTCATGGCTGGTGTAGAAATCGACGGTCTCGAGCTCACCAGGCCGGGCGTTGATGACTTGCAGGAAGCGTAGCGTCTGCTGGATGCTGGATGCGATCTTTGAGTACTTCTCCTTGAGAGTTGGGTCACGGACGTGGCCCAAGCCCCAGTCAAGGGGCCGGTGTAAGTCGGCGATGCCAGAGGCGAGAGCTGTGCGGATGTAGTTGAGAGTAGCAGCAGAGTGGTGGTACGCCCTTGGTATGATGTTAGCAAAGCCTTGAAACTGGCTGGAACTGGGTAGATTGAAAGGCACTCACTTGATGAGACGGCCGGGATCAATGTCGCGCTCATCGACATGGTAGCCGTTCAGAATGTCGCCCCGGAAGCTGGGCAGCTCTCTGCCGTTGACCATTTCAGTCGGGCTCGATCGCGGCTTGGCATACTGACCAGCCATGCGGCCAATGCGAACCACACGCTTGTTTGTGCCCCAAATCAGAACAAGGCTCATCTGAAGCAGCAGCTTGATCTTGGACTCGATGGCGCCCTGCTCGCAGTAGTCGAACAGCTCGGCGCAGTCGCCTCCCTGGAGCAAGAAGGCGTTTCCCTGGGCGACGTCGCGCAGATGAGCTTTCAAGGCATTGATCTCATTGGGGTGAACCAGAGGAGGCATCCGCGAAAGCTCATCGGTGGCCTTTTTGAGCTTGGAGGGGTCGGGATAGGTGGGAGACTGCTTGATGGGCTTTGAGCGCCAGGTGGAGGGATCCCACGGCTGGGAGGAGACGCTTTGGGGAGCCATTGTGGGTGAAGACGATGATGGTGATGGTGATGGTGATACTGAGGATGAGGATGGGAATGAGAATGAAGAGGAGGAGGAGGAGGAAGAGAGTGAGACTGAAGCTACAGCCTGTCTGGTCCCTGCTGCACTGCAGAAATGCGTCAGCCAACAGCCGGTCTGTGTGCGTCGATGTCGATAAGATGCATTCCAGATGGAGGCATCAAAACTCACCCAAAGTCTGCCCCAGATGAAGTCGCCTTGCAGCAAATACGCTCTGCACGTCAAAGCAACGGCTCGCCAGATGCACACACCCAAAATGCTGCTTTGCACAAGAGAGGACCGCCGGTTTAATTGGTTTGTGACGGGCACAAAAGGAAAAAAAAGAGCCCCGATGGACGGTTGATATGAATATGAGTCAGTGGGACTTTGATAGTCGTCGGTACTGCAGCAATGTCATACCAGTAATGCCACTTTTAGTACGTACCTGTTTTAGAATTTTTTTTTTTCCTTCTTTTCTTAGTGACGGCGATCCTTGCATTGGCGAATCAGAGGCGGTGCCGCATGCTGTGCCAAATGGTTAGTTAGTCATCCTATTGTGCCTTGCCCGCCACCAACGGCTTTCTTTTGTGCTGCGTTCTTGTTGACGGACGCAGGGAAAAGCGAAAATTACTGGCTCGAGTAATTATGATTTTCTCTCTCTTTTACTGCTACCATTAAAGTAACTGCCAAGCTGTCACACACCATAATTTAACTTCCAAGACAATGGAAGAGAAAATGCTTGGACGCTTTAGCCAAGACCTGACTGGAGACTCGGGTCAAAGCATATGGTGATGATGAGCTGAAGATGAATCAAGAAGACGAAAAGAGAAAAAAGAACTTTGATAGTATATAAAGTAGGATAATCTATCTGTGTAGTGTTGGCATTGAGCTATATGGTCATTCCATAATCTGGCCCATAGAGCACTCGCCGTAATATATAAGTATATGTACTATTCTACCTATACAACAGCGACGGGCTGTTCAGGCATTCAGATTATGGAAGCAACGCTTAAAATCATTCTCCTTCATCCTCTCACATACCAAATAACGTCTTTCAAATCCCAAAAAAGGATGCATCATCACACCTCCCATCTTATCATTACACAACATGCTTGACAAGTACTAACGCAGCAGCTGCAGCTCGTCTCTGCCCCTCCCAAGCTTAGGCCCCAGGTACAGAGGTACTTCCAAACCACCAACCGCTACTTCTCTCCCAAGTTCCAACTTCATATAAAAAACCAACACCAACACCACCACCATCAAAAAACAAATCCACAAACAATCATCATACCCCCAAAAATGTCCTCCGCCGACGCCTCAGACCAGCCCCCCCTCCCCAAAAACGCCGAGGACCGCAAAGCCGCCTCGGCCCTCGCCGCGCTCGACACCCCCTCCGACGCAGCAGGCACCCCCTCCAACGACAACGTCAACACCGAGGCCGTCTCCCAGGCCATGCTCAAGCTCGGCGCCGGTGACGACAAAGCCAAGAAGCCCGCCTCTGCCGCAGCTTCTTCTTCTTCCACAGCTGCGCCTGCAGCCGCCAAGAAGACCGTCAAGGTCGACGCTGCGGATGTCGCCCTCGTGGTGGACGAGCTGGAGGTGGCCAAGGCCAAGGCGACGGAGCTGCTCAAGGCGCATGATGGGGATGCTGTTGCTACGCTGAGGGCTGCGGCGAGGGGCTAAACAAGTGAAAGAAAGAAGAAAGAAAAAAAAAAAAAAAGACAAATATATAAGAATACCTATATAACACGACTCTTGGAAAATAGAAAAGGATGCTGTTGCAGTGGGCTCTGCTGCGGGTAGTATCATTGCTTCTACTGTGGAATACACACGTCGGTTCGATAGATACTACTCAACATCTCGGCACCTGGATACAATCACCCACAACAACGGCTTGAGTTTGTCCCAAAGGAGGAATATGTGTTCTACGCAACAAAGAACACGCATAAAAAAGACAGCAGTCATCGGTATGCACAACTCACTCTTCACCACAAAAGGCGTTCAAAAGCATTCATACCCATCGCTACCAGCAAAAGGGTAACACGGAAATCAAGTCATGATAAGATAGCGCGCAAGTAAATATATTTACTCTTCCTGTTATGTTCATTATGTTTATCTAAATACCGCGGCTTGAATTCCAACATGTGTCCGCCTTGCACGCTCTTATAAACAATACCAATGCGTGACATCTCAAAACGCCTCATCGTCCATCCGAATTGCCTTATTTGTGTCATAAAGATTTCCCCTTTTTCCAAAAGTGAGTGACTAACCAATGCAAGCGTTTCTATATCTGTTTGAATTTAGTTCTGTGTGTCCGTTTCCCCATGATCCATGAAAATAACCGTCAACGTTCATCATCGGGCAAGACCCGAGCCAAAAAAAAAAAATATCAGCCGAAAAATGAAGTGATTTCGATTTACACCGCGCGCTCATGCTCATCGTCGCCATAGACTATCACTCCCTACTGCCACATCTTGGCCAAGGGACTGCCCACTTTGGGAGCAAATTGCAAACTCTTGCGCCGAGCTGCCATCAGCCGCATCATCACATTCTCATCACTGTCCCTAGACAGAATGCCACCGCCAAGCTCCATAAACTTTTGTGCCTTGGGTGGACAGGTCCGGGTCATCAACTCTTCTCTCCTCAATGACGGGCTCTCTTCATCCTCGTATGCATCCTCGTCTTCAACGTTGGACGGTGTCTCAGTAGCATACTTCATAAGCGTCTCTGGAGCTGGGGTCTTGGGTACAGGGGTTAGAATTAGGTTAGACCATTCAATGTCTTCCTCTTCCTTCTCCTCTTGCTCCTCGCTAGTATCAGACGGCGTGTGGATCCAGATGCTGCTCTGCCTACGATTGGGTGTTTTGGGAGAAGAAGAAGAAGAGGAGGCTGACTCCCGTCTCTCCTTGGGCGAGCCGCTGACCGCAGAGCCGTTCTGGTTAGAGACAGTTTTGGGTTCCATGCTCTTCCGGCGGCGTGCGCCCCCGCGAGGAACGTAGCTTGTGTCGATATGGTATGGCGACTCGTCAAGCCACTCGTTGTCGCGCTCGCAGTCCAGGACCCAACTCACACCCACGCACTGGACCACTCCGTTGGCCTCCCTGACTTTCTCTAGAGTTCGCTTACTTCCATCCTTGAAGACGACGTGAGTGATGCCCACTTTGGTCGACTCGCTGTTGCTTGCGCTGTTGGGGTTCCAGCTCCACTTTTGCAGACACCGGGCGCCCATCTGGCTGAGTAGCTCGACAAAGATGCCACTGGCATCCGCGCCCTCGCTCGTGTGAACGTCGACAAAGACAATGGCCCCACGAAGCAGGTTGGAGTTGAGGTCTTTACGAGGGGTCCGCGCTGGCGTTCCAATCTTTGACCACAAATCTGCTTTTGCTTCTGGCGTAGACGGCTCAACAATCTGCTCAGGCGTTTCAACCTTTGGCCCCTTTTCCGCTTTTGCTTCTGGCGTAGACGGCTCCGCCCTCTGCTCAGGCTCCTCAGAAACAGTGCTGCTGTTCCGTGAGCTTCGCCTTAGCGGCTGCTGCTTCTCTGGAGTATAAGACAAGACAGGGGCACCTCGTTTCGGTTGGCTGGGGCGCTTTGGAGCAGCACGGGAGGCGCTGAAGCTCTTCTTTTTCAACGGACTTGGCGTTGAAATATCAGCTGGCTTTGTCGGAATTTTGGTCGTTGTGTTGAATGATCGCGTCATAGGACGGCCAACGGGAGTTACGGGCGCCGCCCGAGGCTCCGGCATAGGCACAGGACTGTCGACTGGGACTTGGTTCTCATCTCCGTACTCTTGGCTAGCATCTGACAGGCTGTCATCAAAAGATTGACGAGTATTGCATGCATCCTCGCTCTCCATAGGATCCGACAGAGTCATTTCGTTAGTCTCTTGAGCAAGAGCTGCATCTTCGTCTATAATCATAGTCTCTTCTTCCAAGTCTTGCTCCTCCGCATTCTCCGCGATTTCGTCTTCAGCACTTTCATGTTCCTCAGCGTCTGATGGTTGAGGTTCTTCCGCGAATGAAACGGCGTGCTTGACAGGGCTTGCAGCTGACCAAGAGCCGAGCTGGTCGGATAGAGATGATAATCCCAGAGTAGACCTGCGAGACCCCTTCATTGCACTGCGGGTCCTTGGCGATTTTTCTTCATGGAAAGAAGGCGTGGCCGCAAGTCTCTCAAACGGCAGCGTATCATCTGCATCTTCAGCGATTGAGCTCATATCGTGGCAGGGATCCAAATCTTTCTCTCGAAGCTGGTAGAGGGTATCTGTCCCTGGAGTCTTGATTTTTGGTGACGAGTCGGCATATTCTTCTTCTTCTGTGGCGTGATCGTCAAGGACCATTGTATCTTCTGAATCGTCTTCGTCCTCATTCTCATCCCCATCTTGGCCCTCATTTTCATTTTCATCGACATCCCTATCCTCAGTTTTCGTCGGCACTTCATTAGACTCCTCTATCGCGACAATGATACTCTCTTCAGCGGCATCATCTGACTCATCCTCAGTCTCTTCGCCGGCCTCATCCTCGGTTTCCAGGGTTTCTACAATGGCAGTGGCCTGCAATTCCTCTTCTTTTTCCTCTCCTTCTTCCTCTCCCTCTTCCTCTCCCTCTTCCTCTTCCTCTTCGTTGTTTTCAAGCTCCGCATCCGCTGTCGCCTCTATTTCCACTTCTACTTCGCCGTCATCCACTTCTTCTTGCGCTTCTTCCTCTTCCTCTTCCTCTCCCTCTACTTCGTCTTCAGCTTGATCTCCCGCCTCTTCCACGTCATCAGCTTCTGCTTCCTCTTCCATTTCCGTCCCTGCTTCATTCTCCGCCTCTTCCTCTGTAGAAGCTAGATCGGCTTGTCGGGATCGCCCAGTAGATGGACTCCTGGAAAATCGAAGGTTTATAACGGGAACCGCAAAAGGATCATCCTCCTCAGCCTCGTGTACATCTTCTTCAACCAGGAGTCTTTGCGAAGATTTGGCTGGTCGAGTTGGAGTTGCAACAGGAAACTCATCTAGAGTTGGGAGTTCTGGCTGTCGACTATCTGATAGCGATTTAAAGCCTGGGAATGCCCGCTTCGCTGGCGACTGGAGCATGGAAGGCTTCGCCGTTGATTTACTCGCCGGCTCTTTTTGGGCTGAGAAGATAAAGGGTTTCATAGGAGACTGCGGCCGCTTGGCGGCTGACTGCAGAAGCGTTGAAGACTTGAAAGGTGTCTGGGCAACCGATTCATTGCTCAGTTTTAATGCGGATCCCGGTAGTGGCATCGCAATCCTCTTAGCTGGGGACTTTATTGTATCTCGCGGTGGCGAGCTAGGTCGCCTGGCCGGTGATCCAAAAAGCGTTTCATTAAGCTCCGGCAGATCGAACATGGCCGCATTCACGGAAACAGTTGTCATGTCGGGCTCAATCTCAATAGGAGCGATTTCTGCTTTCTTGGACGGAGGCTTAATTGGGCTCTTTGCCAACGGCTTCTCCAAGGACAATTCATCTTCAGAATCATATTGTGAAAGAGTCAACTGCGTAATCTTCTTGGGGCTTAGCGGCTTCTTGCCGCCGGCTTGAGATTTTGATGGCTTTGCAGCAGGTCTTGTCGTAGTCCGGGCCGCTGCCGCACCGCCTCGCCGTGCTGGACGGCCACGCATACCAACTGGAGCAGGTTCCTGCGGAATCGCGGCGGGCTCTACATTCTCTTTATCGGGTTCTCTGAATTTTACCACCTTCTTGACCGGCGGCTTATTGGCCACTGTTGTTGTCGTCGTGGCTGATTTCATAACTGTTGGTGGGCGCCCGCGTGTCGCCTTTTTAACCGGCTCAGGCTGGTTGTCGCTTCCTTCGGGCTTGGATACAACCTTTCTCGGCCGGCCACGAGTCGGTTTCGGTGCTGTAGACTCTTCCTTTGCGGTTTCTGATACTCCTTTCTTCGCCGTTACTCTGGCTCGTGATGCTCCGGTAGACGCCATCGCTGAGGCTGCAGCTGCAGCTGTGGGCTTGGTAGCACCATTCTCCTGTTCCTCGGCCGGCTTCTTAGGAGGCCGCCCTCTTGGCCGCTTGGCCTGCGATGCTTGCTGTTCTTCATCCGCGTCATCAGTCCTCGTCTTTCTCTTAGCAGCCGTGCTCTTCGTATTCGCGGTCAGACTTGACGGGACTGCAGATCGCGCCTTTGCGGCAGCTGTGACAATTTTGGTAGCTTTTGACGTTGCCGCCGTTGACTCAGGGTTTTTTGGCGGCCTGCCCCTGCCTTGACGCTTGGGTGGGGAGCGCATCGTTGTGTGGGTTAGGATTCCTGGTTATTCCCTTATGCGCGCAGTATTCCCTTTGCGCAGAGATCAATATGAACAAAAAGACGCGGTTGAAAAGGGTCTTAGTGTTGACATGACTTTCGGGCGGTGAATGTTGGCGTGACAGGGAAAGCGTGGTGGAGGCTGGGGGGGCATTTTTTGTTATGCGGGAGTGGGGATGGCGGGAAGCTGCCGGTTGCTGGGCAACAACGCGACCCGCAATACCGACGGACAGGGGTCCTCTTATATGACACTTGGACAAACACACAAGCCGCATGAACAGCTGGCCCAATCGCTGCTGATTTGGGGCATGTGTCTCCAGATTTCAATATGCACAGCGCAGTGATAGTCACGCACAAGATATCGCAATGGCGTATATGTACGTAAACACAGCAGATCGCCTTTTTTAACTTCCGCGGATACTCGAAGCCTCCCCATTACAACTAACAATATGGCAATGCTTTTTCAACAAATGGTACAATACTTTTTTCTGGTTAGCTATAGCCAATCCTAGATCTTTCGCTACATAATGTCATGATGTGAAATTTTAATCATTGACTCATCAGTGGGTGTATGGTTGTATACATGAGTGCGCACGCTTGTTTTTTAAACAATCCCCCCTCATTGTTAATCCCCTCCGCTCTTAGCTCGAGGCAGCTTCAAGGTTGAAAATAAATAGAAAGAAAGAAATAAAGCAAATAAGTGAGACAGATAACGGTGGGATAGTGAGACTAGCTCTAGCGCGTAGGGTCACGTTGAGGTAGCCACTGCGCCGTATGTGTGTGTATGGCGAAGCAATGGCATGACGCGCATAAGCTGCGGCCATCCCCCCGTATTTATGACTACCTGAAAGTCGTCCGAAACGGACCATCAATCTTGATGTCCTTGATTCCTTCCGGCATCATCCGCAGCCATTCGTTCCAGCTGTCAATGTCGATGTTGTCGTCGTTTAGTTTGATAGCCAAGTGTAGTTGTGGGCTGTTTTCATAAGAAAAGCTGCTCCGTAGAGGGCTGCTCTGTTGAACGGGCGAGAGAAATATCGAAGGCAGCCTCGAATTTCCGGACATCATGGTGTGCAGTGGGGCGGGAAAGCTCATTATGATTTCTCTCTCAGGTGTCCGATCCCGGGCCAGCTTAGGGTAAAGGGCCAGAAGAATTGAGTGCAGTTCGACTACAGAAAGCGGCGTCTGGCGCGCTGCGCGCGTACGTAGCTGGTCAGCGAGAGCCCTAGTAAAGGCGCACCGATCCAGAGCGGTGAGATGGTCTTCTGATAGGGACGCCGCGATGATTTCTAATACGCCTTGCTGCCTTACGATTCTAGATGGAGGGAAATACGCGGCATCCATAATGATTAGGGTGTCCGCGCACGCCTCCTCGAGAATCTGCTGCATACCGCTCCAACGAATAGTCGAGGCTCTCTCAGGATCTTTCGAGCTACAAGTTGAAGAAGGTAATGTTAGCGCCAATGCATACAAATGTCAATTTTTCAATTTGCCAAGGCGTACCTTGCCAAAACCATGTCGCGATTTCCATCAAGATAAGTGTGGCCTATGTAGTAGACAATCTTCAAAACATCACGCTGATCGCGCTCCTCAGCAAAGTCGTTGAGTTTTCGCGACAGCCATCTCCAGGAGCTTTTACAGCTCTCTGAAGAGGAAGGGATAACCTGGATTTGAAACGTATAATGATAGTACTTGTCAAAGACGTCAGCGAGTTCTCTGACCGCATTCTGGACCAATAGCGCATCATCATCATCTTGCCAGAATAATAAAAGAGCCTGGACCGAGTTGTACCGGCCACGAGTAGTGGCAGAGAGCATGCGCGCAGCGTTATTTTGCATGTCGTTTTTGAGACTCTCAATGCCCGGCAAGGATAGTGACTTTTCTAGTCTAGGGCCAGTGGGTAGAGGGGTGCGGATACGGGCCTCACTCAGGGGGGGTCGGCCAGGCTGATGATGGTGGTTAGGCGCAGAGCCAGCATCAACGTCCATCTCTTGAGGATCGTGAGTGAAGACGGGCTGAGCCGTGCTGAGGCTCGTTGCGGGGCTGAGAGGCCGGCCGGCGGGAAGCGAGGGGGCAATATCCTGAACGGCCGGGCTGTGAGGCCTGTGGTGAAACTTGCTAACGACGTCTTCCCAAGTCATGTTATGGTGGCTTGGGTGGCACTGCAAAGAGAGAAGCATAGGGTCAGCCTCAGCCGCACATGATGCTGGTCATCAGGGCCATGACTTACGGCAACTCTCCTGCGGCGACAGTCGACGCAGGCTCCTAGCTTTCTGATGAGGGCGGCCCGCTCTCTAGACTGTTGAGATAGGGGGCCGGTACGTCTCCTGCTGGTTCGACGGCTGTTAGAGACGTCGGAGCCATCCTTGAGGGAGAAAATGGACTGGTGCGGGTTAGGGGAGGTGTCGGCACTGTACGATGTGTTGTTGGTCTCAGTAGAGGCCAGGGTAGCCGTGGTGGCCTGCGTTGAGACTGACGAGCCCGTGTCCTGTCTCAGCGGCGGCGAGGAGATGGAGACGTAGTGCGCCATGGACGGCGTGGATGGCGGAGGCAGATGCCGCGAGTGCAGGTCGTCTGGCCGCGGCGTGTGAGCTGGCGTCGGGGCCGAGGCGGGCGCCGTGGGAGACAGCGAGAGGCCCGCCACGGCCGGGGCCGACGCCGGGGCCGGTGGCGGCGGAGAGGCCAGGCGCTGCAGCTGGCTGTGCGCGTGAGGCTGTTCCTGCGCTGCGTAGTCGTGGATGTGAACGCCGGCCTGGGCTCCAAGCTGGGCCGCGACCTGGGCCGAGGCTGGTGGAGGAGCGTCAATCAGGCTGTGGACGGAGTTCATGGCTGGAGGACGGCGGACCGGTGCGGATGATCAAATTCCCATAATTGGCGGGGGGCGGGGCCCGGGCAAGACGCGCGATGCAAGGTGAAGCGAGGTGAAGAAAGGTGAGAGGGCGAGATTAGATGGCGAAGTCTGAGCCAGCTTTGGAGACGAGGCGGGGGGGATACGGGCCACCTCCGGCCGCGCAAACTATGGCAGTGATTTGCACCTGCGACGAGCTTGGCGAGGGATGATCGATCCGACTGCAGGTGTTCTGGCGCGAGCTGAAGGGCAGGTTGCGGGCGATTAGTCTCGCAAAATAAACAAGACCAGCAGAGCGGCAGAAAGGGCAGAGAATGACCATGTACAATATCCACCGCCGAAGCTACCTACTAATAGATAGGCATGCGCTGGGCGAATGATGATGTGATGCGAACGGAGAGATGATGGGGCAAAAAGGGGGAGGCGATAGACATAGGATTGAAAAAAAAAGGCTAACAATACCGGATGAGCAACTATACTTGGTCGGTACGGGCGACTCGCAAGGTCGATGCCGTTGTTTCTTCTTCTCTCGTGGCTTTGGTTGGTCGTCTCGATGCGTGTACTTTGTATGTGCCTTTCCCTCTCTCTGCGCAGTGTGTCCGAGTGTGGCTGCGAGGCGCGTTAAAGGCCAGTTTAACCCCGCCAAAGAAAAAAATTCAAGAAAAAAAAATCGGCAGAAAAGGGTCAGGAGGGAGAAAAGAGGCGCAACAAGAACGCGGGGTCCTGTCGTGGGCTGGGCTGCATAAGATACTGGCCAACAGCGGCGAGAAGAGAAGGCCGGAGATCAGAAACGGCTGCAGCCCCAGCGGCCCAAAAGGCGGCCTGGGCTCAGCGCAAAGACAGTCAATTTGCGTCGCGAGAGGCGCCAGAGCAGGTTGGACGGCGATGCGACGCCAAGGCCGGCCGCAAATCGAATGTGAAGCTGGACAGGGCCGAGGTTGGATGGAAAGAGCTTCGGTCTGGGATGGTATGAGACGAGCTCTGGGAGCACCCCCAAGGTGGACAAGGGCGTGGGCTGGTGAGCGCGGTGGTGGTATTGGGTACCTACAGGCTGCAGAACGCACTCCACGCTGGGCGTGCATTCCGCCCGCCACAGGAGGCCCGCCGCACAGTACCGAGTACCTCCAGGCCCTGGCGCGTGGAGCGTGGAGCACAAGCACAAGCCTTTTGTCTTGTGTGTCGTGGCGGAGGCTAAGAATATCGACAATGGCCTACCGGAAGCATTTAACCATGTCCCTGCCAGGCCCTGGGCCTAGCACCCGAGAATCCAGTGAGCGGCGGGTTTGCTCGGGATCTAGCTCGGAGGACCAAGCCCGTTTGAGGGCAAGGTCAAGGCTCAGGCCATGGACGCGGCAGCCCACCACACCATCAGGCGAGCCAAGTTGAACGTCGTCAGAAGGCATCACGGCGCACGGGCGGGGATCGCAAGCAAGACAGTAGCACTGATCCCAGGCCGTAACACGAAATGCTGGTAGCATGTGCTGCAGCAGCCGGCGGAAATGCTCAGCAGCCAGGGCGGATGAGCGGAACACGGAAATTTGCAGCGGCATCACGATTCGGTTTTCTGTTATAGGCTCGCTTACTCGATGCGTTGCTCCGTCTTAAACCTAGGTAGGGCTAATGCCGAAGCCAGAGCGGCTAGAGAGCCATGAGGCTTTTTAACTAGTAGTGCTGCTAGTAGCACGACACAAACAACGTCACCAAAGAGGAAGTTCGTAATCATGGCGATGCGTCTTGGGGCCGAGCGTTGAGACTCAACCGGTGGGCAACAGGGCTACGAATCACATCAGGCCGGCGACAGAGCAGAGACAAAGGACACAGGAGGATGGAGGTGAGGTAGCCGAAAGGGGGAAAGAAGAATCGCCGTTGAGCGAAATGAAGGGTGAAGAAAAGGAAGGGCGAGAAACGATAGCCACAATACATGCAAAGAGAAGAATCCCAGAAGAGGGGAACAGGTAAAAGGGCCCTGCAGATCAGGAGCCAGCGTCAGTAGCTGCATCAGATCACACCGAAGAGAAAATTTTTTGTCGATGGATCGGCTGGCACCAGCGCTTGGACGCAAGCGAGAATCTGGGGGAAGGAGGGGATGGCAAGCGCCCGGCTGGTACCTGCTGGGTACCAGGGACGGCAGCAGAAACACTTGCAAGTAGTAGACGCGGGTGGCACGCCGCACAGGCCAGCGCAGGCCAGCGCAAATCTTCCGCCCCGATCACGTTGTCGTGGGTAGCAGCAGCGCCAAGGCAGGTACGTGCGAGTACTGCACGCGCTACAAGATACACGTACGGGGTACTTACTCGTACGAGTGTAGCTTGCCATTTGCAATTGCCATGATAGTGTGACGGAGTAGCCTGTTTGGGCGCAGAGAAGAACAAGTGCCATGGATCTCTATCAGATTCCTGATACTACTACTACTACTACAGGGGGCCTGCCGTTCCATTGCGGGTTCGTCGTTGCAGTCTAGGGCACCTGCGATGCCGGAAGAAGATGAAAGTAAAATTATGACATTATCTTTACTCTACTATACTTACCTTGTAGTAGTATACTATCCTCAGCTTTAGTACTATCTGCAGGTACCTACTTGCTGCAGCCGTATCATATATCCTGACCGTCATCAATTACAAACAAACAAACCCCCCTTATCCACCTCCCGGGGGCCTATGAAATAGAGGGTTGAAACAGAGACAACAAGGTCTGTTGATAAGAAGCTGCCAGCCGACAAACAGGGGCTTCTTCGACTGCGCCGACGACTGCGGACACAAAAGGCCGCTTCGTCCTTGTGCTGAGCCCTGCTCGCAGCAGACATCCTGCCGGAGTGCCACAACAAGGAACAAAGATGCCATGCAATCTATTTCTAGCGGACAGACGGGCATTAGGCGTGGCCTAGCTGCATGCAATAAGGGGCCCGCCACCGAAAAAGAAAGGCAAAGAAACGATGGGACACCGAAAATGAAAAGGGCGGAAAAGGAAGAAGCAAAAAGGCCCAATCTTGCCGGGATACCACGGCCGAAAATGGCCAAGCAAATCACACAACGCACTAATTCTGCGCGTGAAGCGCCCTCTATCAATATGCCCATGCATTCATTGTCTCATAGCTAATGCCCAGCTGATCTAGTTGCGACCTTATCAAGGAGGACCAAGTCCCGCTGGCAATGGGCCTCTGGCTCCGGCAAGATGCTCGGTTGAAACTCTGTGCTAATGTACCTACATATGCGGCTATGGGGCCGGCGAATAGGCCCAGCCCTTGATCATGCCAGGCTGGCACACAAAAGAGAGACAGAGTCAAACCCAGGAACTCTTGGTCACCTCCTCTTCACCTACGGCGACTGTCCCCTGCAAAGCGTGGCGTGTGCCGTGTTGCTGCGAAAATGCTCTCGCCTTCTCCACACTCGCCTGGAGCATTATATCGCTTCGAATCCATCGCAATATCGGTTCCTCCTCAGCTCTCTTTTCCCTTGGATATATGCAGCTCCGGGGTCTTTAGGCTGTGCGCCAGTTTCGGTCGGGCTCATGATTCTCCACCGGGTGAGTTCTAGCGAGCAACGTTGCTGGAGCAAATTGAGCCGCCAATAGTCTCTGTTCTCCAAACTCCATGTGAAACAGGCGCGTTTTGTTTCGACCGGCTCAGTATCATTGCATTACCGGACTACTGTAAGCTTCGGACGCATGTACCTAGGTACGAGCATAACGTCTTGAGAGGCGCTATTTATCAGGTCTCAGCTACAGCACCACACCAGGTTCGATGACTGTGGCGCTGCTGCTACATCTCCGCCCCTACGGACCTCCTATTCAGCTTCGCCTCTACCTCTACTCAACGCAATGTGTGCATGCACACTGACGTTGCTGCATCCACTCCGGCGTCTTGGGTGCTAATGATGCCAAGATATCGTCAACAACGCACTCTCCCGGTCAATGCTACGCCCGAGACTCGACCGGCGGCCCGGCTCGCTCCCAAGGGTGCTGTCAGTTCGAAAGCTGGCGCCACTATTCCATCCCCCCTTTTCCGTGATCCAATACGCCTCAGCGCCAGCCCTCCAACATGGCTTCTCATCGAGCCAATCCGCTTACAGACCGAACGCCCTGCGAGACTCCCACCGCATCCTCACGTACCACCTCTTACAGTAGATGTCGATGATGCATATGCATGTGCTACCAATGGCGGTAATAATAGTTCAAACGAGTACTACATGTCTTACGCCAGCACAGCAGATGCATATGATGCAGAATGGAATTTGCGGCGCAACAACAACATCAATCTTTCTCTGCTTCTCGACATGCCAACCCGTGCGTAGAAACATGAGTGTGGTGTCGATTTGATGACCAAAACAAGCTGAAACGCCGATGGTGTGGCTGCTATACCGAACTATGCGACATCTCACCGTCGTCACCTACTTCCGCGGCAACTCAGCTGCAACTGGTTTATCACGACACTTTGCGAGCACCACTTGTATCTGTCTCGATACTCCACATGTTGCTTCCTACTGCTACCTCGGGCCACATTCGCTGTTGGATAGGTAGATGGTACGAGGTGATCACCGCCAGCCTCCTACAATTCTCCTCTGCCGGGAAAAATCATGATAACAAAACATCCCACCACATCCCACTCAACAAGCGCCCACCCTGCCGAAGCCCATTTCCTAAAACGCTTTCCTGCATGAAGGGCGGCAAAGGCTCTCTTGTCTTCCATCTGCTGTCCAACCGCATCTGCATGCACGTGGATCTAACACCGAAAAAAAAAAGAGCCCGCAATCATGCCTGGCATATGTACGAGGCATGTACTAGCAACGTTTTCTCTCTCCTCTCCTCATGCAGCTCATATATCATACAGCAGAAGGGTCCTCTTTTTGACCCAAATCAATAATAGCGCACTTCCTCTGAAGTGTAGCCCAACTGGATTCATGACCCATTGCACAGTCATTATCCACGCTGGGTATTACTTATCCATGTCACAAAACGCGCGCTGCCGCGTTAGATGTGTGTGACAGATGCATGCCAACCCAATCTAACTCTGCTTTTTCAAGCCGATACTCGCATCTAGAAATATCAAATACGTAAAATTTGTAAAATTTGTAATCCTAAGTTTTTTTTCCCCTTAATTTTTATCTCATTACTATTTTCCTTGGCTAGCTTTTTTATCCCCCACCCTGCTTCTGCTGAGTCCATTTGTCGTTCTGGAATCCTCCGTTGTCGACCTTGTGGAAGCCAATCTCATCCCTCTGATCGTCAATCAGGCGCCCCCATTCTAGCAATAGCCGGAACAAGTAAATCTCCATGTCCTTCTCCCGCAGTGCCTTTTCCGCCCATCGCTGGCCCTGCTGGACGATCCACTCTGCGTCCGCCGTGCGGCCCGGCATCAGCGCCTCCCTGTCATTCACCTTGGGCCGGCCCTCGGTGCCTGAGAAGTAGGTAAAGGTTGTGTGCAAGCCCTGGTACCTTGGGTCGATGGGCACAAAGTGCAGCCACGGCATCAGCCGCTCCGTGAACCATGTGCGGAAGATGGTCGACACGAACGGTAGGCTGTTTGAGCGCAAAGTGCGGAGCATCTGCTGCGGAGGGCCGTCATCCTCGTCCGTCAAGAGGACGTAGCGGTATTCCAGCAGCTCGGCGGCGTCGTCGCGGATGCCGTAGGCCATCTCGACGAGCTTGCAGCCGCTGTGCCCCGAGCACGCCGTGGAGTTGGTCACTCCCAAGCTGGAGGGCATCACGGCGTTGGCCTCTGCGGCCGAGACCTTTTCATAGCCGAACCTGTCGGGGGCCTCTGTCGTTGGGAGGACCATGATGACGTTGTCACGCGGGTACGGCGCACTGACTAGATGCAGCAGGCGATATTTGTGACTTCCGCGTAGAGCCTGACTATTGATCGCGTGTTCCCCCAGAACCCCTCTCCAGCCCAGACTATCGTATCTTCGTGTAAATTGCCACTTGATATCCGGCTCCTCCAGCCTCGTCCTGGGAAGCGGTATGACAATATCGCTGAACTCGTCCGTCTTGGCTGCGCCGAACAAGGGCGCGAGCTGACGGAGCGGCGGCCGGTGAGGGTCCGTGAGCGTGAATCCATGTAGCAGCCGCAGGTCTGGTTGTGAGCACGTATCCAACGACTTCTGCCAATTGGTTAGGAGCTGGCCAAAGGAGTGGTCCTTTGCACACGACCAACAAAACTCCATGAAGTTCCAGTGAGGTCTAGTCCTGCTCTTTGACAGGGGATGGCATGCTGCGACTTGCATCTGACGGAATTCCCCAGCGGATACCGTGCTTTGAGGAATAGGATCAATATTGCTGTTGATGCTGCTACCACCATTGCTGGGCTCGGGTATCGGTTCCTTCTCGTGCTCTACTGACACAGTCTCACTACTATTGCTATTAATCGCCTCATCTAGTGAACGCCGAGATAGTAAATCAGCTACCGAGCTGAGCTCAGCCGCCCGACTCTTCGAATTTGCCTCTTCCCACGGTGGTAACACCCGAGGGCCTGGGGATAGATTGATAGGCAGAACCATATCAGGGAGGTGTGCGGAAAACTTTGCAATCATCTGAACCAGCTCGTCTAGATCCTTGTTGTCGCCTTCGTCTCCTGTGTTTGCTCGAGTTACCTTGCCATCCTTCACCGTGATGGTTGCAACGTCCGGCATCGCCGCCATCTCTTCCGCTCTTTTACGGAGTACAGCAGGAAGGACGTTCCAGAATGGGGCAACATCTCGATCGATCTGCTCAAAGCCATCAATCATAACCGAGTCATCTTCAGCATATTTGTACCACGCGTCAAAGTTAGGTGGCGGTAATCTCCTCTTGTGCCGCTCCTGGTAGATAGTGACGGCCGTCGCGAGCGTCGTACTGACGCTAACTAGTGCTTTCCAGCGGTCGTGTTCAACGTGAGCTGTGTAGACGAGTTCGTTGACAGGATGAATTCCATTGCCAAAGGTTTGTGGCTTTTTTACAAAAATGAATATTGTTGTTGCCAAGAGTAGAGCCAAGAGCAAGACCGCAAATATAATCCGCCGAATAAATAAGACGGAGCGGAGATCATGGAGATACAAGAAAATAATAGCGCCGGCAACAATCATCCATAGTGGCCCCAGCGCAGCGAGTCGTGAAAGATGTAGCCAATCTCCGTAACGGAAAATCTTGTCACAGCAGCTCCAGATGCCTATTAAGAAGGTCAAGGTGCTGACAGGTGTAATCGTAGACGTCTCGCATATCCAAAACATGGTGGACGCAAGGAGAGCAGTAAAAGCAAAGCTATCGATCACGGCATCGAACCCATACAGAGAGCCAAAGGAGACGTTTACTCTATGAGTGCCCCTAAAGATTGCGTTGACACACCATAAAATTCCCACCGAGGCAGCTGATAAAAGGAGCACCGAGCTCAGGATTCGTATCCGGAGCTTGATGCTTCTCGCCCATGCTAACAGTCGCCAGAGCAAGATGACAATGGTAGCGTCAAGGACAAGGCCGAGGAGTTGCAGCGACACGGTGTTGAACCGGCTGTCAATAAGATGGAAGCAAAAATAAGTCGATCGTCGAATCTGTGATATTGAGAAGAAGGTGCCCAGCGAGAAAACGAGGGCGCTGATGACGGTGTTGAACATGACCACCCGAGGCCCGCTGAACCAGTCGTAGATATCATCGAATATGCTACGCCAGGGGTCATCATCATCCTCAGAGACTGGGAATCCCCATCGCCGACGCGTGGAGAAGATCTCATAGCCAATCAGCAAGATGCAAAGAAATGACTATCATGACGCCAAAAAGCTCTGTCAGTACGTTTCATCTCATTCTTCTTTTTTCCCTTAAATGACATCATCTCACCTCAAGTCCAGGAGTAGCACATTGTTGCTGCTTGTTTACTAGATGAAACGCTTCGAGCCGAAGCACAATAGCGAAGATCAATACTGGAAGGGACCATCTCCTGGGGCGGTTGGGAAGATGGGCGCTGGATCCCTTGAGCAGAGCATCGTCAGAAGCGATGCCGAGCACAGACTCGTCTTTGCCAGAGACGAAGCGTCCGTCTGCGCCGGGGATGTACTTGACCGCAGCGCTAAGAGCATAACAGATGAGGCCTGATAGAAGCAGGACCAGCAATGACGAAAGCCGAGGTCGCTCTGTAGGCTGAGGTTAGCCGTTTTCGTGGTCCATCTCAGATTTGGCGCTTCATAACTAGGGATAGGATGGGAACACGTGCCGGTCAAGGAATGGCGCTCCAATGAATGGGAGATGTACACAAAAGACAAAACGCTGCTGTAAATGCAAATCAGCAACTTGGCCTCAAATTAAAGAAGCAAAAACGCAGGCAATAGGAGCATATACCACAGAGCAGAGACGTGGACGGGTGGGAACCAACCCATGGCTCAATTGTGGCTCAGCCTGAGCGGCTGGTACCGTCCTGTCGCGTGTTTGTGCCCCAAGCTGTTCAATGGACAATTCACAAAGCAATCATTCTTTTCGGCTCATTGGACTCATGGCGTTTAGTTCCAGGATGAGAGGTTACGCCAGCACCTTCAAGCCAGTCTCTGTATCGGATTTCGATAAGACGTTTACTGATCGTTGATCATCACTGCTTCAGGGGGAACGACGAAGGTAAGTACCGTAGACATGTACGTGGCGCTTACATAAGACCATAGCCTGTCCGCGCTTGCTCGCTGTAGTAGTGCCAAGTTAGGTAAGTACCTCGTATCAAGATAAGCAGCGCCAAGGTGACCTCAATTACACGAGCAGCAGGCCTGCTTCTCTCTCAACCACCAAACAATGTATCCCACGTCCAGCACATCACCATGGCCGGAATCAGCGATGCGCCCTTCATCCAGAGCCTCGCCGTGCCCGCCGTCTGCCTGCTCATCGCCTTCCTGAGCTACTTCTCGCAGGTGCTCTTCAACCACTCGACCCTCGACCCAGGCCCGCTGTCCCGCACCGAGAGCACGACATTCAACATCCTGCTGCTGTGCCTGTGGGTTTCGTACTTCCGCGCCGTGACGGTCGACCCGGGCCGCTACGTCTTCGCCGACCAGGTCATCGAGGCAGAAGGCCGGTGGTGCAAAAAGTGTCAGGCGCCGAAGCCCCCCCGGGCGCACCACTGCCGCCACTGCCAGCGATGCATCCCCAAGATGGACCACCACTGTCCCTGGACCAAGAACTGCGTCTCCATGACCACATTCCCGCACTTCCTGCGCTTCCTCGTCTACGCAAACGTGTCGCTGTGGACGCTGAGCTACTTCTTCTGGCAGCGCCTCTACGCCCTGTGGGAAACTCGTCACATGCCCGCCCACCTGGGCCCGACGCTGGCCGCGCTCGTGTCGCTCGCCATGTCGGGCCTCGTCTGCGCCATCACGTCTCTCGCGCTCGGCATCATGCTCATAACTACGGTGCAAGGCTGGGTGCTCAACCGCACGACCATAGAAGGGTGGGAGGTCGACCGCCACGAGGCTAATATCGGCCGTGGTAGCCGGGACTGGTGGGACATGACGGGCCCGGACGGCGAGCCTATCCGCTTCGAAAAGGTGGAATTCCCATACGACATTGGCTTCTTTGCCAACATGGCCCAAGCAATGGGCACGTCCAACTTTCTGCTGTGGTTCTTCCCCTTGGCCGGCAACCCCAAGATCAGCAAGACTGGAACCGGCACTGGATTCACGTGGGAAGAAAACGGATTCAACCGCAAGGAAGGCATGTGGCCTCCTCTGGATCCTGAGAAGCTCCGCCGTGCCGGAAGGGAATGGGGCATCTCACGGCGAAACTACGAGGCCGAGCTCGAGGACGAGGGGTTGACCCCGCAAGAGCAACTCGAGGCTTTCAAGAGGCGCCAGGAAGAGGATATGAGGAGGCGAAAGAGAAGGCAGGATGTGCTCCTAGCAGAGCTAGAAGAGGTGGATGGGTTTGGTTCAGACAGAGACGACTATGATGACGATGAGACGAATTGTAATAATGCTATGCGCAACTGGGCGAACTCTGATGGCGAATATCTACGAGACTACGGCGTTGACGAGGATGCGGAAGAGCAGGACGAAGATGTCCCCCTTGTCGAGCTGCTGCGGCGCAGACATGTTGGAACTACATCGTACAGCGATTCATAATTAAAGCAGAGGAAATCAAAGGACAGCAAGTAAAACTGTAAATCAGCGCATAAACATAAAAGCATTATATCATATAAAATAGACTGTATTTTTTTTTTCTAAAAACAAAGAATCTCGAAATATATAAAAATAGCATTTCAGGCCCTGGATCACAAGGTCCCGTGTATTTCTCCTTTAACCCTCCCATCTCCTTCTACCAAAACGTGAAGAAAGAAAAAGAAAAAAGAAACTTCTCCCAGACATACACACACGCTTCCCAGGGGTCTATACTCGAGACTCGTGCGACAGTGGTTGCCCAAGTTACTCGCACACATTGTGTATGCAACAAAATCCGCCAAATTTTTTCCAGTCATAGAGGCGTAATATTTGTATCAGAAAGCAAAGAAGGATGAATATAGCAAAAGAGTTAAACTGAACTGTAGAAAAATAATGCTTTCGTGACAAAGAAAGATCGTGAAGCATGTCTAAAATTGCGGCGCAGCATCTCACCAGTCGTCAGTCTCGTCATCTCTCTTTTGGTTCAGAGCATTCTTGCGCGCCAAGAGAGCATCTGCCAAACTGCCTCCCAGGCTAGGGGTCGGCGTGCTCCGGCCGCTATCGCCACCGGTGCCGTTCAAGCTCATGCCAGAATCTCTCTGGGCCAAATCAGCAGGCTTGCGACCGCCCGCAGCTGGTCGTTTTGTCGGCGGCACAGGCTTGGCCTTGGCCGACGGTGGTGCTGGCGGTAGTCGAGGGGCAGCGGGAGCTTGCTCTTCTACATATGCCGCTGGCACCCAGGCTTGTCCCTGAGCATTCTTGGCCAGCCACCAGCCTGCAAATAATGTGTTAGTTGATGGAAAATTCCCAGCGAGAAACTCATACGACTTAGCAGTGATACGTACCATTGTTCTCCTTTTGGATAATCTCAAGTAGCTCTCCTGCCTTGATGGAAAGCTCATTTTCTTTTGTGCCGGCGAAATCATATAACACCTTGGCCATGATCTTGGGCTTAGCAGCAGGAGGGGCGGGAGGTGGTGGCGGAGCAACGCGACCTACGGCGACTTGCTTCACCGGCTTGTTGGTGTTTCCTACGATAGGAATAGTCTGATGCGTCGACGAGCTCAATGTGCTTGTACTTGCCGAAGGTGTTGCTGATGATGATGCTGATGATACTGCGCTGCCAAGGCCAAGAGCAGCAGGTGGCGGAGGAACAGCTCTGGCTCCTGTGCCCGTCGGTCTTGGCTGGGTATTGCGGTTGCCAGTCAACCTTGATGGTCTTCCTCCTGGGCCGCCCGGCTTGATGAGCTTGCCCCTGGTAATGGGGCGTGCTGCCACAGGCTTGCCTTTGGGCGTTGGTTTCGAGACGGAGTTTGGAGGCTGTCCCGGAGTAGTGTGGATTGTACTGCTCTTGTAGAAATCAGCCCGCTGCTGCGAATCCTTCAGGACCTTGATCTGCTGCATCTTGTTTGGCTTTTTAGCATATTCAATCGTTTCGCCGATCTTGAGGTTGAAACCTCCTGGCATGACACGCTGCATCTGGGTAAACAATTCCGTCTTGAATATGCAGTTCATGAGCGGATCAGGCTCTTGCGGGGATCCGATTCCCAGCGAGAACCAGTCATCCTGGGCTGTAGAGACTCCGAGGAACTTGATGGATCCAAGGGGCAAGGCCTTCTCTACCTGGATCTGCGGCTGGCCCTGGATGAGTAGCTGGGCAATGATGTAAAATTTGGAGTTTGTCACGATAATGATACGAGGACTCGGTTTACTGGATCGGCCAAACTTGGATTCGAGAATCTCAGCACGGCATGAGAACACAACACGCTCGTTGGAGCCAATGTTGGCTGCTTGCCGCAGAGGAGCCCCAGGTCCATTCATGGCGCTGATTCCGAGGTAATCACCAAGGTATCTTCGAGAGCCGAGAAGACTCATTCGTCGTCTCTCCTTTCGTCCTCCAAGAACCTTGTGGCCCTGGTCGCGGAGCTGCAGATATTCCGCACCAGTGCGCTTCTTTCGCCAGAAACGCTGTATTCTCGTTGCGGATTCGGCTCTGTACGCGAGATAGGCTCGCCACATACGTTGAATACGAGTTGCCATGTTGTGCCAGTATCGATCTCTCATATGCTCCAGCGCAAACAAAGTCTCCGGAGACTTGATAAAGGCTTTTGTAACACCCATCTGCCACTCTTCCTTGGGAATACTTGTGTCCTTGAGAATCTGCTTCACAGCATCTTCGTATGATCCCTGCCACGTGTATTCACCAGCGTATGAGGTAGCAGGCGATAGTAGGAAAAAGCGATCGACAAATTTATCAAAGTCCTGTCGATAAGCAAATCCAGCTCTTCGAATGCGAACGTTCTCCTGCAGACCAAGATACTTGATCTGATGCAGAACGTTGGGTCCGTTATACTCAGAAGGCGACTTGTTCTCGTTGGGCTTAATGGTTCGGATGTATGAGGGTTGGCACTTCATGAGCGTATCTACCAAAAGGTTGGCTGACGCTCGAATCGTGTCTCCTGCGGTGGGAGGCTGCTTTCGGTTATCTTGATCGACCTGGTGAGGGAATAATGTGTGGATGAATGCGTTTCCACTGCCCTGCAGCAGATTCAGTAAGCCCTTCAACAGCTGATCCTTGTTCTTGTCTGTGATGCCGTCGACGGTGTAACCGACATCACCAGCGTAATGCTTGATGATGAAGCTGCCTTGGCGGGGAATCAAGTGAGCATGCGACATGCCGTTGATACTCTGCATAAAGGTTCGATCGCAAGCAGCGGGGTCTGCGTGGGCCGTCTTGGTTGCATCTTTCATGGCAGAAAAGATTCCAGGCGGGCGAATCTGCTCGATGAGGTCGCACACAACCTTGTTGTCGAAATATTTGATTGGCGTCCACTGAATCTTCTCTCGTGCGTACTCTTCCTGTTCGGCTTTCAAAGTGAGCTGGATGAAGATCTGCTGGAGCTTTTCATTGACATAGTTGATGCACAGCTGCTCAAAACTGTTGTTCTCAAAAATCTCAAAGCCATAGATGTCAAGAATTCCGATGGTATTAGATGTCTGCTGTCTGGACTTGAGAGAGACATTGACGCGATCTCTGATCCAGTCGAATAGTTTGCTATAGATAGCCTTGGCCAATGCATCTCGGGTAGCCATTGCCTGGGCCGGATTTGCGGGTGACTCAATGACCTCTCCGTTGCGGGGCGTCAGAATTCGAATGGTGATGCCTTTGACGACTTCCTCGGGTGTGCATTGCAGCAGATATGCCACAAAGTCTACCACAGATTTGTCAACTACCTCAGCGTATCCGCCCTGGTCTTCCTGGAACCGAATGTTACCGATCCATAAAATGGCGGCCAGCATGCGGAAGATCTCATCTTGTTCTGCTTGGCTCAGACCAATGATCTTCATGGCGTTGAGCGTATCCTGGAACTCTGCAACATCGTCTATGCCGTCAACGTCGAAACATTTGGAGCGGCTTGTGTAGAGGTAGGTCTCGGGCTTCTGAATGCCAAACTGTTCTCGGTACTGGGCAGGGGCTGCTTTTGTAAATTGGTAGAAAATGTGAAAGTTACGCTCATTCGTAATCTGACCAACGACTCTAGTGGCTTCAAGGAGATAGTTTGTGATGTCGGCTCCGCACGGCTCGCCTTGAGCGTTGAAATGCAGCTGGAGGTACTTTCCAAATCGCGAGGAGTTGTTGTTTCGCAGCGTCTTGGCGTTTCCGAAAGATTCAAGCAGAGGATTGGTTGCCAGCACCATTTCTTTGATCTTCTTGATGTCGCCCGACTGCTCGCCAGAAACACTGGCGATGTACTGCATGATGCGCTTGGCAGCCTCGGTCTTGCCGGCTCCTGATTCGCCCGAGATGATGACACACTGGTTGTCGTTGTACGCCTTCATGTTATAGTAGGCGGATTCGGCGATGGCGAAGACGTGCGGCGGCATCTCCAGACGGTTCTTCCCCCTGTAGCTATCCAGCACCTGGTCGGTGTAGATACCCAGGTCCCGAAAGGGATTGACAGAGACCAACACATGGCCAATGTATGTATAGATCTCGGCGCCTTCGAAACGTTTCTTGAGGTTGTCGTTGATGGCCTCGTTGGATACTTTGCTGAGGAGAGTCAAATCTGACACACCGATCTCCTTTTTCTTAGTCACCTCGTAGGTAGCCTTCCTGGGCTTTTCGCTGGCGCCGCCCGCTGCCTGAGCGCCCCGAGCGGCCTTGTCCTTAGGACGCCGTGAAATACCCTATGAAAATGGCAGAAAGCGCTCGTTAGAATGATGCTGAATCCTTTTCTTCGCGGTGGGGGGTGAAGAGAGGTTGGGAGACGACAGGAGTCGAGCGGTCTTACCATGGCTGGAGATGGAGGGACGGTACAGGAAGGAAAGAAGGGGGGCAGAGAAATGAAAGAGAAAAAGAGACGTCGAAGAAAGGGTTTATTCGAGCATCAGACGCCTAAATAATGGAATTGCTTGTGCCAAACGGCGTGACGAGGAACCGGATTTCTGAGCGAGGGGAATGGTTGGGTCTGGTCTGGTTTGGTTTGGTTTGAGCCAAAGGGCTATGAATGTGGCTTGTCGAGTATTCGCGGCCGAATGATGCGGTGCCTGACGAGTGACGTTTAGTGCCGCTGGCCGACCTTTTTCCGTGCGTGGGCGATGATTCCTGATGGCACAGCCACTGGCTGACAACAAGTTACGTACCCGCCCGGGCTTGATTCAGGGATGGTTTGTGTAAGTAGCATCTACGACGCTTCAATCTCGCCTACGTGCGCTTTAATTTATATACAGCGAGAAAAAATGGCTCTGTTCCCTGATTCCTGATTGTTTTCTTCGTTCTTTTAATCCGGAGAGCCCATGCAGCTCTACTCCGGCATCTCCGTAGCCTCGCATCATAGCGCATTCGCATTTTTTTTTTCTCTCAGTTGGTTAGGTAGAGAGAGGCAGCAGTGCATACAGTGGCAGATTACCTATACGCCCGCCGATAGTTCTCCTACTTTCCATGTACCCTACCGAACTCCGACACTGTCTACGGGCTCTTATTTAGCCAGCAACCCGGACTTTTGGGTCCTGAGAGATAAAAAAAGGAAAAAATTGGATATGCCAACGCCGGCAGTGTTTTGCTGGCTCCAGAGAGCCGCGTCAATGCTCCCTCAGCAGTGGAGACGCTCCCATTCCCGAGTTTGCTGCCAAGTGCACCAAGGCGTCTGATTTGCTGCCATCAGATCTTGCATGCGACGATACGCGGGCCAAGTCTGCGGAAGAATACGACTGCAGCAACAAATACGCAGACTCGTATAAACACCCTCCGTGGAATGAGTCGGGAATTGTGTTGCCTAATCTCTATTCTGACCATCAGCTAGGCCGGGCGTCTATTAATACCGATATTCTCCGATGCCTTGTTGACACTGTATTGCCTGGCACCAAATCTTTTAGAGTCGAGGGGAGAGTGGCCTAACGTCAGCCCATACAAATGAGCCGCATCCCTCCATCCATCCAGCAACATTAAAAGCCATGTCTTGTTCCTGGCCAGCTCTCCAAAAAGCCACATGCGTGGCCACTGGCAGCGGCGCCAGCCTTCCTGAGACACCCTGCTGGATCCCTCGCCTAAAAAGTGTCTCGTAGCTGAAACCAAACATCAGCGCATCAAGATTAAGCGCCCCTTAATTGGGATGCATGAAGTTATGCTCTTCTGGTCCCTGAAAGCGGGCGCGTCAACGTCTGGTTTAGCGGCTCTTGTTGCTATTGCTCGAGCGTTTTAGCTGACTTGCTCACTCGCTTGTAGTTTATGTTGCGGCGACGTGCGATGCAACCTGTTTCGGGCTTTTGTCGTCTCAAGTTTCTGTCCTTGCGCCCGAGTCAAGGCCCCTCAAACCGCGTCTGTGAGGCATCGATACCCAGTGTGCGCCCCCATCACCACCGCTCCGTAGTAATTTGCATCCCTGCTCTTTGGCTTCAACAGCTGGGCAATTGAACGTTGCGGGGTAGAGAAAATAGCGCTCCCGTGCCCAATATCCACCATCACCAGGTCACTTCTCATTAGCACATGTGTGGCCTGAGGGAGCCGCCGCATCAGGGAATCAAAGATATATAGCAGCGTTGCAGCCCCCTCTTTTTTTTCTTCTCTTTTTTTTTTTTTCTGTCAGTAGCATAAAATCTACAACTACCTCTGTTTCTACTTCTCTTCTCTCACTCAATCAACACCCCAATAACGCTACAGTTGATTAAGCTTCCAGCGAAAGACCAGAAACCCCACCCCCACATATTAGAGGAAGCTCTAGAACACCTGACGTCATTCGCTACTTTCTGAGGAGAGCTTCGTTGGGCACTTCAAGGCACTGATCCGAGCAGTCTCGCCACTTTTCACACTTACACCTTTACATACCACAAAAATAACATAATACACCGTTTCGACACGACACAATCACCATGGCGGACACCACAGAGAACCAGACCCCCGCTGTCGATGAGACCCCCATCTCTTCTGTCCAGACCAATGCTGCCCGCAAGAACTCGCTTTCCACCTACCTCAAGAACCGACCCGAACGCTCCGAGTTGGTAGAGAGTATGTCTCACGATACCCAACCATCCATCTGCCCACACATTGCGGAAATGCTCGCACTTGGTGCTCGATGATTGGATGCCGTGAAATACGGCATTGCATCTGTTAGGAACTTAATACTAACTCGTTTAATAGAGAACATCCTCCCAGATTCTACAGCTGCTCCAGGTCTCCTTGCCAGCCAAAAAGAGGTAAGGATTCGCTCACTTCCTGTTTGAGCCTGTTGCTAGTCTCAGTATCACGTCGGAAAGACAGGAATTGAAGTGCTAACGATGCCCGCAATCAACAGCTCCAGAAGCACATGCTCGGGGACAAGCTCAACGACAAGATCTCACACCGTCCCACTCCCGACGCCCTCCTCAAGGAAGGCGTCCTACACGAAGATCCCCGCTCTCCCGAAGAAAAGTACGAGGAGGCCATTGATCTGGAGTACGCCAAGCGCGAGGGCGGTGCGTAAATTGTCTAGGACTTTGAAATAGCGACCAAGTGCTGGATACAATGCGACTCAATTTGGTACAGACACATCAAGCCACCATTTATGGGAGGGGCTCACTGAGAAAATGCTTCGTTTGAGAACTTGGAATTCTAATTGTTTTTGAGCTTGGAATTCTGCTTTTTTTTTCTTCCTAGGAGCTCATGTGATATCCCAAACAAGAGGGTTTTCATAAGCAAAAGACAGGGCTACCTAACATGAAGATGAGATGTCGTGATATGTCTCTACAGCGCGTATCTCAATCTTGTCTCTTTAACACAGAAACCTAAAAATAAGGTCTAAAAATGACAAGTCGAGTCTATAAAAAAACATGTTTTTTATATATTTATTTCAATTCCTACATAATAATACCTACTTGCCCATTCCTCGGTCCGAGGAATCCTCTATTCAGAGATGCTACCCCGCGCGCACGGCGGCGGTCGGCAGTGGTAGTATTGGGAGTGCCAAAAATAGAACTACCCATTAGAAAAAAAAAGGCAGGGAGGGAAAAAAAAACGGGTTGCCTCCTTATCGACGATCTTGGTTGGGTTCCTGCAGTAGTTGACTACCCTGTTCGTCTTGTTTGTTTTGAGACCAGCCCATGGCACCATGTTTTATCATCTGAGGCGGGAGAAACAAAAAAAAAAAAAAAAGGTCTAAAGTTTATTTATGAAAAGGAGGGTTTCAGAATACGAAAAATGCACGTTTCGTTTCGTTTCACCATCTTTAGAAAGAAAAAATGGGAAAGAAGCCAAAAAAAAAAAAACAGGAGAAAGAAGACACAATAGAAATTTTGCATTCGTATCGAACAATGCTGTAGAACGCCACCCATCCTTCGCTTAGCCCTTAAACTCCAAATGATAAGTCATATCTATTCCCGTTTCCGCGCCCATGTCCTCTTGGCGCCATTCCTTCAGAGTTATCCCAGCAAGAAAGTATAAAAATAAAATTTCCCCAATAAGAGTCCAAAACGCCGTGTAGTTGTATGAATGGATTTGTAGAAGAGCCCATGACAGGTGGGGAAGGCCCCGGAAAGCCGGGAGGCGATTGTAAAATGTGTGATAAAAATCGTGCCATCGTATCCGGTGTGCTGTGCCCAAGAAGATGAACAGGCCCCAGTAGTAAGTAAGGAGAGATAGTTGATGCTTCTATGAGCAAAGACTACCCATGCCGTAAAGATGCTTCACTAGGATCTATAGGAAGGAGAGGGCGAGCTGGGGTCGTAGTGGCGTTTGTTGTGCTGGACAATGATGGTGCGGCCAGATTGAGTCACTCGTGTAGTGTGGTTTGCTGCAGGCTTTGTCAGTACATTGTATCTGGCAGAAGAAGTCGAGGCAGTTAGCATACCAGCATCGTATTCGCGGTAAGTAGTACTAGGGCGAGGGCTGGAGTCTGTTGAACGGCGAGATGAGCTGGAAGAGCGGCTAGAAGTGCTCTGGTGGACGTAAACGCTGCTGCTGGGGCTAGACATTGTTGCGGGTGTGTGTTGCTTGTTGGCTTGTTTGGTATAGCCGGTAAATTGTTGGTTGATGATCGGTTGGGAGTTGCACTCGTGGTAACTCTTATAATACCGACGATCAAGTGGTAACGATGTAACAGTGAAGACAGTTGCAGTAGCAATAGCAGGAATAGTGTAGTAGTAGTTGGTAAGTAATGTTTGTCTGTATATTGTCTACACTGAAGGTGTTGATGAGGAAAAGAAGAGAAGTGTGTCCTGAGGATGGGACATGATATTTTATAGTTTTGATCATTGCGCCGCCGTGCTCGACTTATGCCAAGTAGACCGGCAGGCTTCATTCACTTGAGACAGCGCAAGCACAGCACAGGCAGCAACACTTTCAACCTTACTAGGTCTGACGGTCCATAGTCCGTGAGTGAGTCAGTCACAACAGTCCACCCCGGGGAGTTGACTTTGGGGAGGTGATCTGCCGCCGCCGCCCCAAAAAGGAAAACGGGGGCAGGGGCCGCCAATCTCGCCGGACAAGCAAAGCATAGTCAGAACCCAAAGACTATTGCGAAAAGAGACAGAAAGCGTGCTAGAGCAGACAGCCCGGAGGTGGCGAAAAAAAAAACACCAACATGTAACTGAGGCAGTAACTTTAGTTTGGCCGGCCTCATGATGCCACAGCAGGGATGTGGTTGTTCCTTAGGCAGGGCGAGGGGCGTGGCACTGGAACGTGAGCGCTGGGGGGGGGGGCTTCGACGGTTCTAGGCATGGCCACAGCAGTGAAGCAGCGACTACAAACCCGCGGCCGCGGTAGTGACGATGGATTGGCAGAACGGGAGCGGCATTTGGTGTGCAAAGCCGGGCCACGGCTGGTCTAGATTCACGGTGAGCGTTTTGAGACGGATTAGCAGGCGGGCTTGCAACGGTACGTACATGCGCTGGGATGGGCACAGCCGCCCGCCTCGGCCTGGACGCAGAAGTAGGACTGGCTACAGGATATGTGCCATGCCATGTTCACCACCACCAGCCACCCAGCAGCAGCGATAAGGCATTGACACCTGCCAGGCAAACATCGGATGCAGTCACGGACAGACAGATTCCAGCTAGCCCCCGTTAGCAGCCTAGGGACTCAGGCCTGCTGGCGGCGTCTGTTGGACAGCCAGAACCAGGCCGGAGAACCTTGAATCTCGGACCAGCAAGCCCCGAGTGAGCCACCGGGACTAGCGCCTCGTCCATACGCGTAGGCTCTGCTAGGCAGTCAGGCAGACATCAGCGTATCGTTTCATCGTGGGCGAGTGACTCGTAGCTGCAGAGAAAGGGGACGAAGAAAAGTCGAAAAAGGGCCGCCCAGCGTTGAGTTGAGTTGGCAACGGTGGAATTGGGGGATGTTTGTCACCCCTCATTCTGACTTGCTTCTAACCCCCTCCCTCTTGCTCCCGCACGGCGTGTGGCTGGTTCTGCGGTTCCACCAGTGAATGCGCGTCTAATTGCCCTGCGTGCGCATGTGGTGTTCCAGGAGCTTTGCAGCCATGGGCCGTCACGTTCGTGTGCAACGAGCCAATGTATGGTGGACGATAACAAATGGTGCTTGCTATCATATTAGTCCCAAGAAACCTCGGCGGCCAATCGATGGTTTTATACTGGGGGCTGCATACACCGGTGATGTCCATTCACTGCTTCTTATGAGTGCTGTTGACGGGTATAACACTGCTGTTTACGAGTTGGTGCTGTTCACTCATGATGCTCTAAATCAAGTGAAAGAATACATGTTGGGTATGCACATTGAAAGAATACAAGCTGATTGGGGGTCAGCCCGTGCTCCATACCAGGTACCTCTAGTAGAACAATTGCAGGAAATCATCAAGCGACGTGATAGGTGTGGCTAGTAGCCTTACCCTGTTCTACTTCTTTGTTTCCTTAGGACTCGGCATAACCGTTGCGCCCCATCGCAGCGAATAAACAAAAAAAGGCATGACGATGGCCAAAAAGCCCCCGTAAGCCTTCTTCGAGATACTACCAAAATCAAAGGGGCATTCACATGGAGAGAGCCGGAGGTAGCCATGAATGACCAGCCTGAGCAAGCTAAGCGAACCCGGTAAACTCCACGATGCAGCCTCGCAATCCGGGGGACTCTTGCCGGCATAGCCCTCGTCCGGCTTCGCTCGCGATACGTCAAAACTCGCAAAGGAACAAGGGGGGGCGGAGGGGGGCGTATTGACCACACCCCTCTTCTTCAACTTTCGAATTTTGTGCTTCATGCCCAACTACACCATCTTCTAGATGTCTCTTTTTACCCATTCGGGACCCTTTACACATGTAAGTGGTGGGAGCACGTGCAGGTAGGAAACGAAGCTAGTGAGGACCCTGTGAATGGCCACGGCGAAGCGGAATATCAACGAAATGCCATCAGGACCCCCAAAAAAAACAAACATGGATAGTAAAATGGTAGTAGTATACTCCGTACGAAAGAGCTGAAAAGGCGAGAAAGGGGCGACCTATCCCAAATGTCATGTGGTGCCGTGGTAATAAGCCTGGCTAGTAGCCTTGCGTCTTTGTTTGTGCTCTCTCCCCAATCAGCCATTTTGGGCCTCCTACGTCATCATACTTGACAGGTACGAAAAGGGTCCTGCACTTTTTTCTTTTCTTTTCTTTCTACCCTTAAAACCCATTTTTTTTTACGAAATTCCACCCCGAATTACGTAGTTGCTGAGCTCTAGAACATCTCGAGTCTTGGCCGCGTAAGATTGCCGGCGATTCAAATTGATTCGCCTATGCAAAGGCCATGCAGAGAGCCTCTTCCCGTGTGCCTCATGGTCCAGAACAAAAGAAAAAAAAAAATCGAGGGGACCACTCAACGAATTGTTCATCGTCCATTGCATCCCACATGACCCCCATGAAACATGGGGCCGAACAAAGGGCATGACGTAGATACAATATGCTTGTTTTCGATTTTCACCAATCTTCATGCGTTTTCTGCATGCAGTCTTACAATTTGTACTGTATTGCTCGTGTAAACACAGAATCCCACCAATTACCACCTCGGCGTATTTTCCCATCTTCTTTGTTCACCGTTCTAGGCTCCCAACCATGGTCACGCGAGGACAGGAAGAGGTGCTGGAATCGCCCCTTAATGACGACAGCTTCAAAAACACCAAAAGCGAGCCCGATACCCTTGGCACAAAGGATGGAAGAACGAGAATGAACAGTTTCATCATAATCGGGCCATGGGATCAAAGCCCATTGTGTCGTAGCGCCGCCGCATCTGAGAGATACGGGCCTGGCACTAAAGCGCCCCCCGGGAAATAGCACCGGCGCGGGGGAATTGAGTGAATAGAAGGCCCCTGGGGGAATGCGTCCACCTCATTGGCCAATCGCCAAAGCGCATGCATACACCTCTCCGCTGTTTCGGGAAGCTCGTGGCGTCTGGCAGAGCTGGCCACATTGCCTCAAGCCTCAAGGGGTCCCCTCTCCTCTCAGCTACCACGGCGTTCTAAAGCCATTCCGCATTGGCCAGATATTCCGTTCTCTCTCTTCCTCCTTCTTTCCTCAACGAAGCCCGATTGTCTCCCTCCCCCAAAGCCCAACGGCCCTCCTTCCGCACCGCCTCGTTCGCCTCATTTCTTCGTCCGCGCCCCAAATCCCAAGATTCGCCACCATGAAGGCAGCCCTGCTTCTCTCCGCCCTGGCCTCTTGCGCCATTGGTGTCGTCGCCGCCGAGGACCTCAAGATCGATGTCACCCACTCCGTCGAGTGCGAGCGCAAGACCCAGAAGGGCGATAAGCTGTCCATGCACTACCGGGGCACTTTGCTCGCCAACGGCAAGCAGTTTGATGCTAGTCAGTAGCCGTCCCGGTCTCTCTTTTGCCTCACCGTCTGCATCCACCTTTGGGGAAACAGGAAGCGACGATCTTGGCTTTGGCTGACCTTTTTTCTTCTTCTTCTCAGGCTATGACCGCGGCCAGCCTTTCAGCTTCAAGCTGGGCGCCGGCCAGGTGATCAAAGGGTTTGCATCCCCCTCCCCCTCATCGAAGTTGGATGCCTTGCGACGGAAGCTAACGGCGATATTACCTCTATAGATGGGACCAAGGTCTTCTCGACATGTGCATTGGAGACAAGAGGTAAGGAGAGCACTACGACGTCATCTCTCTTTCGCCCCTTGATAGTTCACCATAGCTGACATTACATCACTTTTCTAGAACTCTCACGATCCCTCCCGAGCTGGGCTACGGCCAGCGCAACATGGGTCCTATCCCGGCTGGTTCGACTTTGGGTATGATCTCCTCTCCCCCCATCTACATTATTTTCCTTTCCCTTCCAACCCCCACGCCGTATCAAACATCAGGCCACTAATTGATGTCATAGTCTTTGAGACCGAGCTGTTGGCCATCGAGGGAGTCAAGGCCCCCGAGAAGCCCACCGAGAAGCCCACTGAAGAGACAGTGGCCGGAAAGGTAGCTGAGAAGGTTGCCAGCGTCGCTTCCGAGGCTGCTGAGGCCGCCGGGACGGTTCTCGCTGACACTGACGAGACCGAGGGTCACGAGGAGTTGTAACGAGATAATGATTTGTAAATACTAGCTTCTTCCTTTTTGAGCCTGCATAGCCGATATCGAACGTCAAATGAAACGTTCCCTCGAAACGTTCCTCTATTTTGCGTGATAAATAACAACTCTATCCATGTTAAGCTTTGATCGGCCGTCAGGAATCCATTAAATTCCCCGAGGCTATATTCTTTGGGATAACCTTTGGGCTCCATACGTCATATTACTGTCCCTTTTCAATAGTGGTTGTCACAAATAGCGCAAAAAGAAGAAAAGAAAGGGAAAAAAAAAAAATCAGTCGATTTGATAGATCTGCAAAGACCAGGGGAGTGATTGGCCTAAAGAAACATCGTCTTATCCAAAAAGGCTTCAACTCGCGGCTAATATGTATAGCAAGAGGCAAATGTTGTACATCTCAATAGAAATTTATCCCAAAAGCACCAAAACAATGCTGTAGATGTCATCACTCATTACCCATCATGTGCTCCTCTATCCAAAAGTGAGCTTCTTCTGCTTTGGATCCGTAATGGGCGGGCGACCCCGCTTCTTTTCTGCCAGCTTGGGCCGTTTATTCACGTCAGGTAGGATGGATGCCGTATCCTTGGGTTCATCAGCCTGGACCGCATCTCGAATGGTCTGTCTAGACAGACACAAATCGATGTGCTCATTGAATTGTCGCTCGTTTGCTGCCTGGGGTCGGAGGCATATTGGGCAATCCCACCACTCCTCCTGTGGCGGAGCTTCGCCTTCAGGCTTCGGGTTGGGCACAATCTCCTTTCCATGTCTTCGATCAGCCAGCATCTCATCCTCATCCTCTCCCTGCTCATGTGGTATATCCCCCAGGCCATCATCTAGACCTTCTATGAAATGCTCGTCGTCTTCATCAAATTTCTCCCACTCTTCTTCTCCCTCAAATAGTTCGCTCGCTTTCCTTTTCACGGGGCTATTGCCGCTGGACCCCCCTTCACCCTGCCGGCGAGGTTTGAAACCAAAGAATGCCATTGTATCAGGTTTCTTGGTGCTGACGAGATTTGTGCAGCGCAGCCCCATCAGCCTCAGCTTCATGCCTGGTATCTCCTGCTCCAGCTTCGCTAGCATCGGCAATGAATAGTTGTACAAATCGTCCGCCAGATATATCGATTTTGGCAGAATTACTTGTCGTGTATAAACTTCAAATGTATGTAATTTTATCTTGATGCAAAGCGTGCGGCCCTTACATTCAGTCTTCCTCATGTCTTTCTCCAGAGCCTCGGCCGTGGAACGAAGTTTGTCTCTGAGCTTGGTAGGATCTGACATATCGTGGAACGTGCTCTCTGTTCCGACGCTTTTCCGCTCGTACTCTTCTGCAGGCTGTATTTTGGTGCGGCCAAGGCCTAAGTAGCACCGAAGGAGAAACTCATATGTCTTCTCGCCAAAGAGTCTATTCAAATATTGCCGCTGGTCATACAAGTCCCCGCACGTCTTCACGCCAATCTCCAAGAGCTCACGCTCCAATACTCGGCCGATGCCATTAACTTTTCTCGTGGGTAAATCTCTCATAAATGCCATGATGGCATTTCTCTCGTTTGGCAGGACGTATTGCCCATTCGGTTTGTTAATGTTTGAGCAAATCTTTGCCAGCCTCGCGTTCGCCGCAATACCTGCCGAGACCGTAATGCTAGTTTTCTCATGCACCTCCTTCCTCATCTGCTCCACTACTGTCGCCGGATCCATGCCATGTTCCTCGCAGTATTCCGTGATGTTAAGGTAGGCTTCGTCGATGCTGGCGCTTTCGAAGCGCGGGTCGTAGTTGACAAGAACTGCTCTCACCTCCTGGGCTTTTGCACCGTACTTGTGGAAGTTTGATTTGATAAGGATGAGCTGGGGACAGAGCTTCTTGGCAACGAAACTAGCCATACCCGACCGACAGCCAAATTGGCGTGCAACATAGTTGCATGTGGTGAGGACGCCGCCGCCAACTGCAAACGGAACATCCTTTAACTCGGGCCTATCCAGTAGCTCAACAGCTGCAAAAAAGGCATCGCAGTCAAGGTGCACTATGTGCTGGGTGAGGTCCCTAGAGAGCTCAAGCTCTGCAAGAAGGCGGTCGGCATTTCGTAGATCGCGTGTTAGGTCTTGTTGTTCCAGCTTCTTCTTACGCGATAGAATTTGTTCAATCTTTTTCGTAAGGACCTTGTCTCGGAATTCTTCGCGATTGAAAAACTTGGACCCCTTGGACGCATTATATATAATCTCAGAAACCTATACATGTGTGTTAATTCCAATCTATGACAACAAGAATCCTTGGTAATGACCTTGCTTTGGTCGACCTTGTCTTGGCCTGCCTTGGTCAGCGAAGGCCCAAGCAGGTGATACTTAAGAGTTTTAAGGCCATCATCTTCATTCTCCTCCAGATGCGCTGATTGCTCCGTGGATTCCGCAGAAGTCATATTGATGAAGCCATAAAATTACAGTGTCAAGCAACAGGTAGTATCAGGCGGCTTGAGGTATTTAGCAGCATCATACTGATAATACCCAAAAGCACAGGTCGCGCGGCCTTGCACTGTCCGCGCACGAGCGGAAATCCGACGATGGTCAAGACGCGTGCCTAATAGTGCGAATGGAGGAGAGCCAGATGCGATAGCAACGCGGAAGCACGTGAAGAACTTAGAGCGTACAGGCCCTATTATTACGTATTGCGCCGCTAAGCAGCAGTTGTCATTGTAGCGGGGCATTGTTCTAGAGGCGTTGTGACAGAACAGCCTGCGGTGCAACGCTATTGGCCAGAGGCTGTGCTCACACCCCTCATTGTTTGGTCGTGTAAGCGCCGAGACGCCTTAGTCTCATAGGCCGACATGGCAAAAGGTGATAGCACGATGCGGTTTAAAACAAAACTCGTTAAAATAAGGCCTGTTTAAATTAAGTCCTGTTAAAATAAGGCCTGCCCAAGTTTGCGCTCCAGGAGTATAAGTAGCAACCGGCGCACAACAAGAGACTCAAGGCATCCGGATCTCCAAAGCTCCCTCAGCTTACTATCTCGAGACAGAGCAGAGAGCTCCGCATTGTCGGCTGGTAACCGTACTCTCAGTCACAGTCAAGATGGCGGCAAGGCCCGGCGAGGAGAACGTAGCTACGCTGTGAGTGGATGGCAATCGCGACGGAGCTTACAGCCATTGCTAATATCGAGTCTGCCTCTTGCACAGCTTCGGAGATGTTCACTACTTTTACTCTCCGGCGAATGTGAAGCCCCGCCATCATCGTTTTGATAAAGGATCATACGTCTACTTGTTTGAGAACGCCAGCGCGAGGAGGTGTCGAATTGAGATTGCGAACAACCCTGGAACAGATGATCAAGATGCTTTTCATGGATGTAAGAACAAGCAGCACCGTTTTCACCGTGGAGTACAACGGCCTAACATCCTCATTTTCTTGTCGCATAATAGTTCTCGACCAAACGCACGTTCGGTACTCATACAAGCAACACTGCACGGTCTCTTTGACCGTAGCCGAGTCGGTCGACCAGAGCGAATGGCATCTGCCCACCTACGATCCGCGCAACGAGACCAAATATCACTACAAGCTACATTCACTCGATATATACTTCTGGACGCAGCAGGATGCGCTGCAGTTTGTCAATGGTGTCCGGCGTGTGCTTCCGCCGGCCCAGGTCGAGGTCCTCGATGAGCCAGGCCCGCCCGCTCAGCCCGCCGGAATGAACGCCGTCATCCAGAAGCTCGAGACGGCTGCCATCTCTGATCCCAAGTACAACCATGAGCCGGTGTCATCGCAGTCGGCTTCTCAAAGCTCGGTTGGCGGCGCCGGCGACGTTTCAGCCGTTTCGTCAACAGCTCCAAGCCTCTCCTTGCCGCCTCCGCCTCCTCCTCCTGCTCAGCCGGCCAACTTTGCGCCGATGGCATATAACCCAGCTGCTCCGGCGGCGCCCGAGACCATTCGTCATCGCGAGAAGACCCCCCCTCCGGATGAGGATCCCCTCAATCCGTTGGCAGTCGCCGTGGCATATGATTATCGCGGACAGCCCTTCACTCCAGGCATTCCTCCGCCATCTGCACTCGGTAACTTGGGGAATGGGCCTCATCAATTCGCAGCACCTCCAGCCAATCCCGGACCTCCAGTCCATCCCGGGATTCACCGAGCCACGACGATGCCGGCGCAAGGTTTACCCTCTCCCGGACTGCCCGGCACTTATGGAGCTGGATTTCCGGCATCTCCAGGCTTCTCTTCACCGCCAGCATCAATGCCGCCAGCGGTAAACCAAGGCCTTCCTGGTCCTCCAGGTCCCCCGCCAGGCGGATACTCCAACTATTCATATTCTCAGTCGAGCTATACACCGGGGGCACCTACAGATTACTCTATACATCAACAGGTGTATCGGCCGACAGAGGCTGAGGCTGCTCATGGCCATGGTGGCCACCAGCCGAAGAAGGACAGTAAAGGTAGACTCGAGGAGAACGCTGGACGGCTAGAACGAGGCGTGACGGGCATGCTGAAGAAGTTTGAAAAGAAGTTTGGTTAGAGTTGATCTGACGATATGCACGAGTAGAGGATAAGACAGGGGCTATGATTTTATGATAGCAGGGATATCCAGGCTTGGAGGAGTAACGGGGGTTAATTTTTTTTTCTTCGCATATAGGAGATCCATGGATAGTATTTGTAGCTTAAAAGATAGTATTTTGTCGCTCGACGCTTCAATGCAAAGATTGTTACCTTTCTTCCCTCTTTCGTCCCTATTCCGATAGACTAGACAGGAGCCTTCTTTATTATGGTTAGCAGCCGACGATGTCAGCACTGACGCTTCTATTTTCGATTTAGGGGCTACTCGCTGCAGTTTAGGCGCTTCTGCGAATCGGCGATGAGGTGTGTGGCAGCGGTGTAAGTCAATATGGACTATTGAGTTCGCTGTAAGAACTAGGTACTATTGTCCCCGATAAGAAAAAAAAAATGGCAATATTTAACTATTATGTGAATTTCCTGAAAAGGGAACCATTTTTCGAGGGATACTATACAACGAATAGCGGAGATGTCTATTGATCTACCTACAGTATCGCCCTAACAAAAGTTTGGGACACAACTCGGAGTAGATGAGGTGGTAGTAGCGGACTATGTGCTAAGAATAGAAACTACTACGTACTACGGTCGAGCGCTCTGGTGGTAGCTGGTGTTGTAAGATTGAATGCTACAATATGATGCCGTCTGATCAAGATTTTATTTATCCTTTGTCCTAAGGCAAAGTCTTACACATTGTTGGGCCCAGTGACGTTTTCATGTCAAAGTTTTGTAAGAATATGTCTCCGGAAAGTCAACTCAAAAAAGCCACAGTTTACCAAGGTGCCGGGCACACGTGTCCAGCCCTGTTTGTGCCTGCAAACACGTTGCCTAGGTTAGCGGTCTAGCCTGACAAATATCTCCACTGCATAATACATACAGCAGAGCGAGAGGGTCTAGATTCCTGTGTTCCCAAACATCCCAATGCTTGCTCGCCCGTGCTAGCTATCAGAGTCGATATCACATCTTGCACTGATCTCAAGATCAGAACAGGCACGCGTGACAGGCGCACTAGCACTACCACCCAAAGCACCCCAATTCCATATGCAGCCATTAATAGCAAAAGCAACGGCCCGTCCAGCGGGTAGCTTGGCAGCCCAAACGGTTCGCCTGCGGGCGGACGATGGGATGGTGTCAGCCACCCATTTGATTCCGCAGCGAATCGGCAGCGCCTCGCAGCCAGATGCTTGGGCACTGCCGAATGGCTGCAACTTCACCACGCTTTCTGCATTGGCCCTGGCCCGCCGACGACTCGCCATTCCGGCCAGCCCTAAAGGCGTGGCTCAGTAAAAGAGACGCGGAGCATTTTTCTTTCCGTTCAACGCTGGCTGAGTCGATGATGGTGGCTTAGCACCCGAGGCGTGCTTGTGGAAAGCGTCATGAATGGGGCTGACAGGCGGCTGTTAGCGTCTCGCCGGGTCGCCTTCTCAGGACCTCTCGCGGGTCCTCGAATGAGCTACTACACATGCACAGTTGCCCACCGGCGCCAGGCCAGCTGGTCCCGCGAGCCCCGACCCTGCATCTCATGTTTTCCGCCTCCCGCTTCCTTTTTCTTCCTTTTTCTAGTCCAGCCCCCCCGTCTCGTATTTCTTTGCTCTTGATTGTCTCTTCGTCATACTCGCTGTGCTCTGTAACCTCATCTCGTCTCTTCGCTTGATACTTTCCACCGTCCCCCGCATAGTCGACGCTGCCGGCCTGGTCGTCCCACCTCGCTAAACGCTACATCATCTGCTTGGATCCTCGGTCACTGGAGAGACGCTGGCGCCGCCCGCACTGGGGAGCTTACATACGATACGAGCCGCGCCTCCGGCAGAGGCCCAATGCGGACCTCAGACTCGTGAAGCTGAAACGACCTGAAGAAAAAAAATCTCACTCGCCCACAAGTTACTGTCGCGATTGTCTCTTCCTCTCTTCCCATCCATCGGACCTTCGTCCACCCCTTACATGTCTCGCGCGGCCGGCGAGGATGTATCTACCTACACCCAGACGAACGGCGCAACCTGCTGATGGCAGCGCACAGCTGTCGCAAGCGACTCGCCACCTCCATACGCTAGTGCGGCGGGATGGAATGGGCGGCAGCATAATAGGTGCTGTATGTTCTGAGATGAAAAACAATTATTGGGGTCTCAGATTTTTGTTCTAACACTAAAGATGCTGTAACAGATCATCATCGGCGTCATCGTCGCAATCGTTGCAGTCGTCCTTCTCGTACTATTCATCAGGCGAAGAAGAAAGGGCAAGAAGGCCAAATACGAACGTGCTCAGGGAGACGATACGAGGGAGGTAGCCAACTCCCGTGGCATCAACGCAACAGCTACATCGAGAACTGGACGAGCCGGAAGATCTACTCATCCTCCCCCTGCGTCATCAAATCGCAATAATGCAGCTGCAAATGGCAACGTGGACCGCAACACGTCGGTTCGCTCGGTCATGACTCTGCCGGCATACCGCCAGGATGCTGCACAAAACGAGCAGGTTATAGGGCGAGAAGGCGAAAGAGATGGCATCGATGTCATTGTCGACTTACCTACCGAGGAGGAGATGGAAGCTTTGCGCGACGAAGAGATGGAGTCCATGTACCAGATCCGGCTTGCGCGGCGACAGCTGATTGAGGAACAACAACAGAGGAGAGTTGAGCGACAAGAAGCCCGGTCACGAGGCGATGTCACGGCTCTGGCGGATATCCGTGCCCGCACACGGGCTGCGAATAACAGCACCGTTATTGATGACCTTCGACGGGAGATGGAACGGGCCAAGGAGAACAGAAATCTATCCGTGTCAAGCGTATCTTATGCAGACGTTGGACTGGCTCGCCATGACGGTACACGAATCCGTGCCAATAGCACCGAAAGCGAGCGCATTGGCCTTCTTTCGGATGCCGGGAACATCGCGGTGTCTGATTTGCGATTATCCCAACAACACAGCCGCGTGATGAGCGAGAGCTCGGTCATCAGCATGGATAGCAACTTTCCCTCACCGGCCCTGACCCGATCTGCAGAGGCCCCAAGCGAAGCCAGGGCAGGATCGAGCCCCGAGCTCGTGGAGGCGGATTTGGGTGACGAAGCTATGCCACCTCCAGGGTATGAAGATGTTTCTCTTGTGGACGACGACGATTTCCAAGACCGATCCATCGTGCCAATACATGAACCACCACCAGATTACCCAGGACATCATCGATCAGAGTCGCAAAGGAGCCGGCGGAATGAGACATCGCCGTCTCTTGAGTCGGCCTCCAGCCAAAACAGTTCGACAGAGCATGACGAACGACGGATCAGCCGCGGCGTTGGTGGTGTACCCCAACTACCCAGCCTGCGAATCAGGGACCTTCCTCCGATTACGGTTGAACCGCCAAGCGCACGGCCACCAGAGCGTGAAGGCGCCGAGGAGGCCGAGCTGAGCCCATTGTAAAAGGAAAAGTTATACATACTGCGAACAATCTTGGGATATTTTTGCTCTTTTTCTTTGTTTGTCCTTTTCTTCTTCTCTTTTCTTGTCTCTCCTTTATGTTTCGACCGCATGAGCTATGATTTATGGACAGCCTTTTTTTTTTTTTCTTATACTTAATATTTTGGATTTGGATACATGGAGTTCAAACGGATACGAAGCGAGCTCCATGCTGTCTTCCATGCTGAGTCTGTTTGAGGCGGGCGCGCTTCTTTTTCACCTTTTTTCTTTTTATCCTACTTCTTCATGAGCGGTGTTACGGCGAGAAGGAGGAGGAGAGGGGGCTTTTGTATATAGAATCAGGGATAGTTGAGGCTGTGGATTTTGTATGTGTATGCGAAATAGTGGAAAGCATAGGAAGCTATCTGTTCTTCATTTATAGCCTATATACTACTTACATCACTCTACTGGTTTTACTTTTTCCAAATATTCGGGCCTACTATTTTTATGCGATAGGAGCGGGACCGTCTTTTGCGATAAGTTTAGATGGCTTGTGCTACAATTTGGGCTATATTTCTGTTTTTACCTAGGTAGTAGATAGCCAATAAAAGACAGAGACAATGGTGTTCCAGAATATCTATCTATGCCAGCAATGCATCTGCAACGAGTCAAAAGTGGAAAGCGATTATGAGCTACATTCTTCAATCCAGGACAATGGCGGTCAGTAGAACTATAACCAGCAGAGCAGGTGTCATATGTTGGGAACTTCTGAATGATCCAATCGATCTCTAGCAATCCCTGAGCGAATTGTCGTGTTGGATCAAATACGCGAATTGCACGGCACTACGCCGTATTCTCGTATTTCTGGCCAGGGCTGCAGATTTTCCCGGACGCCCAGCTATAGTCTTTCGCGGCTTAAAGCGGTACTTTCGCCGTATGCAGTGGGAGGGTGCAGTGCAGCGCGGATCACTGCTAGCAGTATTGGCATTCTAACTCAATTGCGTGCGTCGTATTATCCATCGCTTTGCAGCTGAGGGGTGCAATTGAGAGTTGGTTGAAAGAGGGCGTCCGGGGACGGGTCGAGACTCTGACCGCTGCGGACCATTTTCATCACGAAAGACAATGCTGCCAAAGATGTTTCCACTTCGCCAGAATCAGTCTCTTGTCAAGTGTTTCGTTTGACATCCTTTCTGAGAGCAGCCAGCCGGGGGAAAAGAGGAGAAATATTAATAAACGGCGCAGCCAGCTTTTTAAAATTTAAAACTCTCTCTCTCTCTCTCTCTCTCTTTTGTAGCGAAACCAAGAGGGGGAAGCGGGGGGATTTAAGTGACATTTTTTTTCTCTTTCGTTTAACGTTTAGGCGTTGAGGCCGTGTTTGCGTTCGGTCTCACTGGCGCAATGCACGGTCAGCGGCACCAAAGTGGCCCCCGCCGCCTCTGAGAGATACAACATTAGGTAGTCGGGCGATGTAGCCGAGCTGGTTGTCTTCAACTAATGCATGTTGGGAGAGGGGGAACAGAGTTACTTTGACGGCGGCGTGTCGTTATGGGCGGTGTACCTTGGCATCATTCGCTAAGTGTGTAACTGAGTGAGTTCAAGTTGTCAGTGATAACATCAATATGAAGAGGCGGCGTTTTTGGCAGTTGAAAGAGCAGAAATCGGATTAAGCGTGCCAGACAACAAGTTCATAACCATGGACAGGCTGAAAACGACCCAGGCTGCTAATCGCTTAGAAATTGGCCGAGCAGGCATTGATAATCTCTACCTGCCTAGCAACCTAGGTAGCTTGCAGAGCTTGGTACATACCTTATCGTACCGCTCGATCCAGCCTTGATGCTTCCCCACTTTATTCGATCGCTCTGCTGCAGCACACCAGAGAAGCACACTCATGGCCATGTTGGCCATGTCCGGATCGCAAATTGCATCATATTCGTCAACAAATCTCTTCGTTGCATCTATAAGCACGAGAGGGATAAGCAAAAGGGGCATCTCGTCATTGTTTAAGCAGCTGTCGGTCTGCCTCCTTCTTAAGCATCCCGCGCGCTTGGTGACTTAGCAAAGCTTTAGCTAAGCTTCAGAAGGCTCCACTTTATGCCCCTCACAGCCCACCGGCGGGGTGCGATGCAGTTTGTCAGGCTCAAGTAATGCTGATTTGCTCTTCGATCCGCACTGCAAATCTACCCGCGTAGAGGCAGAAACTGCTGGCAGCCAATATTAATCAATGCTGACACGATGATTACAGTTTTTTGCAGTCGTGTTTTTTCTTTTCTTTCCTTCTTTTTGGGGCAAGGCTCTAATTTCCTACTTCGGCATCTTGGAGACCAGCAATCGACGTGCCAATTCATCTGATTACCAATTGCAGCCATGTGCATTCCAGCGATTCAGCCAGATCTGGTGCTCCATTATGTGATGGTGCCGTAAACGTAGGCACGGAAAAAAGAGGGTCTCTCGGAACGTGAACCTCGCCATGCCATGATCTCATAGCCTGATGTCGAGGTACCACGGCTATGCAGCACACACCACACACACCACACCCTCGACCTTGGAGATGCATCAACCTTTCCACTAATACCAATTCATGGCTAGGCGGCTCGGAGGCCCAGCCGGGTCCTTGCATGCCCTCTGCCCAGGTATAAGAGCTCAGGTCCCCGTCCCTCCCTCTTCGGCTCTTCCTTTGAGAAGCCTCATCACAGTCACCCACAGTTGTCTGAACTCAAAAGTACTTCCCTTTTTTTCCGTTACAGCTTAATATTTTTCTTTGAGATACCCCCAGTTTTCCTCTTTCGGAAACTCTAATAATCACAATGGCTCCCAAGATTGCTATCGTCTACGTAAGTTGAGGCCTGCCGTTTACTACTCTGTCCCGCCCAATTGGGATACTTCCCGTAGCCATTGCCCCTAGCTACCAATTGGCCATACAATGCATCAATTGCATCGTCAATTCTAGCAACACGAACTATGGCAGCGCCGCTATACTATAAAAAAAAATCTATTTTGCTAACACTAAATCACTTTTCTAGTACTCCATGTACGGCCACATTAAGCAGCTCGCCGAGGCCGAGAAGAAGGGTGCCGAGGCTGCTGGCGCCCAGGTCGACATCTACCAGATCCCCGAGACTCTGTCTGATGAGGTCCTCGCCAAGATGCACGCTCCTCCCAAGCCTGAGGATATCCCCTTCCTTGAGGACCCCAAGACCCTCACCCAGTACGACGGCTTCCTGTTTGGCATTCCCACTCGATATGGAAACTTCCCCGCTCAGTGGAAGGTATGTCTTACACAGCAAATACCCCCCCCCCCTTCCCGTCAATATCCTATATATATATAGAAGTAAATACTAACAAGATTTTGTATAGACCTTCTGGGACAAGACCGGTGGAATCTGGACTTCCGGCGGCTACTGGGGCAAGAAGGCCGGTCTCTTCATCACCACCGGAACTCCCGGCGGTGGTCAGGAGTCTACTGCCATCGCCGCCATGTCCACCCTGGCTCACCACGGCATCATCTACGTTCCCCTCGGCTACGCCAAGACCTTCCCCGACGTCACCAACCTCAATGAGGTTCACGGCGGCTCCCCTTGGGGCGCCGGCTCCTTCGCTGGTGCCGATGGTTCTCGTCAACCCACCGAACTCGAGCTCAGAATTGCCACCACCCAAGGCCAGGCTTTTGCCGAGGCTCTCTCCTCGTGACTACATGGCAGTACAGAGAAGAAGTCGGCTGTCAAGGTAGCCCCGACCAATACGTCTGCCCCGTCTGCCCCAAAACCGGAGCCCATCCCGGAGAGAGAGGAGAATGAGAAGGACGGCTTCTGTGGTCTTCCAGTGAAGTGTGTCATCATGTGAAGGACATGGAGAATAAAGAAATAAGGGAAAAAAAACCTTAAAAAAAAAAAAGAAAAGAAAAAGGACTTTAATATATAACTACGCGATATCAACCGCAATTCTTTGCTTTAACGTTAATTAAAACACCTAGCACTAGATGCAATAGAATTGAAGTACATTAATCTTACAAATCTTGCTGGTCTTAGTTGCAACATCGTCTTGTAGTTGTCTGGATCAGTCATGATTCGTTTATCAATACTCCTTCTTGCGTAGTGCACAAATCTCCGCCATGCAGTCGATGGAAAGTAAATCATGGCTGATTTTCTTTGCGTTTTTACCAATCATCAAGTCGTCGACTAGTTGATACAAGTAAGTTATTGTGGTCTCTTTAGATGAGCTCCTTCCCAAAGGGTTTCCACCAAAAGACTCCCAGTAGCTAGTTTGTAGATCTTCAATCACGTATAAACCACCTGGCTTGACGGTTTTCCAGAGAAACTCTAGGGATGTTATCTGCTGGTCCATCGTGTGCCCGCCATCATCTATTATTATATCAAATAACCCGTCTGTGGTTGCTTCTGCGGAAAACTTTGCGAGGAAGAGAGTGTCTGCCTGGTCGCCGATGAAGACTTGTGCATTGGCGGTTTTGTCCTGGTATTTTTCGGCGCACTGTCCATCGTACTCGATAAAGTAGAGATTTACGTGGGAAAAGTATTCGAGCCAGGTGTAATAGGATGCTCCGGGGCCATAGTCCTACAGTACACGTGCCATGTGGTTAGAGACTGTCCATCTGATAAAGTAGGATTCGCGCTCACCATGTTGCAGCCAAGCCCGATCTCCAAGACCTTCAACTGGTCGTCTCGGATACCCGACAGGTACTTGTCGTACATGAATTGGTATTTGTGAGTGGTGACTTTGTCTGTGCCATATTTTCGCGCTATCTGTTCAAAGTCCGGGCGTCCGGCTACAGCTTCATCGCCAAAGCTGCTTCCTCGATGAGCGTGATCGCTAATACCTACCTATCAGAAATATGACAAAGGGGGCGATACGCACCGATGAGATGTCAGTTTCTCTTGGATGGTCTCTGCTGTTACGCTGCCCCACTGATGGAATATTGCGTAGAGAAAAAGAGTGGCGGATGCAACAAAGGTCAGATAGAGGGTCCGATTGGCTGTCATTGTGACGTCGAGCTGTGATGATCTTTCTGCGATGATCTTCAGAGGCTGTGGAGAAGGGCAATGGAAGGCTCCGGTGGCAAGTGATTCAATGGTTCAACCACTCCATGTCGTGCTGGACTGGACGAAGTTATCATGTAGTCTGAGGCAGCTACAGTGATATGGAGATGCCTGATATGAATGCGCGCTGCGGTTCAGCCGAGATGGCAGGTTCAGCCCATCTCTACGCCTACCTTATGGATTGTCTGCTGCCGTATGTACCTCGTGCCAGGAGTGGTAATGGAATATATAACGAAGAAGCATCATGGCACATTAAGGAAACAATAGCTGGCGAAAATAGGGAGGCGCGTACTTCGCCGTACTTGACACTGCACCCTGCTGTTGAGATATAGCAAGTAGGAACCACCGCACAAGCTTGGTTCTTTCCTTCCAGGTGCCTTTGTCTAGGCGAGTGACTGTAGAGTCACTTCAAACAACCAACGACATCTTCAGGTCTACCTGCCTGATCCACCCCTGCCAATTGCAATTGCAACTGCAATCCATTAGAATTATTACCTGCTTTCTCATTTACATACTCCAGTAGCACTAATGCTCTACCGCGTCTATCCATATATCATTCATAAACTCTAATTTGGGCGTGCCATACCCCGTCGCCTCCCGACGCAAACCCTCTTTTTTGCTCAATTTCTGTCCCCCCTTTTCTTAAACAGGTCCGTCTCAGACCCAAAAAATGGATTCGGCTGGAACGGCGTAAGGACGTGCGGATCCGATTGCAGTTCGCCATCATACGGCCGTTGTCGATCATCTCCCACTGGAGGCGCTACTTTGATCTCTCCACGATATATTTCAATTACAGATATGACGGGCAGAGCTAGGAGCAGCATCGACAGAAGCTGACCAAAGCTCCAGTCCTTCTCTCCCTCGTCGCTTAGTTTTACTGATGGGTGTCCAAATGCCTGAGAAAGGAGGGCTACTCGTACGGCGGCGCCAATGGCAACGGCCGTCATGAGGATCCATCCCACCACTTGTACAATTTTATAGAATCTCTGCTTCCGGCTATGCAGATACCATGTTGCGAGGACAAAGATGATTACGTTTCCCGCCATTGCCGCGATGGTGCCCACATAAGATAAACCGGCATTTGATGGAGCTCTCTCTCCGTCAACTTTCCAGACACAGGCAACGGGCAGAGTCGACTTGTCTAGCCCCTTGGAGACGGTCTGAAGGACAAAAACCCCAGAAACAGACGATAGCGCCAAGTTGACGAACATGAGAAACTGTCTCATCCATCTCAAAACCCAGTCACGGCGATAATCTCGAACTAGCGCCAGAAGCGTTGTATTGTGCGTTGCCATGGACAGGAGCGACAGCATCCAGATTAGGAAGAAATGATACGGGACAAGGGAGTTCATCTTAGCTAGACCAACGCCTGCGAAGCCATTCATTCATTAGCGTCATGCTACCAGGAGATATCCGGGGTTCGTTCGTTCGAGCCGCTTACTCTGGATGCCGATCCCTTGCATGATCTGTGAGTCGCTGTATCCGTTGAGTAATTTTCGCCGGGTGATTGAGTTTCTCCCTTTAAAGTCCGCGAGGATAACACTCGCTGACAAGATGATGGCCAACCCGGCTGTGATCATGAAAGAAAGGAGAATCTAGGGATCATGGTTAGTAGGGCGCCCGACAATAGCAGAGCCATGATGTTCTCTCACGACCATCTGCCGCGAGTGCCGGTCAACATACTCCTTGTCCTGCAACCCCCGAATCGCTGGGGGTGGATTCAGGTGCAGACGTGCAGTTCAGTGTCCCCATGTTTAAAGATTGTGGGATTACGCTTTGTCAAGCCGTGGGATCATAAAATGAAGGTTGTGGAACGAAGCAATTACGAGCAATGTCAAATTTAAAGAAAAAGCAAGAATCGCCAGCTGATACCAGTCTACTTTAAGAAGCAATTTGCATATGACGACTTGGCATGGTGGGGAGCTCTCATTATACCCAATCTGTTCGTATGACATCTACAGCACCTGATGATGGACTAGACTAGGCGGCTCGTCTTGAAACACGGGAGGGAAGGTGTTTGGGCTGCTAGAGCCGCCCGTCATCGACTGGCCAAGATTTCTTGCCTCTGCCACAATGGCTATCAATGGCCTGCGCCTCGACATGTATTTCTGGGCGACAAAGCTGCTGCTTGGCTGCCGCTGCTAAGCCATCCAACATGAGGACAGGATTCAGGAATTAGCCAGGATCTGCTCTCGTTCTGCTAATCTTAGAGCTTAGAAGGAAACGCTTAGGTGATGATCATCACTAGCCACTTTGACCAAGTTTGGAGGAGCACAGTCCTACGGCCTGCCGCCATAGAACCCCGGCAGTTGGGCAAAACGGGCTCCACTGCGCACTGGGAAGAGAGGCACGCCTTGCAACCCTGCAGCTCAGCAACCTGGTCTGTCCACCTAGCTTGGCATCAGTCACAATTGAGTTTGCTTTTGTTCTTCTAAGCTGCAGGACGCTTGCGTAGCGCCTACAGGGTATTCTACGAATTATAAGCACTGATGGCTGGAGATATTATCATCGATACGAATCACATGAGGTGAACTTCGCTTTCTCCCGTGTCAGCCCACGCGACCAGCTTGCTTAGCTCCTCCAAGAATATAATGAATTATGACAGCTGGGGGTGAAGAGTGGAAAATGAGAGCGATGTGGTTTACTGATCGAGGCAGCAATATACAGCAATATACAACATGGCACATGTGCCTATTATTATCAACTGTCGCACCACAACGACCCTTGAATAAGATTTGATTCGACTCGACTGTAGCAATCGGTGCCAAGCAGGAAAATTAGTTCTATATTTTGTCTTCAAAGGGGAAAGAAGGGGAATAGAAGTTCATGAGCTGGGGCTGTGACCTCTCCTGCCTTGTCTTGCGGCAACCCCGTTGTCTTTCTTAACTTTCGCCCCCAGCTGTCGGGATAGACTTGCGGCCGACCTCTGATAAAAACTCCACTCATGCGCCTCTACGGAGACAATTAACCAATGCGATGCCAGCTTTACAGATGCCTATGGCTGCAGGGATATTGACTTGGTAAAAAAACAAGTTGAAACTTTTGTGATAGAAGCATGGGGCACGTCGTAGCTGTATGGCATGTCGTTGCCACCACTTCATCTCACGAACAGACGACACGATTCCGCTAGGTACAGACTTGTTTCTTGAGACACCTGAGACATCACAACACATCGCCCCGTTACCGGCTGACTGGATCAATAGGAAGTGCATGCCAAGTGCCTCGTGCAGTGGATGAAGTACCTCTACCATAATGAGTGTAACTCTGCCTATGCTCAATTAGACTCTCGCCTCTCAGCCGAGCTCATTGGGAGATCTCTAGCGCTAGTCGCCCGTAATAACGATCGACGCGCGAGATGCCCTGTCTGTCAGGCTACGTGCCTTCTTCTTCTCAAGGGATAGGGTCTTGTCCCCTATCTTCATCAAGCCAAGCTTAGCGCTAAGGATACCTAGATGATCCACGCAACTATGAACCGCTCGGACTGAGGGCCCAGCTGTTTGGATCGGTCAAAAATGCCTGTCACCAGCGGATATGTCGGGCGATAGCCATTGTCGCGAAGACGGGCGGCCGACGCCGTTGGGCTAGGATGGCAGCAGCCCTCCCCGGCCACCGCGCTGGCCGCGATGGCACTGGCAAAGTAGCAGCGTTTGCCGCCATCGTTGAGAGCGACCCCTTTGAGACCTGTAGAGCCGCAAGTGGATCGTGAGTGCGCTAAACGGCGGCGGGCGCCAACAATACCGAGCGCAAGTGCAAGTATTAGTCGGTGGGTTGTGAACGTTGACCTGCGTTCCTATGCTCCCCGGTACTTTATAGTATGCTTCAAGTGCATGTAACGCCACCACAGCAGCAGCAGGCTCGAGAGTCAATGAGTTTAATTTGCGAGGCTCCCAACACAGAGAGAGTAGTCAACGTACTACTACTACTAGTGCTACCACTACGATTATTTAGTGGCACTGTTGTTGGACGTTTCAGCTGAAATGTCCAAGGTTAGGCACGCACGAGGATCGCACATGGCTTATATGCCCTGGTTCATGATAACATGCTCCCCATGTGGTTCACCCGGCCGGACGGTTCGCTGTTAGGCCTCTGAGACTCTAATTTTGCACACATGACTCAAGAGCTTGATGGGATTTCAAGGCCGGGGAAGTGGCCCGGCGAGCGGTGCACCGGAAGTGAGTAGCATTTCATGGCCCGGGCTCCCCAAAGAGTAACGGCGCATTTTTACGCGAGAGTTGGTTGGTGGATAGCTAAGAGACAAAATGGAAATGTCTAGGAGTTGGAGCCGGCCAATGCGGAAAAGTGGCAGCAGTAGCATCATCTTCATACCTAATCCCCACATATGAGGTGATGCTATATTGCTTCCCCCCTTGCCTTTGCCTGCTAACTCTGCCAGTGCCGGCGAGCTACCGTAGGGTATCCTTGCAGATTTGGCCAAGCTACGGGATCTGTCAGTCGGCGACTGTCTGATTCTCGTACCCCCTCTAGCGAGTTAGCTAACCATACTGTCGGTCCCATGTCAGTGGTTATTCGAGGAGAGGGGGCATTCACGCCTGCTGGCTGAGAATCTCGCTCGGCCGCAGATGGTGGCAGTGAGTAGAAGGGAGTCTTTATACGGATAGGTTGATATCGTGTTCCACGGGTGGAGCGTTCTCTCCCCGAGCACTTTCTTCGTTTCCATTGCCATGCTTTCTCAAAATGGCCCTCCACCCATATTCGAGACGAGTTTGTCTCAGCCTGTACGGAGCAGATGAAACCTGGCCAACGACGGTTGTGAGGAATTGCCATGCAATCCTAACATGTGGGCTAATGCTTGGGATACCACATTGGGTACATACATCTAACCCAGCCCTTGTCCTCGCATCCACACCCCCCTCTCTTCCTGTTATGCCACCTTTGCGGCGGCGCTTCCCGTAGTCAAGTGCTTGTTATTAGATTTGATCTAGGATAATTTGCCAGGAGTAGCTTTCGGGCGCCCTGGGGTTGCAAGCTTTATATTTGTCTGCATGCCTTGTCTTGCATGATATTATCGAGATCAATCTTGTCGACGAGTCTCTCCTAGTCCGCCATGATCGTCCTTCCTAGGCCTACTATGCTTCCGAATCTGGGAGCTCCTAGTGCTCACAGCACAAATATTGAGTCTTCTGGCTCACGATTCGTCCACCACTATCATCCTTACCGCAACCATCAACATCACCACAGTCAACCTCACAACCGCCATCATCAAAGTCAGCCTCAAATGAGCCGTCTGCACCAGCACCGACGTGAATTCAGTCACCCACATGCACACCGACATGACAGTCCGCCTCAAAGGCAAGAGCAACAACCGCAGCAACAACCACAGCAACGGCAGTATCATTCCCCGCAACCTCAACAAGCCCTTCCCCATCGGCAGCATTTACGAATCATGCCGTCCCTGATCGAGCGTCTACCACCAGAGGTCCAAAAGACTGTCTTTTCCTACCTGGACTACGAAGCCCTCATCCATCTGTCCACCATGAATCGATATTTTCATCGGATTATAGACCCTCAGAGGATGGCCGATCCAGCAGACAAAGCACAGTTTATCATGAGAGCGGCGAAAGACTTCCCTCAGCATCGCCCTAGTGAGAAGGGGCATGACTACAAGCCTGGAAACTTTGAGTGCTACATTTGCTTCCGTGTGCGATCGCCAGAGCATTTTGACATGCTGCAACCCCAGTCCGTCTATGTCGATATTCACAGCCACATCGTCCGTGACCGAGAGCCGGACCCGCGGTCGGATAGACTCATCATGCTTCGACGGTTCTGCATCTCTTGCGGCGTGGACACAGGCATCCATGCTCCGTTCGACTGTCTCACTACACGGACGGGGCGCGATCTTTGGGTCTGCAGATGCAGGAAAGTGTGGTCCAAGCCGCTCTGCCTGCGGTGCCCTGACTGTCAGGGAGACTGTCCTCTCCGGCCAAGAAGGAAGTTGGGAGTTGATCGTGCATAATTTGTGCGGTTGCTTATCGGCAGTGGCTTATGCGGTTGGAGGCGGTAACATTCTGTTTGTGTTATTGGAGGCGGATGCATCAAACCGGATCGGAACTGAGAAGAGAGTGGATAAATTCTTGGCATGAGATATAATTACGGCCGTTTCGTAGAATGGGGGGCTCTAAGGGTGGAAGGGTTACACAAGGAACTGGGAACAAAGGGGGGAGTTATGCATTGCTGGCGTTTATGGGGGTTTTATAGGAACACGAATAGCACGAGATTGGTATCTATTGTTAATAGAAGGGTAGTAGCTGCTGCGAAAAATTTCGTTCCATTATGTCTTATCCAAGCTTTTACATGCAGTGGGAGTAGTAGAAAAATTGTTATATATACTATCAAGGTAGAGGTTACTAAAAATTCTACTCCATGTCCCCATATCTACGATTCTAGTTACTGGATTTGGCATCGTTTCCGAGCTCTTCATCACTTTGAATACCTTCCGCCCAACTTCGCGGCTGAGCATAAACATCTTCGCTCCAGATTCCACTTTTTGCTTCATGATGAATATCCCCATCGCCATCACCGTAATCCGATAAATCCTCAAATCTAGTAACGCCGCTAATGGCCATGATACGGTGTAACTCTCAAGATAGCTACAAGAGCTCGAAACTTGGAACGAGTGCAGGGCTGTGCGCCGTAAGAACAAATATTTGCTCCGTCTCGATTGGTTAGCCGCTAATGTTGTTTCCCCAGGTTGAATTATCCGTCAATACTACTTTTTGTATCCAGTCATCCATACAAGCGCCCTGTAGACTAGCTGAGGGCGTAACATGGTGACGTTTTAGCTAGTGAGTGGAATTGAACAGCAACAGATTCATCATAGGTTTTTTCACAATGGCTTTAAGGATATTTCCCCATTGTTGCAATAGTAGATAGATATAGATCTATAGAAGCCACTTCTAACGCATGCAGCCATCCAAATTGGTACAGTGTTTGTGGCTATCCGAATTCGTGGAGTCTTCTCTGCAGCCACGCGAACTTGTGACTGTCCGGCCCATGATAATTTTATGGATATATTGTTGAGGGAAACTGCTATCGGAGTGCACCAACGTCGACATGGCGTATTCATGTATTATATAGGTTTAGTAATCCTAATCAACTTCCTAACTTCTACTTAGTCTTCTACTTAGGTTAACAATAATAATGCTTTATTTATTGTTCAACAGGTTATAAGCTCGGCCGCTCCACTGACCTATTGACTTAATATTCTTGATCTCCTGTTGGTGATACAAATCCAAGAACCTAATATATCGCTGACAACGACGTTTATAACTGCACTACTTAAACTCTCCTGACCTAACAACATTATGTTAAACAATAACTTCACTTTCAAGCTTGAACCATCCAGCCCCCCCTAGCTGATCAGCCAGGGTGATAACTACGCTGAGTGGAGAGCAGCATGGACTATCGCGTTTCGGTATACAGAACTCTGGGGAGTCGTCGAGAACACTAACCCACGTCCTGTCCTGTCAACACCCGCTATAACGCCCTCCTCACCCAATGGTCCGAAGAGGATAACAAGACTACGGTGATGATTATGTCTGCGGTGCACCCGGACATCGTCATGCTGGTGACAACAGTTCATTGTTCAACATATATGACTCTGAAAATCAGTGATATATCCTTTAAAAACCCTTGGGAATTGTATGGCAGCCGGTAGTTGAAACAAAACTGAGTGCGTTGTTCTGCGGTGACTTTTGTAGAGCCCTCCGCTGTACAAGATGACATCCTTTATGCCCACAAGAGTTCAATGTTTTGGCAACACGCAAACGCACGTGATTAAAGCAGAATTTTTGAGGACTGCATAGAAGGTTTAAATAGGGCTCGCAATATCGATGTAAATATCTACTCCCCAGACTGTCATTCATCAGTACCTTTAATCCTTGACTTGCCACCAAGAACTTTACCTGAGAGCTTATGGGAGATGGGACGCCTGGGGTGGTCTACTATATATGCCTGATGTAGAAGCCAAAGCTGATACTCCAGCCTCGCAGTAGCGCTGGTCCACCGCTTAAGCTCAAATAAGAGATATCTCAAACTTAATGCGCGATGCCAATATCTCAAGGAGCAAACTATTTCATGTTGGGAGAAGTTGTAAAGATTGTGAAAACCCCGCTGAGAGAAAGTACCAGGCAAGTAGTTAACTCAACATAATAGATATCGCCGTGAATGAGGTGTTACCGAGGTATCAAATCCAATCGTTAATAATTCGACACCCCAATCTTTTCCATGCGGCACCAATACTGTGATCGTTTGCGGCGCATTGTACCTTGGCCAAGGCGCGGCTGGCATGGCTTCAACACCACACAGCAATAGAATGTCCAATCAATATCTTTCATAGCTAGCTACATTGGTTCTCTGGCCGAGCTGGACCAAAATAGAAAGGGTTAGACAACGGCTCAACACATCTACATATAGTATATACCATCTGTGAGCGCTTGGGGTGGGACACAGGGTTGTCAACCAAATGAAGCTTAGATGATCCACCAAACCACGACTGGACTTTGAGGATTAGACCTTTCATGGGCTCATAGACTTTGAAAGAAAAAAAAAAGAAAAGAAAAAAAAAGGGGGGGGGGGATGCTGCTTTCTCCAGGAAAGCCACGGGTTTTTAGTGCTTCAATAAGCTTAAGATATCATCCGACTATCTGTTTGGCCGTTGGGAGCGAAGAATCCTCCCCAAAATCGACCTTACACGGTTTAAAGGTCCTCGATGTCCACATGCATGCATGCCAGACTTTTTAGTACCTTATTTACAGTGGGATCCACAACAGCCACTACTAGAGGCCGCCGACAACGCCATGCTCAAAAGTTAAATTCATGATTCATGACGAAACAATACCAAAAAAGCGCAAAAAAAGTGCCATTACGAGGAGTCGAACCTCGGTCTTCAGTGGTTTGTAGTAATACCACAAACTGATGTCTTAACCGTTGGACCATAATAGCTAGCACTTGAATTGATACTTGACTGCTGAGGAAAATTACAATATCAATGTATTCCTTGCCCACTTGGTAACTGTAATTTGAGCTGCAATCGCGGCCAGGATGCAGGATTCTGAACTATGATAAAGCTGTCCTATAACGCAAAATAAATGAATAGGCTCACGGAACCGTTAAACCATGATATGGTTGCTTCCTGCAAAGAGATGTAATTTGCTTTCGCATTCAAGCCGCCATCAATGGCCGCTGGACGACCGCCACTGACAATCTGACTTGCATAGCTGAGAGTGTCTTCGTCTTGTGTTTGACATCCATCACTCACTTTAAAATTTGGGTCATCTCTTAGATAAATGCTATACTCAAGCAACAAGCTTAAACAGCTGATCCGGAAAAGCACTCGCTCCATGACCGTCCGCTAGGACTGAAGTAGCAGCAGAAAGTCGATGGTCGCTTTAGCGTCATGTAGTTCCCTCAATCCGGCAATAATAGTGTAAGTGCCATCGTACTCTAGGCACCCTACCCCTCCATCATAACTTATTTACTTACCTATTTAAAAGATACTTGCGATCATAATCCCTTAAACACTACATGCTAAATTCAAAATGATTCGCTGGATCTCATCTACAGCGCTGCTTATAGTGCCTGCGAGCGTCTACGCTCATCAATTCGCGGCGTATGGTGGTAACCAGATCCCCTTCTGGGCTCACACCGACACTGCCGTTGACGAGATTGACTTGTCGACGTATGACTTCTCTGGCACAGGCACTTACGCACATGTCCCATATGAAAACTGCTTTGTCGAAGACGCCTCTTCGAAACCTTTTGACATTGCCATTTTGGGCGCACCGTTTGATACTGTTCGTATAGGCCAGCCTCAGACTATCTCTGAATGTTGTCTTGGACTAACTAATTGGGCCCAGGCCGTTACTGCAAGGCCGGGCGCGAGATTTGGGCCAAATGCTATCCGAAGTGCCAGCCAGCGTAAGGCATATGGATATAGCATCTACACGGGTGAGGAGTCTTTATTAAACAATCTTGTCTATATAGGCTGCTCACCATTTACAATTAGGTCGTGATCCCGTCCATGACTGGGCCCGGGTTGTTGACTGTTTTGATGCCCCGTTGACCTGGCTTGACAACCGTGCTGCACTCAAGACACTTGATCAGGCTCACAGGATCATCTCTGGCCGATCAACTGCCCACCCCGATGAATCAACCATTCCAAGAATTATAACCTTGGGAGGGGACCACACAACGACTCTCTCTGCGTTGCGCTCCACGCATAAGCGATGGGGACCAGTTTCAGTGATTCACTTTGACAGCCATATCGGTGAGATCAAGGCTCTCCTCGGCGATGATTGACTGGTTTGCTAACTTTGGACACAGATACGTGGGACCCAGCGGTTCTAGGTATGGAGTGCCCTTTAGCCCAATTAATAAATAGATAATCTCGTACTAACTTTGACAAAGGGGGTGGCATATTGGATTATGCGTAAGGTGTAATGTGAGCCTGGTATACCAATTTTACTAATATTTGTCTAGAGGTCTAAATCATGGCACATTTTTACACATAGCTCATGAAGAAGTACGTTTTTTTATGACCGTCATACCGACGATGTTGACATTTCCTTCACAGGGACTTATTCTCAATTCCTCAATCCATGCTGGTATCCGCGCTCCCTTGACGCGTCGAAAAGCCGATATCCGAAACGATGTGCGATGCGGGTTTGAGATTATCACGGCTCGGGAGATTGACACGAATGGAACCCGGGCCATAATTGATAGAATACGAGAACGGGTTGGTGATACCAGTACTTATATCAGCGTTGACATCGATGTATTGGACTTGGCGTTTGCACCCGGTAAGCCTTTTCATTTTCCTGGGATATGTATCCCAACTGTAGACTCTGATTGCTGATGGAGGGATTTTGGATGTATAGCAACTGGCACTCCAGAGCCGGGCGGCTGGAGCACCCGCGAGCTGCTCACCATTCTAGCTGGGCTGGAAGGTTTGAACATCATTGGTGGTGATGTAGTGGAAGTAGCACCAGCATATGACGACAACGGCGAGATTACTGCAATTGCGGCTGTTGAGGTCGCACATGCTATTCTTGAGCTGCTGATTGCAAAGGCGGTCAAGGCGCCTGATAATGCATGAGGGACCGTAACACAAGGTAGGCTGTTGAATTGTATATGAATGTATGTGGATATTTCATGTGGCTCATCCAAGAGAGATTCGTATATTCGGCTCAGGTATACTCGCACTTTTCATCGAAGACAAGTGAAGTCAACAGGTAGATATTGAGCCTTATTTCTTCAATAGTCTTCTTTATCGTGTCTCTCTCTGCCAGATTCCTGTTTGTATTTCCTATCCCAAGTCATGTGGAGAGTAGATATAGCCATGCATCTACCCGTGATACCGGCCCTTGTGCTACCGCGTGACCATGAGGGCAGATATGGGCATGGTCACGTATAAAAACTCCTGTAGTCTCTTCATCTTGTTTTTTTTCTTCTTTCCCTCCTTTCTTTTGTAGCCCTCGCGAGGTACGTCTCACGACTTGCGATAAGGTGCCAAATTTCTACATCGCCAAAGAATTCAATCAACCTCAAGCTGCCTAAGAAATGCCAATGGAAAGATGCTATGACCTGGAGCGTTGACACTATCATCTCGAACGATGGCACTATTGTTTATCACATGGTGAGACTCTCAACATTCATTAATCGATACGTAGTTGCTGATGTGTCGCAATCAATCATGGTTTACAGATTGGATATGCCTATCAATGGTGTGGCGTGCCCCGGAAGTGCTACACGTGCGGGAATCATTGTTGGAATTTGGATAGCATATCACAACAGTGTTGTTCTTGTCTACCAACACATACAACCTCTCTCTCTCGTCACCTGATTTAATGCTGGCTGTATCCCAGACAGGATAGGTCTATTGACGGGCGCTGGGTTACGCCAGGCACACTTGCGAGAGTATCATACCGAAAACAGAGTACGCAAGAGATATTTAGAGTCCCGATGGAGTAATGGCCATCTATCATCATCGTAAGTCATCTTTTACCTTCCCGGGACAAGATCGTTCCCGCGTCACAGGGGCCAGCTCTCAACCATTTACGACAGCATATTGCAGTCAGATGCTAATAATATGGCTTATAGGATAACAACGGTACTCTGAAGAGCTTCTTAGAAAAAACCGCCGATAGCGAATTCATCACATACCTGGAAGCTGGACTTGAGACAATTCAGCTAGATGCCTATCTGGACGCAGCCTAGCGAAAGCTATTTGGGGCTTTATATCGAACGAGAAACGGGACACGGATAGAAATAGGTAGCGGGGAGCACCTATATTCCAATTTTTACTGAATGCCATCGCCATATCATTTCAACATAACCTTACGAGTTTAAGCCAGCTCCCAAGCCAATTGGTGGATGTCAGGATTTTTTCCACAATCAAGAAGGAATTTCTGGATTTCTCTGAGCCAGTATTACCAGTTGACGGCATTTCTTCCGGTGCAGGGCGACCGGCGGTGAGCATGAGGCTATTGGAAGATGGACAGGGGCTGAAGAATGTCCGAATGATTTGCAAGAAGATATATACGCATAATCGGATTTCGATCAAAGGACGTCATCGTTGATTACCTAGTCCAGCTTCAGGGCGATATATTGCGACGGTTACTGCTAGGAATTTCAAATCATAAACAAGCAACTAATATAACTTGTGAAGGATCACGATGGGACCACGAACGAAAGACGAAATGAACAAGAAGAACAATCTAGGCTCAGTTCCCTGCACTGATGACGCCTGGGGTGCCACTGCTGATAATACTTCCTCAAACTCTTATGCAAAAGCAGACCGTTCTTATCGCGGCAGACTCCTGAGGCGATGGCTTCTTGCTTCGGGAGACACGCAATAGCGACGCTTCGCGCTGCGCAACAACGCTAGCTTTGTTTCTCCATCGCTCATAAGGAACACAAGGACAGGTAGACTCCGTCCAATGCCTCTCATATAGCGGACTGGTTCGACAGCAATCAGAACGTGCTACCTGTATCGAACGAAGCCGGAGAGTCGCTGCGTGTCTTATCCGGCGGTTGACTTCTTGCCCATGACCCTATCCACAGAAGAGCTCAGTTATGATCTGATAAGGAGGATAAATGTAGAGAAGCCTGGGCGCATGGCAACCACCAACTCGGCCTATAAAGCAGCTGCTACAAACGCCGAGGCTACACAATCTGACCAGGAAGTGAGCTGTATGTGTTGTTTCGGAGGAAAGCAAGACAGTCTCCTGCTTTGGTAGAAACACATCTGCAAGGTACTAATTACCAATCTTCTCGTCATTCTCTTGCCTTGAACCTAGCCTTATCCATCATTCCTACGTCTCAAGCTCAATTGTCCAATACCCACCTGCTCTCTGGAATCGCATCTCGACGTTCCCACCATCCCTTCGCAATGTAGCAGAAGATGTAAAAAGCTACATGAACGCGCAGCTCATTCAAGGTGCACCATCATCATGGTCCCCTGTCTGAATATAAAACCGCATATACCTTTGTATCGCGTGAAGAACGGACAGTATCTTTGATCGCCGGAGCCGCTGATGAAGCTACCTCGTGCTGGCAACTCAAACAAGCCATAGCCTGCGGATAAGTAGCTTGCCTTGCCCGCATGTTCCCATTCCCTGACACAAAATGGACACCTCTGCCATCCGACATGGATAGAGTTATTTAGGAATTGTGCCCAATGTGTTGGTGATTAATTAGTTAACATATATTAGCTACTTACGATGTCACATAGCAACCTGAGAATGCAAGCTTGATTTCATCTTCCAACCTGACCTCTTTGTACTGTGACGGAGACATCAGACCGAAGATATCAGCTCATCCACTCCAATGCAATGCACGTAAAACGCGACGCAATGCAAGCACAATCCGTTTGCAACGCCAAAGTCTATAGTTCCTTTCATCAGGAAGACAGATTCGTTCTAGATTAGACCACAATATGTATATATCTTTTGATGCCTAATACCGTTTATCTGCACAGGAATAAAGCAGAAAAGTTGATAACCCCGACTCTGCATAGCCAGCGGAGAAACTAGTTTCAGTCAAATTACCTATTTTTAGATGCCTCTAGGAGACGACAATGAGTTAATCGACGGCCAAGATTTCGAAACGGTGGTGATGATTAAATCAGCGGCAATGTAGGGCCGAGTCCAATAGTCCAAGATGTACAAGGAGCATGAAATTACTCGCCTAAAAGTGCTGCCGTCGCGCGGCCAATCCTCTCGGCGCACCACGGCATGTTTCCAAGCCGGCCACAATCCAGGTCGTTCAACGCCGCAACAATCGCTCTGCGCGCTGCCGGATCCTTGGCTGGCTCATACGTGAACAAGAGAGCCACTGTCATAATGGGTAAGCCCAGTGGCTTGTTGGAACGACTATAATCGAGGAGCATCCAGATGCGGCGGCTCTGATACAGGATCCGATCTTCAAACCCTCCCAGCTCTTCGTTTTCACAAGCCGTATTTTGCATTATCGACAGGGCTATGCGGTGTACAATAATGCTAAACGTAGCGAGATGACACAGCAGCATAGCTGCCAGAGGGTCCTCCACTTCAAACATCATCTGAACAAGCCCATCTGTAGTTGCGGACGGTTTGGTGGTTATTTTGCTCTGGCGAAAGATGACGCCGCCCATGTCGTGATCAATTCGAGAGAGTTTGTTAAGAACATCCCGCGCCCTCCTCAACGGAATAAGAGGATTAACCGCCGAATCTCCTGCCCGAATTTGAAAGTTTTCCCTAGCCAGCGTGGGCCATACGGTCATCAGTCTCACTAGGCGGTAGTAGACCATCTGGACATTTGTGCGTCCGTTTGGTCTGTCGAGCACCGCTGCCCAGGCGTCGGAGGCCAAGAAGCAGTCCTTGCGTTGAGAAAGAGCAAACTGAATCTGAATGATGATTTTAGGATATACACGACAGATCTGTCTTGACAAGAATTGCCCACTTACAACGGAAAGATGGCTGTCCACCGTGGCTTGAAACGCCAGTTTATCGTCTGGATCCGGAGGACCCCTCTTCTGATGTAGAGCAGCTAACCCGGCAGCATGGACTTTGATATTCGAGTTGGGCAGAGTACCGAATAGGGCCTGTCAATGTTTCAGAAACTGATACATTGTTGAGAGACTGCGCCGTTGCGCCTGGCCTGGGATAAGGTGTGCTTATACTAACCTCGATCCGGTGCATCATGACCGTTGCCGCCAAGGTGTCAGAAGAGCAACACGAGTGCGGACCAGCAAGGGCAGTCCGCAGGCTCAGCAGCGCACGGTTATACAGCTGCGCGTTGATCGTCAAGCCGTCGTCGCCGTTTAGGAGCAACTGCTTCTGCGATGCGAGCACGCATGTTATTGCACCATCCAAGGCCTTGCTGTTCCCGAGGTACCTGGGCACCTCCCAAACGAATTCCTCGAGCACTCTGAGGCTGTACGAGAAGTTGTTGAGCTGTAGTGAGTCGATGAAGGTAAGGCAGAGCTGCTCCGACGGCGAAAGAGGCACCGAGTCGTGCATGCGGGAATGACGGGAGTTGTGCGACTTATAGCCCGGCAGAGACGCGAGCTGAGAAGTGTCGAGCAAAGAGAGATTGCTTCCGGCATATGAATCGCCTGGAAGATTTGCAGTGGCTCCGTGTCGGCGAAGAATCTTTAGACCATCGTCGAGCACCTTGAGCGCGGGTCTCGCAGGGCACATGCGGTTCTTGGCCTTGCATTGCCCGCAGACCGGCCAGGCTTCATCGCACTGCGGGCAGCGTAAGTGGTCGCGATGTCGCATTTATGGGCTTTTCCCGGCTTACCTTGATCTTTCTCCGGCGGCACGTCTCACACCGGTTGCTTCGCTGCGCTCCAACCATTGCGTCCGTCTTCTGCGGTGCCTTTGCACTCAAGCCGCTGGTGATGTAGTAGCTGGCTGTCAAGTGCTCGCAGATCCGGGACACATAACACCAGCAGAAACTCTTTGTTGGTCAAATGCAAGGCTGAGGAACGACGACGAGGGTTGAAGACGGGTGGCAACTTGGATCGAGGCATAGTTGATATGATTGGCGTTGATTTGTCGTGTCAGTTATGAAGGGACAAGGGCGATCTTGTCCAAGTGGAGGATAACTCAAGCCTCCCCACTGCTGCTCACTCAATATTACCTATGCCGTAGATATAGACATATGTTTGTTCCGCAGGTTAAGCATTAGATATACCTATTTGAGTCGGGAAATCAACCATCTATAGCTATAGAGATTCTCCCAGTTTCCTCTACGGCGCATTTGCAAATCTGTACATAGAACAGGTTCAGGTTGAGCTCGAGGTGTCGACGGTATACACCCATCTCATTCCCTTCGCTCCCGCAAATGGCCACAAGATCCCAGCTCAGCGTCGATTACACCGAGAGGCTCAGCTCGGCACGTCTAGCTCCCTTTTTGCTCCGGCTTACAGGGCTCTCCACTACCGCGAAGTTGGGGCGCTCGCATTCTGGCACAAATGCGGCCTAGACTTCATGGCCGGCCCAGTCTTACCCGCCTTGCGCTTGAGCTGGTCAGCAACTGCAGGGATCATAAACAACTATGGTATAGGACATGTACATAATACTGATATTCAGATGCCTGGACGAAATGAAGGGTGATAAAGACGAAATCAGATATAAATATGGCATTGTCCTTGCCTTTCAAGAGAGGGGGAAACAATGAGCACTCACTCAAAGTTGACAACGTGAATATCTTCTTCGCAGCCTCAGCGTCTCCTATACAGCATCGTCTTTGTTTCTCCGCCGGCTTCTCCGATTACAATGCGGACAGGACTGCTTTTCACAGGCTTCGTATTTGCCAATACGGTAGCGGCGAGCTCCCTCCTCGACGTCAGTTTCCATCTATCCATGCCGACTAAGAATGAACTGCAGAGTCGAATTTCGCTGACAGCATACTAGAGAAGAGATGACTGTCCTTCCGGAAGTGTTCACATGTCCGGTTTTGTCTTACCCGGGGGGAGCTTCGACGTTTGTTGCCCTGGGACTTCTCTGCACGCCGACGGCACCGAATATTGCTGTGTAGGGGGTGACAAACACAGCAAAGAGGTCAACAAAAGAGACCACATATGCATCGGCGATGCGGCAGATTGCTCGTCGGCTGACCCGACCTCGTCCTGTGTCACGGCGGTCCCAGCTACAGCAGGAGACTTTTCTGACAGAGTTGCAAGCGCCACAAGGACAATGAACAGCCACCCAACTTCTGATGGATCCGTAAACTCCGCATCACCGACTCACGAAGCTGCCGGAAGCGTGATTACGGCTGCGGCCTGGCCTGTGTGGGCGGCGGCTGCAGGAGGAGCGGCTGTGCATGCTGTTCTCATGGCATAAACTACATGTACCAAATGTTTACCTGATACGTGGCGGAGTTTTAAGCCCTTGGAAAAGACTGTGGGTTAAATTTTATTTATTGATTTTCTTTTGTGTTATGACAGTGCCGCCTTCAACGTGTTGTTGTCGAAGCCGGCGATTTGAATAAGTCATATAACCGATTAAGGGCTAATAGACTTTTTATCGACTTGTTTTTTAATAGATGTTATTTCATACAGTCTCTTCTGTCGTCAAATCATACCCATATAAACCCTTATGTAAACAAAACGCCTACCGAAGCACGCTCTTTAGTAACTCAATGACGCTACAAGCACAACGGTCATCAGATGCCTACCTAGTAGAGCTAACCGGTATGGCATGCTTTATAGTCGTCCTCTAATTCGAGAAGGACTCTTCTATGGTTATTTTTTGTCAATATCTACAGTTACATACAGCAGTTACGTAGTGATGGTCTATTCAAATCCATGCAATGATGTCTGTCTGCCTTGAACGTCACGTAAATTTTATAGGCAATAAGCATGAAACTCTCTGCTAGACTACTCTATGTTCCAAGTCTACCTCTTGAATAAGCCTGGGAGCAATTTTACGACACTGAGTATAATCAGCCCTGTGTCTATGAGCAGTCCTGTACATGGAGTACAATAGGATGTTATTTACCGTAAGCTTCGCTTTATATGTTCTCGCATTTTTACACCCCAATAGAGCTTAGACACCACCTGATTATACTATAAGGTCATCATTTAGTTAGCCTACTGTATCAGCCTTGTACTCCTATATACAGGACCAATAATTTCCCCGCCTTTGACAGTTCCTAGTATGTACTACGAAGCTGCGCTAACATCGATAGGAATGCTGGCCAGTGGCAAGCAATTTACAGTAAATTAATGCCAAAACAAAACATAAATTGAAGTCGATCTTGTTTAACGTCCATGAAGTTGAACGTGGCTCAGATATATGCAGGCGGGGCTTGTTTCGCAAAATAACACATTCAAGGCAATGATCTACATCTCTCAGCCTAGTTTATTACTCTTCCATTTATGTCCACAATTACTAGTATAGCACTGGGATAGCCATGATTTGTGTTATAAAAGTGATCATGTATCCAACGGCTTATCAGGTCAAACTCAAGTTGACTCTATTATTCATTCACTTATAGAAAATTATCGTTTTGACCCAGAAATCATGTGTCTCCTCTTGCTACCTCTGCTCTTTTCAAAGCATAGGAAAAACAAAGCGACTGACCAAGCACAGGTGCCGCCTAACACAGCACCTGAAATGATGGCCCCCGAGCCTGTACAGCTTTCGAATCCGTATATAGAGCCACCTAGGCGCATGGGAATCGGCCGTAATGGAAGAAGATACCGGGATGATGTTAGAGACTACGGTTATGAAGTCGCAGAAAATAATCGAAGAAAACGGGCTGGAATAGCAGCCGCAGCGTAAGTAAACCAACTGTCACATAAATTATGGTACTTTTTTTTTTAACAACTATCAATCTATCTATAGAGCTTGCTAGGTTGGTCTCCTACTTGAGAAGAGAATACTTTTTTCACTTTAATCTTCGGCTGGAACATCTCATGAACAGATAAAGGAGTGTAATGCCCGAGGAGGGTCGGTGGTATCATAGAATCTCAGCAATTTAATGTCTTACTTCTACAAATTTCGAGCTTCCCCAACTGTGGATTTCCGCTCACTGTGTATTCCCATTTCATGGACTTGCCAAAGGACATTAAAGGCAATTTTCAGGCGAAAGAAATGATTATATTTTGCAATCCACTGTGTAGAACGGCATTGTCTTTTTGAGACAGCAAGGGAAGCTACTGGTTAGATATGGCTAACAGTCAACCAACAAGGCGTCTACCGTAACGTTCTGCTGACGCTGTGTTGCTTAGATAGGCCGTCTCTGAATCACTTTGAACATGACTTTTGGAGAAAGCCAATCATAGATGGGCCCCTATAGAGACAAGCAATTTTGAATGAGTGTCGTGTCTTGATAAAAATAGGTAATACTCCTACGGGCGCAAATTCTGCCTTAACAGGAATATCGTGCTTTGGCGTCATGGGTTGCCTGGACGAGCACCCAAAGGGACAATCTTTGGTGTGGTTACCGAATTCGTGTCAATTTGCGAAACTTAATTTGAATTGATTACTAGCGGGAGAAAGAGGATAATATTGCATAGTTTTGTTTCTCACGAGCTAAACAGTCTAAAATTACTGAAGGATTCTATCAGTGATGCCGCTAATCATTACCTCAAAGACATCAGTTTCCGAGTTCCTTGGCAGTGAATTCTTCTTGCTTACAGCACAGCCCCAGAATTTTCTCGCATTTCTTCGACAGTTTGATGAAATGACGAATTAATAATCTAGGCGAAAGCCGTATCAAATGCTATATAAACCTCATGGCAGTCATTCACGACAGCTTCGAACTACAGATTCATCTTACGCCTCGGGTTTCCTTAGCACCCATTACATCTCTTATATTAAACAAGATGATCTTCGCCTTTGTATGGGTCTTTGGCCTCTGCAACCTAGTCGGAGCATCATATGCACATGCTGCTAATGTCTCTAATAATGCTTGCAATATCATCACAAGTCACTATCAGCAGTGGCGAAAGGATAAATCGACAGGTAGGTAGCATAGCAATCAGTATGACAATTGGGCGTTCGCTAACGGTGGCCAAGACGGTCTTGTTGTTGATCCTGACTTGGGATATAACTGCTTGAAATCTGTGACCATCAACAATACCTTGGCAAACAATTACCTATCCGAACTGATCAAATACACTCAGTTTCAGTCTACTTTGACCAGCCTCAAATGTGTGTTTTACATGCAAGCCAACACGTCCTCATTCTCATTATTGATCATTGTTCAGATCCTCCGAAGGACTACTACTGGCCAGCTGTCGACTTGGTCGGAGAGCTGGAAGACATCCAGAAGAACATAACCGCTGGAGCATACCACAGCCAATACGACGTCGATATAGATGTAGCAAAGGTGTGGTCGTCTGCACATGATGGCCACTTTCATACCGCCACATGCACTTCTGCGGCAATAACCTTTCAGCGAACTGTGTACTTGATATCAGTGTCCTCAGATGGGCTCAAAGATCCATTAGTTTACGTCTACGGTATGTGATGTGTATTCACTCAAAGAGGAACTGCAAGGACTAAAGAACAATTACAGACGATCTTGCTGGGCTCCAGTCTGGCAAAAAAGTCTCAAATATTATCACCATCAATGGCGAGGATGCTATTACTCTCCTAAAGAGTGAAGCATTCTACAATCTAGCAGACCCTGACTCGGCGTGGAATTACATGTTCTGGAATACTGCTAGGGATCCGAAAACGATACCGTTAGTGCAACTATAATTCTTTTTATAAAAGTTGTGCCTACTAACTCTGTACCAGATTATCGGCAACATTCACGTTCCCCAATGCAGTCTTCAACTGGTATCCCGGCAAGGAGACTATTCTCGGTTTCGCAAATGGCACATCAAGAACGTATGAAACACAGGCAGTTATTGATACAACCACATGGGATGAAGATATTACTGACGGGGAGGCATTTTTCCATCACTACTGTCTCGCTCCCGCCTCTACAGCGGCAGCATCTTCCACCGCAACCGACCAATCGTCGGCTGCTTCAACTACCACCAGTCCTGCCATCCCATCTGTCACTCGGATATTCGAACATCCAGAAGCCGTTTTGCAAGACCCGTTTGACGTTGTGGCCGGCTATTACCTCGATGACGCCGGTTATGAAGATGTTGCAGTTCTCTGGGTCGCTCAGTTTCTGTCTTTCTTCAGCCAGAGCCCTGCTCAATTGGATACCATACGAAATGTAACAAGAGACTTTCTAGCAGATGCAGTCTCTGCAGGGAAAACCCGACTTGTAGTGGACGTAAGCGGAAACTTGGGAGGGGTATCTGGGTCACCATTCGAAGTGGTAAGTTGAAGTTTCGAATTGTGATGAATCCTTACATCCATGTAGGTACTAACAGAATTTATATTAGTTTGACCGTCTCTTCCCGAAAGCGCGGACGGTTTTTCATACAAACTATGAATTGTCGAAGCCTGTCAAGTTGGTGACCGACAGCTTTGGAGCGATACCTGTCGAAGACCTGCTACCAAAGGCCAACGACTCGCAGGCTGACCAGCAGCTCAAAAGCGAGGCATACTATAATGATTACAACTATCATACCTGCGAGGATGTGAATGGAAATAACTTCTCATCCCTCGCTGAATTTGCTCCTCCCGTCCAAGAGGCTGGCGCGAATTTTACAGCAACATTTCAACTGCCCCTCAACAACACCATCTGGGATCTGACACAGAATTATATTCCATTTGGGTATGGACCGTACTACAATGCCTCATACCAACAGCCTTTTGAGAAGGCAAATGTCGTCGTACTCAGTGACGGTACTTGTGCATCAGGTTCGTATGGCCCGTCGTCGTAACGTTTACGGGAAATTTTTTTTTTTTTAACCATCAAGTTTACAGCTTGCGCGGTATTCCTTCATCTGCTGAGGCAGTTGAACATCAAAACAATCGCAATAGGTGGCCTGCCAGGTAGTCAGCCAATGCAGGCTATCGGCGGCACAAAGGGTGACCAAGCAGCCTCCGCAGAGATTGTGCAACATGACGTCCAGATGCTGATCCAGCTTGGAGCTATTGCGGACGTGGAAACCGCCAAACAACTTCTCCCAGGCTTCGTCCCGCTGCCTCTAGGCGACATCAAGGGCACGGTTTTCAGGGAATATGGCATCAACACCCGCAATCATCTTTTGCCAAATGATACGATACCTTCGATGATGCGGTTCGAGCCTGCCGGTTGCCACATTTACTATACGCCGGAGAACGTAGCGGACGTTCAGCGCATGTGGCGAGATGCCGTGGATATTGCTTGGAATGGCAAAGCTTGCGCAGCTGGGGGGTTCCCGACCAACGCATCAGGCTCTGGGTCGGGACCAAAATCTCCGTCTCATGTTACAAGCGATGCCCGGATGGAGAAGGCTATAGACGTATTAGCCACCTTGGCGTTGATTGTCGGTGGCATCCTTGTTCACAACATGTAATGGTATAGAAATTCACATCTCAGCGGTAATAAGAGGAATAATAATGTCAGCCAAGTAAGCTTGTTGTGAATGCAATTGATACAACTAATTTTAGTTGCACATAGACATCATCTATAATATTACTTTTAGTATATTCTGAAAATAATAATTATTATTATTTACATACACCACTGTATAATGGAAAAACCATCTGCGACGCCTCTTTCAGCGTTTTGGGCAACATCAATACACTACTCTCAAGAAAGCATAGAACCTCATATCAAGACGGCCAAATAAGGGAATGTGGAGCACATATATACGTAAAAACATTAGAGTATCATTAACGTAAAATTGTGAGTAACGACATAAATTATTGCTGCCTCATAATGACAGTTTATTTCCATACCCGAGGAAGTCTAAGATATCCAAACCCCAACGCCATAGAACCATGCTCGCTTTTAATCCCAGTATCTGATATCTCCATCCAAACCAGCAGTGGCAACTTTGCTCGTCTCTTGTGGGTGCCACTGCACACACGTCACCGCCTGGTTACCCGCCTTTAGCTTATGATACATCTTGCACGTCTTCCAGTCCCAGAAGCAGACGTAGCCGGCTTGATCACCCGAGGCCAGGAATTGGCCGTCAGGACTGCAGTCCAGATCGATGCCAAGACCAGCGTTGTTGTGGCCCCGGTAGCTCTTCTTCCTGTTCTGGCGGAACTTGTCGTTGGCCCCGTAAACGACAATCTGGTTATCTGAGCTTTGGTAGGCAACGTATTTGCCCGATGGGTGCAGTGCTGCCCTAGTCATCGGGTACATGTCTGGCTCAGCGATATACTTGATAGGCACAGGGATATTGTAGTCCCATGCGCGGAGTGACTTGTCGTCGGATGTCGTCATGAAGCGGCGGTTATTATCAACGAAAACAATGGTGTTGATGGCAGCCAAGTGATGGTCGTACTCCTGAACCACCTCATTTGGTGTACGTATATCAAACTGAACAATCTTCTTGTCCGACATACCAGCCAGGAATTCATTCGAGTGCTCGGGATCGGGATTGAATCTGATAACATGTGGCGTTTTCCCCGTCGTAAACTTGTTGATGCAGACGCCCTTCTCCGTGTCCCAGAGTTTGATCATGCGATCATACGAAGCAGACAAGAACTGGGTTCCCGAGTTGTTGAAGCAAATATCTGATACCGACTTGGAGTGACCTGAATACGTCCGCAGCAGTTCCTTGTCGTGATACACATCGCGAATCTTGACTGTAGTGTCTGCGCCAGCTGATAAAAGCAAATGTCCTGAGCTGGGAAAGAACCGCAGCGCATTGACAGCACCCGAATGATCCTTCCAGCCGTGAACCTGCTTCTTCGGGATAAAGTTGGTGGCGCTTCCAACCTCCTTGCGCAAGTCGATGTCCAAGTCCTGCGGCACATGCATATACGTTCGGCCTTGATAATCGTACTCTTCTGAGCCGTGGAACGTCGTCGTCTCGTCTCCCAGTGCCTCAACCTCCTTGCGTCGAGCTAGAGCACCAGCAGGCGCCCGTAACACTGTTCCGCTCTCGACAACATCGTCCTCCTCCTCTTCCACCATCTCATATTCTTCGTCGCTTGCCAGCTCTTCATCCTCGCCAACGACCTCGTATTCCGCCTGTTTGAATTTGGCCCAGGGTCCAACGTATGCGCCAGCTCCCTCAGCAATGGTTGCATCGCCTTTCTTCTCTCGAGTGGCGCGTATATTTGCAGCTTCGGCTTTTATCTCAGCTCCGCTTTGATGTTCTCGAGATGGTCCGCCTTTTCTCTCAATGGCTCTGTGTTTGCTCTGGAATGTATATGCGCTTAAAAAAACCTCTTCGGCATGGCCGGTAAGCACGTTCTTTCGTTTGCGGCTGGCCATATTTGCGGACGCGATATGCAAAGTTGTTTGGACTGCTACCGGGCAGCCTAGGCGCTGATTGAAAGAAATAAGTGACGATCAATCAGCTGATTGAGCTAGTCCTAATTGGGAGCATACATTATCTGTGGATCTTTGAGGCTCGCCAAGTTGAAAAGCTTCAGCTTTGGCGCAGAATCACCGGAGGGTTCTAACCTACCAAGTAGACTATATGGAGATTTTATCAGAGTGTTATATATTCAATTATAATTTTTATTAAGTGGGAACCCAAGGTTTTATAGGGCATCACAACACTGCCTATATTACACAGGCAACCTCACCATATAAAGAATTAATCCTTTCTTACATCTTTTGCCTCACGGGACGAGAATTCAGATACTAAATTCACAATTAATATTAGTAAACTAACTTTTGTCCTCCTTGGTACTTGAGATTCCATCGAGAACAAAAATACTAGATTTACAATTAAGTGTAGTGAACCAGATGTCATCTTGTACTTGAAGCTTCCATCATTATTACTCCACCACAGAGGTTTAGACAAAAATCGTCACCCTTCCTGCATAAGATTAAGCAAAACAGAAACCTGTACAACCCAAGCCGTAACACCCCCGAAAGAGACAAAGGTCGCCCCGGTTATCAAGCTCCATCCGCCAGTGTGTCACTAGACGCTGTGCTTAAAGCTGCAGGTAAAGCCCGTCTCTTTCTCATAAAACAGCCGCTTCACCGCTTCACCAGCTCCATCGTAGTTCTAAACATCAACGGCCCATTTCCCATGCGTGTCTTGCCCTACCGGCTCCTCGTCAGAGATCCCGTCATGTTTAGTTTATCGGTCCTGCCAGAGATATTGGTATCGTATGGTGGGATAGGGTAGTTTCGTCAGTCATTCGACATGCTTTACGAAGACTCATCGCGGATGAGAGCAACGATCATGCTGTAGAGGTAGAAGAAAAACATGATCAGGTGGAAGGCCAGCTTGATGAATGACTCCTATAAGATTGTTAGGGACATGCGCCAAAAGGAGCCCTGTATTCTGCACATAACGACGCACCTTCTTGTGGACATTGAGCTTTCGGAAGATCTCGGTGGCATCAAGCAAGTGTGTGTTATCAACAATTCTAATTTCAAGATCGTCAGAAAAAAATCCCCATTCCATGTTGCGGCAATAATCCGGCTCCGAGGGCAGCTCACTTCTTGATGTTGTATCCAAGGAGGGGCAGGTTGAGAATAAGCGCAACCCAGTATCCGTTGATCAAGAACAAAAAGGTCAGGAAGCCATGGACAGCGGCTTCGGGGAGGATGTAGGCGTTGAGGCGGTTGCAGAGGTCGATGGGGTTGATGTAGTCGCTGCGAAAAGCCGAGTTAGCCACGTGCAGAGACAGGTCACAAAAGGCCCGTCGATGAGACGCATTTCCTTGCGCGCATGCGTCGGATGTCTCGAGAGGTAACTTGGGACGCCATACCATTCCAGATCACTGTACATGATGGTGAAAAACACCTGCAGGAACAGGTTGACGGCGTTGATCAACACCGCCAAAAGGAACAGCCATGCTTCTCCAGACATCATGCCGTTGGTCGATGAGGATTACGCGGAGTTGGAGGTCGGAAAAGAGAGGCGGCGGAAAAAGAACTGGAGATGCTTCTTGTCGGTTCGGTCGTCACAAGCTTTGAGCTCTGGCGCAAATTGGACAAGGTTGGCGCGGCGTGCAGGAAGGAGGGGGAGCTGCTTGGAATTAGTGGGGGGTTCGTGATAAAGCTGGTGCCGGCGGGAGGAGCTGCTGGTTGCGGTGCTCACCGTAGCAGGTTGCGGGAATGGCGACGGCGGAAAAAAAGCAATGCTGCGAGCGCAGGAAGGAAGATGCGAGGTGGCCTCAAGCGTCACGGGCGAATGATGCGATCAGTGGTGGAGAGGGAGGGAGGACGCGAGTTTGTGGGCGGCCTGGCGAGAGACAGAAAACCTGGTGACGACCTCGACTGGTATTAGTGGCGATGTACGGAGTAGGCACTACCTGACCTGGGGGAAGATTTTTGTGCTGGTCCCAGCAGCCAACCAGCTCGGCCGAATGGGCCGGTGGGGAATTTCCAGCGCTTCTCCAGCAGAGCAAGCACTAGACAGAAGCCTCGAGTAATGCACATACATGCTATTGATAGGCATTACAGCAGGGCTTTATTAACAGTCATCTGCTATCTCTGTCTGGTGCAGCTGTTTCTCAGGCAATCAGCAGATACATCCATTTTGGGAGGTTGTCAACCGAGCTCTACTAACGTTGCGTTTTAGTGCAATCCTGCTGGGTGTTAGTGGCACGACGCACCGCAGACAGCTCCAACGGCCGTCCATTTTCATGTGAATTCACCGGCGCCAGGGCACACACATACCCTCCTCAACCCCCACAGAGCAACTACTTACATCCGCCTACTATATTTGCCGTATGATGGGGTAGCACAGTTCAGTTTCTACAACAAATATGTGATATACGTTGCCGGCAGTCTCTGTTTATTTTATTGTTTCGACAATTGCCTTCAGCAAGATTAGACACAACCAAGATGACGAGGAACGAACCTGGGTTTCTCCATTTTTTTGCTACGCATAAATCATGCATGACCCAGCATCAATGCCTACAGCGACAGACCCTGGTAGCAGAGAAAAGCGACTTTATTGCATCCGCAGCAACACACAACGACGCCAGTACCCTATCGCTAACTTCTAGGATGCCCACATCATACAATACGCTACATAATGATGGTATCAGATCACTTCGTCAGAGCTTTTACATTGATCGTACATTGTGCCAATTATCTTCTCAATTGGCCACCTTCTCTGGCATAGGAACTGGCCCTCCAGGTGAATCGGCTGTCCGCGCCGTAAGAATCTCGCAGCCGTCTTCCGTAACAAGAAGTGTGTGCTCTATAAAGGATGTTAGCGGCATGTCTCTCAAACAATGATTTTCCTGAGACAATGGGGAAAAAAAAACGTACCAAACTGGGCTGTTCGCTTTCCGTCAATGGTTGTGCTAGTCCAGTTATCGGGCCATGTAATGTCCCTGTACTTGCCCAGAGCAATCATAGGCTCAATGGTAAAGGTCATTCCAACCTTGCACTCGCCAACCGCCTTATTCTTGGCATAATGCGGGACGTTGGGCGGGCTGTGGAAGAGCTTTCCGACGCCATGGCCGCAGTACGTTCTAATTACGCTGCAGTCCTTTTGCTTTGCAACCTTCTCGATAATGTTTCCAAACTCTCGAATCAGGACACCCGGCTTGACAGCTTTGATGGCCTCGTCGAGAGACTCACGTGCCGCCTCCACTACTCTTACGCTGTCGGGATCGGCCTTGGCTCTGTCACCAATGTAGTATGTCTCGTTAAGATCGGCGTGGTATCCACCATGGTACAAGCTGATGTCGATGTTAAGGATATCACCGTCGAGGAGAATGCGCTGGTCGGGGATACCGTGGCAGATAACTTCATTGACGGAAGTACAACATGATTTGGGGAAGTGGTTGTAGTTCAGGGGTGAAGGGTACGACTAGACAGTTGCCGAACGGCGCATCAGCCTTATCTGCCCTATTTTCATACAGGCAAGCTCTCGTCACTCACCTCGCGCTCTATGCAAGCCTTGTGGACAAGCTCATCGATGAAGTCGGTCGTGACGCCGGGCTTGGCTGCGGCAGCAGCAAGGTCGAGGACTTCGCGTGCTAGCCTGCAAACCTTGCGCATCGCAGCAATACCCTTTGCATCGAGGACATCGATCTTGTTGCGGTTGATCAGTGACCGGCTGTACTTGGGGTCGCCGTCTTGCCACCAAGTGGGATGAGGAATCGACTTGGGAAGTGTGCGATGCTCGGACAGAGGGTAGACGGGGCGCAGCGGGCCGGCGAAGGGGAAGCTCGGGAAAGGATTGTAGTAACCGGTGACTGGATCTGTTAAGATTGCTTTCGGAGGAATGATGTGGTGGAGGATGTTACTTTGTGTCTTGTGCATTTTCTTGTGTTCGCTCTATTCACGCAGGTCAGCCTCCCTCTACATTGCCTTCTCAGCTCCCATTCTCCAGCATATTGTGTTGCAGTGCCCTCAAGCAGCTATCTGTATGTACGTACCCAGTTTCTCTTGAAGCAGTCCTGGCCACAGAAGAAGCTGTCCTTGATGTCGAGCTTCAAGCATGTCGGGCACTGCAGCGCTCCAGCCTCGTTATCGCAGCCTAGGCACTTCTTCTTGGTGGGAGGTTCGGAGGCCATGGTGACGGAGGAGAATCGGGATAAGATATGCAAAAAGAAAGGGGAGTATATGAGAGCAGACCAAAGTGATGATGCTGCGAGCGATTACAAAAATGAGAAGATGTTAGATAGATCTATCATCTGGGTTGACGGTAGATTAAAAAAAATTACTACAGTAACTTGGGCCAGATTAGCGAGGCTACGAGTAAGGCGGCGGTTATTCCGCACTTAACCGTTCTAGCGGGGCATTCTATGCGCAGCCATTCGTGCGCTATAATATACTGGCTGATGGCTCTGCGCATATATGGATGTATCTGACGATCAAGGCGCTAGTGGGCGTATGGCAGTTTTCTATAATACAAATGCACGCAAAGGTAACGTAATGCTAATGAAAATTAAATGTAAAGGTAAGTAAGTAGTATAGAATTGAAAGTAGCAAGATAGGTAGATTCTGTGCCTTGATAAATTAGCCCCCCCTTTTCAAACGTCACACACAACAACAGTTTTTATATCTTCTCCCCACCGTCTCCAATGCTTTACCAGGGCTGGCTATACATCTTTTAGTTGTCCTTTGCCAGCGTAACATGCAGTCATTAATGCCAAAGGACCTTGATATATTCTCGCAGACCGTACACTAGAAGAAGAGCCAGCACCTGGTCAAGTTCAAATCTCAAAAGAAATCTCCCGCGGACCGAGGGCAGTTATTCTAATTGGGAAAGCCGCCTTGCGACCTCGTCCGAATCCGGCAAGGCCTCGAAATCCTAATGGCTGCGAGACGAGATGGATCGGGTACCTAATACCGCTGCAGATTTTTAAAAATCCAAATTAACTACCGCTGCTACTACTCGAAACTCGCTCAACAAAAGCCACTAAGACGAAAGGCGGACAAGGCCACGCCAATAATACTGTGGCTGGCCTTTAGCATGATGTGATCAGACTCGGCTCATCACTGTAAATTAACTCCAATGTAGTTTTCGCCCCCTTCGGCCGGAGCCTGGGCTTCCTTATAGCTCCAGAGCTCCCGGCCATCTTATATATACTCTCCTTCTTCCCTTAAAAGCCCTCTGGAGGTTCCTTTTCGATACGGAGCTGTTTTGGCTTGGGAAACCATGGCGGACACTAAGATTGTTGTTGTTGGCGCCGGCCCTGTTGGGTCGTTGGCGGCGCTCTATGCCGCCAAGAGAGGCCACCAAGTCGAAGTCTATGAGTTGCGGCCGGGTAAGTGTACAATTTTTTTTTCCAGTGTATCGTGAGTCCGACACCTCCGAACTCGGGCTGGTGTTGTTGCAGCTCTCGTACGACACAAATCTGCATTTTCTGGCTCGAAGATTTTGGCGATTTTGTTTTCAAACTGTTTTTTTTTTCTTCTCCCGGTTACAGAGGCACTGCGTTGTTGTTTAGCTTTCTGAAGAGTCTATGACTTCTATTTGATTTATCACATGCTTTCAACAGCTCCGCTAACGACTATGTTGTAGATCTTCGCGATCCGAGCATAGTGCCGCTCAACTTCACAAAGTCCATTAATTTGGCCTTGTCTGAGCGAGGACTCTATGCTATGAAGCAGTCGGGAGAGCCACAGCTTGTTGACCATGTCATGTCCGCAACTATTCCTATGCGTGGGCGAATGATTCATGGGCAGTCACCAAACGGAAGCCTATACGAGCACTCTCAAAACTATGGTGTGGACGATCAGGTAAGGAAACTTCACAAACAGCTAGATTTAACTGATTATGTCTTCATCGTCACTCTCTTCTTTCCTAAATGTGCACAACCTTATTTCCTGTCATCTATCTCTTCTCTTCGCTGTTTTATGAGACTTTACTAACTCAACTTACCTAGGCTATCAATGCGATTGACCGAGGAAGTCTCAACTCTCGGCTACTAGACATCCTAGACTCTTTACCCAATGTCAAGCTATTCTTCAACCACAAGCTTACCGGAGCTGATTTCAAAGCCAACAAGGCTTGGTTCGAGGCACGCGACAAGGATTTTGTTGCCAATGGCCGCCCCAGGGAAATTGAGATTACTTTTGATCTCATGATTGGAGCGGATGGCGCACACTCCGCCGTTCGCTACCACCTGATGAAGTTTACCAGAATGGACTACCAACAGGAATACATTGACACCTTGTGGTGCGAATTCCATCTGCCTCCCCGTGCTGTGGATGAGAACGAAAAAGACCCCAACGCAAAGTTCCGCATTTCGCCGAACCACCTGCATATCTGGCCCGGCAAGGACTTCATGTTCATTGCCATTCCTAGCGAGGTAGGATTTTTTTTTCCGCTTACAAATACGCAATGTGATTTCTAATGGCATGTTTACTGATATGGTGCTCTAGAATGGCTCTTTTACTTGTACTCTGTTCATACCCAGCGCCGAGATTTCTGAGTTAGAGAGAGATCCCTCAACCCTGCCAGCCTTCTTTGACAAACACTTCCCCGGAGTTACCGCCTTAATACCTGGGCCGGACCTCATCAAGTCATTCAAGACAAACCCTCACCTGCCATTAATCAGCCTCAAGTGCAAGCCCTATCACCATGGCTCTTCTGGAGTCATCGTTGGTGACGCCGCCCACGCCATGGTGCCCTTCTACGGTCAGGGCATGAATGCCGGCATGGAAGATGTTCGCATTCTGTTCTCCATCCTAGACAAGCACATGAATCTTGAAGAAAGCAACAACCCCGATGGAGAGCTCATCAACTCTGCTGAGACGTCGGCTTTCCAGCGCTCGCTCGCACTGGCAGAGTACTCTGCCGTCCGAGCAGAGGACGCCTACGCCATTAACAACCTGGCGCTCCAAAATTACGTCGAGATGAGATCATCTGTTCTGTCAAAGCGTTACAGACTACGCAAGTATCTCGAAGAGTTTATGAGCGTTCACTTCCCGTCCTTTGGCTGGCAGACCAAGTACTCGAGGGTCAGCTTCGGCAACGAGGGATACGCCGAAGTGATTCGCAAGAGCGACCGCCAGGGCCAGATTCTGATGCAGAGCTTCATTGCGCTCGTCTCAAGCCCTGTTGTTTTGACAGCACTCGTATTGGCATACAAGCGCCGCGGATCTCTCTTATCGTTTGTGCGTGGGCTATTCAGTTGGAACTAATACTGAATAGAGCTTTATGCAAGAGGGGGAGGGCGCTGCCCACTGCTGCTGTATCTTTTTTTTTGTAATTGTATTCAATTGTCTGAAACATGGCGATTTGTTACTTTGGCTGCTTAGCAAATGATGTGCGGCTTGAAGAAAATGAAGACAGATGCAGCATTAAAAAGATTCGAGCGACTCAAGAGTATAGAAGTTTGGAAAAAAAAAATAATGGGCGGCATAGTCTGATACAAGCCAATGTTTGGATACCTCAACTCCAGTTATTATACAAGTAGCATTTCACACCAAAATAGATTTATTATTCTTATTCCATTAATAGTTATTGTCATTGGCAATTGATATGTTTTTCTTTCCTTCTTTCGACGGGATTGCCGACTCTGTGAAGAATCACAGCGAGGAGGGAGCGCCTAGGCCTATGCGTCTGCGATAGTACGATCCTGCTTAGTCACCAATCTCCAAATTTTTGGCGATTCCGGCTCCAGGCACTAAGCACCACCACCCATATCGAAAGAATCGCGACAACCTCGCAAAGAAAAGCCCCCCCCCGTTCCAACTCTCAGCTTGCCAAAATCGCCGCAGCCCTCGCAAAGCGCCATCTTCCCAGGACCACCTCTCTCCTGGGAATCCTTCATTGCTGCCCAACAAGGGCGATTGGCCAAAAAAGTCAAGTGCGGTCCGAACAGGCAATGCGCTGTGAGTTGCCAAAAAAACCCCAAGAAACAACTTTTGAATACCAAAAAAACAACATCTGACCAAAGAACAAAAATAGAAACTCGTACAAAGCTCTCATTCCGAACAACCAATAACTTAAAACATACATATACAACAACAAAACACACAAACCTCAGCCCACCATGCCGTCCATACTCAACATCGCACACATGTGCTCCCACCTCCAAAACGCCTCCAAAGCCCGCCTCGGCCTCACCTCCATCGCAAACACCAAATACAACCTGCACCTCGCCCTCGCCCTGCACCGCTCCGGTTTCTTCTCGTCCGTCTACCGCGCGGGCCCGCAGCCCCCCACCGCCGAGCAAATGGTCGCCCAGGTCCCCGAGCCCGTCACCAACGCCACCGTCGCCAAGATGCGCATCTGGCTCGGGCTCAAGTACTGGGAGGGCAAGCCCGTGCTTAACAAGGCCTCTGTGATTAGCAAGCCGTCGAGGTTGATGACTGTGGATGTGCAGGAGCTGGGGAGGCTAACGAGGGGGTTCCCAACAAAGGTCAAGGGCGGGATGGTGCAGGGGCTGGGTGTGGGCGAGTGTATGTTTGTTTCGACGTCAAGAGGAGTGCTGGAGGTTAGGGAAGCGCTGGCGAGGAAAGTTGGTGGTGTTTTGATGTGCCGAGTATCATAAATTCAATGTTTGAACATGGGGGAATGGGGGGAAAAAAAAGGAAAACTGGGCCTGGAGATATTGCGGCTTCATGATGTATATATATATCGTCTCATAAAGAAATGGGGGGAGAGAAAAGTACGTCTCACTGTATGAATAGAATGGATTTCAAACAAAGGCAAGGTCTCAAATCTACAAAGAAGAATTGGAGGCTGTTAAGTGAAGACAGCAAACAGCCATGTTTGGCGAAAAATATTCAGCAGTTTATACAATAATCCCAAAGTCCCAGAAAACAAAAATTCACCAATGGTCGCTATAAACAGGTATCTAAGGTATCTTAATAAACTACATCTTTCCTTTTCGACAGGGAACCTGTCCATTATTACATAGACAAAGGATTCGATATCAAACAAAAGAAACAAGGCACAAAGAAAAAGCATCTCCACCTAGTCAATCTGACAAAACGCCATCCACGACCATACGAAACACCAAACTGCTTGAAATTTTCCCATTGATTTAGATTATTGCTTGTGACGGTGCTTAGAGGGTTGCCTCGGCAGTCGTCTTAGTAAGTCTCCGGGACGGCGGTCTCAGCAACTTGCTCCTTTGGCTCTTCGACAGTCTCAGAAGCCTGCTCAACAGGAGCCTCCACACTGGCAACCTCTGGCTCAGCAACAACCTCGACAGCGGATTCAACAGCAGGAGTCTCTTCAGCCTTGACTTCAACAGCCTCGGCAGTCTCAGGCACGGGCTCAGGAGCAGCCTCAGTAAGCTCAGCCTCCTCAGCGATCGCAACAACTTCCTCAACGGTCTCAACATTGGCAGTCTCGACAGCCGCCTCTTCCACAGGGAGAGCCTCCGGCTCAGCGGGCTGGGCGGTGGCGTTTTCTTCGTGAACCTCCTCCTTAACGGGCTCCTCAACAGGCTCTTCAACATGCTCCTCAACAGGTTTGGCGACAGACTTCTCTTCCTCCAACGTAGGCGAAGGAGACTTCTTACCAACCAGCTTCTTAGAAGTCTTCTTGCTGGGGCTGCCGTCATAGTGGCTGCCGTCCGAAGCGCCCGATGCCACCGTTCCAGCGGTGGAGGGGCGGGATCCTGCTCGAGATCCAGACTTCTTGGGAGGCGTAGTCGGCTCCTGGAATTTGCTAGTTGAGGCCTGGGTAGGTCGCATCATGCGAGCCAAGAAGCCCTCATCCACCTCCTTCACCTTCTTGGGCGCTTCACGGGCAGGTTTGGCGGGTGGTGGGCCAATGCTCGGCCGAGCACGCGCGGCAGGCTGCTTGGCCGTTCCAGTGCTGGAAGCAGCTCGGCCAGATGCATGTACGCCCTGTCGGCTGAGCGATTGACGTGAATTGGTCTGTCTAGCCTGGGTTGTTCCAGCTGCCGCGCCAGTCTTGGAGACAGAGGAGGCGGTGGGAGCTGTAAGAGAAGAGGGAAGGCCAACTGGCTTGGTGGGCGACTTGGTCCTCGGCTTCGCGGCAGCAGGTCCATGATCAGCAGCCTTGCTAGCCAAAGGTTTCTTGGTAGCCGAGGTTGCCGCTCCAACTCTAGGCCTTGCAGTGGCAGCTGATCTCGCTGTAGCTGATGATTCTCTCTTCACAGTAGAAGATTCTGCGGTTTTCTGAGTTGGCCTGACGCTCGCTCTCCTGGAGGCGTCCGTGGTGGCCTTGGTAGCAGTAGCCGCAGGCTTGGGGGCAACTTTAGTAGCCGCTTTGGGGGCTGCAGATGTTCGTGTAACAGCGGTCTTTGTAGCGGTTGTGGCAGTCCTTGTGGCCGCAGGCTTGGCTACGGTTTTGGTAGCTGCCGGCTTCGTCGTCTTGGTCGTTTTCTGTGTGCCAGGACGAGCGCTGCTGACGGGAGCAACTTCCTTGGGTGCCGGCTTCTCAGGTTCAGCTTCGGGCGCATTCTCTGGAGCAGATTCGGGCGTAGATTCGGGCGCAGACGCAGGCGCAGATTCGGGTGCAGATTCGGGCTCGGGCTCAGCCTTTGCAGTGAGTGGATCTGCTGGCGACAGAATGCCAGTAGGAGTCTCTTCGTCCATGACCTTGTCGGGATTGTGGCTCGGGTGGTCCGACACAGCTCCTCGGAGCTCGAAGCTAGCTCTGGCAACGCCCACGGACAGCTTGTCCATGGCGGAGCTGATGTTGGCAACGGATGCAGACATTTGCGGTTTCTCTTGGCTCGTCGGGGCGGATTCGCGGGGAATGTCGAGGCTGGGTCGGGCAGAGGAGTCGCGAGATGCGGAGCCGTTGTCTCTAACCAAGCCGATGACGCCGTTGCGCTCAATGGCAACAAAGCTGCTGCGCACCTTATTGAGCGGCCTTGGGGAGCCGCTGAGAGCTAGTGGCGTGAGAGAAAACGAGTTAGCGGACGGCACTTTTTTGTCTCTGTGTGTATGGCATGGCATGCGGCAGCAGTAGCTCTTTTGGGGGAAAGCAGCCTCCAGCTCAGCCAGCCCAGCGGAACTAACAGCTACAGGAGCAGCTCAGGAGCGTCTGCGCTGGACAACAACAAACAGGCTTCTTGAAGGGCATGTAATGATAGGCTGGAGATCATGAACAGAGGAAGATCACGGAGCAAAACATCAGCACACACTGAGAGCATTACCTCCTGGGGTTGGAGAGGGACTAGAAACACCAAGGGCTCTACCTCTATCGTCGTCCGCCGGGCTCGCGTCCCCTTTGTTCTCGAACATGGCTCGCAGGTTCTTGACCGCGCTCATGGTGAAAGACGGGCCGCGTCCGCGGGGGGAAGCTCTGGGGGAAGATTTCGTTCGCAATCGATGCTGGAGGTTTGTTTGTGAGGATTAGGGAGACGGGGAAAAAAGAAGAAAAAGGAATACTAATAGCTTCGCAGGTCTGGAGTAGGGAAATTGATAAACAAAATAGAGCTAGGCCGAATACTTGTAATAAGGGAGAAGGGCAGAGGATCCAGTGTGGGAGCACCACAAGTACTAGTACAAGCCGCGGGCCCAGGAGGCTGGAGGCGGGCCACGGGTAAAACATGCGACACAAGTCCAGGTACAGATGCCTAGCCCGCGACTCCATATCTCCATACTCCATACATGGCGCGACACGGGTCAATTGGAATCAGGGGTATCTTTTAGTTTTGGCCTGGGCCAGACCAGGCCATTGCAGAGATGAAGTGGCCTCTTCGCAAGTGCTGCAGTATAGAATTGGTAATGCTCCAAGATGTGCACTGCAGCTGCATAGCCGTGCCTGTGCAAGGCAAGGCATAACAGCTGAACGTGAGTAAAACCGTGTCTCAATCACAAGTGTCAGCCTGTCTTACATGCTTCACAACTGTCTCCAAAATTAGCAGCCTGCGTCTGTCAGGTCGACTCGTCTCTTCATCAGCCACATCAGCGCGACGCCGCGCCTTGCATGCGCCCGCCAGCCGCGAAGATCTCAAGCCAACCCGCCACACAAGGAAGTTGTCAACGTTCCAGCGGCAAGAAATGAGGTTCGGATGGGCCGATCCGCTATGCCGCTACAGCGCAAGTTCGGCGTTCCCCATGGCGACAGCAGCCCAGAGCGGGACCTTCCAGAACAAGTACCTGCTTCCACGGCGCCTGTGCTGGCGTCTACATGGACATGCCACTTTCGCCGTAGTGCTCGTACTTACACCAAGCTGCCGCTTAGTCCTGACGCCTACCAGGCAATCTTCCATCCAGCTGCTAATTCAGCATCATGCGTTCCTGTTACTAGAAGGTACTGTTCCCGTTTAATGTTGGTATAAATCACTCCACGGCGGTGGCGCATAAAACTGTAAGGAGGCCAATGACGAAGGGCGCAAAAGGTCTCTCATACGAGTGTGTGGCCACTTTGGGCAACACACCCAATGGCGCGACGACCGCTGATTGGCCAGCAAGTAAAATAGCTGCAAATAGCCAGACGGTTTAATCTCCCTTGCTGGCTGTTGGAGGGGTGGATTTCATGTCAGGAGACGGCCAAGCAGACGCGCCGACTGAGGCTATCGAGACGACTTCATTTCGGCTTTCAAGCACTCAATGGTGGTGCATGCCTGTGTCCAGCATTGTGATGAAAGTACCGGCTACGGGGAACTCAGTATTAGTGGTGGCGGCATGGGTAGCATCTGTCACATTGTCTGCGAGATCCTGCTCTGTTCCTGCTCCGAACACTAATACGAAGTTGACAGCCCCCCTTGCATTGGTAGAGTCGAGAACTAGGTACTCCTGGTAAGTGCGGGCATAGTATACATATGCGTACAACAACGACAGACGTCGGACATGCCCGTTCTGTCAATCGCATTTACAAGGAGGCAGTATAATGAAGCACGCAATAGAAAATATATGCTTTGAAAGTCAAACGATAAACTCCTTCCCCGATGGCGCATCGCCGGCACCAGGCTCTTGCTTGCATATGGCATGTAGAAATATATGTATGCATCACCTGCATGGTCAGCAGCAGTAAGGGGGACCCCAGCCAGAGCACGTTCCGCATATCGAACCCTCCTCTCGTTATTCCAGGTCCTCAAACCAACAATCCCTTCCCTAACCCACAGCTTCTCCATACAGATTCCCGCTGCTAGTGCATGCTGTTTCGTTGCCATGTAGCGGTACTCGGCACCACGATTCCCAAAATCCAGTTGACACGTTGTCGCAACTGAGCGCATAAGATGAGATCGCTCATGATTTGGAAAACCATCCAGGGATCAGGCGGAAACAACAGCCTCTTCGGATGTGCGCCGTGTCTTATCTAATACTCTTTAATGACAGTCTAGCCCCGTATGGCTCCAGCATTGAGGGTCTATATACGTCCTCTTCCCGTATGGGTATGAGGAAGAGAAAACGGCCCTACGCAAGCGAGATGCTATGCGAGACCTACTGCGAGTTCTTCTACTAGCGCTGCTTGCATCCCCCGGTAACGCGACTTATTACTTGCAGTATTCGCAACAAATCAATACGAAAACGCAGCTATTTGTCTCCCCACTTGCCTGCCCCCTGCAGTATTAGTCCTACTGCCGCTGCTAGTAGTAGTAGCAGTACCTACCAGTAGCGATAGGAATCTGCCAGGGCTGTCTTCCTGCTGACATACGGATCCCTCCAGTATGACCGATGCAGGGCTGGACGGATCTATTTGGTTTCGAGCTGGGCTTGTTTGAAATGAGGTCACTCTTGGCTCGTGGGCTGTTCATTGCGAGGAGTCAAGTCCAACTGCGTCTAAGTGTACATATATGCATGAGTCAAGTCTATCTCTCTGCATCTAATCCTATTGGTCTTAGCAGCATTTGCTTTTTTATATCCCTGAACCTTTTTGCTTTCTAGCTCTTTTTTTCTCTCTCTTCTAGAATCATCAGATGGACTGCATAATCACATCTGCATGCTTCTTTTCCGTACTCCATACATACAAGATACACGTTTTACAAGAGGGGTATTCGTACAAGGCAGACCCCCGGCTATCATTAAAGACGTATATGATATCACTTCTTTGGGGGGGGCTGCCTGGGCCAAGCGGCCTTCATTAGCTAAAACCATACGGAGCCTTTATTTGGTTCTCTTGGCGTCGAGCTCGGCCTCGTACTTGGCGATCAGCTCCTTCCTATTTATGGGATTAGTCATATGACGATATAAACAAACGGGATGCCTCATTAATCTGGTGAGAGGGGAACATGATAAAGAAGAAGAAACTTACTGCAAGTGAGGAGGAGCAGGAGCATAGTGGCTGAACTCCATGCTGAATTCACCCTTGCCCTGTGTAGCGGCACGCAGCTGCGAGCTGAAGCCAAACATGGCGTTCAAGCTGCAGTCACAGGTCAGGACAAAGTCTTCGCTGCCAATTTCGGTATCGTTAATCGTCGCATTGCGCTTGTTCATCAACATGAGAATGTTTCCTTGGAATTCGTTGGGGGCGGTAATGGTGGTCTTCATCAGGGGCTCAAGGACCTGACCACCGGCCTCAGGGAAGGCCTTACGGAAGGCCATCTGGGTAGCCAAGCTGAAAGCGTAATCGGAAGAATCGGTGACGTGGGTCTGACCGTCGTTGATGATCATCTTGGAGCCAATAACGCGGTGGCCCAGCAGGGGACCCTTTTCACAGGCGAGCTCAAAGCCCTTGGAACAGGCGGACAGGAACTTGTCGGGAATGTGGCCACCGACAACCTGACTCTCGTAGTGGTTCTCATCCGGCTTGTCATTGGGCTCAATGTAGCCAGCAACTCGGGCAAAGTCACCAGGACCACCGCTCTGTCGCTTGAGGAGGTAATCGAAATCAGCACGGCGGGAAATTGTCTCACGGTAGGCGACACGAGGTTGGCCAGTGACACACTCGGTCTTGTACTCTCGCTTCAAACGCTCAACATAGACTTCAAGATGCAGCTCGCCCATGCCGGAAATGATGGTCTCCTCGCTCTCGGCGTCAACGTGGACACGGAAAGTCGGGTCCTCGCGCTGGAATCGGTTCATCGCCTTACTGAAGTTGTCGGCATCGCCAGAACGCTTGGGCTTGATCGACAGAGACATGACGGCATCAGGAACGAACATAGAAGACATAGTGTAAGGGAGACCACCATCGGTAAAGGTATCACCAGAGGCGCAGTCGACACCGAACACGGCGCAGATTTCACCAGCACCAACCTCGCTGACGTCCTCCATCTCGTTGGAGTGCATGCGAACAATACGGGGAATGCGGACCTTCTTATCAGTTCGGGAGTTGTACAGGTAGGTGCCCTTGCTAAGCGTTCCCTGGTAGACACGGATGTAGGTGAGTTGGCCATAGTTGTTCTCTTCGAGCTTGAAAGCAAGGCCGACAAAGGGCAAAGAGTTGTAGGGGACCAATTTGACCATCTCCTCTCCCTTGGACTTGTCCAGCGCAGTGTTTTCAATCTGACCGGGGTTAGGCAGGTAGTCGCAAACAGCATCCAGCATAGGCTGGATACCCTTATCGGCCAGTGCAGAACCCATCATGACAGGAGTGAACTTGAGGGCAGTCGTAGCGCGGCGAATAGCAGCCTTGATCTGATCGTTGGTGGGCTCCTGTTCATCGAGATACAGCTCGGCAATTTCGTCGTCAACATCGGCCAGCTTCTCAATCAGGACCTGTCGCTTCTCGGCGGCAAACTCCTGAAGATTGGCAGGGACCTGATCGCTAACTCTGACCTTGGTACCACGGGGACCTTCAAAGTACATAGCCTTCATCTCGATAATGTCAACGACACCCTCGAATTCGTCTTCCGCGCCAATGGGAATCTGAATGGCAGCCGCGGGAATCTTGAGCTTGGTGTTGATCTGTTCGACGGCCTTCCAGGGGTTGGCACCCATGCGGTCCATCTTGTTGACGAAGGAAATTCTGGGAACATCGTAGCGCTTCATTTGCCGATCAACCGTAATCGTTTGAGACTGAACACCGCTGACAGCACAGAGAATCATCACGGCACCGTCGAGCACGCGCAGAGCACGCTCGACCTCGATGGTGAAGTCAATATGGCCGGGAGTGTCGATCAAGTTGACATGATACAATTCTTCCTTTCCGTTTACCGTTTTCTTCCAGTCGCAGAATGTAGCCGCAGACTGAATAGTGATACCTTTTTCTCGTTCCAGTTCCATAGAGTCCATCTTGGCGCCGACGGCATCCTTGCCTCGAACCTCGTGGATTGCCTTGATTCGACCAGTGTAGAAGAGAACTCGTTCCGTTACCGTAGTTTTGCCACTGTCAATGTGTGCCTAAATTTTCATTGTCTTAGTTTCTTATTCTTTTGCTCTATTTCGTTGCGCCGTTAACAATCGCAAGGGATATCGTACCGCAATACCGATGTTCCGAACTCTTTCGAGACGTTGAGCCTCTGCAGGATCCATATTGGCGGCAACATATTCGGGAGTCAGACTGGCAGCATCATTCTGTGCTTTTTTCAAACTATTTCTCAAAAAGTCAGCCTTTTGTTTTCCAGTTCCATATAGCACAACACACAAGCTTAAAAAGCTCAATGCAATTAGGTGCAGAATGTGTGGTCCTTACGCTTCCTGCGCAGCACTACATCGCTGAGACGATCCGCTGAAAGCTCGCAGCTGGCTTTGGAAAGCCAAGGGAAGAATCGCAGCCTGGAAATTGCGAGCTCCAGAAGCTGCCTTCTGGGCATCCCCAAACAGATGGCAATTAAGCCATCTGGCAGTCCCAAATGCCCTCATGGTGCAAGCTTGTCCACGGGCAAAGTGGGTGTTTGGCACTGAAGATCGGCCATCGGCTTAATGGCCGCATTGAAACTTTTTTTTTTCTTAGTCTGTCAGGGTCCCTCCAATTGGCTCGCCTCCTCACGTGCTTACGCAAATCGGACCACCACCACCACCACCACCACAGTGTTTCGGAATAGTTGCTACTATTATTACTACTGAATTATACTCAATTACGGCCGGAGTAAAATGCTCCAAGTTCTTGTTGTAGAAGGATAATGATATTGATTTTTTGTAACATTTATAGTCTAAGCTGCATGTCTATGTGCACTTATGTACCTTAGGTATCTGAACGCTCTTTTGTAGCGAATGCTCGAGAAGCCGGCCTCCTCAACTCCAGCGGTGCTTGCTAGTATGGAAAAAAATAAATAAAAAATAAAAAATCCCTATTATACCAAATGCGCCCTAGAATCATCCCAAAAGTCATTAAAAGCACTACTAGGTAGAGCGTGTCGAAGAGATTGGATGACAATGCAAGTTTACAGCCAGCCAATGCCGAAAATGGCGCTTCCAAGGAGGGTGTAGCCGAGGGTCAAGCCAACAACAATCGCTCCAGGGCCGGAAAAGGCGCTGGTCAAAGGGGCAGCGTTGTCGTTGGACTGGAAGCCACTAGCAGCAGACAAGCCGGATCCCGTTGATGAGGAAGGGCCAGACTTGCTCTGGTTGGGGGCGCTGGTGGCGGACGGGATAGGGGCGCCACTGCTGGCGAAAGCAACAACGTTGGTCTTGGTGGAGTTGAAGCTTGTGGGAGCAATCGCAATCTCGTTGTTGACCAGGTCGTAGACAACAAATGCAGAGCGAAGGAAAGTATCACCCAGCAGGTAAGGGGCTCCAGTCGTGTTCTGGATACCAAATTCGCAAACAGACTGGCCTTGGTTGGGTCCAGAGGAAAACTTGGGCGCAGGACCACCGCTAAAGAGGTCGAGGGCAAGCTCGGCCATGCTGACGTTGATCTTGGGACCTTGGGGACCGGCGAAAGTGAATGAGAAGTGCCCATTAATATTTCGGATTGAGCAAGGAACAACAGCCAAGCCAAATTCCTCGTTGTAGCTTGCGCCAACTTCCTTCCATGCCTCCTCGGCCATGTCCTGCGGCAGATAGGTCAAGGTCGTTCCCGAATCCAGAACGGCGACCAGGGTGCCCGCGTTCGTGCTGAGAGTATCGGTTCCTGAAGGGCTTGTAGCTTGCACCTCATAGAGCTCAACTGCGAACTCTGTGAAGACATTGCTGTTATCAGCACGGAGAATGTTGATCTTGGTCAAATCGCCCTCGTACTTTTCCGTGTCAATGCCACCAAACAGGATGGAGCCCGTGCTAGCATCAAGGTCGTTTAGCCACAGACTGTATGCGACGGTGTTGATTAGCTTCTCCTTTTGCAAGACAACCGGAAGATTCGGGTAGGTGGATCGCGTTGTGCCGAGAGAAGCTTCGTCGTTGACATAGCCGACTCCGATTAGGCCATTGGCGATGGACGAGTCCAGGCCAAGACCCATGGTAAGGTTGGAGACAGTCACGCCGCCGATATGAAAGTCATCTTGGAAGTAATCGCCCTTGGAAAATGTGTTATCGACATAGGTAATATCGAAGTCGCCTTGTCCAACATCGACGAAGGTGCTGGATTTATCAGAGTTGACTATAAGCAATTGTCAGTTAACTGTAAGTTAAAAAGCATAATTTAGCCTGGATGACTCTACTGACAGCTTCCGAAGGTGCATCCAGGATTCCTCTGTGATACTTCGGTACAGATGGCGGCCGATGAAGCAGGCACCCAGACATCACTACTGCCTGTGTCGAGCTGAAGGGTTATGTTTTGAGGAGGAGTGCCGACCTCGACGTTGAGGAAATATCCGCCCTGGACCTGTTGGTTTGAAAGAACGCCATTGACGGTGGTGGCTCGGCGGCTTAGGTCTCTCAGGAGCGGCCCGTCTCGCTTCTCGATATCGAACTGGACGACTTGCGCCTGGGCGGCAGAAGCCAGGGCTATGCCCGCAGTGGCCAGGGGCGAGGCCTTCATGATGGGAAGTTATAGAATAATACTCGGCTGCGATGAGGTGAGGTGTTGAGTATTTTTGTACGCAGTCTTGAATCGTATATCACAAGGCTCAGGGGAGAGTGGCCGTGCGTCTCCTGAGTAATATAAGTACGCCGTGGGTCAAGGCAATATAATAGGACAATGCCAAAGAAGGAATACTATGATAGGTATTTTCAAATAAGGAAATGCACTCAAAATATAAAGAAAAATCAAACAAACGGCAAAAACCAAAAAAAGACTTCACGACGCTCAACAGGGCTCCAGGACTCTATTATAAATGGCACAAGGCAGAGCGGATTCCAGCGTGGCTGTGTGAAATGAGACCCGTGGCCGGCGCTGCTGAAACAGGAGAAGCTGCAGCGGCAAAGCGTCGTCATTAGCGCCCATGGGGTGGATGCTGGGCCGGCAGAGACAGGCGCTGGGCCCATGCCGAACGGCCGAGCGTGTGGCAGGACAACGCGCGAGCGGACTAGACGGCTCTGCCAGTGACGACGACAGCCTCAGATTTCCCCGGGGAAGATGGAACCCTTTTTTGTTCCATTGCTTCTTCTCCTCGTGGCCTTGAGATTTTGAGTTTCTTGGCTGTGCCTCTTCTTCGTCCGTCGGCCTGTCCGTCTGTCCGCACCCGTGCTGCTCGCATTGGCGGTACTGCAAATACTCCTAGGCAGTGTAAAATAATCGTGCAATTAGCTGGATGATTACAGCCGCTCCATACCGCCACACGTAATACGGGCTGTGAGGTACCTTTGCAGCACATATTCCTACAGAACTGGAGTACATAATGCTAGTACTGCTATTAGCCCTCTTACGGGCAGGGCTCTGCGCCGCCAAGACAGCTGCAAAATACCTCTCATTCGTTTATCGCACGCACGGACAGAGCACATGAAGAAAAGAAAAGAAAAACAATGGCAGCCTGCGGTTGTAAAAATAGCACTTTTGCTGGGGCTGAGGCTGAGGCATTGGATTCCAACTGCCTCTTGCCTAATGCGGCGCGCCCGCGCTACGTGACAGATACGGGTCTATGCGCCACTCTTACTGGCCGCTATTCTGCCCAGCGTGCAAGTAGGCTCCGAGCTTCTGCAGCGCTTCTGCCAGCACGGCCGATGATCCAGCGTAGCCGACTCTTACATAGCCCGCAAAGTCTTCGCCCCGTCCAAAACAGTGAGATCCGGGCACGAAAAAGACTTTGGTCTTGTCCAGCACGTCGCGGCAGAAGGCCACATCATCCACCGGTTTCCCCTCCGTGCGGAACTGCACAAATGCCGTTGTTCCCGCGGTTGGCGCCACCCAAGAGCACATTGTCCGATGCTGCTCCACGAAGGCCTTGACCATGCCGGCGTTGCGCTTCGCCATCTCTATATTTCGCTTTAGCAGCGGTCCGCGCACAGCCGGCGACAGCGCATAGCTTGCCACCTGGTCGTCCAGCTGCGAGACGCTAATTGCGGTGTAATGGCGGGCCTCGGCAAGCCTCTCGATGATGGCTTTGTCTTTTGACGCAATCCAGCCCACTCTGATGCCTGCGAGAGAGTATGCCTTGGACAGAGATCCGGTCACAATGGCCTTTTCGTATCCCAGATCTGCCACCGATGGCGGCAGATTCGGGTTATCTTCTATTCCGTCGTGAAACAGCGGCCGGTAGACCTCGTCAGACAGCACAATCATGTCTCTAGCCTTGGCAAAGTCCACGATCTTGGCGATGAGATCTCTTGGGATGGGCACCCCGGTAGGATTGTTGGGATTGTTAATTACAATCATCTTTTCATTTGCGGGGAGGTTAGCGTGAAACAAATGCAGAATGCACGGCCTGTGCCTTGCGAACCTTTGTGTTTGCTTTGGCGAGCTGCTCCAACTCGTCCATGTCAGGCAGGAAGCCATTATCGGGATGTAAGCGCCATAGAGAGACTTCCGCCCCAAGGCTTTCGGGGACAGAAAAGAGCTGTTGGTAGGTGGGATATACACAGATGACATGGTCTCCGGGGCCGACCAAGCCGTAGAAAACTAAAAAGTTGGCTGCAATTGCGCCTTGCGTGATGAGAACATTGTCGCTCGACACCTGCTCCCCTTCGTACAGAGCCGCGATGCGTTCCCTCAAGGTTGACGATCCGCGAATGGCCCCATACGTGAGGACGGTGCTAGTCTGAAGCGGGTTCGCAGCCTTGTCATTTGATAGCTGCACCAGCTCGTCAATGGAAACGGATTCGACGCATGTCTCAGCAATGTTTAGAACCCCCGGCGTTGTTTCATAAGTGTCCATCCACTGCTCTACCTCAAACCGTTCGAAGCGCACCATGGTTGATTGGCAGTAATGCAGCAGTCCTGATACTCTGATAGATGGTGTTTGTTAGTTCTTGATATGTTATGCAATGATTCATTCATGCCCGGCAGGAGAGGGAACAGGTTTCTCTTTAAAGAATCCAGTCCAATTACAAGCACTCGTTGGTCACTGAGCCCGAGATGGGCTGCTGGTTAAAGACAGAGCCCCATGTGGGGCAATGCAAGCGACTATCGGAGAATATGATGAAGGCGCGCCTTATTGTTCAGTAGTAGGCAAGGGGTTTTGATGATTGGTTGTGATCCATACATCTGCTGCCTAGGTAGGATAGACTATCTGTCGGTTAGGAAAGGCTGTCGAGATCGGCACTATCCACTAAAGTAGTGTGCTACATCTGAGGAGCTGTCAATCACCATCACCATTGATGCTGAAATAGTACGACAATCAAGAATTAAGGTGACATGCTCAAGAGTTGCAATAGTATTCCGGTGTAAATCCAGATCACAACTCAAAAGAAATAAAAATATCATATCCAACAAGATGCTGTTGGCTTTAGTTGCTTGTGGAGCTGTAAGCAAGATATCATGACAAGCTATAGGTTAAGTGATATGAGCTCCCATCTATATCCTGTAGGACAGCAGGGAACGCGGAGTCGTGAGAAAGCGAGAAGTGCGCAATTTCAATCTCACAGTCCAACGTAATTCCAGCATTGCGGTGCAGTTGTGAGCATGAAGTAATGCATCTGTAATTTGGGAGCACACAGCGATATCGCATCTAATGCTAATGCCAAGCAGCATAGACCCCAGGCATCTCTCCAGCGATGCGCAAAGTCACATGGTGCCTATGTTACAGGGTATTTTGTTGGGGTTGGCTGACTGCGGAGCCTTTCTACCGTGAATTCTCCCATTAGCACACAGCTTAGTGCTGGAGTCATAGTGCCGGCTCGAGCTGGCTGCCTGGCCTTTTAGCCTAGAAGCGGGCTGCATCATCATGCTCGCAGTAAGGAGCAGCGCAGATAGAGTCCATGAGTCCATGATTGCATTTCGTTGAGATTTGACGTAAAAGCTTGTAGAAAATACGCGTAACCAAGGTACTCAGGAACCAAGATTGTACCAGCAAGGTACGGGCAGCAGCCCCAATTTGTACAAGCTCTGCCATACTGATCGTCACCACGTGCCCTGTAACGCTCGGCGGCTCAGCAGGTTCAAAGAAGCTCCCGCGCTGCAGCACGACGCTGCGGAGGCCGTACCAATGACAAGGCGGGGTTTTGGGTTGCCCCAGACCACCGATGACGACCTGGTTTCGCGCCAGGAACCAGGCCGCGGTACGTACCCGGCGCCAGGTCGGCCACCCTCTCAGCGCTGCTGTTCTTTTGTCTCGATCATCGAACCATCGAAACAAACCATCGACTCTGCCATTCTGAGCGCTGAACCCGCACGCGCTCATCGTCATGGCGCCTCTCAGCTGTCGAGGTCTGCTCGTCGGGCTCGTGGCTCTCCTGCCCTCCCTGACGGCGGCCTACGCCAACTCCAGCTACAATGTCGACGCTCTGCGAGCCCAGTTCGCCCTCATGGATGACCGCCCCAAGGATTGTCCGCCATGGTAGGAGATGCACTGCAGTGGCCATCCGATGGCATAGCGACGACCTTACTGATGAAAACTTTGCAGCTTTAACTGTCTCCTACCCGCCCATACCTGCGCGCAGTACGCAGGCTGCAACGAGTTCAACGGAAAATGCGACTGTCCCGATGGGTTCGGCGGTGACGACTGTCTCGAGCCATGTATGTTCATGAATCGCTCACCCAATGCTATCTTGTTTCTATTAGGCACTGGAGCAGCATCGTTATCTATATTGAAGCATCTGCTAACTGACGCTTCTTTCGCTTAGTGTGTGGTTCTCTTGGGCGCGGCAAAGACCGACCGATGCGATCGGGCTCTTCTTGCGAATGCGACGAAGGCTGGACTGGCATCAACTGCAATGTCTGCACAACGAACCAAGCTTGTAATGCCCTGATGGAGACCGGCAGCGGAGGTGTCTGCTACCAGAATGGCGAGCTCGTCAAGTACAACAACCAGGTCTGCAGAGTCACTAACAAAAAGATTGCCGACTTGCTTGGACAGCAAAAGCCCCAAGTCACATTTACCTGCAAAGAGGAGGAAGAAACCTGCGACTTCCAATGTTGGTTCTCTGTGCCCCTTGTTCTGCCTCTATATACCTGCTGACAGCTCTCCCTCTAGTCTGGATCGATGAAGTTGAATCTTTCTATTGCCATTTGTCGGATTGTGCATCTGGTGCCCAGTACGGCAGCGACAAGAACACCACAGCATACAAGTGCGATCACATCAGCTGTAGTTGTATCCCTGGCCGTATGATGTGCGGCAAGGATGGTTCGCTCGACCTTACCGATTTTCTGGACCAAGCAGTTAATGGCCCTGGCCAATTTGAATGTACTCAAAGGGGCGGCGGTGCCCATGATTGTGCTTTCAAAGAGCCCGCAATGGACGATCTCATGACCAGCTTAATCGGCGATTCTAGTATCCTTCTAGACTGCCAAGCCGGTGAGTGCTTGTACGAGACTGAAGTGCCAGGTTATCACCGTCCGGTTAAACAGATCAACACGCCCCTCATTGCTGGCGTTATCGGAGGATCTTCGCTCTTCTTGGCAGCTGTCATCATAGGAACGTGGTATTTGTCCCGCCGCAGATTGCGTTACGGAGCGATTCGCCTGGAGGATTCCGACGACGAGAGTACCAAGCTTATGGTGGATCATAAGCCTGCGACCCTCTTCTTCCAAAATGTCGCCTATTCTCTCAATGGAAAGAATATCTTGACTGGGATCCAAGGAGTTTGCCAACCAGGGGAGGTGACTGCCATCATGGGAGCTTCTGGCGCGGGAAAGACAACGTTTCTGGATATCCTTGCTCGAAAGAATAAGCGTGGCCATGTTAGCGGAGACTTTTACGTCAATGGCGAAAAGGTCAATGATGCCGAATATAGAAATGTGGTTGGTTTCGTTGATCAGGAAGACACCATGCTGCCCACGCTTACCGTTCATGAGACTATCCTCAACAGCGCTCTGCTGAGACTTCCCCGGGACATGGGCCGTGCTGCCAAGGAGCAGAGAGTCTTTGAAGTTGAGAAAGAGCTAGGAATCTATCACATAAGAGACTCTCTCATTGGTTCCGAGGAAGGAAAGGGCCGTGGAATCTCTGGTGGTGAGAAGAGACGTGTGGGAATTGCCTGCGAACTGGTCACCAGCCCCTCCATCCTCTTCCTCGATGAGCCGACTAGTGGATTGGACGCTTACAATGCGTACAATGTCGTTGAATGCCTTGTCACCATGGCCAAAAACTACAAGCGAACCGTCATATTCACCATCCACCAACCTCGCTCCAACATTGTTGCTCTTTTTGATAGGCTCATCTTGCTGGCTCAGGGCAAATTGGTTTACTCTGGACTCTTTTCGGAATGCCAGCCATATTTTAATGATATTGGCTATGAGTGTCCCCCGGGCTTCAACATTGCCGACTATCTCGTGGACCTCACTATGCATGCGAGTAGCAACCAGACGGCAGATGATGGACGAATTGATGCCGACGGTGAAAGTGTAGGCCCAAGCAGTACGCGGGCTGTCAAATCCGTTGCTAGCACCACTATTGGAAGTGCTGGCGAGGCTAGTGCCGAGCCATCGTTACGACCTAAGGGCCGACGTCGCGATTCAGTCAAAGTACGACAGGAACGAGAGCTCTTTACGCGAAGAAAGGCCCCTGGCACCGCCGCATCTTCAGATGCCGGAGGAGATAACCAAGATGGCTATCGGCTCCAGAACAACCCTGGAAGCTCTCTGCCTAGCTACCACTCGGATGACCCTCACGACCTACCCCCTCCGGCTATGACGGGAACTGACCTTGATATTATCACTCGATCTTTTGCCAAGTCCCATATTGCTGTCTCTATCCGCGACGACATCCAGCAAGCAATTAGTGGAGCCGAAGCGGCAAATGGATCAAATACAAACGGATATGCTGCAGAAGGGCCAAACATCTATACTAGCGCTGTTGGAAAAGGATACGCTCGGATTGGATACCTGCGCCAGTTTATTATCATCTCTGGAAGAACTTGGAAGAATCTTTACCGCAACCCAATGCTTATGCTCACGCACTACGCAATCGCTATTATCTTGGCAGTATTCTCCGGATACTTGTTCTACGGCCTCACTGATGATATTCCTGGCTTCCAAAATCGTCTTGGTTTATTCTTCTTTTTACTGGCTCTCTTCGGTTTCAGTACTCTAACAAGTCTCAATGTATTTGCCAGCGAGCGACTCCTCTTCACTCGAGAGCGAGCCAACGGCTATTATTCCCCGGCTACTTATTTTGCCGCCAAGGTCCTGTTCGATATTATTCCTTTGAGAATCATTCCGCCGATTCTCATGGGCTCCATCATCTACCCAATGACCGGCTTAGTGCCAGATTCGGCACACTTCTTCAAGTTTATGCTGGTTTTGGTCCTATTTAATCTGGCAGCAGCAGCCATCTGTCTGTTCATCGGCATTGTTTGCAAGGACGGTGGTGTAGCCAACTTAATTGGTAGTTTGGTGATGCTGTTCAGTCTCCTCTTCGCTGGCTTCCTCCTCAATCACGATGCCACGCCAAAGGGTGCTCTGTGGCTCCAGACTCTCTCTATTTTCCACTATGGCTTCGAATCGCTCATCGTCAACGAAGTAATAGAGCTTACGCTGGTAGACAAAAAGTACGGCCTTGATATTACCGTCCCTGGCGCCGCTATCCTTAGCTCCTTTGGATTTCAAAACGGCGCCCTTTGGTCCGATATTAGAAACCTTGGTATTTTTGCCGCCTCTTTCGTCGTTCTCGCCTATGCCGCGATGCACATTTTGCTTGTCGAGAAGCGATAGAAGAGCGGCTTAGATTTAACCCAGAATGCGAAGAAACATATTTGTGCAGGTTACGACATGTACATACTCATTTCACGCAGAGTAAGCCCCTGGGAATTTTGCACAATTGGCGTTATGGTTGGGGAGCATATTTTACCCTTTTTTGACTTTTTGCGTGTATCTATGGCGATAGTTTTTGGGCATTGGCAGAGTACTCCGTTTGGGCTTAATCAACGCCAATGGTCCCTTTTCTTCGTGATTGATACAATTGAGAAACCATTTTGACTAGCATAGCTTGAACTGTGTTTGATTCGTGAAGCGTAAATGTGAATTTTTTCCAAGTGTTTCTGACATATAATACATGCAATGCGCTGTATGGGCGCATGATATTCTAATTTTTTTTTTTACAAGGAAAATTCTCGATATCGCTACTCCATTTTGCCTCCTGTAAACTCCTCAGCAATCCTCTTCTGCCTCTTAACGGAGCGATCATATTCGGACTCATAATAATCCATGAGCTTAGTTGAATTTCCAGTCGTGGTTTCCAGCATATTAGCAATGGAGGGAGGCTTTCCGTAGATACCCCAAGCGTTTTCAGTGGTGCCATAGCGTTGGAAGTATTGGCTTTGTTTTCTGAAGTAATCCTCGCTGAAAATCTCATCAATCTCAGCCTTGAGCTCGCTCTCCTGGACGATGAAGTTGGAGGCGTTAATGTACAGCTCCATGAGGGCATCCCGTCGAGCTTCATATTTGGCTTTCTCTTTCTTCTGGACCTTGACCTGGCTGCGTTGGGCACGGGAAAAGCGATCTGGGTCGGGGTATGTTTTGGTGTCCAGAATAGCATCCAGGACAGTGCTTCGCGTGAGCCGGTCGTCCTCTCTTTCGGGAGCAGCAGCAGCCTCGTTGTTCTCCTTGAACTTGCGGCTTACGCGGGCGTTTCTAATCGCGTCGCTCTTCTCGCGGCGTGTATAGAGTGCCTTCAGACCTTGCTCCAGATTGGTTCTTCGGGTCTCGGCCATCTCTCGCTTCCATCTCTGAGATTCGTTTTTGGGTTCTCGCGCATTGGCAGACCTCGGCGCTGTCTTGTTGATATAATCGGGCTTGATTTTGCGATCGCCTTCTGATCGAGGGAACACTTGCCGCGGTACTGGCAGTGAACCTCTTACTCGGGGTGGCTTGGCTTCGTCGGTTTGAGACTGAGGAGGGGAAGGAAGTCGGATGTAAGAGGGAGATTCGGGCGGGACGGCATTGGAGAGAATCGCCGGGGTTGTTGAGAAGCTGCGTGAAGTAGACGACAATTGCCGAACTACTGGCCTGAGGCAGTTGCCTGCAGAATAGAGCGACATTTTGAACTGAGCTGCGCTGCGAATTGAGACTCACTGCCCACGCACGAGGTGGTGTGCGATATCGACTTACAGAAAATTGACAAACCTGCGCAGCTCGGATTAACCAATGCCGAGCTTCCGCTGTACCCCTGTTTTGCTTAAATAAGTTGGCCAGCCACAGCCTGCAGAGATGTGGGCTAGTGGGGTCCTCTGAGAAAAAAAAAAAAAAAAAGTTCGTGATAAGTAGCTGCAGCCACATTTTTTTTTACCTTCTTTGTTCTCCTTACTTCCTCCCAAGATCTTTGTGCTTGCTAGCAAGCCAAAAACTTCATCATGGGTACCGGAAAGAAGGAAGCCGCCCGGCGAGTGCGCCAGGGCAAAACTGGTGACGGGATGGGCAATGTTCGCGTCAAGGGCGAGAACTTCTATCGGTATGTGCAGCAGTGCCTGATGTAGTTTGCGACGATGGATGCTGACCAATGTGCGTGAAGCGATGCGAAGAAGGTGAAGCTCGTGAACATGTACAAGGATGGCAGGGCTCAGAGAGACGCGGACGGGAAAATCACAAAGGCTGCGAGCTTCCAGTCAAGAGACATCCCCAACGCCCGAATCGAGCCAAATCGCAAGTGGTTCACCAACACTCGCGTTGTCTCCCAAGACACCCTCACAGCCTTCCGTGAGGCCATGGCTGAAAAGGCCAAGGATCCTTACCAGGTTCTGCTCAAGTCAAATAAGCTTCCCATGAGCCTTATTCACGACGGAGGCAAGGACACCACCAATGGCATCAAGCAACACAAAGCCAAGATGACCATTGAGACATCGCCGTTCGCGGGTGTCTTCGGACCCAAGGCCCAGCGCAAGCGTGTCAAGCTTTCAGTCAGCACTGTCAATGACCTTGCTGATGACACCGAGAAGAGCATGGAGACTTATGAAGAGCGCCTGGAGCACAACAGGCTTCTGAGTGGAAACTCTGGCAATGATGGCGAGTCCGAGTCACTTACTATGGCCATCGAACCTGTGTTTGATAAGGGCCAGAGTAAGCGTATCTGGAACGAGCTGTACAAGGTCATCGACTCTTCAGATGTTGTCATTCACGTTCTTGACGCCAGAGATCCTGTTGGAACTCGATGCAGGAGTGTTGAGAAGTACCTCAAAGAAGAGGCACCTCACAAGCACCTCATCTTTGTTCTCAACAAGTGTGACTTGGTTCCTACTAGCGTTGCGGTAAGTTGCTATTTATTTCTTGCTCTTCTTTTCCTCGTTCTATATCAATTTCCATCTTTTGGCTATATGCCCCCAATGAATCCTGTCAGGACACCTCGCATTATTCCCCGTGGAGGACCGTCTGTTACAACATTGGGAGATCGATTGCAATCTCGACTGTCTCAGCTTCGGCTGCAGGCTGATATGGTGCCGTTTTGGTTACCTATCCAGAGAAGGCTGTATGTCTGATGAGTTGAAGCCTTCCTTCGCCCTTGCTGGCATCCAATGGAGCTTCTTAGTGAAGACACGCACATTTCCATATCTTTTCTTTTCTTTTTATTAATTTTTATCATTTACATTTTCACCTCTTAATGTTCTCGTCTAACTGGAGAATAGGCTGCATGGGTACGAGCACTCTCTAAAGAGGTTCCTACGCTTGCTTTCCACGCAAGCATAAACAACTCGTTCGGAAAAGGATCTTTGATCCAGCTGCTGCGACAATTTTCTGCTCTTCACACAGATAGAAAACAAATTTCTGTCGGTTTGATCGGTGGTCCGAATACTGGGAAGTCCTCTATCATCAACACTCTGTCTAAGAAGAAAGTCTGCACTGTGGCCCCTATTCCTGGAGAGACCAAGGTGTGGCAATATGTCAGCTTAATGAAGCGTATCTACCTTATTGACTGCCCTGGTATCGTGCCCCCATCAAGCACTGATACACCAACTGACCTCGTCCTGCGGGGCGTGGTGCGTGTCGAAAAGGTGGAACATCCGGAGCAGTACATTGATGCGCTACTGAGTCGTGTTAAGCAGAACCACATGGAAAAGACCTATGACATCAAGGGATGGCGAAACGGAACCGAGCTTCTTGAGCTTCTTGCTCGGAAAGGAGGTCGTCTGCTCCGCGGAGGAGAGCCTGACCTGGATGGCGTAGCGAAAATGGTGCTAAATGATTTCATGAGGGGCAAAATTCCCTGGTTCACCCCAGCTCCCAAACTAAGTGAAGAGGATGAGGAAGAGGGAAGTGGCAACGTCAATGGCCGCCGTGGCAAGCTGGGTGAGATGCCTCGGAAGCGACCCGCTTCCGAGACATTGGAAGAAGCTGAAGAAGCCAACGCCGAAGTCCCCGGAGAGAAAGCTGACGGGGACGAGTCCTCGGATAGTGAATTTGAGGGATTGGGCAGCGACACTGAAGAGGCCTTGTCAAGGAAGCCTTCTTTTGGTGCTACTAGCGGAGCTCAAAGGGATGCTGAGAGCAATTCAGACGATGTCTTGTCTGTTAACGACCTGAGCGATGACGACACCCCTAAGGAAGCTACTCCCGTTACCCAGATCTCATCTAACAAGCCTGGTCGGTCCAACAAGCGACAACGTCGGTGAACAAGAGAGAGGAAGTAAGACCTTATTGATCCGCATTTGAGAATAGCAGTTTGAACTCTCAAACAAACTCAAATGATACAATAAGCACTCTATTCTTAGCAGAGACTGTCTATGCTACTGCTCCCTTTTGCGGCCTTCGGGCTCCGTTGCGAGCAGAAGATTGTCTTGGCGTCAAGACACCATTAGCCGCAATAAGCTGTTAGCTAAGATCAGCGCATCTGAGGATATATTGCCTAGGGCAGCACAAAAAGGCCCGCGATATCCGAGCTGGCAATGTTCTGAACAAATAAGCATTCACCAGTCAAAGCAATCGATCACACACCAAAATCGCGATGACAGTTTGCGTGGAGTGTATTCTAAGTGGCCCTCCCTGCCATGTGGATTCAAGGGAGCTTTGTACAGAAATGGAAAGCTCCAGATGTCAGAGCGCAGGGATCTAAGCAGAGTGCGCTCCTCAGAGACGTCATTTAGGATGTGCCAAGCTTTTGCGAAGCAACCCTCTACGACTTCGCTAAGAAGCTAAGAGGCCTTCGATCGTGAGCTGTGTACCGTGGTCCGCTCTAAGCAGTTTGGCCGACCTCCGAACTCATCGTCTCGTCCAAATCGGCTACTCATGATGAGAGAAACGCCGGAGTTGAGATAGCCCCGCAGAAACGCGCTGATCAATCATGATCACGATCACTCGGATGGGCAGGAATGTAAACAGGCATCTTTAAGCACTGAGGTTACAACTGTCTGACATGGCGAACCTGATTTAGCCAAGTCCAAATAATACCAACCAATAAATTAATATCTATCATTTTGAACGGAGCCGTCGTGACTGTGATTTTAGTGTCCAATGTCTTAACTCAAGAGGAGTTTCTTTGTGTAGGGGGTTCTAGTTCTAGTCCCCCCTGCAGTGCGGATTGGGTTGACTCGCACGGCAGAAGAAGCTGGGCTAGCATGTTACAGAAGAGAAGCTACTATGGTGACGTTTGTACTCCGTACAGCCACTGCAAGCTACCCGAACCAGATCGAGGTTGAAGGAAACCTTGTCCTGAGCTATCCTTTCCAGATACGAGCTTTCTCCAAGATCTCGTTGTGCAACCATGAACTCATCTGTTTTGAGCTGAACAAAGCGGATCGTCGGTAAGTCGGCTAAGATGTCCGCGGCTGGCCAAATCAGAACTTAGTGACAACTCTAACCCTTTTTCAATCAGGGATCTGCCTGTCAAAAAAAGCTCAGTCGAGGAGGATTCGAATTAGTTGGTTCCACTGCTTCTACTTCATGTGGACTGTTGCCTATTGCCATGCATGGCCCATATAATGAGAGAAAAAAAAAAGGTATTACTTGCTTGGTACTGCGGCTGTTGGTCGTCGGCTCTAACGGCTGCGCTATCACGGACATGTAAGACATATTGCCACTGTTGAGTACTCGGGCGATGGTCGTGGCTCTTGCGGATTGGCCTTGTTTTAGCTTATTCGGTGAAGCTGAGCGCTTTCTCTCTCGTTATATCTTTACTGGGAGGGGGCCGAAAGGATTCGAGAACTTAGAGGGGCGCACATCTCCGGCAGTTTGGATGGGATGATGAGAAATGCGCAAGGCGTTTTCTCGTATTCCGAAGGAAGTGGTGAGGTCAATGGTGGGAATTTTTAGCGGTGGTGATCTTTTTCCAGGCCACTTTTTCGATGATGATGTCCTCTTTGATGTGCATGTGGTCTGCGTGAGTGAGGTAAGAGGCATCGTGGAGTCGGTGGCTTGAATGAGGAGATTTCGGAAGGCTGGGTATGGACGAGATATGACATGGGAGACCCTCGCCTTTTTTTGTGTCTATAAAATGATGGTCCCATTCCATCATTTTCTTCTATCTTGTTCCTTATGAACGATAACCTCTTCTCTCAAAGCAATTGTTCGAGAAACTTTTGAGAGGTAGCTATCCGCCTTTGTGGATAGCTTCATTTACATCCATATAATACCTATTGCACGGTTGATACCACACACAAGCAAAACGTTTCGCCAATCATGTTATACTCTATACTTGCTCTTGGTCTCGGTACGGCCTTGACTGAAGCCGCCGTTGTGCGGACTTCTGGCTGCCAGTTACACTTTACAGCTTCGGGAGCCATATCTGGCCCTGTTGGCGAGATCTCATCTGGTCAGGTGCGAGCCGGTAGCGGTGTGAGCTCGACAACTTTCACCCTGCAGGGAGGTCAGCTCTGGGATAACAAGGGCCATGGCTGTTGGTGGACTCGTACGTTTTGCCCTTCTGTGTTTCTTCCTTGCGGCTTCGTATTTGCGAGACACGCATATGCATATGCTTATACGTATATGCACGTGTGACTAAATATGTCTTGGAATTGTGGTCTCCATGCTGACGAATGAATGTGAGACAGCACCTACACATGTCCTCCAGTGCGACAACAACCAGAATCCAGACAATGGATTCAAGGTAGGATGCGACGGCTCTGTCTCGTATAACGGACAGACGGAGTTCTGGGAGTGCCAGACAGGAGAGAGTGGCCAATATAACGTCTATCTGAATGGAGGACAGGGTGTCAACTGCCACCAGATTACTCTCAAGGCTGATAATTGTCACTCTGGATGCCCGCCGCCGCCTCCTCATTTTACTCCACCACCTCGTCCAAGGACTTGCCCGGCCAACCTCAACGGACCTTATGAGTTCCCTCATCTCATCATCCCCGTGGACGAGTCCAATCCCAACCACGCCCCAGGAACGTCCTACTTTGGCGAAGTTTCCAGCAGTGTCTCTTCCATCTTCAACTTTGACATCCCCAGTGGCGATAAAGGCAAGAGATGCAGCCTCGTATTCCTCTTCCCGCAGCAGAAGGATCTCACGACCTCATCCTTCAACTTTACCGGCTCGGGGGCCTTAGACTTTGCCTGGCTGAGCGAGCCTGCCAACCAGGGCACGACGTACAACAACAAGCCAGGCACGAAGCAGGATTTCGGAACAACTACGGTGTCTCCAGGTAACAACTACGTGATCTCGACGTTTGCCTGCCCCGCTGGAGAGACGGTTGCGTTTGAGATCTCGGATGCGAATGGTGGAGGCACTACGTTTAGATATTTCCAGGATTATAACCCGGCGCCTATTGGGTTGTATATCAGGAAATGCTAAATGGAGCTGATAATATTTATACTAACAAAAAATAAGAGGAAAATATTGGACAGAGAGGTGTAATGTGTGGTGGGATGGATACTGTGTTTGATGTTAGTTGGCTTGAAGGTTACGCATATTTGATGATAATAATGATGAGTCACTCCCTTAAAGGTAGTTAAGCTTTTGTATATGCACTTTTGATTAATTTAATTCATTGATATTAAGGATTTGTTGCATTATATGTGTGTGAATGCGGGAAGAATTGACGTTATTTCTTAGGTCTTAGGTGAGGTGAATTATGGAGGGGATTTTCTAGAGATTCTATATACATGCCCAGCAACGGCGAGACTTGTAGGCCTATGTCAAATCTGGATAAGTAAGCCATTTAATGAAGAATGCGGAAGTAGACCTATCGTCTTTTATTCATCTTAAGGCGCGCAATTCGTCGAGATGTAACCTCGTATCGGTCAGTTAGAAGAGGCTCGTTTGACAAGCCAATTGCAGCCAAACGAATATTATGCTGCAATGATGTATCAAAGAAGATCTTCTAGAAATATGTAAATATGGTCAGCCAAAAGGAAATATTCGACATTTCATAATAACTCACATATTCCACACATATACTGAAGTATATAGATGGTCGAATATATGCCTTGCGCTACTGAAAATTATACTTACCACGACAAGTACAGCTGGTGCAAAATATCACAAATGACTAGTAGTATCGGATGATTGCCTGCATCGTATTTGTGATTAAATAACCGAGAAGAGAACGAGGTAGGATGGAGACGTTCACCCTCACTCGTTCAGATGGTTGAGCCTTTTGGCGAGGTTGTAGGCGGTGGATCAGCAGTGGGGACTGCGCTGTGGGAACAACGTCACAGCGCGTCTAGAAGCTGCCAGTGTGAGCTTTTAGCGGTGACTTGGTGGGGACCTCAGCAGCCAGAAATGCCTCGCCCTTAGCTGTCAAGGCTAGGCACATAATTTTCCTAGCTTGCCACCTCATGCCTTTTTTTCTAGTCTCTACATTTTCTTAAAGAAGACGTCGATCCTGCTTCTGCTGCCGGACACAACTCTAACATACTCCACCTGATTCCCTACGCCCAAGTTTCACGCAGCACTTCGACGCAAAGCAGAACCGAACATGGGCGCCTCTTCATCCAAAGCAGCGGCTCGCGGAGCGGCTCGCAAATATCCCACCAGATCACCTGGAGCTGTGCCTCAAGCAACCACCAAGAGAGCCAGACCTCAGCAGCCTACGCCCCGTGGAGATGGATCTAAAGACAATGGTAAACAGACAGGCTCTCAGTGTTGTATACATGTGTCTAACGTAGCTATCAGCAATTCGCGCCGATGCCATGGATCCTGACTTTGCCCCCGGCGACTTCTCTAAACGCCTCCACCAGATGGGCATCGTGAACCCAAACCCTACGTTTTCGCCTTCTTCTACCGCAGCGCCCAATTTCTCACCAGAGTCACTGGCCGTACCTCCAGGACCGCTATTCCCACCGGCCAAGCAAAACACTACACTCTCTGCGCTCGAAGCACGGCGCCGTTTGGAGCGAATTGCCGATGAAGATCTTGAGATTATGGGTCGCGAGGGAGGTCGACGCCGCCTGGCCGATATGAGAACCATTCTTGATGCTGTCCAGCTCTTGAACCATGGTACTCCCGTCGCTGATATCGAGAAGCGACTGAGAGTCACCCCTGGGTTCTTGAACAAACTAGGCCCTGCTGGCGTTTTGACTCACATTCCCGCAAATTAATAGTGCTTCGAACTGATTTCGAGATTGCAATTTGAGTTTTCTTTTCTACCTATGCCCAACTCCAAACATGCAAACAATTACAGGAAAAAAAAACAGATATTATGGGGACTCGATGTCCCTTTCCATCTCCCTCCCCCCTTTTCGTCCTTCAACATGCGCGCCAGATCAAAGCTGTAACAAAGTGCCAGGCTGGCTCTAGTTGCTCTATTTTATTCCAATGGTAACCCAACAACAACGGGAGTTTCTTTGGCTGATTACCAGGCAGCATGTCCACCGTCAATACGGAGGTCACTTCCCGTCATGAAGCTGCTGGCGTCGCTGAGCAGGAACACGGCAGCACCGCGATATTCCTTGGGGACACTGAATCGCTGAAGCATGTTCTCCTTGGGCCACTGCTCTTTTCGCTCGGGGTAGTCGTCGAACAGATTCAGCAGCATCTGGGTCAAGATGTACCCGGGAGAGAGAGTATTAACGCGGATGCCATACTGGCCCCACTCGGCGGCCAAGCTTCGGGCCAGCTGGATAACAGCGGCCTTGGAGGCGTTATATGCTCTTTATCATGCATGCAATGGTCAGAATCATGAAGCACCAATGTTAAAATAAGTGGCGAGAGACTTACGGAGCAAACATGCCGCGGTTGGCAATGGTGCCGCTCATGCTGGCAATCATGCAGATGCTGCCAGGCGTTCCCAGTCGGACCATCTGGCGAGCAGCGGCTTGAGCAGTCATGAAAGCACCCGAGACATTGATGCTCATCATACGATCAGCCTCCTCGGGAGTGTAATCGAGAGCCGGGCTCTCATAGTTGATTCCAGCAGCGGCAAGGCAGCCATCCAAGCGACCTCTCTCATCTGCGATACCTCTAAAGATGTTGTTCAATTCAGGCACGTTGCGAATGTCCAGCTCGTGGTATGTCAGACTGGTGCTCAGTTCTTCCTTGGCACGCTTGGCTACACGGGAGAATTCCGAATCGGGATCCGACGTGGGATCGGGCAGTCTGTCAACGCAGTGCACTGAGATGACATTTGGATTAGCGGAATGCAGAACAACTTGGAGTGCCGTGCAGCTTACCAATAGCACCTGCTTCAAGAAGTGCTTCGGCCTGTACCAGACCCAATCCTCTCCCACCGCCACTGATTACGACGACTTTGTCCTTCATGGTGAACTCGGCCAGCAAGTGAGGCCGAGTGACCGGATCAAGGGGAGGAGATGAGAGGACTGGTGAGACATGCATGTTTCGACGAGTGGTAGTAGCTAGTAAAGCGCTGCTACGATTAGAGGCCCTAAGTGCAAGAGGTTGCCGGGTTAGCAACCTGAGAGCGGGAGCGAGACGAGACATTGCTGGACAGGCGGTGGTGGTGGTACTTCAAAAAGAGTTGAGAATGAAGCTCAATATGATGTAATATGGCAATGAAGCCTGAGAAGCTCACAAAAGCTTTTTACTGGCTGAATTGGCTTAAATTGAGGAGCCAGAGAGGACTGCTGCGATGAAATGATGATGGCAGAAACAAAAAAGGATGCGGATGGCAATTGAATTTAAATTCTACGAGAAACAGGCACAATCCAGGCCTGCCGAACCGGCAGCGGGGAAGGCTTGGTGGCGTGAGGGGAGGGAGGCAACGCTACCCCAAACTCACGATACGTAGAAGCAACATCACGATGGCGGCAAGTTGTATGTGGCAAGGCGCAGGCTATCACGAGGGCATGAAAATTGATGAGGATAGGCTAGGAAGGGGAGTGAGGAATTGGCTCAAGAGAGGGGGTGGTAGCAATGGATTGAGACCGGAATCGCATATGGCTGGTGAGCCAATACAGAACTCATACGAGGCAGGATTTTGGAGCTCCTAAGCGAAAGCAAGATCTAGAGGACACGGCTCTGGGACTTTGATTCGGGGAGGAGTCCTCGTTCCGGAAAAGGGGTGGCATCGAAGGAGAGGGTGGGGAGAATGAGGGGGACACGAGAAGTCGCGTGAACAGAAATCCAAATGAAAGCCCCAATTTGTTCCCAGACTGCCGAGCCTGCAATTTCGAGCTGGCCAAGAGAGAGTTATCCGGAGCCAGAGGAGGACTGTTGATTTTTGGAGCAGCATGCAGTTATTCCAGCCAGATCGAGCTTGCGAGAGCCACGGCGAGCTTCGGATTACCGACGATGGTTAGCCGGACTGTGATGGGTGGCGGCCCTGGCTTTTTTAGAGGGGGATTTGTGGAGGCGGCGTCAGCCATCCTGCCGCTAAATCTCTGCTAAGACGCCCCGGAAGCGCCACCCCGGGATTCCCCACAGAGAATCCAGGATCCTCCAAAGCACCTCCATTGGGATCAAGACAGAGTTGGGGGGCATCTAGCCAAGTGATGGGAAGAAGCCGTTGATACAGGCTCTAATCAGATGATGCTCTTATAGTGTCAAGGATGCCTTTTGATGATTCAATTGAAATATTGCTGCAAATAGAGCAAGCCTAGATGCCTGTGCACCACTTACGATATCGAGGCATTGAATTGGTAGTTGAAACTATCCCCACGTCGGATAGGACAGTCCCATGACCGTGGAACAGGGCAAAGCTTGGTATGCTTGAGCTGCCATTGCTAGTAATGATCGCCTATAGATGAGATGTAAGGTTGAGAGCATCGCTACCACCAAAACGCAGCCGAGCCCTAGCTGGGTTGGATGACTTCACGGCCAAGAGAAGGCGAATGCCGGATCTCGATTTCAGAGCTCGTTGATGCAATTAAAGCATTCCAGTGACTTGGATCGGAGAATTGGCATCGAGTTAACTCCAAGCGACAAGACTCTCCGCGGCAAAACTCAAAATAGGATCCGGTGCATTACAGTACCTGTGTGTCTATGATCACATTAACTGGCTCTGCCTGCAAGCATGCCCAACACCGCTTGCGCGTCCTAATTCTAATTCTCCTGCAAGGGGAAATCTTGATACATCCACGCTCTTCTCATCAATCCTGCCACATCCCTCATAGCTGACAGATAATGGTTCCGGAATCGGCAGCAAACACGAAGCTCAGCACGAGCTGCAACCTTAAGACCCTTGAACCGTAAAAAGCGGAGCGGGTTGGGCATGAACCCCCGGGTTCTAGAACCGGATCTTCGGGCTGTAGAAAGAAGAGCTTGCAGTGCCATTTGGATAAGAAAACCCCATCAAGAGAGCCGCTGCTTATTAGCGGGCTGGCTGAGATGTTGCAGTATGTACATAGAATGTAGGCATATGGAGATGCCCGCCGGGAAGACAACCCATAGCCACCACGGCATTGCCTATTTAGGCAACTTTTCAGGGTCCACGATGCTTTCTGTCTTTTGTGCGATACCCTGGGCACGGGATGGCATGCTGCTGCATGCAGAGAGTGTTCTAGACTACCAATTTCTTTTTATTTTTAGAGATTCGAAAAGTATTTGGTTTTTTTTTTGACAGAAGTCCATATTTTTTTTGGTGTCAAGTTTGTGCTTTGCCGTCTGTGCGAAACCGGCCAAAAGTTGGGGCCTGGATGGATCGATGTTGCTGAGTAGTGGTAGCCATTAGGCAACAGCTTGGTAGGTGGGTGGCTGAGAAGATTACAGGATCCGGGTTTGCTTGAAGAGGAGGATTCTAGTGTTTGAATTTTCCAAGGGAGAAAAGATGGAAGGGGGGGGGGCGGTAACAAATTTACTCTATATCGCTGGCATCAGCGAGGGAAGGATTAGGTATATTATATGCACACAGTTCTCTTTGATCTAGCATTTAGAGGCTGGATGTTAGCTTTACCTAAAGCCAAACTCTTAACGCTCGAAATACAAAGCATAAGCCAGTTTTTTGGGGGGAATTATTATCTAACACCTTAGTTTTTATTATCCAGCATCCCAGCTATAGCTCAAGTTAAAAATTATAAGCATAATTATTATAGTCTTTTACTGCCTCTGCTGCCTCTACTAATTTATTACCTGGTACTTTTACTACTTCTGCTGCTTTTTTTTCTGGAATCTTTCCTCCATACGTTTGAGAAGCCCACAAATGACCGCTTTGGTCTAGTGGCAGGGCAAGCTGTCAAGAAGTACATAACAAAAAGAGAAAAATAACGGCGTTGCTTGGCATATCCAGCATGTTGCTGAAAAGAAGCCAAAAAAACGCAAAGAAGCAATGATCTTCAGAGCTTGTTTTCATGTTTACTTCATCTTTATCTCACACTACCCTCCACGAAATCTCCCCACATCGAGATGATGCCGATCCCTGCTATCTGATTTGACCGCAGAGCGAGATGCATTTCGTCGTTCACATCATCGCCATTGTCTTGTGTTCCTCTGTGGCGTCATAGATTGCAGAATTTATAGCTCTTCCATAGTGTTTCTTCTACTTTGCGATTTGAGCTACTCCATTGCTAGATGGAGAGTAGTGGGTTGAGAGAGGTGTCAAGTCGAAAATGCTTTCAGCACATATCGTTTGCTTGTGCTTAGCATGAGCAAGGGTCTCAGACATATTCACGAGGCACTCAAGTGCCAAATGAAATAGGAAGGATTCTATTAAGAGCTTATTATGAATCTCATGATTGTCGTGGGCTCAGGAGATACGCAATCATGCTACATCTTTCCAGTATTTGTCCGTGTATTGCTTTGCGTCGCTAAATCGTTCAGTCAGTAGAATTTGTAACTGCTCGAAACATTTCGTTAAATCCACCACATCACGCTCTCTTAGTTTTATTCGACGCTTCCTATGCTGCTACAACGAGATACATACAACGAGCGTCAACGCCGCTCTTACCTTAAAAATGAGCCATAGATCAAAATTCAACCATGTCCTCACCGTTGCCGGTTCACAGCCTTTATGGACTAGCCTTTAGTATCATCCTCAACCCTGAATCCACTGCACTATTGTTACAGAGCTGGTGTATACCATGGCGATCAATCCGACCGTCATTGTCAAAATATTCAGGCCTTTCTCCCATGTAGTCTCAGCAACACCCTTGTAATGCAGATAAGCTGGGTAGATGTAAACCAGTGGAACGCACGCAAATCCCCCAATCAAGGCAACAAATTTATCCAAATCACTTGCTCCAACCACAGCGATGCCGATACACACAGCAATAGTCAAAGTCCGAAGCCCATTTTTCTTCCACTTGATTGCAAGGCTCCGTTTCCCTGTAGCTCGCTCGCCGAATATCGATGTCTCCAAGATACGCACGGCAGGAAACAGCTGTACAGGCTCACCTGCTAGCACCGCGAGCGAGTAGAGCAATTGAACTGCATTGACGACAGGAGAGTCTTGGGGAAAATTAGAGATGATCTGAATCTTCGTGTTCTCGCCAAATGTAGCGTAACAGAGGGCTCCAACCGATGTGAAGATTGCGGTGATGAGGAACATGACAAAGTACAGGAGTCCCTTAAAGTGATGCGGTTTCTTCATGCTTGACTGGATCGGGAGTATTAAGCCGATTCCTTCAAAGGTAAAAATGGCCGAGCCGAGAGTGAGCGGAAAATCCGAAGGGTTGAAGAGCCTAACACTCGGGTCCATGCCGTGCCTGGCCAGGCTGCCAATATCGTAATACCATATGTATATAAGCCCGATGAGGATAAAAGCATCAGCCACCAGTGCGACTGGCCCTAGTTTGGAGATGTTCCGAATCAAAGCCAGCGGAATGAGAGGGAGAAACTGCAGCGCAATAACAGTTGCCACTCCAATGTGGCCAGCGTCTTTGGTCACGGCATTAAGGAAAGAGAAGAGATTTTCGGCTGTGAAAATGAGGCCTGAGCAGACGAAACCAAGTTGAGAAATGGCAATTGAGGCAAGGATGAGACTTCGAAACCGAGAGCCAACAATGGATTCGCCAAGCTCTCCGTAACCACCGCCGTACTTGTGACGACAGTCAAGCAGCAGACGGAAACAGAAACAATTGATCAGCGATACAGAAACAAGAGCAAGCGATGAGAAGAGGATGCCTCCGTTGCGAAAGGCTTTTGGCAAAAACAGGATGCCTGTGCCGATAAAGGCTTTGATGAGCGTGAAGAAGGTCTTGACAGTACTGGCGTCGCCCTCACGACTGAGGCGGCGAGAGCTTCTCCGGCGATCGGCTTTAGGCCGCCTGAGCAGCGGGCGTCGTTCGTCGGCAACTTCCTCAGACTCATCGGTGATTGCGGATTCGTCTTCGTCTTCGTCGGTATCTTCGAGCGCTTCACCCGCAAAGCTACCATACAAATCAAGGAAATCCACAAATGTGTTAGCCACAACGTGGCCGCTCTCCCGCCTTTGCCGAGCTCGTCGACGCAAATGCTGCCGCCTGAATCCGCCTGGCTCAAGCTGTTCGGAGGCCGTCAGCTCGCCAGCAAGATGGGGCGAAGGATGGTGAGAGAATGTGTTGGACCGGCGGATGGAGCTCGCTCGAGCCTTGATCTTAAACATGTCACGATGGATATCGCCACCCTGGAGCTTCAGCGACGACTCCAGCGTCTCCAGAGTCGGCGTTGCATCGCTGCTCCCCTTTTGTCCATTCTGCTCATTGCTGGAAGTGGCAAGATCCGTTGCAGACGCATCTGGGGGGTCGAAAAGAAGCTCTTGGCTGGCGGACGCAGGAGCGGCAATGGGCTCTACGGCGACTTCGATGGGTTCGTTGGCCAAGCTAACCTCTGCATCAGCCGAGTAGCCTTCTGGGAGGTGTCGATGAAGAATTGCAGCCTGTCGCTGCATGGCATCAGAGCTATTCGGGCTGTCGACCGAGCCACTGACGAGATCCGGTTCAGACATGATCGATGACGACTTGTTTCACCGCTCCACTTTGGGGAAGTACAGCGTCGCTACGAGTCCAATTGCAAGAATAGCAGATGGAAACGATGAAGAGAAAGAAAATCTGATATAGGAAATACTATGCTGGAGCTGTGTAAGCCATCCCAGATGGATCGTGGACAAAGTCACGGCCCATTGAGTTGGGTTTTGGTGATGGTGGAAGATGATGGAAGAGGAAGAAACTCGGCAGCATCATCAAGCTCCGGATGCCGGAAGAAGCTGAACACGGGACCGGGGCTTGGAGTACTAGCAGGTACTCATTACTGGTGTAGAGCTGCGTCAGTACCGCATTGGTACACTGGGGCCCCGCGCTGTCCGTGCGACAAAGGGCGGTTCGTGTCTCAAGCGGCTGCAAGCGGCTGGAGCTCTGGCTTGGGGGCAAATCAAGCGCTAAAGCACTGCGCTGAAAACTCGACTCGTTACGCTACCGTCTGCGGGTGATCCACGTATATGTACCCATCAAGTATCAGAGCTCGTATCGCCTACATGCTGCGTACCCGGCAGATTGATGTTGAAAACGATGCCTTCCATTCATTTTTGTGACACAATAACTACAAATGGAGCACTTCGTTTATTTGTTTGCAGTAAAGGTTACCCATGACATGATTAAATAAGCCATACAGATGGCTATTTTGCGTGTGTGGCCGTATCACATCACAATATGTAGACTCAATAAGATGATTCCTAGCCTCGCAATGATATTGACCCCATGAGTAAGAGATGCATATACAAAGAGACAATAGAATGCTCATGAGAACCATAGGATCAACTATAACACTAGACTCTGATATGAAGAACTCAAATGAAATGACTCAAGATATAATAGAGCTTATATAATGAAAAGCTAGTTATATTATAAAACATCGAATAATGCGTATAAACTTCTTTTTTCTTTAATCATAAACAGCTATACGTTGTGATGGCATATAGTCGATTCATAACTACTCCTCTAACTGTCGTTAGACTCTGAATTACATTTAAAGAAAGGAGAAGTTGATGCGCACGTTGAACTGGGATGAGCCACGATATAGAGGAACCCTTAGCATTGGAAAGGAAAGGAGGTTTTGGGAAGAAGGTACCGTAACTACACGTACTCTGACGAACATCTTAAAATTTTGTATTCCAATAATATACGTGGTAGGATAGTCTAATAAAAGCTTTTGAAGAGATTGAACCTTTCTGTATCTATGCTAATTAGCCACTATGAACTTCAACAATTTCCTGCCCCCTTGTTGTACTTTGCTCTCTTACTGATATTATATACTATTTTCCTTCATCCATAGTGTCTCGTGATACTATTCCTACTTACACCGCTCTACGGAGCCATATCAGTGTCGAGAAATAGTCATCTCGTCTGCTATTCGAAGGCCTATCCTATAATAATTTTGTGTGAGGGTGCTAGCATATAATCACTGATTTTGCGGAAGATTTTTTTTTTTTTTTACAGGAGAAGGGAATAAATTTGAGAATTATATCTATTACTAGTCTCATATCCAAAACTAGTATTACCTTTTTTTACTGGGTTCACATTGCTTGTGCAAATTTAGTCAAATTGACTGAAATTGAAAGATATCTCCAAGATGAGATGTCCGCTACATGAAGCAACATATCTTATCTGCGGATTCCTATGACCTCCGTGTCGCATGACGAATTTTGGCCAGTCAAGAGAGTCAAATAATAGTGCAGAGATTGAAGGCCATGACATAATTCTACTTTGGCAACTGGCTCCAGTATGATTGCTGTCGTGTTTTGTTGGTCAAGGAATGCTAGCATCCAGCCCCAAGTCCCTTGGGGACGCAGGTAAGTCACAGTCTTAATGTGATAATATACAGTTCAAACGAGACATGAGTGTAGCAGATTTCACATATAACAGAGACATAAGACCGGACGCGTGGTAGTCACGAAGATAGATCTTACATCTCCTCGGCAGCGTGGGCGCCAGTAGGCTGGCAATTGGATACTAACATGTGTGGGTCAATGACGATTTCTGTCTCACATATGATTTATATAATTTTATGAAAGACATGGTGGCATAACAACAGAATGATGCTCTGAGCACATGGCTGTATCGTATCCAACACTACTGACAGCTGCGATAGGGTTCAACTATCTGGGTATAGAGTCAAATAGCCAAATATTCACTGAGTGAAAAAAAAAGGGGCAAGATTTTTTGCCATTTCACGTCTCTCTTTGTAATCATACTGGTGGCACTACATTTAGATGAAGCCTGTTATGCCTCATGCCTCATTTACCAACACCAAAGCAAGCTTCTATACCATAATAGCACTAATCATCATACACCATCGCTTAATGACTACATTCATGGTCTAATTCGCTAACAGTTCATGTGATGACTTCATAAGCCTCTCTAGCTTAGCAACTTGACGTCTATATTCGGCAAACCGGCATATTGAGTCTAGTTGTGCAGGAAGGAAGATGCCGAAGTTGGATACAACACACAACCCCCCCATGTTCTCCCTGTTCCACCACAGCTTTTGTACTCTGTACTTTGCCACCAGATCCCTTGCATAATGCAGGGGCGGAGATACTTCTACTTTGTCCTCGTAGTACACAGACCCTTTGTAGTCGCAGAGGAATATCTAGCATGTGCTGTCCATCCTCATTTAAGCGCCAAGCGCCATTGACCAGTAATGCCTCACGATCTCAACCAGAGTCCGATGGCTTCGGCGACAAAGTTGCGCCGACGTTGCTTCGGGGGCCAAAGAAGCGAGAGAGTCCAACAGGCATGCATAAACGTCGATGCTTGTTGCCTGCCATTAACAGAAGGCTGGCCGGCCAATCAAGCTAGCTTCAGAAGAGCAGCTGAACCGTCTCGGCTCACGTCCGGTTGGAGCCCGCCTTCGGGGCGATTTAAGCCTAATGCAGGCCATGTGGGACTAGACAGCTTGGCTTTTTGACATCTGGAGATCGGGGAGCGGTGCTTGTGATTGTTGGATGTGAGGGCGTGAGTGTGCGCGCTGAACCTCATCGTCACTCTCTGGCCCTCCTTGCTCTGGATCTCGATGTGATTAGTGATGGTTGCATATTCTTGCGGCGGACTTCAGCTCGCATCAACTCTAAAGGCTGATCCTACTCTTGTTAATTGAAGGTACATACAGGTACCAGATGGCTCTGGGCTGCTTTCTTGTGATTTCAGCGCTATACAGACGGGCCTGTAAGCGACTTCCGAACCATCCTATTCGTTTGAGCCAGGGCCATCTATCAAACCAGTCTCCGCGTGCGATGCCCAGGGGTTTCCGACAGCGACTAGGATTAGCTGGCTTTTTTCTTTTTTTCTTTTGTTTTTCTTTTGGTCCATCTTTGCTTCTTTCGTTCTCCCTGCAGTCAAGAGAGAGCCTACAGTAGTTCTATTACCAGTAGTAAGTCAGTGTCTTGGCTTATACTCTACGTTAACCCTTACCAACATCTTTCCTGTTTCTGAACCCTTGCAGTAACCAGTAATAGAGCAAGGCTGAAAGGCTGTTGCCTGTAGCTTTTCGCCCCCATCCGCCAAGCTATGCCGGCTATTCGGCCACGACAATGTCCCCTTGACCGGTTGGAAAGCTCGAGCTTTTGTGGCTACACATCTCCACCACCGGTCAGGCATCAGGCAATTCGTATGAGCGAGAAGCAAAGGTTAGCATCGGAAGATGATCTTGAGCGTCTCAAATGGCTTCATGTTGTCATGAACTTTTGAACATGCTCCAAGTATAGGCCTGCCCCGATGGCCACTCTCATGCGCCCCGCTATCCGTGCGTTTTTGTATACTACGTTGCTCATACGACTCGTACATACTGCTTGTAAGACTGAGCCATGGCGGCAATCCCTGCGTCCGAGGGAGAATCGTCTCCAGCCATAACCCGATGCTAATCGCGCCGGTTGGCTTGGCAAGAAAAGAAGGTTAATAATATCTCCCTTCCATAGCGGATCCCGTGCTTGGTAGCGACATCCGAGCCTAGACCCCCCGTCTGGAGTAGTATTAATGACGAGATCTCATGAGGCTCAGTGGAGCAGTTCTCGGAACACAACCCGAATTGAAACTTCTGTCCTGGTCGGCTCGCGGATGATGACAAACACGCCCGAGCAATTACTGTAGTTGCGCGTACGAAAATAGCAATTGAATCTTCTGAAGCCCCTTGTAAAAAAAAAAAAAAAAAGTTCCCCCTCTATTCGCGGAGCAATGATGCCGTAGGTGCAGGTCTGTGGTTATACGGCATATGCACGCAAAATGGAGCCCCCACGGCAGCACACCGGGGCATCAATACATGGCGGATTTCTATTTGTATTTTTTTTATTTGCCAAGTCCGATGCTGCATCGTTCCACTAGTCCCAAAAAAATGAAAGAAAGGGAATAGTCAGTTGAGGCTTATGACGGCGAGACCGCTGTCCGTGCAGTCTCACGACTGATTTCATGTCTCAGACAGCGAGTTGTTGATCCGGGTAGTTGGACACGGCTGTGGGGAGGTTTGAGGTTTCGGTGAGCCAAGTAAGCCGTGATACTCTTCATGACTGAAGCAAGAAGAAGGCGGTAAATTCATGTATCGTTGAGGATGATGATGCTGTGCCGTCCAGCCGAGATGCGGCACAGTAGAAGTGACGACACTCTATTCACATGTGATTTATTATTTACTCTTGTTTATGGCTCTCCCTTGGTTGCGGGCAAGTCTCGCCTGTTGTGTTGTCAAGTCAGACACCAAATCCTGTTATTTTTACTCATTGTCTCATCTTTGCCATAGAGACAGGTTTGTAAACAGCTGTTATTGTAACGATCGTCTCTGTCTTACTCGTAAAAGGGAGAGCATGCTCCCTTTTTTTTCGATTCAGGTGTCTTGCTAAAAGCATCCTCCCTGCATATGGGTTGGATTTAGAGGCAGAGAAACTTGTGAGCAATCATAATGTCGTGGCAGCATCAAATTACACCAACGTAATATCACGAACTTACGCCTAAGCACCCAGCAATTTTAGGAGTAGAGTAGATTGGCAATTTCTCCCTTGGTGAGCACAGACAGCGTGAGCTGCTAGTAATACACCGCCATCAAGAGCAAAGTGCTACGAGAAGACCGAGTATACAAGTCAAAAGTAAACATCACGATATGATGGCGAGTTGAAGATAAATATCTACGTTCATGCCCTCCCAATCAGTTGTCTTTTCCTCACCACACACAACCACATCTCAGCCTTTAATCGTCTAATACACCCATCTTCTACATCATCTGTAATATCAAGCAAATTCAGCATCTACCTTGAACCATCCCTCAAAATGAAGTTCCTCACCGTTGCCATCGTCCTCGCCGCCGCTGCCAGCGCCGCCCCTACTAAGGAAGTGTTGCCTTATCCTCCTGTCGTGGCCCCTCCACCCTATGGAGGTATCGCCCCAGACCACAACCCTCCTTTTGGCGGTGGAATCCCTCCTATCAACAGCGGAGGACTCCCTCCTACCAACGGCGCATATCCCGGCGGTAACAACAGGCACTTGTGCCCCAGCGGCCTCCTCTATACCAACCCCCAATGCTGCTCTGCCGGTGTCCTCGGCGTTGCTGACCTCGACTGCAAGACCCGTGAGTTTAATAATAATACAACCTATACATGTTAAAAGACGTTCACAACTGACGAAAAAAAAAAAAAAAAAACAGCATCGTCCGTGCCTATGAATGGCGCTGATTTTGAGAGAATCTGCGCCGCGGATGGCAGCAAGGCTCAGTGCTGTTCCGTCCCTGTTGTAAGTTGTCCAACGCTTTCCTATCAACGGGACTACCTAGCACTAACGACGCAAAAACCTCAAGGCCGGCTTAGCTCTCCTCTGCCAGGATGCCATTGGCACCAATTAAACTAAAGCATCACTTCTTTACTGGTAGTGATGTGGCTTTCACAAGGTGATTTTGGTTAATAATGCGCCGCTGTGCTTTCGGCACACACAACTATATATTTGAACATTTGGACCTGGATGGATATACGAGTGTTAATTAGGTTTTTTTATCCGGATATATTCCGGGAAATGTGTATTGAGCCTTTTTAATTGATGAACACAACATACGTGCACGGTACAAGCAAGCGCCTAGTATATCAAGTTTGTTAGTAATATACTCTATGTACAGGTTTTGTATTGGTTATATCCTATGTACTTGCTAGCTTTCTCATAACCAGAGTGCTTGGTATCAATTACACAGCCTTTCCTTGGCTTCCTGTTCAAGCCTAAATCCACCCAGTTCAGAAAATCCCCTAACAATGGCCATGTTTCATCATAGCGGGTATCGTTGTAAAAGTTCCTTAATGCGTCGCCCAAAGATTGTAACCCAGATCGATAATACAAGGTAGGCAGGTAGGTACTATTGTAAACGCTACCCAGCCTCTTTCGCCTTCCTTCTCAGGCCTTGTTCGTTTAGGGAACGAGGAAGTGGTCGATGTTGACTCTCTCTAAAAAGCTGATGTGGCCAAATCCAACCCAGTGCATGGCAAGTTTGTTCGGGCTGATGAGGATCAGCTGGGTTTCGATGAATTTGTCTGGCACAGCCCTGCCTGTTAGCTCATTTTCAACCCAAAATTTTAGCGAGCACATATTTCTTGCGTACCTCTGAGGAAGCCAGTAGCGGCAATGTGACCTTCGCTTTTCACTATCCTGGCCCCGGAGAATTGAGCATCTGTAGCAGTTTCGACGAAGCCGTCTGGGCCCAGGTCATTGGCCACAAACGAGTATTCCCCTCTCGGAATATTTGGATCCCCTGTCAACTTAATGCCCTCTAAGCGACCTCTGTACATTCTCGCTTCTAACCTCTTTTTCTCCCACGCCTCGTCACTGTCATGCTCGTCACGGAAAATGCCCAATTCGGCATCTGTGGCGGGTGGGTCATCGGGCTGGTGTATCAACAGAAATTCGCAGCCATGCGCGCTGTAATCACCAACCCAGATTCCTCTCCATGGCCTTTCTGGCGTCGGTGTGTATAGCGACGGGTCGAGAGTCGAGTACGTAACGAGCTCTTCACCGATGTGCACACCAAGGGCACCGGCCCCAGCACCCATTGCCTCTTCCTCCATAATCTCGTCAACCAAGGCCTGGAGAGCTCCCGCGAGGCCCCTCTGCCCCATAAACCTGAAAGGGCTAGGAGTGCCCGTCAACTCCATCCATTGCCGAATCTGGAAAGTCTGGTCAGAAACTTGTGCTCTGCTTCGCGGTCGGTCCTGGGGCGACAGAGCGGCGACCCCTCGGCCTGACTGAGCACCCGACACGTAGTGGTTTGCCGGGATGACGGGCGACGGCCACATGTTTCCATAAGGATATCCCCGTGCCAGCCGGCGGACCGCTTCTCCAGAGTCGATTGGCCTTGTGAGCAGAAAATTGCTGAACATGCCACCCAGTCGTTCGTCCAAGGCCATGGGCATCTCGTCGGCAAAGCGGTTAGCGCCGGGTCTTTTGGAGAAGCCTCCATCCTCCTTCCTATCCTGGACGCGGAACTGCAGCACCGGTTTATCGAGATGGAGCTTCACCACAGGCTCAAAGCCATGAATAATCACGTCGTGATCTGCCGACCAGTGCTCAAAGGTCGATTGGTGGCTGACGGCCACTAATTGGTAGCCCTCAATGCAGCCGCGTCTAGTGTCGTAACGCACCAGAACAAGCTTTCCCGTCAGATCTCGGTCGCAGAACCAGATCTTGAACTTGGGCAAGAACCACAGCCTGTCGTGGGTTGCATACAGCTCCCGGTAGCTTGCGCATGGCCCTGAGGTTGCTACCTGGACGCCAGGGACGTTGTGCTGGACAAGGGGCTGCCACAGCAGGTCAGACAGCGCATGTTCGCGCAGGGTGCGGCATGTGGCTGAGACGGCGGCGAGGTCGTATGCCGGAAGATGCGACAGGATGGTATCGATGAGCTCCGGGGGGATGGTGAGCAGTGGAGCGGCGTTGTTCTTGCTTGGGATTCCGGCCTGGGGGCGCGATCGGATCTGAGCGCCCAGCGCTGGGTCTATGGCGGTGCGTGGCCGCTGCGTCAGTAGCTTGAGCTTGAACTTGGCTTTGGGGATGGATGCATGGCAAGAAAAGGAGAGGAGAAAAAATCCAAAGAGCGAGGGGTTTGCCCAAGTATGTATATGTATATGTAGGCTATAGGCATGGCAGGCGGCACAGAGCTAAGCCTGCCATCTGCCGTGCTGGTGTGGTGGGATGAGGTTGCAGTACCTTGCATAATGGCGGCGTCACGATGCGCTTGGGGTTGGGCGCCGGGCTGGGCCGAAGGAGATGGCCTCAGTACTTTTGCACGGCGTTCCGAAGCGCCATGCTCGTCGACGCCGTTGATGAGCTCGAGATTGTCTTCGTTTGCAGCATCGACCCGGCCGTATATGATGGGCGCACCGGCTGCTGAAGCTGACCCTGAAGCGGGATCCGGACCTGGGGTGGGAGTCGAAGCTGGCGATGACGACGCTGTTGCGAGACAGCGGTCCAGAGCCGTAGCCTTGCCGCTAGCAAACCCTAAGACCATGGCACAGAGCTGAGAGCTGGCAGGACTTGGGGGTAATTTATGGAGGCTGAGATTCAGAGAAACCGAAGGAAAGGACAAAAGAGCTTCCGATAGATATAGATACGTGGCCAGTGCCGGTCAGCAGCCAAAAGCCAAAAGCCACTGCAATCACCGATGTTGCTATTACTGGACAATGCTTTTGTTGGTCGCGAGCTCGTCAACCCGGAAAATCGGTACCTAAGCTCTCCAGCGTCTCGACGTGCTGTAAGCTGCTGCCATGTACTACTACTGCTGCACAAGGCTCGGGGAGCCGCCGGGGCTACGCAGCGACGCAAAGTACAGGTAACATAAACACACCCTTGCAGAAAAAGTCCAATGGACGGTCCCGCTGGCTTCCAGAACGGTCAGGCTGCGTGGAAAGTGTGCTGATGCCGGTCGTTTACTGCGGGCCCGGGCAGCAGGAAATCAGGGCACTTTGCACGCAGGTAGCTCGAGGTAGCTCGCTTGCTCGCTGCAGGGAGTCTATAATTGGGTCGAGAGTCGTTGGTACTTTGTCGAGCCAGCGTAGCAGACAAGAGTCGATCAGCGTAGCAACTGCAACTGGTCCGACAAGGAGTGCGCTTTGCAACGGGCCAAGCAGATGCACTCTGGGGAAGGAAAAAAAAAAGGGGGGTGGAAGGTTGTTGGTTGGAGCTTGATCGAGGTTTGAAATCATATCATCTTTTCTCTATTGGGACAGCGCGGGTGATAAACTGGCAGCGAGGCGATTTTTTTATACGTGCCGGCCCAGCTCCGTATTACCGGCCGGATGGTGGGCAGAGACTGACAGCTCCAACCACGCGACCGCCGATGACGCTGGGCCAACGGTGAGATATACACCGAGTCCATGGTTGCTGCCTGAAGCTCAAGCAGCACAAGTGGCCTAGCAAGACGGGGAAATACGGCATGTGAGTGTTTGGACATGTTCCTAGGTCTAAAGCGAGGCCACCCTCTGCGGGCCCCATCCGGCGTCTCTTCTGCAGCTATCCCGAGAGCGCATCTGCTCCGAGGCTGGTGGGTTAGACAGCCCTAGGGAGGCTCTACTAGGTGCTGTTAGTTCGCAGTGTTAGTAGCACGTATTTCGTATTGCTACTACCAGGCCCTATCAGCAGCGTGATGCTCGCCTCTGTCACGGACACCCCTCCTCCAGAATAGCCGTCGACTTGAGCCGGGACTGGTTAAGTCTCGCGGTGGACACAATCCTAACCCGCCTCTCCACACCTTCCGGCGCCGCCGTATCAACGTCTAGGGCCTCCGGCCTTGTCTTCCGGCACCAGCTTTGCGATATTTATCAGGAAGGGGGGTGGTAAGGCGGTTGCAGGGGGCCAGGAAGTATTTGCCGTCAATGAGATCCGCCATAGAGTCCAATACCACCCCAAGACGCTGGAGGAGGTGCTTAATCGGCATCACCAAACGCGCCAAGCGCCTGAAGCAGTCTCCTCTTCTCATAAGGCAGGTAGGTAGCTTCCCAGATTTATGCTGTTGTCGATGTGATGGGTACGGAAGCTTACATGACGTCTACACACCCAATATAAAAAGAGGTCACGCCCCAGTAATTACCAAGCAGGCATTTCGTGTACCCCCTTCCTTGCATATATATACAAGTATATATATATAACATATATACATAGTAGATACGTATATATATATATATATATATACATTATTAGGAATCTAGTTGCAGTATTAAGCCAACATGTCCAAGCGACGTCTGAACTACAAAGAGTCCCGGTTCGGCAACACCCAAGAGACCACGCAAGAGCCAATTGCATATACATCGCGGCCAAGAGCAAGAGTCTCGGCGAGAGGATCCAATACAAGAAGGCAATAGTTTGCGAGCGATTCATATCGGTCGGGCTTGGGACCCTTATCCGGTATCTCTTCCCAGTAGGTTCTAGCAAGTAGTTATGCAAACTCGAGATAATTCGGAATTGCGCTTTGTCAACCATTCCGCACTTTACGGGCCCACTGTGACGCGTAACGATATTCATTTACACACTCTGTTGGTGCAAGGACTGCCCTGTGAAGACGACCAACAGGCCTTTGAGATCTTAGATCGACACTTTAAGCATCTTACCCACTGTTTCACCAACGCCGATGGACCAGCAGCGTCGGCGAATCTCGAGCCATTCGGACTAGCACTGCTGGTGCTAGTGTGTGCATACAGTATGCCTGTAGCTGCTTTGAGCACAACCGCGCCCAAGCCTGATGAAGCATCCGCGCCTAGACGCTCACCTACTCTTCTGAGCTTAACCCAGCTTCCCGTTCCAGCGGGATCGTACACTAGCCGCAGCGCCGTACAGGAGGCTTTTCCATGTGCCAACAGGGGGGCAGCAGCTCCCAGGGATGAGGTCGTAGAGGCGGCCAGCCGACCAACCACGTTGCCAGACTCGAGAGTGTGCATGGCATGCTGCGGCTTGGCTTTGCCGGGGGGGCCGCCTTCAAATGCCCCGACCTACCTATACGAGTAGGTAACATTACCGTAAGAGCGGATGGGAATGGATAGCAAGCACGGGGCACTGCTTAATTCGTCGCCACCGACCCTTCTTCAGCGGTTCGAACGTGATTATGCTTCTCGTGGTGGTGCTTGTAAGCTGCTGATCGGGGGGGAGCAGCAGCAGCAGCCAGCAATGGCGACAAAGACACGATTTTCGGCTGACCAGATCCGACGGCACTCCATCGAGGCCACACACCACGGCCACACGTCGGAGCCCTACCAGGAAATAGTCGCGACACACATCATGTGTAAGTGCGAAGCGCCTTCGCGGCAATTGTGTCGAACCCGTCATCGGAGACGGCCTTGCAGCCTCAGACGCTGGAGATGGCGCCAGAAGGAGGCCGCCCCTGCCTTGGAGCTTTCTCTGTGCCAGCGGTGCAACTAAAACCTCCAGGCCATCTACCTAGCCGCTCGGCGGTACTGCGATCCTCCAAGGCCACCGGAAGGAATCTTTGTCGACATCAGCAGCGAAAGTTCCTCCACTTGTAGAAAGCGGCGGGCTCGCCTTCAAGATTCACCGTAGCATTGTTGACGTCCAGCGTTGGTCAAGGCTCTTTTATGCCCTTGTTGGTTCTTGTTGTTTCAGGGGGTTCGTTTTGCTCTCGTCTCATAGGATAGCTGATGGCGGGTTTGAGGATAGATGTGGGGGGTTTCTTTTTCTGGAGGAACCCAGCAAGAATCCATTCTTACCTGCACCGAACGTTTGAGGGGGAAAAAGACCTTCTGCTAGCAGCTTCGTATAGATCCTCACCTTTCATCCTTGTTGGAGCGTATTAGTGGTAATAACCATGATAGCGGGTATTCGTTCGCGCGAACTCGCTGGTTCGCCCTGTGGGGGCATATAATGACCCTAGAATTCAAAGCATGTCTACTAGGTAACAGGTAGGTAGTTGCATCCCTTGCGTTTTTATCTACACACCATGGTATTTGATAAATATAGGTAAGATGGTTCTATATTTATACATACATGTATTGTATGTACTCTTATAGGAAGCTTTCTCTATGGGGAATTCCAGAGTGTTGCTGCTAATTTATAGCGGGCAGAAGAGCAGGGGAAGCCCCATGTCATGGTCGAATTTATGTCGTGCTTGGACTACCCGCAGCCTTTTGCTCTTTTAGACAAGCATCAATCTATCTACGATTTGTATTATTATTAATTCCCGCGTCTTCATTAGTGCCCCTTCTCTTTGTCAACCTGGCAATTATCAATCAGACTCAAGACACCCTGGATGGCCATGTGAGATTTACAGGTCCCTGCCCCAGGTCCCATCCTTTAAGCGGTGCCAGGTACCCTGGTACTTACAGTGCTTGTACAGAGTAGATTGGAAGCCTAAGCGGAAAAACCCATTCGCCGCGGCCTGTCATTCGCCATCCAGCACCTACTCCCATGTTAGACTCTAGATTCTCTCCTGAACACTCCAAGTGTTGGGTATCACTCCGTCTCTGCAGCTTGATTTGGCATCATCGCAACATCGACACGTCAGATTCTCCTCGGCCATTTATTGAGCCACCTGAACTACATCCTGCTAGTCGGCCAACTGAGGAGTCCACTCAAGCATTAATCTTCCCCCCGGTCATTCTCTCTATCAAGTGTCTAGGCAACGTTCTCTATCTCCAATTTGCATATTCCTATTATACGTTTCTTTGTCAGTATAGGGCTCCAAATCCGACTCGCACCACATCACTGGCTCGCCTTCCTAGTTGGGCCTCGTCTTCCACCCCCCCTCCCCAACCTAAAAGGACACGCGCTGCGGGCAACCAGAAGAGGCGTCTACTACGCTTCGTGACGCTAGGAGGACTCGAGTGTTTGACGCTGTTCCATGCCGCCAAGAGTGACATTGATCCCGCATCTTTCGTTGAATGTCTTGGGCCATGTCGTCGCTACTGCCGCTCATCTCAGAGATCCTGCCCATGGTGTTGCCGTCCAAAACTGAAACGACACCTGCAGACCAGCTCACGCCCATTTTGGACAATGAAGGACGCCCCATCCGCGAAACTGCCATTGCCGGTAAGTGTGACAAAATGTGTGCTTCGGGTGAGTCTTCTCCTTTGCCCTCGGAAAGAAGCGTGCCCAAAACTGCGTTGTAACTCTCTTTCTCTCTCTCGGACAGTTCTCACAACACACCCACATTCTGCAAGCCCCATACATCACAACAGCGAGCAAGGTAGGTGCCACATCCCGCTCACTCTCTGAGCGTCTCATTCCTTCGGACCCCAATTGCCTCCTTGGTTGGTTGGTTCTTGTTTCTGATAACGCCGTCAAGACGCCATCATCTATGTAGTCTCCGGTACCGGCACACTTGTCGTAAAGGAGGGCTTTGGGGGCGAATTGCGACATCACGAGCTTCGGCCGGGAGACTTTGCATTCGTCCCGGCCTGGACGGAGCACCAAGCTCGGAATGATGGTGACCAGGATTTTGTTTGGGTCATCACTCAAAGCGGACCCCGTCCTGTCGGAGCCATCTTGACTGATTGGGGGGGTCAGGAGGTCAAGACAATTGAGTGAAGTGTTATCGAGATTGGCTCCTGCTTCCCCAGGCTGCTTGCATTGCTGCTGCGACTTTATATACTGGTCTATCCCACTAATCCTGCACCGCAATATGACCTGATAACCCGGCATACCCGTTCGTAGTGCAGCGAGCTGGCAAATACCTGCGCATGATCCAACATGGGGAACATGAGCACCTCCACCTCGGCCGTCCGATTAGTGCCCCCAGCCTGGTTTATTCCCGCCACTCCAACATCACTGAAATACTGCGCAACTCTAGATGTGCCGACGAGTATATCCCTGCCAGCTAGGCAGACAGCAACCTTCCGCCGATGGCCCCTCGGTTCAGCATTTTCATATGATAGCAAGTCCTCCTTCCAAATAATGTTCTCCCGCCAGAAAAAGTGACGCCCTAGAGAGTTAGCCACGCCTGGATCCGTACTGGCAAAGTACCATAGCACCCATTCATAAGCTTCTCGGGGCTTTCTTCGGGTGAAGTTGTAAGCGACATCGGGGAGATGCAGCATTACTGTTACCGGGTCTATTAAGACAACAGATGTAATCATATGCCTCAGAGCTGGGGAGTGGAGCATGTGGGTGGTCTGTACAGACCCATACGAGTGTGAAGTGATGGTGAACTTGTTCCACTGGTGATGTTCCAATATCTTGGCCATCTGGCGTAGGAATTCAGCTTTACCCAGAGGCGGGGAAGTGAGGCGGAACGACACGGGGAGAATCTCCACAGCAATGACCCCGATACCCTGGCCGCCATCGCTCTCTTTAGCTGCACATATGCGTGCGAGGAAGCTAATGTATGTCCAGAGCCCAACGCCAATGCCGTGGAAGAAGACAACCGGGTGGCAGTCGTTGGATGTGTGAGCCCGGTGCCAGTAGCTCAGCTGAGGAGCACGCGAGCGGCGGCTTGTGAATATCTCTTGCGGCCGCGGGGGGAACGTTGCAAGAGCTGCGGCGGGCCCTCTGGCATAGAACTTGAAGCCGTGCCATGAAAGGGCGAAGTGTGTGAATTGATCCACCAGGTATATGACTGCATACCAAGTCAGGCCCCGATAGGTTGTTTCAACGTCATCCAAAGTCAGCCGAATGCACGTTGCATCGCCTCGTCCACTGCGGATAGGCCGGCCAAGCCGCTTCTCAATCTCTGTGATGAACCCCTCCAAATCTCGCTCAACAGTCTCGGAGTGTCCGTCGTTCCTTTCAGCATCCTCCCCAGCTTGGTCGAAGAAGCCCCAGAGGAGGAAATCCCGCAGGTTGTCTCGGCGGATATCTTTGAGTTCAGCGCCGAGGAACCACCCTCTTAGATACAGCTCAAATGAGTCGACATGTGCTAGACACTGGTTAAATAGAGCCCATCGTTCCTCCGACGTCAGTGGTGTAGGATGCACAGCTTTGCGATTCAGCTGGCGCATATACGGGAGATAGATGAAGCAAAAGAACAACAATTCGGCAATTATGAGGCCCCATAAAACTTGAGCAACAAGAGTCTGACGCGCTGTTTCCAAGCCATACCAAAGGCATAGGGCTCCCAGGATGGCAGCGTAGATGAGCGGCGTTCGGCGGAAGAAGACGATGGCGAGGCGGATGATGAAAGTGCTGCTTATCATCGTCGCCTGCAAGATCTTGAGTGGGCGCCACCAGCGGACGCTCTCGCGAAAAAAAAGGGTATCGGCTGAAAATGAGTGACAGATCTTGTTCCTAGAGTTTTCCTAAACTTTATTATCCCGCTCCGCCCTCAGTTGACAGAGAGAGCAGAACGAAGCCCGATTCCATTTTTGTGTGTGTGCCCGAGACTTGCGATGATGGGGCCATGCGAAGCTCTCCTGATTGGGCATGACGTCAATGTCCTTCTAGGCCCAATATCCGCTGCATGGATACATGCACATGTGCCTGGACGGGCCCAGAAGCTAGCGCTGCCTCATAAGCGTGAGAGGCGCAATAGATGGTTCGCCTTTTTTTTTTTTTTTTTTTTTTNTGTTGTTGTTGTTGTTGTTGTTGTTGTTGTTGTTGTTGTTGTTGTTGTTGTTGTTGTTGTTGTTGTTGTTGTTGTTGTTGTTGTTGTTGTTGTTGGCTGACGTGATGAATGAAGATATCTCATCAATATGCCATCTTAAGCTATAATATCTAGTTTTCTGTTCTTCTATCGTTTGAGGATGGCTTGTCTGTAGCGGGGGCTGCGAGCTACACCAGCTGATTTCCATGTATGGGTCGGTGACTGATCAACCTCGATAGAGCAAATCAGTATGCGACGGCCTCACCCTTTTTTTGCCAAACGTTGAAATTATGCTATTTACATTGCCCTTCTCGATTTTGAATTCGGGAACTTGTTGAAGATACGTATTTGACTACTTGCCATGCAACCGCAAGAGCCGTGTGCTTCAATGTTCAGGCATTATTCATGCAAAGTACACATGTAGACGATAAAGTCTAATGACGCAACAGGAAATTCACTCATGTTATCCATTGTCAACTGCGACAGCCGGCCAAAACTCGTCCCTAGCATCTGATGATACATTTTGAAGCAAACTTGTATCTACCTTATCTTTTGTTGATCGCTTAGATGTAGATACCCTCTTTGTGCATGTCTTACTTTAGGATCACGTCAAGCCGGCCGAGTCAGCCGAGCTGCCTTTGCGCCCGGCATGTGATTGATAAAAATCCATCCGGCGCAACAACTTACCAATGGCACAATTCTCATCAAGCGACATCCGGATAAGCGAGCTCTTACGCAACTTCATAGGGCACTGGCTGATTCGTGAGTATGAGGCAATGTTGAGGCAATGTTAGTAGCAGCTATTCAAAGCTCTAGCGTTTCAGTAAAGTCGGTGAAACTCGGGCGATGGAGACGCTGTTTCACAGTTCAATCGAGATTCGTCAAGGCGCATTTTAATCTCGGTAATACCTTTGAAACCCAAACTTGAAAGATACATAAAGGTAGTCGGACAAAGTTGTTATGAAACTGTACGAGAAAGCAAAAAAATCACACATAAAGCCCGATCGGGGCGACTCTAGGGTACGTCTTATTGACGTTGGCTTTTCGCCACCTTCAGACAAAGCGCACTAAACGTTATTAATAGCACTTTTAAGAATCTGATGATCAAACGCTAAATGCAAAAAGCCACAATCGTAGGCATGATTATACAGTCCGAATCGGGCTATCAATTAAACCTTTTCCGATATTATATATTTCGAGATTGATTCTCCATATGAGCAGCAGACCTGGTGTAAACATTCTACGATTACCAAGGCAAGATGATGCAAGACAAATATATTCTTCGAGTTACGGCGGGACCGAGTTACGACGAAAGCACTCATATTGAGGTGCCGGTGAATGAGCCTGCACCCTTACGCATCAAGAGCGATGCCGCCGACATAGAGCTCAACGTGCGGATACAGGGCTATAGGGGATTACCCTTTGGCTCGCCGTCAACGTCTCCCTACTTCTCCACAGAGCCTCATGCCAGCAACCAGGACCAGTACAGCATATCATTCCGCTTCACGCCACTAAATCCCTCCAAGTCAGACAATGGGGAACCTGATGATGAGGATGTCGCAGGAATCAGTGCAGCAGACTTGCAGTTTGGCAATGATTTCGATCGCCCTATCCGAGACAAGCTGCCGCCGGGGTTCAACACTGCAATGAACATTGTCAAATGGTGGATTGACCCTGGCCTTGACGGAGATGCCTATGCAGACAAGCCCTATCTTTATGGCCCTGCCCTGAGCTCATTAAATGTTGTGTCTATCGGCCCCGGGTCATACGACGAATCAAGAGGTGGCCTGTGGTTCGAAGAGGGAGGAGACAAGAGGGGAATGAAGCTGCGCGAGGCAAAGGGCGTGCCGAAGGAGAGCAAGCCAAGAATGAAATGGGCGCTGTCGGATTCGAACAAGAAAAAGTGGCTTTGGGAGTATGGACAGACGTACGGAATTGACTTTTTCAACCCATATCTCGACTTTGCGAATCTGGCTTTGCGGCTGCCGGGATTTCAGCTGTCGGTTGCGAGATATTTGGGCGCGGATGCTTTGAGGTAAGATATTAGCTACGGGCTTTTGTTTTTGTCAGTTTGCTAACGGGAATATAGGAATGATGGAAGAATCGCGCACCAGCTTAGATATGTCCTTCGGAACAAGGCTACTGGTGATGTATATCTGGTGGTTACCTTTTCCTTGTTCCTCGAAGAATGTGTCAATGAGGACGGGACTATCAAAGGCGCGAATGGGGCAAATTGTATTACCAACGGTCACACAAACGGCTTTACAAATGGTACGACTGAAAATATCGGCTCTATAAACGGATATCATCACAACGGAAGTACGAACACGCCTGAAGAAGATGTAGATTAGAGAGGGAGGGGAAAAGCTATCTTTTATGCATTTAGACACGACTACTGTATTTTTAACATAGACTTCATGACGATTTATTACAAGATTGATAGCTGGAGATGTGTGCGACGTGAAGTTGAATGTCCACTTTATACATGCAGCTGCAGCAGCATTAGCACACATGGTTGGCTACATCTTGACGCGCCAAGGGGTTTTTGGTTACGGATCCTGGTAGGAAAATTTCCTTGGAACTCTTCTATTGAGTGTTTTTTTACACCGTTGGTAGGCTCAGCAGAAGAAGAAAAGACCCTTTGTAAGTACCCTCACAGATGCAGTCGTCAGAAAATACCTCGTCACCAGAATACGAGGTGCTGCGCAATGATAGTGGCCGGGTAGGAAGTTGCCTCGTAAGTGCTCTCAAATGCAATCTCATAAACAGGTATAATACCTGCTACTAGGGAGGTACTAGGCAGAGACCTGTTGTAGACGGGATTTTTATCCTCAGCAGCCCCGTAGCGATTCAAGGCTCTTCTAACCGAGGGTGATACACGTGCATCGATACGGCAAGCAGGCACTTGCCAAACAACGGAAGGAGCAGAGACAAGCGATGGGAAGTTGGATGTCCCTTGAAAATATGGCATCAAAGTTAAAACTCCTTTATGCCATACGAACTGCAAGATTCGGCCATCGTTTTGCTCGTCTTTGGCTTTATGACCACTAGCAAGCCAAGACGGATTGTTGGCACTCTGGTATCGGCTATACTATTTCCAACAACGGCGTCTTTGCTAGTTCCTGTATTCTGATTTGATTGAGCAGTGGTTATTCATCGAACAATGGCGGCTAAGACGGCCAAGACGCTCTCAAGCGGGACTTTACGAGTGCCGTATATGCCCATGACTGTCCATGCGATTCCGTGCCCTGCCCCTATCCTACAGGATGATTTCGACGGCTGCCGAGTCCCTGGAGGCGTCGAATTATGGTCCAGGGGAGGATTCTACTCGCCGGGAGAGTGTTTTTCGGGATATCGTGCCATGTGTACCCAGACGTCAGCGGTGAGCAATGGCTGGCCAATCCAAGACGGAGAGACAGTCGTCAGATGTATTCCCGAGTAAGTGGATCTGTGATATTTATCAATAAGGGAGACTAATGACTTGATATTAAAGAGACTACGAATGCAACGATATGACAAAAGACCAGAAGTACGCAGTGACCGACTATGATGGTACTATCTTGTCCGCTCCAGCATTTGAAATTCGCTGGAGAAGCGTAGACTTGATTGTGAGAACTACCGAAAGGAATCCGCCCGGACTCCCGACTCGAGAGCCGACGCTAATAAGTCATATTTCGACGTCGAGGGGATTCCCTATTACTATGACAAATGCATTGATTACAACTCCAGCCTCCCTCCCATCAGTCTCACCCACCACTGAACGATATGCGTCATCCACCGCATCATATAATGCATCATCTCCACTCACATCACAACCAAAGCCAGCTCTTAGCTCTGGGACGATTGCTGGGATAACAGCTGGGAGTTGTTTGGGGCTCCTAGCCGTCGCTTCGGCGATTTTTCTTTTCTTGTCTCGTTGCCGAAGGAAACACTAGGGCCTACGACGGCTCACAGATGATACATGGGCCCAGCAAGGAGCGCACAAAGAACCCGCAGGCCTATTAGTTACTCGATATCCTGCTGAATTGGAAAACAAGCCGGTGGAGTTAAGAGAGCTTCCAGTAGAGACACAATCGCCTTCTGCAGATGCTTCACCGCCATCAAGAGCGTGCCATATCAGTGTTAACGCGACTCCCGTTGAGGTTGCAGCAGATCCAGTTCAAAACATAACAGAAGCAACAAGACAGGGCAATTAGATTTGTCCTTTGGATATCTATGTATACCTGCCATCTTTGATGGAATGTGGCTAGGGCTATTGTGAGCTGAATCTGAGCCAACTAGTTTGACATTACTTTGCGAATTTGGGTCCGTTGGCCCACACTTTTAGCATGTATGGAACACAGCAAGAGAAGTTTTATAATTCTAGCAGCGCAGAATCGTTGATAAGCATCGGCAGGGTTGCATTCATTGAGGGAAAAAGCGTCTTACCCACGAATAGCCTATGTTTCCTTTTCGTAATAAAAACCAAACTTGCGGCAATGCAGCATTCTGGAGCTTCTGCGGTTCAATTGATTAGCCCACGGCCTTAGTCGGGAATAATATCCCTGAATCTCACCCAAGATCCTGGCTATAAATCCACCTTGGCCTTTCAATCGATATGTCATTGGCTCAGCTTGGATCTTAATCTCAAGCGGAGTCTTGAGCTAGAGCCTCAGGTCTCGGAATCTGAATCGGCAGTCGAGGTTCGGATTTAATATTCATGCCGGACCGCCTTCTTGCTGCTTTCACATGAAGCATCATTGAGGGGAAGATTAGAAATCTTAGAAATCTAGATCCAAAGCTTGGCTTGTGGAGAAATGTACGTACAATTTCCGTTGTTTATTCCCGTCAAGCTATTGACTAACATGGCGTAAAACAGTGGATCGACCATTGGTCACGCCTCCTCCTCGTTGGTGGCTGCGTCGAGAGGGCATATCAACGTGTAATCCAAGCGTAACGGACTTTGGAAGCATTGCTTCGGATTTCTTTCTTCGACCCGAACTTGAGAAGATGCCGTGCAGAAGACACGAGGGCGCCCTTGGCACGAAAGAGAAACGGGAACTTCGTACGAACCGCTGTCATTCCTGTAAGCCGCGCGTGGGGGCTAAATGACGCCGTGAGAGCAAATCTAGCCGATGTGGTTATTCCCGTCGTCAACCTATTAGCCTCTCCACTTACTCCATACGCCTTCCGGATTTTGATACATAACTAGACATCACCGCCCTTTAAGCCTCAGCAAGCCTTTCCTCCAAAGTTACTGTCGTGCTCATCGTGGAGGTTTCGTCTACGTCTCTGGTGTTTGCACTACGAAGTTGTGCCGATGTCTTAAAACCCCCGCCTACGAGTTATATCTCTTTTTTTTCCTTTCCCGGGCTAATTCTAATGGCTGTCGAAGAAAAGGGAGAGCTCGGTACATATGGGCTGGAGGGCTTTGAGATTGCTCAAAGCGAGAAAGTTACCTCTCGCGATGGTCCCTCACATGACGCTAGGAACCCTTTGTCGGCCAACGAGAAACCGCAGACGGAGCAGACAGAGACGACAACTCTAGATGGCAACAGCCCGATATTATCTCTTTATCTCACATTCAATACCGTTTTGCCGTCTCCTCTGATACTGCAGCAGCCCAGTCTAGATGGGCGACAGCCGCCGCCATGTCCTGACTTAACAGCTTATGCTGATCCATTGACATGGGGGCCTGCTCGCAAAAGCATTCTGCTTATTTTGTCATGTCTGGCAACATTCTTGACAGCGTATACTGCCGGGGCTTACGCACCGCCGGCGGCCCTTATGGCCAGCGATTTTGAGACCTCCAGACTTGTTATACTTGTGGGCATTACGACATTCTGCATGGGATTTGCGCTTGCACCGATGGCGCTTGCGCCGATGTCTGAAGTATGGGGGCGTTATCCCATATTCATCATTGCCGGCTTTGTCTTTGTCATCTTCCAAGCTGTCTGCTCCGTTATGCCGGATGCTGCTGGCATGATTGTATCGCGCTTCCTGGTTGGCATTGGCGGGTCTGTCTTCTCCGCCGTGGTCGGAGGCGTCTTGGCTGATTTATGGGAAAAGGAGGAAAGGAACACACCCATGGCGCTGTTTAGCGGTGCGGTGTTGGCCGGCACTGGGGCTGGGCCGTTGGTTTCTGCCGCTTTGATTGAAACTGTGGGAAGCAACAATCTTGCTTGGAAGTGGTCATTCTGGGTCCAAGCCATACTGGATGTCGTTCTCCTACTTTTCCTAATCTTTTTCTTTAAAGAAAGCCGGGCCTCAGTCCTTTTGACCAGAAAGGCAAAAAAGCTAAACGACTGGTATGAGGACTTGGAAAAGCATGGAGTGTTTGGACAGTGGCTAAGCAGCGACTTGGTGTTGACGGCATCTACTGCTTCCAGCCAAATAACCATCACTTCTATCGCAAACGAGCGTGTTACCGCTACGGGTCCCCATTTACGACGTATTCGTTGGGTAGTCAGGGCAGATGAACAGCGTGCTTCCCTAGGACAGATAGTGTTGACATCTGTGAGGAGACCATTTCATCTTCTTTTTACGGAGCCTGTTGTCTTTTGCTTCTCTTTGTGGGCCGCCTTCTCATGGGGTGTACTCTATCTCTCCTTTTCAGTCGTACCCTTCCTCTATGGTTCCAATTTCTCCATGTCAAGTCGAGTATACGTGGCAATGATGATAGCCTCAGCTGTTGCGACAGTAGTGGGCATCTTCCAGGAGCATCTCTTGAAGCACCCGCAGTGGAAACGGCAAGAAGAAGACTTCCAGTACTCTAATTCCAGATTTTGGGCCTTTATGCGACGAAGATTTCCGGCTGAAGCGCCGGAGGCCAGACTGTACTTTACTTGCATCACTGCTTTGCTCTTACCTGTCGGACTATTCATTGCGTTTTTGGGTTCTGATGGAAAGAGAGGGTATTTGACAGCCGTTGGCCTAGGGCTGGCTACTTGGGGCATCTACTCTGTCTACCTCGCCACCTTCAATTATCTCGCAGATACATATCACATATATGCATCATCGGCCTTGGCAGCGCAGAGCTTCTGCCGGAATGTGCTAGGTGGCTGCTTTCCATTGATTACGACCATCATGTTTACCAATCTTGGTCTAAAAGGCGCTGGCGGCATGCTTGGCGGGATTGCCACCGGCTTGACGATTCTGCCTTGGGTGCTTCTGTTTTACGGAGAGAGAATCCGTGCCAAGAGCCAATTTGCTATAGTAAGTTTTTCTATACCCCCTTTTTTGGATGAACGTTGATGTATTTAACATTTTGAAAGACTCTAGCAAAATGAAAGGACGCAGTATAATATTTGAGGATGAATTAATATGGTACTTATAATTTTGAAATTCAGATTGAAGCATTCAAGCGTCAAAGCGAATCCATGAGTTTATGATAGAAGAAGCGTTCGATGCATATATTAGATCCTGACAGAGCATTGCCGGTTGGCAAAATGTCTCTTATATAAATTTATTCATTATTCTGCGCATAAATGCCACAATTCTTTTTCAAAATGAAAGAGAGAAAGATTCCTACATATATAGCTACAATAATTCGACATATAGCTTACAAATATTTTCATCAGGGGGCAGATATTGGCCTTGACCTCCGCCTAGACTTTTCCTTATACTTTCCCAAAAGTTTTTGCATCCTAGACTTTTCATCACTGCGCTGTGAACTTGTGGAGATGTTTCCGTCGTTGCTCTCCATACTTCTCTGAGACGGCCAACTCGAGCCTGAGTTGGTGGTGCTGTGTCTTGGGCGGTGAGTTGGTTCACGGCACCACGGCAGCGATCTGATGCCCGATCTGTAAATGACTGGCGGTGGCAGCTGAACCAATCCCTCTGGGAAAATGCAAGGTTCTGGAATGACCTCGTGGTCGTCCAATAGGAGTGTTCCACGGCCGGCATCGATCCAGGATTTCTGACCACGCAGGCGAGGCCAGAGCGTAGAGGGAGCTACGCGATAGGAGTGATTTTCGATAGGGAAAGCTTTAGCCTGGGGAAATATGGTTGCTATGAGGGCGCGGGAATACTCGTCGCTGAAACCGACTATGCGGAGGGAAGTAACTTTATTGCGAAGGCGGGCGAGATGATTGCATATGGAGAGGTGTTTATCTGGGCAGAAGAAAGGTGTTTCTTCTGGGATGGATGGCGTAGGAGCTAGACTTGTGTCAGCGTTTGAAGATGAGTCTGAGCTCAAAGAGGAGCAGTAACTGCTTTCGAAGGAGGAGTCAGCGTCCATGTCGCCGTCTTCATCATCGTCGTCATCGTCGTCACCATCTTCTATTTCGTCGTCGTCGTCAAGGTCCCAGGTATAGAACTCGCTTTTTGTGTCGTTGTGAGTTATCAACACAGACTGTTCAAAGGAATCTTGGGGGGCTGGAGAGATGGCTCGGGATATTCTTTCCGAGATGTTAGATGGTGAAGGCTTGCTTGACTTATCGACAATATCTGCAGATGGATTTTGGGTATTATCGGCGTCTTGTTTATCTACTGGCCCTATATGGGGCTTAGGAATGACCTCTCTTTCTCCATAAAAGCGGCGACATGCGAGAATCAAGGTCTCCAGTGGAGCTTCCAGGGGCCTTTTAAGCTGAGACACGCTGAAATCGAAGATTAGGTCTTGAACGCGGCCAATACCCGGGAGTAGAGCAGTAGCTGAGGGGCTAGGGCCGAGACCAAGACGCGATAGGTCGATTTCAATGACGAGAGACTGTACAAAAGGACCGTATTTGTTGAGCCATGTGGTAGCAAGGGGGTTGAGTCTCGGGGCGATAAACGGAGAAAACGTAACGTGAAAAGTATATTCCGACAAGATGATGGCGAAGAGCGAAGCGTAAAAGTCAAACGAGACAGCAAAGCAAGGATAGAAAGCTGCCAGGACGTCGTGGAGGGGGGTAAAATCCGAGAGCTCCCAGCAATCTTGGTCCCAGCAGAATCGATTGAGGCTGATGGGCTTGGATCCCAACGGCTCGTGGGATGCGACGAGGTTCCGGAGGATGAGAAGGCGGACGTTGTCAGGAAACTTCTGCTAGATGTTTCCCTGATGTGTAATGCCGCCGCCACTCGTTTCCGACCTCTGTCTCTTGTGCAGCAAGAAGAACTGGTTGACTGATGCTTTCAGGGCTGTATTTCTGTCGGGCTTGGCTTCTCCGCGTTTATACTTGTGATAGATTATATCCACTGTGCGATCCCATGGTGGGAGGCCAGCACGGCCAAGAAGGTGATCATCGCTGCGTGATGAGGTGTTGGGGGAGATGGAGTACACAGAAGCTCTGCTGCTGGATCGTTCGATGATGGATTTTGATCGAGAGAGTAGTTTGGCGGGGCTGATTGCTGCGTAGATTTAGTTGGTTTTCTTCTTTTTCTGTTCTCTTTGTGTAGAATAGCAGCAGGAATTTTGATGAGAAATAAGTATAGTCGACTTACGAGGCGATGGTGGCGGCGATGGCGAGGTTATACCGTCGCTTTCTACGGAAAGATCCAGCCAGGACGTCGGATCCATCTTGCTATTTTTGCTAGAAATGAGAAGTGAGAAGGATTCTTTTGAGTAGGTAAGGAGATACGAGTGGTTTTTTTATGTTGGCACTTGAAAGAAAAAAAAGTCTGCAGTTGTCATCTGCGATTCTTTAATAGCGCTGGTGCCTGAGCGTAGGACTTTTCGTCAGCCAGGTGACAAACAGCTGCAGGATGCAAACAGAAAACATGAAGTTGCCTGCGTGAATATAGTTGAGGGTCAAAGCTTTGTTCAGCATTACACACATGTTATGGCGCCGTGGTCAGATGTGGACAACTCAAGGCAGCATCACAGACTTGTTCAGAGCGTGGATGGTGGCATCTGATACCAGTGGCAGAGTGTATTTCCACCTGTGTTTTCAAAAAATGACATCTATTTACCCATTTCATCTACCGTTTCTTCAAGTAAAATGGCATAAACTAAAGGCCATGCTGTGCTTCCAGACTATATCTAGGCTATTTTGGCCAGATGTCCAACGTTGTAGCGATAAAAAGGCACGTGGTATAAATAAAATTGGCTTTTTTCTTTTTTACTTTTTGACTTCGTCCATGTATAGGGGTATTTATTTGGACTTGTTCTTCTCTTCCTGTGCCTTCTCATATATCCAGTCGTTAAGGCCATTTCGGTTTCTGCCCAGATAGTCAGCATGGATCAGCAATATTACCAACGCTAGCTCCAATACATACCGGGCGATTTCAACAGCATAAAATTGCATGCGGGGGACTATTATGCGGTCAGACAACAATAAATCACCACAAGAAAAAATGCATGTTTAATCTCTTAAAAACCCACCAAAGATGGTTGTGTCCTGCTCGTATTCCGCCTTGGCGTTGTTTCGAACCATGGTGCCAAAGTTGAAGTCGTCCACTGTCTTCTCGTACTTCATCATGAAGGCGCGCCACCTCTCCTTGCCGGTCTTGCTCTTCATCTCATCCTCGTCGATTGTGGTGGCGGGGTCGAATTCGGGGAAGGCCTCCTTGAGGTGCTCGTAGATCTCGTCATCGATCTTGGTGAGTCGCAGACTTGAGCCCTTGACCTTTTCGAGGATGGCCCAGTAGGTAGCCATGTGCTGAACGACTGTATGAACAACGCATGTTAGGCGACGAAATGTATCTGTGTGGATATAAAAAGGCCGTACCCTTGACTGCAAATTGCTTCTCCATCTATAGCATGGAAAACAAAAAGGTCAGCAAGAAACTTCCACGAGTTGCATAGCTAGAAACGAGACGCACATCCTCCATGTTGCCCGCATTTTCGGCATCGAAGTTCTTGGGCAGGGGGCCCCCGGTGGACATGCTCTCTAAAGGATCCATTGCGGCTGCGGTTGATGTTGCTGAATATTAAGGATATTAAGATTAAGGCAGCGTTGAAGATGGTAGCGTAGAAGTCGTTATCTAGCTTGAGGCATCGTCGCAAAATCTAATCGTGAAAGGTGGGGCCTGGGCTGTCTGGAGGGGCAGTGATGAGGTCAGGACACAGTGTTTGCGACGCCGAGTACTGTATCTCCAGACTGTGACTGTATCAGCCCTCGCCAAGCCATCCAGCTGTGCGTGCAACTCCATCTGCTGCTGCTTTGTTCTTCCACACGCATCAAAAACGCGCAAATGCTTCTGTCGGGCCCGGATAATCTCCAATCATGCTCGTCATCCTGCATTTTGCCTCTTCGTGTACCGACGACGCAACATCGGACGGCTTCTCCGGCTCCACGCTATGGCCATCTGCGAAGAGTCTGAGAAGCGAGACCCCTTGTGATCAGATCAGAGTCACCAAGTGGTGGCCGTGACGTGCTACTTCGGGTATGTCGATTGTACCGGGTCGAGATCTATTGCAGTAAACTCGGATTTCTAATTTACTTTAAAATTCCGCAATGACGATGTTTGAGATCTCGCCCCTCTTTCGTCTATAATGCCATGTTTCAGCGAAGTGAGCAGCGCGTTTGGGCCACTTTGCAGAAACAATATCAAGGTAGCGACAAAACAATACAGAAGCAAACTATTGCATTGTCCACTTATAGGTTCATGCACTTTGTTCCAGCTCTTCACTCGGAAGCGTCTTTACTGAGTCAGCCAAATCCATCTGTACCGACTATCATCCAGATGACTTGCATAATTATCTGTGATATCTTCATCATCTGCCACCATTGCTCCCTTCTAGTAGCTCCAAGGTTTCTTCAGCTGACCGTCTCAAAACGCTTGATATAATGACTTTAAAAGATAAAGAGGCAGTGTCACCACCGGCCTCAACGGATAATCTAAGCATAGTTCTCGATACTATGCCATCCACCAACCCTCAAGCCATTTGCAATAAGCCCATTCGCTCATCTTTCAAACATCTCTTTTCGTTTACAAGATGGAACCATGCAGGGTCTCTTATTGCGGCCCTCGCTGCATCAGGTGCATTTGCCGCCATCAAAGCCATATATCCTATATTCTTAGGCAAGATCTTCAATGTAGTATCCGATTTCGGTGCTGGTCGTCGCTCAAGCAGTGAAACTCTGCTCGAGATATCCCACTGGAGTAAGATATTAATAGCTTTTGGGATTGCGAATTGCCTCTCAGGCTCGGCATTCCTATCGTTATGGGTCATCTTTGGAGAACTTCAAGCCAAGTCTGCTAGACAAGATATCTTCAAGAGCTTACTGTCAAAAAATATTTCCTGGTTCGATTCATTGGATCAGGGTATCCCTAGTCTCTTGGTTAGAATCCAAACGCAAGTCTATATAAGATCCAACTCTTGGGGCGAATAATCAACAAGTGCTAACTGCATCAATAGGCAAACTCGAGAACTTCAACTTGCCACATCTCAAGTTTTCGGCTTCCTAGTAAGCGACTGTATTGTTTCCATTGTTTCCATCTCGATAGCTTTCTACTATTCTTGGAAGCTCACTTTGGTGCTGCTTGCAAGTTTACCCATATCTATGGTATTCTTGTCCCTTGCAACTCGACGATTGGAACCGGCTATCCAAGCCCAGAAGCGCGATTTGGAGACTGCGTCAAAGCTTGCTACTTCATCCATCAAAGCAATAGAAATTGTCAAGATATTCAACGGATTCGACCGCGAGCTTAGGCTATACTATGAAGCAATCATGTTAGCAAGCAAGCAGTATTTGATACAAGCTCAATGCAACTCCTTTCAGATGGGATATGTCGCCTTCTGGGTCGTCGGCATATTTGTAGCGGGCTTCTGGTATGGCACCATTCTCGTCGACCAAGGACTGAGTCCTGGCCAATTAATTACCACCTTTTTCTCAGTCCTTGCAGCATTTCAGGGAGTTGAAGCGCTGCTCCCACAGTGGCTGGTTTTATCAAAAGGCATGTTTGCGGGAGCCTTTTTGTCTTCTTTATCGGCTAGATGTGACGGCGAAGCTGCCAAGAAGAATAGCCACCTAATTAAACCCGACTCTTGCGTTGGCAATGTGGATTTAGTAGATGTATGTTTAGCCAACTTTCCTCCCCCCTTTTTTATAAGAGCTAATCAATTGGTCTGTGATAGGTTACCTTTGCATATCCTTCCAATCCTGAAAAGACCGTTCTCAATAAGTCATCTTTCTCTTTTCCAGCAGGCCAACTCAACTTCATTGTGGGAAGAAGCGGGTCAGGAAAAAGCACAATTGGGAGTCTTATTGCCCAATTCTATGATCCCTCATCGGGTGTGGTTTGTTTAGACGGGCAACCCTTAGACACTCTGGATAGCGACTGGGTCCGATCCAACATTGCTTTGATCCAGCAACTGAGCGTGGTGTTCGACGATAGCGTTTTCAATAACGTAGCAGTTGGCCATAATGACCCTGAAGCAGTGACAAAAGAGGCTGTTGGAACAGCGTGCGAGTTTGCACTACTACAATCAACGCTCAGTAACCTTCCTAAAGGCCTCAATACTCGGATCGGTTCAAATGGATACAAGTTGAGCGGAGGCCAAAGGCAAAGAGTTGCGCTTGCTAGAGCAAGAATTCGAGATCCGGCTGTACTTATTCTTGATGAAGTGACGAGCAGCCTGGATCAGATAAATCGGAGCTTGATAGTAGATGCTATCAGACAGTGGCGGCGAGACAAAACAACCATCATAATCACACACGATATTAGTCAAATCGAAGATGACGATTTCGTATACGTCATGGAAGACGCCTCTTTGGTACAGCAGGGATTGCGGCGAGAGCTGGCCAACCTGGCAACAGGCCCATTCGCGTCTCTAGCTTGTCATGCTTCCAATGAACCATCTCCTTATACACCCAGTGAAGCACAAATGACCGATTTGACTTCGAAAGTAGGTTTTGAAAAGACCTGGGAAAGCTCCACCATTGAAGAAAAGCCAAGAACATCTGCTGGAAACGCATACTGCTACGAAGCTGGCAAGAGGCGATCATTTAGCTCATTCAGCGAATATTTTGAGCCATCTCGCAGATTCAGTGTACCAGAGTCTGGCCATAGGTCCTCTTCAGGTAGCGAATACACGATGGATGATTACGGATACGGCACTGAGGACCCGGATTACCTATTTGGAAAAGCAGATCGTCGAAAGAACATCTCTAGCTTACGACTTGCTTCTAGCCTGGAGTCGTCTCCAACCGGCGGCGAAGATATAGCTGCAGAACAAACAGTGACAAAACCGAATACCCTTTTATCAATCTTAAAAAGCTTCTGGCCAACGCTCACTTTAAAAGATCGAGTAATTTTCCTTGGTGGAGTTGTGATGATGCTCATTAGCGCTGCGGCAAAGCCGATATTTTCATTTTGCCTCTCCCAGCTCTTCGGAGTATTGTGGCTGCCAGAAAACAGAACGGCCGAGGCGAAGAAAAAGGCAATGTATCTGGTAGTTACGGCAGTCATTGATGGTACCGCTACTGGTATTGGCCATTACATGTTTGAGAGAGTCGGTCAATCCTGGGTAAACGCACTTCGTCTTGAGGCCTTGAGAACAATCTTGAGGCAACCAAAATCATGGTTTGATAAAGACGGAAACTCAGCCAGCAGGATCAATGAATGTCTTGAAAGGAACTCAGAGGAAACACGCAACATTGTGGGGCGATTTATTCCCATTATTCTACTTGTTATTGGCACGGTTACAGTTTCCATGATTTGGGCTCTTGTAACGTCCTGGAAGCTGACTCTTGTCGCTCTTTCAGCTCTACCTTTAGTCCTGGGAGTGGTTAAAGGATACACTGTTATCAGCAGCAAGTGGGAAGCCAAGTGCAACCAAGGAGCCTCAGATGCCAGCGCCGTTTTCAGCGAGACATTTGTCAATATCCGCGTGGTACGAGCGCTAATGCTTGAAAAGTACTTTGGCACAAGACATCAGAAAATGATATCTCGCACCTTTAGCTTGGGACTGAAGAGGGCAAGCTATACCTGTGGACTATTCGGACTGTATCAGTCAGTTTGTTATCCCATGACCGCCTTGGTGTTTTACTATGCCACGGTGTTATTATCCAAGGACGATGGCACTACGGTAACCACAATAGTGCAAGTAATCAACTTGCTGCTTTTCAGCATCGGGACCACAACCGAATCATTGAGCAGCATACCTCAGCTGACAATGGCCAAAGTGACGGCGACCCAGTTATTAGCCTACGCAAAAATGCCGATAGAATCTGAAGACAGCCAAGGCGGTATTGAGATTCCAACCCCCTTACCTGTTAAGGTCAAGAATTTGCAGTTTGCATATTCGCAGTCAAAGTCTCGTGTGCTCCATGATGTTTCTTTCAACATCACGCAGGGAAGCTGTACTGCTATAGTCGGCTCTTCGGGATCTGGGAAATCAACCATGATATCTCTCCTTATGGGTCTCTACCGCCCATCGGATGATGCCACAGCTCTTACCTACGGGGGCGTTCCGGTTTCTCAGCTAGCCATGCAGCATCTCCGCTCAACGATGGCCTACGTCTCTCAAACGTCTCATCTCTTCCCCGCATCGGTTATGGACAATATTGTCTATGGTCTCCCCGAGAATTCCCCCTTCAGAGATAGCTTAAACGTGCATGATGCTGCAAAAGCAGCGGGCATTCACGACTTTATCATCTCGCTGCCTCAGGGCTACTCCACGATTGTCGGAGATGGTGGAATCGCTCTGTCAGGGGGCCAAGAGCAGCGGCTAAGCATCTGCCGGGCACTCGTCCGCCATCCCCGGCTTCTCATCTTGGACGAGCCTACGAGTGCTCTTGATCCTGAGTGCACAAACACGATCCGCGAAACGATAAGGGAACTCACAGAGCGAGCTAGGCAGAAGGAGAGCGGTATGGCCATCGTGATGGTTACGCACACGCCTGATATGATGCAAATTTGTGATAGTATTATCATGATTGACAATGGTGTCAAGGTCGAAGAGGGTAGTTATGAAGAGCTGATGAAAGCCAAAGGTCCCTTTGGACACCTTATTAACAAAGGTGAATGGCATGGTGGAGATTAATTGGATGAAGGAAGTACGATAATCAAAGATCCACGAGTGATGAGGTAATAGCTGTTTCAGCATTATATATGAATTAAATCTCTTAGAGCATTATAAAAAAAAATGTATTGTATTCCACGTCTCGACTCTCTGTTTAATGCCAATGGATGATTATATTTCGATCAAGACCTTTGTCTTGCAGCATTATATATTTGTTCGTTCGGTCGTCTAGTACCCATCATGATGAAGACGTAGGTAAAGATATGTATTCCCTGTTTTCGCGCCAATCCATCCATCCTCCACGGTAATAATAATATCATTCGTCAAATTTTTCTGTGACCATTTACATGAAATAATGATACTCATAATGCATTCGTAGGATATCCTCGTTCTCCAACTCGCAATATATGTGTATGTGTATATGCGTATAACCGTATCCTTTCCAACTATTAATTTTCAATCCCAATATCTCTATTATAGTTAGAGAGGATGCAATATATAGGCCACATATAACATGCTAATAAATGAGAGAAACAACAACTGTTGTAATAATAAAAGGTGCTAGGTCAAGAAAAAAAAAAAAGAGTTCGTGAGTCGTTTCATGAAGATCTATCGTCTTCTCGTCCTCAGCCAGCCCTCCCAGGAAAGCCAATCGTGTCGAGTTTGCTGCTGCCGGGTTCGAGCGGGGTCTGGTCGTCTCGGTTCAACCCAGGTGACTCGATTAGGGACCGTAGGTCTCCGGACATGCCTCCTGGATGAAGCATGTGTATCGTTTCTCACAATTCTAATGAGATAGCGGAGAATGTTTGGATCTTGACTAGGCGGTATGCTAGCGTCCGACCGCGGTACCAGAATCGGGTCGTTCTTCAGCGTGCGCGGGTGAATCTCAAACATCTCTTTATCCGCGAGCCTGCCCAATCTAGCGGCATCGATGAGTGCTTGTAGATCGAGCTCTATCTTTTCAATCACAGACATGGAGCCCATTGCGGAGCTCTCAGCTATGCTGCTGTGGGCAAGCTGCGTTTTGCTATCTGAACTGGGTTGGGTTGCGTGGCCAAGTCGTGAGCCAGTGTCTGTCAGCCCCACTGGGCTCAGTAAAGTTGTGCCAGATTGAACGACCAAGTTCCCGACAGCGCCCAGCTCTTGTTGGGAGCCCTCACCGATTTGCTGTTTTTTCTTCTGAAAAACTTTGGCCCAGAAGTTCCTAAGGGGAGTCGTGATAAAAAGGAAGAGTCTCTTCAAGCTAAGGAAAAACGCCAAAACGTATCGATCAGGCACTTGGCGAATTAAAGCGCCAAGAGGAAGTGTAAGGCTGCCAAATAGCAAACTCCATCCCCACTGAGCACCAGTCAATGGCTTGGTATCGAAAGCTTCGCCGCCTTTGAAGACGATGAGGAACTGGCCGAGAATAGTCAAAAGCTGCACGCCAATAAACCAAGGATTGGTCAAAATTCCTTGATACCAGATATCAATCTTATTATCCACTCGGCGACAGTTGTGCTGGTTGAAAAGCTGCATGAAGACATAAATATTGAACACAAGCGTCTGCAACTTATCAATCTCGTGCTTAGTTCCAGGATTGAAGATGTCCCAACCAACGTAATGCACTAAAAATACGACCAGAAGCTGATAGATAGCTTGGCCGAGAATCATCTTCCACATGGTGATGCTAACAATAGCTTTATTGCGAGGCTCAGGTTTGCGCATCAGGAATTCTGATGAAGGATGGTCGGTAGCAAATGCAAGAGAAGCACATATGTCCATGCTAAGATCTATCCAGAGCAGCTGTACAACTGTAAAGATAGAGTCACCCACGAGTTCTGAGATGACTGTTGTGATACCGGCTGTTATGTTGATTGTGAATTGAAACTACACAAATGTATTAGATCCCTGTTGGTAGATAGAGAGAGAAGAACAAACAAATAGAAATATCTTGGCTCGATTAATAGGAAAGTGCGCTCACCTGAATGAACTTCTTGACTGCGTCATTCACTGTCCTGCCCCAACTGAGGGCCTTCACAATGGACGCGAAATTATCGTCTAGAAGAATAATAGAAGCAGCTTCCTTAGCAACCTCAGTGCCCTGCATACCCATAGCAAAGCCAACATCAGCAGCTTTCAAAGCCAGTGCATCATTTGTTCCATCACCAGTAACAGCAACGGTTTCCTTCATTTCTCTTAGGCGTGAGACGAGTAACACTTTATCTTCCGGGCTAGATCTCGCCAGTACCTGCAAGCGCGGAATGATAGCGTCACGTTGTGACGGCGTCAACTTTCTGAACGTAGGTCCATCCATAGCAACGCCACCAGGAGTGTATATGCCACACTCTGTGGCTACAGCTTTTGCGGTGAGGAAGTTGTCGCCAGTAACCATACGCACAAAGACACCGGCATCCTGACACTGGCGTACGGAATTAACCACTTCTGGTCGAAGCGGGTCACGGATGCCAAAGAAGCCAATGAATACCATGCCTGACGCAAGCCATTCCAGATTGACAGTGGTGGGATCATCGCCTGGATTCTCGAATACTTCGTTCTCATCAAAGTCTCGGAAGCTGATAGCCACCGGGCGCAACATATTCGTGGCATATTCGTAAATCGTTCTGCGGAAGCTCCTTCTGTCTGTCTCCTCGAGTCGAGAAGTGTTGAATCGAAAGGTAGGGTCATCAACGATGTACGCACAATACTCAAACACGATTTCTGCAGCCCCTTTGACCAGTAGGCGGTATCTGCCGTTGGGAAGCTTGATGAGAACTGCCATCCATTTTCGTGCAGAGTCAAAAGGCAGCATGGCGACGATGTTGCTGTTTGCTCGTTCCTCTCTGAGCTTGCCCATCCCTAAATGATCTCGACCAAACTTGAGCAGGGCTGTCTCAGTGCTCGATCCAATAAAATCGGCTCCTGCAGAGTCATCTCTCTCAAAAGCGGTAGAGTTTAGAGCTATGCTATCTTTGATTAGGCTCCGTATTTCTGGAGAGACGGTCGACATGAAGTGCCTCGATGACGGTAGCCTCGACGTAGTTGAACTACTACTATCCGAACTAGAGGTAGCGAGGGGAACATCGCTGTCTTCAAAGCCACTCTCGAGTCCAACACGGCCGGCAACAACAGACATCTTGTTCTGCGTGAGAGTTCCCGTCTTATCCGAGCAGATAGAAGTGGCATTGCCCATAATCTCACAAGATCGAATAAGGCGAACAAGATTGTGATCTTTGAGCATCCTCGTGGTTGCAAATGCAAGGGCGACGGTGACATTCAGCGCCAAGCCCTCGGGAATAGTGATGACGACGATGGTCACAGCAAGCATAACGATATGGAGAAAATGCTCGGCCCTGCGAGTGGGCCGGGCATGCTTGTGATGGGGTAACCGGACCAAGAAGCGAATGAAGAGGATGACAAAGTAGATGGCGCCAGCAATGGCACCGAATGTGATGAGCTGCTTTCCCAATCTGCCCATCTTCGCCTGTAGGGGGGTTTCTTCAACGTCTTCTCGCAAGGACATGAGCATCCTCCCATAGCTTGAGTATTCACCAACAGAGAGAACCAACATGCGGCCAACGCCGCGACAGACGGTGGTGCCGCTGAAAATGAATGGGTCGACCGGGGTGGCCCAAGAGCGGCTGTAGTCCTCCGGCACCATTTTGCGCACCAGCTGAGACTCTCCCGTGATGGAGGACTCATCGATGTATAGGCTGGAGCCCTGGACAAGAACACCGTCGGCCGCCACAACCTCGCCGGCCTCGATGTGCATGATATCTCCAACCATGACATCGTATACGGAGATTTGCTGGATCCTGCCCGACCGGAGAACAGTTACTTCGCGCTGCTGTTGTCGCTCATTGAGCTTTTCGAATCGGTGGTTCTTTTGCCAATCGGTGGCCGCACTGGCAAAGACGATGACGACGATGGCTGCCACAACGGTCACTCCGTCAACCCACTCAATATTAGAAGCATCCTCGTCGGCAGTCAGAGATTGATAGAGACCAATTGCCAGGGATATAGTGGCGGCGATTGTGAGCAGAATCATCAACTTGTCGTTGAAGGCAATCCACATGAGCTTAAGAAACGACTTTTGCCGGCGCCGGGGCAGTCTGTTGGCGCCGAATATCCGCCTCCGGTCGACGAAGCGGTCTTCATCCTCAGATCTGCCTATATGGAAGGTTAAGCCCGGGCGGACAGGAGGAGCATCGACTGGAGAGATGGCGGGTGTGCGGTTCTCGTGAGCAGCCGCAACTGCTTCGTTGAAGGTGATGGTGCCATCGAGACTCGACTCGTCGACACTGAGACCGGCCGAGAGGTCGGTACGGAGGCCCAGCGCAAGGCCACAGAGGCCGCCAAAGATGTTGAGTGCCGCGAGGCTCCTCTGCTTCAGCAGCTTGTGCAACTGGGACGGCGTAAAGGCAAAGCTGTTGGCGGGCAGCGGCTCCTCAGCCCGCACCTCGGAGACCAGCGCCGTGGCTTGTTTGTCGGCTTCGATGTCGTGGCGCGTAACAGCCGGCTCGACGGGCATTATTTCGTCCATGTCGCAGACGGCCCTGATGCTGGGGCCAGAAACGAGGGAATCATCTGCGGTGCCGGGCAGACCAAAAGGCAAGGCAATGCCTCTCTTCTCGCAGACTAAGAGACGGCAGAGTTGGAGTTGCAAAAGCAATCAGATGCCCTGCGGACAGCGGACGGCCTGGGGGTGTGTGCCAGCAATAAAAGGCGGCTCTTTTAGCATCCGAGATCCACTGGGCGACGCCATGGGAGAGATTTACAGCGCTGAGGTAGCAGTGCCGGGGGGTAGTAGGGCGCTAAATTCGCCCAAGCTCAAGCTAGCTAGGCACAATGGACTCTGGAAGCCACACTGGAAGTGCTGGCAGTAGCCGTCATTGGCAGTCGGCGATTGCCTAAGTGGTGATGGCTTTGGCTAAAAAGAGACTCATTTTTCTCTCTCATCCATGCGGTTCGACGCTCAGATGGCATGCTATACTCGTCCCGCTCGCGCCCTACCACCGCCCTACCAGCGCCCTACCACTTCTGCACCATGCGGGCTTCAGAGTTATTCTCCGCCAGAGCACCAGCGACCGGCCGCGTCTTTCGGCTGCTGGCGCTCCACCCTGGCACGTCAAACGGCCAAGCCTGCACCTCCAGACTCTTGGCAGCTTTTCTCAACTTGGCCGCCGAAGAGAAAACCGGGCCTGGCGCAGCCAATGGCCACGGCCGCCAGCTCCGTCCAAGATGCTAGAGGCTTGGCTTTATGGATCCTCCGAGATGGGCCTCCGAGTTTGTTCGTGAGCAAAAACAAAAGCTCCTGGGTACGCCACCCGTCCGTCAGCAGCAAGCCCCGTGGCGAGAGCGAAGTCTCTCTTCCAAAGCCCTGTTCGTGACGCCCTGCTGCACTCCCCCAGCGAGTGCCGATACAACGGATATCGTCCGTCGCTAGAGGCGTCTGGAAAGAAACTAGACAGGCCGTTTGGCCGTCTTCGCTGGCCGTGCTCGTACCAACGCCACAAGGGGAATCGGCAAAACTACAGCATGCTGCACTAATACAAAGTATACTAATTTATACGGGCTACCGGCCGAGTGGCACGCAACTTTTTAACCTTGATGAGCCTTGTAGGGGCGCAGCGCGATCGTCCAGAGCCGCCTCTTGTGGCTTGCCAGTAGGGCCGACGGCAAGGAGTCATCCAGACTTCTGGCAACATGTTCCACGGCATTGCTTTCCATCCGCCCAGGTAGGAGAAACAATGTCAATGATTTAAAGTTTAGGTTTAGGAGTGCTGGCCACGCTATCCCATGCAATCAGATCAGCCGTTTGATATCCCGACGCTCCCATCGGTATAAGTCTCAGCGTCAGGAGCAGCAAGGAAACCCCCGGAGAAACTTGAAGGGAAAAAAAAAATAGAAAAAGAAACAAAATTGCTGCTTCTTTGCTCATTCCAGATTCTGAGGTTTTTCACTGCTGCCGACATGAAGCCCAAATTGTTGCCATTGGCAGACTACGAGGGCGCTCCATAATGGCATCACGACACCAAAAGCAAAGTTCCTAGGCGCCTACACAGCCCTCGCCACATATCCGCAGCATGAAGCATCTAGCCCTAAACAAGTTACTAGTCTAGCCATTGGACAAACAATGTCCAAGCGTCTTCTGCTGAGACAGCAAGTTGCCAACAGGTACGTAGCCCGCCCCTTTCTCTTCATTGCCTTGATTTGATTGCCCTTTGCGGGGGCATGTCCATCGTTCAAGGCATGATACAAACACATACGTAGCCTTCAAGGCAGTTACCGAACACCGAGGCAAATAAATGATCATCGAGTGCCAGGGGCCAATAGATGTGGCTCCTGCTGAGCCATTTTGCGGTCTCTTGCAGGATCGCGGTCGCTTCCCCCCGAGACAGTCGCTAGATCGTGCACTGGAAAGTTGTACAGAGCATAGGAATGGCAAACAGAACAAGGTTTCTTTCTCCTTTTTAGCATCTTCCACGTATTCGCCGCTGGTTCTGCTTCGGGCAGCCGCTTATCAGCTAACTGTGTTCGCTTTTCCAGGCCAGCTCGTTAAGATGGCGCGATGCATCAAGGTCGGCTACGAGCCACTTCAGATGATTAGGGATTCATTGATCTATAGACAATCATACCGAATCAGAGTAGTCGTTTTCATCCCCTTCCCAGCTCATCTCAGCTCAAAAACAAGCTGGTTTCGTCTGTAAATCCCTATACAGGCTAGAAGAGTTCTTCCAGGTTGAAACCAACTGCGGTTAAAAATGCCCTTTGTTTTTTTTTTTTCTCTCCTTACCATTTGCAGAGCTACGAAAGATATATCCAATATTGGCCTAGGATTCTGTGCATTCCAAGCATGAAAATCTGTCTTTAACAAAGAAACGTCACATGGGAAGCGGAGCAGACAGGACTCGCTACTTTTGGAGGAGGCGGCCGAAACTCGTCAAGAGAGCCCGCGTATCCGATGATGTCGTTGTTAGTACATGTTTCATCAGCCCTTTTGATGAAAGAATGTGTGTTTCGGCCATCTTCCGCCGAGTCGATGTCATATGTTCATCTTCCCCGCTCTCGGGACTCACACCAACCTGGGGTAGTGAATATGGAAAGTGAATATGGAACTTGCCGTGATGAGGCGAAAGAAGGAGTTTTGCAAAGTAAAACAAAGAAGTTGCATCATGCTAGACAGGATATCTTCGCTTCACTGCCAGCATGTCTGAAGTTTACATGTAATCATAATGACTCTTATTTAAGCTTCAATTATAAGATGCAACTATGCCATCGGATGAAGTCGCAAAGTGGACCAACTCCATCACCGTTGTCGCTCTCCTTCAGCCACCGTCATAGTGTCTGTTCACGTTATCCAGGATGCTCCTCACGCTCGTTCTATCCATCTTGTTTACGGCGATGGCTCATATCCCCACCGTCTCTGCTCAGCCTCCTTCTAGCGTCATCTCTCCAAAAGTCTTCATCATATCCATGGTTTGTCCCCATCAGGTCTCATCTTCTTTTGTCAAATTCAAATCATGTAGTATATTCAACTTTGCTTTCTTCACCACTCTTATCTCCACGACTAAACTACTGCTATCCCTCTTTCTCCCTAACCAAAGATTTTCTCACCACTAGTTTGAGCCCGAAGGCCAAGTATGGCACGACAACTTCGCCCAGTCCGGCCTTGGGAATCTCTCATCCCAGGCCATCGCCACTCCCGGCCTTTCAATGCTCTTCCCACGCATCTTCTGCACCCAAGCCGGCACAATCTGCCAGCTCACCGTCGGTGAAGGCGAAATCAACTCTGCCGTCTCCATGACGGCTCTCATCCTGTCCAGCAGATTCAACCTCACGCAAACATACTTCCTCCTCGCCGGCATTGCAGGTGTCAATCCTCGCCACGCAACCATCGGCAGCGTCGCCCTCGCTCGCTACACCGTCCAAGTTGCGCTGCAATATGAAATCGATCCTCGCTCTCTGCCCGATGACTGGCCAACGGGATACATCCCTTACGGACGAAAACACCCCTTTGAATACCCGTGCATCACGTACGGCACTGAAGTCTTTGAACTCAATGCCAACCTTCGCGATGTCGCTTACAGCCTTGCTCAACGCGCCACACTCGTAGATAATGAAGAGCCGCGTAGATACCGTGCCCTGTACAGCAGCATGGGGACGTCGTACCGCATGGCCGTGCGGCCCCCCAGCGTGGTCAAGTGCGATAGTGCGACCAGCGATGTGTACTACTCGGGGGGGAGACTCGCCCAGGCCTTTGAGAATACAACGACTCTGTGGACTAACGGCACGGGTGCCTACTGCATGAGTGCACAAGAGGACAGTGCCACGTTGGAAGTGCTTGTGCGGGCCGCTACAGAAGGGCTCGTCGAATTTGGCAGAATCATTGCCATGCGAACAGGTAAAGGCAGCCCGTTGTCTTATCCATATACTTACCTGAAGTGAATAGCATATAGGTACTTACATAACAATATAGGCTCCAACTTCGACCGCCCACCCCCTTCTCTCTCCGACTGGGAACATCTCACGCGTACAGACCAAAACGGCTTCCACATCGCCATATCCAACCTCTACAATGCCGGCATTGAGATCGTCAGGGGCATCCTCGACAACTGGAACTGCACCTTTGAGAAGGGCATCGCCCCGGCCAACTACATCGGCGACATATTCGGCAGCTTGGGAGGCCATCCTGATTTTGGCTTTGGAAGCATCACGGGAGGAAGAAGGCTTAAGCCTGCTGCCACGGTAGGATCAGCTTCAAAGAGAGATGAGGATAGTTGGGGGCGAACCACGCTGGCTAGTGTGGAAATGGCAAGGAGGAGGCAATTTGGGGTCAAAGGGGCGATGAAGATGTAAGAACATGGGCGCCGTTATGCTAACGCTATGGATTTTCTTTTGTATTTAGTATTATATCAATCTCAGGTTAGATCTATTGTCAAGTAACTGGATTCGTTTTTTTCTACGCTATGATTTTTTTTTAACTCCCTTTCCCAATTACAAACAAATGAAATAATGCTCTTTTTTTTCCTCTCTACCATCGAGGCCAGTCATCATGGGGAACAGCAACACAAAGAGCTTGCCAGCGGCTGGCCAACCAGATCACCGCCAGATGCAATGCAAGAAATAAGAACCTTGTTTTTAAACCCGTCTGACGAAATAAGCTTGTCACGAGCTCGCCGTGGCTGGGACGTCGAGTGCGGGTAGTGCTGGTGCTGCTTGGAAGCCCCAAGTCCAGTACAGCCAGCAGCACAAGAGGCGCACTCACCTCGAGATTGACCATATATGGCCAGCATGGGCGAACTAGGGTAGCAAGCTTTATGAGAAATAGGCTGAGACGGCCAAAGTACTTTACAGTGTCTGGGCTGGCGCCTATAACGGTGCAAAATCGCAGCAAAAGGAGCGCTGCTCCATGCGGTATTTTGGCAATTTCTGAGGGAGGGGGTGCTAGGAGGAGAGGCCCATCGGCATGTGCATGGCCATTTGTGTGTATAGAAGGGTTTCTTTGCTCAACTGGATGGAGAGTATGGTTGTTGTGGCTGTGATGCCCATTTTGGCTAATGGATTTGACCATTGCATTGGTGGATTCTGGTATAGTTTCATCAAAGGCAGAGCCGTCTTGCAAGGCATCTTCATCCTGAGAGGCCGAGGCTGGCCATGCAGTGCTGTCGCTCTGGGGTACGCTGAGGCTGCGAGAGTGGTAGGCCCGCCGTGAATCTATTTTACTATAAGATCAAGTGCTGTCAGGATTGTAGGTTAGAAGAACTCACCTGGTACTGGTGTGCTGGGCCCTGCCGGCGAATCCAAGCTTTGGACTCGGTTGCTTCGCAGTGCGACAGCCGGATTCGAGCCATGATCTCTAGTTATTCCATCAAAGTAGGTCTCGCTTTTCATGGCATTCAAGACCTCATTGGCGCTCGGCCTCTCGGCTGGATCTAGAGCAAGCAGCTTCTTAAGAAGCATGTAGAGCTTTGATGGAAGATCTGGCCTTTCACGCCGCTCATCTTGGAAACCAGTCCAATCAGCAATCTCGGCTCTGAGCTGATCAACATCTTCCAATTCTTCTTGGACGGCATTAGCTGCCTGATAAGGCAGCCTACCAAAGCACATGAAATAGAGGATCATTCCGAGAGAGAAAATGTCCGACTTTGTTGTAAAGTTTCCATACTTGCCAGTCTCATCCACGCGAATAACCTCAGGTGCACAGTACGAGATGGTGCCCGTTGTGCCTGTTGATTTTCGCACTACATTCTCCGGCTGGACTTCGCCGAAATCGCTGATGAGACACCGTAACTTGCCACCCTCTCGGTGCAAGAGACAGTTACTTGGCTTCAGATCCCGGTGGATGTAGTTTGCCGCATGTAGATAGGCAACACCAGATGTGATATCTTTGAATAGGGAGTAAATCTCTTCAACGGATAACCGGGGCTTCTCATGCAAGCCATCTCGCGAAGCGTCAACTTGACCTCGCGATCGTCGGCGGATGCGTTCTTTGAGCTCTTCTTTTGTAACCTCCCTGGGCACGCTTCCAATGACGTACTGGTGAAGATCGCCCCCATTACAATATTGCTGGAGAATGAATGCGCAAGCGACGCTTGGCCCAAACATGGTCAATCTGACGTCCTCCAGCCAGACGTGTCGATAGGAAACCAAGTTGGCGTGCGACAATTTGGCAAGGAGCTCAACCTCTATCAAAACCTTCTCAAGCCAAGCATGGTCGTCGCCAACTGGTACCCTCTTGCAAGCGAAGTGGCCCAGTTGGCAGCCGTCAATCTCATGGCGCACCAGCAAGACTACGCCCTTGCCTCCTCTGCCCAGAACCTTCTCTTCAACAAAGAACGTTTTGAAATAGTTTGGGCTAAATGCTTCCCTTTTGATTCTGCTTCCCTCAGATTGCGATATGCCTGGCGCACTGGAGATGAACTCGGCTTCATCATCTACAGCGGGCGAACCGCGCGATGTTGAGCCATCGCTCCCTGGCGCAGGGCGAAATAGTCTGCGAATAAGACCCGACGACGCGTGATCGGGTGCGGTCGCGGAATGTCCTGCGCGAAGCATCCGAAAGTACCCCGGATCGACATACGATTCTGGGTCAACTTCAAACGGGCGATCGAACGAATGTTCTGGCGGCGTTGGCCCTAGCGGGCGGTGACATGTAGGGCATTCGGGGTGGCCACGAATCTCCAGCCGTTGCGAGCTGGGATCGCGAACAACGACCGCATTACGGTGTCGTCTATGGCATACAAAGTTAGCAATCTTCACCCTTGATCATTTCCTCGCTTCTCTCTAGTATGCGCTGCGCAGGCGAAGCCAGGCAAGGGGGGCGATGAACTCACAGCACAATCTCGCGGCCCTCTTGAGGCTGGTATGGGATCAACGACATGGTGACAAGTTGCAAATGTCTGTCGTGCGAACATGAGCCAGCATGGCGATTGCGGCCAGCGACGCGCAAAGCGACTAGCTTCTGGACGGTAGAAGTATGGCCGAGGCGATGGAAGTGCGTCGATGCAGCGGGTGGAAGGGACTCGAAGCTTCCAGGATCGTGGGATGGAGTTTGCAGGTGGCGGAACGAAAAGCAGGTGGTTGCGGCGGAGCTTCGAAGCTTGAGTGCTATGACGACGACGTAATGGCGGTTGGGGCGATCAAATGCCCGTCCAGCCCTGTAATCTTAGTGGTTGCCGCTGGACAAAAGAAACTTTGGGGGGAGCTGGAGGGGCTCCCCGCAGCTGAAACGCAGTGCGATGCTGCCATTCGCTCTACGGCAATGCTCAATTGCTTTGGTCAATGTGATGGATGGCTTTATTGCGTGCTTGTATTTTGAACGACTACTACCAAGGTACCGAGTAAATTACCAGGAAACCGTCCCTGAGAGACTCTCGGCATCGACAACAGCAGCTAATCGGAATTTTGCTCCAATACATCTACAGAGTCCCGACATGCACCATAAATAAGCATCGAAGCTACCAATTGCTAGAGGCCAAGATGCGCCAATAGCAACGGCTGCTGCCCTCTTCGCGGGACGACTCGACTTTAGCGCCATGTAGACTCCATGTACTATGGGTCGTATCCGTTGCATTGGGTGCTGGCCTTCTTCGCGATATCCCGTAATCTGGACCTATCGGAGCGCTCCCAACCAGACGAGGCTGCTGGGCACCAACCACTCGGGCGCTCTTCTTGACCTCGTATCAGAAACATGCTCTGATGCGCCATGGATCTCCGGCAGGCCTGTGATCGATGCCATGACAAGAAACTCAGATGCCCTCGACCGCCGGGCTCCCTGTGCTGCAGTCGTTGCACCAAGGCCAATGTCACCTGCGTCTTCAGTCCGCCAACAAGGCCACTCCGATATCCCAGCAACCACAATGGCAATGGAGCCGCTGGCTTTGACTGGCCCGATCTGATGATCTTGGAGCAACAGACGCCAAGCCAAGTGCTCGAGACACCAGCGCAGACCATTTCAGAACGCCTCGCGGCTCTCCTGTCAGGCCTTGACCGCATGCTACAGGCGCTGCCATCATCTCTGGAGATGCACCATGTCCCTAGAGAGCAGCTGAGGGAATACGCCGACCATGTAGGGGACAATTTCGATCTGCAGTTGACGCTTGACGGCCTCCTTCACCACGCCCAAGAGATCGCAGCCATCTACCCTGAAGCCACATCGGCGGCCGTCAACAAGCGCATTACTGCTCCAGAGTCTGATGCTCTCTGCACTGTTGCGAACTGTATCCACCAAGACCGCACATCCTTGCATACGACGCCCCTGCCTAGACTAGATCACGCACTGTTGAATCTTGTCATGGCGTGCCATATCCGTTTGCTTGACATTATGGATACTCTGGCAGAGCACGGCCGGATGTGTGCCTTTACGGTGGCCACCCTCCCATCAGACTACGATCCCAAATTCGATGTTCCAGAAATCCGTGTGGGATCTTTCATTGCCCCTTCCAACACTGCGGCCTCTATGCTTCTGGGTGTGCTTTTGGAGCTTCAAACGCTTTTAGTGGAGAGAATCGGAGATATGAGTGGTGTAATTGCTCAGGTAAAAGACAATCCAGGAGCGGCCAGAGAAGCGAGAGTCATTAGCCTCCAATGCGAGATTCTTCAAGAACGCGCGGAGGCTACACTCGGGGAACTGACGAATTTCAAGAAAGGTTTAGTAAGCGCGAGGCTGCTAAGATGAAAGATGTGATAGTAATGGAGAGTTGAAGGGTTGAAAGGTTGAAGGGTTGAATACTGAGCAGGGGAATGAACCAGCAATTGGCGAGTGCCTGACGTTCTAATGTGGATATAAAATGCACTCATGGATCTAAATTTGACACTCGGCGTCTAATGACATATGGTCTAGAAAGGCTCGATACCAAGCTTTTCGCGCCAGGGCTTTGGTTGGCGGCTGTAAGTAGCCAATAGTGAAGAGGCAGTTAACCAAAACAGCAATGCTGCATATACCATGTATGTAGTATTTGCATACAGGCTTATCTCTCCAAAAGATTGTGAGCTGCATAAGTGTCTCGCAGATAGGTACTCCGTATATATCCAAAAATAACCATGCCTGAATCCGCTGCCAACGACATGAAATATTAGCCACGAAAGACACTCTACATATCTGCCCGGTAGATTTCTAAGCAAACGCTCCCAATATAGGATGTCGTCGCCTCACATCTGCAGATCAGGGAGCACCAGTGCGACGTGTATGCGTGTATATACGTACTATGGCATCCTTTCGTCGATCTGAGGGGTAAAGAGAGGCAGCATACTGTATTGCAGGTTTATCTGCAGGCACGTTTGTAAGACATCCAGACGCACCCGTCGCAAATCTCCGCTGACCAACCAACGCTTTCTACGTCGTACCAACCAACGCTTTCTACGACGGCGTAGATAGGCTGTGACTCCCTCTTCGCAACACACGACGAGATTTGGAAATTGTGCCAAAGGAGTTTTGGGAAATGAGAGGCAAAGGAGGGATGACTGCCGCCACGTGCAATCAACGGCGTTTGTCGCAGCGAATTAATGAGACATGGCGCTGGAGCAACATGCTATTTTCGGATGCTTTCGCCAATAATAGTAACATGCCTCGGAGAAGTCATTATCGAGCCAACTGCAGAGGCTGACTGTGTCTCAGACCAATTCAACAGAGGCCAAGACGGACAGATACGGAGTATACAGCAGCGATGATTTGCCTTGCACAGAGGCCCAGCATGACAGGCCAAGGCCGATGCAGAAAATCGGATTTGGGATTCGAGCAGCGGCAACCGGGGTGTACAGGTGGAGCATCAAAATATGTGCAAACTTGTAGAATTGATGTACTCTATGCTGCTCACTGGGTGGAAGGCTCAAAGATCACATGAAGCCGAAGATCAACGGTGTTGTGGTGCTCATGTGCATAAATCAACAGTTCCAGTGCTTTTGGCCTTGACACACGGATTCCTCTATTTGCATGAATCGAGATATTGTATGTGCACAGATGGGCCGTCGCATACAGCAAAACGTGCGAAGGGTAGTAATTCATGTATGCGTGCTTGTACGAGCCCACCAACAATCCTGTTTGACTTATTCCGCTACCAACAGCAGGCAAAGCCAGAAGCTGCGGCATCCTATGCTCGTTTTATAAGGTAATACCTACTAGGTGGCACAAGTCCTAGCAGCCAGACGCTAAAATGCTAATCTTGCAGCTCCCAGTAAGCCACCCGCAAGGATCATGGGCTGGTTCGCCTGCCAAAGTGACGATGGTCCACGAGCGGCCGCTACGTTAGCAAGGTACTACTCCGTCCTACCGCCATACAGCCAGCACTAACGGCGACAGAGCCAGGGGTAGCATCTTGCCCCTTTTACATGACAAACGTCCCTCCCCGTATAACGAATGGATCTGTGCTCTTCTGTTTGTGCATCGGTCAGCTTCGCACGTTGCACCAGAAGCCGTCTTCACGGCGAAGTGCATGCGTCAGACGGCTGCCGGAGAGGAACAAAGAGAAGAGCACATGCCTCATAGCAGCACAAGTCGGCGTTGTCCGCCGCGGCCGACTGCAGATCGGGGAAAAGGCCGGCGCCTCCTCCGCAGGTACCTCCTATGGTCGTTTCTACAAGTATGCATCTGCAGTATGTATACATAGTATATAGCACCTGGGAGGCAAAAGAGGGAGAAATGCGCTGGAGCGTGTGTGTGGAGAGTTTCCCCGGTTCGCTGGAGCCTTCTCATGGCGATCCGGTACTGGCCCTCCCTGCCAATGCTTGTTGGCTCTTTTGGCCCCCGCCGCCAGGCCCATCAGGCGAGAAACGCGTATTCCACCCACTTGCGATGCTACTGCCAGCATTAAGAGCAGCAGCATCGGAATCAATCCTTGGTGCAAAACATGCCGCCAGCAGCAGCATAGCCCAAGCACCGATGCGCTCAGTCACGCCGCGCAAATGCAGAGGCCCGGCCAGCATCGTGGGCCCGGGCGTCAACGCCGTTGACCCATTCCGCAGAGAGCCCTCGTCCTGTCTCAGACTACTCCGAATGCCTGCAAGGCCATCTCCATCATCCCCGGTCCAATCTTCGCCATGGGCCCCCTCTCGAGATCCTTTGTCTTGTCCTCTTTTCGTCTTGCGTTCTCTCTTCCCCTCTTCCATCTCCATCTCCCATACATCCCACGGTGACGGCGCCCTCACATCCTCGCATGAATGCCATGATCAAGCGCGCTTGAACTCGTCACAGATTCTAGCCTAAGCCTCGGTTGGACGAGAGTCTCTCCAACCACAGCCACATGCTAAGAGCTGGCGTGCCGTCTGTCGCCTAGCATTGGGTTTAGCGCTCCAGGTAAGAAGCTCATTTAGCTCAAATCCGTCGCGGGTGGTGCGATGGTGGCTGCAGGTCTTCTCTTTCATCCCTACATAATACCGAGCCCGCAAGATTTCCGCAGGCTTATGCCCGACCAGCGTTAGCTGCAATGGCCAATTATTTCATGCGCCGCCCTGCCTACACTCTGTTTGTCGAAAATTAAAACTCAAAGCAAAGAGCACACACACACAAAAAAGCTATTATTACGAGAAACATGCATCCCAATAAGAGAGGGAGGACATGATACCTGCTTTGTTCTGCAGCCCCACCAATCGGCATCACCACTTACACGCACAACATACAGCTTCACCAGACACCAAACATGCCTGACTGACTTGACAGGAAGCACACCATAACACAACAGCCATGATGGCTTCCTCCACCTCATCCACGGAGACACACTCTCATCTCAGAGATGAAAAAGGAAGACTAGATTCTCCCACCGACGAGAAACACGACATCGAGCGCCACTCTGCTAGCATATCCAGAGACACTCGCGATTCCGTCGATGCGCCAAACACCACATCCAACGACGCCGAGAAGCAAATCTACATTGTACAAGATGCAACTTCCATTGATGACAACATCGTCTGGTGGGACGGCGACAGCGACCCCGAAAACCCATACAACTGGCCGCGGTGGCGCAAAGTTCTCAACTGCGTCCTCATCAGCTGTCTAGCATTCATCACGCCTCTAGCATCATGTATGAGCAAACCACTCCGGTGGAGCGATTTGATTTTGTCGTTTGTGCAAAGTTTCCTTGCAGGCAGCTAACTTCTGCCCTCCTATAGCTATGTTTGCACCTGGCGTCCCCGACCTCATGGTGGAATTCCGCAGCACAAGTGAAGAGCTGGCTGCTTTCTGCGTTTCTGTCTATGTGCTGGGATTCGCAGCTGGACCCATGTTCTTTGCGCCCTTGTCTGAGATTTACGGCCGATCCATCATCTATAACATCACAAACGTTGGCTTCATCGGTAGGATCTTCCATGGTCTTTTTTTTTTCTGTAAGAATCTAGAACCAACTGACATCTCATCTCATCTCCAGTCTTCGTCGTCGCCTGCGCAAAAGCCCCTTCACTCAATGCCCTCATCGTCTTCCGTTTCTTCTGTGGCATCTTCGGCTCCGTCCCCATTACCATCGGAGGCGGCAGCATCGCCGACATGATTGTGCAGGAAAAGCGTGGCGTCGCCATGGCAAGCTTCGCCATCGGCCCAATGCTTGGCCCCGTCGTCGGGCCTGTGGTGGGAGGCTTCATCACTACTGGGCTTGGATGGCGCTGGGTCTTTTGGATCATGGCTATCCTCTCTGGGACTTTCTCGCTGCTGTTCCTGGCCTTTTCGCGCGAGTCATTTGCTGCTGTGCTGATCGGCCGCAAAACCGTCCGATTGCGAAAGGAAACTGGCAATCCTCTGTTGCGGTCCAAGCTCGACACAGGCCTGTCAAACGCAGCCTACATCAAGCGCAGCATCCAGAGGCCGTTCAAGATGCTGATAATGTCTCCCATCAGTATTATATGCGGCATCTACGTCGGAATTGCCTATGCATACCTGTATCTCATGTTCACCAGCCTCACGCCGCTTTTCATGGAAATCTACCACTTCAAGACGAGCTATGCCGGCCTCGCGTTTCTGGGGTTAGGCGTCGGCAGCATGATTGGCGTTGTTTCCTTTTCCTTGACAAGCGATAGAAACATCAAAAAGAAGGCTGCTGAAGAGGCCGTGTTGGCAGCGGCCGAAGGTCGCGCTCCCGAAGGCATGAAGCCCGAGTATCGTCTCTCGCCGCTGCCTGTCGGCGCAATTGTCCTGCCCATCGGGTTCTTCATATATGGATGGACTGCAGAGTATCAGGTCCATTGGATAGCGCCTATTATCGGTACAGTAGTCATAGGCGTCGGCGACCTCATCGTCTTCATGGTAATGCTTATCCTCCCATCTCTATCTACTCTAATAGCCTTCAGAAGAACTAACACCATCTAAATTCTAGTCTCTCCAAATGTACCTCGTCGATACCTTCCATATCTATGCGGCCTCGGCTCTCGCAGCAAACGCAGTCGCTCGTTCCATCCTGGGATCTGTCCTCCCTCTCGCCGGCCTGCCAATGTATAATCGCCTCGGCATGGGCTGGGGCAATAGTATCCTTGGCTTCATCGGCCTGGCGCTGACGCCAGCGGCCTGGCTCTTTCTTAGGCACGGAGAGGCGCTGCGCAAGAGATTCGAGATTAAGAATTTATGAGATGGTTCTTTATCCTTCTTCTCTCTCTTCTCTCTCTCTCTCTCTCTCACTTTTATTTTTTAAACCAAAAAAAAAAAACTTACATATCATCTAGACTTATTGTTTAACGAACAGTTTACTTGACCTCACCAACGGTTTGCTTCAAAAAAAAAGAAAGCTATAACCAATACCGCCTGCAATGAGACTCTAAATTTTAGAAGTGCGACTTACAAAAAAAATACATTTAATAAACAGGTTGAGCATTTCTATCAAGCATGTATTTCTTTTAGCGAATTACTATATATGGCATAAACGAGAGGCCGGGGGGGATACTAAATAGCTTTGCCAACAGGCGGGAAGAAGGGATATAGTTGTAATATAAGCATCCATGACAAGGATTCAATCAAAATCGTTTACTTCGTTCTTTTGAATCATATATGACATCCGGGAAAGAAGTGACTTGAAAACCCGAACTCACACTCGAAAGGCTTGTCGCTAATAGCTCACGTCCCAAGTACATGTAGGTAATGTTCAAGCACACACAAACGCCGCTTCTTTACAAAACATGCTCAATTTCCGTCTACATCCATCTCATAGCTGGAAATGAGAGAATTTCTACGAAATGGCTAAGCAATGCCTCAACTTGACAAGCCTTAGGAAGCCTTACAGAAAAGTAACAGCGTTTAATACCCATTAAGCTTTTGCACGCTATACCAAATACAAACCGTAACCCGCAATTTAGTGGCATGACAGCCTGCTTGTGTAAACCTCTTTGAAGGACCCTTGCCCCACGTTCCAAACCTGAATGTCCAATATCCATCTCTTCATACCTCGCTCTTAAAATTCATTCACATCTCATACTGTGAATTCTTTTTTTTTTTTTTTTTTTCCCTTTTTCTTTTTCTTTTTCTCCTTCTTCTTTCGCTCACCATGGCCCCGTCAACAAGCAACGCGCCTTCACTGCTTCTCCTCCCCGCTCCACCATTCCCCCTCGATCCTCGGTCTCTCAGCGCAGCCTACCGAGCCCCTCTCACAGCCGTTCTCAAACGCCTCGGCAGCAGCAGCAGCAGCGCCAACAACGACAACGACGATGGCAGCCATGTCCTCGTCATTGCCGTCGCCTGTCCCATCCTCGCCGGGCCCTCACCAAGAAGCAAATCCCTAAACTGGAAGGCCGCACAGTCTCTCCTCGCCCGCACATACACCCTCATCTCAGTCATTTGCAACGAGCTCTCCATCAACACGTCCGGAGAGCCGAGCACCACCAGCGCCAGCGTCGATCCCCGCGTCGTGCTCATCGACCATGAGCGACGGAGGACCTACCACCGCAACTACGACGGCGAGTACGAGGCAAACTGCACGTCCGTGCTGGATCTGGCGGCCTTTGCCTCGACGGTGTATCCCTGGAGGACCGTCTTCCATCCCAGCGCCGAGTCGGGCTATGAGCTCCTCAACGCATTCCTGGAATACTCACAGGGGAAGCAGACATTTCTCCAAAACCAGCTAGTTGCCGTCGAAGGCGGCATCACACTGTCCATCAGCGAGAGCACCACCACCCTCGCAGCCCAGGCCGATTTCATAAACGGCCACGACGTCGTCTGTCTAGGAGGCACATTCGACCACCTCCACCCGGGCCACAAGCTTCTCCTCCACGCCACCGTCCTGCTCATGAAGATCCCCGACAAGACCTCTTCCTCCTCCGGGAAGCAGGCCGTCCTCGTCGTCGGCATTTCCGGCGACGAGCTGCTGACGAAGAAGAAGTACGCCGAGGTGCTTCAGCCGTGGGACGTGCGCGCAAACAACGTCCTCCAGTTCCTCTCCACAATCTTCAACTCGGCGTCTTCGTCCAACACGAATTCGCTCCCGCCCACGTCGTCCCCATCGCGGGATGAGCTGCATGCGACGTTTCGTGATGGCGCAGTGCTTGTTCGATGCGTAAACATCCATGATCCCTTTGGCCCAACCATTACGGAAGAGGTCATGGATGTTATTGTGGTGTCTGGTGAGACACGCAGTGGTGGTCAGGCGATTAACGACAAGAGGACCGAGAGAGGGTGGAAGCCATTAGATGTATTTGAGATCGACGTACTTGACCCCAATGATATCTCGGAGGAGAGCAACAGTGACCCAAACAGTGGTTTTGCCTCGAAGATTAGCAGCACAGAAATACGGCAGCGGATAGCTCAAGCACGGAATGGTTTACAGTAGACACCAGACCTGATTATTTAGAGATACGAGTGGAGCCTTTTGGCCAACATCTTCTTTTTACCTCATTGAGCATTTTTATCAATAAACACACGCCATGATGCACCGTTTCAAACGTAAAATTTAGTTCTTCATTTTTGTCATTAATTGATATTTAGCTCATGTATCGGCCTATTGCGTTAATTCCTCATGGCCATGTCTACCATTCCAAACACATCACTTTTAATCCCTTTTGTTTCCTTAGCAAATGCATGTCAAAGAGTCCCAATTCCTCTATCCATCTACTCCATCTGACCAATGCCCAGGTGGGCGGGGTCAGCGCGGACAATGCGCAGGGTGTTGGTGTTGCCCATACCACCCTTCCAGCCCTGGACGACGACGACGGTGTCGCCCTCAGCCAGAGTGCCAAGCTTGATAGCGTGAGTGACAGCCCACTTGATACGCTTGTCAACATCTTCCTGCCAGTTGACAGTCTCAAAGTCGGGCTTCTGCTCAGGATACAGGAAAGGATAAACGCCACGATACAGGTGGCTGAATCGAGAGGTGGTGGGGTTTCGGGTCACCATGAAGATGGGGCAGACGGGACGGTACTTGGAGAGCAGGCGGGCGGAGTCGCCAGAGGTGGACAGGACAATGATACCGCCAGCGGCAAGGTCGAGAGAGGCACGGACAGCAGCCATGGCGCAAGACTCGACGGGAGAAACGGGGCGCTTCACCAGGGTGCAAAGCTCCTCGAAGTGGGAGACGTAGGGAATGGTGTTCTCGGCCTTCAGACTGGCCTCGTGCATCTCGTGGACGGATTCGGCAGGGTAGCTACCCTTGGCAGTCTCTCCGGAAAGCATAACGCAGTCGGCGCCATCAGTGACGGCATTGCCGACGTCGCTGATCTCGGCACGAGTAGGACGAGGGTTCTTGATCATGGACTCCAGCATCTGGGTAGCGCAGATGACCGGCTTGCCAGCGACGTTGCACATGGCAATCATCTTCTTCTGGGCAGCAAAGACCTCGGCGGCAGGAATCTCGATACCGAGATCACCACGGGCGACCATGACACCGTCAGTGGCCTCGAGAATCTCGGCAAAGTTGTTGAGACCTTGTCGGTTCTCAATCTTGGCAATGATCTGAATGTTCTTGCCCTCCTCTCCCAAAACGTCACGGATGTCCTTAATATCCTGGGCACGACGGATAAATGAGGCAAAGACCATGTCGACGTTGTTCTTGACACCAAACCGGAGATCGGCCTTGTCCTTCTCAGAGAGAGCGGGAAGGTCGACATCAGTGTTGGGCAAGTTGACACCCTTTCGGGAGGAAATGAAGCCGTTGTTTCGGGCGCGGACCTCGACGGTCTTTTCGTCCTTGATGCTCAGGACATCGAAGGCAAGAACACCGTCGTCGACGTAGATGACACGGCCAGGCTGGATGACCTTGGTAATGTTCTTGTAGTCGACATACCTAGGATATTGTCAGCCTTCGTTCAGCAGCAGCGGTAGTAAATAAGAACGAGTAATGTCGTATTCTTTCGTAATAAGCGAGGTATTAATCACTACCAGTCGCCCATTACAGAGAAGACAGAAGAAGAAAAAAGACGGCAGAGATGGACGTGGCTAGAATAGAGAGCGGGGGAGTCCCATTTCCCCTCCCCTTCTCCTCCTCCACCTCCTCTCCACAGATTAAAAAAAAAAAAAAAAGAAGAAAAGTGTCCATCTTACATGTTGCTGGTATCACATGATGTGATGTACTTCTCGTCGGTGGTGATGTTCATGACGGTGCCAACAGAGATGGGGATATCGACATCGCCAGCGGTGTTACCGGTTCGGATCTCGGGGCCCTTGGTGTCCAGAGCAATGGCAACTGGTCGGCCGGGGTGAGCAGCCTCGGCGGCGCGGACATTGTCAATGACAGACTGGTGGTACTCGTAGCTGCCGTGGGAGAAGTTCATGCGGGCCACGTTCAGGCCAGCATCACGGAGCTTGTTGATGGCCTCGACCGAGTTGGTCTTGGGGCCGATGGTGCAGATGATGGAGGTGCGGCGGAAGTTGCGGGCAGGCGTGAACTCGGTCTTGAGCGAGGCCAGCCAATTGATGCGGCCGCCGATATCCAGGTGGTCCTGGGCCGTGGTAGCCATTGTGCTGAAGGAGCGGGAGTGCTTTTTGTAAAACTGCGACATTGTTAAGAAAGACGTTCGGGTGCCGTGATGGTGAGAGGAGAGGGCCGTTGGGAAGGGGACAGATGGAGGGGCTCACGAGTCAAATATAAATCGCCGGGCTCCCGTGAGAAAGAGGTGACGATTGCAGCAAAGAGATGCAAGGATGCGGAGAAAATGGCAGGCGATGAGTGGGATGAGGACGAGAGGGGAAATAAAATGGGAAGAGATGGAGGTTAAATCAGATCATAGGAGGGTGATGCTACCTCGCCAGGGCGCGCTGTGTGGTGGAGGGGGTGGGAGCGCCGGCAGCTGCCAGTGCTTTTTTTCCAATTTTTTTTTTCTCGCTCTGCCATGCAGCTGCGACTAGCTACAGACACGGTATCACCAGTAACGCACGCATGAATGTACGCCTCAGGATTGGCCGGTTGCAATGCAATGGCGAGGGCTGGACATTTTTTTGGGGCGCGCGCTGGGCTGCAATTGACCTGCCCCTCACCAGCGCCTGCGCGGGGCACTAAAAAGAGCTGGAGGGGCAATTGGCAAAAAGGCACCGGCCGCTAGTCTCACCGTTATCTCTGGCGCATGCCATTTGCTGCAGTAAAAGAAACCGGCGGCAGTATGTAATAACCTGTGCTCTGGCTATGGGGCGGAGCGCAGAAGAAGAGTGCGGCTGGCTCATTGGAGTTTTTTGACCGAGCCCCATGCAGCCTCCCTCACCTACGGAGCATTAGGTAGAGAGAGCCCAATTACTCGTTCTGGCCAATTCCAGGTCTCGCCTCAGCTCGACACCGCAGCAGATGGCATCCGTCCGCCGACATGCGCCGGCTGTCGTGAGCGTCAGGCCGATTTGCCCTCGTGAATATACCGCCAGAGCCGCCCGTCGTTGCCCTCCAGGTGGATGATCACTCTGCCTTATCCCAAGCCAAGCACCGCCCCTTGCATCTCCCGTACTGTAACAAGGGTGATTCGATGGGCGACAGCTCCGTGTTTCGGCTGCCCTCAACAAAAAAAAAATTAATTCGGTGCTACTATTCTCGTCCAGCCGTCTCCCCCACGCGGCGAATCTATCTCTCTAGCGCGGACCATGGCAAAAAGAGAAAGGGACTGCGAGTTTCGGACAGCGACAAGCCTGCAGCCTCGATGAGGGATAAACGGGGTGGAGGCTAGCAGAGAGCACGCCAAGCTCGAGGCATAAAGCACTCCGCGTCTCTTTCGCTTCGTATTTCCAATCCAAACGAGGCCCTTCTGCCTGCCCTTCTGCCTCAATCCCAAGACGGCCAGAGTGTTGGCTAACAAGAATAATTTGCCGCTTTTAGCACTCAACCCACTCTTATCGAGGAATCGGCCCTTGTTTACCTTTTTTGCCCCTCTATCCTAATCAGGACTAGAGTTCCAGATGCTAGTGAAGCTGCCTTAGCTTGTCGAATGACTAAGCACACTAGCATGCTTCTGCTGACTCATCTCAGAGCTCTTGGAGCTAGATCCGGAAGAAATGTCGCCGATCTCCGAGATGCTTGATAGGATGGAATGCTGCAAAGCACGTGAGTCGCTGCGGTGCCGTCACATCTCAGCTGTTTTCTCCAGCCTCCCGAGGTCTGTATAAGCATCTCCCTCACCGTTGCGACGACACCCCTTTGCGCTGCTCCAGGAGCTTCTCTTCGTGATACCCCACAAACGGACAACCTCCATTCCGACCTCTGAATCTTTTTTTCGATTCACCAAAAAAATCAGTCACCATGGTGGTACGTTCTTCCATCAAACTCCCCTCCCCCGGTTCTTGCTTCCGTGCTGGCGCCTCCCGGTTCAGCGTTCCCTCGGGATGCTGCGCTTTTGGAGCTGCGCCTGATGTCGCCTGCTGGCCTAGCCTCTCTCTAAGACTGCTCGCAGCTTCTCGACCTGCTGACGTTGGGACTCTGGTCAAAGGTTGGACGTTTGACACACTATGCTTTTGATGCCGTTCTCCGTAAGGCAAACCCCCTCCATTTGTCCGCTTTTTCTCTTGTGTGCTAAATTTGCATGTGACAGTCTCGGCTTTCCTCGCTGGCGTGAAGCGCTCGACCGGCTTGACGTGAGTCTTTTACTGAGCATCTATGAATTTAGACTCTTCTCCCTCTTCTAGGCCCGCCGAATTGACAAACGATCAGCTTCAAGAGCGACAAGGTTGCCGGCGAAAACAAGGAAGTCTCCAAATGGATCGACAAGTATCTCGGCGTCGGCGAGTGGGTGATGGATCAGTCTGTCGCCATTGCCGGGTCCAGCGGCTTCTTTGAGCGCAAGCGATGATTCTCATAAACCGATCACACCACCTCTGTTTCGGAGGTGCCAAACGTCGAATATCGAGCTGGTAGCATCGCAGCAATGGGTAGTTCCGAGCTATTCATTTCAAAACCAGGACTGATGCTATGAGAGCTTTCGGGGTACCCTTTCTCTAAAAAAAAATAGTGCAAGTGCGTTGAGACCTTGCTTGATCGTTTGCTAGCCGTTCCTGGGCAGAGGCAGCGGGATATTCTCCGCTGAATTATAGTTCGTTTTGAATTATTGATGATGGATGAACCGTAATGTGGTTTTGTACGGGCGTTTGAAGGGAACAATCGGGTACTCTTTTTTTTCCTCCTTTTTCCACTCTTATTTTATTTTGAATGCGGAATATGATGAAATGACTCAATTTGTGAAAGAAAAAGAAAATGAAGAAACAAGAAAGAGAATTTATTGAGACCCTTCCTACTCTTATCCTTCTACCCGGGTTTGATTCTGGTCTGGTTGCATCTCCACAAGAAGCCGTGAATGTTCCCACATAGCCGAGGTTACCGGGGGTTCCCTTAGTAACTTAGTAAAACACTCCGAATTATTTCCCTTGTGAACTGAGATTGGAGCAAGCAGACTGCTTATCGCAAGAAACAGAGCTCAAAGAAAAATAGCAGTATTCATCGCTCATATTCATTCATTCATTCGCTATTATTTAAGATTAACACGTTAGACATCATAATCATCATCAAACTGCCCCGGGTATAATTGCCATCTTCCTCCAAAGCCATGACCAAGTAAAAAGTAAAGCAAGCTGAAAAAGAGGAAAGAAAGTGCTGTTCGGGAATTCCATCCAGCAGGGAGAAAAGCACCTCGATTTTAAACGTGCTCTACCAGAAATTCAGGTGGCACTTCATTCTCGCTGTCGTACCTACGCAGCGTCCCTCCATCAATGCTCTCTGCGGAATGATGCTCGTCGCCTTCGTCATGGTCAGGGGGAGGGCCGCCAAATAGATCTGGGGGCACTTCGTTGTCGCTTTCTTCGTCAGCCGGGTGGTTATCTTGCTGTGTAGACTGGCCATTTTTTTCTGCGTCTGTGGATGTGTCTTCGTCGTCATTGGGAGGTTTCTCTTCGGGAGCATTGGCCATGCTCTCGAGGGCATCATACCCGTCTTTAAAAGCCTCTAGCTCTGCGCCAATAACACAAATCAAAAGATTCCAGTTCTTTTCTTCAGACTGTTGCATATATATCTCCAGCTGCGCAATAACTTCCTTCATTCGAGAAAGTTGATCCGAAATAATTTCTTCCTGCGAAAGCATTTTCTCTTTCCCTTTCACTGAAGAAGATGGAGTACCGGTTTGCATTGCTTGTCGCAGATCTGATTCGAATTTAGAGACCAGCTGCGTAACTTTGTCCCAGACTTGGGCCCCTTCTTCCAACGCTTGACGGTCTTGGTCCATATGCGCTTTGCAGCGTTTCAATACCTCGACCTCTGCTAACCACCATGACCTTGCCATCGCCAGCGTTCGTCTCTCGGGGATGAGTCGCATGAACTCTGCGCCCCCTGAGGCAGCCGGGTCTCCTTCAGCCTCGCCCCCGTACCGCAATAGATCTGGATCTAGTGGCTGAATCGGAGGTTGCTGTATGAATGCTCTCGCTTCAGAGGTCACTTCATTTAAAGCGCCGTAGTACCCACTCAGTCCTGCCTCTCGTTTGTTCCTGATATTATCCATCCTCTCTTTCAGAAGGCGGTGTCTGGTTCGCATACGTGCTAGTTTCGCCTCGAGAAGCTGAATCTCTTCCCCCAGAGCATGATGCTCCGTATCCAGCACCCAGAGCTCCCTCGCTAGCGGTTCATCGCTATTTTCCGCTAAACTTTGTAGTTCTGCTTCTAACTTGGATTTTTTAGCACTCAGCCGGCTTAGATGTCGGAGAGCGTTTGTTCGTTGGTTCAAGGCGTCTTCTATGTGAGCATTCTCATCATCTTTAAGACTCGTCATAGATGCTATTAGCTTTCGGAGATCTTGTCTGGTAGACTTCAATCCTGGAGGCTGGTCGTTTGCCGGTTGTCTGGTTGGAATCACATTTCCATCTCGAGTTACCCTAGGGGGAATGTATAGAGAGAGGGCCGCCCTTGATTTGTAACTTTTGGTCGAGTAAAATGTGCCAGTAGGCGTACTACTGCCCGTGCTAAAGGCATCGTTCTCGATTCCAGATCCGGCTGCCAAGGCAATAGCCTGCTGATCAAGCAATACCTGAACCTCTCTTTCCAGGGCCTTCTCTTGCCTAGCGAAGCCTCGCCAGATCGAATCAGAGTTTTGCGCAGCAGCTTTACGCCTATGCTCAAGGAGTAGGCTATTAGCTTCAGTAGGACTCCCTCCAAGGAGACTGTATGGAGTGTTTCTGTAGCGGACTGGGCCGCCAGCAGCAGGGTCTACCCGGATTGGGTCCTTCATTATCAACATCGACGCTGTTATCGGCGGCGGGGGACCAGCAAACATGGGCTGTGGCTTCATCTTGGACGCTGACATGGTCGTGCTAGCGGTGTCGCGCCACGAGTTTGGCGATAGCCCACGAGACGTTGAAGGTTCATCGTACTCATCCAGCCAAGCCTTGGGCAGATCCTCATCTACTGACGAGGCGTCGTCGGGCCGAGGATCTAGCGTGCTAAGCTGATGTTCACTAGGCGACCGTTTCGGAGATTTGTGAAGAGGTAAGATTGGTGGTTCGCGACGGGAATTAAAGCGATCAAGAAAGGACCGAGAGCCCATCTTGGTGTGTTTTGTTAGACGTGGAGCTTTTGACGTAGGAATGTGATGTTAGGTAGAGACGAGCGATTGAAAAGGCAGCAGTGAAGCTGCAAAACGAAAGGCAGTCACAGCTGGTATACGTCTATCAGAAGCATCAATAACTGATCTAAGATGCTGAGAAAAGAATGCTGAGTGCTGGTGGAAGAGACATAGAAGCAGCTCAACGTTGCTCACGAGGACCGCTGGAGGGCGGAATGAAGCATGTGCTCATGCAGCGTCGCTTATCGAGGTATCAGGCTGCAAGCCGATAACACCACTAAACTCTGCCACTCAAACTCTACGCGCCTACTTGTAGTTGATTGCACCACGCCGCAAAGGTAAAGTGCATGCTTTTAGACTGTCAAGTACCTAACTACCTAGTAGTACCTTAGTAGGTACCTAGAAGTTTTTTTATAATTCGCTTGGCTCTTGCAGCAGTATTCCAGCGCGTTCATGAAAGGGGCGGTCTTTGCAGAGAGTACTTGCGAGTTCCATGAGCTCTCCATGGGATCTGCTGCGATACGTGGAACCCCACCACGTTCCTGTGGCGGCACCTAATTGAGAGCTTTGCCAGTTAGTGTTTAGGCATCTGCTTTCTTCTCAGGCTGTTGAGGGAAATCTCATTCTCTATGTCTCTGTATACTCGTATGCTGTTAGGTTGCCGTCTTCTGTGCTCCAAAGTCCTCCAGCTCCCATCTCTTGGGCTGCCTGGTGTCTCTTGTCTGTCCCTAGCAGCATCTGACACAGTCTAATCGCCAAGCGGGTTTGTTTGCCACGCGTCTGTCTTGTATACCGCACATGGCTGTATATAATCGCATTAATATCCATGAATCGTCTTTATACCGAATCTAAACATCCATTACCGTAGCAGAGGCAGTGAAAGGCTGCTTTGTACGATCGTTGCGGCTGCCATCATTCACTACAAGGGCCGGCCTAGCAGGACCGCTAGCCGCTGTGTTTTGGCGGCTCGCTAAGCACCCTGATCTGGGGCCCCAGAACAGACGCTGACGAAAGCAAACGGGATCGACTCAGTCCGTCTCTCTTTTGCCTGTTGCTCACTGCGCTTCTCGATATCCCATTGATTGCCTCTCTTGAAGTCCGCCCTGAGCTCCTGCATAATCGCAGACCCGCAGCAAAGCCAGCACCGAGCTGCGAGGGGGGCGTCGTCGTCGCCAGCGCCCCGTGATCCAGTCTCGCCGCTGACTCTGCCCGCCTAACCTATCGCCATCCAGCCTCCAGCCTCCAAAAAGCGCCTCGCACGCACCAGCTCCAGAACCGGTCAGCAACAGCGCCGCCAGCCTGGCCCGCCAACCGCAGCCACCATGAACCAATCACATCAGCTGCCTCCCCCGCGACGGCAACAGACTGCCACGGCTCCCTATGGCGCTCAGCAAGACGAACTGCACATGTCCGGCATGAGCCCGCTGTCATCGCGAGACTTCGCTCCGCAGATCAAGCTCGAGCAGTCGCCCGTCAGCATCGCAGCCAGCTCGGTGCCCAACGTGCTCCAGCCGGGCGGCATGTCGTCGCGCCCCGTCCTGACGGCCCCGACCCTGCCCTCGATGCAGCATCCGGGCTCTGGCTCTGGCTCTGGCTCTGGCTCTGGCTCCGGCGCTGGCCCAGGTTCCGCCTCAGCTTCTTCTCAACACCAGCAAGGCCCTCCTCCCGGCTATCAATCGCCGTCCAAGCCGGTGCTCAGCATGTCGCACACATACTCGCGGTCCAGCCCCGCGGCCAACTACGACACGCCAGCCTCGTCCTCGTCCTACCATGCCTACACGCCCACCACCCCCAGCGGCTCGTCCTCGCAGTTCATCTCGCCCCAGGACGCCGCCAAATACAATGCCCCGGGCTCGCAGCGCACCTTTTCCAACACGCCGCTGGGCCTGGCTGACATCCGGCCACGCGCCGACTCTAGCATGTCTGATGGGGCTCCGGGCACGCTTGGCTACGAGCTTGCCAACACACAGCCTGGCCCAAGTAATTACCTGGCTCCATGGCCCATCTATGCCTTTGACTGGTGCAAGTGGACGCCCCGCGGCAATGGAGCAGGCAAGGTCGCTGTCGGCAGCTATCTCGAAGATGGCCACAACTTTGTAAGCCAAACCCAAATCCTGCCCCCTCTCCCCACCGCTTTGTTCTATACCACTCCCGAATATGCATGCTGATGGGGTCTCCAGATCCAAATCCTAGATAGCCAGATCGCCCCGACCCCTCAAGATGTATACACCCCTGGCACATCCAAGTACAATCTCGAGTTTACCAAGATTGCCGAGGCCACACATTCGTATCCCGTAACGCGGCTTCTATGGGAGCCACCGTCTTCTCAGAAGCAGTCTACCGATCTCTTGGCCACCTCCGGCGATCACCTAAGACTGTGGTCGCTGCCTTCCGAGACATCTGCGAACCCAGGAAACACCATCACTCGTCCGGGCCGCGACTCAGTTGTCACGAAATTGACTCCTCTGGCACTCTTGTCAAACTCCAAGACGCCCGACCACACAGCGCCGCTGACTTCTCTTGACTGGAATACCGTTTCTCCCAGCCTCATCATCACCTCTAGCATTGATACCACCTGCACAATATGGGACATTCCATCATTGACTGCCAAAACGCAACTCATTGCACATGACAAGGAAGTATACGACGTGAGGTTCTGTGCAAAGAGTGTGGATGTGTTCGTAAGCTGCGGCCAGGATGGAAGCGTACGCATGTTTGACTTGAGGAGCCTGGAGCACTCAACCATCATCTACGAACCAACAGGAAAAGAGGACCGAGGTTTGTGGCCCGCCTAGAGACACGTTGCATATCCGACCTTGATTTTGATTGCTAACCAATGTAAAATTAGAAACAGGGGGCCGAGTGAGCCCTACCACTGCCCAACAGACTCTTTCGAATCCTCCCCCGTTACTCCGGCTAGCTACATCTCCTCATGATACCCATCTTCTCGCAACCTTTGCTCAGGACTCAAACGTGATTCGGATCCTAGACGTTCGACAGCCTGGCCAGGCTCTACTCGAGCTTCGAGGACACTCCGGCCCAATCAACTGCATAGAGTGGTCCCCATCACGAAGAGGGACACTGGCCTCGGGAGCAGACGATTGCCAAGTACTGCTGTGGGATCTGATGAACTCCTCATCCATCAATGGCACCCAGCAGCAGGAGAACCAAAGAAGCCCTGTTGCGTGCTGGGACTGCGATTATGAAATTGGAAATCTAGGCTGGGTACCGCATTTGCAGGGCACCGACGGTGGCGAGTGGCTCGGTGTCGGTGCAGGACGAGGCGTTTGGGGTGTCAAAGTGATGTGAGAGGCCTTGTGATGGGAAACGTCCAAGAACGATTGAGGGGCAGGGCAAAAGCCATCCATGGCTTTGCCTCATCCTCCCTATATACACCCACTCCGGTTGATATAGACGTGGTTGCTCAACGGAGGGTATATGTATCACCTAACTTGAAAAAGGAATTTATTGGAGTTTTGTACCAGCGGCTCAGGTTGTATGATGCCAGCCACTTTGGAGTATGGAGACAGTGACGAGTAACGATTGGAAGTTTTCGGTTAAATGGGTATGGTCGAAAGGATGGGTAAGCACAGGGCGAGGTGTGTCACGTCATACGGGGGCTCCTTTTTCACATTTAGTTTGTCGCAATTTGAAGCCGCGAGATTCTAGTAGACCCGGCCTTATAAATATAGCGAGTATATGCATCATTCATAGTTGTTCGTTACCTGTAAACTTACAAGTTCCAATCTCTTTCGATGCCTACAGCGTCGCTACCTAGGAGTCTAGGCCGTATAAATACAGTCCTTGTAGAGTCGACAACTACAACTACGAACAGTGTAAAGTTCACGAATGAAATAATGCTTCATATACAAAAGCTCCAGATGCATCAACACATCCATATGTTTACAATCACTACATTGCAGTACATTTAATGTCTAGATGGCGGAGTAATTATGTTTTGCAGGTTAAGTTTGACTTTGAGCCACCAGTTGAGTGATTTGTTGGGCTCCCCTATAAGGCCAGGAGCATGAATTCTGTATATAACAAGACCCAACAAGACCCAATGCGAAATATGGGCTACTTTATTACACGGCACTTGGATGTTTAATGTGTATTAACTTCTGTGTGGACGAGCCTCTTAACTTTCAGCTACTGGAGTAAAACGCTTACTAGCGGCGACCATATCCACACTCTGCGCTATCTGAGCCGCCCCATTGCTGGCAGCATTGAGCCAAGCGCGTTTAGTCCGATAATTACCCGCGTCGCCGAGTTGCCTTTCTCTTTGAGGCGGCCTGCGATTCTTCTTCGATATCCCTATTTTCTCTCTCTTCCTCACTTTCCATCTTCTAATCTCGTCTCTACCATCGCATTGTTAGTAGGACGCGTCGCACACCATAATTCAAGATGGCGTCCAACGATCGGCACCAATTCGATGATTCTGAAGACGAGGAGGACTTCAATCCTGCGCCGGCTGACATGTCAGAAGATGAGGATGCCCATGATGGCTCAAGTCGAGCTCGGGATAGCAGCCCCAATCGCCGCCAGGATGCCGACGATGACGAAGAACCAACTCCGGCTAAATCGCGAAGAACTCACGATGAAGACGAGGAGGAGGAGGAGGAGGAGGAAGAGGAAGAAGAGGATACTCGCCGCCGCCATGATGATGATGACGATGACGAGGAGGAAGAAGAAGAGGAAGATGACGATGACGATGTTCAGCAGGTACGATTTGAATGAAGATGAACCTCTGGCTCTGGTGTTGCTAACGTGGATGAAAAATAGGGTCATCGCAGAAAGCGCCAACGCGACAGGCGAAATGCCTTCATCGATATCGAAGCCGAAGTCGACGACGAGGACGAGGGTGAGGACGAGGAAAAGGATGGTGAAGAGATAGAGGACTTTATCATCGACAACGCCCACCCCGATGACTTGGTCGAGAGCTCGCGACTTGACGATGACCGAAGACACCGCGAGCTTGATCGCCGCCGCGAGATGGAGTCTAGTCTGGACGCCGAGAAGCAGGCAGAGATCTTAAGACAGCGATATGGCAATCGGCGACCTGGCAAGAGCTTTGGCGACTCAGCCATCGTGCCCAAGCGACTTCTTCTCCCTAGTGTGGATGACCCGAGTATCTGGGCCGTGCGATGTAAGGAGGGCAAGGAACGCGAAGTTGTCATGTCTATTATGAAGCGAGTCGAGGAGCGACGAGGCACAAAGGACGAGCTGGCCATCACTGCGGCCTTTGAGCGCGGCGGCCCAGACTCTGTTATGAAGAGCTTTGTCTACGTTGAGACCCAGAGGCAGACGGATATTCTCGTGGCCCTTGATGGCATCCTCAACGTCTATCCCCACTCTAAGCTGACGCTGGTGGACATCAAAGACATGCCTGAGCTTCTGCGTGTCACCAAGACACCAACGCTAGAGCCCGGCGCATGGGTGCGACTCCGCAGGCCTCCCAAGCACAACGGAGACTTGGCGCAGGTTATTGATGTTACCGAGAACGGCCTGGAGGCAAGAGTTCGCTTCATCCCCAGACTCGACTATGGAATGCGTGATGAAGCTCTCTCCGCTGTGACTGCAGATGGAAAGCGGAAGAGGCCACCGGGAATGGGCCCACGACCCCCTCAGAGGCTCTTCAGCGAGATTGAGGCACGAAAGCGCCACCCTCGTCACATCCAGGGCAACCCGACAACCAACACTTGGACATACATGGGCGAAGAGTTCGAAAATGGATTCCAAGTCAGGGATGTCAAGATTCAGCAACTCGTTGTCACAGATGTCAACCCGTCCCTGGAAGAGGTTACTCGATTTGCCAGCGGCGCTGACGATGGTACGGAGAATCTGGACTTGAAGGCTTTGGCTGCCAGTCTGAAAGATAGCAACACGCTGGTCACGTATCTCCCTGGCGACATCATCGAGGTGTATGCCGGAGAGCAAAGAGGTGTTGTTGGAAAAGCTACCAATGTACAGGGCGATATTGTTACAATGTTTGTTACTGAGGGAGACCTCAAGGGCCAGAGCATCGAAGTGCCCATCAAGGGCCTTCGTAAGCGGTTCAAGATTGGTGACCACGTCAAGGTCATTGGCGGCAGCAAGTTCCAAGACGAAGTTGGTACGGTAGTCAAGATTTCCGAGGACCGCGTCACGCTGTTGACCGATCAGACGAACAATGAGGTTACGGTTTTTAGCAAGGACCTGCGAGAAGCTAGCGACATTGGTGGGCAAGGATCACTCGGCCAGTACGAGCTTCATGACCTTGTGCAGCTTGATCCTACTACGGTTGGGTGTATTGTCAAGGTGGATCGCGAGTCTTTGGTTGTGCTGGACCAGTTCGGAGACACCCGCCAAGTCATGCCATCTCAAATCCCCAACAAGCTGCCTAAGAGGAAGCAAGCGGTTGCTGCTGATCGAGAAGGCTCAGAAATCCGCCTGGACGATGTGGTCAAGGAGTTTTCTGGACAACAGCGTCAAGGCAAGATCATTCATATCCACCGATCATACGTCTTCCTGCATACACACGCTACCAACGAGAACGCTGGTGTCTTTGTCACAAAAGCAAGCATGGTGAATACAATCGCTGCAAAGGGAGGTCGTGTTAATGCGGCGGCGTCGGGACCTGACCTTACGACTATGAACCCGGCCCTGAAGATCCACAAGAATGGTACTGAGAACAAGCCAATTGCTAAGTCCTTTGGCCGAGACCGTGCCATTAATCAAACAGTCATCATCAAAAAGGGAGCCTACAAGGGTCTTCTCGGCATCGTCAAGGATACCACAGATACACACGCTCGTGTTGAGCTCCACACCAAAAACAAGACCATTACCGTTCCCCGAGACTCGCTCAACTTCAAGGACAAGAACACCGGTATGAATATTGATATCAATGGCAGAGGAGGGCGACCCACACCGGGTGGAGCTGGGCGCGGCTCTGGGGATAGAGTCCCGGGATGGCAAGGCGGCTCTCGCACCCCTATGGGCTCCGGAGGCTCAGATCGCGTCCCCGCCTGGGGATCACGAAGTAAGTACTGTCTCATATTTCGGCTACTTCATTAGACCCATCATTTTTTTTACTGTTCATTTAATACTAACAGCAAATCTAGCACCTGCTGCAGGTGGTCGTACACCAGCATGGAAGGGCCAAGACTACTCTGGATCCCGAACGCCGGCCTGGGCAGATGGCTCAAGAACTGTTAACCCGTATGATGGAAGCCGAACTGCCTATGGATCCGGCTCACGCACGCCCGCTTGGCAAGCTGGTGCTAGGACACCAGCTCCGGGAGATGCGTTTGGGGCTGGTTCACGTACTCCAGCGTATGCCGGCGGCGGTGACAGCTGGAATTCCGGATCGAAAACACCTGCCTGGGGAGCCTCTGCTCCGACGCCTGGCGCCAGCGGCAACGATTCGTGGGGATACACGCCTGCGGCCAGCAATTCTGCATACGATGCTCCGACTCCAGGAGGCGCCATGTCGGCCCCTACTCCTGGCGCTCTGAGTGCACCGACTCCTGGTGCGTACAATGCTCCTACTCCAGGAGTCAGCGCGCCGACCCCCGCCGGTGGCTGGCAAGGCGGCTGGGGAGGTACGGACTCTGCGCCGACTCCAGCAGCGGGCGCGCCAACGCCATCTGCATCTGGATATGGAGCCTTCTCAGCGCCTACACCTTCTGCGTACGGGGCTCCCGAAACGCCTGCGGCTAGCGGCCCGAGGTACACAGATGATGATTGAGCGTCTTTGTAGAGATAGTGGGAGATGCCGTGAATTTCTTGTGATGGTGGATATGGCGTTTTAACATTTGAATTTTTCACCTTCTTTGGAACGAGAGCTGCAATAATATCAGTAGTTAAAGACGAGAGCGAACTGGGCAACCTGGCTAGCTCGCACAGACAACTTCAAAAGGACAATAGGAAGCGCGTGGCTGCAAAATAAAAAAAGTGAATAGGGAAAGTTCTTTTTTTACGTATTATTAATGATAAAAATCTATCTGCTTAAGAGGCTTCGTGCGGCTACTTTATGTGATGATGTTGTAATGTAATTGCTCTGGAGAGCTTGCTGGATTACGGTATTACTTGGCCCGAGTTTCGGCCGATAGCTTCGTAGCAGCTAGGGAAAAAAAGTTGAGAGCTTGCAGTTCATCTTTGAACAAAGATACGGCATCGTACTAATTTATCGAGAAAAAGACACAATGTTTCGCTCACGGATAAACGGCCGGTTACTACAACATTACGAACGACGGATATGCACAGAGTATTGTGGACGAAGGCCCAATGGCACTGAGCGGTGCTTCGCAAAGGCGCAGAGCTGCTGCGCATCGACGGGACGAGGATATGCGACGACACCGGCAAGCAGCAAGATGTCCCAGAGCGCTGCAAAAGCGATAAACAAGCCGCCCCCCGGATCTGTGTCATCGGCACGAGTGTCAAGCACCTCTTCGACGACGGCGGCAGCAACAGCAACTGCAGAGGCATCGTCCCCTTCGGCGGCGGCAGCGCTACGGACGGCCGAGGCTCGCGAATCGGCGCTGCGGGCGGCCCGTATGCGACGGCAGGCGCAGAAACAGGATCGGGAGGCGGAAGCGGCGAAGAAGAGGGAGGAGGAGAGGGAGTATAAGAAGAAGTACAACACGGCGGCGAGGAAGTGGGTGTCGTCGATTATTGCGCTACCGATATTTTTTGTGACGAGCTATTATCTGTTTGATAGGTGTAAGTTATTGCGTTTGTTTTTTGCAAAGACGAGGATGAGTAAGAGAAAGATGTATTTGCTGACTTGCAGGGGGGTTGGATATAGTGGTGTTGGGGAAACAGCCGAAGAGCCTGGAGAAGCATCGGGAGGAGAAGTCGTGAGCTCTTTTGCTGTGGTGTGTTGGGGTGGGAGAGTTTTACGGGGATGCTGCAAATCGGGGGGATACGAATCACGAAGAACGATCTCTAGAGATGCTGTCTGTGGCGTGTTGGGTGTGCAGATTCCTGAGCTTCTGTTAGTAAATGTAGAGAGCAAAGCTTGGAGCAGTGGTCGGCACAGCCCTTGGGGATGGATTACTTGACTACTAACTGCTAAGTATGATATCGAGAAGTTTGGCCGTTGTAGCCAAGCTATATCATACATATCCTTATATGTGTTGCTGAAAACGGGACTGAGAGTTGGTCACCTTTGAGAAAGATACTCTTATCTGTAACTACTATTTTCTACGGTCGAGTATAGAGATAGACTGTAGATTTCTATACCAAAAAACGTTTGTATATATATGCCTTTGAAATAAGATGGGCTTGGATATATCCAAAAAAGACAGATGCTATACAACATGCCACCAATGAAGAAAAAAAAAAAATAGGCTGCTATGCAAAAAATACATGTATATTCTATAGCCTCGCTCGAGGTGCTGTTCCATTCTTTAGCATCTCCTCCGCGTCTCTCTTGGACCACTGCTTCATCAGCTTTCGGATAATCTTGCCACTGGCCAGCTTCGGCACCTCGTCGATGAAAGTGACGCCGCCCACGAGCCGTTTATGCTTGGCCACGCGCGCGGCGGTCCAGTCCTGGATGTCCTTGGGAGTCACTTTGCCCTTTGACGTTGGCTGGATGACGACGTATGCTCGTGGCCATTCTTCCTCGTTACTGTTTTAGACTATTGGTTAGCAAATTGAAAATTTTTGATGAATTTTTTTTTTTTCCTTTTCTGGGGGGGCGAAAACGTACAATTTGATTTCTACAACGGCTGCGTCGGCTACGTGCTCGTTTTCTAGGAGCACTGCTTCTAGTTCTGCGGGGGCGACTTGCAAGCCGTTGACTTTGATGAGTTCCTGGACACCTGGATGTTAATACACAATCTTTGAATGAGTTTGGGACCTTGATTTTGTACTGACCTTCTTTCGATCCACAATCCAAAATAGTCCCTCCTTGTTGCAAACTGCAACATCACCGGTTCTAAACCACCCGTCCTTGTCCAAGCACTCTCGGGTTGCCGCCTCGTTCTTCCAGTATCCCAAGCACACATTCGGCCCTCTGATGTGCAGCTCTCCGGGTTTCCCAACTTCCACCTCCTTGCCATCGTCGTCGAGAAGCTTGCACTCGCAGTTGGGAAGCAGCCGACCAACAGATCCCGCGCTGTCGCCGGCGAGGCCCTCGGACCAGCTGATGCCGGTGCACGTCAGCTCCGTCATGCCGTAGCCTTGCGTGATGCGCAGGTTGAATTTCTGCTCGCAGGCCACCTGAAGTTCTCTTGACAGGGGCGCAGCTCCGCACGTAATGTGTCTTACGCTCGAGAGGTTGTAGCGGCTCGTCTCTGGCCGTTTGGTGAGCATGACGATGATTGGCGGCGCGACCTGCAGCTGGGTGATTTGGTACTTTTCAATGTTGGCCAGAAACTCCTCGTACTGGAACTTTGCCATGATGTACAGCGGCGTCAGTGTCTTGCCGGCCATCAAGCAGGCGTATAGCTGGCCGTAGGCATGGTACAGGGGCAGGAATCCGATCCAGCGGTTGCGCGGCAGGAGATCCCATTCGGGCTTTCGGTGGACGTGGCGCAGATGCACGGCCTGGGCGAGATTCGCAATGAGGCTCGAGTGGGGGACGCACACGCCCTTGGGCAGGCCTGTGGTTCCGGAGCTGAAGTTGATGGTGGCAATGGTGTTGCGAGCTTCTTGAGGGCTGAACTCGGGCCATTGCCAACGGAAGGCGTCTACATGAGTTGCTAGGAAGGACCTCCAGTCTGGAATGCCATCGCGAACGGGGACTTCCTCGTCTGAGAATTGGAAGATCCGGTTCTTGGGAAGGCCAACCTTGGTTGCAGCCTCGACAACGTTGGAGAGGACGCTAGGATGAGCGAGGACGGCTTTTGCTCCGGTGTTGGACAACTGATGAACCAACTCTAATGACAAGAGGTCAGCCCCATTTCACTTATACGATAGATATAGCAGTGCTAAAGAAAAGAAAAGAAAAGGGCTTTTCCTCTTTTCCCAGCTTGAGAGACATACCCGGAACCGTAGAGATTGGGTTGGCACCGCTGAAGATGTGTCCCGAGCCTGCAATGCCCAGATACGCCACAGGCACGAAGATGTGGTTCGGCGTGCAGATCATGACGACGTCTCCTCGCTTCAAGCCCAGGCGCTGCAGGCCGAGGCCCAGCCGCCGCACCCATTGCAGCAGCTGGTGCGGCGACAGATTTTTCTGAGGGTTTTTGGCGTCAATCCAGATGGGCTCGTTGGAGAGCAATGAGCCGTTGCCGAAGATGTAAGTCAGGACATTGCTTTGGGGGATGTCGATGTGCTCGTATACAGACTTGAAAGGCATTGTGGAGGGGTGATTTTTTTTTTTTTCTTTTTTTCTTTTCGGGATGGGATTGAAGAAGGAAAAAAAAAAAAAAGCAGACACACACAAACCCACAAAAGAAGAAGAAAAAAGATGAAATGATAGGAAACCGGCTTTAAGAACAATGGTTTTCTTTTTTTCTTGATACCAAGGCAAGATTGACAGCTAGAATGGGAGGCGGTAAAGCTGTTTCCCTTTTTGGGTCAACGTTGATTGCCAATCCCCAGGTTAAAATATCCGCGGGACGGCAGATGAACCGAGGTACCCTTTTGGTGCCAGGTTAGCTGGTATTTCGGGGAGATAATGCCAACGACTTTTAGCTCGTTTAAAGATAGATTTAGTCAAGCTGGAGCCGGGAGAAGAACAATCCGGGGAGCAGTACAGAAAATACTACCGGCCAGGACGATGCATGGGGGTTTGTGCTGTATTTCAAGCCATTTTGGGACTCTTATTCCCACGGCAGAAACTGTCCGATGACCACTTTTTTCCTGCTTGCTGCTAGTCACAGTAGGTTGCTAATACTACTAGGCAATCCCCCCGCCATTGGAAGTGTGGGGTGCAGGGCCTTTGGAGCGGAGAGAGGGGAAAGGGCCCAGCATGGCCAAAAAGAGGAGGAATAGCGAGTTTCTGTTAGAGGATTAGTTGGTTGGTTGGGTGGATGACTTATTAATTGGTGAGCAGAGTCGCGTTGAGCTGAGAGGAGTTGGAGATGGAGCAGGAATAAGGAAATGGAAGCTTGGAGTAAGCCTCTAAGAATCGATGGCGATGCTGTGGCACTGGATGGGATGCGCCAAAAGTTATCTGCGCAAGGTCAGCAGCTTTAATAGGAAACAATATCCGGATTAGTTGATGTTTCTATATCGGCATGTCATTGGTGAGATGGGCACAGCTAAAGAGCCAGCTCGTGTGCCTGGGTATTACTTCGTGTCAGATGCATGGGACAAACAGGTAGAGGCGACACTAATAATACACGTATGGTAAGTACATGAAATCTAGAAAAATATTTTACACTTTCTGGGACAACCAAATGATGAAAACTATGGCATTGATTGCTCGTTGAGATTCTCGAAATATATGATAACATGATATGGTATATATAAGGTATCTGCATTAGTAGGTAGGTACCTTGGGTAGTTTATCAAACAAGCTCGTCTTTGCTGAAAGGCTATTCATCTCATCGCAACCAATTTAAACTCCGTTTCGCCGTCTTTACAACTATAGCTCTCCTAATAAACGTTGCACACAGTCCCATTATAAGGCGGTTAACAGCAGCTGTATCCACCGTCAGCCACTAGCCCAAAGCCATTGACGAAGCTACTCATTGGCGACGCCAGGAACACAATACTATCTGCAATCTCCTCAGGCAGGCCCAGTCGTCGCAACGGCGTCAGCTGCGCGTGTCGGTGCAGCGGATGGGCTTCATTATCGGCCCCGTTGCCATCGTTGACCATGGGCGTCTTGACGTAGCCGGGACAGATGGCGTTGATGCGGATGTTGGAGCCGGCGTAGGAGCTGGCGTCAGCCCGGGTCATTCCCATAACAGCTGCATGGAGTCAGCATATAGGTACTGATCAGTTATACATGTGTTGTGTCTTTCGAGTGATGGTCATGGGTTCGTGTTTTCTTATGCTGTGCCTGGAGTCAAGGTTTCAAGGCAAAAGTTTTGAAATCTTACCGTGCTTAGCAGTTGAGTATGCTGTGACATGGATGGGGGACAGTGGCCCAATAGTGCCATACATGGATGATACGTTGATGATGGTGCCTCGTCCTCGTCGTGCTCCGAGATCTCTATTGCTTGGAAGAAGCGGCGCCTGTCGTCAGCAAACAAATCGCAGACGGCTGGTCCAAGTCTACACGCACTCTTGTTTCACCATGATGCCGAGCTCCTCTTTCTGGCATCGGTGGACGCCGTGGAGGTTGACGTCGAGCACATTCTCCCAGTCCGATTCATCCAGCTCGTGGATCTGCGCCGACTTTCCGGTGATACCCGCATTGTTGACTGCGATGTCTAATCGTCCAAATTTGGCAACGATCTGGGATAACGCGGCTTTAACCTCTTCACCCTTGCGCACGTCCATTTGCAGCGCCAAAACCTCGACGCCGGGCCATTCTTTCTGTATGTTGGCAGCCACCTTGCTCAGGCCCTCCAGATTGATGTCTGTAATCGCCAGCTTGGAGATGCCATACTTGGCGAAGGCATAGGCTGTATGCTCACCGAGACCTGTGGAGCAAACGGGGACCCACTAGGTTAGAAGATGGGTAAAACTTGGGCGAGAGGGAAACGAAAATAAGCTGTTGACGGCGTCTTTGAGCTTGGACTTACCGGAAGCGGCGCCGGTCACGAAGGCTGAACCTTGCAGCAGCGATGCCATCGTGAAGGACTATGTATTTAGCTCTGAGTTAATATTTGCGGTTAATAATGCACATGGGATGAAGTAACTTGAAGAAAAGAAAGGGCTAGGGCGAAATCCCAGCGGAGGTGAAAAAAAAAAAAAAGCAATGGGCAATCCCGTTGGATTTTATAGCTCGATCCGAGGCCGAGGTGGATTCTGCGTTCCGTGATGGGAATCAGAGGCACGAGCATTTCTTCCCACACTTGCCGCAATCGATACGTGGTCCTTAGTCCACTTGGCCGTTTTTGGGCTCCCCCCCCCCCCCCAATATTGATTACAATTAATTTCTTTGGCGGTTTAGTATGCGTATCTTGGTGGCATCCCCATCAACACGGAACTACTGGATTAAGGCCCAAGGTGCTAAGATAAAGATAGGTCCAGATCGCAAGATGGCCCACTGCTAGTACTCCGTATGCCGAGGATGTGTCAGCTGGGTCTCCGCTGCGAGATCCAGATCTAATCTATAGTGGACTGGCCCGTGTGAGATTACAACGGTGAATTTTGCGTGATGGTATATCCTAGACCGTGTTGCTGTAGCTGCAAAGGCGACACAATAGATCGGACTTGCGCGGCGAGCCGTGGGACATGGCTTGAGCTTACAAGCAGATGCAGCAGACGCTGTGGCTGCTGAAATCGAAGGGATAGGTGAGTAAAGAAAGGCTTCACATTGAAATCAAATAAAAACTAAGTGTGATTCAAATTTTTTTTGTATTTGTTGACCCAGTTTCGCTAATCAAGACGAAGAAGCATGCAGGCAGCATCTGAGTTATAAAAGATGATACAAATCAATTACCAACGCCACATGGCGAGCCCGATGATTTCATTTCATAGGCTCCAGCCGTCTCCAGAAACCGTCTGCCATCCCCAAAAGAAGCCATGACAATAATACAAAAGAAAGAAAGGACATGATGGCCATCAACTAAAAAGACATCAAAAGCACAATGTCATGCAGCGACTTATTCTGACTTGGGGCCGCTGAAGCGATCAATGGACTTGCGGATGCCCCTCTCCATGCCCTTGGCCATCTTCTCCAGCGGCAGCTTCTCGTCCAGCTTCTTTACCACCTTGGAGATGGGGGGCTCAATGCGATGGGCAGTGCGCTCAGCAGGGTTGGAGAGGTAGTTGATGTTGCGCTCCCAGCGAGGAGCCCACTTGGTGGTCTGCTTGGCAATCTTCTCTTCGGCACCGGGCCAGGCCATGTACAGAGGCGCGAGGACACCGACGCCGGCGGCGGAGACGCAGAAGATCTCGGTGGGTCTGGCCTTGGGGAGACGAGGAACGCGAGGAGCCATTGTGAATAAAGGTTTGAGTTGTTTTGTTTGTTATGTGTGTGTAGTTTGGTGGATTGATGGAGAGAGAAAGGCTTGTTCCCAAAGTTGGCTGGGTTGGAATACAAGACTAAGGTTGCCTATGGGGGGGCAAAAAGCGGCGAGTTAGCTGTCTGAAGGCGATCAAAACCGAGAAACGGTAAAAAGGGGATGGCGAGAAGCAAAAAGACGTACAAATGGATGAGTTTGTACGATTCGCGGTCGTGCAACGTTGAGTTAATGTCACTGTCTCAAACAATGGAGGGATGGATGATGATGAGAGAGATGCAAATGAGACTGAAAAGCCAGCTTGCATCCCTTATATACCTCCCTTGGGCATCTGGGCCAGCTTCCCCTCAGCAATCAGGGATGACACCACCCTCACGCGGTCCAGAAACGAGGCGGGAAATACGCCCGAGTAGGCAGTACCTGGAGGCGAAGTTGGCAACGGGCGGGGTAGTCCAGCAGTGACCTGGCCGTGAATAGGGGACAAGTATCGAATCTGGTGCTGGAGGTCACTGTTTCGCAGGTCTCAGACGGTCACTGAATGGATGGGACGAGGGTCGCTGCAGTTGTCGTGCGGAGAAGCCTGGGAAGGGCGGGCGTCGAATTTGATATGGCGACAAGTCTCCTGCAGCCGTGCAACGTGTGAAGCAGTACTTGCACGCCTAAGACCAAATACCACTGCAGACAGTGAGAGTTATGCGACAGGCAAGCCACTCACACCCCAGCCGACGCACTGCAACGCAAACAGCGGCGCATCATCATCATCACACCACACCCTTTTCATTCAGCGACAGGAACAGGCCACAGGACAAGCGACACTGGCCGGCCCTGGTGCGTTACTCAAAACGGCAGCATCTCGAGCCTCACTTTGCTGCCTTCTTTGACCTCTTCTTTTTCCATCTTCTCGCCCTTTCTTGATTGTTTTTATCCTCTTCCGGCATTTTCATCAATTCCCATCTCATCCCTCCAGTCGCGGCCCCGCCCCCAGACAGCGCTATAGCGTCTGGCCCACAGCCAGTCTCCTCCTCCGGCCCACTTCCCCAGACGGCACACGATCCTCCTCTGCTGTCTTCGTATCCACAGCGTCAGTCTCGCTCCCCTTTTGCCGTTGGCCGATCGTGTTGTTGGCGTGAGTCCTTCCTCTTCCGTGCTCACCGAGGCGGAGTCGAGTCAGGCAGTCGCTCAGAGTGTCTGTCAGCAACGACATGGAACTGCTCGATGAATCTCGAAAAAAGAAAGACAATGGAGAGAATGAGATGGCAGCGACTTTCAGCTGATAATTGCAGAAGCAGGCACAGGCACCAAATAAGCGAAAACCCCTCCGTCAGCTCCAAAGCACCAGCTCGTTGCGCCATTCCTCGCCCTCCATCAGCACCGGTCCGGGCCCTGCTGCGACGTTGGCCAGCAATTTGCCTGAATTGCGCCCCCAAACAGACGCAAACCAAAGTTCGCCCATGCCTGGTAGCGCCCAATGGTGGCGACATGGTTGACGAAACCAGTCCAGAATCGTCCATGTGATTGGGCCACGGAGAATCTGCCACGATGTAAGAAGTACGGCCGAGCAAAGTACCGGAGATGAGGAGTACATCGACGCGAGAAATGGACATGTACTGCGCCTCATCTGCTGTGTATCTGTGCGACAATGAGATCTCCATCTAAACGACCGCTCGTGCAGAGTAGCGTGGACGCTTTAGCACAAAGTTTGCTGATTCACTGCAAGTAAAATACGTTGTGACCTATAGCAATTTGTAAGACAAGCAGAACTACTCCGCACCTCGCTTGCATAAGCGCGTCGTGCGTGACTACGAATTTAAACCTTTTACAAATTGACGTCCTTTTCTTTCGACTTCCGAGGAGAATTTAGTTGATAACGACTCATTGACCATTGCTGTGGCTCCAAAATACCAGCAGAAGCGGTTTCTTTAGTCAGTCTCGTGGCCTTGGCGCCTCGTTACTCTTGAGATGACCAAGTAGACGGCATGCTAACACGAAACTACCTAATCGTTGGATGCACGAAAGAGATATAACATCGTCACACCGTATCTAGCTTGTGTGGCCCTCCTAGCCCTGGATTTTGTTGCTTAGTCTTCCTAGCTAATGATAGAAGAAAGGAACTTCGTCATGAGCCCTTTTGTCTATTATAATGACGACCCCTTATGGACGGGACATACTATTAAGAACAACAAGACGTTGAAGATCAATGACATGCAGAGTTTGTTGTCATTAATGGCTTGTCGCAATTCGAAAACTTCCTTGCGTGGCGCCTCTCATACCCCGTCTATTAAATGGGTTCTTGTGATTTTCTTGCTGGCCATCTTCGTCGCGCTGGTGTCACGAAATCCTATATTCTGCGCCTGTGTAGCCGAATGGTGTAGATCTTTAGGCTCTGACGCATTGCTCTGACGCTTTGCTCTGACTGCTACTAATGTACTGGTTTTAGGTACTGTATGCACTGATGACTGCTACTTACATAATACCAGCCTAGCCTTTTCTTAGCCTTCCGTCAGTCGCGAATCCCAATCATTGACGGTAGAACAACACAATCGGCTAGTGTCACGAACTTCAGCCATGTCTCTAATACCGTCATTTTCCCAAGCATCACTAGCCGTAGCTACGCTGGCTGCAACCGCTGGGGCTTATACTGCGTCCAGCCCTCCAAACCCCGACACCAAGTTGGCCCCCGCGTCCAAAGATTTCCTGAGCTCTTATAACCTCACGGGGAAACACATAGCCAAGGTGGCGTTTTCCCCCATCGCGGTTGTCGCATTGCAAACTGCCACCTTGGCCTATCGGTATCCCAACATACCCCCTTCACTTCTCGGCTATGGCCCAGAGAACGGCCTTGATGTAAATCTCTTCAGGTGGTCAGCGGACACGGCTATTCCGCTGACTCTGGTTCTGTGTGCCGGTGTCCCTCTGCGGCTCTATTCGTATAGATCCCTGGGCAAGAACTTTACGTTTCAACTCACCAAGCCAGAGCGTTTAATCACGACCGGCCTCCATGGCTACTTGCAGCACCCAAGCTACACGGGTGCGGCGATTTTGGGGTACAGCAGTGCGTTCTGGCTGCTTCGCTTTGACGGTGTCATCAGCTGCTGGCTGCCGCCATGGCTGTATGGGAAGCTTACGTGTATGGGGGTATTTTTCAATGCCTTTATGCTATCCGGGCTTTTCTCCTGGCTGGTTTGGAAACGGGTAAGGGAGGAGGAGAAGATGCTAAAGGCTACGTTTGGGGCTGAGTGGGAGAGTTGGCATGCTACAACACCCAGATTCCTGCCGTTTTTATTCTAGGTTAGAATGCAGTTGTGGTAGCTAGACGATATGATGGCTTTATCCAGGTAAGCTGCACAATATGCAAGAAACTTATAATGATCAACGAAGCTACGGGCTGTAAATATAGGCGTTACAGCTATTAACATCTATCTTAGTAGTCCGTGCCTATACGAATAGCCAGGCGAGTGAATAAGCTTTATGCTATATGGGTACACCATGCTTTGCGAGATACATGCTACATCTCTCATAGTTAAAAGGGATCATGCCGGGCAAGATACGCTGCTGTACTGTGCCCTGGTCTAATCCACTGACGGCAGGCGGGCCCGCACTGCGGCCGTGAACTGAATTAGTTTTAGGGTTGTAGCTGCGAAATTGTATGAAACGGTGCCTAGAAGGAGTTGCTGGACGCTGTGTGGTCCGATGACCGTTTCCTATATCATAAAATCGTATATTTGGGTAGCGGTTTGTGAATCCCGGCGCGCGTTCGTCTGAAGCTTTGTCGTTGCCATTGTTTGGGCGCTGGATAGTTGACGAGCTATTCCTCCGACTCCCGGATGGATGCTGGAGACATTTATGATAGAGTATCAAGTGATGGGGAATATTATCTAGCGAATTGGTTTCATGATCGAGTACCATAGCCATGGCCGAATGAGGTAGTTGGTTCATATTGGGGGGGGGGGGAAAGTAAAAAAAAAATAAAATAAAAAATAAAAAATAAAAAAAAAATCTTCAACTGCTGTATAACAGGTAAAAAGGTAGAAGCAGTAGTAGGAGTAGTAGCAGTAGAAGCAGTAGAAGCAGTAGAAGCAGTAGAAGCAGTAGAAGCAGTAGAAGCAGTAGAAGCAGTAGAAGCAGTAGAAGCAGTAGAAGCAGNNGTAGAAGCAGTAGAAGCAGTAGAAGCAGTAGAAGCAGTAGAAGCAGTAGAAGCAGTAGAAGCAGTAGAAGCAGTAGAAGCAGTAGAAGCAGTAGAGGCACTAGATGCGGAAGTAGAGGAGATTAAATTACTCGTAATCGTAAATTGGACTATACTATTAAGAACTCAAATCTTTCTACTTTGTATATTTGAAGTGAATCACAGTGCCTGTGGATTGGCCAACATCTGCACCTCCCTCTTCTCAGATGAATAACTTCAAAATGCCAAAAGACCACCTCAACAAACTCGAAACTAGATTCTCTCTTTGGCGGGCCGTATTGCGAACTTTATTCTTAGCATGATGCTACTCATGTAAATTCGTCTTCTCTCGTATCGCTACGTACTTCCTGGCCCACCGAGCGTGTTGACATTGGACTCGTCATCAAGATTGCCGGTGTGTCGGCCCTCTGAATAATTCTCAATTCGTATATATACTCCAAGTGTCTCTACCAAGACAATAAATCTAGGGTTGAAATACTTTGGGTTCTTGGTGGCTTGTTATGGTTGAGGGCGCTTCACAAGATTGCTGGGGAATATGTATTTTTTTCTTATCTTCAAAAGCAAGCTTTTTTTTGTTGAGGCATTACTTGGGTACTCCGAAGGGCTCCAATATATAATGTAAATGCCTGTGTTGATTCTAGGATGACTAGAATTTCTGCTGCTTCTATTACTTCCTCTATACATAATCTTTGCTGCTGCCCGTCGACTGATTGGTGAGGCGACATCTTCCGTCTGTTCATAGTCAGCAGTAGAACAAACCGTGAATTACTCCCGTTCTACTGTCTTCATCTCGTGATATTGCTCTTTATTGCTCATCAGTATTCGGGAACTTCCAACGTCTCTCACCAATTAGCCTCACCTTTTTATAAAAGACTTTGCCAACCTTCTTATATAGGCCCGTTTCATTTTCTCTACCTTTCTCGAAAAGCTGCTCTTTCGCCAATGGCTCCTGTTATACCTCCCGTGCCAAGTCCAAGTCCTGTTATAAGGCTTGTTCCTGGACTCGTGGCCATCAATGTCACACCCGCGCACAACTACTTGGAGAAGAGCGAAGAAGGACCAACGGAACTTGGCTTCTCCTATGCTTTCTTGGCAGCCATTGGCCTCGCCTTTATCGTCCTTATCTTGGCGGATGTATATATCAAGCACGGACCTAAGCCGACGCCGGGGAAACGCGTCTGGTACAAGAGAAAGTTTGACAAGGCCAAGGGAGGATACTATGTTTGCAAGGATACGTTTAACAAGCTGCTCGTAAAGAGGAAGAGGAGACTCGATCACGAGCGTGCGGAGGCGGCTCCAAAGATATTTGATTCTCAAAAGGCCATCGAGAAGCTTGCCGCCAAGCCTGCCGGCGACAGGGCTGCAACCATGGTAGAAACTGCCGAGGAGAAAAGCACTGGGCCGATGGCGGGCATTGAAGTCAAGGTTACGCCCTTGGACATGCCGTTTCTCAAAGATAATGCCGCTGCGGGCACTGCCCCCAAAGATGGTGCTCTTAAGAGCGACAATGTGGGCAGCGATGGAGCAGCCGGTCTTTGATTAGAGAGAGATATTCGCCGGGCTCCGGCGGACAAGAGAACAAGCGCCAAAGAGACGGTTAACTGGTTGCCGATAGCCGCTGGAAAGCCTTTCTGAGAAATAGCGGCGAGATTATGGAGATTGGAAGCTTTGGAAAGGGATTTGGCGTAATTAAATCACACACACATTGGAACGAGTTCGAATGGAGTTTTGCGCTGGATTTTACAGATGTTTTTGAAGATTTAAAAAAAAAAAAAAAAAAAAAAACTCAGGTATTTGGTAGACATAATGCAAATTCGAGAGACGCTCCCAGCAGGGGTGCCGCCTCAAAGCGTGGTGATGACTTGCACTGGTGCGACTCTCCTCTCCTCTGTGCCTCTCTCTCCACCTGGTGACCATGCATTGTATCACAGGGATGGCGCAAAAGCAGCTGAAAGAGACTCCCTCGGACCATCGCAACGGCCTGTCGGTCGAGCAGGGCCTTTTGCTGTGCCGCATAACGACGGTCCGACCACCGACGACCCGAAGCTGATGGCCGACAGCCGATGTTTGACGATAGAGTGGAGGATGCAGATGAGGCTAATGTAGGTCGAGATGCGCAACCCCGTCCAATTAATCTGCTGTGTGCAGTATACATAGAAGTCGCATTATCGCCCGCTTCCGTGACACGGCCAGCTAGTACTTAGATAGATAGACAGACAGACAGACAGACAGCATTGAGCTGGAATCGGGCATTTACGCACTCGAATCCTCTGGGCAGATCAAGGCAGATGCCACGCAATAACGGATTGCTGGTGCAAGCCCATCAAGCTCAAAAACCCAGAGTCGGTCAACAGGACGCCATCAAGCCATGCAGCCCCTAAGGAGGGGGGCTGCGACAAGGGCCAAAAAAAAAAGAGGGCCAGCGGCAGCACAGCCGAATTTAATGAGCGTGGTAGGGCTTCCCGACCGCTGCAGCGCCGCCCAATCAGCGCCGCGTCCTCGCTGTATCGTCCCCGCCGGCGTGTGCCTGGGGTGCTTCTAGCAGGGGCTCCACGCAGCCGTGATGCATTTGCCATTGCTTGACGGATGCACCATCTTACGTACTGCGGAATCCACAGCGGCGATCCGACAGTCTCAGCGCCTCTGCCCTCCGCGACTGACGTTCCGCGTGACGACGTTCCGGCACCCTGTCGTCGGTAATCGTCGGTTTCCATCACTCTGGCGCTGTTGTTATCTGCGGTCCCCAGCGCGCTCGAGCTCTGTGTCTCTCCCGGCTCTGCTCCTGGCCATGGACAAGACTCGGCACTGCCACGGCATTGATGCCTCCTCCTCTTCCTGCCATCCACTCGCCCGCCTCGCCATCTTTCCAAACATCTGATCTCGATCTCTTCCATCTCTGCGCTCTCCGCAAAAGCATCACCGCCACATCTCTCGGACCGAGCCGCTGCGAGGAGGGCCGGGATTGCACTCCTTTTGCTGGGACGTCGAGCTGCTGCTTATCTCGTCCATCCAAGTAAGCAGCCTCCTGTTCCCCATCTGCTTCCGTTAGCGGTGATGTTAATCGTCAGCAGCATTAAAGCCCATAATCGCCTCTGCGCCTTGTATCCGCTCTTGTATCCGACTCTTCCTCGCCTTCTCCGTGTCTACACCATTAGTACTGCATAAGAAATATCAGATTGGCATGAGCATAAACAACGTGCTCCGTACATTGCCTCCTTTCCCTTGATGCCTTTTTGTTCGTATCAACGCAACAATGACTTCTAGATCCTCGGCCTGCCTCGCGCGGCAGATACATCACGCAGCTCGCCCGCAGAAGATCCTATCGACGCGAACATCCACGTTGTCTAGGATTCAGACTCGTACATTTGTTAGACCAACAGCTGCCAGGAACAGCCCCGAGGCATTGAAGGGCAAAACGACGCCTCCCCAGCAAATATCCCCGCGAGCTGTCGCTTTATTGGCCAGCATAGGCTTTCTGTCATTTGCCTATACTCTGTATCGAACGCCTCCTGCTGCCTTTGACGCCGCGGCAGCGCTACATTCTGAGCATGAGAGATACGCCCCAGTGACTATCCTTGATGAGCGCGACCCGAATCTTCCACGATTTCGAATGTCCGAGATTCGCAAGCATGACGGCAAGTCAGAGCGTCCATGGGTTACACACGGCGACAAAGTATACGATATCACCGACTGGATATCGGCTCATCCCGGTGGGCCAGTCATTCTGCGAGCGGCTGGCGGCGCAATTGAATCTTACTGGAACATATTCACCATCCACAAGAACCAATATGTCTACGATATTCTCAACCAGTATCTTATCGGCTACATCGACCAAGCTGACTTGGTAGACGGCAAGCCGCCTCAGGAGGCGATTGAAGACCCGTTCGCCGACGACCCGATAAGGCACCCGGATCTCATTACTCGGACGCTGAAGCCTCGCAATGCCGAGACCCCTGAGCAAGCGCTCAGTGCCCAGTTCATCACTCCCACCGAGCTGTTTTACGTTCGCAATCACATGTGGGTGCCCAAACTCACACAGGATGAGGCTGAAGCACACATCCTAACCGTTGAGCTCCCTGACGGCACCACAAAGGAGTATACATTACGCGACCTCAAGACCAAGTTCCCTGAGAAAAAGGTGACCGCTGTGCTACAATGCTCTGGAAACCGCCGAAGCCACATGAGCCAAGGATCCGGCCGAGCTACGAATGGCTTGCAGTGGGAAGCCGGGGCCATTTCCAATGCGTCGTGGGAAGGCGTTTCGCTGGCCGATGTCCTCGCTGACGCTGGTTTCGACGCCAGCACCGTAAGGGGTGGCACTAGCGAGGCGAAGCATGTGCAGTTCTCTGGCATGGAAGCGTACGGATCATCGATACCCATTAAAAAGGCCGTAGATCCCCAGGGCGATGTATTGTTGGCGTACGGTATGAATGGCAAGCCACTGCCAAGAGATCACGGTTACCCGTTACGATCTATCGTGCCTGGGCACGTCGCTGCTCGATCTGTCAAGTGGCTAAGGCATATCACATTAAGCGATGAAGAGAGCCCTAGCCAGTGGCAGCGAAAGGATTATAAGTGTTTTGGCCCAAATCAGACCAAGGTTGATTGGGAGGCAGCTCCGGCAATCCAGGAACTACCCGTCCAGAGCGCCATCACCGGTGTCAAGCTAGGTGACTGGACACTGTCAACACAATCAGAATCAAGCAACTCGGATGGACCAGCGAAAGAGGTTACTCTCAATGGATACGCCTACTCTGGCGGTGGACGAGCAGTCATCCGGGTCGACGTCTCGCTTGACGATGGCAAGAGCTGGTCACAAGCAAATCTGCTCCCCGACCAAGTTCCAAAGGTTGATGGCAAATCTTGGAGCTGGAAACAGTGGAAGTTCAATGGAGATATACCCTTGGAAGCATTTAAAACTCCAGAAGACGCAACTTCCAGCCAAGAGAGCGACGAGGATAAGAACACCATTAGAAGAGGTACTGCGAGAAGGGCGGCCAACGCTGAAGCCACGAAAAGTAACAAGAGGTGTACTACTATTGCTATCAAGGCAACAGACGAAGTTTACAATACTCAGCCGGAGAGCCATGCTGCGACATGGAACTTTCGAGGCAATCTTGCCACTGCTTGGCATCGTGTCCAGGTCTGCACCGACTGTTCCCCCAATGCCATCATTTTGAAGAAGAAGAAGAGCGGTGATGATTCTCAAGATGGAAATCGTCATGAAGGAGATGATAGAAGGGCGAAATGAAGAGGCGAAATGAAGAGATGAGAATTGTAGAGCTGGAGAGGAACAGGAAAGTTCTTCTGTTTCTTTAATTTCTTTCCCCCTTTTTGTCTTGTCTTTTTTTTTTTTTTTTTTTTTTTTTTCCCCTTGTTTAGGATCGTGAGCGCGTTCCGTTCAATTCAACCATGAATGTACGAATTAGCATAGCGTAGTGGGAGAGATGGGGCAGGAGTTTGATGGCATTTTGATGTATATCTATATACCCATTGGACAGATGAAAGTCGACAGACTATTAGGCTACAAGACAATAGAGTGAGAAGGCCAATCATGGACCAATATTTTCTCGATATCGTACTTCATTTCCTAAAAGATTAGACACACCTGCTTCAACAGCAACAGTTTGTAGAAAACTAGAAGTTGTATTATCACTTTTCTGTTTTTTACATCTTCATTCCGTTCCATCCTCTGCTCGCGTCCCTTTTGTTTTTTTCAAAGGACTCGCTCGAATTAGGCCTAGCCAGCCAGCCGCCCCATTCTAACTCGTATACTGATACAAATCTGCAAAACTACTGCATTCTCCGCCCAGGATTCGTCACCACTACATTAAAACATGGCCTACTCGTCTTCTTCGTCTTCGCCGTCGGAGAAGTAGTCAAATGCGTTTGGCACACCAGCTTCCTCATCACCCTCACCATCTTCATCTACAGCTGTGAGCACTCCAGCTGCCGCCGCCGCCCCTGATCCAATGTCACCACCAGGAGTCTGGGGGTCTACGAGACCGCCAAAGGGAGAGCGTCCCTGGCTACGTAGAAGCTGCTCCATGAGGGGGTTGACGCCTCTGCTATTAGGATCCACGATGCCCTCCAGGATAGATCTGCCAGCTCCCGCGGTGCGACCTGCGCCACCTCTGCCGGTCTGTTGCCCGGCCACAGGCGCGCGTTCAGTGGTCACCTTCTTCAGCTTCTCCTCGAGAAGGGACTTGGGTTGGTCAGACTGGGTATCATCAAGGAGGAGAGGGCCACCAGTTGGCTTTAAAAATGTTAGTATATTATTATGTCATGCAGGCATATAGGAGAAATTTACCTTCTTAACTGGCTTGTATCGACCGGCTGGAAAGCTGATATACTTCAGCTGGCCAGGCAGAACTCTGCTCATGTTTTCAATTTCGTAGCCAACCTTCTCCTTTTCGGGCTTCTTCTTGGCGTCTGTGGGTGTCGTTTCCTTGTCGTCAGAGTCCTTCTTGTCCTTGGTCTCTTCCTTGGCCTTGTCGTCGTCTACCTCCATCTTGTCTCCACCCTTAGCTGGAGCGCTGTCGATATCCATGCTTTCACGACGCTGAGCCCGCTCTTTCTTCTGGGCTCTCCTCTTAGCCTGAGCTGTGGTAGACAAAATGGCGGTTGCAATAAGGGCAGGTCCCTCCTCTGTCTTGACCTCTTGTTCAGGGGGATAGTCGAACAGACTCTGGCGAGTGGCGCAATGGAACTTGAAGTCTGGCATCTCCAAGTCGTGATCAAGGCCGATAATAGCGGTTGGTGAAAAGCTGAGAGACAGGAAGTGTGTGAAAGGGAACCAGTACCAGTACTGGGTGAAAACTGCCATACCAACGATTCCGGCCATGTTCAAGTTGCCCGTCTGGGTTTGCAGGCCAATGGTACAGTTGCGGCCACCTGCATCGATGATACCCAAAGCAAGGGCAGCGCCAAACTTGGTCATGGCATCCTCGTGCCGGTCACCAACCACCTTCTTCAGCGTCTTCCGAATAGAAGATACCTTGGGGTTCATGACTTCATTTTGCTGTGCCATAATCATGGCAAGTGAGATGAGGGCACCCTGTCGGACAAAGTCGGTGGGATCCTTCATCATGGGCTCGAGGAGGTCAATAGCTTCGTCGAGCCCAGTGCCAGCACAAGAAATGCCCAGTGCCATGGCGGAACCGTATCGGACGTGCGGGTTGTAGGATTCGGACAGCAGTTCAACCATACGGGGGACACTACCTGGCTTGCGGAAGAGGATGAAGCCCAGACTCATGACGGCGATTCGGCGAACATCATCGTTGACATCGCTCACAGCAGTGTGAAGCAGCTTTCGAATAGCCTTGTTGCTGCCAGTGCCGCAGTAAGCCAAAGCAACGGTCAAAATACCACCATAACGCAGGGTGGGGTCAGGGTCGTTGAGCAGGCCTTCGATCAATACATCGGCGCCCTCTTGGCGGCCGTACATGATAAGAGCCATACCGATCGCCACACCGCGGACAATCTTTTCATGCGTTGTCTCGTGAGCGTACGTAATCATATCCTCCAGGGCCTTGACATTTCCGGTGCCAAGCATGATTAGACCCATGGCCAGACCAACAGCCTCACCATTAAGAGCGGAGTCTTGGAAGAGCACATCCTTGAGCTTCTCAAAGATCTCGCTGTCACCAGTGCCCATACCGGCAATACCCAAACCCAGGGCGCCACCATGCTGGACAACTTCCTCTTCTGCTTGGCTGAATTGCATCTTCAGGTATTCCAGAGCGCCTGCACCGTGATTGGCGTGGATGAGGCCATAGGCATACAGAGCACCTCCTTGGCTGAAGATAGAACCGTTGCTGAGGCCACCTTGCTTGGGAAGATAGGGCTCGAGGAGCTTTCGGGACTGCGACAGGTTACCACGGTGGATAACTCCGAGGGCAGCTGTGGCAGTGAACTTGGACCAGTTGACAGCCTTTCCAAGCCACTCGAGGTTGTCACGGAAGAACTTGTCGTTTGTCGTGCCCTGGTTCATGAAGGCATTGCAAAAGGTGACAGCAGTGTGGAAAATGGAATTACGGCCTTCCAGGCTGTCTCGGACCTTGTTGAGAATGCTCAGATCCGTGTGATTGTTGCGGTAGAGGAATTCGAGATTCAGGCGGATAGTCTTGGAGCCGTCGAGGATAGATCGAATGTTGCGGTAAACCTTGGCCACCTCTTCGGGCAGCTCATCTTCAGGTGCGCTCTGTTGGTTTTCCAAAAGCGATTCACTCTCTTCGGCCTTGTCACCGCCCTCGGCTCCTTCCTCTTTCTTTGGGGGCTCCCCCGAGGGCAGAGCATTCAAAACCTTGCCCAAGAATTCTTGCGTGCCGTTGTCGTAAAGATCAAACGCAATTTGATATGCGTTGGCGGTCGCAGTGCGGTCATCCTTGGCAACAAGGTTCCGGAGCATTCGCGATGCCTCCTCGTCTGCATTAAGGTAGACGACGCATCTGGCGATGGCAAAGTAGTCGGGGTTCGGGATGTCGCTTAAAAGGTCAAGAATTAATCGCAAGATTTCAGTGCGGAAGGCTCTCTCTTGAACGACATCCATGCAGATGCCTAGGATATATTCCATCAGCTCTTCGGCGGGACCCGGTTGGCCATCGGATCCCTTGGTCTTGGACAGTTTCTCATCCTCGCTGGCGCGCTTGATAATTCGCCTAAGGATATCGAGATTCTTGGCCTCGACAGCAATACCAACAACTTGCCTGTACCGGCCTTGCTTTAAGCAGCTCTCAAACAAGCGGTCGATGATTCTCTGCAGAGAAGCTTCGGCCACGTTGTTGGGCAGCTGAGTAATAGATCCCGAGCGACCTTCCTTTGTTACAGGCTGAAATGTTGCGTCTAGTATAGTGTTGTCGATGGAAGCCCGAGAAAGCAGAGATTTCGGCGGCAGAGTAGTTTGGGAGAAGGGAGTCGTGGGGGACAGGACGGCGCCTTCGGTCGAGCTGGCAAACGTGGTTGACAGCTCAGGCAGGTCTGACGGCTTGGAGGTTTTGGGAGCGGCGTGCTTGGCGGACGTGGCGGCGATGTATTGGTCCACGCACTTGGAGATGATGGTCTCCTCGAACTCTCCGGGAGCTTCGATCTTGAACAGGTCCCCTGCGGCCAGGGCAAAGACCATGCTGTCATTGTAGGCCTGCAAATGGTAGTAGACCTTGGCGAGCACAAGAGCTGCAAGCTGGCGCTCGGAGAAGGACTCGTCTTCGTAGAGGGCCTCGCTGATATCACAAACAGTTAGTGGGGGAGATGCCAACGCTACTTTCGAGAATGGATAAAAACATACATCTGGCTCAAGCTGCCGGCGACCTCGGTCCAGACGGTGTCGATGTCGTCGTTGAGCGTCTGCAGAGCGAAGACTCGGAGCTCAGGCTCCTCATCGGCCAAGAAGGCTAGCACGCCGGTTGCTGATACCAAGCCAGGCATATTGAAGTGCTGCAGGCGAGGACAGCGGAGGTGTTGTTGGGATAATGGGTGTTTTCAAGGACGGATCGAGGGGCGAGATTCGGAGATGGAAGGTCGAAGAATGCTATGAAAGCCCAGCAGTTCGAGGGCTGCTGAAGGCAGAATCTACACCCCGCCGGTAGACAATTAACAAAAGAAAGAATCGAAAAAGGAGCTGCAGTGTAGAGCAGCGCAGCAAAGTGGTGGAGGGTGGTGTGTCGAGCAGAGGTTTAGCTGATGGCTGAGTTATGATGCTCTCTCGAAAGCGTGTACAAACAAGCACACCCGAGTTCCATGTCCACGTCAGGCACAGCTCTGCCTGCCTTGCGCGGTACGTACCTCGAGTGGTGGGTGCACAGACCTGGCTGGTTGGATGGTGGGGTACAGTTACCTAATTGGGGGACGAAATAACAGAGACACTCGGTCTCAGCCTGGCGGTACACAGTGATAAGGAGAAACAAATGGACGCTTTTACAAGGCGCCGATGATTCTGATAGCTGTACTACGGGTGGTGAATATGAGTAATATCTAGAGCAAAGCAATTTATAAAGGCGACAATGGATAATAGGCATTATAGAGGCTGCGTACATTACATACCAGTGCCTATAATAGCAAAGCCAAGCGTGCCACTCATAATTCTGTCAACCTCGCTGCCGGCATTCGCCGCTTACTAAGAAGCATCATAAGCTCTGAACTCGCCCCCGCTGCCGGTTGTGGTAATACTGCCACGTGATATCATGCATCGTTTTGTCAGGCTGCAAGGCAAAGCGCCAAACCGCAGGTCAGGCTGCGAGGCGCTATACCGCAAGCGCCCTAGCGCCTCGAGGTTTTATCAAGCAATTCGAGACAGAAGGCTGAACCAGCCAGTAGGCCGAGGGCTGGGCATGCAGGAGAAGACGCTAGTGAAGGCACAAGGCTAGCATTGCTATGGCGCAACCTGGATTGGCGTCACACTCATCACACTGGAGACGGCACGATAAGCGTGCACGGGTCCTCCCTGCTTAAGCCACTCAACGAACTACTGCGGCGCGGTGGCAGGCAGGAGAAAAAAAAAGAGGGATTAAGCCCTGGTGCCGCAAAAGTAGAGGTACGGCAGCAGGCATAGACGCGTGCGGCTGAGGCAATGTCGGGGTACCTGCTCCACCTGGTTCTCGCTGAATGGGCCTCGCGCGCTGGGCAGCATGGCCTCAGGTTTCGGATGCCGCAGCGATGCAAGGAGGACTGAGGAGACAACGCCGGGGGACAAAAAAAGCATTAAAAGGTTGTTTGTGGCCAGTTTTGGCAACGAATTGTAGCTTCTGAATCAAATAATGCCGTGATATCGACTTGCATTTTATGCTGCTGCTCGACGACGTGGCGCCTGCCAAATCCCCATGACTCAACTCAGCTAGTAGGTAGAACGCAGCGCCGGAACCAGAGCCAGAGCCAGAGCCAGTGTCCAGATGGACAGCGCTTGCGTGCGCCTGTAGAGCCCCGATCGACCTAATTTAGAGCGCTGGCCAAGGCCATCACGGAAGGGAAAAAAAAAGCGTCCTAGGCGCATCCAGCTGTCCCATCCAAACCATCCCTGCGCGAACCATTCGTGGGCATCATAAAACCAATCCACCCCCCATAGCAGCCTCAACTGCCGGACGCCTCAAACTCGACGCGCATCCCCCAGAGCGTCCAGGCCGTGCAGCCATCGTGAAAAAAAAAGAGACAGAGAGACCCGACTGAATTTCTTGCGCGCCTGCGTTGAACCCCCACCAAAAACGCATCGCGACGCCTCAGCCTCCTCAGCCTCGAACCTCGTCATCCGTGCAAGCTCGAGAATGTCCGCTTGCGACTCGGACGACTCTGCATCCTTTGCGCACTTGGCAGCTATCTAATCGAGAAGGCGAACAGCCGACGAATCGGTGCAGCCGCTCCCCCAGGCGCACGAGAGCGCGGCTCTGGATGCTGGACAATTGAGCCCACCGTCTGAGCCATCGTCTCGCGCCGCACCGGCTCCTCCCAGGAAAAAAGATACACGGGCGTGTGACAGCCTCCAGTAGCAGCCATGGATCTCCGGTCGGTCCTCAACACGTCTGACAATGGCGACCGCGCGCCCTCAAAGGCACAGGCGCCGCCGACCCCTCACCAACAGCAGCAACCGCAGCGCCAGCAAAGCCAGCAAAGCCAGCAGCCTCGCCCTACTCATATCCCAGCCCAGTATGGCTATCGCGACTATCCCCAACAGCCGCCGCCCCAAGGATCGCCGACCAAGACTCCAGTTAACGAGTATCCCCCTCCTCAAAGCCATCCTCACCACTACCCGCAGCACCAGCAGCCGCCGCAGCATCCACCAAATGCCTATCCGCAACAGTCGCCCTACCAGGCCCCAAGCCCATATCAGACACGACCTGCGCCGCCGCCGCTCCAGCCGCCGACGAATGTATACCACGATCCCCGCTCACCGGCCAGCTCCAGGTCAAACTCGGGGCCCGTGATGGCCTCGCCCTACCGGCCGTCGCCCACATCGGCCACGACGCCCGGAGGCAATGCAGGCTATCCATTTCCTACGCAGCCTCCAGAGATGGCGAGCCCAATCCAGCGCCAGCCGTATCCACCAGGCCGCCAATACCAGGACCCGAGAAGAGACAGCTATGTGCAGAGCCCAGGCGTGGCACCACCAGCACATGGTCAAGCGCCATACGTGCAACAGCAGCAGCAACAGCAGCAACAGCAACAGCAGCAACAGCACGCTGTGCCACAAGCATCGCCGGTGAGGACGTCAAGCCGCGCATCTCATCCATACCTCCATCCATCACAGCAGCATACACCGACACCAGCCTCGATCCAGCCCCAGCATCAGCAGTATGGGCCCCAATACGCACAGGGCAGCCCAGTCCTTGCAGCGCAGCCTCCACTTGCGGATTACAGCCGCCACCCTTCGCAAGTCACCCCTTTGGGCCCTCCCCAGCCTAGCGTGCAGCGGCAGCCCTCTGGTCCTGGAGCTTTTGGTCAACCGCCTAGCCCATACCAGCACCGCATGTCTTCCATAGCAAACGCACCGGCACCGGCACCGGCACATGCATCTACACCCACACAAACAACACCGACGACACAATCACATACACAGGCACAGGCACAGGCACAAGTGCACACCCAGCAGCAACCGCAGGATTCGCCTCGCCCTCAGGCGCAGACCCCAACCCAGACTCAGCTCCACACTACTCAGGCTCAGCCGCCGCCAGCGCGGGCTCAAACTCAGCCTTCTCCAAAACCAGCGCCGCCGCCGCCGCCGCCTGCACCCCCTGCCCATCGCCAGTCAAGCTCTCAATCCGCCTACGCATCGCCCGTTGCAGAGCCGGCTCAGCATCCACGACCTCAAAACGACCGAGAGCAAAGTTTGTCTGTTAGTCCCAAGACCAGACTGGGCTCAATCCCTAGCAACCCCGACGCCACCCCGACGGCGGCGGATAGAGCCGCGAGATCTTCACTCAGTGTCCACTCCATGGCGATTGACTCGGATCGAGTCATAACACCGGCGAAGCGCAAGCTGGAGGATCTCAACATGAGTCCTGGAGAGCTGGAGTACAAGGAATCGAAGCCACCTCCTGGCGAAGTGAACGGAGGGTACGCAGAGCGGATCAAAAAATCGGCGTCTCCCGCAATTCCACGAAAAACGCGGAGTCGACGCAGCCAGCCGCCTGTTTGGGCACTAAGCATTCACACGCTCGGGAAAAAACTGCCATCTAGCGCCAATTTCGTTCTCCAAAAAAGGATTCACTCCCACATTCAACCGTCCGTCAATGGCAGACATGAATCTGCGGTCAAGACAGAGCACGCCAGCCGCCAGGCTTCGCCCGAAACAAGACGGAATCAGCATACCAGCGTTAGCCAGCAGCCATCCGCCGTCAGTCCACCGAATCCCCAAGACCAGCTAGGCCCATGGGAAGCCAGCATCACGGGTGTGAAGCCCTCTGAGGAGCTTTCCAAGAACGTGGCCGACTTTCTCTTCATTCACGTCATCAACAACCAAGACATGCAGGAAATTACGAGCAGAGGGATACAATTTGAGATTGAGGCTAAGCTGGGCACCCTCATCGACAAGGACACCAACCAGCGCGTGGATCGATTCGTCGCCACGGAATGCATCCTTGATGACAATGGCCGGGTTGCTTTCAAAAGCAGCATGACCGAGGTAAGTGCATGGGAATCTTTTTCTACCATGTCCACTCGAAAGGATACATGTTCTAACCTGATATAGGCACAACACAAATCTTATAACGATTTCCTCAATAGCATCGTCATACAGAGTGACCCGCGGAATCCCAACATCAACAATGCCAATCGAGTCCCCGTAATATATAAGCACAGAAGAGAGACGGATCGCTTTTTTGAGCTACCACAAGAAATGCATGGCCATCTTCCAGGATGCGTGCGAGCCCGTCTTGGTCATCGCAGCCGAAACGTACGAGTGCGAGTAACATATGACCAAAAGACCAACGAGGTGTTGAACAAGATAATCAAGGCGCGCGTTGCAGATATTGATCTGCACATGCCCATGTGTCCAATGGATTGCCGCATCAGCATCAACCTCGAAGCAAACTGGGAGGGCCCTGTGGAGGAGTTGGAGCAGCTGGCCGCCAACAAGGCGAACCAGCAACCAGACCGCAGTAAAGACCGTCTGAGCTACACACAAGGGAGCTATCAAATCGACCTCACACAAGTCACCCATGCTGTGAATGGTCCAGGGGTATGTTGTCTTTTTTTTATGCTCTCTTAGCTGTTTCTTTGTTTCTCTGATAGGCTAACATACTTGTGCAGAACTCACAACGCATGGACAAAGAGCACGAGCTCGAAATCGAAATGAACCCTCAGGTGCTCATTGACCAGGGGCGGAAAGCCCTGAGTGGAGCACCTCATAGATACCAAGAGTTTGTGGAAGGATTTGTGGACAACGTTCGAGTGTTGGCACGAAAAGCCAAAGAATTTAATCAATAATAGGCTATCCAAACAACCTCACTTTTTGAACTTTTGAAATTCCGGCGCGGTCGAGGGAAGGGTAGCTTCCATCCTCCCTCTTGTCCCTGTCTTCGTCGCTCTTTCAACGGCTCATAGCGGGATATCATATATCTATGTTGGAAATAAAAGGAATGTGCAAGGAATGCATAGTTTGACTTCTTCCTTTTTTTTGTTCTTTTTTTTTTTTTTTTACTATTCTTTCCCAAATGGTGCTCCAGGCTGGGTGTTAAGGATTTTCCTTTCTCTTTCTTTCTATAGGTAGATCAATGTTTTGTTCCCCGTCTTCTATTTTTGGTTATTTGGGATCATGTGGGTTATGAAACTGAAGGTGAAGAGGGGGGGAAATGGAAGAAGGTGGAATAAGGAAGGAAACGCGGCGCTTTTTTTTTTTTTTTTTGGTAAAAGAATTCAAGGTTTTTTGTAATTGCTTGGGTTTGAGAACAAGTGTGGCGATGGGAGCAAGCTTGGATTCGCAGGCAAGGAAAGGCAGACAAACATACCCCGATAGTTGATCAGACGATTGTGATGGTGGAAGTGATATATCTATATATTATATTTACGTATATAACAAGACTGGAACTATTGGTTCCCTCATCTTATCATCGTATGGCCAATTGTTAGCTGGGGTATCTGTAATATGTGAAATGAAGCCAATCCAAAAACACAGGCTCCTTTTCTCTTCTTTCACTTCTCCTTTCTTCAACGTCTCCTTTCTTCAACTAATCTTCTATGTTAAAATCGCTACTGGGCATAGTTAGGCCTGTTTCTCTCCTCTCGTACTACTTGAGCCTCCCTCTCCCTCTCCCGTATCTCGTATCTCATCACTGTCATTGTTTCGCTCATACTTCTTGGTAGAGAAAGGGCCATTGCTATGAACAACACGGACATCAACATCGTCGCCGTCATCGTCTGCATCAATAGCATCCTCCATCTCTTCCTCGAGAAGCAGGTTCAGAATCATGCATGCGGCAGCCGTGACGGCAAAGCCAGTCTCCATGACGAGGACAATGGCATCGAGGAAGCCCTGGAGCGACTTGTTTCCGCCCGAATAAGTAAAAACGTGGTTGAAATACGTCGGCACCAGAGTTGCACCGTAGCCGAGGGCCAAGCCGGCAGTGAGGATGAAGCGGTTCCGGCGGGTGAAGGGCACGCCACGCGATATGATTGCGATGCCAGAAACGGCCACCGAGCAGAAGAGGAACGTGGTCATGCCGCCCAGGACGGATGATGGGATGGCGACGAGGGCAGCAGCAAACTTTGCAAAGATGCCCATGACAAGCAGGAAGAAGCAGCAGGCATAGCCAGCTCTGCGGTTGGCGCAGCGGGTGAGGGCGATGACGCCGTTGTTCTGCGCAAAGGTGCTCATTGGCGTTATGGTCATGAGGGCTGCGAGACAGCCGTTGAGGCCGTCGGCCAGGACTCCTCCCTGGACGCGAGACTCGAATATCATGCCATCGACTTCAAGGTGGGAGACGTCGCAGGTGGCGGTGATGTCTCCAATGGACTCAGTCAGGCAGACGATGAAGACGGCCAGCACTGGGAGCACCAGCGGGCCGTAGACGGATAAGGGGAACGTGTGTACCCAGATGAAGGAGGCGACTGGAGCAGAATCGATGCCAGATCGATCAAAGTAGCCGCAGGCCGCGGCGATGATGCATCCCACCAACAGACCGATGATGACGGAGGTGGACTTCATGATGGGAGAGCCGAAGCGCTCACACAGGATGATTGTTGCGAAGACGCTGAAGCCCAGGCCAAGAAATTCGGCTGAACCCCAGGGCAGGGCATGCGGTGCTCCGGGGCTAGGACACAGAGCCTGTGTGGTGCAGCCGCTGCCGCCCATCCAATCCTGGAAACCACTCTCGATGAGGTTGATGCCAATGAGCATGACGGTCGGGCCCGTAACGATGGGAGGGAACATGCGGAGCAGGATTCGCGGCGGGATGAAGGACAGGAGGATTTCGAGCAAGGCGCAGACCGCACAGGTGCCTAGAAGAGCGCCATATCCTCGGGGACAGCTCAGAGGGTTGCCGGCCGCGTCGGAAGGACAGAAGCCGTTGGCGTACATTTGCGATATGGCGCCTTGGGCAACGGGGATGATGCTGAAGCTGATGCCAACGACGGAGATGAGGCCCGTTCCGAGGTAGTAGCTGTAAGAGGCCAAATGCCGTTATGATGAGATTATGAACTGTGGAAATAGGGTTGCTGGGGTTTACGAAGCTTACGGAGTCTTATAGATGTGGAATCTGGTGATTTGTATACTCGACAAAATGCCTGATACGATCAATGCTGTCGAAACGAGATACTGCTGTTGTTCGACGGGTAGATTGACGCCGCCTGCTCCCGAGAGAATCAACGGCGGCGTTATGATGCCAGCCAACATGGCCAACGCATGCTGCAGTCCCAATAACAGTCCTAGAAACACAGGCATGCGATCATTGAGGCCAAAGAAGGGGCTTTTTCTCGAGCCTGCGCGCTTTGGAAGAAAAGGGAGATTGGGTCGGAATAGGAAGCCATAGTCGTAATCGCCGAGGAGGCCTTCGCGAGTGGTGAAGGCTCGGCGGAGGGAACGAAGACGGCGGCTGAGAGACCATCGAGGGGCGGTTTCGGGAGTGATGGTTGAAGGACCGGTGCCTTCATCCATGGTGGGCGAAGGGCGGCAGAGAAGGAGAATGTACTAGGTTTAATTGGATTGGAATATATTAGATGGTGTGAGGCGAGAACGTGGACCGTCATTCAATCGCGGCAGTCGTTCAATTAGTCTTCTGCCGTCAAGAGCAATGGAAGCCTCAGTTCGCACTTCTCATCCCAATAGCCGAATTAGAAGAAGCATAAGTATAGTGGCAGATTCAGCAGAAGCAATAGAAGAAGTAGATTACAATACGTCAAGTCAAACAGCTGCATACGAGCGTTACGCATGACTCCCATTGATTGATCCCCCGCAGAGGCCGATCACAGCGATATATACGCAAATCCTCCTCATCTTCCCACTTTTATTTTCGAGATGCGATAAGCAATCAGAAGGGGGGGCGTGCGCAGCAATAATACATACGATGAATCAATTCGCCCTTCTTTTCTGGCTGATGGTGTGTGGATGGATGGATGGACCAAGCTGGGGGAGGGCCCTTGCTTTTTTTTGCTTATCTTTTGCCGGTATTGTAAAGGAGTGGGTGGACGGTTAATAGGCTAGCTGCCTGCTGAGTTATTCGGAGAAAAGAGGAATGGCTTTCGTCTGTGGAATCCTTTTCTTGCTCTTCTTAGTGCTGTATCTTGGAGAATGCTACCGAAAGTGACCAAGTCGATGAGATGGCCACCGCACCGTCCCATACGCAGGCAACATGTTCAATCCAATTTGGCGACTGCGAAATCGGCGCTGCCAAAAGAAAAGAGAGAGAGAGAGAGAGAAGAAAGATAAAGAGTATGACGCTAGGATCAGCGTATCATGCGGAGCATCTGCCGCTGATATTGCCATTCTGACGAGGGTCTCCTCCCACGCATTCACCATCCCTGCTCACTCTGGGGTATTAGACTACTAGTAGTACTGTAGGTGCTGCTTCTCGTCTCATCGGCAAACGCGTCAGATGCAGCCCATGAGGAGCATTTCCATCAGTCATAATACCACCTGCCAGCGTTGCATCCATCAAGCTCATCTCATCTCCTCCCAGCACGGCCGCCGCCAGATCAGCGTGCTGTGGGGGAAACGCATGTTGAGACAGGGATTATTACTGCTCTATCTCTCCAGGTACTACTCCGTACTCCATAGAGATAAGTCTAGTCTTGCGGGGGTCTTGATTGCGATTGCATGGGGTTCAGGTCGCTGATAGCAGATAGCAAGCGCCTGCTGCTGAGTATTTATTAGTAGGTAGTATTATCTCTAATCTGAGCGCATAATTAATAGCTTTGTACCTATTTGCATACATATATACAGTACATAGTATACTGCGTTTGATATTATATATAACGTATTGCTTTATTGGCACGATCGAGTTGTTGCCGTTAGAATGACTAAGTGGGTCTATCGAGGTCTTCGTTATTCCGAGGCCATAGCTTGGAAGCAGCATTCATCTCTAACGTCCTTTCTTTGCTCTTGAACAAAAACAAAAAGAAGATGACTCCATATAGATTAATAAAGCGTGTTTCGTTCAGAAAATACATGATAGAATCTCCATGACTTTGGCTTCTCTTATTCTCCAGTTGATAGTCAAAGCGCTTTGTAGCTCACTTGTGTCAGAGGATGTCAGAGATTACTTTAGTATGGGGGATAGTATGCTTTACAAAACATGATGAACGTTTTATGCTCTTTTTACTTTGGCAGCTTTACTCTGTCTTTTGCCTTGCAAGTACTAAGATACATAGAATTGATGCCTTGGGTCTTTATACTACACTTTTCCGCCGCCTTGACCACTCCGGGATCTATTTCAAGGCTTTCTCTTTCTTTCCTTTCTTCTTCTCGTTCATCCGGTTTAATATTTGATAATTAATAATATGTTATGTTATCTCAAATAATTTTGGAAACTTGACGTGCCGTCTCGCTAACCAACCTTTAGCCATGGATTGCCTCCAATGGCCTCAAACTTACAAAAATGCGGACGTAGCATCGCTGGCTACAGAAGAAAATGACAATACATCCGTCGATAATTGAGTCAATTATCTCACACGCAAAGACTCACCGGATGCGGAATTCGAAAATAGTTTGTTTAGAGTCATCAAGTCCACTGTTGAGGAAGAAGAGGAAGAAGGGACAAGCACCGCCTTTTTATTTTAAAGAGACAAAGTCGCAGAGTAGACAGCAATGAATAGAATCATCATTCAGCGGAACAAATGTTAGGACGTAAAAAAAAAGAACCAATGATTCATTCACAATATCACTCTGGTGTCTATTACAGCCAACGGAATCGTATTAGAATTCAACAAGACTACACTGCAAATTCTACGCAAACATACTACATACGCATCGAAGCGAGTGATGTAAAGTAAGAATATTGTATTATCAGCTATTTGAGCTAGATCATTAAAAGGCCTAGATAATGTATTACTCATTAGTAACTCAACCCGTTGATGAAATACTTGTATCAGCTTACCATGCAAGAGCTTGATTACGGCTATAACGCTCAAGTCGCAATACTTAACCGCTCAGATCGCAGGGGAGACCACCACAGCAGTATTCATGGCCAGCACCAAAGGCACCCTGAAAGTCAATGTTAAAACATCCATCGCTAGTCTGCCAGACAGAAGCGCTCCAGTTATAGCCACCAGGGCTTGTTTCAACGAAACTATTTTCAGGTAAGCAACCTCTCCGCTATCGACTTCGTATAGGTATTCATGTACTTACCCAACTTCCTGACCTTAGCTTAACAAGCCGCCGGTATAATCCCTCCCCTCATAGGTTGATCCAGTGTCATAGTCGGTCAGATAGATGTGCAGAATTCCGGGACCCTCGCCACCAGCCTCAAGCCACGTGCTGACTTGGCCGTTAAAGGCAGCAACAGAGCCGGTTAGAGCGAGAAGGCCAAGGACAGAGAACTCCATTTTGATTGTGGGTATAGAAGAGTTGCTTTTTGAAGGTTTGCTTTAGAAGTGCTGGTAATGGCTGTTTGTGGTGATGACTTGCTTAATTTTACATGGAAGCATATCGAGCTTTATATATCTAAACAGTTACACTAAACAGCCTTATTGAAAGATAATATCACCGTTCCTTTTCTGTAGTAACCTTTGACCTCCTATGCTTCCACCCGCTTATGCGTAAGATCTAATATTGAGAGAATTGTCTAGACTTTGTTGTGTAAAAGTGAGGATGAAGTTTTACGCAAATAGAACGGGGTTACGAAGAGACAGGGTGTGGAAAGGTATGAGACCTAGTCGATGTGAGGGTGTACAGATATAGGTATGCAGGTGAAGTTTCATCAAAGCTTATGTTCTAGGTAATGGACCTTTCATAAACAGGAAAAACTCATTATACATAAGGATAGGCACTGTAAAACGGCCTCTCAGAAATACTCAAAAAGAAAACAAAAGAAAATGGCAGGTATTCATGTGACAATGCTAGACGTTTCTGCAGTTGTAATTGTTCAAATATATTGTTGCATTCAGCAAGTCTTCTCCTCGAAAGGAAAAAAAAAATGTTATATTAGCAAGATCAGGGAAAATTTTCGAAACTTCCCGCCCCCAATCAGGTCGTGCAGACACCCCAGTAAGTGAGTTGGACTAATAGAAACAGAGGACATGCAAATTGAATACGTGCGCTTTGCAGTAATACGAGCGGCATCAACAATTGCGCCTTTATATATGTCTTCTTTAATTCCATGTGCTGGTTGCCCCCCCTTCATTACCAGCTCAGCCCTAACGGCTCCACCGATCAATATATTTCCTAAATCTGCAGTATTCCCACTTCCTAAATAGGTATTCTCTAAAAGAATCGAACCTCCAAACAAGTAATGATCAGCTTTTTTTTTCTAGTTGATCGGCACTTAGGAAGGCGAATACATAATGACACAATGGTCCGGTTTTCATAACTGAATGGTGTGTAAATATTCCTACTGCATATTCTAGATAGTGATCTGGAAGGTAAGTGATAAGATTTACCCTATGCAATTCTCAATGAGTGAAGAATGACACAGTAATGAATCAAAAGAATCTATCCAGACATATTGTAATAATAAGCAGCCTATGTGTGACCATGCCTTTTGCCTATGTAGTTAGAAAATAATGCAATTGCCACTGGTTTGCATATAATCAACTGTTACCTTGAGTAATTTTGCACGTATTGTCCATAGCTCCTGCTTCAGCGACTAGGTATTTAATAACGAAGCGCACAGATGCAATTTTGAAGAAGAAATCAGAGATCAATGTGAAGAGTCGAAACTGAAGTAGCAGGATAAATCATAATATACCAGTATTTGTGATATTGTGCAGTAAAAGCTAAGGACTATGTGCGATGAAATTATTATAGTGGCTATTTTGTTTACTCAGTCAGACATTGTTTTATTAATTAAACAACATTCGCAGTAGCATCATTTTTCCAGTATCTAATTACGGTGTGAAATAAATACAATTTGTTACGACGCAATATTAGATACACGAAAAATATACATTTGGAGTAATATTAATGCTCATGGAGCTAATTATGGATGGAACATTCATACCACTGTGATCTCATCTTGTGGGATCGCTCGTAGGGGAACGAGCCACCCCAGTGGATCGCGACTAAGACTGAGCCACAAGCAATGACTTACTCTATAAAACCATTCATGACGCTCATTAGAATAGCTCAGATAGTCATCCGTTAAAATAGTTTCGATAAAAAAAATAGTATTCATCTCTTATAAACCTAGTTATAAGCTACGTAACCCAAGACTAGCCCATAGAGACTCAACTGCCTTCTCTGCCAAGATACACCCGACTCAGGTTCACCACTTGGGAACGTACTCTATGCCTTGGTATAGACCGGAACGTCACATGATGTTTCAGAAGCCCAGTAAAAAAATGAAACAATCCAATGAAATCCTGTTTGCTACGTGCTAAAATAAAGCAGCAAAGCTCTATGATGCCAGGTCAAATGCGCTGATCACTGGCATCTCGATATAAAGCCGACATAAGCTAACGGAGTGCATACTCCGTACGCAACAATACAGGTATTTAGCCTGTACCTTTCACTGGTAGGTACCTTAGGTAGTCAACCAAGACGCCCTGCCTCGGCTATCATTATCGCCGGCCGCAGCGCACAGGCAGCTCTACAGGCTGTGTCCGCTAGGCCCAGTTACGGGCTGATTTGCCAATAGGGGGGCCAAGTCTAGGTACCTGGTTGCGTGCACCGGCGCATTTCCGCTTCTTATATGGAGGAGGCGAAGAGAGACTACCAAGTACTACATGTATCCAATTTGCCAATGCAGCAATCAGCTGGCTGAATCATTTATACCTTCTCAAGCATCCGACTTGGTAGGGCATTCTCCCCTTGGGGATCATAGTTTATTTAATACCATTTCTCATTACAGCTCTACCCGCGACAGAAACGACGAGGTATACCATACTTTCAATATTATGAGCCCCTTGCTTTCGCTATTATTGTCTACGGCGACTATGATTCATTTAATAGCTCTGCGGCAGTTTTATAATAAAAACCATTCAAAAAGCTGTGGATTGGCCAAAAATTCCACCCCTATTCCCATTCTCGCCACTCTTTACCCCCGTCACACACAAAGTCTGATATCACACATCGTCAAAGACATCTCATTCGCTCCCAGCAAGATCGCACTGTCCGCAGATCATCACCCACTTCGGCTACAGCCCGGCGTTCTAGATCTTTTCAAGGGCCTGCCGAAAAAACGCCACATGCATGCATTAAAGCGCTGTCTGTCACTGGGAGTCTGTTTCTCCGGGAAAGTTATGGGGATTTGAGGAATTCCCATCTTCTCGCCACATTTGCCGTTAAATGGGGTCCCATACGGAGTAGATGGGGTGAAGGGGGGCAAAATCTTTTCCAATAAAAGCATCGCTCTGTTGGTTTTTGGACAAGAGGAATACGATCGTTTTGATCTGTCTGCAACCAAAAATAGCCATGACATCTGCTCACAAGTCTGGCAGTCCCATTCAGAAAGCGTCTCCTTCACCAGCCTCTCACACCTCTCACGCCTCTCACGCCTCTCACGCCTCTCACGCCTCTCATACTTCTCACGCCTCTCGGCATTCTCATCACTCTCACCACTCTCGCTCTCTTCGCCGTCGTCGTCGTCGTCGCAGCCGTCGCTCGTCCCATTCTGCCGCTCCAAAGCCTGAATCGCCTCGAGTCGTGCTCGGCCACGGCGCCATCGCTCGTCTGCCAACAGAGCTCAACAAGCTCTGTCTTTCCTGCCCACTCATCATCTGCAGCCCGTCTCGCCTTTCGCTTGCGAATCGCATCCGCTCCCTCTTGCCCAATTTCGACGCCTACATCATAGATTCAGATACGCGCCCAGGCTCGGCCATTTTATTCGGTCGCGACTCTGTAATCAGCGTTGGAGGGCCTCGAGCCGTCGAAATGGCGAAACGAATCAGCTTGAAGATGACCATTCCGCATGTTTGCATTCCGACAACGCATACCGGGGCGGCTGATGACCTTTCCCCGTGTAGGGACCAGCAGATGGCTTGTGACAGTCCTACAAATTTTGAAGAGGAGGATAGTGATGCATGCGGTAATAGTAAGAACAAGATGCTGCCGACGGTGATCATATACGACGAAAGATTCACGGGGAGCCATACAAGGCGATTTTCTGCCCCATCAGGAGTCTTTGATGGCACTGATGGCGATGTTAGTGACGAAGTTGAAGCCGATACTAGTGCAGCCTATGTTACCACAGCTGCTGTTAACAAAACGGAATGGAGATCTGCTAAGAGCAGCACCGCTCAGTGGAGCTATCTCAATCTTCCTGGAGTCTGAAGGACAGCAATCATCAGCATTTTCCTTATCTCAGTTCACCATCACCATCAACATTTCCATATACGCGGGTGATCACGCAGGCCAAAGCCAGCAGCCTGTCGATCCGATCGATTTAAACGGGCGCAGTTAGCCCCTTGCAAAGTCCTGCCACAACATTTGCGCATTCATGAGGCCACCAGATAGTATGGTAAGAAGCGCAGTGTAAGTCCGCCAATTACCCTTCCAGATCGAGTGGACTGCATAAATAAAGAGCTAGGTGCAATTGGCGGTTCATCGCCACATAACAGCTTTTGAGCCAACAGTATCAAAATCAACTTAGTTAGTCAGGCGAGAAAAAAAGAGGGAGTAAATAAAAAAAGAGAAAAATTGAGCTGGCCTCAAAATGTTATTTGGCCAAGCAGTGTCATCATTATATATTATGTGAGTTCAGTTGCCTGCTTCTTGAACACTTCCGTAGTATCTCAAATAGAGGTATCACAAACCTCATATATATCTCCCCCTGTCCTGAATAGGGCAGGAGAATATTGTTTTTAATCCAAACCGTCAAAACCCAAAATTCCATGGGCGCCCATCGGACCCAGTTTGTGTTGCTGCATTTCTTTTCGTCTTTTAGCCCGTTGCTTCATCTCCTCAACCCCATCGTCGCTATCATCATCGCTGTCACTTTCGGCGGCCCGTTTGCCATTAGGCGCCTCTTCATCGTCCGAATCATCGTCCGAATCATCATCGTCATTCTCGCTATCGCTCTGGTCGCCTTGAAGCTCAGATAATTCTTCCCAAACCTTGACTGTTCGACCACCAGCACTAATCAGACGGTTCTCCGAGTCGAATGCCAGTGAGACCACGCCCTCCATGTCGTCGTGCCGCAGATTGAGTGATGTATTCACCTCTCTCCGTACCAGATCGACAATTCTCAGGCTACCGTCACCAACGCCGCAGACAACCTTCTTGCCCACCCCCAGCTCTTTGGGTATCAGCGCAATTGCGTCTATGCTATCTCCGCCGGCCTTTGGCGGATCCACGATGATGCGCTCTTGCTGGTCGTCCCAAGCTCCTTTGTCCCACATGGTCAACACTCCAGATCCAGACCCAACGACCACAATGCCATTATTTCGATTCTTCTTGGGCCCCAAACCAGGCACGAAGCAAGAGCTTAGAAGCTCATCTTCTTGATCCTCGCTTCGTACCAAGACTCCACGTCGCACGTCCGTAACAGCCAGGGTTGTTCCTCCCGTGCTAACCCATTGCTTGGGGAAGCCACTGGTGCTTTCTTCTGATGGTGGGAGTGGCGTAATCGACGAAACATAGTCGGAATGAGGATAATGTGTTTGCGCCGGCTTTTTGCCTACAGCACCATCTCGTAAGTCGAAAATATGTAGAGCTCCAGTATCGGTTGCCAGGAGGAGGCTCATTGGGTTGAGCACGTGCAGCAGCGCCGGGCCATCGGGCTTAGAGGTATTGGTCGGAATCGCAAGCTTCGAAATGACTTTGCCTGTTGCGGTGTCGTAGTGCTTGATGATCGCATCGGTGCCGGCAGAATATTGGTCTGCGAAATTGAATTGTCAGCATTCGCGTGGCCACGTAAAAGTAAGAGACAGATGGGTTTCTAAGAGCAAATAGAACACCCACATTGTCCATCATGGGAATTGGCCAGACAGCGACAGCTTCCCTTGTGTCTTTTGGTGCGCCAGACGGAGTCAATCGTCGATTTCCCATCGCTTTCGCTCGCGTCTCCGTCCACGCTATCACCCGAAGAGCTGCCCGGTGGCAGCCGAAATGTTTCAACAACGCCGTTGGACAGTCCAACACTCACCAGAGGTGCTGTTGGGTGCAGTGCGGTGGTAAAAATATCCGCGTGGAGCGGGAGCGTGCAAGTGTTTTCGAACATGGTTCGTCTGGCCGAAGTCGTATCGATTCAACGACGGGATCGCAGATCTTTGCGCAAAACAATTGACAATGGGGCTACGGATCTTGTATGATAATTCTGTACAGAAATGTTTGCATCGTTCAGCAAGCTGAGCGGCAGGGAATGATCACCGCAGGCTCTCTTTATTCTTTGATCAGCTGATGCTTTGTTCGAGATTCTACAGTCCAAAGAAAAAAAAGTTAAGCACCGATAGATTAGATAACCGTATCGATTGAGCTTATGCACTGTGCACCGTACGCATACACAATGTACAGTACTGTATGGATGGCTCTTCCCCCACAGCGACCACTTGCTCTCTCTTCTTGTTTAGCAAGAATATAATTTAGCTCGCAAAGTTCTTTAGGCACTGTTGGATTCAGTGTATCTAAAGGGTAGCGAAGTTTCAATCTTCATGCCGCATCGCCATTGACTGAGGCGTAATTACAGCATTCAAGAGTGACCCGGACAAGCTGATAGAACAATCAATGCGGGCTGAACATTTCAATTGCCAAAATTCTAATCATGCAGATGCCAATCATACAAATGGCTTTATGGCTAGCCATGATAGTCGGACCTCTGACAGCGGGCGCTCGCGAAGCTGTTCGGTGCGTCATGTATCTCACAGGGTGAGCTTCGTTTTGGCCTAATCTCTACCTGGTTTGCGGAATTGCTGACCCTATCATAGGCAACATGTGGTAGTCCCTCCAGATCGATATCTTGTAGATTCTATAACGCATGTGATACTGGCATTCATGCGCTCTGATGTTTTCAATGTGGACCAAACGCCTACTGAATTCCCTTTTTTTACAACCGTTGCTGAAATACGGCAGAAGTTCAAGGCAAATACTAAGATCATGGTCGCAATTGGGGGTTGGGGGGATGCGGGATTCGAAGAAGCTGCGAGTGATGATTCAACAAGAAAGCGCTGGGCCCGCCAAGTAAAGGCCATGGTTGACCTAACAGGAGCTGATGGCATTGATATTGACTGGGAATATCCCGGGTACGTGGATCTTGAATTGCAGCACCTACGGCAGAACAATTTTCATCTAATGTTATTTGTAGGGGTAATCGGGATGACTATAAACTTATTCCGAATTCTCAGCGGGAATGGGAGATAGAGGCATTCGTGCTGCTGCTTCGAGAACTTCGTTCCGCCTTGGGAGATGAGAAACTACTCACAATTGCGGCCCCAGCGCTAGAACGAGATTTGATGGCTTTCACAAACTCGACTATTCCGTCCATCGTGGATCAGGTTGACTTCATTAGTGTAATGACTTACGATATGATGAACCGACGCGATAACATCGTCAAGCACCATAGCGGCGTGGCTGACTCCTGGGAAGCAATGAGGCGATATATAGACCGTGGGGCCCATCCGCACAAACTGAACTTGGGACTTGGTTACTATGCCAAATGGTTCATGACCGAGCAATGCGATTTACAGCACCCATTGGGATGCCGTACTCAACTGCTAGAAGACCCAGCCACCGGAGCCGACCTTGGCAAGACTGCCGCTTTTAGCTGGCATGATGAGGTTCCCGTAGAGCTGGCGAATTCCTTCGAAAAAGCTCATACTCATGGCCGCTATTTTGAAGATGGAAGCTACGGGTATTGGGATGACGAAGAGAAGAGATGGTGGTCCTATGACACGCCTCTCACCATCAAAACAAAAGTGCCTCGACTTCTCGGCGAACTGCAATTGGGCGGAGTGTTTGCCTGGGGGCTGGGAGAGGACGCTCCGCAGTTTATGCACCTGAAGGCAACTGTCGATGGCATTCAGGTGCTGCGCGGAGATCAGAGCACACACGATGCTGCGAAAGATGAACTATAATAAAGCGACGACGCCATATGACTAGTCAATTAAGCTGAAGCATTAGCAACCATACTGGCAGATAGGTCCGTTGCCTATCCAACAAAGAAAAAAATATATATCTATATCTATTTGTTTATATATGGAACTGGTTTGTATAAAGAAGTGGCGAAAATCGAATAAAGTCAATGGTAGAACTGTTTGAAAAGAAAGTGAAAAGATTACAAATAGTACGACACTGGCCTCCATACCCTCCCATAAATTAATATGGCGATTAGCCCGTCTTAGAGATTGTTGCTTCGCACAATAGTAACATTGGCAAAATTGTGGGGTATGGCCTGCAGAGGCTGCTTCTTTCCATCGAAGAGGAGATCAAAGTACGCCATCAAGATGCCATTCAGATCCTTGTCCAGTTGGTGAGGATCGATGCTTCCTAACACCTTCTGAATGGCCTCCTTGATTTCAGCAGAAACTTTCACCGTGCTAAGAAGCATCAAATCGTCCTTGAAAGCACCATGCTGGGTGTTAGCAATGGCAATCTCCATGCTTTTGCCCTTAAGGTGAGGCCAGAACTTGTTCCACGAGGGGTCTTCGGCGTCGTGGCCCTTGCGGCCGGCTAGGATGAAAGGCTTGGTGATGTCGGTGCTCATGATGGGGTCGATTACCATGCCGTCGAGGTCGAGGCCGCCAACAACTCGCTTATCGGAATGAATGACGGCAGCAGCGGTGGCGCCGCCAAAGGAGTGCCCCCAGATGGCAAGCTGCTTGTAGTTGATCTTGCCGGGGAAGTCTGCGAGCAATGGCTTCATAATCTTTGGGTTCTCGAGTTGGCTGATGATGAAGCTAATATCGTCGTTGCGCACCTGTGATTGTTAGATGATTTGATTGCTTTCTTTCTTTTCTATGGAGAACAGAGAACACATACCTTGAGAACTTTCTGAAGGACTGAAAGATTGGAGTCATCGAGGTCAACACCCTCGATAACTGTTCCATCAGGGAATTGTACGGCAGGCGCATCAAAGGGGTGGTCGACAGAGACGACGACATAGCCATGGCTAGCCAGAGATCGAGCCATGGCACTGTAAATGAGCCTCGACTCTCCAAATCCGGGATCAAAGAAGATAAAAGGATATTCTTTGTTCTTGTTGGAAGCTTGACCGCAAGGAGAGAGCTTTTTGAGGTCGCAAAACTCCATCTCGAATGCATCGTAAAACGTATCTGGAATGCCAACCTGAGTGGCTTGCTGCCCGTAAGAAGCTGCCACAGGGGGGGTCATATACGGCACTGTCACCGTAGGACATGATCGTCTTGATATGTCGACTGGCAGGTACAGAGAGACCAAAAGGCGACGAGATTTGGATTTACCGGTTGGATCCAAAGGATCAGCCCGGCTTGTATCAGTCAGAGGCTGCTCTTTCATGGCCACCGCATAGGGACCAGTAGGGCCAGGAACAAGGACAGCTCCCGAGATGGAGAAAAGCATGGAAATTGGCGTGAGAAAACGCATCGTGCCGGCTTCAGGAAATAGGGAGTAGTCAACTAAATTTGAAAGCGAGACTTCTTAATAAGAGGTTACAAAATTGGGAAGAGATGAAGTGGTTTGAATTCGTGAACAGAGACTCTGGACAGCAGAGGGTGATAGCCTGTAATTTATAGATCCATCTCTTACCCTCTTTCCATCTTTTGGAGACACATCACGGCTTCATTTCCACAGCCAAGCCGTATAAGTCTTCAAGAGCCATTCCCAAATAGTATACATTGCCACGAGGGCCACGAGGGCCAAATAGCCCAACTTTGAAGGATGATTGGTCGAGAGTACATGGCTCGACTCCCCTTTGCAGCTGCGCAGGATTCTTCCGAGGAAGTTTGACATGGCGCAGCTGCGAACCGAAATCTGCAATTGCGAATGCCAAACCTTGCGAAGCCGCAGTAGGCATGGCGTCGCGATATGGTTTCCATTTTGGGCAAAGCATGATGATGTCGGCAGATCCGCACTAGCAGGATGGAGTCCAAGTAGGGAAGTTTATGCGCACACACGCTATTCAAGGGCATTAAAGCAGATACCCCACTAGCGGCAAGTCAACCAACCAGTCAATCCGGTGGTGATAAATGCTTGTCCAGCCTAGAATTGTAATGATGCCTCCTCAGATGCTTCAACATTGCGTCCAGACACTGTGGTTCTTCTCGCTTTGATTCAATTCTTCTTGGGCTTGTGGTTATTAATAAAGGCCTCGGTGGAAGCATAGAATTGGCCTTCGCGCAGTTTACGTTGGATAAAGAAGATGTCGGCCTCTGTGATGCTGACAGTGGGCCGTTCGTTGCATATTTCACGAGCAATGTTACTCGGCGTTGCTCCCTCAGCCTGCAGCCGCGTCTCAACTAGCTGGAACAGATCCTGGATGCCAAAGGGCCGGGGCACTTTGTTCTGCAGCTCCTCGATCTCGGCGGGCTCGTGATTGTGCTGGCACGAGCGCGCAGAAATGATGTAGTCGGCCATGCGAGTGCGGCGCGCGACGATGAAGAAGAACGGACAGTCGGTCTTTCTGGTCGAGGTGATGTATTTGTTGCGGCTCAAGTGATACTGGCGATAGATGCCACTGTGCCGACACCGCACTTCGCCACGCACCACGACGCCATTGCGGCGGTTGACCCGCTCCTTGATGGTAATGAAGCCCTGCGAGTACTCGACCCTCTGGATGGCGTCGTAGGCCTCTTCAAACGAGAGAAACGTCTGCCCGATGAGAGAGGCCATGGCAGCTACGATGACGATATAGGAGGAGGAAGACGGACAATGGTCAGGGCAGAGGCAGAAGCAGAGGCAGAAGCAGAGGCAGAGGTAGAGGCAAAGGCAGAAGCAGAGGCAGAAGCGGCAGAAATAGAAGCTAGGCAAGCGAGAAAATGGCCTAGGCAAGCGACGACAATGCGGAGACTGGAAAGGCGTGGAGTCCAAGACGCGATTTCTTGTTTACGAAGCGATTTGCAGCAGATAACGCCACGTGATGAAGCTGTGCGGAGGAGGAAGTCTAGAAGTTGCAAAAGGGTGGGGTAATTGGCCGCATGTGGCTTAGCGGTGCTGGAACATTTGTGTGCGCGTGCGCTAGTAAGAGATGACTAATAAACGTCCCTACATATAAGCAGTTCAAGCGAAATTGAAAATGAAGCCGTTGCTTTTTATTCGGTGAGCTGCGCAGATAGGTATCATTTGGGTTTTAATGAGTTTATAAGTAGATTGATTATTGAGCCTCTCCAATATCTGTAATAAGGAATCTAGATGTTATATAGCTCTCTAATCGGTAAAAATACGATTGTCCAGAACTATCACCACAAAGCCATGAGTGTGAGTAGTTACAGTTATGTCTGATCGTAAGCTTCAAACAAAGCTTTGCCATGGGCGGCTATCCGGTAATATCTGTCATTATTTCGTAGTGATTTTAATATTCTATTGTTTGCTCGGGAATAAGTCTTTTTGCCAATATCAACCACCACTTCCCCCATGAAATAGCAACAGAAATTCATTGTATAGGGTACGCAGATTCGGAATACATCTAGGTGAGGCGTACTTTCATTCTCAAAGTGTCTCGCCGAGAACACGCTAACTCACCCCGGCAATCGCTAAATGCAGCGCCATAGCGCTTTAGACTCTCTGCTGTAGACTTGAGAGCGACTTAAATCCAGCGCTTACACTCAATTTAGTACCAAACCCCGTCAACTCGGATCTCAGGCGAAAGACGTCGAAAGACGTAGGTTACCATTTGACGTGTCTGCCTGCCCCTGATAGCATTCCGCTTGACCTGTTCATCATTCACATTACCTGCTTTCAGCTAGTATATAGATATTCTGCAGTGCAACATGTTTGTTGGGCCCTTTGACGGCCGCAAGAAGCGTTCGCGTTGCCAAGCATGCTCAACAAGCCACCTAAAGGTGACTTATGCGCCTCTCTTCCCTTTGATCTAGGAATCTTGTTTCAAGCTAATGCCCGGGTATGTCAGTGTTCTGGCCAAGCTCCCTGCAGCAATTGTGAGCGCCGGCATATAACTTGCATATTTGGGCCCACCACTCAAAAGGGAAGCTCCAACATCATCTTGGTTGAAAGAGGCGAGCAGAAGACTCCCGCCACCTTCAAGTCATATATTAGAACAAGAGAGAAGCAGTCTCCCTCCAGCACTGGGAGCTCCATAGTTTCATCTCCATCGGCTCTTACGGACAATGCTCTTTCGTTTCTTTATTATTTTGATGTTTTTGCCAAGCGGAACAATTTCACGGGGAAAGAGCACCTATTTTCTGACGAGATGAAGCGGCTCTCTGGATTTCATTCTAGCTCTTATCTCATGGATGCCATGCTATCTATTGGTGCAATACAAGCAATCAAATTAAAGGCACCCGACGCCCCTTCACGAAATGAATGCTTGACGACCGCCCTAGAGCACTACTCGAAATCCATCATAGGGCTGCGTGATTCTATCAACAGCCCTCGTAAACGAGATGATAGCCGACAGAACACGGTACTGTGGACAACGCTCTTGCTTGGCTTATTTGAAGTAAGAACACACTTGGTATTTGCCAATTTGCTTTTATAAAGATAAGCTGACCTCGGCAAGCTAATAAATGATGAGACTGGTAATGGTTGGCAGCAGCACATGACCCATGGAACGGCAAAGGCTCTTGAAGCTAGCGGTCCGATAAATTGTCGGGCAGGCCCAAGCCGAAAGTTCTTCGTTCAAGCGCGCATTTTCGAAGTATCACGTACTATTCTAGAAAATGAGTCCACGTTCCTCACACAGCCCGAATGGATGGATCTCTCTCGGCGGATGTGGACCGGCGAGCATGGGGATGAGTGGCATCCTTTGGACTCTTTGCTTGATATCATGGTTACAGTATCTAAATTACGGGTTCAGTGAGTAGCAGCTTTAACACTAGCATATTGGATGTACGTTTTTGCTCACATTTCTTTTAGGACGGCAGAATTTATCGAAATGCATGAAGAATGCGCTGATGAGGAGCTTACTACAAGAGGTAAATCTATATGTTCTGATGCCTGCACCCTGAAAGAAGCTTTGGGTAGTTGGTATGCATCATATGCACTGCCCATAAATAAACCAGTTACCCAAACCATGACCAAAGAAAACGATAGCATGCTACTCTCGAGGGTATTCTTCGCCGCTATCAGCATCTATTTGTCAGGAATATTCGACTATGAAATCACGCATTGGCACAATATCGCTATCACACCGCCGACACTGAATGAAGAAACAGTCCAGATGCATACGAATGCAATACTTGAACTCTCTGCTCTTGCTCTTGATACGACCAATCTCTCACCGCTGCTTTTCTTGTTCCCTCTAAGGATAGCAGGAGCTAGATCTAGAACACAATGGCAACGAGACTGGGTAACGAGGCTAGTAACAAGGATTGGCAGCGGATTTGCCGTGGCGGCTGCAATTTTAACAGAACTAAGCTACGTTTGGGAAATATTTGGCCTTGAAGAGTCACGCAATAAACTCGGAGAATTTGAGGTGATCTATGATGCATCAAGGTAGGCAGATAACATCGACGGAATATACCCAGACTGGAAATCTTCCTCCTGTTAACTATCGTACATCATATACGGGTTTAAATTTGGAATTGATTTTTCTTTGTAATTAGATATAAATGTTTAATGGATAGAATTGCTACGATTCGGATGTTTTTGCCGGCAAATCGTAATTTTAACGAAAACATATACGAAAATCCTTTCGGCGCCCTTATCTCTGGGTTGGGACTGAAACTTGGACGAAGCAATGCAATGCAACCAAGCCTTTCAGCTTGTAATCAAGATCATGACGCTGTTATCGGTAGTGTTCGACAAATTTGAAATAGCTCTGCTCAAGAAACTTTGCTGGCAGCAATTTCATGCTGCGTAACCATCTGTGACTCTGATAAGCGATCCCAGCATAACCTCTTGACTGACTGCGAACCAACAATCTGTGAGCTTGTCAACTGCACGTACAAACTTCACAAGCTGAGCGATATAAAGCCTGATGAATACTTTCTGCGCATTTCAAAGCAGAGAAACAATCAGCAAATAAATTCTGCGAATCAAAGACTTTTGAAATTTTAGAAGAGCCTTAACTTATCCCCACAGAGTGGCGTCCTCATTCATGGTCTTTGCCATTACACTGAAGGACCGAGGGCCAAAACATCGCTTTGTCTGTACCTCTTCCAATTGTTGACAGAGCCTCCGAGTAAAGTGGATATTGGAATGATCATCAAAGGGACTTTCGAAAATTTTTGACGTGTATCACACAACGAGAGACAATTGAAACTTACATTTGAGCTGTGGCTTGTATACTAATCTCTTCGTCTTTTTTCTGGAGCCATAAGAACGAGCCAAAGAAAGCTCAGGATCCCTGTACATGAATGGTTTGGTTTCTTTTTTAGGATTAATTCGCGTGTAGTCTTCAAAGAAATAATGAATGAGCTTCATAGACCATGTGTCCAATAGCTTATGGAGATGTTTAGAGCGCGAGCAAGCTGAGGCAGTTGGATTTGAGCTTGAGAGGCCATGATTGACCTTTCGTTGACCGCGGGCTGGGACGATGTAAACGTGTGTCTGTTAAGCTCACGCTGGTTTTGGGCGTATTTGCTGGGTCAACATTGGAAGTGGAGTAAGTAGAGGATAGCAATAGTGGCTTGTTCGATACCTTTTTTTGTGTTGTTTTGCTTCAATTATTTAGTCTCCCTTTTTTTTTCTGATCTATATTGGTTGCTATTATGGTTCTGGAACTATCTAGTTATGCTAGCTAGGCTTCACAAGCAGCGCGAGATTGAAGCGTAAAATCATCAGTCTTGGAAGCGCGTTGACCTTGATAAATAAGTAAAGATGGAAGTTTAATGAATGAAATGAGTTGTGTTAAATTTTTTTGTAAAAAGTAGGTACCAAGATGAAAACTTTATACGCCTCTTCGCTGCAAATCAGGTAAATAGCGCCTGCAGGCTTTAATATAGCGCAAGATTTATCGGCGCCAGTGACTGTTCAATTGGGAGTCTATCCGGTTTCGGCCGGCCGATTTATCCTCCGGCAGCTGTTGTCAAAACCTACCCACCTCAGATCGGAGGGGCAATTGATTGCATCTCCAGACAAACATCAACGCTGGAAAAGTTGCGACAAGATGGCAAACGGCGCAGAGAACAAGACTCATACCGAGTCGCAAGTCTATCTCTCTACCAGAGGTGGCGACTACGATGTTGGCCCCCCCGTCCTCTTTCTGTCTCTTTAGACGATAATCGTTACGGCGTGCTAATCTTTCGAAGCTGTCATTCGAGACCGTTGTCCTCAAGGGCCTCGCAGCCGACGGGGGTCTCTTCCTGCCGCATCAGATCCCAACCGCAGACAAATGGGTATGTGCGCAACACTTCGATTTCCCATGTCGCCTTATGCGATCGTCCATTTTACAATCATCGGCGTGAGCCAATGGCTAAGACAGACTTCAGCGCGAGTGGAAAGATCTCTCCTACCCCGAACTGGCCTTTGAGATTCTCAGCCTTTACATCTCGCGATCCGAGATCCCTGCGGACGATCTGAAGGCCATTATCGATCGAAGCTATTCGACTTTCCGCTCGAAAGATGTCGCCCCGCTGGTGCATCTAGAGAACAATCTTTATCTACTTGAGCTGTTCCACGGCCCAAGCTACTCCTTCAAAGACTGTATGCTCCACGAGTGCGGATAGGGTGACATCATTGATCTGACATGTGTAAAGGCGCACTGCAATTTTTGGGAAATCTCTTTGAATACTTCCTCGTTCGAAAGAACCAGGGCAAAGAAGGAAAAGGTAGGCTGATATGATAGATAGAGACAATCCCTAGTCCAACCGTCGAGTGCATATATGCTGACTAGTTAGTAGACAGGCATCACTTGACTGTTGTGGGCGCAACAAGCGGTGATGTAAGCTCGCCCTCGCCATTTTATACGATTATCATTCTAACACTCATATAGACTGGATCTGCTGCCATCTACGGTCTGAAGGGCAAAAAGGATGTTTCCGTCTTCATCCTGCATCCCAAGGGCCGCATTAGCCCCATTCAGGAGTTACAGATGACGACTTGCACAGATGCAAATGTGCACAACCTTGCTGTCGAAGGAACCTTTGACGACTGCCAAGTGAGTATTACATGTATACCTAGAAGGAAGGAAAGAAAGAGGAAAACAGAGCCTCAGGCTAACAATACAACAGGATATTGTTAAGGCCATGTTTGGCGATCCCGATTCAAACGAGGCTTTGCAGCTTGGTGCCGTCAACTCGATCAACTTTTCGAGAATTCTCGCTCAAATTGTCTACTACTTCTACTCATATTTCTCACTTGCCAGACAGTCATCTTCTTTCAATGTTGGAGATGAGGTCAGATTTGTGACTCCCACCGGAAACTTTGGCAATATCCTCGCCGGATACTTTGCAAAGCAGATGGGTCTTCCAGTGGCCAAGCTTGTCGGTATGTGTTCTCCACCAATCTTGTCTAGTCTGAATACCAGATCTGACTTGTATATAACTAGTGGCAACAAATGAGTAAGTAACCGAGCTGAAGACACTAATCCTGGTTCTTACGATTGTGTCATTTATCTAAAGAATGGCGAAACTCGTATGAGAACTGTTTTAGTATTAACATTGACTAATACTATCGCCTAGGAATGACATCTTGCATCGCTTTTGGCAGACTGGCCGATATGTGAAGACCCCTGTTCAGGACGAGAGCAGCTCAAAAGCCGAAAACTGCAAGGAAACTTTGAGCCCAGCTATGGATATCTTGGTCTCCAGTAACTTTGAGAGACTAATGTGGTTCCTGGCTAGGGGTAAGTGCTCCTACTCGGTCCGACTTCTTCACCCAAAGCTAACTCTTTTGTAGATTTTGCCGCAACTGTTGGCATGGATGAGGAGTTTAACAGAAAGCAAGCTGGACAAGAGGTCTCTGCTTGGTACAAGTCCCTGAAAACCACGGGCGGTTTCGGACCTGTGCATGACGAGATCATGGAGAACGGACGTCGCACATTTGAGAGCGAGCGTGTAAGCGATGCACAGACTGTGGAGACGATCAAGTCTAGCTACAACAAGAACAGCTACGTCCTTGATCCCCATTCGGCTGTCGGAGTCACGGCATCTGAGAGATCCATCGCACGTACCGACTCAAACGCACACCACATCTCGCTCTCAACAGCCCACCCCGCGAAATTCTCAGATGTCGTCACTAAGGCCCTGGCAGACGAGCCTAAATTCAACTTTGAGGAGCAGGTGCTTCCCGATGAGTTCAAGGCTCTCTCAACGAAAGAGAAGCGCGTTACACTTGTGGAGAACTCATGGGAGAAGGTGCGGGAACTTGTCAAGAGCCAGGTCGAAAAAGACCTCAAGGCCGAGAGCAATTAATTTGGAAAAAAGAGTACATAAAAGTTTTAGTCGCGTCACATAATGCTACTGCATACCTAGATTATCAATTTGGTTAGAAAAAAATATCATCTTCACTTGTGGGCTCATAGTCAACTGATTATAGCGTAGTACTGCCGACTTTGGCATTGATAGGGAAATTAAAACGATTAGCAGAGAACTCTGGCCTGCGGTGATGTGAGATAAGAAATGTCTGTAACGCGTGAAGTTGATATTCGTAATCGAGGGAGTTGCATCCATTGCGCATAGATAAATCATTTCACATTGACGGCTGCGAGTTGATAGATGCAGCCATGGTAGGACTTCAAAACCAAGAGTAGTCATTCAAACGGCTAACTGCGACGTAACATTCGGCTTTTGATTCTATGTGGTCCATGATATACCCGAGTTTGTAAAGTTCCCGTAACACTCAAGCCTAAAATGAGGGACCAGAACTGAACAGGGAACACGATTGTGATGTTGATATTTCTAATCAATAAAATACAGTTGACGCCTTGAGCAACGTAGAGTTGCAACATGGAGTCTAGAGAGGGGTGAATGTCTGACTTGAACCAGCTTAACAGAACCCTGCAACCCAGTTGGAGAGGAAGAAGAAGAAGAAGAAGAAGAAGAAGAAGAAGAAGAAGAAGGACGAACCCTACATAACTCCGCGTTATAGACATTCCGAATTCGGAACTTGCATGGAAGAGACCTAGACGCCCGATAAGGCTCCGCACTCGTGCATGGGTAAATGAGGAGGGGTTAGAGGAGGAGAAAGCCCTGGTATGGTGTGAGTGCATCGTGTGGCAGTGCCTCTTTTGGATTCGCAGCGGAGGCATCGGAAGTATCACGCGTATCTAATCGGCCATCGAAGTAAAGATTTATGCATGAGAGGCAGTAGTACTAATTCTCTCTATATTTAATCTTCCTAGTGCTTAAACCATGTTCTTCCCAATAGCCGCAATCTTGTCGGCGAAATAGAATGAACTCATAGTTGGCTGCAGCATGGGACATAATTTCCACAAATGAAATTACATGTATTGCTTCCTTTTCTAGCATACGGGTAATGTCATATCCATCGTTTCGGGGCAATACGCCTCAAACAACAGCGATGAGTAAATGAGCAGCTTCCTTTTCAAAGACAGAGACAAAGAGAGAGCCTGTAAAAGGGCCTTTTACCCCCCGAGAGAATCTTACAATAGAAGGTGTCCGAGGTTTTGCACTTTCATATTTTGTGTTATCGAAGCTGGGCATCTTGGATGAAGAGGAGATTCACCCCGACGTCGGACATAATGCCGCTAAGCACTTTATTGAATCCACTCGCGAGATCCATAGTAAGAAGAAGAAAGTCACTAAAAGCATTGACATGCGGCTCTCTCTCTCTCTCTCTTTCGCTTAAGTGGTGATTTTCCCCTCTGTTCTTTCAAAGACTGCCGGCTGCCCGGGGCTGCGCGTCCCGAGCCGGGGTTGTCATTTCAGAGTGGAGCAAAGTTCGGGACCGGGCGCCCGGCTTGACTCCAAATGGAGCCATTTTTAGGGCAAAAGGGCCAAAAGAAGAAAGAAGGGAAATTGAGACGAAAAACAAAGTTCCCAAGTCTTGGCCAGAGCGAGTCAAGCGGAAGGGTGGCTATGCTTAACTAGTACCGGTATCAGATTTCACATGCGATTTTCGTTGCCGACTACTGTATGAAGTCGAGAACCCTTTTTTGGTTTTAGAGCATAGTGACATATCCCTGGCCATTTAACTACGTCGTAATCTGTAAGTGCCAAGAAGTGCCATCGGCAGTGCGTCTGTCCCATGTTGTCCCATGTTGTGTTTGCCGTCAGTACCGAATGCAACTCCCGTATTTGGCCTCCCAGGCAAATCTCGTGGCTCGCATCGAGATTCATCGAAGAAAAAAAAAAAAAAGTCTCGTTATCGAAGCGAGTAGCATCGGCCGGGGTATTCCTATATTAATAGTATATGCTTGTATTTGGGATGGAACCGTTCTGTCCTGTTCTTTGCGTGCTCACCGAGTGGTGGGTATTTCATGATCATCCGCTTTGCCAGTTTTAGCGAATTTCCCAAACAGCTACTCCACACAGCCAAAATCACCTTCTAATAAAAGGATCGTCGTCAATATCTGTAACCTAACCGTTTAAGCTTAGGCAGCTAAAGTAAACATGGCGAAACATTAGCACACCCAACACACCCGTGATGGCTGCGCAGCCCACGGCGATGGCCGAGGCAACTGCTGCTCTGCGCGCGTCTGAGTACGGTAAGGGTTAGGCACATGAGGCTACGCGTTGAAACCCTTTCTTGTCTTTTGGAAAACTACGAAGGATTCGGGAATGGCGTGACCCGTTTGCGGTTCCCCCTAACTTTGGCTGCGTAGCTGGCCTGTGGGTTTTGGATGGCTCCATAAAGGCAGGTGGTGTTTCAGTCGGGGCATTTGCTGACGGTGACTCCAGTAGAGAGGCTTTTTGCGCTTTGACGGTATTGATCATAGCCGAATGCTGCCTCTGCTCGGCGTATCTTGTCCCTTGTAAAGTTCATTCTCTCGGCCGAACTATATTAGAACGATGATGGCCTCACTCGTGGGTTATAAATCTTCAGCAACAATTACTTGTCTGTTCCTCATCACAACAGTCTTATAAGCCCGGAGCTACTCTTGAGACTGCCCCTTTTCTCAAGTAATTAATCTGTTGTGAGAAACAAGCTTTACCCGCATTCATCATGTTTGTGAAGAGCTCTGCTTCGGCTGGCCTTTTGGTCGCTCTGTTCAGCTACGTCTCTGCGAGTCCAGTGTGCTTGGCGAGAGAGCCCGCAGAGCCGGCCAATGTGGTCTTGACCCCGGCCGGTGATAGTGGATCGAACTTGAAGCTTGCTAACCAGAACAACTTCATCTGGACCCATGAAGACCAAGGTATGTGAATTCATCTCATCTCATCTTGTTTGCTATAAAGAAGTTTAGGATCTAACTCATCTCTCCGTAAACTGCAGGCATCTATGCCAACTTGACCGTCACGGTCAACCCGGGCGTCCGTCTCCTCAGCGCTCTCAACTTCCAGAATGTCGTGGAATCAGTTGACTGCGGCAGCCAAGACGTCACCGTCAAGTTTGACAGCGCCACCTCGCTGAAGGCTGCTCAGACTGCCTGGGCCTGGGTCAACCAGGCCCCCGCCAACACAATCATCTACGTCGCCGAAGGTGATACCTGCGCCGGCGACAGCGGCCGACAGCCATTCTCCGTCGAGTCCATCACATACGACACCACGGCAAACACCGCCACGCTGGCCGCCACCAAGACTGCGTGGAAGAGCTTCGCCCAGGACGCCAGCATCCGAATCAGCGGTACTCCCACCACCGGCACCAGCACACGGTCCATTAGCAAGGACATTGCCATTGATGTCAGCCACGACTTCTCCGGCCCCATTTACAGCACCACCATCGACGGCGTCAACCTCGGAATCTCGTGCTCGACTTGCAACACTCAGGGCATTCTGAATGCTGACATCACGCTCTCACTGTCCAACGGCTTCCAGGCTTCGGTCACCACCTCGAACAACCTCGGTGCCACCTTCGAAGTCAGCCTCACTGCTGGTGGCGCTCTCTCTTCACCACTCTCCACCTCCATTCCCATCTTCAGCACCGCCCTGGCCGGATTCACCATTGCCGACGTCGTCACCATCGGCCCTCAACTGAACCTGGTTGCCGATGCCTCCATCTCCAGCTTCAGCGCCTCGGCCACCGCCACTGTCGGAGTCGAGGCAACCCTCCCCGACGGTTCTGGCTTCACTCTCGGCCAGGGCGTCAACATCAACCCCGTCGTCAAAGCCACTGGCCTTGGGTTGAGCGGCCAGGTCTCAATCTCTGCTAGTATTACTCCTACTGCCACTCTGCAGCTCGCTGCCACTTTCCTCGACGAGGGTCTCGTCGGAGGAATCGCCCTCAAAGCTCCTCAACTCACTGCCAACTTCGCCGGAGCTGCTAGCACTGCTGGCGAGACTGCTTGCGGTAACAGCAATGCCGAAGTCTCTGTGGAGGTTGACGCTGGCGTTGAGCTTGATGCCTTTGGAGGATTCGGGGGTGCCAATGACGAGCCCAATTTGACCAAGATTTTCTCTGCTTCTACGACTCTGTGGAAGGCTTGCCTGAACGTGTAATTGTATTATAATATACACAAATTTGGATGCTCTCCTGTTCGAATGCCTGGTGTATATAGCTATTAGTCTGTTTGTATAAACCGCGCTTGTATTCTTGGAATATCAAATATTAGGTAATATGGGTAGTATAAATATAAGGAAGATATTATTTCAGTATCATTTTATATATAGCCTTGGCAGTGAATGAGTGAAAAGAGAGACAAAATTTTTTTTTATTCAAAGTACTAGACATCTAATTTCTACGGCCGACACAAAATCGTCTTAAAAATATTGTGCCAAACTATGCAGTGCCCCAGTGTCTAGCCAAAAACTCATCAACCTTAATAGGCTTCACCTCTGGAACTTTCTGGTTGATCGTTGCCGTAAGGTCCATATCTCCCTCGCCAATAAGTCTCAAAAACTCATGAACCATTGTCATCAGAGGATCTTTCTTTTCCTCAATCAAGACAGCAAGGTCCTCCAAAGAGATGTAAGTCTTATCAAGAGCCTTTCCGGTAACCCGCTCAACTTTGTCAACAAATTCATTTACTGAAAGCTTTTCTCCCACAATAAAACTGTCCTCGTCCCATTTCTCGAAATCGAGGGCCGCGGTGACGTATTTGCCAATGTCCCTCATGTCTGTGAAAGCTACCTTGCTGGAGCCATCTCCAGGAATCGAGGCATTACCAGCCTTGATATCTATGATCAACGGCGGTCCACGGTAGCCAGATCGTCCAATATCCTCTTCCCGCGGCGCATCTGCAGCCCAGATATTCAACCAAAGACCGTTGATGAAGCGCGTGTACTCCAGTCCGGACTTCTTGACCGCCTCCCAGACGCTCTCTTTGACCTTGTAATAGCCAACTTTATCATATGCAGGGACTGCCCATTCTGATGGGACAAATCGCTTCACTTGGGCTTCCTTGGCTGCCTCTAGCAGAGCAAGCTGCGAAGCGGCAATGGCCGGACCGTAAGACCAGATACAGCTGAGAACAGTGTGAACGCCTTCGAGGGCATTGATAAGCTGCTCATGAGAGTCGTAGTCCACAACTCTGACGACTGCGCCTTGTGTCTCAAGGTCGGGTCGTGGGGAGCGAGAGAGGACGACTAGTTGATGCTTCTTGGATGCCAAGATAGCGTTGATGATGTTTGAGGCGATGGCTGAACCACCTCCAGCGACTGCAACGGTGACCATTTTGGAAAATAAGAAAGGATTTGGAGTTTGAGATTCGAAGAAGAGATTGGTATTCTGTTTCTAGTACAGACATCCGTTTGTGAGGAAGATGCTTTTTGTCCTGACAGGAGGACCATACACCCCTATATATACACACGTCTGGTTCTCCATTTCAAGGAGCTTGGGCGCTGCTATGACCCAATTCGTTCAAAACTGATGTAAGGTGTTACAGGACAGCTTTAAAATTGCCCGTCTATGTCATGCCTACAACAAGGCTAAAGGGTCATGATTCACTCCCCACCCACTTGTCATCGCGGCCGAGGGCGGCCGCGCGCGGTGGTGGCCCTAGTTGAATAACCAGCTAGTGGGGACGTTCAAAAGCACCATTCAATGCCTGTATTAAACTGTCTCAAAAACCATGTTATCAATACCCATTCAAGGGTCTGCATTACTATTAAGTGAAAGGACTTTTATACTACGCCAAGGCTCGAATTGGAATTTTCAATTTTCAGCTCTAAAATGTCAGCCAGATGTACTATTTCCTCTTTTCCCTTTTAGTTTTCTTGTCTATCAAAATTACGTGCGTCTATCCTTCTGAGCATATCCGGCGTTACATATTACCTATTTAGAAAGTAAAGCGACTAAACATGGGTCGTTTTGCATAGGTTGAAATGAGTTGAAGGTGGACGGAGAATCGGATAGCATGCTGGAAAGTATATTGTCTACAACTTGCAGGTTTTTTGCTATACCAGGGAGCACGATATTAGCCATCTACTGCATCTAACACCATTATGGCCCGGAATTGAGCAATACTTACCTGCAGCCTGCCACCTCCTCCCGTAGTTCCAAGTGGCTTCGCGTAGCGTTTCCAGTGCCGTAGCCCACTCCGTGTTATCCATGTCACCGTGAAAAGATATCAGCTCCAAGGTAGCACGATAGACGACATGGCTATATGATGGAGGAAAAGATATCACATTGGCGTCGCGGTAGTGAGTATTTATAGTTTGTGATATGTCGACAATCATACGGATTATGGTCTGGACAGCCAAAGACGATGCTACGACGCAATGGGCAGGAAACCCACCAACTTCTCCTTTGCTTAAGGCGTCTGCCGTGACAGATGGATGTCGACTGTGAAGCAGGAGGAGAGATCTGTAGCCATTATATTTATTTTCTGTTAATGTTGCTGATATTGTTGTTGCAGACATCGAGGCGGCGACTTACACAAGCACTACAGCAGAAGGTTCGCAGAAACCACATTTGACACCCTTGTTCAGGTCGACAAGAGTTCTCATGAGGTCTTGGAGCTCAGCGTCTAGTTGGAACTTGTCATCACCCAGAAAATCTGATTCCTGAGCTGTAGCCAGGCGTTGACGAAAGGCGATTGTCCGGTCAAACAAGCGCCATGCTTCTGCTTGGTAGCCAAACCCACCAAGCGCTCTTTTGTCACGAGCAACACCATCTTCGCTAAATCTAGAGAATGAAGAATCGAGATCGACAGCTTCAAATGGAAGGTGGCTCGGCATAGAATCTTGGCAGTGTGCAAAAGGCTTACTCAATGTGGCTTCGGGTAGTAAAGTTGACCTAGCTGATGGCGTAAGTATGCGACTAAGTTATATGCTTAAGACCATGGGATCCAAACCTATCGCGTATGACCAGTGCCCACCAAATGTTACATCTCTCGGCTGCTTCGATCCATTCGTCACTACTTTGAAGAGTATTGGATGGGGGTTTTGCATTGTGTAGGTCCATCCAATGACCCATGCGTACGCATAGGCCAATAGTTTTATAGCACTCCTTGTGCATGCCGAAGCCATACTCGTAACACGAAAGCAGAATCCCTGCTTGAATCATCTCTAAGGATGCGTCTATACTGGCATTTAAGTACCAATAAATTGAGCGAACCGCCCTGTATAACGGTTCTTGTGCTGTGCTACTTGTGGGATAGTGGATTGATAAAAGAATGCATAGCAGTAGAATCGCAAAATCCGGACGCTTAGTTTTGCTAAATTCCGTCAACCTGCGATAAAATAGTTTCCGTGACATGATAGGCATCCATTTATGGATGTTGTCAAAGTAACACTGAGATGCCCCATATATCTCTCCTGGATGCGACTGAAGGAGTTGGTAGACTTCATCACCCACTTCCAGCGTCGAGGCTACCGCCTCGAGACGCGAAACGAGGTCAGTACAGCTGTCAGTCGAGCCCAATTGACTCGTTATCTCAGCAGACGATGCACTATCATCTAGGAGAGCCGAGTTAGAAATTTTGGACGTTCCAGGAATGAGCATCCCCTCAAACGTCTTTAGTCTTTTCCTCAGCTGGCGGAACTCCTCTACCATGGGTACACTATCAACGTCCTCGTATATACATTGTATATGCAACCTAAAGCAATGAGCCCAGATCTATTACCATATCAGGAGATTGGAATCAGGTGTGATTCTAATTATCAGCCACTCACTTCCGACATTGGAGGCACCCAGGCAGCGCCTTGTCGCATTTCTTTTTCTTCCGCCGGCAGGACAAACAGACGTTGCCCGCTCGCGATGTGGGTCTTTCGGCATTCATAGGAGATGCAAAAGTGGAAGCCATAGCTGCGAATCAAAAGCTCTGAGCAGTCGAACCACAGGATCTGGGCCTGATAGAATAAGACGTACGGATTTTGAAGTATACGATTAGGAATTAAGGCACGAGTGAGCTCTCTGTACTCTGTACGGCGTATTCTAATCCATATCGGACTTGGGGGAGATTGGCGGATTTGGCCATGTTAGTTGGCGGCCGCGGTCGGCCGCCTTATGGCTAAGCCCACATTTGCTTATGCGAGCAATCTGGGGCTAGGATGTTGATGCTGATGCTGCTGATGATGATTTTGGTCAACATTAATTTGCAAGGCGATTTGTTTTGATGAGTCTAGAACGGCGTGGCTTATAAATCTGGGATCGTGGCTCTTTCACCATTCGAGATGACCGCGTATGCTATAAATGGTTAATGGAGCATTCCATCTCCGCCATGAAGTCCGCATTGACGAGATGCTTATGAGTGGGCTTTATACCTTTACTGTAGCTGTAGGACCCAAAAAATCATAACAGAAGGGCTTGACATAACGATTGAGTGAGGAAACCTGGAACCAACTGCTGAGGCCGATTTCATCCCGCCCACCGATAGAACAATGCTTCGCATAACCCAAGAAAGGCATCGAGTTTACCTGTCGTACTCGATATGGCTAACCCAACTCTATCTCCAGCAAAGGAGATCAGGGGCAATAGTTTCAAATATCATCGTCACATCCTGCAGCGCATGATTTCCCATCAAGTGTGCGTCCACAAGAGTCACTTTGGCTCAAGACAATGTCATGCAGTTGGTCTAGTGGCGCAATGGTAGCGCGTTGCTTTCCGGTGGCAGAGGTTCCAGGTTCGAGCCCTGGCTGGATCGAGTTTCATCTTTATTTTTTGCCGTGGAAGCCTCTAATGCTTGATACAATGACGGATGATGCTTTTTTTGCGTGAGGTGAATGAGGGAGGCCTCTAACTAGTCGTGGAAAGCAGCGCGATGGCAGCCAAGGCTGGCTACCGCCGGTGTTGGTTTTAGCAGTAAGGTTGCAATGGATACAGTGCAAGCCGCCGCAAATAACCGCCTTCAACAGGCACTCAGCTTGGCTCAACCAAAACCTCTTTCAATAATCCTCCATAGCATAAAAACAAAGGCAAAGGCAAATGGCAAGTTGCTAGACGTATGATGTGCATTTCCGCTCAGAGATGCTCAAGGGAGACGTCTAACTGTATTAGTATCTTAATGCATGGGCAGCTGTCTACTTCACTCCTGACGACAGAAACACCATCTACATGAAAATCGTTCATAGGCTATTCGCGATCAAGCAATCGGTTGAGCTTGAGCAAAAATAGTGTTGAATCGCAGAAAAATTGCAGAGTATGATTTGGTTATTTTCTTCCTTCTTTAGCTCCATGTGCATGCTATTTCCCTTGTGCTGGCTGTAAATTGAACCATTTTGAACGTGGGTTGTTAAAATCTCATTGCTGCATTACATATTGCTAATAGCTGTTTCACCTCTTGGGAGCTGCTTCATCGTGCTGCAACAGAAACATTTCTCGTACCGAGCAACTCTCTGCTACGAACTTGGCAGGTTGGATCTAATGAAGCTCTTGTTGGGAGACAAAATGTGATTACTCAGCTCAGAACTGAATGGGTGTGGTGATATTGAAGCTCGATTAGGTGTTGCAGCACATTAACATGTCACAACCTTGGACCGGCATTTGGCTCCTCCTATGGCACAGTGGGTGTAGCTCAGCTTCCCGCATTCTGCGCAGTCAACCAAGCTTGGCCTATGAGACACCAACGAGTCCGAATACGCGCGCCCTATGGCTACAACCCCTGCGTGGTCGGAACTTGGGTATCAAATCTGATGCCAAACCAGCCAATGGAACCTGCATAGGGCTTTCCAGTCCAGAATCAGACTGCTGTTGCGACTCTGTGCACTAAGGAATAGCCAACAAAGTGCGAAGCGCCAAGAAGTCTCGTTATTCTGAAAATAGCATGATTCCATCTACACGAAGCATCCGCTGATGGATTTTTCTTCTTCTTTGCCCTGCTTGCTTAATGGCGTACCGTAGATAGGCACAATGCTACTGTGTGAATGTCGCTGATGCGACAAGCCCCAAAGAACGCGGCTAGACCAAGCCACTGCACGCCGTCATAGGTGCGTAGGCACATGGCGCTATTTGGAGTTGTAGAAAAAAACGGAATCGCTCAGCCACCGCGGCCAATCAAGGCTTGCGCGTAAATGAATCACCAGTCCTCGTCGCAGTGGGTGCTGCCCTCGCTGAAGACTCCACGAGACGATTAGCAAATTTTGCACGGGCGAGGTGGTAATGTGTGCATCATCAGTGCGGAGAGCCATCTGTACTGTCTGGTCATCTGCCACTTTTCGTCTGCGATTAGCTGCTGGGGCTGAAGACGAGCATCAGTCTGGCCGGTACCTTGTCGATACCTGGCGTGCGTCGATCGTGAAACAGGGCAGCTGGCGCTTAAATTCCTTTGTGCTGAGTTCTTGCGAGGTCGCTTTGGTGCCGGGGGTGACGTAGTAACCAGCCACATCGAATGACATCACGTCTCTACCTGCTCTTGCCAGACCAAGGAATGGTTGGATGGACGCTTCTCGCAGCTGCGAAACAAGGCCAAGAGAGCGCCTTGGATTTGCACTATTAAAGCCGTCGCTCTTCTCGTTGGCTTCCATCCAGCTTTTTGCTGCCCATCTCCATCTTTTCGCACCGCGTCTCCCACTGCTTCATCTTTATCGCCTAAAGACAGCTCCATCAGCTCCCAAGCAACAAACGACGAAAGTGGTACAGCGGAGTAGCATCGCCATCCCCAACGGCGGTCTTCACCATCAAAGTCAGCGCATCGCAGCCCAAACTAGCCCGAAAATCGACCCCCCTTGGACAAGTGCTCTTCGGTGACTGGATAGCCATCACACGCCATCTTTAGTCGACACACCCTTAGAGTCAGCCAGCTCCGCATCTTTAAACACCTAATTCGACGCCACCCGCTTTCGCTGAGACGCACCAGGTAGCTCTCGGCTGTTGATAAAAACCCGGCTCTGCTCTCACCACCTCCAGGGCTTTATCGGTCTCTTCAGGAGCTATACAATTCGTTTGCGATACTGGGGCGCCTTATCTCACCAAGGACAAAACATATTTCCAAATTTTGAACAGGAAAAAAAAAAGGCAGCTTGCCATCAATACCGCCCAACATGGCTCTCGGAATGATTACCATTATTCACATTGTCCTTGCCGTTCTCGTAATCATCGAGCTCGGCATTACAGGATACCGTAAGTCTCATGCAACCGCATCTTTGCCGTGTTTTGTTTCTCAACTAATGTGTTTTCTTTGCAGTTGTTAACATGACAAGCGGCTTTGGCGCCTCATCTCCGGCCACATATGCATTTCTGCTCTTCGACTCAATCTGGAGCTTGTTCATTGTCATCTATTTGGCCATTACGCCTATTTACCTTGCTCGCTTCTACCATGCTCTTGCCGCCTTTGTCCTCCTGGTTATCACGACGATCTTCTGGTTCGCAGGCGCGATTGCCCTTGCGTGTTTCGTTGGCGCGCCAGCCTGTCACGGAAATAACTGGTGCCAGACTAATGAAGCTGGCGTCGCCTTTGCATTTTTCTTGTGGGCAGGTTTCCTGGCGCTCACGATTCTTGAGGGCTTGACTACCTTGAGGGGCCACGCGCGGGCTGACAAGACCACCCCCTCCAACGTTTAAAGAGAAAGTCGCGCCGGCTATATGCAACAACGATTCGACAACGAGACAATGCGACAATGCGACGACATGCAATGCGATGTGCATGCGATGGATGTCGTGCCGATGTGGGTTTGCAGGACCCAGCCCTGGGGGAAGTTTTTTTTTTTTGGTGCTTAATGCGTGGGATTGGAGGGATGATACCCTAATGATACCTTGATTCCTGATTTCATGAATGGTTATTACTATGAATGGTTTATGTTGGTATTTATTTTTGCCCGAGGTACAATGCGACAAAGGCATGTCAAAACGGCGACAGTATGAGTTAAAGTATGAAATAAAGCATGAATAAATGAGGCATAAGATTAATCCTGACTGCGAGTCGTGACGATCCTGATAGGAATAAAAATGCAGTGAAAATTCCGCAAATTAAATATGATTCTGTTTTTGTTAATCATACTGTGCTTGTTTATTCCTGATTGTGCTGCTGTCTCTGTTCTTTTGCGGCTCGCAACTCCTGCGAGGGGCAGCATCTTGCATGGCATCATCAGTCCATTATGCTCGGGTCTGTGTGACGCCGCCGCCGCGTCGGTCCCTGCGTGCCGACCCCACCTAAAGCGGAGCGGTGACGGGAAGGGATCTCAGAGGGGCAAATACAGCACATGTGGATGAGAAAGACGTAGAAAAAAAAAGTGTGTTTAGTTGGCGAGCAGCCTGACAAGGCTTCATGAGATGGCAAGTAGTAGTATTAGCAGCCAGACACGTGGCAGAGGCCGGCCGGATCGCATTTCAGTTAGGGCTCGAATACTAATACTAGGTAGTATCTTTATAGCACTTGTTCTACCTACTCCATTTGCTTGAGAGCGGTGTGTGACTCTTTTTGCATAATCGCCGCCCGCATTAGCTTACTACTGTACGTGTGTTCAAGACAGGACGGGTTGGGATTGAGGCCCAGCGATGGCAGATTTTTCTTCTTGATTCTTTCCTATTCCGCCTTACGGAAAAGAAAAAAAAAGAAAAAAAAAAAAAAAAAAGTCCCAAAGCAACCACAGATTATGAAGAAGGATTAATGAGCTTCTCGTGACAACTTCAAGGTTGTCGCTAATTTAAGGCTCCCTCGTTCGTATTCTAGTGGCTGGTGGCTGACTTTCTTTATTTTTGATTTTTTTTTTTTCCAGCCACCCAATCAATCCGCCTTTCATAAGCCACAGGCACAATACCCCTGGCAAGCCATCAGCCTCTTAAAAGAACAAAAAAAAAAAAAAAACAGGGCCGCAACGCGGGCGGCCACTTTTTTTCTTACAGTAAGTAAAAATGCACCCCTGCTTTTAGGTCTCCACTCCGTTGCCTGGGTAGACTATCCGGCCGGTGTGTGTGTTGTGCGCTTTTTGTTGTTGTCAATGAGCTACAAAAAAAAAAAAAAATAGAGCTTCAGTAATCCGTGCAACCATCTCTTGAAACTAGCTTCAACCATTCCTTGGCTCTAGCTTCTTGTCGCCAGGTAAAAGCAATATTACTTCCCCATCTTCTTTGTGCTGTTAGTCCCGACTTTGAATTAATCCGGCTAAATGAAAAGCGCGCAGAGGCCCAATCCTTTGACCTCTCCAGTCATCTATCTAATGTGCAGCAGAAGCTGGTTTCCCGTATAATGTTAGCTCCTCTCTTTTCTGCTCTCCCAACCACCTCGATATTTCCAGCTGAACAATCCCTGGGCGCCTTACACACGCACTCGCTATTGGCCCCCCCTCCTCTGCAGCTCATCTTATACTTGTAGGACATTAGCATGGTTTATAGTAGCAGCTTCTATTTAATAAAGCGGAGTTGAGGCGCATATCGCCCACGTTTTCTTTGTCAACTTCGCGTTTCTCACCTTTCCTTCTTCATCCACTTTCTCTCCTTGTGGCACGTCATTGCAGTGATTCAAAGGCGCGATATATCGCGATTCCATTGAAGGCTTGATTGCTAGCTGCAGCACCGTTATACTACTGCTTTCCAGCATCTTTGCGCTTGAGGCTACATATCGTCGCATCGTCACCTGTCGCATTTTGCGGCAGCCCCCTCATCGGCCAAGATGCTTTTCGGACTCGTCTTCATATGCACTCGCATCTCGCAGATCGTCACTCTGGTAGGATTCCCCCCCTCCTTATGGCTCTTGCGCCTCCAGTATAAAATAGAACAAGACTCATTCGTTCTCTCCTCGCAAATGCAGATACCTCCAGTTGGCATGCTGAGTTGGTTTGTCAAAAAGTTCAACGACGCAAACATCCTCACGCCCGACGACATCCTGGTCCTCTTCATCGTCACCGTCCTCGCATTGGGCTGGGCTCTCCTCACGCTGCTCTACTACTCGCGATCGTCTCACAACGGCATGTTCGTGTCCTTTGTCGACCTCTGCTTTCTCGGCGCCCTCATCGCCGGCATCTACTACCTGCGCAAGATCCAATACGCCGACTGCCAAGACCCGTCCGTCGACAGCATCTGGTACAATCACATTCACAACGTGGGCATCCCCGGATACTCTTGGCAGATTCAAAAGCCGTGCGCCATGCTCAAGGCCTCCTGGGCGTTTGCCATCATGAACACCGTCTTTTTCGCCGTCACCGCGCTTGCGGCCTGGAGCCATGGAGACAGCGTCATTGTCGAGGAGCGCGTCGTGCGTCATCGCAGCTCGCACAGCGGCCACCATAGCCATCGTCGCCGAAGCCATTCCAACTCGGGCCACAGCTACCACTCTTCGCGCCGAGTATACGTATGAACGAAGAAAACGGGGACCTTTTCTTTTCAAACTTAATTTACGGAGAACGAGGTGAACAAGCAGGAATAATGAACAGGGGGTGACGTTTATCTGGGTGACGATTAGACGACTAGATGACTGGCGGATTACATGATTTTTTTTCTTCTTCTTCTTCTTCTTCTTTTATGAGCGAGGGCAATGGGCAAAAAATCAGCCAGGCGTGGCGCTGATGATTTATGATTTGGAAAGGGCGGCATGATTGCCTGGATAATACTCTTCTTCTGTACGGGGTACATACTGAACAGCTTGGTTGATACATTTGCGCGAGCTCCCATTGGCAATATTTACTCTATTCTTTACGGTTTGTACATAGTGTGAGGGCTAGCGGGGGAGATAGCCCATGAAGATATCTAGCATTAATGTGCTATGAATGAATGTTCAATGCCTCAGATTTTTATTGTTTGCGTCGTTTCAGCATTGGTCTTTCGTGTAGTCGTCATGTTTGTGGTATCTCAATGTCCAACAGCCAGATCAGTGCTTTTCCGTCTCTTCACCAACATGGTAGCCTCTCGCAATGCCACTCCGCCCTTCCTCTATCACCGTGCTAGCCTCATTATCAAAATCACTGCCCAGTCCCTGCCACGTCCTCTGTGTTCGAAGATACTCGGCTCCAGGGCTGGCTACGCCGTTGATACTTGCCAGTTCACCCACCACCCTTTTGATCACAGCGTCTGATGACCGCTGTTCGCTGCTGCCGTTCGTTGTTTGAGCCTTATTCAAGCTGCCGGCAGTGAGTTGCATTGGTCTGCTGTGGCTAACAAGTTTTCCGGTTCTCAAGTCGAAGACTGGGGGTAGTGATTCCTCTCCATCCACACCATCTCCGACGTTTTCTTCTATAGTCTCATCCGCTTCATTCTTCTCTTCCTTTGCTTCCTCCTCCTTCTTTGCGCTGCTATTAGCCTCCTCTAGTGTCAGCTTCTCGATGCCTCCCCACCATTCTTCACCCCATATTCTCTCTTCTTCGCTCATCAATGCAACTTCCATCTCAAAAGGTGTGATAACAGGCCGCCAGTAGCCAACATCATCTTCAATAAGACCGCTTTCCCAGCATCCAACAACAACCCAACCCTCAATCTCTGCAAAGTTAGCCAGCTTGGCGGGGTTCAGCTTGCCCACTACAACGGTATAGCTCTTCTTCCCCGCAGCGGCGATTTTCTTTCGTAGTAGTTCAATTGATGAGAGGTAGTTGGACACAGAGAGTGTATTAACGAGGATACCGACGACGCCTGCTGAGGCGAGAGTGAGCACTCGAGCAAAGCGTCTACGCAAAAGACCTGCTGTTCGGAAAGTTGGGTTGTCGAGAGTGGGAGAAGTCGGTGATGGTACGGAAAGGACGTGTAGAGAAGCGAATCGAGATTGGAGGGCGAGGAGTAGAGATGCGGGCGGATCTGAAATGTGGAATAGTGAATGCGACTTCAGGAGCTCCTCGTCTATTGAGACGCCAGCTATTCTTCTATTTGGTATTATGCCGGCAGGGTCTCTGACAACTTCTGTCGCTACTACGTTGCTGTACCCCAAGTCTCTGAGGGCCTTCGTTATCGACTCAACATGGTCCTGGTATATCAGGTCTGCCATGATTACAGCCTTTGTATCCTTGTCGACAAACTCTTTTGTGAACTGCGCAACCACGACATCGTGATCCAACTCATGTGACGTGTATACGTATATGACAGGTAGTCGACTCGTCGGGCTTAGACACGTTCTTCCGTAGTGAACGACCACGTCTGAATTCGCATGCTCGGCCGCAATCTCGTCGACGCAGCAGGCGCTGTAGCTTGTGTCTGCCAAAATGCATATCCTCCAATCTTCAGTTCTCTCTGGTGTGCCTGTGCTTGCGAGCTCCTGTTTGAGCACTTCGACCACTCTCGGTGCGTCGACTAGCATGTGATCTGGAAATTGCAGTGCGACTCTTTTCCATCCGCCTTGGAGGATCTCTGCCGCAGTGCGCGGGATCTCGTAGGTGGTTCTGAGCGCATCGTGAGAGAGCGTAGATTTCGTCTCGGTTTGCGCCGAGACTTCGAGGATGTGGTCTTCTGGAGTTGACAGCACAGGCGCCGAAGCGAGCTCGCTCATGATTGCTTATTTATTTGTTTGGCGCAGACGTATGGCATCCAAACCGGATGAGTCTGCCTTGATAGAGTATAAAAGACTTGCAGGACGAATACTAAGTTGAAAAGAAATTTCAGAATATCAGGTCATCACTATGCTAGCACAAAAAGTTGGAGGGGCAATCGGCCCTGTGTAATGGTGGGGTGGGCGTGCCAATTTGGTCGTTAGTTAGCGGGAAGGCGGGTGTAAACTACATGCACCTAGCTGCACTACTCCCTCAAATAACTTGGATTATCAAAGATGCGCCTGAGAACATCATCATTCTGTCTGTTTAATTACATGCACATAATTACTCAAATATTAATCATGTTATATCTGAATCTGGCCTGTGCTGTATATTTGTCTCCTACCCCAAACCTTTACGTAACTATAAATAGGAAGCCGAGTCACATTTCTATTCTTAGTCGTGAGGCTTTGTCTTCAAATAATTGACAGAAAATTCATCCTTTGCGTGACTTATTCTCTCATGTGATCTAGAATTATATACAAAACTCCACAAACTTCAGTGATGCGGTGTTTGGCTAGGGACCAGTGTTGTGTAAACACGTTTGGAGTGCTGTGCTGGCAGAATGTATCCGTGCAGTTTTCTAGTGTTATGCAGGGCGAGTTTGAGCCGTCTCACAGCAGGATGTCTTGAGCGTTTGTCAAATTGTCTAGATAAGTTACATAAAGCGTAGGAACGTCATACGTCACAAGAAATTGACAGCGCTGCGCCATCACCATTCTTGATGTCATACACTAAATTATAAAGGGTGTGCGCTCTTACGTCTTTGCGCGTCTTAGTTCTCATCTTTCTACAGCATTTTCCAGCAAAACTAAGACGATAGCACGATGGAAGATGATGGTGCCAAAAGTCATTCAAGCCATTTTCTCGAAAACAAGACCATAGTCATTGCGGGAGCAGGTCTTGCGGGCTCCGCATTTGTCGTTGGCCTCCAAAAGCTCTGGAACCCGAAACTCAACCCGCCAACTATCATCATCTACGAACGCGATGCACCTGAGATCGCTGCTCAGAGGGAGACTTATACTTTGTCTCTGACTGGATTTGACGATTCAGGTGGCCTTGTTGCGTTGAAGAATCTCGGTTTGCTTGATCACGCGCTGAAGCACGCTATATCTGGACTTGAGGGAGCTGGTGCTTTCAAGATATGGGATTCAAGTTGGAATGAGCAAGTTGCTTTCCGCAGGAAACCAGTTGCAGGCATTCCGTCAACTAGCGTTCGAATTGCGCGAAAAGATATCCGCCAAGTCCTTCACAATACATTCGATCTTGGCGATCAGTGTGCCATCTACTGGGAATCAAAATGCGTGTCTGCTACCCAGCTTCCAGACGGTCGCATAAGAGTGAGAGTTGTTCGGGGAGAAGATGCCCAAGAGATCGAACAAGAGTGTGATCTCCTCATAGCCGCTGACGGAGCGAATAGTAAGCTGCGACAAAGCCTGCGTCCATTTGACACGTTGTGTCATGGCGGCGCAGTTCTCAGAGGAGGAGTAGCCAGATTCGAAGACGCCCTTCCGCAGCCACCAGGTGAGGATTGGGGCTTTGTTGTCTCTCGCACTGGCGTCTCAGCTTTCTTTTCTCCAGTTGACAAGCACAGGATCTTCTGGGCTGTAGGTCAAAATGAACATCAGATGTGCAATCTGGATCGCAGCTCGCCAACTCAGCTACAAGCAGTCATAGAACAGAGCCTTGATCTTGGGTCACATATCGCAGAGCCCTTTCGGAGCATAGTCAGGCGCACCGATCCTGAGACGGTTCTGCTCTTAAATTCACGAGACAAGCTGCCGTTCGCTCATTACAACATATCTGAAGCACCGGTTGTCTTTCTCGGTGATAGCAATCATGCCCTCAGCGCGTTTGCAGGCATTGGGGGCAACTTGGCATTGGTGGATGGATGGGATTTAGCAAACCAGATTTGCAAGCATAACAGCCTGCAGGATGCTGTCCAGGCGTACGACAGCCTCAGCGTACCAAGAGCGACACGAGATGTCAAGCGATCCAGGCGGCTAGTAAAAAGTGCTCACGACACCGGTTGGCGATATTGCCTGTTTTGGTGCATGTTGTTTGTTGGCAAGTTTGTGAGATGGACCTTGAATAAGATGGGCCGCTGAGTTCCAGAAGCGGCAGTTTACATAAGACGCGGAGATTTATGGAGAAGTGGCAGTTTGGAGACCCAGATTTATGCAGGAGGAGGCTAGAACAATGACAGCTCAGTTGTAAATAACGTCGTGTAGAGACGACGCTAGATGATTAATTCATTTCGTGCTTCAGAAACAGGAATATTGCTAATTTTGCGACTCTTTCTGGAAAAATGCTGACTGAATAAGAGAACGAATTGGGTTCTACAGGTACCTAGGCATTAGCTAAGAACGTCGGTAGGCGCAGCTGCTCTCAAAACCGGCGAGCTGTAGAGGACCGATACAGTGCTGATAGCCAGTGTATCCGCCTATCGCACACCCACTTTACGCGAGATAAGCCCCAGCCGGCAGCACTTTAGCGAGTCGAGACGCGATCGCGACGCGGTGCATTTGCAATCTGCATGCATGGGTTCTCTCTCACCCATGTCGTCTTGCCCTCAGCTCGCCGCCGCTTGGCTGCTCAGCGTGTTGATTTTATAATTGCCCGCCCGCGTTTGTTTCTTTGTTTTTGACGCTGTCCATTCGTTACATCCCAAGCTCTACGCAGCTCCAACTATCCGGCAATCTGCCATTCGCCTGGATATCCAATACCTTTCCGTCTCTACTCCGTCGTGAGCAGCCATCTGTGCTCGAGCCGCAATGCCAGGTGACAAGGCAGCGAGCACTGCTCGCACGCCAGCAAAGGCCACTCGGCCAGCTGCTGCCGCCTCCTCTGCGACCAAACAGAAATCGATAATGTCGTTCTTCCAGAAGTCTTCGCCCGTTGCAAGCTCGCCCGCTGCTCGGGAAAAGGTCTCGTCCGATATCCAATATTCCTCCCCTCTGAAAGAGACCAAAGCCAACTCTCTGCCAAAGACGAAATTCTTTGCCGAGCTTTCCACCCCAGTGCCTTCTAGCGATGCTCTGGAGCCCACCAGCTCGCAAGAGAATATGGAATCGACCGTCAAGCGGTCCAAAGTCAAGTTCGCCGAAGCTTCAGAGAGTGAGGTAGCCCCCAGTAGCCCAATTCGAAAGGTTTGTGTCGCCTTCTCTCCAGGCTCTTTTGGCTTCAGCCTGCTGACTGACTCTGTGCAGGGAAAGAAGGCTATCAATTATGCCGAGTCCTCAGACGAAGATGATGAGCCTTTTGCCTATGGAGCGGCTTCACAGACTCGGAGGCGTGGTAGGGCACGCAACGTTGTCAATGATGAAGACGACTATGGCGAAAGCGATACCGCCGAGCAAGAGGATGAAGGTTCGTATCCAACGCCTACATGATCGCCATATGGAAGCACGAGCCTAACAAGACCTGCAGATGACATGGACGACTTTGTTGTATCCGACGATTCAGACGGAGAGACTTCTCGACCGAAGAAAAGGAAGCGTCCGTCAAAACCTCAATCAGCACGCAAACGCACCAACGTCTCGTCTCCTATCCAGGACGATACGGCACGATATACTGCGAATTTTGATGAAGGTTCTGCTGTGCCTCTTGACCTTCTGGAAATGGATGGTGATCTGGACATGGAAGATATACCTACTGAGTCCACAGCCAAGCAGTGGTCTTATGACCCAGACTCTACTGAAAAGAAACCTGTCGTTAGACCAATTGACCGCGTCAGCACAAAGGATCCTAAGATGAAGGAGAAGGCATATATGAAGGAGCCCAGCGAGCGTTATCCCTGGCTAGCTACCATCAGAGACAAAGATAAGCGCTTGTCCGATGACCCTGACTATGATCCGCGAACTCTCTTTATCCCTCCGGGTGCGTGGAATAAATTTTCACCCTTTGAGAAACAGTATTGGGAGATCAAACAAAATCTCTGGGACACCATTGTCTTTTTCAAAAAGGGCAAGTTTTATGAACTTTACGAAAAAGATGCAACCATTGGTCATCAAGAGTTCGACTTCAAAATGACCGATAGAGTCAACATGCGTATGGTCGGTGTCCCAGAGGGCTCTTTAGACCACTGGGTCAACCAGTTCATTGCCAAACAGTACAAGGTTGCCCGCGTCGAGCAGATGGAGACCAATCTTGGCAAGGAGATGAGAGAACGAGAAGACAAGAGCGGCAAAAAAGCGGATAAAGTCATTTCTCGAAAGTTGGGCTGTGTTTTAACTGCCGGAACCTTGGTTGACGGTAGCATGCTTCAAGATGACATGGCTGCGTACTGTGTCTCTATCAAAGAATCTCTTGTGGATGACTTACCGGCATTTGGTATTGCGTTCACAGATACTGCGACTGGTCGATTCTTTCTCTCGGGGTTTGTTGACGATGTCGATCGGACCAAGTTTGAAACTCTTATTGCTCAGATTGGCCCCCGAGAACTCTTACTAGAAAAGTCCGGGCTATCTACAAAAACTCTTCGTATCCTCAAAAACAACACTTCTACTACCACTATATGGACGAATTTAAAACCAGGGACAGAGTTTTGGGATGCCGACACCTCTCGACGAGAACTATCTTGCGCTAAATACTTTGTTAAAGGAGACGACGAGGAAGAAGTATGGCCAGAAGCGCTCCTGGAACTCAAAGATGATGATCTGGTCATGTCTGCTGTTGGCGGCTTGACTTCATATCTCCGGTTCCTCAAACTGGAAGGCCCCTTATTGTCACAAGGGAGCTTCGAGATCTACAAGCCTATTCAGAAAAATAGTACTCTTGTTTTGGATGGCCAAACACTGACAAACCTTGAACTATTCTCCAACACTGTTAATGGCAGTACTGATGGCACGCTGTTTGGTTTACTTAATAAGTGCATAACTCCATTCGGCAAACGTCTATTTCGCCAGTGGGTTGCCCACCCACTGTGTAATATTGATCGCATCAATGAGCGCTTGGATGCTGTGGAGCTGTTGAATGATGATCCTACCGTCCGTGAGCAGTTTGCTTCGCAGTTAGTCAAGATGCCCGACCTTGAGCGTCTCATTTCACGTATTCATGCTGGTGCTTGCAAGCCAGAAGATTTTGTTCGAGTTCTTGAAGGTTTCGAGCAAATTGAGTATACGATGACTCTTGCTGCTGCTTTCAAAGGTGGAAATGGCTTGATCGATAAGCTCATTTCATCCATGCCCAATTTGGAGGAACCTCTGGCTTACTGGAACACGGCATTCAACCGGCAGAGGGTTAAAGAAGAGAAGCTGATGATTCCAGAGAGCGGTATCGATGAAGATTTTGACGCCAGCGTGGCTCGAATCCAGGATATTAAAGATCAACTGAATGATCTATTACTGGAGAAGAAGGGCGAACTCAAGTGCAAGGCTCTCAAATATACAGATATTGGAAAGGAAATCTATCAGATAGAAGCCCCAAAAGCTGTCAAGATTCCTTCTAGCTGGCGTCAAATGTCTGCAACGAAGGACGTCAAGCGATGGTATTTTCCTCAGCTAACGGCGCTGGTTCGAGAGCTTCAAGAAGCGGAGGAAACCCACTCCCAGCTCATTCGAGAAATCGCGTCGCGGTTTTGCCGGAAATTCGATGCTGACTATGAGACTTGGGTCAAGTCTATCCAAATCGTAGCCCAGCTTGACTGTCTAGTGAGTCTTGCCAAGGCGTCGGCCTCACTCGGAGAACCAAGCTGCAGACCCCAGTTCGTTGAGGAAGAACGTAGCGTGATGGAGTTTGAGGAACTGAGACATCCTTGCATGATTAACACTGTTGATGACTTTATTCCAAATGACATCAAGCTCGGCGGCGACCAGGCCAAGATTAATCTTCTTACTGGTGCCAACGCAGCTGGTAAGTCTACGGTTCTCAGAATGGTAAGTTTACCCATTTACGCCAACCCAAATACTCGCTTGTACCTACAAATTCTAACATCCTCACAGTCTTGCATTGCCGTCATCATGGCTCAAGTCGGCTGTTTCATCCCGGCCAAGTCTGCCCGTCTAACTCCTGTTGATCGAATCATGTCTCGCCTGGGGGCCAACGATAATATTTTCGCTGCGCAATCCACCTTCTTTGTGGAGCTCTCTGAAACCAAAAAGATCCTCTCCGAAGCTACGCCTCGCTCTCTCGTCATTCTTGATGAGCTTGGCCGAGGAACGAGCTCATATGATGGTGTTGCTGTCGCACAAGCTGTGCTGCATCATGTAGCAACTCATATCGGCTGCATCGGCTTCTTCGCAACACACTATCACTCTCTTGCCACTGAATTTGAGAACCACCCAGAAGTTCGTGCTCGACGCATGCAGATTTATGTTGACGATGAAGAGCGTAGAATCACGTTCCTGTATAAGCTCGAAGACGGTGTTGCAGAGGGTAGTTTCGGTATGCATTGTGCTGCCATGTGCGGTATTTCCGACCGCGTCATTAAGAGAGCTGAAGTGGCAGCCAAGGAATGGGAACATACCAGCCGATTAAAAGACAGTTTGGACAAGGCCAAGACAGGATGCTACATTCCCTTGGGCATCCTCAGCGATATCGGTTCCTTGCTCGGGAACAAGGGCGACGTCGGTGCGGAGGGAGTAGATGTTTTGCTCAAAGCTATTGGAAGCTTATAAAATCTTTGCACTTTCTAGCGTTGCAATATTTGGAGCAGCACACTGATCCCAGAGTTTCGGACTGGTGTATATGGGCCATTGTTATATGGATTTGTAGATCATGAGCAGGAGGGTCATATAAAAGGCTAAGGCGTAAAAGGCGCATAGATATTAAATAACAGTAGCAACAAAACCACAAAATGCGTCTATTCCTCTATGATTCGAATAATACTCAAAGTAGCTGTACGAATAAATGTTTACAACAAACCAAATCCAAAACCACATTGCGATCTAATAAACATGTAATACTTTCAATTCAAGTAACGAACCGAACACATCAAAGACAAACTCGCAAATAAATCAGCTGGACAAAAGAGTCCCGCCACTAACACATTATTCCTTGCCAGACTTATGCCGCTTCCTTGTCGATCGTCGGGTGAAAGATTCCCCTTCCGTGAATTGCTGTGCTTCTTGGCGTAATAAAGCTGCTTGCGACTTCGCTGTCTTTGGCGCCCTCTTTTTCACTGGCCGAGGCGCAGCTACTCTCTCAGCATTGGTAGTGGTTTTCCGTGATTTCCTCGCGGTAGCGGATTTACCCCTTCTCTTTCTCTTGCCGTTAGTGTCCTTGTCTGACTCTACATCATCCTCGTCCTCATCATCTGAATACCGGACGTTGTTCTCCAGGCGATATGTCGGGTCAAGCACCGGCTTTAACTGAAACTGCTGGCGCGCTCTCCCAGCAGTAGGAATGTCGACTACATCGGGGGCTTCCCAGCCGCTCGGCAGGGGAGACGGTCCCCTGAATGGTGGCCAAGGGATGCTCCACCAGGCTTTGTTACTTTCGTTGTTCGGGTCTGAGCGGTAGTAGGAGCCGTTGGTGTTGGTGGCATTGAGGGGATATACCGTGCGAGCATAGACGGGATATCGCCGTATGAACTTTCTACGTAGAGTGGAAAGGGGCTTTGGCATGAGGTTTGCTGGGATCCAGCCACTGCGGTTGGGGAGTCTCTTGGCTGAGCCAATTCCACGGCGGATTCCACAGCATCGGCCTGGATCATGGTGAAGCTATAAGAAGGTCCCTTAGTTAGCAAGTTGCAAAAACGAAATTTTTACTATATATAATTGAATAGGACTCTCATACCTCAATTTCGTTCTTTCTTCCAAGGGGGGACCTGTCCCGTTTGTGGTTCTTGGGAGCCTTGCGGAAACACTTTGAGCAGTAAAACTCCTCAGAGGGCTCGAATTCAGGATCTTCCGGGCCAAGTATCCTCCGCCAATTAGGCGATGGTGAACGTCGAGGGGGGCTGGAGCGCTGTCCTTCTTGGTCAGTCTCGCTATCGTCATCGTCTTCGCTCTCAAACCGATAGTCGCGATCGCCGAGCCTCGTCCGCTTCCTCCCTCTTGGCTTCTGGCGTTTAGACTTTGAGGGATCTGCCAAGAGCTCGTCTTCTGACTCTCCGTCGTCAGATTGCTGCGCGTGCTGCTGTTCAACGTCTTCGCCAAAGAGCGATCCCGTGTCCGAATCAGCCTCGGAGGAGCTAGAACTTACAAAGAGCGGAGATTCAGCTCTATTTTCAAGTTCAGGCTCTTTTTCAGTTTCTTGTGCTGTTGAATCCGGACTTTGGCGTTGATTTAGAGATGTACTGGAAAGCTTTTGAAGTGATGCGTTATCAGGGGCTTCTGTAGATGGCCTAGGAGATGATTCGCCCTGCGGGTAGTCAGAAATACTCTGGCACAGGATGGCTCTGAGAGTTTCTTGGCTATGGCGATTAGAGTCTAGATTAGAAGTAGTGTGGGCCTGGATTTCTGCATTGGCTCCTGTATCTTGAGCTGTTCTTTGCCGTGCAGTACTAATGTTTCCAGTTGAACAATCTGCGGTTACCTGGCCATGTGTTGCTGCCTCGGGTCTTTTCGCTGGTTTCGGTTGACTAGCATCTTCATTGTCGACATTGTCTTTTCTCCTTTTCCCATCTTGCTCTTCTTCAGAATTGATAGCATCTAACATGGCAGCGTTTATCTGGAGTCGAAGATTGTTCTGTTGCTGATTGAAAGCTGCGATTTCTGGCTCTTCAAGCACGCCCATCACGTTGGGATTCTTTTTGAAACAGGCAACCATGTGTTCTTTGTTTCTATCCCAATCTGCCTGAGTCTCTGTATCTTGAAACTCTCCACCGCAATAGAGACAGAATCGACCAGACGATGCGCCGAATCCTCTGCATCTTTTGCGGTGTTGAGTGCGTCCATCTTGTGGGAGACGAGACATGTTGAATCCACAGCGAGAACAGTGAGGGCCATTTGTGTCATCCACTTTATGCGAGCAATGGTTTGATTGTCCGTTTGATTTGCCACTCTTATAAGCTTCAGCTACGCTTAAAGAGACGGTCTTGCCGCAGACGGTGCAGAATTTGCAGTTTGCGCTATTGAGAATGCCCGGCTTGCAGTGATTGTCATGATAGACTCGCTCAGTGTTACTGTAGTAGTTTACGTCACGGCCACAGCGATCGCAAAATCCCGGCCTCTCTTCGCTGCGAGATTCCTGAGATTTTAGCTTCTCAAGCCCTGCACCCTCGGATGCCAAAGCCAAGGCTAAGCGCCCAAGTCTCTTTTTGACCCGTCTAAGTGGTATAGAGATGGTTCCTTCTTTGTCAAATCGCCGGATCGCCGCTTTTCCAACTCCTAATGCTTTCATGAGCTCATCTTTATGTTTCTCTCTAACATGACGATTAACCCTTGTCATGTTCCAGTGTTCATATAGCGTTTCATCACACCACATGCACTTTCGAGCTCTATGGGATGCCTTCAGGTGTTTCCTCATGGCATTTTCATCGTCAAGTCGATAGGCAAAATTACATCCATCATACGGGCATCTCGCTGTCCGGTTTAAGCAAAGATTTCGCAAATCCCAAGTGACCCGTTGAAGTTCTCCTTGCTCTGTGGGTGTCAATATGGCTTTGCTCACTAGAGGCATTCGAGGCCCAGTGCGGAGCAAATGTTCAGAGGACGGTGCGTTCATTGGAAGTTGGATACCTGAGTTGGCAGGCCAAGGGACGAGTCCGTGGCGATCAAAGATGCTGCGTTGAGTTGCCCACGTCTTTTTCCGCTTTTCACTGTCGCTTGCCGCTTTCATCTTCGTCTTGCGAGGCTGGGTTTGATCCCAATCTGAATGATCAGTTTCCACAGGCTCTTCGTCTTCTATTGATGGCCTTATACCATCCGACTTTGATGGTTCTGAAGTAACTCTCTCCTGGATAACCTCCGCCACCTCTGCCCAACTAACCTTCTTTTTCAGCTTCTTCGTAGCTTGAGCCTCCGCCATACGTCTATATCGCGGGCCCCAGATGCTGGTCTCTTGATCTTCAGCTCGCCAATTCCACTTACTAGAATCAACAATTTGAATGGTCGCTGCAGGGGAAGCAATTCTGGCGCGAATTCTGAACCACTCTTCGTCTGTAGTTTGAGGACCAATGAAAAAGCTTGGAGCATTATCCTTGGTAGTTGCAGGCCCGTCTTCTATCTTAGGTCGGATGCTTATGAACGATTCACCGCTGCTCACGCGTATAACTTGACTTGACTTGTATCCGGTAGTTTGCATGAGTTCGAATACTTTGTTCCTAAATTCATCCACCGTTGAAGATAACGACGGCATCTGAATACGTCCATCGGCTTCATTATCTCCGTTGGGCTCTTGAATATAGAGAAAAGTGCGATCTTCATCCCACTCTGGGTATAGTAGAGCAAAAGGATCTAAATCAGCAATGATTTCGGATAAGGCCGACGCACAGTGAGTCACAGAACTCGGAGGTAGGTCATCAGACATTGGAATAGAATAGTATTTCTGATTCCTGCTGACCTCTGGCCCTAATGTTTTCCAGCCGTGAAGAAGGCGAACATATTTGAGATGCTTAATGCTGTCGCCGAAAGCGAACGATACTATCTGCCGGATGATTTTAAGCGCCTCACTGATGTCATGTTTGCTGTGCCAAACACGTTGTAGTTGGCTAATGTTATAATAGCACGGTAGAACAAAGACAAGTTCGTTTTCGTCATCGAGTCCAGCGCATGTCAGTTCCAACGGTTCTTTGCCGCAGTTGGAGGCCAGTAACTCTACATCAGAAGATTTAATCGCTGTGAACCCATATCCTAGAGAGGTACGAGAGTTGATACTGGGGCTGTATATTTGGAAAATAGCGTGATGGAAACAGCCCAGGGGAAGACCTAATAGAACTTCAAAAGCTGTTTCAACATAAGCGTGGTATTGATCGAAATCCCATTTGCTCACTTCTTTTTGGGATAACTGCGAGCCGCCAGCCGCCTGAAATGTCAGATAACAGCATGAAAAAGCACCAGTTAACTCGGGAGAAATTCCCTCGTCTAAAATCCATGTGATTGTAGAGACACCCGCGGCCAATTCTGCCTCGCTAGGTTGCCAGTGATCCGGCGCAGATTCATTTTCCAACTTTATGAAGAATGAAGGGCCCAATGTTAAATCTTGTTTAGAGATATAATCTAGAGATATGCTGTCGGGGCGCAAAGGAAAGGAGTCGCAAATGATATCGACCTTGTTGGATTCCTTGTCAAAATGAACGATGGAAAATTTCGTGCTATCTTGAGGTCCGAGGGAGAGTAATCTCTTAACGGCGTCCTCAAATGTCCATTGATCTCCTGGGAGAAAAGACGCAAACCCCTGGAAGCCGTAAAGATTTATAGAGTTATCCCACTCAGAATCTGGAAGTACAAACTCTTCGGATTCAGTATCGCTTGCTTCACTATAGCTTGCTTCAATATCGCCAACTTTGATACTTTCGTTGCTGACTTCGCAGCTGAGACTCTCATCATCGTTGTCTTCTTTTTCGTTAACATCTACACTGCCGTCTTCACTGTTGCTTTCGACGTAGCTGAGGTCTCCATCATCACCTTCGCCCCAGTCGCCATTATCGCCTGGCATTTCCCAATTACTATCCTCATCCAATTCACCACCTCTTAGGTGTAACATTGTATTCTTTTCCTCTTGCAAAATTGCCTCTTTTTGAAATGGTGAGCTGCTTAAAAAGCCGGCTGGGAGACTCGATAGCAAGTGTTGCGGCTGCTGGGCGGGTACAGGATATGGCCGATCTTTTCTCCCTTATACGGATGTTAGTGAACGACGTATGCAGAGCCAAATGAACAATTATCCACCTCACCTATAAGAATCCCGTTACCCCAATTACGCTCCTTATGTGCTGTTAAAAAGTGTAAAGGTGGGTCTGCGACATATCGTGGCGGCTCTGGCTCTTGAATCTCCATTTTATAAGTCATATCAGTTAATGAGAAGTCTATCGGCTCAATTGGAAGCCCAAAATACAGCATCGTCATTTTTGTAATTATGTCAGGTGCAACATCTTGAAATCTTGTCAGTAGCAGTGTGTAAAATCTGCTCGTGTTGTCGTCTTGTACAGCTATCAGAATTTTGTATGTAGATAGCATGAACAGACGCATCTCATGTTGTGTAAAGTTGGAAGCTATGATTTGGTCAATTGGTGTATCGATATCTGCAAAGAGATCTTGAAACATCCGATATGCGTCTTTCCACTTCTCGTCACTAGGCAAAACGGCGAGATCGATTCGCTCCTGGGCTTCGCTCTCGGTGACAGTTGAAGTCCATTCGGCGCCACTAAGGAAGAATTCCTCTAGGTCTGTATTTTTATCCATACGGTATTAGTATTCCAGGGGAATTCCGTAACTTGTTTGTCACTGCGAAGGATCTGGAGGAGTTCAAGAGAATAGGGACTGAAAACGTTGCGCAATCTGCTCCCAACGGTGGCTACAGAAGGGTATTTGTATAATTTAGATGAACAGCACTCATGAAAATGAATAAATAAGTAGAAAACATCATACCATTCACGATAAAAAAAAAAGAAAAAGAAAAGAAAAGAGAAAAGAAAAAAGAAAGAAGAAAAAAATAAGATACAAACAAACAAAGTGAATAGTATCTACTTGGACAATAAGTACAAAAGGTAGTACATCTAATTATAGGTCCTGTGCGTGCGCTTGAGCACAAATGTTCCAAGGCCATTATGAAGAATATCTCAAAGGGTCTTTGTTTTCAAAGGGCCTCAGAGGCATACTGTGATAACTCACACAATTAGTGGGCTTTGTCTGTATGTTACATCAAAGAATAGCGTTGATGTACAAATACATACCTTGTCTCAAGTACTAAAATTAGAAGGTTAGGTGCTGCAAAATATTTTGCTCAGTCGCCCCATCTCCATGCTTCTAGCTGCTAGAGTTGGCATCGTGCTCGAGCTCTTCATCATTCTCAATATTTCCCACCCAGTCTCGCAACTGAGCAGAATCATCTTCATTCCAAATGCTGACTGTTGCTTCACGACGCTCAGTGCCAAAGTATCCATTGCCACTGCCATTATCGTCCAATAAATCTTCTGCTTCAGCAGCACCGCAAATGGCAACAATGCGTAGAAAGTCCCAGGAAAGCTGTAGAAGCTCGAAGCTTGGAATATGATTGGGGTTATTTGCCTTCAGCGTAAATATCTGTCCTGTCTCGATCGGTATGCCGCTCCATCGATGCGATTTAATATTCCCCCAGCTTGAATTGTCCGCTAATCCTGCTTTATGCAACCAGTCATCCATGTCCATATCACCACTGGGTAAAGGAGTTGAAGGCATAATGCAGGGGGATTTTAGCCAGTGAAATTGGACAATAATAGATCCATCAATCATTTGTCGCAATGGTTTCAGCGCCATTTTCCCTTTGTCAAACCAGCAATGTAAGGTAGGACTCAGGCTAATTAAATTTTGAGGTGATTCAAGGGTATTTGTTTGCTTAATTATCCTGTTCCAGACGATTGCTTGGTTAGGATCCCAAAATGTATGAAGCATAGTCATAAAGAATGGAAAGAACGTATGTTTTGAAGTTCCGAAAGGGAAAATATGGGCTGCCTCTGGATCTTGTGTGTGGGTTAAAACGCATTGGTGATGGTCTCTAACTTTGCACTGTATAGACGAATGTTAGAGAAAAAAAAATATGATCAGTATATTAGATACTTACAATGTTAGACGCTGTCTTATTTCGGCTCTGTTGGGGAGAATTGGTAGCACTTTGTACTGGTGGAGACCAAGGCGACTGCTGGATGAAATATGTTAACATATTTGCCGGGGGGGTCGATGGCTGAGGCGTGGCTTTCATTGGAGGAGCTGATGCTTGTAATTCCGGATAAGAGGCAGAAGGTATTCGCTCATGAGAATCAGGTTTTCTTTTGGAAGGGCTGGCTAGGGCCGGGGCGGGTGAAGGCAGAGGACTATTTTGGGAAGAACTTGACGCGGACTGGGACTGGCGCCCTCCCCTATTTGCATCTGATTATGGTTAATAAAAAGCTTTGAGAGCGAGAGAGGGAGGGAAAACGAACATGCTAGAATTCCTAAAGAAGTAGAAGCGAGAGCACCGAAGTATTTCGCAATACCCGCTAAATCCCCCCCTCTTTCTAAATTCTGCAGTTCCAGAAGCTGGTATTCCAACTGAGTGATTGGAGCGACCATAAAAACACTGAATATCGCTGCATTCATACTGTTCCTAGCACTGACCCTATTTGAAAGGCGACGAAATTCTTCGAAAATGTGAACTCTAGTGTCCAGATCTTGAATATAATTGAGGACTGGCTCTGCTGGTACATCATCTGCGATAATATCCTGCAGAACTTGCGGCCTTGAATTTCGTAGCTCAACTAGGAGCTTGATTTCATTTTCTCCGTGTATTGTCAGTAGTTCGTCTAGACATCCGTTGTCGTGAAGATCAAGTAATTGCTTCTTCCTCTCTGTGCTGAGGATTGTAATGCGCTGGAATAGGGCTTCGTCAAGAGCAGATGATGCCATGATGCTTCCCGTACGGTACGTGTGTGAAGAGAAAACGTATCTTTTCACGGGGGAAGAAAAAGGAGAAGAAGGAGAAGAGGCAGAGGCAGAAGCAGAAGCAGAAGAAGACGACGACGCACAAGACGGTGCTGACGCACAAGACGACGAAAGAGCAGCAGCAGAAGAGCCAGACTCAGAGTTGGAGGCAGAGTCGGAGGATTACAAAAGCAGGGGAAGAGGGGGGAAGAACTCTCATATAACAAAGTTATGTTGTGCTCGTTGAACCACGTGACCCTTTTTGCTTTTTGCTAATTTGTTTTTTAACTTTCATTCACCTTGTTTGTTTTTATGTTTGCACTCTAATTATCTCTATATAGGTACCTACCTATTCACCTATTAGCTACAGTGCTTTTATGTATATATTTTATCAGAGTTTAGTGGCCCGTTGCCACCAGCTACGGTCCTGATAACGGCAACCCCTATTATCGAAGGGTCTATTGGATTTGCAAAAGGTAAGCGGCTCTCCTCTACCTTCCCTATCCTTACTAATGAATCAATAGCATATTCTTAAAGCATGAACGAAGCTTCGCTCTCCGGAGAGAAGACGGAAGACAACGATCTCACACGTAAAATGTCATCCGATCCGGAATTCGAAAATAGTTTCTTCAAAGTTAGCAAATCTAACGTTGCTGGCTGGGGAGCCTTTGCTACAAGAGATCTTGCGAAAGGAGATGTCATCTTGAGAGAACGTCCCCTATTCGTGGCCACAAACAACGATCTGTTTCAGGAATTTTATAACCTTGGCAGCGATGATATGGATATCGCACTGAGTCTCCATTCACATCAGTTTATAAAGGGAGATACGCCTATTATTCTCGGAATATGGCATACTAATTGGTAAGCTTGAATATTTTTAAGACTCTCTTCTTACTAATTCGAAAGATGCCAAGGTCGTTGACTAAAAAGTATACAGTTTTGCTGTTGGTTGCCATACGGCTGGCTTATTCCCAATCGCTGCTCGATTCAACCATGCTTGCCATCCCATAAATAATATTGACTACCGAGTTAACCAAGCCAACAACCTTATTATGACAGCACGAGCAGATATTATTGCTGGACAAGAACTCACGATTTCATATGGGAAGAATCTGAGCCCACAGCTCCTTTATTTGTGCTATGGGTTTAGATGTAGGTGCGGATATTGCAGTGGTTTGGGCGATGATGAGATAGCAATGCTTTCTTCACACTGGTAACTGAATGGCAGCCGGATGTATTTGTTGCATATCTATTCTTCGCGAGATTAGACCAAGAGAGTCAATTGCTTTTGCCTAGGGCCATAGAGTGCCATTCATGATACAAATATCTATTGGTAAAGAAAAAAAAAACAATTTCAAAATGAGATTCTTGCTAAAACCATATGCAAAGAGCTTTTTTTAAAATTATAGTATTGACGACCTCGTCAACCAATATTCGCAGATCGGCTCTCTCAGATTGCCTCGGAACGACAGCGCTAGGAGTTGCACGTGCCTAATCACGTGCGCTGACCCGATATCCGAAAGCAGAGAAAACTCCAGATTATCAGCAGATCTGCGCTAGATCGCCCACGCTGTCGAGCCGCCAAACGACAAACGTCCGCTGTGAATATCAGAGAATGGATTAAGGCCTGCGTGGGACGCCATGCGCTCTGATACTCGACGACTATGCGGTCACCATTGGTCATAGCTCTTGCGCCGGAGCTTCAATTACTGTCCAAGTGCAGTATTCAAACATCAACAACACGACGATGGCTCTCTACTAGCCCGAGCTTGAAAGCTCCTCGAAGCTCTGCGACATCGCTGGGCGGCTCTTTTTTTCTTCAAAACAGGCTTTTCGAAACATCAAGATGTCTTGAATCTATAATCTCGAGGCGTAATTCCAGAGCGACCTCGACTTCAACCTCGTCAACCCCACCACAAAAGCCTGCAACGCAAACACCTCAGTCGATTTCAGATCTCGCTCCCCACCGCCAGCGACAGGCCCGCAAGCAAGCCCTCCTTCGATCTACATCATCCGAAGCTCCTCTACCTCCCGATGCCTCCTCGCTCCTCACGTCCGCCGCAGCGTCGCAGCCGAAGGATTCTTTTCGCCGAAGATTTTCTGCATACTTGTCTCTCACAAAGCCCCGCCTAACCGTCCTCGTTGTTCTGTCGGCCATGGCACCATATGCGCTATACCCGGTTCCTGAAATGCTAATGCCCACAATGACCGAGACGCCAAGTCTAAGCCCATTGACGCTTACATTTTTGACAACTGGAACTGCGCTTTGTTCTGCGAGTGCCAACACTCTGAACATGCTCTACGAGCCATTCACTGATGCCAAGATGACAAGGACAAGGAACCGACCGTTGGTGCGAGGCCTCATTTCGAATCGCGCGGCGGCTTTGTTCGCCGCCCTTTGCGGAGCAGCCGGAGTGAGCGCTCTTTATTTTGGCGTCAACCCCACTGTATCATTTTTGGGTCTTTCAAACATTGTCATTTACGCCGGCATTTATACGCCATTGAAAGCGGTGACTGCATTCAACACCTGGGTCGGTGCTGTTGTTGGTGGAATCCCACCCTTGATGGGCTGGGCTGCTGCTGCTGGCGAAGCTGCCACAAAGGACGGATCCTGGAAGGAGCTCCTTCTGGCCAGTGATGGATCCTCCATTGGTGGATGGCTACTTGGCGGTCTTCTCTTTGCTTGGCAGTTCCCACATTTCATGGCTTTGAGTTGGGGTGTTCGTGAAGAGTACAAGGCTGCGGGCCTGCGCATGCTCGCATGGACAAATCCGTCGCGAAATGGGCGCGTTGCATTGCGATACAGCCTTGTGTTCTTTCCCTTGTGCTTCGGTCTTTGTGCAGCCGGCGTGACGGATTGGTATTTTGCTCTAACCAGCACGCCCCTCAACCTCTGGCAGGCCCGTGAGGCTTACCGGTTTTGGAAATACGAAGGTCACAAAGGAAGCGCACGGGGCCTTTTTTGGGCAAGCGTGTGGCATCTACCTGGAGTGATGATACTTGCACTACTGCACAAAAAGGATATGTGGCGTCGAGCCTGGAAGAGCGTCTTTGGAGAGGAGGAGGATGGTGAATGGGAAGAGGAGGAGCTTGAAGAAATGGCAGGCATGGCAGCTGCAACAGCGGTCGAACATGGAGAGACGGCAAAGCCAAGACGGTGATTTACTGCCACCCATTGTAGGAATAATTGTTGTTCTCTGTGTAAAACGGGAAAAGGAAGAAAAGAAAAAAAAAAGGAGAAATGCATCTGTTTGATATAGTGTCTAGGTGGCACGTGTAAATTAGAGACATTAGAGGCATCACACAACACTGTTTGTACAATAAATAGACGATATTGGGTACAGTCGTCAAAAGTGATGAGCAAAATCATGGAAAGAAAAAAAAAAGACATGTACAATTCTGTTCCGCTGGATTCCTATGCATATGATCCCTCTGTCACTATTATACATCGTTAAAACGCTGATTTCATCCTATGATGTTCCCCCTTTTGCAATCTGACCCAAAAATGCTCATAAATATTAATGGTCAATCCAAAAAAAAAAACCCATCAAACAATCTGTGTATCCCGCATGTTTTTTTTTCCCCTCCGTTTTTCTTTTTTCTAGTAAGTGTGTTTTCTGCTTCAGTTCTGTTTTTTTTTTTTTTTTGTCCCTGGGGGTTTGGCGTATAAGGGATTAAGTAATATCAAAAACGCCATATCAACGCCTTTACTGTACCCATCAATGCAAACTACTGTATAAAGACAATTAAGGAATGGAGGCATAGCTCATATGTAGTGATCCGCACTGTCGAGGCGGCGAAGAGCCAAAGAAAAATGAATGGAGGAGGGGGTAGTATAACAACAAAACGGGGGAAAGGGGTGGTATAATGATAAAAGAGTGTAAGAGACATCTCAGTATTCGCCTCCACGGGGACGGCGGACAAGAGACTCCATGCCCCTCTCGGCAGAAAGGCGCTGGCTGTCTAGGTATGGGCTGCTGTCTTGGCTGGTTCCGGTGCCGCCGCGGGACACATATCCGTGGCTCATGCTTGCGGTAGAGCTCACGCTCGAGGAGTAGCCGTGGCCACCATAGTACGGCGCTGCTCCCATTCCGTAGGAACTCTGGTGATGCTGGGGGTGGAGGTGAGACTGAGGGTGAGGTTGGAGATGCTGCTGCTGGTGGTGGTAGCTGGCGGAGCTGGAATAGGAGTGAGTGCCGGACGAGCTCGTCGCAGGGCTACTGTAGGAAGCGTCTAGTTCATCAACGGGGGTCAGGCCGATGCCGGAAATGCCGCTATCGTCGTCATACCCTGTGAGTGCTCCCGTCTCGAGACGGTCACGGCGCGAAGCGGCACGGGCTGCGCTTTGGAGGTTCTTGAGGCCGTTGGACATGCACTAAATGAGTGAAGGGCGCACAGTGTTAGCAATGGCTGGTGATGATAAAAGGAAGAAGAAAGGAGGGGGTCTTGATGAAGACGAATAGTCATATCTTGTTTTGTCGGTGTAAAACACAGGTAGGAGACAAGCAATAGGAAGAGGATCGAGGATCAAATAGAAAAAGGACTTTTGGGCTTACCTTGGCCTCAACAACGTTCCATTTCTCTCCAGTTCGAGCTGCCAGACCGCTCCAAATCTCCTTGCGCATGCTCATGTACTCCTTGGCCAGTATTTGCATCTTGCGGGCGTCCCAATCGTCGGATCCTCTCCTCTCCATCAGCCGTTCATGGCGCTTGCGACAGGCATTGGGTGTTTTGGACGGAAAGTATTGCTCCTTGATTTGATTCCAGTTGAGCCCTTGCATGCGGGCCGTGAGGAGCTGCTGGTCGTCTTGCTGACTCCAGGCTCCAGAGCTGGGCCGATGCTGGGATGGCTGAGACGATACCATGGGGAGAGTTGGCGAAGGAGCACTAGTAGAGTATGGCCCGTATTGCGGCTGTTGAGAAGTCTGAAGCGGCGAGGGAATCGGCATGGCTGAAGAAGGAGGAGGGACATAGTAGGGATCGGGCATCATGCGTGGCTGAGGGTACATGGAAGAAGACGGCAGGCCAGACGGGAGGCCGCCGTAGCCCTGCTCGCCGGAGTTCTTGGTTTGTCTGGGCATTGCGAAGCAGTTGTCGAGCAGTTCTGATTTGGCAGGAAGAAGAAGATGGTTGTGGCGGGTGGAGAAGGCAGATAATATGCAAATGATAGAAGAGAGTGGAAGTGTTGAAAAGACAGAACGGTGTTTGGCTGAGGTGATACGAGACCGGCTCGTTGACAAGGAAAATGAAACAATTAGGTATTAAAAGTGATTGACTGGCGGAGATCCTCGCGGTCCTGACCGAACTGGCCTGCAATGCGGTCTACTTTGAGGGTCTGTTCCTTGTAAGAGGGGGGGAGCAGGCGGCGAGTCTTCTGCAGGGGGAGAAACTCAAAAACACTGATAATGACAGCAGGAGAATCTCCGCGACTGGGGAAAGAAAGAATGAAGAACGAAGTAAACAACAATGAGAAAAAGGGAAAAGAAACAAAAAAGACTTTGCGTGAACTTTGAGGGAAAAACAAAACACACATACAAAAACAAAATGACTCTGGAGAAAAGAAGAGAAGAGCAGGCTGCCGGGGGGGGACATTGGCCTGCTTTAAGTTTTGCGATGCATCATCTGTCAGAGGCTAGAAACGAGAATCCATCATGGGCCTTGGGCGGCTGTCCGGATGAAACAAGACGGACTAAGCCCAATTGGACCTGTACATGAAACGGAGCGCGTGTATCTGAAAAGCTCAGTCTGCCTAGAATGGCTCGCTGATATTGGTCGGCCTGCCACTATGATAGAGCCACGGGCGGTTAGGAAGGTCCTTTTTAGGAAAGGTGGCTATCTTGCTGTCTACGAAGGCCTGCATGGCTCTGCTCGTACGAGTAACTCAGACGTTGGGGCGTACGTAGAATGTGTGTAAAAAAAAAAGCTGGATGGGAAAGGAAATTTCGATGTTGCGTGGTAAAGGGGGGGACAAATCCGTGTAAGGAAGCGCTTCGCCCTGATTTGCAAGGCGGCTAATACTACTAGATGGGACCAGGACAAGCATCAGAAACATGGCTCGAGAAAAAAAAAGAGAGAGAGAGACTTCTTCTTCTCTATCTCCACAAGCTTCTCTACATCCGTCCTAGGTGGATCATACAGCCGTCAACGTGGTATGGAGAACTCGCTGCCTTGCAGAAAATGGCATGTCCACGGTCCACTTCTCGCGATGAACTGCAGGACGCGGCTGTGCTTATGCCCAGAGCCTGGCCCGACAGTGGCATCAAAGCCATGCCCCAAACAGCTTAAGCTCTCCGAACGAGGGCGCGAACAGGAAATGAGCGGGATCATTGCATTGCATATTTTGGAGACGGGATGGGGATCGCCGTGGGGGAAAAGGATGCTGTTGAGCTTCCCAGCCGCGCAAAACGCCGATGGAGGTGCAAGACATGCCCAGCGCTCGGCTCATGCGACGGCGCATGGCAGCGAGGCCCGAGAGTCCCCTGCGCGGCCCAGTTTGCACATGGCAAGATGCATGTCTTTGCAGGGGGGGGGCTTTGCCGCGCTGCCTTGCCCTTGGCGATCCAGCTGTTGCGGGTTCTTTTCTGGAGCCTGGGAGTAAGTCTGGAGGTTGGCGGCGATATTGATGAAGCTGGCGGGAGGGAGTTGGTAGCAGCTTTGTGGGATTGGGCTCCACTAGCGGGAGATGCGCCATTGGCTGGTTTGTAGCTTCAAGCGCGCGTCAAGGTATAGATCCATTGATACTAGTCCACAAGAGGATCTAGTGCCTTCTATCTTTGGACTACTAGCCAGAAGCGCCGCGCTAGGATCTTGCCGCGCTGGTCTGATTGGCCGACCGCGGCGGGTATTCTTCATGTAACTCCTTTAGTCTAGGGTTGTTGGTTGTGGCTGGATTATGTGTTGGGTCCCAACAGCTACAAAAGCGCGTAATCCGCTGTTGGTTCTTTGATGTTGGTTGCTCTCTTTTTTTTTCGAGTAAAGGTTAATTATAGTCATCGGGAGAATCACGTCATGATTCCATTTTTAGTAGGGTAGTATTCCAATGATGAGTAGCTTACAGACGGTAGCATTACCGCGACGCAAGAAATTGATCGAGCGCTTTTTTTAGACTCAGCCGTATCCCTGAGTATACTTTTGCTGTTGGTGGATTCTAATTTCTCTTTTCTCTGTCATTTTCTTTGCAAAAGAGCAGTGAGGACGTAAGCGATAGGCAGTTACACTATTGCTTGAAACTTAGGTTAAATATTCCTCGGATCAAAAAAAAAAAAAAAAAAAAAAAAAAAAAAAAAAAAAAAAAAAAAAAAAAAAAATGAAGTATGCTCAACGATCTATATCGATAAGCTATAGCAAAATAATAACAGAGATAACTACCGGGTAGCTACAGCGTTCATTCGGCGGAAAGCATGAGAGCCACAACCTCGAACTTGCAAACTTGTCCTTAGGGTCTGTGAACGAATTTACTGGCTCTCACGTCATTGTATCTACAAAAGGTGAATTAATAGTGAATTAATACTTCTCTCAACAGGTTTTTGTTTCTCGTCGGAGTCAATGTCTGTAGTGGGACTTGATGTTTTACAGTCTATGAAACAACATTTACAGCCTACCGCTCCATTATCGCAATGGCGGCTCTCCCACGGTACGAGATGGAATATCACATTACCAGCATAGTAAAAGGTGACGATGATGCAACCTTCACGGTCCGCCGAAATGGCAAAGTTTTTTACATTGAGATCTCACCATCAAACTTTGTCAATTCGCCCGCCATGGCAAAGAAATACAGGTCCTATTTGGAAGTTCTGAAATCTGGTGAAGAAGTTTTAGACCAAGTATACGATACTGATGTCTATGAATGGGTCATGGCTCCATTTGAGCACTTCCTTATTGAGCTCGCACCTGATCCGTCTGTAGAGTCGGTGGAGAATATTGCAGTCACCTTGAAAGAATATCTCTATCCCGAATTCTTCGCCTTTATACTCGATATAATCGATGAAAATTTACAACCGCGCCATGTGCCGACTGAGAGGTCACCCCACTGCCATCGTTTGTTCGATCTGATGACAATTCTTTTGGATGACGTAGAAACTTGGACAGCCTTTTACGATCCAGCCGGAATTACTACATGCCATAAGAACCCAGAAGATGCACTCTTCAAGCCACCAAAAAAAGGTTATGATTGACAAGGGCCAAACCGCATGCTTCTTTAAACGCTGCCATGGCAGTGTACAAATCACCCAAGAGCTCAAAACATACAAAAAGATTCACGCGGTCGGCCTAGACTCTCAGGTGAATCAATGTCACGTATACGGCATTGTGATGGATGACAATGACTTTATTCCTGGGCTCTTATTAACCCATATTGACTGTGGTCGACCATTGTCTACAATCGTCCACCCTGAAGAACCAAATGACCTTCCACCCGCACTTAGAGAACGGCGGATGGCTCAGATAGAGGCTGCCTTATCAGCACTGCACGCAAATGATATGGTTTGGGGAGATGTGAAGGCAGCAAACATTTTGATCGATGAGAACGATAACGCTTGGTTGATTGATTTTGGGGGAGGGTATACCGAAGGCTGGGACCGTGACGGGGGATTTTGCCGGGATGGCTAGGTTGAAGAAACTTTTGTTTCCCTTAAGTTAATGGATATTAGCCCGCGGTGCCGAGAGAATATCGGCGAATTCTCTGCATCTCCATTGAAAGACAGTAGACATAAAACTATTGATGCGCCCTTTATGGTGACAGATACATGAAAATTGATACGCGTAAGACCGCATTTACATAAAGTAATATTAGCGTAACCTACATGTACCTCAACGCGAGAGCTTCAACCATCAAACCGTTAATTCAAGCGAATGGTAGCAATCTACTCCCTTTCAGCTCAGCTCCCTTCTTCAGCTATATACCTAGATCCCGATCCCGCCAAGACGGTAAGAACGGACATCGCCTTTGACGCCCCCCAATCAACTCCGCCCACCAAACTATCTTGGACACGGCGCCTTTGCGACGGTGGATCATCGCCACTATGACGATGGCGGGGAAGCCAATTGAATGAACAATTAGTTACTTGAAATGAACCCGACATTTCCCACGAGCTTCCTTCCCCGCATACTAGGAAGCCGTGAAATCTGTCATTTGCGGGTCTACGAAAAGGGATCAATAATAGATAATATACTAATGTATAGCATTCGCATCACACCAGAAAGTTAGGCGAAAGTCGTAAACTCAACCAACGCCCTGGCTCCCTGAAACGCCGGGCAGCCGGCAATGACAGCTCCCCCTCCGGCACCAAACTATTAGTCATGGTAAAAGCCGGTACGGAGCACATGGGTATGCATATCATCTAGATTCACTAGTTAGTAGTGCTATTCTGCCTCTCGCCGAGTTTCCCAATTTGGGCGCACGTGTGAGTACCAGATAACGGAAGAGGCGGGAGGGGTTTAGCTGAGGTTAGCCTAGCCCTGCCGAGATATACAGACATTGGCCACGATTTGCTGAATCTCTCTATCAGAACGACAGCGGATATTAAAAATGCGTATCAGACCTGTCAGTGCACTTCTCCATAGATAGGCAGATACGTGTAAAAAAAGTCATAGTATTCCGTGGGCGGTGGATTCTCAGCGGGGGCTTCCGGGTGGTCGGACTAGGGTGCCGCATTATCGGCCTGGAACAGCCTTTAATTGCTCTCTTATACCGGCCCGTATAGATGCGACAAGCACCAACCGCGCCGCAAAATGTCGGGGTATTGGGCCATGCTAACTAAGAACAGGCATAAACCAGTACATACAACCGCTAATTAAGAAAAAAAGCCATTTCGACAACAAAAGGAGGGGAGCTCCCAAAGTCCACGCGCCGATCCACGCTCTAGACGCCTCTCGGAGCCGCGACAAAACCGCACTGGGCTTGGGAGAAATCTGGGGAAGTCCGGGGTCACCCTAGCCTAGCACGGCCTTAGCATATCTTAGCTGCTCTGCCGGTGGCTGGAGACGAGTTCGTTGTTATCAAGCCCGCCCTTGACGCCGTCCTATCAGTCCCCCGTCGTTATCAGCTTCCCCCCGGGTTTACGTGGCGCACTGTGGCAACTTGAGCCCTTTTCAACGGCTTCTCCCATTATCAAACGGGCCCCCCCTTGTCTAGGCTGCTTATCGCCTAGAGCGAGCGAGCGATCGGGCTGTAGGCACGATGAGAGATAAGCACTGGGTGCAAGTGTGCAGGGCGCGGGAGGAGAAGAAAGAAGGTGTGGTGTGTGTGTGTGTGTGTGTTGCGAGTTGAGTGTAACCTTAGCGTGTAGGGATTGAAGATCCAAGATGAGGAGAAGGCCGAAAGAGAGACACATTCAAGCACCCTCATAAACGTATCACGCGCGCCCTGTGCGGCAGCGTTTCTCTTGTCTCTTTCTTTTTCGCTCTCTTCTGCTTATAACTAGGACAATGCCCGCTGCCTTTTGGATATAAGTCCGGCGCAAAGTCTCACATTGCCACCTGATAAATCTGATATTCTGAGACAAACCTCCTTACTTATACGCTGCTTGTTGGGAATGCAGCATCGAGCTACTATATACTTGTCTCGACGGGATATTCTGCTGTGACAGAATCTCTCTCTCTTCTCTCCCCATCACACTCCTCTTTCAAAAACAACTTTCACACACACACATACACAGATTGATTGAAAGCAACAACATATCCAATCCCACCATGGCCAGCAACAGCAGCATCAACAAAGACCCCAACATCATGAAGCTCGTCGACCCCCAAGACCTCGACACCGTCGACCAAGCCACCCGCGATGCCGTCGACCTCGCCGCCCTCGGCCACAGCCAGGCCCTCTCCCGCAAGTTCGACATCTGGAGCATGCTCGCCCTCGCCTTCTGCGTCCTGGGCACCTACTCGACCGAGGCCCAGGACCTCTCCAGCGGCCTCACCAACGGCGGGCCCGTCGCCGTGCTCTGGGGCCTCGTCGTCGTGACCATCTTCAACCTCTGCGTCGCCGTGTCCATGGGCGAGCTGTGCAGCAGCATGCCCACCGCGCTGGGACAGGCCTTTTGGATCTCGCAGCTGAGCCAGACGCCGCTGGGGCGGTTCACCGCGTACATGTGTGCGTGGATCAACACGTTTGGGTGGTGGACCTTGACGGCGTCTCAGAACGCCTTCATGACGGAGTTTGTTCTCGGCATGAAGGTCATGTTCGATCCGGATTGGGACGGTGCGAACAAGGGCTGGGTGCAGTTCCTCGTCTATGTCGGCATCACCGTTGCCTTTACTGCCATCAACCATGTTGGCTGCCGCAACGAAAAGTTCCTGCCCGGCTTCAACAACTTTGTCGGCGTCTGGTATGTCGGATTGTTCTTCGTGATTGGGCTTGCGCTGCTCATCTCTGTCGGGATCAAACACGATCTCGAGTACCAGTCGGCCAAGTTTGTGTTTGCCACTTGGATCAACCAGTCCGGTTGGCCGGACGGTGTTACTTGGTTCATTGGCCTCGTCCAGGGTGCCTATGGTCTCACAGCATTCGACTCGGTCATCCACATGGTTGAAGAGATCCCTGCACCTCGCAAGAATGGACCAAAGACCATGTACCTATCCGTCCTCTGCGGTGCCATTTCTGGATTCATCTTCATGGTCATGTGCCTCTTTACCATCCAGAGCCTGGATAATGTTCTGAATCCCCCTACAGGCCTTCCGTTTGTCGAGCTTCTGCAAGAAACTGTTGGACTCAACGGCGCTGCTGTTTTGGTTGCCCTCTTCATCTTCAACGGAATGGGCCAGGGAGTCAGTGTCCTAACCTCTGCTTCTCGCCTTACATGGAGTTTCGCCCGTGATGGTGGTATTCCCTACGCCGCGTACTTTTCCCACGTTGACCCTACCTGGAAGGTCCCAGTTCGTGCTTTGTGGCTTCAAGCATTCATCATCAGCCTCGTTGGTATCCTATACCTTTTTGCAAACACTGTCCTTGAAGCCATTCTTAGCGTCAGCACCATTGCCCTGACTGTATCATACGGCATGCCTATTGTTGTTCTTCTCATGGTTGGCCGTGACAAGCTACCGCCAGGAGAGTTTAAGTTGGGAAGATTTGGCTTGCCTCTCAACGTAATCTCCATTATTTACTGTGTTATCACAACAGTATTCTTCCTCTTCCCTGGCGAACCTAACCCCGCCCCGGCCGATATGAACTACGCCATTGCTGTCTTTGGCGTCATGCTCGTCGCTGCCATTGGCTTCTGGTTCGTCAAGGGCCGGATTTCATTCATGCAAATGGATGATGAGCTGATGGGCGAGGCTGTGCGCGAGCTCTCATATGATGAGCCAAATGTTCGTGTGGATAAATCAGCAGATACTAAGTAGGAACTGCATTATCTTGGTTTGTCGCGGAGTTTACGGTTTTAATTTTTGTTTAATGTTATTCGAGTGTCTTCCTAAAAGCAAGAAAGAAAGTAAATATGGAGAAAATCAAGCTTGATTGTTTATTCTCTATACATAGTTATCTACAAAATATAAGTTACATATATATGCTTATTTAGGCGTGTACAAAGATATTGGCTTTCTTTGAGATACAGCAATTAATGCGAAAATGAGATGAAATTAATGGTATTCTACGCCAAATAGAAAACAATCTAAGCCAGCATTGTGAAAAGTAACCCGCTATTGCCCCGTCCATCCAGCACATGAGAACAAAAGACTTTCTCTCCTCCTTCACCCATTAGTCTAATTGCTGTCGTACAGCTTATACGCAAAATCACAAACCAAGTCCAGCATAGAATTCAGCACACCCTCCTCCGCCCAGAAATGCCCTGCCGATCCAATCTCGTGTCCCTGGAACTGCGATCCCGGCTGCGAGCTCAGCCGTCCCACCCAGGCACGCAGCTTGCCAACAGGCACGAAGATGTCGCCGTCTCCGAAGACGGCCAGGGTGGGATTTCGCACCAGCTTAGCCTCCGCCTCGTCTTCCTGACGTGGCTTTTGCCTTGCAAACACCGACGGGACTAATGACATGGTTGCGAGATGCGTGACGAGGCCCTGCAGTGGGGACAAGAGGAGATAGACTGGCCGGGGCATGATGAAGCCGCTTACTGGTGAGAGCTTGCCTTTTGCTGGCGTTGCTACAGGCGGACTAGATGATTTCTCGGAACTGCCTGCAGTCTTGGAGGAGCCTTTCTGCTGTCCGCGAGCCTCCTGCAGCGTTTGGTTCTGTCTCTCAGCCCAACTTTCAGCCCGCAGCCGTATTTGAGCAGCGTGAGATCCACAGTCCGGAGAGGTGAACGGCTCAAGGACTTCATTAAGGGGTGGAAGTTGGGTAGTTATCATTGCTCCATAAGAGTAACCCGCCATCATCAAGAGCGGCGGCACTGCCTTCTCTGATGGCGGCTCTGTCACGCGGCGACGAAATGGATCTAGACGATGGAGATAATGTGCCATGAAGCCAACGAAGCTGGTGTAGTCGTTGCATTCCGGCTTTGCCGTCCATGATGTTCTTCCGGCAGACCGACCAGCACCTCTGCATCTCATATGTACCTCATTAGCATTAGCGCGCCCAAGTGCTCTTGTTTGGCTGTTCGGTAATTCTCTGGATGCACTGCGTACCTGAAATTGAACGTCCCAAGCAAGTACCCTTTACGAAGCAGCTGTTCAGCCACTATATCCAGCAGTGGATCATCAAAGCTCCCGCCCAGGGGAGCATAAGGATGTGCAAAAACAACGGCGTGGCGTTTCCAGGGCGGCGCTCCGTCTACATAGAACGAGTCCGGGTGGTAGACTCGACAGTCCAACGTGGTCCCATCGTGGATGCTGGGAATGGTCAGCGTGAATGAAGGCTCGGGCAGCATCTTCTTCTTTTTCGCATTTTGAGCGGCGCGACAAAATGGGCGACGGTCGCCAGGGATGAAGTTGCTGATATTCCGCGGCTGGTGGGTCGTCGTTTGTCGCAGATGAAGTTTTGCTGAGCAAAATGGGGAAGCTCCAGTTATTCACCTAAGCTTCGCTTCGCCTTAGCCTTGAGCGCGACGTCACTCTCCCATTTGTTCGTTTGCGGCGATTGGATGGCCGAGGCACATGATTTTTGCAATGCGATGCTGCGAAGAAAGCATCGATGCTGCAAACTATCTATGCCACAAGGGATTGTGCATCTTCATGGGTATCTTTCTATTTTTTGTAACATTTCTTTCTAGCTAACATCGATGACTACTTATTGCTTCTTCTTGTTCTTGGCATCCAGTGCCTTCTGCTTCAGCTCCTTTATAATTCGCTTTGTCTCATTAATAAGTCCCATGATAAGTGGCACGAAAATCGGTCCAAGCAGCGGAAGGTAGACGGCAATCTTGTGCTCGTCTGGGAAGTACAGCTGTCCCACCATACTCTTCTCGAAGAAAGCCCTCTCTGCCTCTTCCTCGGCAATTCTGGCATGCTTCAACCCTTCGGGGCCGCCAAGGTCAGCGCAAGCCAGTTCCAGGTGATGCATCGTCTTCGAGACACCATCCGCGACGCTCCGAGGGATCGAGATGGAAGGTAATGCGAGCGATAGTCTTGCGAGCGACCCTAGCGTGGATGATGCGCGAAGCAAAAGGTCAGTCGATCGGATGCGGCCAAGTGTGGAAAGCCTCAAGGGCAGTGATCCAGACTGAGGCGTGCCCAAGAGTGATAGCAGGTGGCCGCCAAAAGTCAGCATTGGCTGTTTCAGCGTCGCGGTAGATACATGGCTTTCCGTATCTGGCTGAGACAGCAGGTACACGGTGCCCCATTGAGGAATCATCCATGACTGAGAAGTTTCTGTCTCGGCATCCAATCCGATCGTCTGATTTCCAATGTATATGACGAAGTTGACTGTCGGCGCCTTACCAATAGATGGCGACAGCGGCCACTCGGCAGCATTGATAAACGAGGACAGGTGCTCTTTGTTGAGCACTTGGGATTGCACGCCAGGTACGGCGTATAGTTGGACTTGAGTGTCGATGGTGAAGTTGTGGATCGGACGCAAAACTTCCAGCATCGGACGGATATACTCGTCCAAGGCAGCCTCAATGTCCCAAGTATTGGGCAGCCCTCTATCGGTGAAGAGTGAAAAGGTGAGATGGTAGGTTGGAGCGTATCGTAGAGATCGAGTCGTTCGCTTCGAAAGCGCCTCTGCAGCTTCTGCGCTCAGGCCCTGAGGGCGCACGCCAGTGGACATGGACGATGTAGAGAGAAGGTATGATATGATGGACTGCTCCTCGGCAAAGGTGGCGCGAAGTTCGTTGGTGATGTAGGACGCAAGTGGAGATGATGGCGACGTTAGAGACGGAACGTAGTTTGGAGGGTAGGTTATGTCGAGTACGGCAGAGTCCTGGTTGAGCGATGCGGAGCTGCTTGTCCCCGGGTTGAGGCGAATCGTCAAGGCGGTTTGGAAATCGTCTCTCCGAATAGGCGCGTTCCGCGGCGCAAGCTCCAGGCGCAGATGGTGGCCGGAGAAGTCGTTCAGGTCGTCCAACGCATGCTGGGTCAAGCGGATGAGATTCTGCGCTTCTTGCTCTTGCAGGGAATCAGCCTGTATCGAGATCTGGAGGGGAAAGACAGGTCGACAGGCCTATGAGCCATGGAGAGTCAGCTGGGGTTCGACAAGGCATTGTCTGGGGGACCGGATAGCCATACCTTGCCGTCAGCCCACTTCAGCATGCTATCCAGAGGCAAATCAGCGCGATATATGGCTGTTGTTTTCCACCAAAAAGGCACGCCGAGCAGAAGCACGACTAGCCAGAAAGATAACACGACATAGGATCGCTGATTGATGGCCGATCGCTTCTCAGGAGGAGGCAGAGTAGGCTCAGCAGCGGCAGCAGGCGCGGGCGCAGAATCGCCGGGCGCCTGCAGCTGCTCTGATTCTCCAGACGCCATGATTGCCGTCCTGGGAAGATGAGAGAGAGCGGCCGGTCCTGGGTCGCCTGTTGCGCGGAGTCAATGACCTTGGTGTTCTAGTACATGTGGTAATGGATATGCTCTATCTAGACCCTGATGGGCCTGAAGCGAAGTGGCATTATGGCATTGCCTATCCAGGAACGGGCAGCTCAGCGCGCAGTCACGTGGATTGCTGGTGTTACAGTGCACCACCTGGAACTGCTCCATGCTGCCATTCAGTAAACTACACAAAACACCGTTGCATCGATGAATCTCTGGATACGCGGGTAACGTGTTTGTTTATTTCATTTCTTGCTTCGTCTTTCTCCATATTGAGCGACCATCATTACTCCCTGCCCTGAGTCTATGGCTAACATCATATCACAGAATACGAGCCAGGCTACGGAATTACTGCTACTGCTGCTAATAAAAGCCACAACTGAGTTCAAGATTCAAGCCACAGGCAGCTTGGCGCTGTTTGGTCTAGAATATAAACCAGAATAGTACATCGAAATCAACCAAAACGCCAATCTTGATCCAAATTCATTCCGCATATCATCATTAACGCAAACGCTGGCCAGGCTCCATGTGCTGCTTAGCCATTTGCCACCTACAACGTCCCCATAAACGCAGGCAGCGCCAGCCCAAGGCCTACAGCTATCCACTTCATACGAATGTAGCCCATCTATCAGCAATTTCATGTTAGCATACCACTTTATTATTACGCATGGAAGTACTGAGATCTGCCATGACTTACCTCTCCAACATTAGGAGCTGCTGCGCTGCTCGTGGTGGCTGCTGCCGCTGAACTGCGAGTTGCAGTTGATGACTGCTTGCTGGAGCTGGTTGGATTGGCAGCCGCTGAGCCTGTCCCGGTTGGAGTCGGCGAGTCACCTCCCGCCGTTGTTCCTGGAGAGGCATCACCAGTACCAGTGAAGCTTGCTGAGTCCGTTGGAAGAGGAGCGGTCGCTGCAGAACCAGTGGCGGCGGCACCATCTGCAAACTTGGTGCATAGACCAATCACCCCAGAGTTCTTCTCCAGCGCGCTCCAGATGGTCGGATGAGCGCTTTGTCCTGTGCTCACACAGGTTGCTACTGCGTTATCCCACGTGTCTGGATCGTAGTTGTTATTACTATCATAACAAAGACAGCTAGCCTGCTCCTTGTAGGATGAGCCATCAAAGTTGGAGACGGCTTTCTCGCAGTTAGCGACATATCGCTGAACGGAAAGACAGGCATCGTGAAAGACGCCATATCCATTTTGTTGCTGAAAGTCGGCCATGCATTGCGCAACATCGCCAACCGTGCTTTGCGAGCAGCACTCTGCTGGCACGCCTGTGAAGTCTACTGTGCAGGAGCCAAAGCCGTATGGCTCTCCTTGGCAGAAATTCTCAACACATGCTGCGAGATGAGCGAGTTAGCGGCGAGGTCCCGGTACGGGGTGTGTCCACTGTGAAATTACTGACTGGGTGCGAGCTGGGCATTCGAGAAATCGCATTTCTCTATTACAAACTGGCAAGTTGTAAACTTGTTCTGAGCCGCCATTGTGACTGGACCGATGCTATGATTCGACGCTTTTGACAATGGCACCAATTCATAAAAAGGGACACTCCAGCGCCAAGAGTCTGGCTTTTAAACATTTACTACTCTCCTACATTGTTGGGCATTGGACGCCTCTATCTCCAGCCTAATTTTCAGCTGTGACGATAGCGCGTAAATAATGTGGCGGTATTGGCTGGCGCGACAGACTATTGAGACAGCTAACCCAATACTAGCGACGATCGTTCAGGCACAGCAACTTCGCCTTGCCTAATTTGTATTTGGCTTCTCAGTTCACCGAACAACTCAGACGATTTATGGCATGGCTCCTATGCACGGGAGAGACCAGGTGTGGCGAAGTTGAAACGAAGACAGTAGAGCTTGCTTTGGATATCAAGAGCGCAGCCACGTCTAGCTGGCTGTTAGTCGTTTACTCCATAGAAGCTATGATCTTAGCTTCGGTGAGTTGATGTTCTAGGCTCAGCAGATCAAGATCCCTCTCTGGGGCAGACTCAAGGATCGAATCATGTCGACTCTGGGCCGTGGCGGAGTCTCTGAAGCGGTCACCTTTTCCCGGATCTATCGGCATTAAGCTGCAATTCGTGGCGATGTATGAGTTGATGGGCGGATGACTATTTACAAACCCTATTCGTAAATAGTACTAACAGCGTCGCATGAATACACGTACTATTTGATGAAGTAAGAAAGAAAGAAAGAAAGAAACAATGTAAGCATAGACGCTACCCCACTATGCATGTATGCTTTTCACGAAGCTTCAATGTTGTTTCAAGTTCCTATGCCAACACACATTCTTCAAAATGCTGAAACGATTGGGACGAGATATCGGATATCTTGTCAGAGTAATAATTACCTCAGTGATATTCTAGCGATGCGTGGATTTGGAATCCCCCACCACGTGTTTGGATTTTACAGTAGTGTATCACATGCACTGGCTAACCACTCACCACCTACACTTAATGAATACATGCGTATAGTCGAAAATAAGATCATACAGGCGATCATACAGATCCATTCAACCGAGCAGCCTTGTCCATTCATATTAGCAGAATAGAATATGACCACATACACTCACGCTCCCCTTGTGCTATCGAGATCCATCAGGCTAATCCATCTCGAAGCTGCAACGCAGCTATCAGATCCATTACGATGCAGACTAACTGAAGTTTCTCTTGCCGCAAACCCAGCATACAAGGCGCTATCGTACTCCTGGGATGCACAAACTCCATCACATCCCATTGAATGCGATGGCGCCATGCTACGCATTACACACAATTGCAAGGCTGCGTTGCGCCGGCTCAGAAGCCTAGGCGATCTCACTTTGTGGATCGATGGAATCTGTATCGATCAAACGTCCACAGCCGAACGCAGCGCTCAGGTCGCACTCATGAGAGACATTTACAAGCAGGCCGCTGAGGTAGTCGTTTGGCTGGGTGAGGAAGACGAGGCGAGCAAGATGGCCATTCGATATCTGGAAGATATTGCGCTTATGAGTGTGGACAAGGAGCGGATGGAACGATGTCTTCCTCTTTTGGTAGGCTTGCAAGTGAAGAAAGACTCGGATGACCCGATTGGGCCTCTGTTTAAGCGATCTTGGTTTTCTCGCATGTGGACGATTCAAGAAGTGGCGTTGCCATTGCAACACCAAGTCCAAGTCCTGTGTGGGAGTATTTCACTGCCTTGGATGTATTTGACTATTGCACTAGATATGTTGAGAGCATCGGACTACCGGTGGGGGGAATGGCACTCTGCCATGCGATTACAGGCTTACCTGAGTGGTCTCCTGACGGAGAAGAGAGAAGGGAGTGCAGCTAAGCCGACGCTCTTGGGGATTTTGCTTTACGGCACGGAAAAGAAATGTACAGATCCAAAGGACCGGATCTTTGCACTATTCGGGATATTCCAAGAGCTGAACATCACAGTCCCAAACCCAGACTACACGGTACCTTTGAGCCGCATCTACGCAACTGCCACTGTGGCATGTTTCACAAACGACTCTTGCATGAAATTCTTCTATCACGTCCCCTCGGATGGCCGGCGAGCTGGATTACCTTCATGGGCTGTAGACTGGGGAGACCCTGCCTGGGCGAGCAACGACGCCCGTGCGACGGTTACAAAGAAGCCGTTCAGGGCTAGCGGGCTGTCCGCTTCGAGATTGGCCTTTTCAGAAGCGACGCTTCGTATTGAGGTGCAAGGATCCGTTGTTGATTCGGTGCGGCAGGTTGGACAAGCGCTGTCGATGAAAGGCCGACAAAGCTCGGCCATTGACGAGAGGCTTGTTTGGGACGGCCTTGCCATGCAAGCGAATGGGCGGTGGAACCTTGAGGATACTGCCCTGGATGTGCATGCGGCCGTTGGAGTCTTTGCGAGCTGGATTGATCTTGCAGCTTCCGCTAGAATTCAGCAGAATGGAGATGGGGGAAAAGATGATGATGATGATGATGATGAAAGTAGATGGCAAGACTTGCGTGACACACTTCTAGAGTACCACGGCTCTGAAGAAAACGATGAAGAATATGTAGAGCTTCGATCGTCATTCTGGCCTTGGTATCAAGCTATTAAAACGTCTTCTCTTGAAGCCTCTAAATCAAAGCCGGCGCCTCCAAAGCAATCTGCAGCACTACAATCATTCCTAGCTCTCACCAAGGATGCCGGATCGAGGTTCCAGCTCAAAGTCATGGCCAATTGCCGAAACAAGCAATTAATTACTACGGAGAGCAAAGCAATCGGGCTCCTTGCGGATATAGCAGAAGCTGGAGACGTGATTGCGCTTATCTCGGGCTTACACATGCCTGTCGTTCTCAGGCCGACTGCCCAGGGGCGATTTCGCTACGTCTGTCACGCTTATATACACGGTATGATGAATGGCGAAAGATGGGAGAAGAATGGTTTGGTCGCTCGAGGACTGTGGTTGGAATGAGCGATGATGGTACTGTAGCCAACGGCATCATAATACCTAGTACTGCATTTGGATATAAGAAGTCGTGCCCATAATAAGTAGGTAGTATAGATACGTGTACCAACAATAAATGTGTCACGATGTCCACCGTCTTTAATTCGCATTTCCTATATTATATAGGCAGCAAGTTCAAATAGTTGATAGATCACCTCTCACAGAGTAACCGTATGTGGCACCGAGGTATAATACTGCAACGTCGGAATTCAATTACCCTTGCCGAAACGTGTCTCAACAAAAGAATCGACTCACTCAGCTCCGAACACTGTGCGGACAGGGGCCGGGGCTTTAATCTACTGGTGAATGGGCGATACGAGGAGATGGTGATGGATAGACGAGAGCATATGAGAGTGCTCTTTTTTGTTGTTGTGCGGCAGCTATTCAGTGTTGAGGCTCGTTTTCTCACATGCGTGGTATATGTACCATGTGTACCTATGTAAGCAGTTATACAGCGATTCAGCACTTTGAATGTTAAAAATCGTACTTCTTGCTGGTAAAGATTCCATTTTATAGACATACTCTTCATCCTTTTCTCTGCTGCATCACTACATCTGCTTGTAAGCACAATAGCAAGCTGAAGACGACGCTCTTTGCGGATATTGCCCGCGAAATCCAGCCCTCGGATCTTGTATATTCATTCTAACAGCCAAACATCAACATCATAGACTACAACAGTCGAAAGAGGTTCGGCTAAGCAGAGTTGGTTGGAAGCACAAGGCAGGCCAAGCTTCTGCAACACAGCGCAAGCGACCACGCGACAAATGCATTGCACGACATACGACGCACGATGGGAGCGTCCCAAACGCACTGCACTGCATCTGAGCAGCGCACACGGGGCCCTCCAACATGCCGGATGAGAAGCCACATGCGTCGCCGTGTTTGCTGGATGGGGGCTGGCGTCTGTCTGCACATTCGCATCATGACAGGCCAGGCTCACAGCAAATCCCAGCCTTTCCGACTGCTTATTTCCACTGGACCAAAGACTCTCCTCCCCTGCTCGATCCACTGAACCCCGCACGGCAGACCCAGAGAAAGATCCATTCGCTCCTCCGGGGACTGAGCCTAGCGGCCCGTGCAGCGTCGATTGAGCCGAGGCATCGCGACCCAAAGGGCTGCCGCTAAACCAAAGAACGAGGCGCGCATCTGTGGCGGCCGAACCGTTCAAAGGCGCAGTGAGCGATGCGCGCTTCCCCGCCGTGAAATTGGCTGCAAGGAGCAACTGATTCGTTCGGGCGTCGGGCTTCGGCCGTTGCGTAGACTCCGGCTGGGGCTGTTGGTTGTTGCGAAAGCTGAGTTGCGAGCGTGGGGAAGAAGGGCTTGTGGTGGTGATTCCTACGACGAGATGCTCATGTTGATTGCGTTCGGCGTGGAGTACAGTACAGAGTGAGAATATGGCGATATGTATAGACTGCACGTTACAGAAAGGCCAGCGCCATCATTTGCTTGTACGTACGAGCGGCTCATCACAGTTAGAGCACTTACACCATTCATTCCATCACGGCAAATAGCAACCATCGCCGAATCACCCAGCCATGTATGTATGTAAGAAGCAGGGATCAAACGCCCCCCCAATCAACAAAAGCTGGGCCATTCTCGCAAGCCTAGCCAAGCCCCTCTCTCCCCAAGTTCAGTCGCGTCTCTAGCTCTTCTCTCCGCATCTGGGCTTGTCCTTTACGTGTCGCCCGGATCTATTGCCCCCCCTGCACAGGCAATATGCATGACGCCGCCGCCGCAATTCCACAGCCGCCGTCTTCGCCTCCGCACACTTTCCAACCAAAAAAAAAAAAAAAAAGTAAAACATTCAGTGGAGAATTTTTTTTTTAAACTAGTTCTTGTATTCTTTCCTTCCGTTCTCAGATATTTCCCCAGATACCCACCGTTCTTACTATTAATACGTGCTGGTTCTTTTGCTTCTTCTTTTTCCTCTGGAGTGGCGTTTGTTAGTGTTATACAGTCCATTCTGCTTCAAGTACATAATATCTGTCACTGTTGTTGTTATTGGCTGTATGGGTGTATTATATGCGGGTGCCGCCAAAAAATCCCCAAAGGTACCCCATTCAAAAAAACCACATGTAATATATCCACTCCCAAAAGAAAGCATTGTTGTCCAGGGCAAGGCCGCCTAAATGCCGAGGCTCCTGGCAGCCAATCGACGGTAACCCCTTTCTGGCTGTGAGATCATATCCATGTTAGTGAATGGTAGAAACGGACAAGGAAGGAAACATAAAGACCGTATGAGAGAGAGCTGAAGGGGGGGTTAATTGTCCCGTGCGGTTCAGGCAAGGGAGGAGAGAGAGTCGGGCCAACGCTCACGACTCATCTCATCTCACATTGTCTTCACTTACAACTACATCCGTTCCTCTACACCAAAATGCCAGGTAAGCCCTTGATACTATGAGTCGTTGTACTTTTCAATCATCATTACTTTAATCTCATCTTAGAATCTGCTTCTTGTTTTTTAATACATTGCAAACAAACAAAAACAACCCCCCAAACTAACACTCCATGCCAGTCCCCCTCCCCATCGTCCTCCCCGCGGCGGCCGCCTCCTTGGCCTACCTCAACGCCAAATCTGGCTTTTGGTACGACTTCACGCTCATCAAAAGCATCGCCAAGGCTACCATCCGTGTGCGTCGTGGCCTCAGGAACGACACAATCAACCTCTTTTACCTCTTGGAGAGCCATGCCAAAAGCGCCCGCTACGCCGACAAGGCGTTCCTCATCTTTGAGGGCAAGACTTACACCTATGCGCAGACCTACGACAGAGTCCTCCGCTATGGCCACTGGATCAAGACAAAGTTTGATGTCAAGCCCAAGGACATTGTGGCCATGGACTTTCAGAATTCAGATACCTTTATATTTGTGTGGTTTGCGCTGTGGGCTATAGGCGCGAAGCCGGCGTTTATCAATTACAACTTGACTGGAAAGGCCCTGGCACATTGTATCGAAGCGGCAACCACGAAGCTCTGTCTTATTGATCCGGCGGTAGCCTCAAATGTCGATGAAGAGAGTACTCAAAATCTGCCCCATGTCAACTTCGTTGTCTTCACCCCAGAGGCCGAGGCTGAGGCCATGTCCACAGCTCCTGTGAGAAGCCCAAACGCGGATAGATCGGAGGATGCCATGTCCAACATGGCAATGCTCATCTACACCTCCGGCACCACGGGCCTGCCCAAGGCCGCGGTCGTGGCATGGGGGAAATGCATCTATGGAGGGAGCATCGCCGAGACGCTCCTAGGTCGTGGTGGCGACGATATCATGTACACGGTAAAGATTGCCTCATCCACATCTATCAAATAAGAATGACTTCAGTTACTCACATATAATCATCAGTGTATGCCCCTATACCACTCCTCCGCCTCCATCCTCTCACTCTGCGCAACCCTCCACGCTGGCTCAACCCAAGCACTGGGACGCAAATTCTCAACAAAGACCTTCTGGGACGATTGCCGCGCCTCAAAGGCCACCATGATCCAGTACGTTGGCGAGACGCTGCGCTATCTCCTGGCCGCCCCTCCGCAGGTCGACCCCGTCACTGGCGAGAACCTCGACCGCAAGCACAGCGTTCGCCTCGCCTTTGGCAACGGCCTCCGCCCAGACGTCTGGGACCGCGTCAAGGAGCGCTTCGGCATCGAGACCATCGCCGAGTTCTACGCCGCCACCGAGTCGCCCGGCTCCGCGTGGAACATTAGCAGCAACGACCTGGGCCGCGGTGCCATTGGTCGTTCTGGCTGGCTGTACTCGCTCATCAGCAACACCGCCGCGGCACTCGTCGAGGTCGATCATGACACTGACTCGCCCTGGCGCGATCCCGTGACGAAATTCTGTCGCCGTGTGAAGCCCGGCGAGCCCGGCGAGATGCTGTATCGCCTCCCTCCCGAAGACGTCAATGAGCGCTTTCAGGGCTACTTCAACAACCCAAACGCCTCCAACTCCAAGATCCTGCGCGATGTCTTCGCCCCCGGCGACGCCTGGTTCCGCTCCGGCGACATCCTGCGCCGCGACCCCAGCGGGTTCACCTTCTTCAGCGATCGTATCGGCGACACCTTCCGCTGGAAGTCCGAGAACGTCTCCACCGCCGAGGTCAGCCAGGCCGTCGGGCTCCACCCTTCAGTGCGCGAGGCCAACGTCTACGGCGTGCAGCTACCGCACCACGACGGCCGTGCGGGATGCGCCGCCATCTGCTTCGACACGCCTGTGCCGGACGAGGCCACGCTGAGGAGCCTGGCCGATCATGTGAAGGCGTCGCTGCCGCGGTATGCTCGCCCCTTGTTCCTTCGACTTGTCCGGGAGGTGGGGGCCGAAGGCCAGACGACGGGGACGAATAAGCAGCAGAAGAGTAGCCTGCGAGCTGCGGGTGTGAAGCCGAAATTGAGAACAACAACAGAAGCAGAAGACGGTAGCGGCGATACTGGCAAGGAAGAGGAGGAGGCTGATATATACTGGCTCAAAGGTAATACATATGTACCCTTTAGAGAAAAGGAGTGGAGAGAGCTTGAGGGCGGAAGAGTGAAACTGTAGTCAAGCCTATCGACGAATGAGCGATGATGACGATGATACCTATGATGACTAGTTGACATGTTAGCCTTTACAACTACTACTTAGCATAGCGCGCTTCTCATACCTCAAGTGGTTTTGAGTCCATGAGCCTTGGTTCATACATCTATTACATAGGTAGTCAGTATATATACATACTAGAATATCAGTCTTATCCCAATCCAAATGCGTCCACCGCTGTAATAATATGCGAACCAATAATACACTATGCAACATGCAAAATGCAGCAATGGCAAAAGGAATGATAAAAGAACAAAAGTGCAAGTCTCCCCATTATTCTGGTTCCAGGCAACGCTGGATCAAATCGTGGCCGTTTCATCAGCCAATGCATTTCAACATGACCCGCCGATGCTTCGTAAACCTCATTTGTACGTATATACCTGGTACATCTTCCAACAACCAAACATTTCCTCCATCAAAAGAAAAAAGGAAAAAAAAAATATATCTACATAAATGATCAAATCGCTCATGATATAAACATCAGAGTTTTCCCAGCTGCCCCCTTCGCTTTCCCCTCTGCTAATTTTCCCTCTTCAATTCTGTACAGTTGAGGCCATCCCAATTACCACTCATGGGCCTGCGATTCCCAATCCCACACGCTGGCCACTGGCTTGGCCTCCGTAGTTTGCTGCGATTCCACTGGCTCCCATGCCTGCCGCGCCGCCAGTTCCCGTGCCAGTCCTCTCTCTCATTCTTCGGCCTTCCATCAGGCCTCGAAGGCCTCGCTTTTGCAGACCAATGACACTGCTAAGCTCACCATTCCAGATAACGCCGTCACGGTCATTATCGCCAATCTCGGAGCCCCATTCAGATCCACTCGCACTTGTTGCAGCAGAAATCTCGCCGCTGGACGAGTAAGATGTGTTGAGCGTTGAGTTAAGACTCAGGCTTGCTGTGCGCGAATTCAGGTCTGAACCGAAAGAAGAGTCGTTGGTAGTAGTAGCACTAAGGGAGAAGTCAGACGTAGATACCGGAGATCCGACCGGGTCGAGACTGCCAACGAAGAAGTTGGGATTGAGAGATCCATCAATACCGCGGCCACCACCAGCAGCCATGGCCGTCGCGTTAAACACTGCTGCGGCATTCCTACTGTCGAGAAGGGCATGTAGACGCTCGACGACTGCTTCTAGAAGACCGTCAATCCTATATGGTCGTGCTATTTGGAGGAGTGAGCAGAGGATCTGTGGCGTGCACAGTGAAGAGGCAGGTGAAGGTAGAGAACTAGTGTACAAAAAGTGCAGCAAGGCTTGAATAGTCAAGTATGTATGAGGTAGGTAAAGGCATCGGGGCCTTGAGCTGGGCATCAGACTGCGTGGCGTTGGCGCCGTGTTAATGGCCGCGGCCGCTTCATCTCCGTTGCTGTGTGCTGCACCACCTCCTCCGTGATGGATAGGTCCAGAAAGACCAGATGGGCCTGAGACAGATCCGCCAACAGATCCCACCAGCGTTGCCGAGTCGTCAAAGTTCCTATTATTCGGCGTGATGGTCAAAGCTGATGCCCGCAGTGGATTGTTAGATAGACCAGATCGCAGCGTCACAGCGTCGCTTCCATCTTGCGTAGCTGTGCCTTCTCGCAGGAGCTGGACAAAGTATGGGCCCCATCGGCGGGCAACAATTCGAGAGTTCACTGGTATCCGCTCACCGCCGATGCATAGGATGTCCATGTCGGACAGCTCCCGGAACGCCAGTATCTTCTCTCCCAAGTCTTCGCTCGCCCGAGAGTGCACTCGGCCGCCGGCAGTAGCACCCGCTTTGCGCGCAAGGCTTAGATTCATTCCGGAGTACGGGCTGCTGGCAGAGACGAAGCCCGACATGGGATCAGTCTTGCGCGGGTTATCATAGAAGCCAAAGGCTTCAAGCTCTACCATGCAGACGTTGGAAAAGTTGATACGACGGTGGTTGTAGTCGTCAACAAGGCTCCTCTTTCTGTTGCCCAGAATGACAAATGTGTTCCGTCGATTCCATAAAACACCTCTGTTCCAACTGCCTTGGCTGAATACGCTGCCCCCGGCGTCGATCCGACTCCAAGTAAGAGATCGAAGATCCAGGGCCCAGAGCGCATATTCCTGCTTCGACGATGTGAGGTATGTACCGCTAACCACAAAATGAGTATCGATGATGCCACCATTAGGGAAGCGAAGACCAGGCGGTGAATAAGTTCCTGACATGGCTCTTTCGGTCAAAGTTCCATCGGGACCCCTGATCTGGAGCTCCAACTTGACGTCCAAGAAATTATAATTGGAGTAAATAAGCATTGATGATCCGGGTTCTTGGCCGGCAGTGCTGTCGATACGTTGCTGGCCATTCGGGGTGTTCATTCCAATCCTTGCGCTTACAGCGGGCGGCAGCGATGCGGCGACGCTCCTATAGGCGCCGCAGCTCTTGCCCAAAGGTTGGTTTGTCGTCCACTTGAGGCTTCGGAGATTGAATACGCTGATCTGCTCAATGTAGTGGTTCGCACCATCCTGTCCACCGACAACGATCAGCTGGGCGCCTCCAGATCCGTCAATGTTAATACCAATACGGCCTTCGTTAGGGTTGCCGTTGGACGGGTTGTGCTGTAGAGCGGAGAGGGGGGCGGCCTTTGAGGAGAATGTGGCCGATGAAGAGAGGATGGTGGCACAGTGGGCATAACGTCCTTGAGGGGGGTCCTGTGCGGGCACATAAGACCATGTCTTCGTCGGGGCATCGTAGATGTGAATGTCGGACATGACGGTCACTTCGGGCTGCTGCTGATCCGCTCCCATAGGCTGATTTGGCGCGGGTGACATGCCGCCATAGCAAACCATTTTTGTGCCGCCAAGAGAGCACATGGAATGAAAGTATCGCGGAGGCGGAATATCACCAGTCACTTCGAGTTTCGTCCAGTGTCGGCGTATGAGGTCTAGCTCGTAAAGGTCAGAGGTAAGAGGCGCGGGACGGCTTCGAGAAAGGATTCTGCCGCCAAACACATAAAGGCTGTCGCCCAGAATAGTTGTCGTAGCTCCTACAAGTGGCGGGGGCTCTTGTCCAGTCGTCCTATGTACGTTGCACATCAAACCCGATAGATGTGCAGAAGACCCTTGCGAAGGGCCGCCAACCGGAGTAGCAGATGGAGTTTGCGCTTGAGGCTGCCCAATTGCGGGCGACATGCCTGCCGATACAGAACCATTGCTCCGTGGAGTCAACCCGTCCCTGTGTCCGTCCCTATATTCATCACCACCACCACCACCACCACCATTATATCTCGCCGAGCTCAATGTACCCATATTGTCTTGAGCATACGTATTATCCTGTCCAGAGGCACCATACATCTGGTGGCCACCGGCCGAGTTGGTTGAATCCATGTTATCTAGTCGGCTATCCAATCGGGACTCCAAAAAGCGACTTTGCGGCGTATCTACGGGAGTAAAATTTCTGGAAACACTCTCAAAGGTAGCTGGTGTAGTCGTCGGGGCGACGGGTGTGGGATTTGTTTGAGCCGGCGGCTCTGGCAATGGTTTCTCAAGGCTATGTTGTAGACTCAGCTGTCTCGCATGCTGCTGAGCCCTAGATATGGATGATGCTCTGGATTGGGACGAGGATCCGCCGTGGGAGGCCGAAGTCGAGTGGCCCTGCACACCCTGGATGGAAGGTTTTCGAGCGAGTCTGACGGAAGAGTTGTGTACAGGCCCTCGATATGCGCCGTTGGTATTGCTGCTGTAAGGTTCGGTATGCGCACGGGGATCATTGGCCCCAGAATCGGAGTAGGTATATAAGCTGCTCGGCGGAGGGCTCTGGAAACCAGTCAGTGGTGAAAATTCGGCCATGACGTCGGCCAATGCGTCGAGAGGCACAAAGAAAAAAAGACGGGTGGTTGAGGGTCGTCGGCAGGATCACGGGTGCGGACGAAGAGAGGTATTAGGGGGAGATGAAGAAGGAAATCAAGAAAGGAAAGATGAAATATGACAATGACAATCCCCTTCCGGCAAGCTTGTCAGATGGGATCAGCCCTTTCCTGGCCAAAGCAAGTATTGGGGGAGAGTGGTAGTAGGACCACTTCCGCCGGGCAGCAGGCAGGGGGGGAGGATATTTTCTGACCGCACCGTGGTCGAGATTGCAAGACGGCCCTCGCCACAGCACCCTCTTCTCTCAGTCTTGTCCCGGTAGCGAGCAGCCAAGAAGATCTTCAGGAGCCCCGGGGCAGCAGTGATCCGGCAACCGAGAAATCTCGAGCGGCTGAGTGGCAGGGCGGAGGAGCGACGTGCAACACGACACAGGGGGTTCGCCTCGAGGAGAGCGAAAAGTGCGCGATGGCCACCACGGCATGAATGAGGCTCCAACTGGCGGCCAGGTCGAGTCGCCGCGGAAGGACCAACACGAGGGCAAGGAGAGGGCATGACGTACCATTCAAAGGCGGCAGCCGGAACTGTCTAAAGGGCCAACGTCGCACTCGTTGTTCGCTCTGGAGATGTGCGCTGCCCGTTTGGCTCGCGCGATGGAGCTGACGATGTGGGCACAGAGGGAGTTGGAGCAACAAAAAAAAAAGTCTCCAGCAAGACAGGCGCACAGACGCGAAGAGGGGCGCTGTTAGTGGGCTGGTGAGAGACCTACAGGCACCTACGGAGTACAGGCACCTAGAATTGCTCAATGGTGTAATAGCACGCTGGAGCTGGCGCTACAGCAGAGATCGCAGTGACAGGCGGCTCTGATAGGCTGTCTCAAAAGACAATGGGGCGACAGGATAGGTGGCGGGAGAGTTTTGGCGTATTGAAGCAGCACAAAAGCAGTCAAGTTGACGTTGGAGCTAGAGAGAGAAATTGCACGATTCGATTCAAGTTGCAGAGAAGAGAAGAGAAGAAAAGAAAAGAAAAGAGCAAATCCAAACAAAAAAGAAAAAGAAAAAGTACCACAACGGCGGCAATGCTCTACAGCTCAAGCTGGAGAAGCATCCGACGCTTCCTGAAGAGTGGGCGCTACTATACTAACACCAGACGTGGAGGTACATACACATCCCTTATCCTCACGATAAGCCACTACTTAGAGTGCAGCAGCCGTAGCGCCCAGACCCTCGTCTCGACCTATCTATAGGCACATGGTCCCTGCTGCACATGCACGCACGGCGCCAAACAGCACTCCGTATTCGCAGCCTGCACGTAATATGGTGGCAGCTGATGATGTAAAGGAACATACAGTGGCAGCATAGGGCAAACACAAACTCGCTGTGGCTGCTGCTAGTGCGCATGCGACGCCAGGGGCCCTGCAGCAGGGAAGCGTGGCGGTTCCAGATGCGGAGGATGCGAGGAGAAAGAGGCTGTACCTGAGTAGTACTGTGTAGATATTACACGCACATGTGGACATGTATAAACGGGAGCAGCGTCCGATATTTGATCCTGGGCGAGCGAACAAAGAGCCCTTGTCCGTTCAGGCCCTCCATTGTTTGTGCCACTGGTTTCCTAGCATTCTCTTCCCTGGAATCCCGTCACCTGAAGCAACTATTGTCGTGCTGGCACTTTCGTAACGCATAGAATTTCTCGCGTGGAAACCCACACAGGGCCACACGCTGATCGTCGTCCTGAGGGTCATCCATTGATTGGAAACTCGAGTCGAACAGGCTTCTAGATTGTCCGCTAAGCTTCTTACCAGCTAGACGCTTCCGCTAGCACCGGGTCCAGCCATTTCTCCCCCTCACCACAGACCACCAACAATCTACATAGTACAGCCCGCGGATACTAGTAGCAGTAGTATTGCTTGTATGATTATGAGTTGGAGAACTAGTATTGATCTAGGCACTCCGCAGTAGCTACGTATGGCCATAAGAGTATAGCTGGTGGAATTGGCCGCCTCCTTTTGCTGCGACTCAATCTCAATTAGGGGTTGTTATCCGGGCTACGGAGCACCTTTCTACATCTGTGTGTGTACATGCATGCACCATCAGCAGCCAGCTTGACAAACGCGGAGACAGAGAGTGGGAACAACCCGGCCGCGCGAAGGAGAGGGGGCTGGTCACTCTTCTTTTTTTTTTCTGTCTCTCATTGAGCAGGCATTATGTTTTCACGGAGCATCGCCATCCTGATTCTCGGTATCCAAACTGTTTGTTGGGCTGAGATGATCGCCCCGTTTGCGTGGGTACTGGCACCAAGCATGCCCCCAGTCTCGTGGTCAGTGGTGCCGCAGGGGCCAGCGCTCTTCTTTGCAGAGAGATAAAGAGAAAATGCTATACTGACAAATGCGTCAATAATGTAAATTGAATGCAACGAAATGAGCACGAGGACAGGAGAGGCGCATAGTGCCGTCGGTACGCTGCCGTCTTAGCTCCACACTATCTTACCTCATGCTGTCTAGATGCCTCGGGTCTTGTCCGTTATTCATGCCACTACATTCTTTCCGTCTTCTCAACGGGCTTTTTATCCGAAATCCTTTTTGGTGCACCGCTGCCAAACAATCGTCCAGGGTTCTGTCACTGGTCCAGCCGGGCATATTAGCACGTGGGATGGAATGGAGATGCTTCCAGGCTAAGCCATTTTGACTCGTCATGAAACAATCGGCCCCGTTTAGACCATGGCGATGGCAGACGTCAGTGCTCGAGAAACGAAAACCCCTGACTGCCTTCGGGATTGCCTGATTACGTGATTTCCGACGTTTGCTTTTGCTCATAAGCCCTTTTCCAGAAGGAGTTGCCGCTGCATTGAGAGGATGGAAATTGGCGTGCGCTGAGCATTAGATCGAGGGAAATGATATTGATGTTTGCATGCATCCCGTCTGCGAGGACGCATAAGGAGGCTTGAAATGAAGCCCACTTGCAAGCATCGGCATGAAGACTTTGTTCTTTGACAGCCAGCATAGCGTGTTCCTTTTTGTCGATCATGATGCCATTTTGAAGTACAGTACAAGTACTAGGTATCTAAACGGGTACGATACTATCCGTGAGCCGCAACCGCAAGTGGCTTTCCTCCTTTCTCTCCTTTTTCACCAGGTCATGCAGAAGGCACTCTTTGTTTCCAATTCTAGGCACATAATCTCTCTCTGCACTGCCATGATTCGTATCGGCAGGCTCATATATGCATGGTGGCCGTAGTGCTCTCAGCTTCGCTGCCCTGAAACATTAGTATAAGTGGCTCTACCTTGAATTACAGCTCAACAAGAGGCAACACTACGTAATACTAGTGCTATATCTATTGTACTTACAAGCACCAACCGTTTGCTCTAATCAGATGAGCTTCAGCCTCAAGCAGCTATCACTTAAAGAGATCTAGCACAATTTGTATTTCTCAAAACACCAGCTAGGATGGTTATGTAATCCAAAGCTGCAATGAGCCAAGTGCAACTCAAATGAGGCGCCAAAAAAACACCAGAGCCTGTAGGGTAAGACAGGACATCAGACCGCAGATGCAATTCCGTCTGCCGAAAGTTTAACGCGTAATGCAGTCATAGTGACTGCGAGCAGCTACCCCTCTTCGCTTTGAAATATCAAATCGTTGCAACTACAAGACAAAGTAGATACGGCAAGTTGACGTGAATTTAACATCAGTCTGAATAGGCGCAGCGCGATTTCTCCAAGCTTCAGCCTTATCCACTAAATGTCTAAAATGGAATATCCCGAAGACGCCAGCTCTAGCCACCCGATGGATACACCAAGCGAAACTACTATCCATGACGCTTGGGATGGCCGCAACTACTCAGTGCCCTGGCCCGGCGGTGTCTACAGGATCTTTGAAAAAGGCACCGAGAACGTAATCGCTCTCAAAAGCCACAATCTCTGCTTGCGCGACGTTGCAGAGAAGCACAATGGATATGATCTCTGGCTCTGCGTCGAGGCAAACGGCTACTTTGGATTCTTTAACCCCAAGTCGGGCACATATCTAGGCCATAACGGTAAACGGGATGAGATATATGCATCTGCAGTAAAGTTCAAGAGCTGGGAATGTTTCACGCCGAGAAGCCATCCTGAGGGTGGATATCAGCTGTTGACGCCATACTACGAGAGCACGCTGAAGATGGTGTCTGTTGCTGATGACGGCCGTAGCCTTGTTAGGAGGCCTCATGGGACGACCTTGTGGCAATTTGAGAAAGTGTCAAAATATTGAGGCGCTCGGGATTTGTGTCTTTTCTGCCCCCTTGCCCATGTATAGGTTTACAATTTCATTGTAGTTAGCCTGGATTTTTTGGAGTCGAATGATCAAAGGTTTCTATTACGGTCCTAAATGCTCTCATTGATACTACTGTGCCCACAATTTCCCGTCGCTGGTTAGGTCGTATTAGAGACGGATAAGAAACAAACACCGATTTGAGTTGCATGTATAACCGTCGACTGCCTTGATACGCACTAGCATACCTTAGCTATTAAGCTTCACATGGCACTAATCAAGCTCCTCACGCTACTTGACATTTGAGTTTACACAACCAACATAGTATACATACATGTATTTAGAATCCCATCAGTGCACACAAATAATCATTTTCTAATATTCATCGCAAGAGAATTTAATCTTGAAAACAAATATTTATAAAAATTTAGTGGTATCTCTTCATTATCCAACATCATGGTCATTTGCCCGGCGCTTAGATAGAAAAATCCAAACTCCCCTCACGGGTCGTGATGAAAGATTTCGTGTCATCTCTGGTTTTTTTTTCGTGGCACAGGCCCAAGAAAACAACCTTTCCAGAAGCGCCATTCATTTTAACTTTTTGGCAAAGCTTGACATCCCCCCCCTCATTTTTCTTTCTCTCTTAATAGTTTATGGCATTTTTAGGATTTTTTTTTTGTTGCTCTACATCTCTCGCGTTTATGAGACCTCAGGGAGGGAAGTCATGCGGAGGTAAGGCTTGATGGTCTTGTAGTTGGGGAACAGCTTCTTGGCCTCCTCGTCTTTGATGACGGGGGCGACGATGACGTCCTGACCGGGCTGCCAGTCAATAGGGGTGGTGACGCGGTACTTGTCACCGGTCTGGAGGGAGTCAACGATGCGGAGGACCTCGGCGGCGTTGCGGCCAGTGGAGGCAGGGTAAGAGAGGATGGTGCGGATCTTCTTCTTGGGGTCGATGAAGAAGACGGAGCGGATGGTGAAGGCAATGCCCTTCTCGTCGACGTTGGTGGCGTCCTGGTGGTCGATCCTGTAGTGAATGGCTCGTCAATACCAATATTCTTTATATATGTATATATATATATATATCTATAGACTGGTAGACAACAGGGGACTTACATGTCGTAGAGCAGGGAAACCTGGCGAGACTTGTCACCAATAATGGGGAAAGTGACGTGGCCGCCGGTGACCTCCTTGATGTCGGCGATCCAGTCGTGGTGAGAGTCGACGGTGTTGGCAGAGAGGCCGATCAGCTTGACGCCGCGCTTGGTGAACTCGGGCTGCAGCTTGGCGAAGGCGCCCAGCTCGGTGGTGCAGACGGGAGTGAAATCCTCGGGGTGAGAGAAGAAGACAACCCAGTTGTCGCCAATGAACTCGTGGAAGTCAATGGGACCCTGGGTGGTCTCGGCCTTGAAGTTGGGGGCCTCAGAGCCCAGACGGAGGACAGCAGCCATTGTGATGTGGGGTGGTGATGTTTACTTTTGTGTAGGCCAGTGGTGTTTAGATCAAGAACGGTTCAAGAGGAAGAGAAGAAAAGAGAGATTCACGACAGGCCACTTTATATATCTCTCACTGCATCAACAAAACGTAATCGAGGGGTCCATCAACGCAACCAAATCACCCAATTTCTCTCCAGCCGCCCCCCCCCCCCCCCTCCATCTCATCCATTCCTATCTTATTTAGCTGCCCCTCCTTTTTTTTACACTCTGTCTCTCTCTCTGTCCCTAAAAGGCACACATGAGAGCAGCACCTGTTGCTTACGGAGCCAAACATGGTGAGCTGGAGGGGCGGAACCCCTCATCCAGCCTTTCGTTTTCCCCCCAACCCATCAAGAGTTAAGCCATCTACAGCAGTGAACCCCACGATCCGCGCCAAGTGCCTGGTCTAAGGTGGTCCTCAAAGCGGCAAGGCGCCGCGATTGCGTGCTGAGCTCGTCGCCTCATTGGCTGGCCGTGCGCATTTTGCAATTCGAGTCTCTCTGACGCAATGGGGCACTTTGCGACTAGCTCCCGTGGGTTTCTTTTCTTTCTGCTTCTTTTTCGATAGCTGCAAGCTCTTTTCGGTGGAGGAACATTAATAAATGAACAGGCATGCGTCTTACGGGTGGTCGGCGATGGGGCCACCCACCGATGGACCGGGAGGAGGGGCACAGAAAGTTCACGACGGTTGAGCGAGGCAAATAGCCACAGAGCGAGGTCCAGTAAACCACCCAGCTTGGCGGTTTCAAAGTAAGCCTTTATTTAGTAGGATACATACATACATACATACATAAATATTCGTTTGAACTAATAGGTCTCGAACCTTTGGAGCCAAGACTGGCCTCGCTTCTCTACGTGTTGGTTTAGTTGCTTACTTCATGCTACAGCATCCCTTTGGAATCAGCCTCAGGTTGCCGGATATACTGGTAATCACCATTCAGATACGGAACTAATGGAATCACGGTGCACTTGTTATCTCACTCTGGAAAGAGTAGGCGAAGTGTACAGAGTCATTTTGCTTGTGGATTTGTGGGAATGAGCAGTTTTCTGTTGGTTACCCGCTGACAACAACAACGTGCTTCGATCCTACGTTGTGCCACCGCAGCCAATTTATTCTCCTTCCTTAAACTGCATCATCGCAATCCGTTTAGGAAACATATTGTATAGATAGCACATGTATTCAGTCCAAAGAGAACGAGTAGGACATAGAACATCAGCCTTACAGCCACGCCTTTCTAACCAAGCTCCAATTTCAAGGCAATTAGTCAGTCGACTAGCAAACAGCTAGAAGGCTAATTTGTCCTAATCACCCCATACCGATTCAATCTTACGAGACTTTACGAGTCTAAAGTGGCCACTCAGCCGCCGCGCGTGAGTATTGGTCTGGTGTGTGATCAATACCTGCTCACCCGAGATCCTAAACCCAAGGGCGAGCGCCGACAGCCCGATGTCCGCTTTTAAATCATTCGATGGCCGAAGAGTACAGACATATATATACGCAACACAAGCAACTTCACCAGGAGAGCGGAAATGGAATCGTCCAAAAGAAAAAAAAAAAAAAAAAAAAAAGAGTGACGAACATGCTAAAAAGTCAAAAAATTCGACCACGCCAGGAGTCGAACCTGGAATCTCTAGAGGTGGTGATGGGTAACCGAAATCTAGCGCCTTAGCCATTAGGCCACGCGGCCGTCGATGCTGGGTTGCTAGCTATTTAGCCATAAGACGGGCATTGCGCGAGCAGACTGATCCTTGCTGTAGCTTGCTTGCAAGTCGCTCCAAGCAGCAATCTCGACAAGGTTTCGCTGCAACAAAGAAATGCGCTAGCATGTTTTTACACATAATTTTATATCTCGTCTAGATAATACGATCATCCCTTCTGTTATGCCTGATGCTCACATCAAAAAGTAGCACCGCAACTCCTAGCCGCCTGAAGCTTTAAGTAGCCCAGCTTCTAGTTATCAACAAAAAGAAAATACTATTGACAAAGTCGCTTCTATAAACAGAAAATAATGAAATAAAGGCTTCCGGCGGTTAACGAAGTATGTGATAACGCCATTCTATGCTTATATTCCGTGCAGCCCTGGTATGCCATAGACCTATGCCATGAATGCCTTTCCCATTCCGTCATTCGGTGGGGTATTTTATGATTGTCACATCAGAGAGCACCAACAACTTGCCCTACAGGGCCAAATGCGCCGTGATCAGCCTGTTTAGCAACTCCCTCGATAAATACGGACTGATTATCATCTGGGTCACTTTCTTCTGTCCCCTGCTCCACCTCTGTGTCGCTTGTGTGGTTCGGTTCGCTAGTCTCCATCTCATCAACTGGAGATATCAGAGTACCTACTAACGGTACTGCTGGGTCATCCCTACCGTCATCAAATGGTATCGACCTCCTTGGTTTGAGAAAGATGGTATTTGCAGATTCAGTAGTATCCGGTTCCCCATTCACGCTCTGCGGGGGGGTTAATGGCTTGGAAAAACTGAATGTTGGATTTGGTTGGGAGCGAGATTGAACGGCAGCCAGTTGAGGCACATGCGTTTGACTCATGCTTGATCTTTTTAACTGCGGCTTGCGGAGAGGGTTAGGAGATAGAAATCCTCGGCCTCTTGAGACAATTTCAAGACGCTCCTCTTCAGCTGTATCCGAATCTGTTATGTCACTTTCCAGAACCAGCCCAGCTCCTGGGAACATACGAAGGCTGCCGCCAGAACGTCGACGCTGACGTTTCTGGCCGTGGTTAGCAACCGATGCAGCAATGTTTGGCTGGTCGAATGGCTGGTCATGCTTATTCAGTCGCAGGCTACCCACGTATGAAACAAGACTTCTCAGATTGCTCTGGCTCTCTGAAAATACCACTCTTGTCCGAAGTCGGTGCACTGCGCGATCCAGCGCCAGCTCTATGGCGCAGCTGTCACGTATCCTGGAAAGCTTTGGCCAAGTAGCTCTTTCTCCAACAAGGCAACACTTTAACATGAAGTCAACAGTGGGATTACTAAGGAGCACGGGAAGGTTGTCAAGAGACATGTCAGGAAGAATGTTGATGTTCCCTGAGTACTTTTGACTGAGAACACTCCGAAACTTTGTCATCATATTCGGGAAAAAGCCCATTTCAGCCATGAATTGAAGTCGATGGAGGGCCTCATCTCTGGCTAGCGACGTGCACGTGTATAGCCAGTCCATATCATCGCCAGTGCTGGCGCTCTTGATGGTGTGTTTGTTTTCAGGCGATAGGTGATCATCTTTGGAGAGAAACGGAGTGACGTGAGGGTTTACCTGGGATACGATGAAGTGATTGACATTAAACATTTCCGCGAGGCGTGTCATGGGAAGGTCATTGTCCACAGAGCCATCAATGAACCTTTGTGGCGTTGGATTCCACTGACGGTGCTCCCCTGTAATAGGATCTTTAACGAGGAGTGGCGATGCGTTGAAGATGAGAGGAACAGAGCAAGACGCTGCTACAGCGGACCAGATCATGACATTGGGCGAAGTGACGTAATTGAGCAACCGCGGTAGCTCGTATACAGATGCGCTGGAGACGCAGATGTTGAGGATGCGGCGCGTGCGATTGTACGCCTCTTGAAAGGTAATGTCGCCCATCATGCCCCTCATGACTCTCCTAAGGTGGGCAATGTCTGACCAACAGCCTTCTGTCAATAGGCGGCGAAAGTGATCCAGGAGGCCATCTTGGTTATCTTGAGCTTCGAAAACCGCCAAATCTCCGTATGGGAACTCTTTAATTAGCAGTGGAAGCTCCTCGTCCGTTCTCGTACACATGACCGCACAGACGATGCTTCCCGCGCTGGCGCCAGATATAATCCTAGGAAGAAGTTGGTTTTCAAATAAAGATTTGAGAACGCCGACGTGCGCCATGCCAAACGTCCCACCGCCAGATAGTAGCAAAGCACTTCGCCCAAAGCTCTGGCGCGCAAGCAACATGCCCTCCAGCAGATCCTTGTGTGCGATGCCCTGATCCGTCGCATCGTGGACGATGGCGGCATCTATGGTTTCGATTGTCGACTCGACGTAGCGTTCTATCAATGTCTTTGTTCCAAGGTATGAATGCCGGTATAGATCGACATTACCCATGCCGCCGAGATCGCGTGACAGGGCGGTTCGGATGAGGTGCATCATGGTGCGAATATCGTGGCTCTCTCGGGCCTCGTCAAGCGCTCGAAGTCGCTCCTCAATGAGCCTAGGATTATAGTCCCCACCGTCTGCATCTTGTTTCCAATCGTCGTTGCCTTCGAGGGCGTCGAGTTCCTGCGCCGCAGCTCGCCATTGTTTCAATGTTTCGGCCTATCTCGTTAGTTTTAAATTTGGCCGCGCTAAGGGGATCAATAGGCACGTACACTCTTCATGCGCAGGTAGAGTATGTTTTTCCTTTCCTCGACCAGCCTGGCCTGCTCTCTCTCTTCATTGCTCATGCCATCTTTCCAAGAGCGCAAGAGGTTGGCTGCCCCCTTGACCGTCTTGGAGACGGTTCTGAGGAGCGTCCGGTCAACATACGGCAAAGGCTGGGAAGATGACGAGCTCTTTGGTCGCTTTGGAGATTGCGAAGTGTTGCTGTTGCTGTGTATCGGACGTATCGGAGATGTACCGAGAAGGAGATCGGCCATGACAAGGCTATCTATCCTGCGTTTACAAGGGCATCCAGGAAGCGAGCAAGATGTTCAGGTCGGCAATAGGAGGGTTCGGCGCGGCTTCAGTCCCATTCCTACCAGTCAGGGCAGAGGGCAGGGTGCGTCGTAGGTGCAGGCACACTATGAAATAAATTACAGTCAAGGTGAGTATTATAGGGCGATGCGATCTAGGAAGAAATCTTGGTGATAGGAGAAAGGAGATGTGGGAGGCAGGGAATCTCTGTGGAAATTTGATGAATCTGGGGAAGCGATGCCGAGCTGGGGGATGCAGCACTTGGTTGGAGCATCTGACCGCTCTGCCACACCCGCTGATGGCATCTGCGTGGGGTCAATTATGGTGGCATGGAGTCAGCTTGACCTTTCCGCTTTGCCGCCTGGTACTGCCGTAGCGGTACTTGTACCTGCCGGTAGTTCGCCACAGTGCGCTACGTGTGCTGTAGTTTACTGCACAGATTTGCCCCAACCTCATCAGCTTGAGGTACTGGATACATGCATCTGATAATCCGCATCAATATGGCCACGTACCATGCATGCAATGCGACAGGGCACCACGTGCTGCAAAGCCGCTGTGCTGTTGCCCGCACCGCGCTGACTGTTGGGGGTTATGCAGATGCTGGCGATCGATATGTCAATCTTCACATGCCAGAGCATCAATTAATAGCCGCACTTTTGGGACACTCTGCAGCCTCCAGAGCTGCTTAGGCACAAGCACATGCTTCAGCGGCACCTTGGCGGCAGTGATTGGGTGCTGATCGGGCTGCCACTGCAACCGCCGTCCGGAGTAGCAGTACTCCAGGATCTCGTACCCCAGGTCCCCCGGACTGTACTCTGCAAGCCTAGAGGCGGTAAAGGCTAGCTCTATCTAGATGGCGCAAAGTTCCAATAAAGCTCCAGAAAAGGCGGCCATGGCACCGCGGGTTCCGAAACGTGCTGCTGCAGGCCGACGGCGCGAGCATGACGTATGAGCACGGACATTGTCTCGTGATGCTACCTGCCTTGTAGACCGACATCATAAGTTGAGGCGCCGGGCTTGATCTTTGTTTCGTTGAGTCGAAGAATAGTTGATGCAATAAGGAAGACATCGGAATAATGCATATTGATCTACGTGTCACGCTGACGTCTTCTATACTAAATTCAAGTTGTTATTCCCGAGAGGTCACGCCACGTGCAACAAGGGATCTAACGAACCAGGAGGGTTATGCAAGGTACATGTAGGTATGTACATGTGTAGAAAAAACTCCACGATTCTCTGGCCTTGGAGCCCAAGAAGCGTCTGTAGGACAAATGAAACATTTGAATGAGTCAAACAAATATGAAGCGATAAGCCTCGTACACTCAAAGAACCCTGCAATCTGCCATATTTAGCAACCCATTCAGGCAAACCGCAACCGGTGTGACTTGTGCAAGCAGCCTGTGACTCATGTGCGCATTTGGAAATGACTGGAATTTGATTGCAGCAGAGTAGCGAATCGATATCACAATTCACCATCATTATTAATAGTGGAAGATGCGCCTTCTTGAAAATCGCATGTAGAATATACAATTTTCCTTAAACAGGTGCATTCCTTCTGATCTTGAAAACGGCTGAATCGAGAGCGATACCCACCGAAGCGAGACTTATTTAGTGGATCACGAAGCGAAGCCATGGAGGAGCAAAATAGCACCGCAGTTGAAGCGACGCAGTCACACGCTGTGTCACAGCAAAGCTCGTATTTCTCAGAGAGTAATGAACCTGCTGCTGACTTAGTAGGACAAGAGCTAGTAGATGAAGACTACCTTGAAGGCCGATTAGAGATCGACGAGAAAAGAAAGAGATTTGATGAGACATCTTGCACAGTCGAAGAAAAAGAGCTGTCCGATCTGTTCAAGAAGGGATTGCTTGATGATGGAAGCACCGGCCCCTTGAAGGGAGATTTTACATTGCACGATCTTCCCCAGCTCACCGGTGACGAAGCATGTAGCGTTCAGTGGACAACTTCAAAGCGAAAGCCAAAGGAGAAGGCGTCGAGAAGCGCCCAAAAGAACACCCAGCAGACGAGAGGCTTAACGGATGATGAACTGGCCAGCGTTCTACAGGCTTGTCCAGACTTGGAGAGCTTCATCACCAAGTCGACTTAAATATTTCTAGGTAATGGAGTCAAGGAACTTCAAGTCGAAAAAGAGCTAATTCTGTGACAAGTTTCTATACATCGCTTTCATTACCATACATTATTTTAGTTTTCCTCCCAGCCAGCGAGAACTTTTTCTAGCTGCTCATGGCGAACCAAAGCCGTATTGAATGTCGGCTGTCCTTCCACCACACCGTCCGCAAACCTTTCATAGAGAAGACCGACGCTTCTTCCTACTACTGGAAGCTCTTCTTGCCAGCTCTGCCAGCCCCATTCAATTTTCTGAACCTGGTCTGTGGCAAAGTCATGAACCTCGATGGTTACAGGGGCGTCGTATGAATTGGCGTGCAGAGAAGATCCGCCAAATGCTTGAAGTCGAATTTCACCCTTCTCGCCGTTGATTGTCCACGAAAGAGGGGGCTCACCGAGGAAGGGCTGCCCTCGACGGAATCGGAAGAGCACGCTGGCTCTTTCAGCGGCGATTTGCGATGCGGGGAGGGTGCCATCGATGATGACGAGGTCAGGGACGTTTGACTTGACTGTCTCGACAATTTCCTTGGTTGAAGGGTTGCGAAGGAGAACATTGGGGCGCTGAAGCTGGAGACGTGACTTGAGATCTTGGAGGTCTCCAAGGACGTGTTGAACTTGGTCAAACACTGATACCAGTTAGACATGGAGAAAAAGCCCAATAATAAACTCATGTCGGTGTGAACTTACAATGTCCGACGCCAATTGTCACGATATTGCCACCAATAGCTAGATCAGTGAAGTACTTTAGCCCGGGCATCAAGGCCTCCCGATCAACGGATCCGCCATTAGCCCTGATCTCACTGCTAAGAACCTTTCCAATCTTTCCTTGTTGAAGCAGCTCACGGAGCTTGACAATAGGAGGCGCTTCTCGCCCCTGATTGCCAACCAGAGTCCGACTACCGCTGGCTTTCGCTGCCTCCGCCAGTTCTTTTGCAAGAGGCGCGTTGTGAGCCAGCGGCCATTCCACATACACATCCTTTCCAGCCTTGACACTGGGCAGAGCAGTGGAGTAGTGTACATCAACGCGGGTGCTTACAACGACCAAATCAATGTCCTTGTCGTCAGCGACAGCCTGAGGGTCGCCGTAAGCCTTTGTCTCTGGAGGCAGCTTGAATACTTCAATGGCGCGCTTTGCTGCTTCGACGCTGCTGTTGCAGAGTGCTACGATTTGGTACCTTTCCCGGCCGCGGGCAGAGAGAAGATAGGGCAGGTGAGCAGAGCTCGCCCAGGATGTGGTTGCGGACCCTGAGAGGCCGATGATGGCGGTGCGGATAGGTGCCATAGTGAGCGCTACTACAAGTATGAAACTTCTTGTTTGGTATTACTGACTCTAAGCTGAATTTTTTTTTTTTGAAGGTTTCATTTTATATATAATCACTTGTATACTCTCCTTAACTACATCACATATACTCCTTAGCTATTGCGTCTTGAAGCAGAATATCATGCAATAGAGTGGAGGGGTGTAGGTGATTTCTAAGCGAGCAATTTATAATGTTAGTGGCTGCAAACGACACCCGAGCTTCTGGTTGGCTGATTAACACGGGGGCAGTTGCAAGCTCAGTCGGAAATAAATGATCCTTCCCACGCCGTATAGTAAAGTAATACCTAGCTGTCATTCTTTCGGTGTGGTGATCTTTTCAAAGAATTTGATGTGTTGGTATTGTAGCTTAGGATGCTTCTTTACCTCATCTAATCAACTTGTAAGTGCCGTTACCACATGTACTAGCTCTGTCCTATATTTGGTATTGTATTGTGTAAAAAAATTGACCGACTGCTAAGAGCTATAAACCAAATACAATTTGATGAAATACAAGCTCCGATTTGCTATCTTTTCTGATCCAAATTGCTCATTACTAATGTATTGGCTGTCTTAACTCCGAATTGTGATTGCACGTATCTATCTCGGCAAGGATCTATGAGACGGTTCCCCTCTCTTGGGAATGTTAGTGCGTTCTCGGCCCACGGCTGGTTCATTCAAGAGGAGAAGCATAGAGCTCTGAAGACCGACTTTGAGACTTATTTGCATTGCAATAAATTGCTGAAATTCAGACTTAATTTAAATAAATGCAAAGCAGATTTATTTATCTGCACTTTGCGAGACTGTAGAATAAGTGTGCTCTGATATTTGATTTCTTTGTTTGGGACTTGCAACTCCACACGCTACCGGCGTAATGGATTCTAATACGTTCGGATGAATTGGTCTGCACTTCATCACTCTAGGGCTTATTCATATTAAGTAGACAAAAGTTTGTCTACCTTCACGCATTTCTCTGGACCGAGATCGAATTCATTTAATAGTTTCATCCTAGGTGTTGGTAGGTTTCGCTCTTTGCATTGTTTTTTGAGCCCACCGATTTCAGCAGCTAACGGGGAGCGTCCAAGAGAAACTATTCGCAAATACCGCAATGAGTTCGCCTCAGCGACTATCAAACTATGCCGCCTTTACACGCCCTGAGACCGGTATCAGCCAGATCGGTCACTTAGATGTAGAGAAAGGCACTATCCAGCCTTTAAGCCTCCTCTCTGGCTACTCCATCAAAGACCTCTATCAGGTTATTGAAGCCGGGCCGTTGCAAATAACCGCTTCCGGTCCCGCCCTCCCCCTCTCATCTGTCAAGCTCCTGGCACCAATTTCGGGTCGCGATGTGTTGGCTGTAGGCAAAAACTACATGGAACATGCGAAAGAATTCAACGCCTCGGGGTACGATAGCTCAGACAAGGTTGACCGGCCAAGCCATCCCGTCATCTTCACGAAGCGCGCAACCTCTATTATTGCGCAAGGCGAAGATATCTTCCTCCATCCGGAGTTTTCGAAGAGTGTGGACTATGAAGGAGAGATTGGAGTGATTGTTGGTAAGGCGGGATTCCGGATTCCTAAAGAGAGGGCCATGGATTATGTTTGGGGATACACTATTATCAACGACATGACGGCGCGGGAGAGACAAAGAGATCATAAGCAATTCTATATTGGAAAATCGGCTGATACATTTTGCCCAATGGTAAGTAAGACGCTTTCAGTGCATGCAAATCATTCAATTGTTGACTTTGCCAGGGTCCTGCTGCAGTTCCTAAAGAAAGCCTTCCTTCGGTGCTGCGAGTCCAGACCCATGTCAATGGCGAGCTGCGACAAGATGCAACGACTGATGATTTAATTTTTGATATTCCTACATTGATAAACACGCTTTCTGAGGGACAGACATTGGTGCCTGGCGATGTAATTGCTACTGGAACGGTAAGTGTCTCCTTGTACTTCATCCACTGCTATGGCCACTCTGACAAAGACATCTTATCAGCCTGCTGGTGTTGGCATTGGACGAAACCCACCTGTTTTTCTTAGAGAGGGAGATGAAATTGCAGTTACTATTCCTGGGATCGGCACACTACGTAACAAAGTCACCGCTTATAACGCAACCACCGAGCATCTCGCTTCACAATCTGTCTTCAGCCTTAGTAACGCAACACGCTCCGTTGGCGCTACCGCTGGATTGACCGATATTAACGGCAAGCTTCTACACTACAAACATCTCGGTTCTGGGGACCACGACATCGTCTTTGTTCACGGCCTAGGTGGTACTGCGGAATATTTTTCTCCCCTTATAGCTGAAATGGGGCTTCAAGACGTGGCATCCCTGCACCTGTTTGACTTTGAAGGCCACGGTCTTAGCCCTACTCACCCGTTGAGCGTCTTGACAGTGGATTCTTTGGCGACTGACCTCGCTGGCGTATTTTCGCACGCGGGCATCACCAAATCAAACCCCGGAACACTTGTTGCACAGGCAATGGGCTGTATCGTTGCCTTGAAATTCGCTCTTGATAATCCCGGCTTGGTGAAGAAGCTTGTGCTTTTCGGTCCGCCGCCTTTTCCACTCTCTGAGGCTGCTAGAAGAGTGTTGGAGGAGCGTGGCGGGCTCATTCGCACATCAGGAATGGGAGCTGTGGTTGACAAGATTGTGCTTAGCAGCACGTCTGAGCATACAAAGAAGACGAATCCCCTTGCCATCTCGGCGATTCGACTGAGCTTGCTTGGACAAGAGCCAGAGGCATTTGCAAAGGCCTGTAGTGCCTTTGCTAGGGATGAAGCACCGCTGCCGGTCGAGAATCTCGCCGTACAGACGATGATTGTGACTGGAAGTGAGGACAAGGTCTCTTCGCCGGATGAGTATGCCAGAAGGATCAAAGGGGCAAAAGTTGCAGTATTGCCGAATATTGCCCAATGGCATGTATTTGCGGATGTGAAGAGAGTCTCGGATAGCTTGAAGTCGTTTCTATAACGAGGAAGAATCGTTTACACTTGAGCACACCTAGTTATTGCAAACTGCAGCGTAGCATGAGTATAACACTGAGAGGGATATAGAGCTAAACATGCACGTATTATAACTGCTTAACAGGATTCTTACTCAAATGAGTTCCTAGCAAAAGAGAAACCGGGTAGCGTAAGGCGCGGAACGCCACTCAAAGCAATTCGCCTGGCCCAAATCTTGGTAGATCAAATCTACCATATACTGCCTCGAAATGGCGCAAGCTGAAGCGCACTAGAGACATGCATAGCACATACACCTAACTTTGAAGGATTGGACCGCATACGTGAATAGGTTAGACTTCTGGTCATTACATCACTCTCTTACAGGGCTATCGGAACAGCCCAGCAACTGCTATCAAATCGGGTGCTAGAACAAAAACTTCTTTTGATTTGGCCTATGAAAAGCCGCAGGTGCATGTCCAAAATCCGGAGGGGAATCTGGATAAATCCTTCAGCTCAGCGCTTCTCCTCATGCTGTTCGAGCTTCATACGTCATCACTACATGCGCGCAGTTTTGCATTACTCAATCAAAATAATTCAAGGATTCTGAACTCATTGAATTTCAATCCAATATTGTTTTTACTTTATTTATCCATCTCGACGTCTTATTTCACTTCAACTCATAACGCTACATCCAATCAAGTCGCGTCATGTCCAAGACCATCACCGTTTTCGGCGCCACAGGCAACCAAGGAGGCTCTGTCGTCCACGCCATCCTCGCAGATCCGGTGCTCTCAAAAGAATTCAAAGTCCGCGGCGTCACTCGCGATGTCAATAAGCCAAATGCCAAAAGGCTCGCGTCCATGGGCGTCGAGCTCGTAACAGTGCGTCCAAGTCGGCTTAGCATCTGTTTTTTATAGGCATTCAAATCACCAGCGCCTATTATTACCATTATCAAATATGCTCTAATTGTAGCTGCATAATCAATGTATAGGCCGACATGTCGTCCGCTCAATCAGTCGCTCCCGCCGTTCAAGGCGCTCATACCGTCTTTCTTGTGACAAATTTCTGGGAGAGCATGTCGGCCGACATTGAGATCTCCCAGGGCAAAGCCGTCGTCGACGCCTCAAAGGCTGCGGGCGTGCAGCACCTCATCTTCTCGTCTCTCATAAACGCCACCGAAGCCAGCAGTGGGCGTCTACCAAACATTTTGCATTTTGATGGCAAAGCAGCGATTGAAGAGTACATCCGCCACAGCGGCCTTCCCTGCACTTTTGTCCTGCCGGGCATGTTCATGAGCGGCTTCGAGACGATGATCCAGAAGAATCCAGAGTCCGAACCGGCAGGTTACACGCTGGCCCTGCCAGTCGATCCGCATAAGGCTATAACGCCACTTTTTGACGCCGCTGGAGACACGGGTAAGGCCATGAGCGCTTCAATACCTTGAAACAATTCTGCCAGTCTCAGATCTTTATTCCTGACAAAGACAATTCAGGGAAATTTGTAAAGGCAGCTATAAAAAACTTTCCTTCTCAATCAGGAAAGCGTATCCTGGCTGCGGCGGACTATTACACGATCGACCGGCTCATTTCTGAGTTTTCTCAAGTGATCGGCAAACCCGCCCATGCTGTACGGATTTCAGATGACAAGTTTAAATCGTTTCTATCACCGGCTGCGGCACAAGAGCTCTTGGAGAACATGAAGCTGCTGGAAGACCCTGGCTACTATGCCGGTGAATCTCTGGACGACAGTTTGGCCCTGCTGGAAGAGAAGCCGACAACTTGGAAAGAGTTTGTGGAAAAGAATAAACACAAATGGGCGTAATTTCGTTCCTCGGGACGAGGGTCAGAGGTACTAGGATAGCTTAATTTAAATGGTATATTCAGTTGCTTACAAAGTAGTATCTATGGGATACCTGCTGTATTGTTACATTGCAACAATGACTGCTGCCAACAGCTAATGATAGTGGTGCCACCTGCTTGTATAAGATGGCAGAGCTAATGCTACCCAGTTCTCGTTTCAGTGATTAGCGAGAGAGAAGTAAGATTGCAATAATTTACACTTTATCCAAACCACTCGATACTAATGTCTCAGATACATCGCATGTAGCGTTTCAAATATTTTTTTTTCCAGTTACCTTTCACGGTCATGATCAAGAGTTGTTCAATCAGGAGTACATCACGGCGTTTCATTCAGTCTTACCACAGTTCGTGTTCTGCTCCAGGCAGTTATCCAATTGGCGGATGGGGCATAGTTGCGGTTGTGCATCAGATCAAATATAGGGCTCAAGTCTTTTGATCAAGTCATTGACTTCGATTTCACCCCATTCCTCTGAATGGTGGTGGCGATGGCCTTTGTGTGGGGGGAGAGGGACTCGGTTGACAACCTGGATAACACCATTCTTGCCCACGCCGTTGGGCACAACCACCCGAGAAAAGCCATTCACCTTGATTGAAGCGAAACCAAAAACGCGAGCGATATCAACGCTGATGTGCGCGTCACCAAGTAGAGTTGGCAGATCAAAATGCTCGTGCGACCGTTTTTCAATTTCGGATTCTCCGTCTTCGCTGTCTCTCTTATCGTAGAATGCATCGGTGTAAAGTGTAGCGTTAGGCACGATGTTGTACTTGAGAATGGCCTTGAGATACTTGCGACCCTTGTTAGTGTTGAAGAGGAAGGCGTTTGCCTTGGGGCCTAGCCAATTAAAGGCTCCGTTGGTGGGGACGAAAACGGTGCTCCCCTTCAAGTTGACGCCGTGAATGAACTTGACAAAATCGGTTTTCTCATACGCTAGCAGCAGGGTCGAGAAACGATCAGGGAACAGAGTGATGATTCGGCCGATATAAGGGGGCGGAACGAGGATATGGTTCACAGCATGGATAACACCATTCTTGGCAACCTACAAAGTTGTGAGTATTCTAATCAAGGGGGGAGGAAAGTAGTTGAGAGGGCCCGCTCGTTTAAGTGCGACAATGGGAACTCGGGTTGGCTATTAATAGACTGATTGATCAGCGGGGAACACTCACTATGTCAGCAGCAACCACCTTGCTGTAGAAATTGACCTTTACGCCGCCAAGGCTCACAGAGGTGCGAAGACGCTGAGGTTCACCACCCAGCAAGTCTTCATCATGGGCGGTTGGCAGCGTGTAGGTGTGCAGAATCCTCCTCGCAGGATATTCGCCCAGTCCGATGTGGTAGCGCAGCGCGTCTTCAACCACCTTCTTGCTAGGCTTCTTGTGGTCGTCCGGGATGTCCTCAAAAGCCTTATCCAGCGGCACAAAGAGGGTGTAGTTGCTGTTGCCGTTGGTGCTGTTTAGCAGCTCCACCACGCTAGGATGGTCGTCGACTAGCTTGGCGAACTTGGTGGTGTACTTGCTCTTGGAGATTAGCTCGTATATCGTCAAGCTGCTATCGTCGTGGTGGCCGTGGCCGGCGGGTCTGCCGAAGTGGTCTCCCGTGTAGCCAAGCCCGACGAGATCGGCCACGGCCTGGCTAAAGTCCTCGTGGATGTGCCCGCGGATGCTTGATACGGCGTTGAAGAAGCCCTCGGCCGCGCTGCGTCCCTCGTCGTCGCTGTCCAGGTGGTGGGACCCGAATATCACATTGTGCAAGTCTGAGACCTCGTCTGGACCACGAGGTCCGCCCAGCGGTGCCTGATTGACGGCTGCCTCGGGTAGCACCAGAGCGCGGGTTATGGCGGCCAGCGACAGAGCAGCGCCGACTACAGCGAGCTTGGTCATTGTGGTGGATGTGTGTTTTCGTCAGACGGGCAATGCTCCGTCAGGCAGGATCTTGCTGAGGCTGCAGCTTTCTAGGCGCGGCGCAGAGCAATGTCTCGTACCATCAAGACGCTCCAGGCGGTGATGATGAAGGAAGACGGACAAGCATCCCATCTGCCGGCTCAACGCCGTCTGCAAGGGGTTAAGACACCGCAAAACAAACTGGGTCAGGCCCCGTATGAAGCAAGGTTCGAGCTCCAAGAGGCAAAAGCGGTGCGTAAGAGTGCTGTAACTTGGGAAACGAAACAACATGTGCCCCCCGCCAGATCTATTTCAGGTATACGGAAGTACTCACACCCGCTTGGGAATCCCGCCAAGCTTCTATATTCCCGAGTGGCCAGTGGCCAGAGCACAGCTACCCTTCTGCGCTAGCCCCCCCAGGCTGCGGATGGCACTCCGCGCTGTAGGATCGGATCGCCATGCTTCCGGCAGGCGGTGCAGGGACTACACGGGCGTGACAAGACGCCTAACAGCTGGGAGTAGCGGCAACACGCCATCGATCCATGACCTCACAGATCAGAGCATGAGGTATGTAGCAGAGCAGCGCAAGGAACGCACAGCGAAGCTGAGCTGACGGGAAACATCTGCTGCCATGCGCCAAAGCCACCGCATCAGCATCCACCACAGGCAATTGGGCCATGGACGCGCAACACTCGCTCGGCTCTCGATGCAGCCGGCGGCCTAAGAAACTATGTATCAGATGCCCTCCGCCGCAGCACCCGCAGTTGTACCACTCACTGCCCGTACTGTACACCTACACAGCACACAACAACCCGGCGGTGCAACCAACGCGGAGGGTCAAACACACTCGCTCGCCCTCTGGCTGAGATCTAGAGCCGCCTCGTTTTCCCCGGCGATGGATGGAGCGAGAAGCTGTTGGCGAGTGCTATTCGCGGCCCAACTCTTGCCAACGAGACTCAGCCCTGCATGTGGACGATTCGTTCGCGTGCCTTGCCACCACCGCCGTCTCGTGCGGCTTCCTCTGTCCCGCTTGTACAACCCTTGCGCTGGTCCTCCCAACGGACTTCGCATCTAGAGGGGGCGAAGCAGCGCTCGCTAGTCGTGGTGGTGGGCCAGCTATCTTGCTGACAGGATAAACGAAGCCTTACCAGTGCTTACTAGTGTTATCCAGCCATGCGGCTCTAGGAAAAGCTGGAATGCGCCCCCGCCCAAGTAGATGCTGACTGAAAATAGCAGCATTTAATGCCCCAGGGAGGGCGATGCACGAGCTGGAGCGGTGCTGTTTAAAATCTTTTCGGGTCCTCATCGCCTTCTTGTTTCCTCATTTTTTCGGAAAAAGTAATTTTTTTTTTGTGCTGAGCGTTTGCGCCGAAGCATCTCGACGTTGTGAAACCCAAGACCGTGTTCCAGCCATCTACCACCAAACGACCTCCGCTAAATAAAGTAAACTTTCCAGCTTTTCAGCGTCCACACCCCCTCGACGTGCGCCAATTACGGGGGACTCGAGGCTGGCGGCGGGGCTGAATCCTATTCTTGTCGCTGTCAACCAGACGTTCGCTTGCAAAGCCGCCCGACCCCATACTCTGTCCCGTCTGTGGTGGCTAGAAATCGCCCAACAGGGGAATTTCCTATTTCTCCCCTTCTTCTCTCCCTCTTTTTTTCTGGATACTCTTTCTCGTCAGGTTAAATGCCCGACATGCTTCGCAAGAAAGAGGCGTTTACGCTGGTGACGCCAATCCCGGGCTTCATCCCGCGGCAGCTGGCCATCGACATTCTCCATTCCCACAGCGAAGTCATCACGCTCAACCCGCTTGTGCTCGGCCACAAGCCCATCCCAGCGCCTCGTAATGCCGCCGCCGACGAGTTTTACAGCACCTGGTACGAAATCGAGGAGCGCATCCAGGTTGTCCCTGGAATGGGCAAGATCGGCGCCGGCAAGATCAAGTTCAATGGCTGCTTTCACGACATGCCTTGGGGCCTGCAGACTCACATCTACGCGCCCATGAACATCGACCTGCGCAACAAGTATCGCATCTGTGGCAACCAGCCCGGAGTCGAGCCGCCGGAGACTCGCGAGATCGGCCTGGAAAGCCTAGGAGCCCCCGCCGACGGCCTCTACCTCCGCGAGGACATCGAGTTCAAGTGCAACATTGCCATGGTTTCCTTTGTCAAATCCCAGCTCAAGGCTGCCAACCGCGAGATGGTTCAGCGCATTATCAAAAAGGCCGAGCTCCTTGATGCTGGTGTTCTTCAAGCCATGATGGAGGACGGCAAACTCAAGACAGTCAACCCCAATGATCGCTCTGTCACGCCCGCAGTTGGCTCAATGCAAGATCCTAGAAGACGATCTTCCTACGCACAAAGTCCACAGTATGGACAGCAAAGCCCGCAGCTTGCGCAAGCGTCTCAGATGCCACCAAGCTACTCTCCAGGGTACCCCCAGCACGCTTATCCTGCTCCCTCCCAGACGCCGCAGCTGCAGGATCCGCGCCAATCTGTGTACCAGCAGCAACCCCAGCAGAGCATGTATGCGTCGCCTCCAATTCCACCCAAGGAACAAATGGTTATCATGGAGCTTCCAGGCGACTTCCCTCCCCAAGCTTCTCCTGGTCTCTATTCATCCCCACTGCCCAGCCCGGGATATCGCCCAGCCTCGGGATCGTCAAATGATCCTCGATGGTCACAAGCCCAGCCAAGTCCAGGGTTGGTCAATCCTCTCAGGTTGAGCACCGTGAGCCAACTTTCTACAAGCAGCGCAGGCCAACCCCATGGCTTTGTAAGCGAGCTCTCGACACACAATGAAAAATCAGAGTACTAGATGCATTGTGCTGCTCTTCCGCATTTTTTTTTTCTCTTCTATTTTGACGAAGACGATATAAAAGTTTCATACATACCAACGGTAAATGAAAAAGAAAAATGCCACAATGATCGGACATGATATTTGCCAGAGATGCAAGAGGAGCTCGTTAATACCGAAGATGACGGGGAAGCTGGGACGCAATCTTTTAGTCGATCGATGCACAGTGGCGTATCTTTTAATTTCTTTTGTATTATTCTTGTGTATATGCATATACCCCATTCAAAGACAAGTGGTAATTTTTGCTTCTTTTGGATTTATTGTTATAGGGAACCTTGGAAAAAATAGTATGGAGCTTGGAATACCACTTAGCGTTATGTTCGGTAATCAATACATGATCTCATTGCTTTTGCACAGTCTCTTGCAGGCAGTTCATTCAAGTGTATGAGGAAAGTGAAATGGAGAAATTGAAAAACATTAGAACAAAACATCATCTTTTATATATTTTTACAAACCAATAACGGCCATCAATATCAACACCAATGCCAGAGTAAGCTTTACTCCTGGCGCTTTCACAGCAGTCGTGGCATTGTCGTTTGATGCAGAAGTGGTTGGCTCAGGTGCTCGTGAAGAAGTAGTTGACGGTACCTCCACAAATGACGAAGTTGACGATTCTGAAGGGAGATGAAGCGTTGGGAGCACTACTGGTTTGTTGGTCTCATGGTCGGAAGAGGAGGTCTTCGAGGATGTCGATGCCGATGTCGATGTCGATGCTGGCAGTGAAGTTTCTTCATGGCTAGTTTTAGCCGATGTCAAGTCCCTCGTAGTGCTCTGGTCATGGGAACTCGTTGCTTTGGAGATGCTGCTTGTCTTCGTTCCTTTGGTGGTGTTGCTTCCGGCATGCTGGCAATAATGCTCAAAGCCGTTCTGAAAACACTCCTCTCCAGCACGGCAGTATGATCCATTTGGGCAGCAGACAGCCCCGTTAGGCATGCAATGCTTGTCGCCACAAGGCTCTTCGCCCAAATCACAGACGATCCGGCCGTCGCATATTTTCCCAAAGGGACAACAACCGTCTATGACGCAGGCATTCCCTTGCTTACAGTATCCGTCACCGTCGGGGCAGCATTCTGCGCGAAGGGGCATGCAGCCGTCATTACAGACTAGTTCTCCTGGGCGACATTGCTCGACGGCGGCGGCGACTTGGATGGAGGCATCTTGAAAGAGAGAGGAGGGCGGTAGCTGGGCTAAGAGCCGTGCATGAGGCTTATTTGAGATGGGGCTTGTGGCGGCGAGAGCTATTGGTAAGAAGCTTAGGAGAGAGAGAAAGTTGGTGATGGTGAAATAGATATGAATAGATGTCCTCATGGCTAAGATTGGTTAATATTATAGCTAAAAGCGAATCACTCGAATGTAAAGAGCCTTGATTGCTTTCCGTTTATAGAGGGCTATACGCCTCTTATATAGATTCAGGCTTTTACCCATTGATTCTCAACTTCTTCGCAGAATCAAGGTGTACCATGCCACTCACTTCCCTTGGATCAATAGGCAATATAGGAGGGGAAAAAAAAGCCTCGAGTCCCACTATTGCAGCCAGCAACGTTCAGCTCGTCTTGGCATCATGCGAAGCGACCATCGGATCACTTTAATCAAGCGCAAGCGAGCCCACGATGATTTTATCCGATTCTTCCCATTGGAACCAAATCTGTTCACATGAGCATCCCGCTGCATGCCTTGAGAGGATTTGTATACATGTATCTTTCAGCCTAACTTGCCAGCTTCGTGCCGCGCCACATCCAAACTAAGGAAATTAAGCTTATGGATGTGGTTAACAGGGATTGGCTGCACCGCTAGAGACATTCTGTCTTGGCGCCTTTGATTGTGTGCAGTGCCAGTGCAACGTTGAGGCTCTAGAGGCTTGATACACCCAGCGAGGTGGTTTGATTTCTGATGTGATTGGCACGCGCAAGGAGGGGCTTTGGGCAGTAAGATCTATCTATGGCTTGCCCAAAGCTTTGTGAAGCCATCTTGTCGCACTTCATCTGCATGTCACTAATGCAAGGCCACACATGTATTTACCGAGCGTCGGCAACATCCTTATATAGAGGAGGTTTCTACTGTACCTAATAGATAAGAGACAGCGTCAAAGCAGCTGAGAGTACTCTGCTCTGTCAAGATCGTCTCAACCACAACGACTCTATATTCTTAACGCTGTGTCTGTACCTGGGAAAGCAATAAAATGGTAAGTCAGCGTTCTTGCGACAAATAGAAACTTATAAAAGTATACTCACTACCATCTAGCTTGAATCCAAACAATGAATAAACATGATGAATAAAACTTTCATGAACATAAACTCATTCTTTGCTGAACCAAATTCCTACGATGGATTTATTGTGGCCTTCACTCCATCGGGTTGCCAGCTGGAGACTGTTTATTATTTTAGCCTCCGTTTCAGCTGATGGCTGGCCGGATTCCGCTTCAATTACGAATACGTCCTTATTGCGTTCATTCTTGCTAAATACTTGAATTCAGTCATCTCACTACTAAGCTTACACTCTAGTTTCTTCTTCATGGAACCATATGGGATGATAACTTGGAATAGTTGCATATTATGCATCGCTAACCTGTCTATGACCCATACCCTTTTACCCACCATAGGTTTCAAACTCTTGATCGTCGTTATATCGAAATCGCTCAGCCCAGCTGCGGAGTTTGCCAAAATCTCGGCATTGATGTGGAGTCCCATATCCGTCAACGCCTTTTCGAGGCGTGGCAAGATCAAATGCCGGTTTAAATGGTTCTAATGTTGAGTCGGAAGTACACAAGATACTCTCTCTGAGATAGTCTAGACAGTGGAGCGCATGAGAGTGCGGTTCGGTAATGTTGGATGACAGGGCGTCGAAGAGTTCTACTTGAAGAAGATACTGCGTGACGATTAGGTTAGTCAGTCATTAAAAATTCTGTTGGCCGAACTTAAATAGGAAATATAAGAAAGTGATGAATATGGCATACGAGGCAGTGCAGTTGATGGAAAGTTGCTATAGAAAACCGCCCGGTGCCATCCGTGCTGGTGTCTCTGATATAGTCAGGCACTGGACCTGCAGCTTCTATGTTGTTTATCGAAACATATCCCTTCCCCTCTAAAATACCATTAATCAAGGATTCTCTTGCGTTATGTACGATTTGTTGAAGAATATGCCGGGTCACGTACTTGGGAACAGGTTCATCCAGGCTTCGTGCCCTTTTTCTGTTCGTGGATCATCATACACTCTCTCAGGCATAAATGCCTTTTGGATTGGACCAACTGAAAGCTTTGTCAGTAAAAATAAAGAAACAGACCTAAATTTTCTTACGAGGCGGAATATCCAACCCGGGGAGCAATCGTATATCCTCCCTGAGTCCCAGTTTAGGCTGCACGGCTCTCCATACGATGAGACTCGCAACGATGGAGACACTGGAACTGAGTAGTGCAACAAGGAAAAAATGTATCAACCTAAGATTGTCTCTTCCCTTTGCCCTACTCTGTAAAGGAAGGTTGTCGCTCTCGGAACCCAAAAGCTTATCCTCATCTCCAGAGCTGAAGCTTTGTCGAGGCATCATGATGCCGCCGCATAGAGGCAGCAGATCGAAGGAGACGATATTCTTCGACGCTTGTCTTGTCTTCTGTCTATAATTACGTGTTGATAGCCGTCGGAAAAGTTGTGTAAGTCGTTAACTAAGCAGTCCTCAGATGGGAAGCTGGTTAGTGCAAACTGAGGGATAAAAATTCACTGGCTTACACCCTGCAAATCCAAAAGTTCTACGTGATTATCAGCACTAGTGGCGGCTATGGGTGTCTAGATTAGCGTGGGGAATCTATCTATGCCTTGCTTTCAACCCTCATCTGGTGGAGAAAGAGTCGACATTGGGCTAGCAAAAGTCCATTTAACCTTACTCGAGCCGCTTTTGTCCATCACTTACGATGGATTGTTCAAAATTACTCCGTACTAGTGCTATTTTCCAAATAGAGATTAACTATAGAACTAACCTTGCGGCATCCATATTTGAACTATTGGCTATATAGTAGTCCGTAGTTGATAACTGACTACCTATGCATGCATGACTACATCCCAGGGCGTGATGTGACATCCTAGGGTGCAATGTGTAGGACCTTATCGCCCTCTTTCAACTCCACTACTATATCCTCGAGCGTCTGATGTGACTGAACCCACTCTCGTATTGGTTCCCAGTCGATACACCTGTGGTCCGTATTGAAGTCCACAAAGGATCCGTCCACTCCCTGCTCCTTGTCCTTAACCCAGTACTGCCCGAAAACTCCTAGGTCGGGTTTACACTGGATCACCTGCCGTAGCATATCGACGCAATGCGTTACGTGCTTGGTAATGGTTTGTTCATCTTTGCCAAGATGGTGCCCCGGATAATTAGGGCTCGAATAGTAATCGTAGTTGTAAAAGAGGGCCTTGCGAATCAGGTTGAGGCAATGTAAGTGGTGGTTAAACTCAAATAAAACTGGAAACTCTCCTGACGGAGTTTTAAGGTGATCCAGACTGATTCCGGCGCGAGTTGCTTGCGACTCGGACAAGAGAAGAGGCTTTGAGATTGTGCCGAGGCCTTCCCATGCCGCATCAACTTCAGGAGATGGAGGAAGGCGGTAGACAGATGTTGAGTTGGCAAGAAACGTCCCGTCGTAATGAACTGAACGATAATGAATTGGGATATCAATCGGGGTGGCTAACAGGAAACATGTCAGTAACCCATATTTTCATGGACGAAGAAGACAAAGCGAGCATACGATTCTGCTGTGTGTGCCTTACACAAGCTGCGTCAAGATACGATGCTCTGTGAATGTAGATATATGTCAAAAAGTGTGAGCCCAGAGAGATGCCGAGTAAGATGACCAAGCAGTATAAGAGGATATCATGCCCGCGATGACTACGAACATGATGCTCTGAACGTGAAGACGAGCCCAGAAAGGGGTCAAGCTCTTCGATAGAGCTATCTTCTTTGTCTTTCTCCATGTCTATGCCGGTGAACTTGCAAATTTCTTCAGCAGCTGTAGAGAGATTTCTTCTCTTCTTCAGAGCGAATTATGCGATTTTGTTAATGGGCGGTGCCAATCTGTAAACGTTAAGGATTGACAAGCCAGGGCCGGCTTTTCGTATCGTATACAAAAGTTCTAGAGCTATTTTAGGCTCCTCACTCTGCATGTGACGGAATTATTCCTATTTTGGTATTGGGGATCGCAAGATTTTGCCCTCCATTTGCAATATTCTGGATCTAGGGTGGGGACAGATACGGAATTGAAGACCTCTTCGGGCTTGGCAGTAATTGACACCTTCTAAATATCGAAAGGCTGTTGAGAATTAGAACTAGTAGCTTATTATTACTCATGTTTCTAAAAAGTGTGGGTGCTATAACTGAGTAGTCTGCGGGGATAATCGAAGTTATTTTCTCACTGGTTGATGTACTGGTAGATTTTAAAGGAAGCGTAATTCCACCTTGACAATTTCTTTACCTCCTTGACTAGCTATTATACAAAAAGTGGTGATACTTTGACAAAAATTTTGTTAAGATGAAGACATCATTATTCCTTGCTTGCGTTGCAATCGCAGGTTCCGTCGCTGCTGCTCCCGTTCCAGTATGAGCTGTCAATCCAATCTCTGTTTAATAGTTCAACTTCTCACTATTATTTGTAGGACTCTGATACTGTTGCCAGCTACCAATGGAAGAAGGATACTGAAACTACTGATGGCGTTGCTAGCTACCAGTGGAAGAAGGACACCGAGAGCACCGATGGTGTTGCTAGCTACCAGTGGAAGAAGGACACTCAAACCACTGATGGCGTTGCCAGCTACCAATGGAAAAAGGATACTCAGACTACTGATGGCGTTGCTAGCTACCAGTGGAAAAAAGACACCGAGAGCACCGATGGTGTTGCCAGCTACGAGTGGAAGAAGGAATGAATCTAGCACCAACAGCCGGAATTTGTAGAGCTGAAGCCACTACTGAAATACGAAGGGGTGAATCTCGTCAGAACTAAACTGATTATCTCATCACATAGCATATTAAATTGCTTCGTGGAATCTGAAAGTTGCTTATATCCGGGGTGTGGCCACAGAGCGGAGCAATATCTTAACGGCGACCCCTCCGTTGTATACGTGACGTCTTCGAACGACAACATTAGTTGCTATGCATAGCTTTTGCCATACTATCCCTCCAATTACGCAATAAAAGCATTGAGAAGCACTTGGGTGCGGCGGGTCCGACCTACCGCCCACTAACATACATGTAGCCTATCGAGCGAGTATCAGAAGTAGGGAATTCGAGACTTTTTGAACACATAGTAACTATACGCTCATGAATACTACCGTGATTCCATACTAATGCTGCTCTTATCATTCATTGCGTTATATATTTCGTGGTCCCTGCTTTATATCTACATCTGCTTGCCCCTGTTTTTTTTTTTTTTTTTTTGAGTGGGCGAATTTTCCAAAAAGGCTTTGAACGCTGTCTGGGAGCGTATTATAGAGCCTCATTTACCTTGGCCATCGAATGGGTGTGCCCATTCAGAGTACCTATCGAATGGCAAGGGTCGTGCGGTGGCACATCAGTTAGCCTATTCGTATGTAGAGATACGTTATTGCCTATTATCAAGCCTATTCGACACGCGACCTAGGTCGTATACTTTTACTGTGGGCTAATTCATGTGTGACGAAAAATTTCCTCTAAAAGAAGTATGCATTTGTAGGGCTATAAGCGAACCTGCGAGTCTAATGAAGGTGAGGGGAATCCTGGACACGAACTTTAGAGCTAGCACAGAACAAGAACTAAACAAGGTAGATATCTGGAATGGACTGTAAAGCAAGCGGCTAAAATGAGATGTCACTTTTTGAGTTATATATTGGCTGGCAAAGTGTGTGAACAGGGTTAGGCCAGAATAAGAACAAGTTCCTATTTGGTGCAGCGTGGCCATACTATCTGGAAACAACACTGCAGCTGGTCATCAATGCGTGTAATATTTGACATACACAAGTCATTTAATGCCCGCCGATTTGTCAACGAGGCCCATCCGTAAATGCTAACCATCAAACTATCAAGTTCATTGCTCCACGCCGGTGGTATCCGAGATTCGAACCACGAGCTTCCTTGCATTGACCGATCCGCTCTTGAGTCGCTGGAGCGTGCTTTCTAATCCGTATAGTCCGCCGGGCACAACTTCGTGTGGATGCGCGCTGAGCCAGCCTTCGTTCAACCCTCTTCTGGTAGATTTCAACATAACAGCTATAAAATGAAGTATTCCTAGCCATGTACTCTTAGAATCAGACTTGAGAAGTGCTTCTTTACCAAGCTCACATTGGGTCATCTCGACGGCTGTAATGATTCGTGGAATGTCCTCTGAAATCTCATCGGCTGGAACCTCCAACACAACAGCCATATTTCTCATCACTGTCTATTACTTTGCAAATGTTTCCAATGGTGTCTTTTTTCGCTCACGGCATCAAAAGGAAATTCGAATTTCTGGCCTCCCAGAGCTGCCTTTATCGCTTCGACCACTGTGTCATTTCCTTGGCGATAGTCAATAAGGATATCGCCACGAGACTAGTCGATCAATGTCTCTACAAAGTCTGGTCCCCGGCCAGCAACTGTAATAACGGGAAGAATATTTGACACCACTGCCAGTTTCAATGCGTAGGCGCCCACTGCAGATGCGGCACCGTAAATAAGAAATGGCAGCGGTTTATCTCTAGGGGACCAGGGATATGGTAGTGTGAGGCGTACATTCCCAAGCATGACGCTATAACCGCCAGTGGTATTGTTGCGAGCTCTGTCCAGAAAAATTTGTGAATCTAAAAGTTGTAATTAACGGTGAATCAAGGCAAACCTTCGAATGAAATATGGTCCGCTAAGTAGAATGCCATGCTCTCGTATGCGATGGCATATTCGGCCCAGCCTCCCCGTAAGCCCAGTGTTTGTTTATACACGGACTCGATCGCCAACTTTAATTTCGGCTTCATGTTTCCGACATGATGAACAACTCCTGAAAAGTCGTCTTTTTTTTTTTCGGGTGCCTCACTCCAGGTACCAAGCCTTCAGCGACTTCCCAATCTTTTGGGTTCAATCCTAACAAACCACCTTGATAATCATCTGATAGACCCTCGGAGTTGGTATTGATGAATCAACAACGTCGACCTTTGGCCCAGGGTAGGTGAATGCTTCCTTCATTATCTTTGCTAAGATAAGAACTTAGAACAGATAATTTTATATGGTATTAATTGCCCACCTTCCACACAAGGAAGGAAGCTGCAGAGAATCATTAAGCCGAGCGAAGCTTGTAGTATAAGAGGATAAAGCTCTTTTGTTTTAAATAGAAGACCAACACACGTTCATTACATCAAAATGACCCCTAACCGTAATAACAGGCTCGTTCCAACAGGAACGAAGCCGCGTTAGCTTGATCAAATGGTTCCGTGACGTATTCTTGCCCTGTAGTCTTAATAGCGGTACAACAAGCTGGGTTTCCATGGTTGTGTTTATATGTGTGTAAGCCAGTTCAGAAGTATATTCCCGACTTGTCAACAAACTATCTATATATATTTATCCTAACTATCCTTTTCCGTCCAGCCGAAACCCAGTTTAGCCCTAAACTTATTACAAGTAGCTACTTAAGCATAGGAGCAAGAAACGTAGCACCCCCAACGAAACGAAACATACACAAATATATGACCGTATTTTTTTTTTTTTTTTTTTTTTTTTGTATAAATATGATGTTGCAGTTTTCACTCGACTATCTCTCCATCGAATGGCTTTCTTCCAAATACCACGAAAATGGGCATATAAGCGTGTACATGCGGGTTGAGAAGTTCTTCCCGGACTCTGACGAGTGATAGCTAATAATAAAGTAAGTGAAGTGAAGACGATGAAACGGGAATATTCGAGCCTGCTGCTAACCTCAATTTCGTGCTGACTTCGGCCGTATGCTCTGTTCAAGAGCTGGATGGAGAAACCGTTCAACCCCTGCGAGAAGTTTTGTCCCCACATCCAACCCAAGTCCTTGAGCCGCTCGTCCCTAGGCCACGCGTTGAGTGGCATTCTGAAGACAAGCTGCTCCACGTCAACGAAGCCGACCCTTTCGAATATTTCCTTCAGGTTGGAGCCTAAAATCGCAGGGCGATTCAGTTTCTCAGAAGCCATTCTCATTTCGTGAAACCATGTACACATGGGTCCGTTAGGGTCCAAAGTGCCATCGTCGCAGCCGAAAACTGCTTCTGTTTCCTGTGCCTCGAACCAACCACCCGGCTCAAGCGCGTCGAAGGCCTGCTGGGCAATTTCTGTCTCAAAGGAGCCCCAGCAGCCGGCAGTGAGCCGGGTGTGTATATAGCCGAATTTATCTGTGTAGTTCCACGGCTCCGATCTGCAAAAGAAGTGCAGTTGGTTAGTTGGGGGGCGATGCTTAAGGTGTGTCTATTGGTTAGGTAGGTACTTACGAGTCTTCAACGTAGAATTCAACATTTGGAGGCACCATTGAGGGTTGGATCGGGGACAGGTCCGTGCCGACAATGCGCGATGAAGGAAATAAGTCGCCCATCTCGACGGCCCAGTCCCCCACACCCGTGGCTATATCGAGAATGAATTGCGGAGGATTCGATCTGGAGAGCGGGGCAAAATAGAGCCGGTCGTCGAATAGTTTCTTGATGATGGGCCCTTGAAGCGCCAGTCGCTCTTGTTCCGTGAGGTCATTAGGATAAACGTATGCTGGGCATCACAAGCAGCCATTGTCAGTTTCATCCGGAGGTGAGTTGGCTGATGAGGGCGGACGCCTTACATCCCGCATGGTAAGCATGATAGGTGCGGCCGAATTCCTCGGGATAGTCGAGCACACTGTCTGATAGAGATTCATCGTCGTCTCTGCGCACGGACACGCAAGTAAGCCAGAGTCCAGCAGCGCAACTGAATGTCTCACTGTATGCTTACACTACTCTCATAGATATCTGCGCATCGTCGAGTCAGTCAGTATGCTTGAGCAGCAGCGGGAATCTGGCGGCGCGGCAACCTACATCAGGCTCAATGGCATTCTGGAACTCGAACGTGAACTGGAAATCCCTGAGATCCGGCAGAGCATTAAGCTCTCCGTGTCTACGTAGAGAGTTGGGCGCCACTCCCATCTTTGGACAGTCGACGAGCGTGGTTGATTCAGACGTTGCGATGAGGGTCAACGGAAGCCGCCGCAAGACGGTCCATTTTAAACCGTCGAGCTGAAAGCCAGCTAGCGAAGCAGCCAGGCCAGGATTGAAAAGTTAACTCCACTAGGGAGAGAGGCTAGTCGAAAGAGGCGCCCGCTACTCGTCTGGAGGCCTAAGGCTCAAAGACGACGCATCGGCTCTAGTCATGGGCCTCGCAAAGCCGCCTGGAGGGAGTCCTCAGCTGTGTATTGCACCGTCGCACTGCCGTGGCGAATTGGGCTGTTCACATCGCCAACCGAGACGGCCAACGTCGTGGCGGCTGGAGGAGATGCTCACCCGCAATTGGGTGCCCGAATAGCGCGTTTGCTTGCAGGGGTCGATCGGCTTTACACCAGACTCCCGCCCCCGAGATACTCCACTTTTGCAATGGCACCAACAATTTTACACCGCTGGAGTCCTGTTAAAGGGGCTAATCCTTCAGATTGGTAACCAATGAGAGAACCGTCAGCATCTGTTGGCACATGTCACAGCTGCAGAGGTGTGGACTGCAACCCGAGAAATTGGGATTGTTTACCTAATAACGGCCGCTATCTTGTGCTTGTGGCTTGCCATGACTTTTACCAGATTGAATTTTACTTTCTGACAGGTGCTTGGTACATGGCTAGCATACATTGAGTTAGGGGCACGTTCTGCGTATTGCTCTGTGCTGTCGTCTCTCTACTCATCAACAAGCGATAGCTTCCCATTGACCTTCACGTTGCCATTCTTCGTAAAACCCACCAAGAACTCTCGAACAACACGAACATCATCCGGCGTTGTATCAACCAGCTCTAAATTAAACCGGCGTACAAAAGCAGCAACCGTGAGAAACAATTCCATGTAAGCGAGACTAGAGCTTTGGGTCAGCAAAGGGCAATGCAGGCTATGATTCAGGACCACATGGGTGAAGTTATAATCACTTTATTCCAATGCAGTTTCTGCTTCCTTTGGTGAAAGACACCAGATGCTTCTTGAGATTTTGACCTTTTTCGGCCGCTTCAATCCATCTCTCGGGGCGGAAGGCGTCTGGGTCAGGGAAGATTGTAGCGTCCTTGTGTATAAAATAGGAGGCACTACTCATTGGAGTCTTCGGCATAATATTAGACAAACCCGAGATTAGAGGCAAGGTAATTAGGCATTCATCGCTTACTCCTGGAGGAATAACGTAATTCTTGTATGTTAGAGTCTCTGTCGGGGCAACGCGGGTGTATCGCCCCAGTATCGGGGAACCTATACGCAGGGATTCACTGATGAAAGCATCCTAGTGGCAAGTCATAAGCAACATATCGCTGCGTCTAGGGGTGAAGATGATCTTTTTACATACTAGATAAGGTAGGCGCTCGAGCTCAATCCAGGTCGGTGTGCTGTCTGGCGTAGGCATCAGCTGTTTCAGCTCTGTCTGCAGCTTGTCTCTCACCGTTTTATCCCGGGCAAGGTGATAGAAGGCCACGGTTAGCACAGTCGCTGTTGTTTCGGTTCCGGCACCTATGATTCCAAAAGCTTCATCCCTCTGCCGATGGAAAGATCGTTCTTGTGGCGGGATGCTCGGATCCGCCAGGGTGGCAAGCATCGATTTTCTTTTGCCTGTCGAAGCACCCTTCTGCGCATATTCTAAGAATGATTCAAGGAACCCAAACAGTCCCGCTTTTCCTGGCATCAGTATAGACAGTGTTCGTGGTGAAAGGAAAGTCGATAGGGTTACCAGCCAGGGGAAAAACCGGGAAATGTGAGTAAAACTCGCGGCATCCGCAGTGGCTTTGCGGACATCGTTGCGGAAGTCAGGATCCTCTATAAACCCCCAGTGCTTGCCGCAGCAGTAAGACGTGATAACATCTGATGAAAGCGCCGAGAATGCATCGTCAATGGAAACTGTAGATTGGGCAATCCGAAATCCTTCCAGGCGTTTCATAAGTGCTTGAACTCGTTCATTTATCATCTCTGAGAGCTCCAGGACAGAACGCCTTGAGAAGAAATCTTTCAGGATACCTCGGCGAAGGTGATGAAGCTCATGGCTCACAGCCGCCACCATAGAGCCAGGTAAGGCGTATGTAGGCACGAACTTGGGATCTTTCTCTCTCTTTCGGCTACTTGAAGCGTAGATTTCATCATAGAAAGTAGGGTCGTTAATGTGAACCTCACGAGGGTTGATGCGGATTATGGGTCCTAAGTCGTCCATTTCTCAGCATTGTCACCTGAAGACGGCCGCAAAACACGTCTAACCGTATTGCTGGTGCATCTTCTCCATTTCAAATAAATATTTCCCTGACAAAATGACATTGTAGTAAAATTCATAGAGATGTGAGCATGCCGCCAGCTTTGGGCCGGGAATATGGGACAGCGGGTGGAAATATAGGCGGTATATAGTCCTAATGCTGATATAAGCGCCCAGGGCCGTGATGACGACCCAGAGACGGAGCAGATCCCCCAGCATGATAATGGTACAAGTATTTAATTCATATACCTCTCGGAACTTGCGTGTGTCAATGATCAACGATCGCAGCCTGCCGAGCACTCGAAGTCAAGACACCGAAAAGAATGGCGTGATTATTGCTGTTTGCAGAGTGTGCAAAGTGCCCGTGACTTGGTTGCGCAGATTCTCTCCGCCCAACCGAGGTGAATTAACTGTATATATCTAGTTCTTGGCACACGTGCTATGTAACAAAAACAGAGTGGCCGCATCGTAGAAATCATGCCTCAGCCGGGGGGTTTGTCTTGAAAGCGGGATTTTTATTTATGACAGCTTTGGCTTGGCCAACGCTAATGCGGCCCTCAGCTCTTGAACCGCGATAATAGCTAATCTATGGAAATCTTTCATATAAACGTTTTTTTCCCTATGTAAATGCAACCTGTACATGCATGAAACTTACCCTGCCTAGGCATGGTTAGATGCATGCATGACCAAAAGGAAAAATCGTGCAGGTAGTGCGCCAATATTTACTCACAAGTAGATAGCTCGAAGCCAATCAGCAGAACCAAGCCCTGCACAATGGCTCCGAAAATAATGACAGAATACTATAGCGGTACAGCCCCCTTCGCTGATGACGCTCTTTGGGGATTTCGGGACACATAGATATGTAGCTAGAGGCCAATCATATCGTTCCGTATGGGCCAGATAGATGTGCCGTCTAATCAACTGACCACGAGCTCGCCCATGCCATTGCAAATGTTACTTGTAGGATACGCTATTATGCCTTGGCTCTCACCTGATCCAGCTCAGGTCTGCTACGGGATACTTCCGTCGATATCGGCTTCACAAGTAGGTATTTCCACGTTGTAAGTATTCGGCGAGTTGAGTGTCTACGAGCACTTCAGGCGTATTCGACCCCGCAGATATCGTCCAACCTCCGGTATGGAGTCCTACCAGGTAGTAGCAGTAATCATGGATGGAGAACAATATACGAGGGTCAACCAACACACCTTTACCTCGCTGATAACGCGATACTAGCTAGCCAATGAAGGCTGTGAAACTACAGATCCATCTTACTAAACACAATGCTATAACCCATCTACCGTGGGCGCATCAAGAAGCCGGCGGAGACGAAATCCCCGCCGTCATGCCACTATAAAGGTGTATATAAGTAGCTGCAGCTGCCTACATGAATGCGCAGAGTGGGTAGAAATATCACCTTCTTACTATATCTTGCTCTATCAATCAAGCCAAATTATATAAAAATGTCTAAGCTAAAAAAACGTGTTCCTCTTTGGCCGCCAGAAGGCCAATCTTGGCACGGCGTTACACTGAGCGATGCCAACATTACTCTATGCCAGTCATGCAAGATGAGTATATGTTGGCAGGGCGTGGGGGTCTGTGTTGGATGTGCCTCGGGACTTGAAAGGCCCCTCCCCAGCAAATTCCTGAGACAGCTGCGTGAAGAGCTTGCATGTCGTGACGCCACTGTAGCAGTGCGATCCATCGATGGAAGTGGACGAGTCGTGCATCGCGGAGGGGTGGAGCGGCCGGCAAGGTGTGAAGACAGGTCCCGCAGAGCTGATCTGTGTGACACCATCTCACTATACGGATTCAAAAACGGTTGGGCAGCGTGGGCGCTTGGCAATGCCGCAAGACAGCTGCGCGAGCCCGAGGGGTCAGATGCTGCTGCGATTGGTGTGTATAAGCGCCAGCAGCCAATCGAGGACGACGTTGGGCCCATGAAGCACTGGTGTTCCTGCGGCAATCGGAAGCACGAATCGAGCGGACAGTCGCAGGCGGTGCTGATCGAAGTGACGATTGGAAAACTAACAAGCCAACCCGAGGCATCTGCAGGCCAGCTCAGAGCATTGGCGAAGAAGCGCAGATCGTTGAAGAACCAGCCTGTTGAAACGACGAGACAGCTCCGGTCGGCCACCAGACGGCTCAAGGCATTCAAGAGCCAGCCCGGCGCTGCAAATGGCGCTCCAAACGGCGCTCCAAACGGCGCTCCAAAGCCAGAGAAGGCGTCGGCTCGAGTGCTCACGAGAGAAAAAATCGACTTGGCATATCAGCACAGCCTGTGGTCGGGAGCGACGCCGGAAATCTTCGCGGATATAATGTGGCTGATCGGGCCGGGCCGCAGTCACATCGCTAAAGAAGGCGGCAAGGTCAGCGAGGAAATCGCCAAGGGCGCGCGCGGCTCTGCTGAGACCGTGCTGCTGCATTATTTCTTCCTGAACAACCACGTCAACACGCTGGAGCAGGGGCTGGAGCTGTTGCTGATGGGCGTTTATCTCACGGCCCTGGACCATGGCCGGGTCCGGGATAGCGACTTCACGGCCTTCGTCGGCGAGCTTGCGCGCCATGCAAGCCTGGGACGCTTCACTGTTTCGTTTATCGAGCTCATGGTGCAGTTTGGGCCGTCCGTCCTGGACTGGCACGCCGGGTGCATATCGACTCTAGGCTTGATGCGCGGCCTGGAGCTGCGCTCTTGGGCGTATGGAGTCCAGTGGGACGTGCTCATGCATTATGAGCTCGGCAGCGAGGAGGATTGGGAAGAGAAGCTCCCGTCGTGGATGTGTGTCGCAGCAGCGCTCGGCCATGATGTGGGAGATCTCTGCGCTGACACCCGGCTGGGCTCTACGGACAACTGCTACTTTGCCGTCGGTGCCGTGGCTGGATACGAAGGCGTGGCGGCCTGCATGGACATCTTGTGCGATGCGCTCGAAGCTGTCGTGCTCCGCGATACCCGTGGGATGATTGATATTGGGTGCATCGCCGGCAGTGCCTGTGCAACCTTTGAGCGGTCTGGTGGAGGTTTGTGTGCTTGCTCCAGCGATACGAGCTTGGAGAACTCGTGCGAGGCCATGGGCTTGCTATCCAACCTGTGCCGCGACCGCCGGATTCGTCCAGACGATGCGGCTGACCTGCTGGATCTCAGGGATTCGGTGAGACAGCGATGCCAACAACTGCCTCGGCCTCGACAAGCCAGAACGGTCCATCTCGACCATGAAGACCGTGAACAGGCGTATGCTGAAGCTTTGAGAGTCATGGGAACAGGCGAGAGCGGCAAGTCCGCCCACGCAAGGCTGCAGCTAGCATACTCGAGCGCGGCCAAAGATATGTGCGGCTTCCTGCGGAGAAGAGCAGCTTACCTTCGCCAGTGTATTGGATCAAGCAAGGATGTGCTAGACCTAAGCCGCGATTGCATGTGTGGTGGAGAGTGCAGTTTATGGTAAGGCTTGGGCTAAGATGGTTTTCATTACTGGTGAAGCTTACGACAAATTGAAACGGAGATAGAAAAGCACATGTATATTCTAATCCAATAAAAGTTCCTTTAGATCAAAAAAGTAAAGTTGCTGAGGGAAATGTTGCCTTTGTTCAAATCGAATGTCTATCGAGGTTGTTTATTACTTGCATGTTCTCGCTGCCTTACTTGATGGAGTGATATAGGTCAAATAGAAGAGAAGGCGGCAGACGGTTGAAGTTTTGTGAAATATAAAAAACCATTAGTAAATATTATTACTTTCATTACGTTACCTAGAGCAGCCAAAAGATATAGGTATTTCTGTTCCGCGACATCCTAGACTGACATCTTTGAGTGGGTGAGCTAGCCCATGGGCATGCTAGACGTATTGTATCAGATGACAATATCTGAAACAATTACCTAATGAAATTGATCAGCGACATCGCACATTCTGGCTATTTGCTAAATATTCAGCCTTCCAGCAGAAAAAAAAAAAATTATTTACATCTCCAGATGAACCGTAGAGGGAAGTCTCTGTGATATTTTATCTGTGTAACTTACAACCATAAAATACTATCCTACGTCCACATTCAAAGTAGGATAATCCTCTTCTTTTTTATGCTGGAATGTTGCCGATAACTCGGCCTTCGCCTGCTGCTGCGCGCTCCGATATGGATTCTTACCCCTGTAGAACTTTTCTATCAGTTTATGAAAAGTGAAATTTCCATGGCTAGCGGCCTTTGCGCTACCTGAACTGGCATACTTACGTAGTTACTCTTACTTACTAATCTCTTTATGGAGTACATTAGTCTCTACGGAGTATACGATCTGGGAAATAGCTACGCTATCCCCGGCCCTGGCGGCAGATAGTGTCGGTAATCTCATATGGCCCTACGCACATTAATTCTCGCTTGATTCTAGCATAACGTTGAACAATCTCGCTAAAAGCCGAAATAGCCATCCCGTTTCGATCTTACCAAACGCTTTTTGGTCTTCGAAAGAATGTCTTTGACTCTTGTACTGTATGCGTAAAAGGGCGAATCAGAAGAGAAAGAAGATATTATTAAAGCTATATACCTAATATGTTTGGCTATGGAACTATATTCCAATGTTAATAATTACGCATATTTTACTATTCTCCGTTAATTTAGCCTTGTACGGGGTGTGCCTGCAGGAATTGTTCAGCTGCTCTCATCTCTTCAGCTGACGGCAAGTTAGTGATCATTAGATATAAGACATCCTTTGAGAACTGTTAGCAAAACGCTTTCAAACATATAAAGTAAGACCAAAAAATAAATGAAAGAAAGAAATAAGAGAAAGTAATATAAACCCAGTGTAGAAAAGCAGCATAGAATATAATTAAACGCACCTCATGTATAAATTTCTTAACACCGCGAAGTAGAGCCCTGGGTCCAACTGTTCCTATGATCGTTGGTCCTCTTTCCTCTCTTTTTGCCTCTCTCTTATCTGATCTCCGATCACGTCGAGCATCCCTTCTAGCATGTTTAGCTTGCCTCCGTTGGCTTATACCGCCGCCGGCGGCACCGCCTGTCAGCAAGGCCAAGATACTGCCGCTACTAGCTGGATGGTTGGGATCCGCGTAGCGTGAGTGAAACTCAGGCTTGACGCCTAATTGAGAAAGCTGGCTCTCTGGATGATCGTTGGCCCATTGAGCCTGAGCTCTTTTATCCATATAGTCCATCGCGAACAACATGCTGCGCTTCATGCTGTTAGGTTGCTTCTTTTCAGCATCTTCCACCGCCTGTCGACCTTCGGCAGTGCTAGAGAGCTTGTCCAAGGTTGGAAATATTAATGGCGCCGACTCAGGCCACTCGAAATTCGTTGTTCCATGAGAAGCTTGCATTTTATTGCGGACTCCACTGCTTCCTCCTGTCCCTGAACCTGAAGCATTCTGTGCGGCTTGATCTATGGCCGCGTCAAACGTGACCTGTGTGACAACCTCGCCAGGCGTGCTCGGCTTCCAAGTCATGATGATGGCTATCAACCCAAGCGGGAGGAAAAATTCCGCATTTACTTTGTTCAAAAAAGCGTTCGTCTTGGAGCGGCTGTGTGCTTGGAGGCTCACTTGGGTAGCTCTCTGTGCGGCAATGGAGACGGCAATTGTGATAGGCTCGGGAACGTTCTGCACAGCAACAGCCGCGAGGTTGATGGCGTGGATCCATGGCGATGGTGCAGTTGCCAGGTTCAGCTCTTTGATGAAATCCATAAATGTCGCCTGATCAATGCCCGCGTTCTGTAGTAGCGGTGCATAAGCATTTATGAATCCACGGGCTCGCTCTCCTGGTCGCCGTTGTGGAAGGATCACAGGCATTGGTAATTTATGAGATTGAGCCTGATGGATTGGTGGAATCGTATGATTTCGTACAAAGCCTTCAGCCATTGCATTGGCGTCAATGTCTTGTTCCATGACGGTAGCATAGTCGGGTGGTGGCTCCAGCTGTGATTGAGCGGCATCAAGGCTCCACGCTGCCTCTTCCAAATCTCTAGATGTCTCTGGGTCAGCTTTTACAGGCCGATCATGTTCATCGCTATCTGAAGAGCCGTATTCATCACTTTGATGTGAGCCGTGAGGCTGCGGTTGCACTCCATCGTTCTCAATCGCTCTTGAGCTTTCTCCGGCTGTGGTAGCTGCCTGTGCTTTCTTCTTCTCTTGATGGTTGTGGTAGCTCTCAGAGGCCAGACCTATACCAGCGGCCACGCTTTTGACAAGACCGCTCACCAGCCCTTTGCGTCTACCACTGTGAGAGTGAGAGCTCGCTGGCGGCAATTCATTTCTATTATCGCCATACTGGCTGTGATAGGCTCTTCCCCCTGCATTTTCAGGTTGCAGATACCTAAGCTAAGCATTAGAATTATTTCGTGATATAGTTATCATTGCTCTCCAGGGTCTAGTTATACACACCTATTGTAATCATCATTGCCTGACATGCCTGTTAATTATTCGTCGCTATTGTAAAAAAAAAAAAAAAAATTTAATTTATGAACATTAATATTCACTGGAATGCCTTCCGTTTATTCCAAGAGAGTAGTGAATGACTGAATGAGAGAAAGAATTTGGTCCCATAGGAGTGGCTATGTTCAAATCCTCTCTGTCTAAACGCGTATGAAGCAGTCCGCAGCAAGCCTCTACTAAATGGGTACGCGGATCGGGCGGCACACACTGCGGGGTAGCTGATCGAAACAGTTACTCATTCTGGAATGCACCAGTGACGTGATGTTAGTTACATGTAATTGGCATCCATCCTATTAACCTTCGAACGAAGGTTGAAAAGAATTTCGGTCGTGAGTTTATTGCATGTGTAAGTGGATGGCTAATTTTCTTTCTTTCTTTTTTTTTTCTTTTTTTTTTTTTTTTACCTTTCTTCATAATAATGGCTGTTTATTATTGTTTTCTCTTTTTAAGATACTCGCAATGCTAAATTCGGTGTTACTGTATGATAATGCTGTTATAGTATTTTCGGCGTACTAGGAAAACATGGCTTACACTAACGAAGCCGCAGCTAAGGAGCTCGCCAAGTACACGTATGTAGCAGAACGCACTAGGGTCAAATACCAAATATATCAGTGTGAAAGACCTAGTTCTAATGCTTTAATATTCTGTAGCTATCTGTTCGATATCCGGACAACTACAGAAATAGAACTCCCCGTGATCTAATGAGCACTAAAAAGGTCTCCGCTACCTACATAATATGCGAATAGGCATGTATTATGATAACGAGCAAGATATTAGGATTGACATACCTAATATAAGCTGTGACGGCAGCCTTTTTGTAAATTTCAAGACTAAAATAGCAAATCCTCTAACATTTTTGGCTGGGAAGGTGAACAAGTGATGATATTAGTGTGAAATTGACTTATGAAGCAGTGGCTTAGAGATAGTTAAGTATCATCGGCTACCAGATGGTTTAGAGGACACAATATATGGTGGCGCATTTGTGCAACATACCAGGAATAGTATTCTTCGGAAACGGTGGGGGAAAAGAGACAACTTTGTTAAGATATAGTGATAAATAGCTCAGTAAACTATCTTACTCTATAGTCAGGTATTTTGGGATCCACTTGGAAACAGATTTTGGTTACCTTTTTCTAGACTGGTTACCGTAGATTCCTTGTCCGCGAGTCCATATTCCGTAGAATGGCTCTTACGAAGCTCAACGTGTTTTTCAATGAAGGTACAAAGAAACCCCAAACCAGAAACAGATGTGACAATCCACCAGACTACTCTGAGAGCTTTTACATAAATGTCAATCACCTGGCCTTGGATAGGTTCTGGTAATTCAGATATGCCACCATGCTGTACAGAAGCATATGCATATGCACCTCCGTCTATAAGTAAATTGCGTATTGTTTGATCGCTGATAGAAGTGATGTGAGAATTCATTTGGCCATTGAAAGCGATGGAAGCCATAGTAGCACCCCAGACAAGCCCGAATGACCGCACAAAGGAATAGGTACCGGTCGCAACGGCCACATCTGACTCAGGAAGTGCCGCTAGTGTAGAAGGCAATGTGGCTGTGAAGATGATACCAGTACCTCCTGAAGCAATTACTTGGTAACCAATACACGCTGCCCGAGAGGAATTTTCGTCCAATGTCGAGAATAAGCCAATACCGATGGCGCTAAGAGCAAATCCCAGGCAATGCAGAGGTATGTATAGACCAGTCTTGGACATAAAGAGTCCAGCCATTGCACCAAACGGCATAATAGCAAGAGCAAAAGCCAAGAAATAAACACCTGACATCAAGGGCGTTACTCCTTTAACTCCCTGAAAATAGACAGGCAAGAAATAGTTGATAGCTTGAAGTATAACTGCTCCGAGAAAAATGATGATGAATCCCCCAGATGACGTTCTGTGCTTGAATAGCCGAGGGGGCATGCTTGGTTCTCTACAAATGGGCGAGGCTTGGTGTATATGAAAACCAACCCAGCCAATGACCCCAAGAACAAGAGGCAATATAATCCTCCAAGATTTCCACGGATACCCACGCGTACCGCCCATGATCAGTCCAAAAAATATACTAACCATGGACGGGACAAAGATGGCGTTCCCGAGGAAATCAACCCGAGCAAGAGCATGGCGCCAGGTTGGGCTGCGCTTGTATTTAACATTGAGAATGAGGACAATGGCGAGAAACCCGAGCACCGCTGCTGGAAGATTAAGCCAAAATATCCACCTCCAATTCTTCAGCGCCAAGGCGCCGCCAATAATGGGCCCAATCGTGGTCCCAATGGCGGCGGTCGAAAGGATAGCACTTAGATAAGGGCCACGATGCCTGGGAGGCACCATATCGCAGACAATAATATCAGAGAGCACATACAGTCCTCCTGATCCAAGACCTTGGATGGTTCGAGCAGCAATGAGCATCCCAGGACTCTGGGCACCGCCAGCGAGCCCGCTTCCTATGGCGAAGAGAGCTATGGCGAGGATCATGGGGTTTCTCCGACCAAATATGTCAGAGATCTGCCCAAATAAGGGCTGTGGTACCGTTGAAGTAAAGAGAAATGAGTTGACGACCCATACGTACTCCTTGCTACCGCCAATGTCGCGCGTGATGGTTGGTAGAGAAGTGGTGACGATAGTGGCATCGACGGCAGAAATGAAGGACAGCAGACAAAGAACAAGGAAGACACACCACACTCGCCATGAGTGTTTGAATGTCTCTGGTTGAGTTACTTGAACTTCCTCCTCATGTTTTTCTGTTGCCGATAGCTGAACTTGGCCAACAGGCGCATCTGAGCCCACGAAGACTCCACCAGGCTCGCCCATCTTGACAGCTTGCGGAAGATGATTGCGATACGCACATAAGGATGATTTTTCAATCTTGTCGTCTTCTGGCTAAAAGCAAGTGTGTAGCTTTTCAGTAAATAAGGGGTAGGTGATCTAATGCCAAGATGTCTTACGCGGATTGCAATACTGCCCGTGGCGTGGGTAGGTAGGCGTTTCTTTGGCCAGTTCGTGTATGCAATCACGAATCCCCCATAAGCTGTTAACCCACCCAAACGTACACTTGGGAAGTGTCCTATTTGTGATACATTTGACGCAATATTACGCTCTGTGTGTGAGTTCACGGCTTAGTGAGTTGTCCGACTACCTGCATTGTCCCAACATGATTTGCCATACGACGCGGGCAGTGCACTCATTCCTTTGCATATCCGCATGGCAACCACTTGTTTTAAGCTTTTTATTACGACTCTGTACTCTTCACGTGTATGTTGATCCCGAAATTATGTCTCACATCTTGGGCCAATCTTCTAAACCTTTCGGCGAGACACAGGAGCCCATGCATTCGAACTAACCCGGCCACCTGTCTCATCCAACAGTTTCTCGAATTGTGATCCAATTCTGGGGTTCGGGTCCTTCAAGGATCCCCTATTCTCCCTTCAAAATCCTTCTGTCAATCCAATCAACCCGCAGCCAGCGATCACCATGCCCGAGACACAACGAAACACAGCCTTGTCAGGCATTCCCTCCTTCCAGCACACATAGCCGTCTACAACACCCAGATAGGCGCCCATAACCGACATGATGGTATCCACCTCGGTGAATCTTCCTTGCTGGTAGAATATGAACATCAAAAGTCCTAGAGCTGTGGTACGAGCCGAGGAGAGCACCATGACGGGCTGCGCAGTAGGCGAGTCTGCGATGCGCGCTGGCAGCCCAAATTCAAGCATGGCATCTCGCGGTGCCCAAAAAGGCCAGAGGCCGCCAAATGTTGTGGCTGATGCAACGAATAGCGGCACAATATGTCGTAAAGCAAACTGTTCAAACATGGTGGCGAGAAAATTCTTCGTAAATCTTTCAACGCCCTACCGTAATATGAAGTAGAGAGATCGCCTACTTGGGGAGGAAAATGTTGGTTAGACGAGAGCTTGATGGATTTGTTGTCGGAAATGAGGAGCTCGCTCCCTTAAATTCGCTTGGAGCTCACACTGTCTCCAACAAACAGGCAGCTGCATGCACACACTCGTCCTGTTGGTTTTGTATCTGCATGCACATGTCTTAGTTAAAAAAGCCAGGGGTTGTGTCACTCACTCCGCCTTCTGGTATGTCGCTTACAAGGAGCCATGTGATTGTGTCAGAAAAAGAAAAAGAAGGCAATACTACTTCATTTAAACATTCTATTCTATAGCTATACGAAAACCAAAGAAAAACGCTCTAGCTACTACTGTCAGGCTAGTATATTCATCTCATCCTTTATTTTTCTTGAAAAAAATAACGGAAGAAGATTATAGAGCAGCACGAGGACGGAGAATCATTTTGGTACTTGCATACGGGTATATGAAAGTGCGCCAGGCAAAGTATCGGGTAGCGGCCTTCTCTTCAAGCTGCATATCATACTTGGTAATAAACAATGCAAGGAGTGTTTTCATGACTGCAGTCGCATAGAATCGGCCAGGGCTGTGTACATTAGTTCCTAGTGTCAGCCTAACTGTCTCAGTTTCGGGATGAGGGTGGTGTATACAAATGTACTCACCATGCAGAACGCCCTGTGCCCCATAGTTGCCAGTCACCAATGTCTGTGAAGTTGGATGGCGTCCCTTGCAGCTGTGAAGCTACAACACCTGGATGAGAAGGAAACTTTTTCTCAAGGACGCTAGGATCAACGAATCGAAAACCTTGAAACTCTTGTGGAGCGGTGTAATAACGCGCGTCCAACATCATACCTCGAGCAGCAGTGCAGATCCATTCACCTGCCTCGACTCTGGAGCCGTCGGACAGCTCAAAAGGTTTCAGAGCCATGCGACGAGAGCTCACTAAAATATTTGTCACTCGTTATTCAACGGTGTTGGAATATGCCCAGGGCGTGATCTTGAGGCTTACCTGACTCTACAGGATTGATCCGGGCCGATTCTTTCATGAAGCTGTCAAGCAGTGGGAAGGTCTTACCTCCCGATTGTTCGAATTGGGCCCAACCAGTACTTTCAATTTCGTCCCTCAAAGGTTCAATGTACTCTGGGTGAAGGCAGAGGTGATGAAGAGCAAAGCAAGCGGTCTAACATGATACTATTTTAGTTTTAAAGATGGTGAGTAGGGTGAAGATACTTATTACCGTTGACGTTATATGCACTGAGCCGAACCAAAGGGCCATAAGCTCATGGACTATCCTCTCCGCAGACCATGGCTTTGACCGCGGCGAGCATTCCATGACCCATTGTATGCAGTCATGCTGTCATACTTGTCAGCCTGAAACATTATTACAGTTCTGTATCAAGGAGGTAGGCACATACGTGTTCAGGAACGACGTGTCCGAGTTTCTTTCGCGCTCTTTCCTCCAGTCGTTCCTCGGCAATAGGGATCAATGCATCGTATATGGTCTTACCCGAGCCAAGGTTCCTTGCTATCATACCACCAATAAAGCTGTTTTTACCAATGTTAGAAATGATTTGTGAATACGCAGAATATTTCTTACGGTGCGATGGCTTTGGGAAGCACGCGTATGGCTTCTGCAGCTAAAAGAGTTTGTTCGATGAAACCGATCGCTCCCGCCATAAATTTTTTATCGTGGCCTGACAATCATGAAGTATTAGTCACTGAAAGAATTATGCTCAAAATTATCATTGAACAACTTACTAAGCTCGCTTCCGAAGAAAGCGGCTGCATTCGTCAGAGATATTGCTTCAATTATTATTGGAAATACCGGTGAAATGTAAGATCCTTTTCAACTGTTAATAGGGCATTTCGATACAATATCTGTGTGATGCCTTACCGTTAACAACCGGTTGTGGACTTTGCGCGCGATCAAGTAGAACAGACATAGACCGGCGGAGATCTGGCAAGATATCGGGGAGGTGGTTCGTGAGAAGAGTTCTTAGTGTTCTGACAAGTGGCATGCCATCCGCCCCTTTCCTATCAAACCAATTGAAGTTTTGCATCGTATACCGCGGCTGTAAGATCTCTTTGGCGGCGGCCTGGAGAGAGAGCACATCCTCTGAGGCGGCGTCAATCTCCTTGATATGATCCCATGACGAGACTACGAGGTACCGATTCTCGGGAGCTTCAATCCAAAATGGATTTCCGTCGGCCTATAATTTAGGTCAGAATATTGACCAAGATAGGAGAGATTGGGACCAAAAGAAAACAATTACTTTTTCATATGCCTCTTGGATCATACTTGGACCTCTGAAAAGAAACATCCAGGCATTGAAACGCTGTTTTACTCCCGAAAATATGTTTGGCATATATGCCAAAATGCCTGAGTTGGCTGAACTCCATGAATGACTATATTTTTTAGACGATATAGGCATAAAGAATAAGGAAATAAAGATGCTGCCAAAGACAAAAGAGAGTAATTGATCCATGATTCGGAAGAGGTATATAACAGAGATAGATGAATGCGTATTCGCAGAGAAGTACTATGATACTAAGTTAAGCTAAATGCAGTATTGAGCGCCGCTGCACGACATTTGTGTCTTGAAAGTGCATTCTGGAAGCTTCATTGCTTTTATATGAACAAAGCAGCGTACTAATCAAATCGCCCGTAGGATACCAAAGGTGAGCAAGGCTGAATTCTGTCGTCCTATGAGAAGTAAGAACACATATGTTCCCATTCCCATGGATGAGTCCTCGTATAGCCAGCAGCACGTGTTCGTCTCAAAGCCCCTGCCAAGGCACAAAGAATTGACATTTGGGACTTGAACCACAATCACTTGGTTACCAAGTTCCTTCGCATCTCAGTCTGATGTTCATCTTCTACGTCATGTACTCAGAAACATGTCGAAGGCTGTAACTCCGAATCCCCCTGATGGTCCATTTGCAGGTTGGAAGATCACTTCCTTCCTTGGAGAAAGATGCTCCAGCCAAGAATAATTATATCAGGCATTCAGCCATATGTACATCTAGATCTCCCTTGCATAGCTAGTCGCATGAGGATCTGGATCAAGCTTACCTCGTATTACCTCGCATTGAGTTCAGGTAACACAACATCCAGATAGATATGTGTCATCCATACGCAGAATCCTTGTGGCTCCATACTAGACATGGCATAGCTGTAGCCATCTCACTTCTTTTCCCTACGCCAAGATTCCTTCATATGTCACGGGGGCCAAATCGGGATGTGGTGGTTTATTTCGGGTAAGACAAAAAGGAATGTTTTGGCCTATCCACGCACCTCTCATCTAATAATTTTTTTATTTGGATATAACAGCTCTACCGAAGAATTCCTATGCCTCACGTCGCTCCGTGCTAATAGCAAAGAGAAGTTTTCGTTTGCTTGCTAGCTTTCTGGTAACGCAATTCATTTTTATCGCAACATGGATCCGTCAATGGTACCACTTGCTCCAAAACCAGATGGTAGCCCGCCAAACTTTATGAGCGGTCCCTCATTGGCCCCCGTCAACGTATCTATCGGATCTATTATCATTGCCTTGAGCGTGATCATTGTCACCTTGCGTCTCTATGCCTCCTACAAAAACATCGGACGTCTATCCCTAGACGATTGTGAGTAGAGAAGCAGAAGTTTCTTCTGTTTTTGAGTATAATATTTCCATCTAATACTTTTAGGCTTTTGCCTCGGATCAGAGATAACAGTGCTGGTGTACTGGGGACTGCTGACTGCCAGTAAGCCAACTTTACTCTATATCATGAACATTTTCACCATTCACTTATTATGACTATGATGCTTATCTTCATATGATTCATCAAAAGATCTGGAAAGAGGTATAGGAAGGCACGCTTGGGATCTACCTGTAAGCGTAGTCTCGCCTTGGGTGCTAAAGGTATGTATGTCTAAAAGAAGTATAATAATAAAAACTGATCCTGTAAATTTTTTTCTATCTGCACAGAGGCATGTGGTATCTCAGTTTTTCGGTGCCACAGGCAACTGGCTCTCTAAAGCTTCTATCTTGGCCTTTTTCATCCGAGTATTTGGCAGCGTTCGGTGGGTTAGAATTGCCTGCTATGCTCTCTTCGTCTTGCTTTCCATGGGAGCAATCACACACGCAGGCCTATTCGCAGTGCTATGCGTTCCGCATGGCCACGAGGTTTGGAATTTCAAGCTCATGATCAGATGCGGTACAGGTGCGCCTGTGACTGTCGCCGTGGGCGTTTGCACACTGTTGATCGACATTGCCATTTTTATCCTACCTTTCCCTATTATTGCGAATCTTAATATGGACAAGAATAAGAAGCGCGGTCTGTTCATCGTGTTTCTAATAGGCTTTGCGTATGTTTCGTTCTCCCACGTTTCATTATCTACATCCTGGAAAATCTGAATCAACCTGCTAACAACGGTATATCCTGGGTAGTATCATTGTTACAAGTACTGTTGGACTCGCTTATAGAATTATTGTGTTGAACAGCACTGGCGACCCAACCTGGAATGGAGCGAATGTATCTATCACCGCGTAAGTTCACACGTCTGATGCTAAGCGCTCACAACGCAAGGGTTAATGCTAAGATCGTTACAGATATGTAGACACTTTTGGAACAATTATTGTCAGCTGCGCACCAGGCGTGTATAGTTGGTGGCTTAAAATATTCTCGCAGAGCAGGCTCTATTCTTCTCTTCGATCCATGTCACTTCTCCGCCCCCGAAACTTTTCAGTAACATCAAGAGATTATGTTTTAAAAGAAAGAGAAAATAGCCCAGAATGGAACCACCAAGAACAGTGCCAGTACAAATTACCAGAAATTGTCACATCATCTCCACAAGAGAAAGCACATGAAGGAACCCAGGGATATGAAAGAAATATTATTCCAGTGTCTACCGTTATAACACAAACAATTTCTGATAGGGTTGAAAGCTATAAAGATATCCATCAGATGCAAGAATATCCATGGCAATCAACTGATACAAGAAACAACAGCACAAAGTAGCAGATGCGTATAGAGATGCACTTCTAGAAGGGTCGCGGCGCAAATCATAGAAGGATTATCGATGAGTTTAATAAATATTTATATGCTTTAACGTGAGTCTCTGGGAGGAAAAGTAACTTTGTTCAACAATATTAGATATATTTATTTATCTTATGTGACGGAACCATTTACTAGAACTGTTCCGTTATACGCACTGCCCACCTGGAGTCCCCGTGCGAAGTCCACAACCAACCAGTCCATCCCTATAATAGCAGTGTATTTCCGCCTTCTCTCACAAATGATGATTATAGTGAGAGTTAATGCAAAGATTTACCATCAAGGACCCTATTACACATCATCACTCCTTTTAGGCAGGAGCTGTATAATACCGGGGCGAAGCTTCGACATTATATCGTCCGGGTCATATTTGGCTCTAATCTCCAAAAGGCGCTTCCGGTTTTCTTCGCCATATCCACCATAAATGTCTTGATAGGCGGCCGAATAGTTAAGCACTCTGTACCTGTGGAATGTGCCACGAGCTCTGGCTGCCTTTTCAGCCTTTTCCATGAATACATTTACTGCCTTGTAGATTGATTCATCGTGCTTAATGTTAGTCCACCTCCAAACGGGAGTGAATACTATTAAATTACACGTCAATAGACAGTTACGTATTGTCAGAGATTTTATTCCCAACTTACGAATCAATGGCCCATCCTCGGCCTTAATCCCCATTGCATTGCCGATGTCGTCCTTTGGCAGCATATTAGGGAGTAAGGGCTGGCATACGAATGCTGGTGCAAAATCATCCTGGTCTTTTAAAAGTTCTACTCCTTTGGCATAGAGATTAATGATTTCCTTCAATGTTCCTCGATCATACTTAATGGTCAGTGCGGGAGCATGGTACCTGAGAAAGCTCATTAGCACTTTGCTCATTAAATAACTGTGCTTGTCGATGCTTAGATACCTAACTCCTGGTTCCATGTGAGTATCAAGCTCGTCGCACAGACTCTTCAAGGTACGAGTTTGAGTCGTGGAATCAAGGGGCGTAAGCTGCTTAAAGTCATCAAAAGCTGGGGGTTCTTTGGGGCTTCCGTGCGACATGGTCACACTATAAACGCAGTTACCGTCTTTTGCAGCGTCGATTCCAACGATATAAGAGTGTGCCAAAGGATCGTCCACGGCTTCTATTTGAACAAACCTGCTAAAGTTGTCAAGGACTGCCATCTCATGCTCGTGAGCATATGTTCGGGAACCTCCCCAAATCTTTCCCATTTCGAAAGTTTTAAGCTCGAAACGAGTAACAATTCCAAAACACAAGCCAGCGCCTCTCATAGCCCAGAATAAGTCAGGATATGATTCATGAGTGACTTTTAGCACTTGGCCGTTGACAAGAACGAGCTTTACCTATTTTTAGCCTGTGCCAATTACGACTCAAAGAAGCGAATTCTTACCTCGTAGCTTATGACATTATCGCACGCAAGGCCTCTTTCGGAAGAAAAGAAAGAGAGACCACCTATAGTTCATGGACCAATTAGTGTGATATTCAGAAGCGGGTTGAGGGCTTGGAATGATACATCATACCTCCCAAAACAAGTCCTCCGACCCCAACGCTCGAAACCCTTCCTCCAACACAGCCAAGATTGAGATTCTCCAGCTCGCTATAAATCTCGCCAAATCTGCAGCCGCTTCCCACAGTAACAAATTTCCGATCTTCAGAAATATTAATATCTTTTAGCCGACTTAGATTGATATTGATGCCATTCTCGGCGTTAGAACCAGAGCTATAGGTGCTATGGCCACCAGACTTGACGGCAAATGTAGCCCCAGCCTCCCGTACAATATCAATAATTGAGACTACGTCTTCGGTATCCGCTGGGAAAACACTGCAAACAGGAGTGATCTCTTCCGCCTGAGCTAACATGTAGAAAAAAGGACCACGTTTGCCCAAGCCCCGATGAGCATCATGATCATCGCCAGAAAAGATCACCTTATCAGGACCTAGCTTTTTGTGAAGGATCAAGGCCTACAATTATCAAATTTAGTCACCGTTTCGTTCTCATATAAACAGAAGATAAACATACAGCTTCTCTGCCAGCGTCCATAACATGTGTAGAAGCCATATATATTCACCTTGCGACATATATGCCCGAAGGTTGAGGCAAAAATTAGAAAGGTTAAAGGAATTCAGTTTCAGGTAGAACACGTCTAAGATATTCTTCAATTATAATCTTGTTAACAGACATATTTTTTCAGTAGGAATTTAGGGACCACTTCATATTATAAGATGTTTTTTATGAATGCCCTGTTTCACAGCATCTGACCTCAGCAGCCACCGCACCGTTACAAAACCATAAGCGTGTAAAGTGATCTGATGTCTGTTCACTAATACAAATTTTAAGTAAGCAAACATTTCATTTAGATCTATTCTCAAAGAATTCAGGGTGCTAATTAGCCATGGTCTTGTTTTCGACAGGATAATTACATATTTGCTGCCTCTGCAGCATTTCTTTGAGGTGGCCTAGAGTTACATTCAATTCCCGCTAGCTGCGACCAAGTGCCAAGGTCCCCTGCTCTGCGAAGAGTCCTCCGACAGCCATTGTGAAACTTTACTGGCAACCCTAAACACGAACCTGAGCAATACTGCAAAGTGAAAAGTAGCTCGCAACATATTATATATATACAAAAGAGTGTGCTGAGCAAAAAGGTGATGCCGTATAAGGCCATACTCTCTCGTTAGTGGGGCCTCTTTATAAAATCTCCGAGTTTAATTGTAGCGTTACACTGCTAATTATGAAAGCGCCATAGATCTTCTTGATTAAGAAGAAATACTGTTTAAATGACCATGTCAAAAATGCGAGCCAACAACTCCTTCCTTTTGTAGATGAATGTCGGAAAAAATGCTCGGTTCATATTCGAGTGATGGCGATTTTGGAGAACACTTTCGACATAATCTTTGCATCAGACTCTAAGACTTCACTTCACAAAACGGCAAAATTCTGAAGTTATTACCAAGCGTAATTTCCAAATCTCTATTAGTACATCTAAGCTTCCGGACGAGTGAACGCCATGAAAAAATCCTGTATGATAGCACTGGCCGATATATGTGTTGGCAAGTCTCCCGCTGCTATTTGAGAAAAGTTGATCTCTGTCGAAGCCCAGTCGTGCTCTAAATACAATTGTGTCAGTTCAATTGGGCTTATGAATAAGAAAGTAGAAATCAATAGAGGTCATACTCTGATCATCAGTCTTGTAATGTTGTACCACACCAGTCTGGCCATTGCACGTCCAGCTAAGGTGGTGAACGTCGTCATCAAATAGGTCCTCTTGATCGTATTTCTCTTCGCACTGGTTTCGTTGCGCCCACCAGCTCAGCCTATAGATATAAACATTAGCATAAAATCACAAAGCCGCACGAACGCTATCGTACTGAGGGCATATGTAGCGACTCACCAATCTGGAATGGCGGGCTCAATGCCTCCTTCGCCTTCGCCACCATCATATTTGACATCTGTATCGGCGCCCCCATGGAACTCGAGAATTGGCACAGGCACACGAGCAGGCTCACAGTTTTCATGATTGGCATCGTTGTTGGTATAGAAAGACCCGGATGCAGGGGCGAAAGCCGCAAACTCGCCGCCAACAGTGGCATTGCAAGCAATGGTATCAACAAAACCGCCGCCAATAGACAGGCCAGTAGCGTAGATCCGGGCACTGTCAATGCAGTAATTTCGCCTCAAGTCCACCAACATATCCCAAACGAACTGAAGATCTTCTTGGACTGAGGCTTTGGAATAATTTGCACCAGCCCATGCTCCCCCGAGCCCGTTCGGATATACCATGATCTTGTCTCCTATATACTTGGAGCTATCGAGGCCAGTATCAGCCTCGAAGAAGAGACCAATACTGCTTGAGCCATGGAAACCTAGAATAGTTGGATACTGGTTATTCTTAGAGTAATTTGACGGTAGATGTATTCCGTAACTGCGATCTACGCCACTTGATTTGATTATGCGGTACTGCGTGATGCCGTTGAACCAGTGACTCTTGCCGCAACCAGATGTATCGCCCCCGGTGTACTGTGCGGCTGCCGACGCGTAGGTCGCGGACAGAGCGAGTAAGCTGAGGCCTATAACTTTCATGTTGACTGCAGGTAGGTGATTGCAGATCTATGCCGCTAGCGGGGGAGATCTCACTCTTATAAAAAGCTTATAACCTCTCCAGTACAGTTACATGGATCTTGGGGCAATTTAAAGCTTTATAAACCGAGGCGTTTGTGCATATTCATGTGTTCGTCAAGGGTTATAGTTTATTAACGAGCTGCTGTTGCACAGGTATGCTTCAAAATACGAAGCACTAATTAGGAAGGTCTCCAGTTCCACGCGACTGTGAAAGTTTCTGGCGCGCTAATCATGCTCCTATTACAAGTCACGGATCCCCCGACATGCTGTTTGAGGCATATGAGCCGGTCATCCGTCGCCTTTTTTTGTCCTGCTGCCTAAGCGAATAGTGGTACCGTTACCATAAGTCTAGATTGAGACATCTTTACCTTGGCGGGAGCTGGGGAAAAAAGTTTGCGTGTTTGCGATATTGGCTTGCAAATTACTGGAATGTCCATCTATTTCCTCCACTCGGCCACCTCTCGGTAAAATATTCACTCAGTGACAACGATCAACATCTTCCTCCGCATCAGTCCATAAACGCTCCACACATCTACCAGCTCTCATCTCATTTCAAGCGAGCAGTTGAGTCGCTCCACTTGAACTTACACTGAGTCCTACAAGAATACCCTATCTGAAGCGGGCACGAGTCCTATCGCATCTCATGTCTACAATATCGCATTGCCAGAACAAGATAAAAATGACACCGATAGAGCAGCCCAGATATCGTGATGTCTATTACAGAGAGATGACTGGAGAAAGTGTACTAATAAATAACTTAATGGAGTGAAGTAGCCAGCCACGCCTTCTTTACCTCCACTTGTTGTTCCAGCCAGCCTGCTCAATGACGAATGCAATGGCAAGCTCAGAAAAGCGTGCCATGTGCTAGGGCGACATTAGTAAATTTCTCTGCGAAAGCATTCGGGGTTTACTTACCTCAATGGAGAAGGTTCCAGTCTCATCATCAACGTTCATTGTGTCCTTATCAGTATGAATATACGAGTCGTATTCACCAGCGGCGGGATTGCCTTCCGACGCAAAGGCAGCGGGGTAGCCAAGCTGAGTATAAGACATGTAGTCCGAACCAGCACCACTGGTCTCGTTAGTTACAATGGCACACCACGAGAATCTGAAAATGGGAATCAGTCTTACGCAGGTAGCGTGAATATTTCGGCAGGAATGGAAATATATTCGTTGGCCAGCGCCGCTGCCCAGCTCGTCAACGGCGCATCCGCCTCAGTCTTGATGAATCCAATAGACTCGGTGGCATTTTTGGCAATAAACGCCGTCATATCCTAAGCGAAGAATTAATACTCCGAATTCTTGGTCGAATGGATCCTGGTATACTTACAAACTCCATCATGGCGCCGATTTTAGCTCCTGACTCTTTCTTATATCGCGCAACGGCCTGGCTGCCCAGCAAACCGCCTTCCTCGGCAGCATACCAATGGAACTCAACTGGTCCATTAGTAGGAACGAACCCGCTCTCTGCGAGAACACGGAAAGCCTCGAGAATGCTCACTGTACCAGAGCAATCATCATCTGCACCGGGAGCAGGAAGTAGCGGGAATAGGTAGTTCATCGAGTCCTGGTGTGCGCCGATAATGGTCAATGGCTGCGAGAAATCTCTCACTTTGGGCTCAAATCGAGCAATAATGGAAGATTGAGGGAATGTATGGGTAAAAAACTCGAGAGATATGTGAGTATGGAACGGGGCATTCTTGATGATCTAGTAAGGTCATTAGCAAGCCGGTGTGGTTGAGCAATAATAACATTAAGAATGCAGGCGACTCATACCTCGGCAATATGATCGTGAAGCCACTGCGAGCTTCGCTCGCCAGTGACACTGTTAAAGTATCGTGTATAATAGCTTGTCATGTGCTCGAGTACATCGTGCATCTTATCAATAGAGACAAGAGGCAACAAAGATCTCACAAGTCCATGATGGCTGAGCTTGGGCAAGTCTGCGTGATATTATTAGCAATTGCCAAGCCAACTCTAGGCGCGTTTATCTTTAAGCATTCAAACTTACGAGCTTTACCAGCCAATGCGTTAACTTGCTCTTTGTAGAAGTCCTCGTGACCAGTAATATCGGTGAATTGCTTTCCCTGGCGTTTGAGGCGCATCTTGTCTCCTTCTGTCATCCACCGAGCACTTGATTCGCCAAAGACGCGCAGCAAGCGCGGCTCAGCCAGCTGTTCAGCGGCCTCGGGATGCAGCGCAACAAAGGCATCAACAGGGTCAGGATATTTCTCCAGAGCAGCAAGAATGGCCGGGTCAACTTGATGCTGCTTGGCTCCAGCGGTGAGATGGACTTGCGCTTCCTGGAACGCGGAGCTGGTGGAGATAAAGCCCGTGCTCAGCAGGAGCAGCGAGCTGGTACAGATGGACTTCAGCATGGTGACAGGTAGTCGCGCTACGGCTCTCGCTACAGTATTAAACCCAATGAAAGATGGTAATGGCGAGGAGATGGCGATGGAAGAGCTCCTCACAGCTGATGGTTGCGATGCCAAGTTGGAGTCGTGCGTTTGTTTGATGAGGCCCTGAAGCTAAGACGGCCTCAGACCCCACTTCTCAGGGCGGAGTTGTCAGGTCAATGAGCCGGGTCCTGTACCCCAGAGATAAGGAGGAGTAAACAGTGGGATGTCGATTGTGCTTCGCACGCGTTGAAGCCTAAAATCACGAATCCTAGTCTAGTTCGTTGGAAGGCTGTTGTGAATCTCGCAATTGTTTGGAGAGCTGTCAAGTGGCATATTCTTATGCGTGTAATTAAAACGGTCTATATTAATTGATATATCTGCACTTGCAATTTAACTTGGGTTGTCAAGCTTTCTGGGAATGCTTACCAACGTTACTTCAGGCGAACGACTGACCGCGCTGCAGCACAAGTCGCCCCTTTCCCCGCCATGTACCCGCTTTCTATATGCTAGTAGCAATGTATAGGCCTAATACCTGCTATACTTGCGCCGCACGCAAGAGCCCAAAACGTCCATGGATCTATTTTGTAGATAGGCTGGTGCCACCTATTTGTCAACACTAACAGCCGCTTGATCCGGCACAAAACTTTTGGATGGCAGAGAATTTTAGGTATCTATGTCCATGTAATGCCGGCTTTCCAAATTATTATTCAATCCGCAGTTTACGGACATTGAAATAGCCATTAACTGGATCTAGCACATACAAGATTCAGCATGTATCTTGTATCAGGTTGTATACGGAAGAGAGTCGTCAATCTTGGACGTCATTTAATAATTTAAAAGCAGAATTTAGGCTCGGTATATAATATACCATGAGTGCTCTATAAGCCAACACCAGAAGATCTCCATGCCTAAAGTTGCAGCACTACGACGAGTGGTATTCCGAAGATAAGGTAGGCTATAGAGAAAATTCTGGGAGGTGCCGCTTACAAGCGTAACATGCATAACAGGCTCGGGCATTCACACATGTGTGGCCTGCTGCATTGCCAGCTCAACAAAATAAGCTCATGTGCTCTTATATACCCAACCAGTCCCAGTAGCCTGCTCCAGCTTCTTGGAAGATTAAATGATGTCATGGTTTAGAATATTTAATGAATTATTTACGGCTTACCAAACAGTACTTAAGATCAATAAAAAAATTTTTCATTAAAGAGATAATGAAGTCGGGTATTGTATGAGGATAAGAAGGCTGAACTATTTACAGGAGTCAAGTTTTAGCCTCTGGATATACAATATAGCTGAGATAAACAACAGCTTATGTATACTAAGCGTAGTTGGACGTCATTACTAAAAAGCGGTAGTAAGTAAAGAACATTGAAAGGCATGATTTCAGATTAGCGTGGTTGGGCTTTGCAAAATGCACATGAGGAAAAGGACAGAAAGTATGCCATACCGCAGTTGCTAGATGGTTCCATTGTACCGTAAAAGTTCGGTTCGTCGCAAAGCATCTATAGCCATACCGTAACGGGTTCCTATGCATTTAATAAAAGGGCATCACTCTTTGAGTGGGGGTTAGACTATTGGGTGAACGCAAGTACACCCACTATGGGGCGTCACCGCATAAACACTACATGTCCTCAGTTTGGTGTATTATAGAGCCTGACGTCGTGTAAATGTTTCCAACGCATCACCGACATGGTGCATTTGATCTTTTTGGATGCAAACATTGGCTGGATAGGCAGAAGAGCATGCAACATGCTCTAACCTTCACTTTATACCTCAACCTAATATGAGTAGCGCGAATCCGACCGATGACTTGTAAAGTTCTCCTTGGTCCACGTATTCATTTCAAATTTCTTCTCACAACGAGACCTGATGCCATGTGACAAATTTGGATAGCCGGGTACCGCACTCGCTTCCAATGCATCCGCCGTAAGGATTACACCGCAAATCTCAAGGGAAATGTGACTTCTGCCTGCATTCAATCGCCCACAATTCTAGAGGTATTGAATGTATTCTAGATTTTATGGAAGCTGTGTCCAATATTAGTGAGCTTAGGCTTTATCAAATGTATAGTATACAGTTGCTTATGGTACGGCTATTCTACTCATAGTATATATAGAGCAATCACAACACTAAACTCAAGTTTCAGCCGCAAGACCATAATCTCTTTTCAAGTCAGTATCATTCTAAAAGGATAAAGCGACTATGGGTGAGCGACCGCGTCTAACACACGGAGAGTACACCATTGGGTGGGTTTGTGCTCTATCAATTGAGCGAACAGCGGCGATATACATGCTCGACGACAGGCATAAAGATCTCCCCAACTCAGCAAATGATCACAATGCATACAATCTTGGAAGAATCGGTAAACATAATGTCGTTATCGCAGGCTTGCCCAAAGGCAGGGCTGATAACAATAACGCAGCAACAGTTGCAGCTCAAATGTTATCTACTTTTCCCAAGATTAGGCTGACGTTGATGGTCGGAGTTGGGGGTGGCATTCCGGACAAGACTCGACTCGGAGATGTGGTTATCTGTTCTCCAACTGATACAAATGGGGGCGTTATCCAGTGGGATAAGGGCAAGGAAGAATACAATGGCTTTAAAAGACAAGGGTGTCTAACTGGCCCACCGACAGCTGGGCTTACAGCTTTATCAAGCTTCGAAGCTGACCCAGACACTTCGCCAACAATGCGCAGTCATCTAAATGGCATTGACAAAGGATTTTTGAAGCTAGAAGCTCTCGAAGATATTCTATTTGAATCGGATTACAACCATGTGAGCGATGCAAAAGATTGCAGTGGCTGCGACAAGGAAAGGATGATTAAAAGAGAGCCCAGGAGTATCTATCCAACGGTCCACTATGGTTTAATCGCATCAGGAAACAAAAAAGTCAAAGATTCCAGGCGTCGAGACCAACTCTATAAGGAATATAACAAAAACCTCTTTTGCATAGAGATGGAGGCTGCAGGGCTAATGAATGATTTTCCCTGCGTTGTCATCCGAGGGATCTGTGACTACGCAGACTCACATGCGAACGATAAGTGGCAAAACTATGCTGCAGCTGTTGCAGCAGCATGCGCAAAGACATATTTGGGAGTTGTCCCCGAGTATGAAATTCACAGACTTCAGCCAGCGCCAGGTAAGATGATTCTCAAAGACGCATAACTCTGCTGAGATGATAAGCTAATCGCTTCAATCAGCTTCAATTACTTCCGGTATTATTCAAAATTCGAGAGAATATGCGGCCAGTTCCTCTCCACCTGGTACGTGCTTATATGCGTGCAAAGTTTTGCGGTCTTTGCTTATTTTTTCATCCCTGTAGTATTAGCGCCTAAAATCTTCGGGAACGCAGAGGTAGTCGAGCCAGAAGCTATCAAATCAAGAGATGCAGACTATTATTCAGATCTTCCAAGCGAGTTTTATTCTAGTTCTCCTCCGATTAGTACGTCATTATACACGCTTAAAGGTTTGAAATATCGGCTGACTTTATCATCGCTCTATTATTAGCACCCGATAAGCCCAAATTGAAGCATTCAGACTGGACTTATCTGGAATCTGGAGAAGAAATTCGCAATAAAGATCAGCTGTTTCAACAGTTCATGGAAATGTTGCTTCAACATGGAGGGTCTTCTCTTGAAATATTGGCTCAAAAGCAGGGCATTGAAGCTGCATTAAAAACTCAACCATTTACTCCCCAAGATGGAATAGAATGCAAGGGGTATGCAAATGATGACCGTGGCACTCGATTCAACACTACCGACTTTGCTCCAACACAGCCGCTCTCAAATGACGACGACTCTGGTCCATCCCCCGGTATCAAAAGGGGTCAGACTTTCCCTATGGACGAGTATTCCAGTACCAACCGTACGGTTTTGTTCGATGCAATTGTCGAAGGGAACATCACCACTATCAAAAGACTACTTCAGAAGGGCCTTGATCTAGAGATGATTGACGAGTTTGGCCTTACACCTCTTTGGCGAGCAGTAATAAGTGGCCAACAGCATGTTATTCAACTACTCATTGAAAAGGGAGCAAGTATTGAGGCGAAAAATCATCATGGACAGAATATCTTGGGCTGGGCGGTGGCCAAAGACAGAATCGATCTTATTGAATTGCTGGGATATAATTAAACTAGATTCGGGGCATGGTAATAATAGTTGTGAGAGACGTCAATTGAACAAACATATTCTATGCAGGCGCTGTTGAAAGCGACATAATGGAAAATATCCTCCCATATCAAACTCAGTCAGCTATACTCGGTAGTCGAGGCTGCTGCATTCAAGAAGATACATGTATGCGGCTCTTCAAGCCAGTGTGAGAGAAAGATTGATGTATGCAGCCCCAACGCAGCTATTTCCACTCACATGGCGGAGCAATGAGGGATTTGTGGGTACATGTATGGCTCTACCAATGAATTATATTAGGCCATTATGCACGTTTAATTGGTAGGATAAAGAGGGGGGTTGTAAATGCTCGACTAAAACACTACATACAAGGGCGGGCACTCTGCCAGCCTGATGACACCCGCCAAGCGCTTCCAATACGTGGTGACCCGTTTCTTTAAAGGGCAATGAACATGCGGTGTAGTATAAATAGTGATGAGAAAAGTGGCTGGTTCGTAACCCTAGATCTAATAAAAGAAAGAGAGGAGGAAAGGAATACTAAGTAAATTCCACGGACACAATTTTGCGTTGGTAGTGGCAAAGAGATGGGAATGTAACCCTCCAATGCTAAGTCGCGAATAAGGTATGTAAGAATGGTGCAAGGGCAGCATCGCATGGTGTTTTGTACCGGTATGGCATCGAATGACCTTTCGCAGCACCAAAGTATAAGAGCCGCATAGCTTGGTTGCGACACTGCCTGCGCTGATGACGTGTGCTTTGCAGGAGCATTGGATCGAGAATATCCACTACTTAACTACTAATGGCAATGAATGTGCGGTGGCCGTAGCATTTCGGTCATTGAATGGGGCGGCGCTTTCGAATGGTCGAAAGTGAGGGCAAGTGGCTTGCAGTGCATTGTCACACGAAGAGCTGGCAGCGTTTTAATGGTCCGATACTGGCATGTCGCGGGGCTGCATGACTCGAATTCCGTACACATCATTGAAAAGAAGTTGTAACTTAGGAAAAGGGACCAACAGAGCTGATATCTGTGTCACCGATTATGAGCATCATGAGTTAGTCTTTAGGCCCAACTACTATTCATACCCAAGAGTTCTTGGTCCAGCTCCGGATCCACGACTCAGTTGCAGGTGCACATAAATATATATTTAATATATAACGAATAGAATAACTACGGCAGAGTGACATATTATTGGATAGAATTTCACGCTGCGTCATGAATTGTCGACTCAGATCAATCTCCAGGAGTATTTTGTGTCGTAGTTTTTCCGCACGCAAACACTCATCGCTCAATAAATGTTGTTTCACTTGATCTTTTGATCATTTGTTATATTTCAGTGAATGTTTAATGCCTGGCGCTACACGAGCTTGACTTATTTTATTGTTTTCAATACACTCCCTTCGTGAACAAATCTCCAGAATCCGGCTCTGCGATTGAACTCTTCCCAGAATTCGGTACGACCACGTGTGTAACGCCGCCCGCGCCTTTTTATCTAAACCCCGCGTCTCGACGGACGAGTCCTGATGATACAATACTGAATTGATCAATTAAAGTAAAACAAGAGCCAAGAAATAATGGGATCTGTGAATCGAAGAAAACGCGAAACGCCCAAGAATAAGGTCCTCGCAGAGCTGAACAAGTTGGTTGGATTGAAAGAAGTCAAAGAGCAGTTTGAGAATATAGAAGGTTGTGTTCGTATCTGCTCTCTCCAAGGAACGAACCCCCGAACAGAACGGTGGCATGCTGTTTTCCAAGGAAACCCTGGAACAGGTAAGCTTGTTCTTCCGTCCTTTGTAAGAACGCGTTATTCACGGGGCCATCATAGGAAAAACTACAGTGGCTAGACTATACGCTAGATTTTTGCGGTGTATGGGCATTGTAAAATCCAAATCATATAAAGAAACATCTGGTGCACAACTAGTATGCATGGGGCCAAGAGAAGTCAAGGAGTTGTTCGAGGTACCTGGAGTTAGCCCACTTCAGGGTCTGTTAAGTACAAGAGCTCAACAACCGTCTCGAGGTAGCCATTCTGACGACGACGATGATGATGATGGAAATGACCCTACATCATTTGTCCGCACCACTTCTTCCCTCGAACCTGGCTGTTTAAAAGATGGCGGTTTTCTATTTGTTGACGAGGCCTATCAGCTAACTGCTCCTCATGTGCCCAACGCCGGTCGCCAAGTTCTCGATATTATTCTTACAGAGATTGAAAACAATGTCGGCAATTTAGTTGTCATCTTTGCGGGATATAAAGAAGAGCTCGAATCATTTTTTGCACACAATCCTGGGTTAAAAAGCCGAATTCCTCATACTCTTCAATTTGCGGATTTTACTGATCAAGAGCTGCTACAAACTCTCGTTGGTCGAATTGAAAGAAAATACAAAGGCAGGATGAGAGTCGAGGACGGAATGCATGGAAAATACATGCGCGTGGCTATTCGTCGACTTGCGCGCAGCCGAGGAAAGAAGGGATTCGGTAACGCCCGCGCTGTGGAAAATGTATTACTCAAAATTTGGGAGCGTCAAGCAAAACGCCTTTCTAAACGCAAAAACCTGACAGACAAAGAAGTTTTTACTTTTACCAAGGAGGATATTCTTGGACCCAATCCTACCGATGTTAGATTGACAAGCTCGGCTTGGGCAAAGCTTCAACAGCTTACCGGACTGGAAGAGGTGAAGAAATCAATTAATAACATGTTTGAAGCGCTTGAGATGAACTATCGACGAGAAATGGCCGAGCAGGTACCTTTGAGCTTCTCTTTGAATCGGATATTTGTTGGGTCACCTGGTACTGGTAAAACCACTGTGGCGAAGTTGTACGGCCAGATACTAGTCGACTTGGGCTTCCTCAGCAATGGCGAGGGTACGTATATATATCTATTCGTTCTATGACATCTTCTTCCTGCTGTCGAATGATATGACTAATATACAAGAAGTGGTTACAAAAAATCCTGCAGACTTTATAGGCGAGGCTGTCGGAAAATCAGAAGCACAGACGAAATCCATACTTTCGGCAACAGTCGGTAAGGTCTTGATCATTGATGAAGCTTATATGCTGGATCCTGGTGAAGCGTCTAAGCGCAATGATACATACAGAGGCGCTGTGCTCGATACACTTGTTGCCGAAGTACAAAGCGTGCCTGGTGAAGACCGTTGCGTGATTTTGCTTGGCTATGAAGATAGACTGATGGAAATGTTTCGTAATGCCAACCCCGGGCTTTCGGGAAGATTTGCCGCCGACAAGCCATTTCGTTTTGAAGACTTTAGCCAAGCTCAACTCTGGGACATCCTGCACCGAAAATTGGGGGCTCGAAACTTGCAATCGACAGCAGAGGGCTCGAAAGCTGCCATGGAGGTCTTAAACCGAGCTCGAATGCGCCAGGATTTCAGCAATGGAAGAGAGGTTGACAGTCTTGTCTCATCTGCCACGGAAAATAACCTACAAAGACAGTCAAAAGCAGGTGCATCTAACTATGGCTATGATATGATCTTAAGCCAAGAGGATTTTGACCCGAATCATGGTCGTGCACAGCAAGCCTCTGCCAATTGTAGAGCTTTTCTGCAAAACAAAGTATCGAACGATGTCATATTCCAACTGGAACAGTATCAAAGTCTAGTTCAAGCTACTAGATCACGGAAACTTGGTACTACCTCGATCATCCCAAAGTCGTTTATTTTTAAAGGGCCTTCAGGTTCGTACCATTGCCATGTCTGAACAGATGTGCTCTTCTTGCTACTTTTAAACACATCTAGAGGAACTAGATGCTAATCGTATTAGGTACCGGAAAGACTACGGTTGCCCGGTATATGAGTACTTTATTGCACGATCTAGGAGTCTTGTCCACCAACAAGATATTCATTGAATGTTCAGCAGCAGATTTTATTGGTGAACACGTGGGCCACACTGCTCCTAAAACAAGATCACAGTTTATGAAAGGTCTCGGAGGAGTTTTATATATCGACGACGCCCACCAGCTTATGGAAGGCGGGTATGCTACTGAGGCCATCAATGAGCTTGTTCGACTTTTACAAAAGCATAGTGAGAAGATTGTTATAATCTTGGCTGGGCCATATCACGAGATTGAAGCACTCATGTCGAAAGCGCATGGCATCAGCGGCTCTGTTTTTAAAGAAATCATCTTCGAAAACCTTTCCGCTTCGGAATGTTTGACTCTACTCAAACGATTGCTGGGGGAAAACGGAATCGGTAGCAGTATCTTTAGTGATCAAATCGTGAAGTGCTTCGTAAACCAATTCGAGATACTTTGCAGCATGAATCATTGGAGAAACGCCAACGACGTACGATCGTTATCAGATTGGATGGTAACAGATGTTCTCACTAATAATATACCCGGTGGCCAGGCTGGCAATGGATTGAATCTCTCGGTAGAGCGGGCTAATTTCTTTTTCCAAAAGATGTTCCAGATGAAGTCTGCTATGCAAATGAACGATCCCCACAACATAATGGAAGCATTTCGCCAAACAGAGTCAGCTCGACTGTCAATCAGTTACCATATGTCAGAAAACAAGCCGCAAACCTGTTTCACTGAGCAAGCTACATGCATGCAGACTAACAAAGCTGAAGAGCCTACCACAATCAAGGAGGAGTCATACTGCGCATATGACGAGCAGGTGAACAAAATCAAGTCTGTGCAACAAGTTTTGCAGTCTATCGGACAATGTGAGGCTGGATTTGATTGGGTCAGAGAAGGCAGTGGCTATAGGTGCAAGGGAGGAAGCCACTACGTGTCTGACAGCCAAGTCCAGGCATATACTTCGTAGTTATCTCATGGTAATTGAGGTGAAGGAACTCTTTTCGCTATATATCAGCTAGTGACTATCAGGGATCGTGATTATTGTAGCTGCTTGTCAGTAACCAAGCAATCAATTCGACGGAATATCTAATAGATTACTTTCGATTGATCTCGGGGTGATTGCGTGTTCTCTCAATTATGAGGATGCCTATCTAGCATCTCGTCTAGGAATAAAAACAAGCCAATCAGACCCAGCATTCCTAGGTGACTAAGAGTAGAATTCGCACGGAAAAGCCTTCAACTCAACCGACATTACTTCTTCTAATAGTAAGATTATTCATATATTTTGTTATTAACATCCACTGAGTATGCTAGATGTATACAACTACAGCTGGGTAATAAGACGGTAAGAGCCTCTGGGTTAGATCCCGCGTTTGCTATGTTTCAAGTGACAAAGGAAAGGGTCTGATTTATCAATTTCCATCTTGGGGGGGTGGACCGTAGGGATTAGTGTCCTCCACTAGTTTCTGGAAGACTTCATAGCCCTTAGGTCCTAGTATATAGTTGAGGGAGGAGTATCATTCTGCAAGCCCTTTTCTTAGACTTCGGGAAGGAAGGGTTCTATCATGCAATAGCTTATGAAGTAACCTTATGTCCCGGGCTCTCCGCACTTTCAGAGTGGCCTCGTGTCGTGTCTAAATTTTTCGTGATACTCCACAAAGTCTCCGTATCCTAATCTCTCCGCCAGTAGCCTATGGAGGATGGGTCTTGTTAGTTGTAGCTTGGGGAGTTGGGGGTACTTCTAATAATAAGATAAAAATAATTTTAAAATTATAAAGATGATTAAATAAGCCTCAAGTCAAAAAGAGTTATTTTCAATTCTATAATAGTAAAGAGGATACCTCTTTTATTGTCCACGATCTAAGCCCCTACTATGAGGGGAGACTGCAAAAAAGGCGTTCAAATATGAGTGAGTTATCAATAGCTCTAGAATGCTAATGCCACACTAATATATATGATCATAACAAGGACAGCCTCAGACCACCCAGTGTAGGTCGGGGTCCAAGAAAGATACTGCTCTCATGAATATAGAATACGCGGGATTTGGTGAGCAAGACGCTCTATCGACGTTGTAACCATAGCCGGGCTTAGAATAATCTACATTGTTCTTGAAGACATTGGCGGATTACAAAAAAAGCCAAGTAATCATGTCCCGAACATTTCAAACAATATACATACAGGCAATAAATACAGCTAGTAACATTGTGTCACAAAATCTAGTTTTGGGGAACAATATAACCGAAGTTGACTAATTGTATATATTATTCAGCCATTTAATTCTGTTATATACATCAAGCGTCCAGCTTTTAACCTTCGCTTCCGATATTCGCCCGTAAACTTTTACTGTGCGGCGCAGAGAGCCTGAACGGCAGGGAGAACTTGGTCTATAAGTAGAAGAAGTCAGCATTAGCAAGGAAAACTAGCTTTCACGCCTCTTGAACCAAGAAGATATATGCGTACTGATAGCAACATCGGCGCCGCAAGCGGCGACAACGCATGCAGTGGCGTCCGTCTCAATGGCATTGAAAGATTTGCAGGCGCATGCATAATCAGTAGTTGCGCAGTTTGTATCTTTTGTAATCGCAGCGTCGAGACAAGGAATAGCGCATGAAGGAATGTCGCCAACGGTTTGGCCGTAGACGGCGGCAACAAAGGTGGCAAGAGCAAGAGTGAACTTCATTTTAGAGAATGGATAGATAGGTTTCTTATGAATAGGCGTTACTTATTTGATGATATAAGTTGTCAAAGAGAACTTTGTTGTTAATGACTTATGAAATGAATTCAACTCAAAGGCAGGCAGCGCTATACTTTATAGTTTATAGATACATAGGCAAGGCAGGATGCCGAGGACATTTCTCTTCTGCAAGCATGTGCTTTCTCATCTTGTGCCAGAGTAAACCTCACATCGTAATTGACATTTACTCCCCCGCATCTAAATTGAGATGCATCTATCCCCGCATTGTGAAGTCGTATCATGAATTCATATGCACCCCAGACGGACATGACAACTGAAGGGGTAAGACTGACGGAGACTCAATCTCTTTTGATCCTTAGGGCCATGGATTACTTCCCAAAACATCACTCTCCGCATTCCTATTTGCAATATCTTTATGTAATTTGGGTACCATCAATGGCCACCGTAAGCCACGTCATGCTAGCAAGGGCAGTTGTACGTCGGCCCGTCGCTGTTGAAGATCTCGTCTCCGAGAGCAAGAGAAATCTGATGTCTATCATTTCTTTTGAGGCGATTGGTGCCTCTCAGAGATAGAAAATGCATAAGTAACTAATTTAATACTCTTCTCGCAAACTGAAACAGTTGTGGCTATGCAAGACTAAGTGTATGATGGATATTTCATTATCCGGCATTTAGGGGGCTGTTTAAGGCAATATTTTACCTGTTGACTCGAGATCCGAACGGAGCATGGCATTGGTGCCAAGCAAGATGAACGTCGGCAGTTACGTGAAGATCCCTGACACGTGAACATGACAGAATTCTCTTTAAAAACTACATTGACATAAAGTCTTAAAACAGCCTAAGTCCAAACCCCGCTCGCTTCATAACTGTGACCTTCCCGATCAATACGAATAATGAGGCAACGAGGCGATGTTGTAGGGTCACACTCGCCGCCTGTATTCCGGCTTAGCCGCTTCAATAGTTTATTTTTTTTTAATATGTTGGTCAGCAAGAGCGGAATACTGAAAATGAAGCAATCTAAGCAGCCGCTTGTATTGTTTTGGATCTACCAACTGGTATTGAAAGACATATCGTGAATCATATCCATGTACATGTACATATTTTGTCATTCCTTCTTTTCGCCAGCACCCATTGTTAGGCGCAACGACTAGTGGAAATATAGACAGGTTCCACAAGGATCGGTCGGTCGCCCGAATGAGTACGAAAAGCTAGCTAGTACATGCCGCTGCGCATGATGCTATACATTTTTGGGCCATTATGACACGTCGCGTTTTTTTTTTCCAGAATCGGTGCATGGTTGTTTCTCTATTCAGTTCCTCGTGTATGTATTCTGTTGATCTACACCATTTTTGTATAGAAGCATAAATCCGGCTTAAAATAACACTGAGAGACTCACCATTCTTTGTCTCGATGCTAAACGTATCATTGACATGCAGGGACTAGTATTTGTGACAAGATTTATCCATCTATCAGTAGCTCAGAGCATATATACTAATATTTGTTTGTTTTCCGTCCACATACAGCTTTACATATATGCTTTCTTCAAGTAGGCGTCTCTGTAATTTTTGTTCAAGAGGAAGACCAAAACGAGCGGACAAATGCAATTATTGACATCGGGGCGATAACTTTTGGCATGGTACACGTCGTTACAAATGCAAATTTCGGGTGTATTTCAGCTCTTTTGTGGCCTTTTAGACACGACAAGTGTGTCTATGATCAGCTGGCAAATTCACATTTCACATAACACAGCAGACATTTAGCAAAAGCTCGAATCGGGATACTGGTGACAAAATATTACAAAACAAAAATGTTCATGAGCCTGGTCCTCAACATTTCGACTTTATTCTATTGAGGAACAAAATGACCTATGAGAGGCCAACGACCTCGTAATTCCAGTTACAGGTAGCGTTAGAACTCTGGGCCGCCACCTGCTTCGTACCCGTGGCCGATGCAACCACAGAACCAGCGCTATTCACAATTTGGATATACTGCCCGCCACCAACGCTCAGCCCAGGCACAGCGCGGTAATTGAGCCCAACAGTGCCAGCAAAGCTGCCAATTAGCCCGTTATTACTATACACTTTGATCGTGTACCCACTTGAGGGCAACAGGACAGCGAAGTTAACCGTGTCTTGGCCCTGTTGGTAATTCTGAATCGTGGATGAACAGCTGGCGCTGGTCAGCAGTGTGCGATACCATAATGAGCCCACAGGACCCGATCCTGGAGGCAGGATCTGACTGCCACTTGTAGCTGTGCCGCCTTTGTATGCCCTGATGAATGGTGACACCAGCTGTTGCCAACCTGTATGATCGAATCCATTGGCGTAGTTGCCAATTGTTGAGCCATCGATTTGTCCCTGGAAAAAGTTTCCGATATAATGCCCTTCTCCTGCGTCATTCCAGGTAATTAGCTCTACCAAATCTGGTTGCAAATCCAGCACTTGTTCGAATCGCTGTGGCAAGTTGACTTCTCCAATGCGGTACCAGTCTTGGCCAGGGCCAAGATATTTGAACTGGAAACTGGACACAGCTACATAGCAGGTGCCTCATTAGCACTTACACTGGAAATATAAAGAAAGAGGCGTGTAATTGGGGACTCTTACGCATCAAAAATACTTTACCAGCGGCCCGTGCTTGCTGGAGAAGATTCTGATCAACGCTATCAGATACATTGGATATGGTGGTACCTGGAGCAGGCCACGCAGACTCCCAGCTGAAGACACCATCGGCAACAGTATAAGTTGAAAAAAAGTTACTCGGCCAGCCACTCCAGTCGCCAAAGTTGGGAATAAAGTATGGGTTGATGCCTTGGGCCGTTAGTGGCTGCTTAAAGCCCAAGAGCCAGTCGGAGTTTGCAATGAAGCCACCATCGTAAGTACTCACGAGAGGCCTGCCGGAAATGGTGTAATAAGAAGCGCGAGAAGTGTAGTTGAGCAAGAACGATGGGATCTGCGATGGAGAGATAGTATGCCAGCTCATGTCAAACGACATAAATAGCTTGAAGCCATATTGGTCAGCGGCATCAAACAGGTACCCTATCGCTTCCAGAGCCCAGGGATCTGTGATATCATGAGTGTTCAGAGCAAAAGCGTCGAAGCCTACTGCTTTTGCATCTGTAACATCCTGCACAGCTTCTGCTGCCGTCATCGATCCGACCATATAGTGAGCGAATCTATTATTCAATTAGCTCAGTTATACACTCACAATGACTTTTATAACCACTCTCAAGAAGAAAAACGAAAAAGGTTTCTTACACCGCTCTCGGCACTGTAGTTGATGTTGGTCCAGAAGTAGTCGACTTTGTAGAACTTGCTTTAGTCGTCGTCTGGGCAGATGATGAAGTTGACGACGTTGGAGGGGTAGAAGTAACCGGAGTTCCCGTTCCTTTGCTAACCTGAAAATTACGCTCATGAGTCGATTTTTTCTCACAGTCAAGATTCTGCTTCTTACCAGCGAAGCCATAGAGTATCCGGAAGGAACAGAGGTCACGCAAATACCGGCAACCGATCCTCCGTTAACAAAGGCTCCAGTCAAACCGACTTCGCAGCAAAATCCATTCCCAAAGCTTCCCGTCCATAACGACCAAGCAGCGCTCGCGCAACTTGGTGCACCCTCAACACTGCCTCGGCAATTACTTGCTAAATGTTGTAGAGCATGATCAGTATGTGTAGAAGTACTAGCAACCCAGAATACTCTCTTACTAGTAGGGCAGCAGGCTTCCACTTCACCATTCCCGGTAGCTTGGCAGTTTGACGTCGAAGGGCAGCAAGACTCGTTACCGCAGGATTTTGTATCGGCAGGACATGTTCCCGACTGCAGTGACCAACCTTGACCTGCAACCGCTCGGGGTCGTGTAAGCGGAACTGCGGTGGAAAGAGCTGGAGACACAAGAGTTCCGAGAATAACAAAGGAGCGTAACGCCCCCATAATACCAAGAACGATAGGTAGCGAATCAAACTATGGACAGACAAGTGTTACTAGTAGACGATGTAGTCTGCAAGTTATGTATGCAAGAAAGCGAAGGTGTGTAGTATTATATATATACTCAACTCGGCGTCATCTCGCGAGACCGAGCAAAAACATCTCGGTCAAATAGAAGAGATCCGCTTCGTAGTTTAACTTCATTCTACCACAGCGGTTTCGTATCATCGTAAGATGACGGCGAAATTCTCGCATTCTTCATATTTAACCCTAGGCGATAGAGTCTTAGCATCAGCTTCGCTAAGGGGCTCCCTAATCAACACAAAGAAGACCCCTGGCTGCTTCACCCCGCATTTTTCAACTCTAACATGCGGGAATTCGGCCCGCTCGCGATGATAATAACCCGTGATTTTAGTGCCGGTAATAACGGCCTTTCGCGTCTTATATTTCGTTCTCGCCAAGCCGTATTTAGTTTCCGTTATGCCCATCTTACAAGGCTCTTGAATCTCATCCTTCTGCATATAGGTAGGTATACAGCTACAAGAGTTTGCTCGAGTCCATCTCACGAGTATCCCATAGGTTTAGGCCGCTAGTATTGGCGCGTATACAGTGGTTCAGGCGGAACTTTTGTTCCGACATCTTACGCCAAGGACTATAAGCCAAAGGGCGTAGCTACGTTCACAAAGTAACTAAGTTCAAGGGCCTATTTAGAATCAATGTGTAGATAAATTCGTAATTTTCAGACCGTTACTATAAGCTCAATACAAAGTTCCTCAAAAACATAATCCCACATAGGCGCCATTCATAGTTTCATCATCACTTAATCATCAAACGTTCCCCTCATCGGAATCTCATCGTCGTACTTGCCCTCTTCCTTCTTCATATGCTTATCGAAGCTCTGTGTCGACATCTGTACTTTGTCAAACAGCGTTCTATCCAAAACTGGAGCTGCAGGTGGCAGCTGGCCCTTTGCACGAGCCATATCCGCATTCTTGGTGTAGTTGTGCAGTGCCAGGCTGGACGCAATCTGGAAAGCGTTCCTGATCTGTCGACCGTTCCAGCAACCCGTAGATCGCGCGAGATCCTCGTAATGCTTCGCGGCAAATTCAAGGATCTCATCATCCTTGATGACCATTGATGGCTCGCCAGTCATCTTGTGTCGCTCAGACTCCATCACTCTGAGCTTAGCGACGTTAAGACGGAAGATCTCAGTTGTCTGAGTCTTATCGAGGGGAGGGTAGTACAGAGATAGGTGGATACGTGATTTGAACGCCTCATCAATAGTGCCCACACGGTTAGTTGTCAAGAACAAGAGACCATTGTAGTACTCAAGCACGCGGAGGAACACGGACACAAGAGCATTTCGCTTCATGTCCAACTTCGATCGCTGCGAGAGGAAAACATCTGCCTCATCAAGCAGGAGCACGCAGTCCCACAAGTGCGCAAGGCGGAAGACATTCTTCAGTGAAGACTCGACCTCATGAGGCGAGAGACCAAGATCACCGCAGGTAATGACAAACAGCGGCTTCTTATTCTCCATAGCCACAGCTTCAGCAGTCGCAGTCTTGCCCACGCCAGGTACACCGTGCAGGAGAACGACAAGTCCACGGCCCTTGCCCTGGATTAGATCTTGTCCTGGACCTTCTGTGGCAGCGTCAACATATCGCCGCTCTAGCTGCTTCTTGCGGAAGTGGGACATGACTAGACTGCGGACAACATCTTTGTAGTCGCCATGAATTCGGAGGTTCTCAAATACTCCAACCTCGCGTCTGATAGGCTTGAGGAGGTTCAAGTCGATAGGCATGAAACGACGCTCTCGGAGGGCATATGCGAACATACGCTTGGGGAGCAAGACAAGATCCTCATCACGTAGCTTCTGAGCTGCCGCGTTTGCTTCAAAGTTTCGAGATCCCCTAAGGCGGTTGCGCAAAAAGGTATCAACGGCGAGATTGTCTCGGCGCTGGCGGCTCTCGATGCCATCTGCCTTTTGGATAATCTCTTTCTGCACATATGACCTGTTCTGGCGCACGCCATCAAACCATTTCTGGATTGGTATCTCATCATCTGCAATCTCGCAACGGACAGCCTTGTTGACGGCCAACTGGTGGAAATCGGGCCGCCAGTTGGGCATCTTCTGGTACGCCTCAGTCATGTCAACAATCACATCACTTTCAACGAATTCCGGGTGGCGCATCTTCTCATAGTACTCGTTGTCTAAGATCTCCTGGTCGGGTTCATTGCGGTGCGAGGGCGGGTTCCTCGTCAAGGTCCACGCGTTGTGTTGCTGGTGGCGATCCTCCAAGTAATGCAGAAATTGGCGGCCCTGGCCCTTCAAACCACTGATAAGCTCTTCGTGACCGGGTTGGTAGCGCATTGGATAACAGGGCAGCGAGTCGATGGAACGTTCGCCCGCGAAGCCTTCAATCTCAAACTTGGTCTTCACGGCGCCGAAAGCAGTACCATCGTAATCCACGTAGTAAGCTGAGATCTTGAATTTGTTTTGGTCATCAATGTCGTCAAATTCGTCGAAAAATCCCCAGCCGTTTTTGGGGTAAGACGTCTCAGGCTGCGGCGCCTGGATTTTGTAGATGCGCCAAACCTCGTGATATCGGCCACCAGCTTCAACAGCGGCTGGCATGTAGACCAGGTCTCCGACTCGGAAAAGAGACCACAAGTCGTCGAATTTGACTTTCTCGGCGGTGCTACCCTCAAATCGTTGGTAGAGAGGCATGATTTCTTCGTCAATGAATTTGACGTAGCATCGCATGTCCCTCAGAGCCTCGGGGCTGTCCATGAGGCTGTCAAAGTCTTCGTCAACGTTCGAGTCAACCGATGCAAGCGACTCGACATCATCCTTGTCGTCTTCATCACCTTCTGCGTCAGATTTTGTCTCTGAATCAGTGTCATTTTTGCTGTCAATTTCAACGATGACCTCGGCGTCTTCACTAGCCGCTGTATCTGCAGCATCAGAGTGCTCATCAAGCTCTTCATAGTCTGCCCATTTCTCCTCCAGCGTAGCAAGAATGTCCTTCATCTTAGGCTGGAAGTATACAAGGGCCTTAAACGGCCGCATGAATGTGCGAGGGGTAGATCTTGACTCTGTATCGTTCAACAGGGAGGTCAGATGTCCCAAGACGGGCTGTGACTGCACGCGAACGCGCTGGATCTCTGTATCGGTTGAGAGGAGTTCATTCCTCTTTTCCCGTTTGACTTTATCTAGGGGGTCAATCTTCTTGCGGCGGTCGGTTCCAGCATCATAGAGGCTATAGAAGCTCTTGCGCACACGGGCTGTCTCCTCGCTCCGGCGAATCGCACGCTCGCGACGGATCTGACCTTGAAGTCCAGGGCCAGCCATGAGGACATCGATAGCATAATCAGGTTCATTTTCGCCCTGAAAACGGTTCTTGAAGTTTTCAAAATTGACTTTGCGAACTTCAGGGATCTTAGGACGCCACTTGGCCGCAACTCGACGCTGATCGGCAAGGATGCGCTCGCGGCGCTCTGCCTCCTCTTGCAGAGCTATGAAGTCGAGATCATGAGGGCCATATGAGCGTGCTGAGCGGCCATTGCCATTGCCATTGCCATTGCCGTTGTTACCACCACCAAATCGGCCACCCCGTCTGGGGATAGGCTTTCTGGTAGTCTGCTTTGTGCGAGCCATTGTTGAGTCTGGTCGTCAAATATTGTAAGACGGCGGTGGAGAAGGGGAAATGGAAGGCTTATGAGAGAGGTTGAGTGAGTATGGAGTAAAATGATTATTTGATGAGAAGAAAGTCGACATATTATACCACTCGAACTGCTCGTATAAACCAGGAGCCTCCCTCTTGGCGAAGTCGTGACTCACGCCGCAGCAGCTAGGCAGCTGCAAGGCAGCCACCGTGAGATCGAGAGGCCTCAACCAATTAAGCCGCACGAGTCTCGCAAGAACCCAGGCAGCCACCTGGTAATATTTTAGGACTACTTTTCTTCTCAGATCGCTACTGGTTCTCTTGTAACAGCTTGATGAGCTGGCTCTTGCTAATTCGTTTTCCGTAAAGCGTAGGACTATGTGCATGGATGATTACCTAGTACATAGTGGTATCAACGACATGCAGCCATGAGATATGAGATGATGTTTGGTAGCGTGAAGTGACATTCTTGATAGGCACTAGGTAGTTCTACAGTTATCTAATAGCCATAAACCATGTTGGAAGAGTTGCAGAGGCCGGCATTTCTCCTGTCATGTCAATCTTTCTACGTTTTCTAAAGTTACCTTGCCCCCCAGGAAACGAATCCCAGCAATGGACGACCGAAGCCCAGTCCAGTGAAAACTAATAGAGGCTCGCAACTTGATTGCAAACCTTGGGTGAAATTACATTCAGAGACTTGCTACATACTCTTAGATGTGCTGTGAAGTGCCGATGGGATCGTTGAGAAAGTGCCGTGAACTAACATTGGCTAAAGTTTGGGGGTGTCCAGCGCCGTGCACACCGACAGGATGAAGCACAACCTGGGTGGCCTCAGAATACGCAACAAGACTTAGGCTCCTCGGCTCGATCGCGTGTGAGACCCAGGATCGTGTTTTTGGGGGGGTTCTGTTCTCCCCTTTCTGTGCACCGCCAATTGAAAGATTGAGGCTCTGCGAGGCGGATTCGATGGATGCCTGCGAGATTGGTGGGCTTAGAGGCGGATACATGCACACAGCCACGCCAACCCCACTAGTATGATACGGAGATGCATCGCCATAGATACAATCCTAGCCGCGCTATTATGCATAGCCGTGGCTATCACAATTTCTGTCAAATCTCAAAAAAGGCCCCGCTCTTGGGAACAGCTTAGGCTCCTATATAAAGCTTATTTTCTCTCTATTCAACCTCCTCCCTGTGGCAAACATGTCAGAAGTGCATGTTCGTACTCCGAGAATACATACCTTCATATACACGTCGATACATGCCCGAAGCCTCTTAAATAGCGTGCTTCTTATTGACTCTTTCCTCTCAACGGGCCTACACAAGACAAGAAGCGCTTGCAATGGTTCTCCATGGGTCCTGATAGCCCCTCCCGCAAGTGACTCGGTGAACGGAATATCAACACAATGCTTTACAATGCTCTTCTTAGAACAAGGGCACATATACTTATTCCAGGCTACATAACCATTTAACAGTTGAATTTCAACATTGCAAACATGAATCATTCGTAGTTGACATGGGGTATCAAAATTTCTCATTATTATATTTGCACCTAATGCATAAGTCTATCTATAAATTCCCATTCGCCAGCCATCGTCTAAATCATCCTTTCTTGAGCTCTAATATAAAAAATGAAAAAAAAAAAAAAAAGAGTGGGGGGAATAAAACCGTCATTCTCTTCTCTATGTCTCCTCCACTTCGTTGATTCAAAAAATTAATAATATCCAGTTGTTTGTTATAGGTATCTCGCAGCTTAGTCGTATACCGAGGCCTTTGACCACTTGGAGCCAGCTCGAATCCTCTTTCCATATTTGTAAAAGAAAAACGGGACTGGGATCAGCAATGCCGCAAACCCACCCGTGATGCTGGAGCCTGGCCCAACGCCGATGTTATGAAACAAGGGACCAACGACCAAGGGAAAGGCAGCAGCAAAGCAAGATCGGAGGAATGTATTTGCTGCAATAGCTGATGCAGCGTAGGCTTGGAAGGTATCCACCAGGTAATTGAGTGCAGCCTGAAAGATGGTGAAGAAGCCAGTTCCTAGCAACACGAGGCCGATGCAAGGAACGATCCAATGAATATCAAGTCGGGCACCGGTCCAGCCTATCATAAACTGTCCGCCACTGAATAGGATGGAGCCGATCATCATGGGCGGAAGTCGTTTTTCTGGGACAGCACGGTTGCCGGCAGCGTGATATGCCTTGTTGTAGATGAGTTGGTTATAAATATTGGCAACACATCCAAAAATTGCTCCCAGAAAGACGCACGAAAAAGGCAGCGTTGAAACCAAAGGATTCCAGCCACGAATTTCTCCAAATATAATAGGGATTGCTCCCAGCTGCATGTACAATATACCGTAGCAGAAACTAGCATACAAGGCGACAAGGAAGCAAATAGGCGTAAGTAGCAGCTGTATAGGCCGTATCAAAAACTTCTTACAGAGCTCCTTCACGCTAACATCCCATTCTTCGAATTTGGCATGAAGAGCCCAGTTTCCGCTCTCATGGCGCAGTCGGCGGGCTTTGTAGACAAGAAGTTTCGGGGGGTAGCTTTCATCAATGAATATGACTGCAAAAATGAGAACGAGGGCCTGCAGGATTCCTGTGAGGTATTCGGTCCAGCGCCACCCTAAAGATGGCTGCTCGGCCACAGCAGCAGAGACGATAGGACCTGGAATATTCGTTAGCAAGGTCGCTTCTTCAAGATGAGGCTATGATTTTGAGGCAGATGATTCACGTACCTAATGCCGGCCCACCGACAACGGCCATGGCGTACCCAGCCAGAGCAATACCGCGATGAGCTGGGGTGTAAAGGTCACCCAAGACGCCACCAGTATTCGTGACGGGCGCGGAAGCAAAGAAAGCTCCAAAGAATCGAGTCAGCATTACCGTCTGGAGGTCCTTGGCTGTAGCAGTGCCGAAACTAAAGGCGATGGAGATGAACATCGGAATCATCACTGCAGCACGTCGGCCGTATACTTCGCTCAGCGGTGCCCACAGTAACGGTCCCGTTCCGAAGCCACAGAGAAATAAAGTCGTGCCAAGCACAGCGACCTGAGATCCTACATGAAACTCTTCGGCGACCAGCTTCGTACCAGCGGAATATGATGAGGAGGCCCATGTGGCCGACATGGTAACAAGTCCATAAAGAGCCGTTGTAAGCACCTTTTTGTGCGTAGGCCAGTTGAGAGGGTGGTAGGGATCATCGGGTCCATCGAAAGTGACAATCTCATCCTCTGTCGTCTTAATATGCGCAAGAGGATGTGTAAACTGAACATCTGCTCGAGAGCGAATTCTTGACAGAACCGTCTCTCGTCTTGATATAGATCTTGATAGAGGCCGGTTCAAGCCTGAGCTGCTTGCCGACTGGGCGCGAGGTCGATTCTTGCTACTCTGAGACACATTGGACTGAGTCTCATGGAGAGCTGGACGGTGGCCATCTGGCTCGTCATCTTTTTCTCTGTCGTTTATGCTGTTGCTACTTGATATACTCTCTCTTGATATGCTCTCTTCGTCCGGCATTTTGAAGATTATAGCACGTGGGGTGCATTAAAAAGCCACAACAATATCCTTAGCGCGTCTCCAAATCCCGAACAATGACCCATCGTGGGAGTGGCAACATCTATATATATATAACTATTGTACGAACAACACAGCCGAAAGCCGGAACAAAACTTTCCACACTGGTCGACCGCTAAATCGAACTCGACAGAAATATCAAGCCAGCAATTGGTTGTGAAAATTAACCAAGCTACTTTCAATATCTGCCGTTGATTGTTTCCGATCCACAATCCGGCTCAACTGTGCCGATTGCTAGGGGCTTCAGCTGACGTCAACAGCCGATTTCGACCACGCAAGGCCCGGCGAAAGATGTAAACGCGAGCCGAGGACGGCGCCGATGCCACTCGGCTATATGCTACTAACTTCCATTCGTTGCTATTAGTCATTAAGTGGGCTTTGCAAGGTAAGTCAATAGGCGTTAAAGCGGACATAGAAGCCGTTCTAACTCAATACTGGCCAGGCACGATTTATAAGGTGGGCCCGTATTCCGGTGCTAGCTTCGGCACAGAAGACGGAGGTGGACCATCAAGGTTGCGTTTTGAAGTCTCCGTGATACTACTAGTAAAAGCGTGCCAATGTCTCCGTGATTATAGTTTTTAAGAAAAAAAAAAATTCTATGTAGAAGCACGGTCGAATGTGAATGATAACAAGCATTGTCCTGATTCTCTCGGATATTTTCATCACAGCCCTGAATAATGCCGTTGGGATTACCAACGGCTTACAATCGACGACAAATGGTGCCTAGTACTATTAGAGCATCTTATATCAAGAAGCTTATTAGGCCTTGTCCGATGGGCAGCGGGGAGTTAGTTCCCTTCCTACGGGGCACTCCGTACATCCCCTTCAATAGCCTGGGTCTCAGCTCTCCATTAAAGTTGCACGCAAACTTGTGATTTTATTATCCTGTGCCGATGGCCACAGGGCCACCGCAATCTTTTGGTCTACATATGAGGCATCATGACAATATACAGGCTAGAAAAACCGCTGCCTGATTTAAGTCCCTATAATTAATAATAATGAGCTGTTTCAGAAAGATTTTTTTTTTTTTTTTAATAATAAGACCTCGAGGTAGCGCCCACAAAATCTTGCTCTAGTTGGCAACTACTAGTCTACCCTATAAAAGTGGCGAGCAAACAGCAATATGGAAAGAATTCGCAGCGGGTAAGCGTAACATTCTTTTTATCACAAATCATAAATCATAAATGTATTATTATTTATTAGAGCGCCCAAAGTGTGATATCCTCCCAGAATGAGACAACTGAAAGCCGAGACAATCTCGGCTTGCATCAAGAGATACTCGGCTGCGAGGTCGGTCTCCGAGTTGTTCGTCATCTACTTCCCGCAAAGATAGCAACAAAGGGTCTTCAACACCAAAAAGGCTATAGCCTCGTAGGGCATGGAGAAATCCTATAGATGATGGTATATAAGGCAGAGGGATGCATCAAAAATAAATACGTAATATATGTGAGTCATATTGCCTAAGGATTTTAGTGCAATAGCTTGAGTATACATGTGTTCTATATGCATAAGTACATGGGTAGCCAGTACTAATCATCAATGTTCAAGTTCATGGAATATTATTTCCATATCAATAACATGATATAGATGTCAATGTCCTGCATCGTATAATAGATAAGCTGGCTAGAATGATAAACGACTCTGCAAAATACACGGAACCGAGATTATAGAGAGTTGTTGATCAATATGGACGCCGATACTATACCTATACATAATGAAGACACAATATCCATGGCCAGAAATCTCCCTCAAATAAGGAAAAAAATCATGGAAATGAAGAGCCCAATAAGACCTTCCAGTTGTGCAATTGGCAAAAGCAAAAATAGAAGCTGACGAGAGTGGGACTCGAACCCACGCGGATTGCTCCACCAGGAATTGCTGTTAAGGTAGCCTTAACCTGACGCCATAACCAACTCGGCCATCTCGCCGTTTCATGCGGGAACGTAGCTTAATTTTATATATATAGTGTAATCATAACACAATGCGACCACTTGCAGTAAAGGCATTTCCCAATTTCTTCGAACTGCTGGATCTTTCTTGCCCATGGATTCAGAATCTCATGAAATCGAATAGATCAACCAGCCATGTGGCTGAAATCCGGCACAAGTGCAAGCTGACATATCTGAAAATGTTACCTAGTATACTACACTTAAAAACTCGCCCAAAAAGCAACGAAACTACATGTACCCATGTGGTTGCATGGAATGTAATTTTTAATAGATAACAATGTATAGACTCATCACGCTGCGTTCATAAAGTATTTAGAAAAGTCACTCACTCAGCTCGAAAATCTGTTTATAATGACTAATATATCTGCTGCATTTTATACAATTATGCTGAATCTTTGAACGCTCCTAGCTTGAAAAGCTTCTTTGCGTTATCCTTGCCAATCTTCCTCACGTCTTCGGGATTCTTCAATGATACACCATCATACCAGTCACAAGCATCGCTGAAAGACTCAAATGGATAGTCAATGGAAAAAAGAATACGGTCTGCACCCATCTCCGTAATGCAGTACTCCAACGTGGGCGTTGAGAAGTGACCACTTGTGGTGATCCAGATGTTCTGTGCAAAGTATTCTCGAATCGTCTTCTTACATGAAAGACCTAGTGGCTTCTTCACGTCTTCGAACCAGTGATTAATTCTCCAGAGATCAAACGGAATGTGCTCTCCCAAATGGCCAATAATGATTTGGAGCTTGGGATGTCTGTCGAAGACGCCGTTTGTGACCATTCCTAGGAGATGCAGGCTGACGCCCTGAGCGAAGCTAAGCGGAGGTCCAATGAGCCACTTTCGTTTGGCCCATAGCTTTTCGTAGATAGTGCCAGTGGGATTTCTAGGGTGAAGATAGAATGGAACGTCTAGCTCAGTGACAGTGGACCAGAAAACATCCCATTCAGGCCCATCATAGAAAACCATGTCATCCCCATCGGCACCGGCGCGCTGCGTGTCATTGACAAGCGCACCCTTGAAGCCCAGCTGCGTTACGCATCGTTTTAACTCGGTGGCTGCCTCTGTGGGATCATGCATAGAAAGTGTACTGGGATTGGAATTTAGCTTTATTCGCGAAGAGACGGAATAAGAGAAGAGGTATGGCATGTACTTACGCTAGAGCACCAAATCGATCGGGATGATCTTTGATTGCGCCCGCAATGTAGTCGTTGATCTCAACGGCAAAGGCTTGTGCCTCTTTCGCATCCCAGATGTCCTGTACGCCTGGTGCTGTATACGAAAGCAATGTATAGCCGACGCCATGCTTATCCATATAGGCGATGCGCGTAGTGGTAATATCTGTGATTTCTTGCGCGTGCTTCTCAGGGTCGACGGCAAAAAGTGAGGCCCACCATTTCGTCTTCTCCTGCATGCGAGGTAAGGCAAACGCCTCTTCCAGAGCTACTTTGCCGAGCATTATTCTTCTCGTGTTATTTTCTTTTTGTTGATGATGTGGGTATCTCAAGATATGCAGCCAAAAGAAAGGAAGGAACTTGCGACAAGGATGGAACTTCTATTACTCGAGACAAACAAGCGATATGGATGCTACGTATAAGTAAGAATTCAAATGCCAGTCCTTGGGGGAGGGGGATATTATCTTTTACATCTGCATTCGAGCGAAGCTCATAACCGCGCGCCCCAATGCTGTCCCTCTTCCGCATCATGTCGGCTGAGGACCAATAATTGCTTTCTGATGCAAAAGCAGGGCTCCATGTAGATCGAGGCTAACAGATAGCAGAAGGGGCTATGGAGGACTTCCGCCCTAGCGGGGGTTTTCCCTACGGTCTATTGGAGAGGATGGAGTATAGAAGCGGTGGGTATTAACGGCAGATGCAAACTAACGGCCTGGAGCCGGTCGAAGATGCGGGGAAGATGGCCAAGGAATATTGCCGCACAGTAGATGGCAAGATAATACTGTAGGCGGATACGGCCATAACTCAACCATTGCTGGTCACCAGACAAGGCGTTGGTTACAACTCAGCTCCATCTACTCACCGGACCTGAGACCAACCGCGTCATCGCTGTCCAGGGGGGGCATCCAGCAGGGACAAAATTGATCAAGAAGCCGTACAGCCCGATATCTGGGGATGGCCCCTGTCCCGCCATGCTCACAAGGAGAGACATCCCAAGCCGCGCTTGGTGCATCCGGAACCCGTTACCCATTCTTAAAAGCCAATTCCTTTGCGATCAGGCTAGAGCGGATATCCCCTAGCCGTTGTCTTGGGCTTTGACTCCTGAAGTATGCCACGGCCAAAGGTTCACCCAAGCCAGCGTCAGCGCGCCGCAGAGGCGTGCAACTTTTGCCGCGCTTCTAAGAAGCGATGCAGTGCTACGGTGCCTTGCACCGCTTGCCAGAGACGCGGCATTGGGGCATCGTGTTTCCTCACTCATCAGCCTCGAGGGTCGAGGAAGAAGCCTCCGCCTCGGTCAAGAGCCTCTGTGCCGGAGCAGACCCGGTCGTCGCCGGATGGTGGAGACAATACTCTAGATGATGAATCTGCGTGGGGCCGAGATGGCTTCGCCAATATTGTTCCGCCAGACTGGTGTCCAGAGGCAGATCCGATTTCGATGAACAATGATGCTGATGTAGATTATCAGCCTCCCACTCCATCTGATTCTCGAATAAGCATTCCAGAAGAGACTATCTCCGGATCCACACAACAGCCACCGCAGCTTACGGTAAATTCTGGATCTCCAACTCTAGGACCGGAGTCTCATGCTCGCATGCTTCTGAACCTGCGGGGAGAGCAAGGTAGGCTACTCACAAGCTGCTCTGCTAGGCCTGCGTCCATCTAACGAAATAATTGTAGTTTATATCGGCAAAGCGGCCTCTTTGTCATTTCTTCAGCTCATCAGAGATACTGTGACAGCTCAAATCGGGCCCTCCCAATTCTCTCATAATGATAAGCGTCATAGTATGCTGGAGACAGAGCCGTCTGCTGCGGCGGATGCGAATGACTTGCAGTCAACTACTTATAATCTAGATGTAGAAAGCAGTTTGCTCTATGCTCGCATCTTTGAAGCTGCTGTAAGCATGGTACCCGACCTTTTTTTTTTATCATTACAATGCTGATTATCTATGAAGACTGGCGGACTGCTGGATATCTTTGGACCGCTGGAGGTTGAAGATATCCTTGTGAAAATCCGAACCGATGCATCCCAATCTGTAGGTTTGTATAAACATGCCTCAATTGATCTCGTGGTAGCTATTGGAGCGCAATGCAAATCTCCAATGGACGCGCAGCAAATCGGATCAGTATATTTTCGGCAAGCACAGAAACGCGCGTTTTCAGGTATGCTGGAGGATCCAACTGTCGACATGGTGCGCGCCTTTCTTCTAATGGCCTTTTATATGCTTGGACATTGCCGAAGAAACACAGCATTCATGTACTTGGGAATTGCGTCAAGAGCTGCAGTTGCTCTCGGGATGCATAGCCGTCATTCATATGCAGACCTAAAAAACCCATTATGCCAGCTGAGGTATGTTGAATGGGGTCTTTGTTCAGAAACGTCCCTTAACTTAAGCTTACGAACTCAATAGACTGCGAACATGGATGAGCCTCTGCGTACTTGACATGCTTGTATGTTCAATCCTTGGAAGACCAACTGCAACAGCTGGTTTAAGGGCAGAACTCGACACCACCATCATTGGATCATCTGCGCCTCTAGACACGAGAAACTGTCAAAGCTTATTTGCGTCGTATAATATACTCACTATTATTAATGAGAGCGTTGAAGCACTGTATGGGAAGAAAGTCGCATCCACCGCTATTGTGGAACAGTTTCTGACCAAAATTGAAAATTGGAGTCAAAACCTTCCCAATTTTCTACGAAATCCTCTCACTTCCAAAAAAGGCTCCCCATCACGCAAAGTGGCGACGGATAGTATACATATCGCTTGTCTCTACTACTTTGCCATAACTTTGGTTACTCGACCGATATTAATATCCAACCTTACGTCTCGACAGGGTGTTGCGACACCTTCTTCTTCACCTATGGCGTCCGCATGCATTGATGCGGCAGTATATCTTGTACAAACGTGCTCGGACGCACACAAAACAGGACTACTTCTTGGTAATATGTGCATAATGAAGTGAGATATTTGCATGAAATGTAAAAATCATGGCTGATAACAAATCTAGGGCACTTATTTTTGCCGCTGGCCTTATCCTTGGCTTCGACATGTTTGCCAAACGGGAGCTCGATTACGAAGTTGAAACAGCCTTTCGCAGCGCGAAAGATGTTCTTGACTTCTTGGGCATTCAAAGCCCTCAGGCCGCTCATTATTCAGGAATTTTAACCCTACTATCTGATGCAGTCGTGAAGCAGCGAACGAAGTTGCCTACACGCCCTCGAAGCAGATATGTCGGAAAATTAATCTCCTTCAGCAAAGAGGGGGACACTAGTCAAGACAATAGCAACAGCAATGGTAGCGACGATATGATTCTACCTATAAATAATACAGAGCCAGCAAATGGAGAAATTGGAGGCGTTTGGATCACAGATATTTCGGGCCAACCCACCGAGATGGACGGAGATATGTTGCGAGGGTGGGACAGCCTTGACTTGTCTCAGTGGGATAGCTTTCCTTTTTATAGCCCAAGAGTTTTTGGATCAGATTAATCTTGCATCGGCGGCGCTATGCGTTTTTGATGAAAAATTGGTCTCTACATATGGCCAATGCTACGTATGCCTACGGAGCTGCGGAGCTAAATCTATTCAGGAGTGACAACTGTCGATTCGACTTTAGGATACGTATATAGAAGCCGATTTAGGATATTTTGTAAATGTCACATTTGCGATGTATCGTATACCTTGTATTAAAGGACCTTGGGCGGCAAGCGGAAAGTACATCTAAGTGCATGGTGTAGCTGCATAAGACATTGACTACGGCATGTTGGGCATATCTGTACATGCATGTTCGTACGCGTTAGCCATTTTGATTAATGACGAGTAACACGTCAAACGGATAAGACTGAAACGGGTACCTAACATGTTAAACGGATAAGACTGAAATTCTAAGCTGCGGCATGTGCCAACCCTGTGGCGGCTATTGCACCTATTATCTACGCGTCCAGGGGGCATAGCCGCCAGCATCCGTGATAAGCCTGCCAACTTTTCCCAGTTCGGCGTCTTCTAATAAGGAGGTGACGTGAATGGCGGCGCAAGGAGAGAGATAACGACGGAGGATTTGCTGACGGGCATACACGAACAAAGTCCAGCGTAGAGTTATTTGCCGCTCTACGGATAGGTGTATACGAGGAGACACGGAATAGATAAACTTCAGCTTCGCCCAGCACCAAGTTCCCTCTTGATATTTGAATCTATTAAACGTAGCTTGCACAAGCAAACGTAATCATCTTAAAATTACCCCTAACTTTTCTTTCTCTCTCATAATGGGTTCAAGTATACCTTCTGGATGGAGACGCCTCAATGTGGGAGTCGTCGGAGGTGGCATCGGCGGCATGTCTGTTGCTATTGCTCTCCGTCGCGCCGGCCATGAAGTCACTATTTATGAGAAGCACGATTTCGCCGGCGAAGTAGGCGCTTCAGTTTCATGCGCTGCAAATGGCACACGTTGGCTTCACGAATGGGGTGTTGATATTGCAAAGGGGGATCCGGTTGTTCTAAAGAAGTTGATCAATCGCGATTGGAAGACGGGCGAGCCGGTTAGTGTCTATGATTTGGAAGATTATGAAGAGAGGTGGGGGTATGTCTACAATATGTTTCACCGACAGTACATGCATGCCATGTTGAAGGATTCTGCGCTGGGAGAAGAGGGGAAAGGGATACCAGCGAAGCTAGAAGTGAATCACCAAGTAAGTGAATGAAGCAAGTATGCGCCAAAGATTGACAGGACTGATTTTATACTGCATAGTGTCAAGAGATTGATGTTAGTGCTGGCAAAGTAACATTTACTAACGGTGTTGTTGCCCGGCACGACCTCATCATTGGCGCAGACGGCATCGGGTCAGTTGTCCGCGGCGAGATTGGCATTCATCCAGCAAAACGTCCATCCGAGCAAAGTTGCCTTCACGCAAACGTTACCACAGAAGAAGCTGTCAAGCTAGGTCTCGTTGACTACTCGCAGGACAGTGCGCTTGAATATTGGGGAGGCCAGGAGGGCAAATGGGACAAGATTGTTCTGTCGCCATGTAACGGAGGCAAGCTGTTGTCGTACTATTGCTTCTTCCCTCGATCAGTTGGTGATTACTCTACACATACCTGGGGCCATGAAGATAGACCAGTGGAAGAGTTGCTTGCGCCGTATCCAAACCTTGACTCACAGGTGCTGTCACACCTGAAGATTGGAAAAGAGATCCAGCCGTGGCGGCTGTGGGTACAGTGAGTATAGAATACGGTGATGCGACCTATATACCGCCTCGCTGACCCTAATACTACAGTGACCCTTATCCTTATATTCACAAAAACACGGTCTGCTTGTTAGGTGATGCAGGACACCCGGTATGGTTATGCAATTCAATTGGCCATTGAAGAGTAGCTGAACTGACATAATCCAAGATGATGCCCCATCAAAGCCAAGGCGCATGTATGGCGATAGAAGATGCTGCTGCGCTTGGCATCCTCTTTAGCGAAAAATATTTCAGCGGAGACGTCCAGGAGGCCTTGGCTGTCTACGATACTGTTCGACTTCCTAGGGTGACAAGGGTGCAATCTGCAGCGGCAAAGGCTGCCTACAATATCAATGAGAGAATTGGTGAGTTGAACTGAGTAATAATCGTTGACAACTTAGCACTAAATGTGACGTGTGTACAGGATTTTCACAGAACAAAAACATCTCTACATACAAAGTAGAGGATGAGAAGAAGAAGCTCACCATTGAAGAAATGAATGCGTAAGTCAAACCTCTAAATACTCTGGTATCTGATAATGGGCTAATCAGTAGGTCAGGTATGACATGTACAAAGATATCGAGCAGGCTCTGGCAGAGAAGCGAGGGGCTGTTTTCCGTGAAAAGTTCATTCACGGACTGCCGGTTGGATTAGAACTTCCGAGCGGAATAATTATTGGACAGGAGGCATAAAAAGAGTAAAATCTGGAAAGGAAATATACCAATTTGGAGTTTAATAGTTAGACGCTGCTATTCAAGCCTATAAAACCAGATATTACCATAACGTTTCAGAAGTTGACTACGTGTAAAGCATTATGATCACATATCACTAATTCTTGGGGATAAACATATGTATTTATTCTGCCAAATACACTTACAATTGTGAAAAGTGCACTATCACTTCAAGCAATCTTCGTTGTGTTACTCTGCAACAAGTAGTCATAAGCATCTTTATGACAGGATAAAATACCAGATGGACATGCGCGTTTGATTCGTTTATAACAGTTATTTTATAATTACAAAAACCACCATGAGATGAGAGCCAAAAAAATTATCATTTTCAAGATGTTTCACATCAATATCTTCATTACTGCTTCTTTCCCAGCTTCACATCGTACTCCAAATCCCATTCCGCTTGCGAGTCCCCATTGCGAGGCTTAAACTCAACAGTCAACCCATCTTTTACCGCAAACACACTATCGTCTTCAAGGTATTTTGAGTCTTTGTCGAAAATTTGTGTAGTCAAAGAACTGTACCCCTCTGCTTCGACCTGCAGTTGCGCGTCAGCATTAGAGTGTTATTTTAAGAAAGGATGGGGCTGCCTACAATGAGATGAATATGTGCGGGTCGGTACTGGTGGCGATCCATAAGCTTCAGTAGCTTCCCTGCAGGACCATCAAATGGAATCTAGTGATTTTAATTTAGCATGCAATAACTTAATTGAAGAAAAAAAAAAAAAAACGAGGACAAAAACAAGGAACAATCAGAATCTTCTTACAGGATATGGAGTTGGGCGGAGACAGTAGAATGAATACCGACCCTCCGCGTCGGTGACGAATTTTCCACGTAGATTGCAGTCAATTTGATCCGAGTCCTGCTGCTCATACAAGCCTATATATTCAACATCAGCGGCTATTCATGTTCAGAAAGCTTTGAGCATCTTACCGTTTGTAGAGGCTTGCCAGACGTCTACTGTAGCATTTGCAAGAGGCTTGCCTGTCTCGGCGCATGTAACTTGGCCGTGCATATAAGCTATTACTGCATTTTTTGGGGTGTTGAATGAGATGGTAGTGCCATTCTCTCGAATTGGTGCATCAGCTCGCCAAAACGGTCCAAGAATGGCGGATGATGTAGGAGGTTTATCTGCCTTGCTGGCTTCTCTGTATGTGATATCATCCACGAGTCTGTAATTAACGTCATATTAGCTACTCCCGTATATATGTGTGTGTGTTTTTCTTTTTTTCAGATGTGATAGAGAGCAACATACGATTCTAGACCGATAACGTCGCATAGTAGCTGCCCCTCATTGCGCTTGTTGTTGCTCATCTGTCCTGCCCAGTTGAGCATGGACACGCCTGCTAACCATTCATCTGTCGTCAAGTTGACCTCTCGTGCAAAGTCGTGAACGTGTTGAATAAGAGCAGTCATAACTGTCCGCATTCTGGGTGTGGTGTCTGGGCCCATGGCTTGGATAACATGGTTGGTGAAGTCCTGACCGAGAGCGTCGTCATTTGATTGAGAGCCCATGTTCAATGATTTTATTGAGGCGGGATGGTCCTTCTGATGGATTTAAGTTGTAATCTCAAGACAAACGAGAGAGTAGGTATACAAGAGGGCTGGCTGTTTATAGAACGCGTTGAAGATTTGAAGATTGTTTTGGTGAATGTCGAGACTTCTCCCGAAAAGAGCCCAATACGCTCCAGATGTAGTCTTATAACTAAGAGCACGACGGAAATCTTAATACTCATCCAATTAGTTCATAGATGATTATTCAACATTGTATAAGCCAAAAGTGGCTGGCTGTATCGTTCGTTTTCTTTCTCACTCGCTCGTTCCGTCTATGCCGTGGTGGTGCGGTACCCGCCCCGCGGGGTTACCCAGATCCGAAAGTGGCTGCATTGTCGGATAACATCCTGGACACCTGATAATGGGTGGCCTGCAATTTCCCGACAAAGATATTGGCACTGAAGGTTTACTATTTGTAGCAGGCTTGGCAGTCTCAGTCCATCAAAAGCTATACTAACTACATGTAGTCGGGCTGTCGATTTACAAAGTACAGCGGAAGATCAAAATATAGCAGCCTCCTGCGAGACTTGGTGGCCTTTCTCGTCAGATCTTAGCCCAGTGAGAAGCCTGTAGGTGCGACTCTTAATCGTTAGAATTTTAATAATTGTTCAGTAATTTTGAGTAATATAAAAATATAAAAATATTCTATAAAGTTGATTGAAAAAGTTTACCCAGCCTCAGTCAGTGTTTAGTCCAGCCGATAATCCTTTTCCTCATCCAATTCCCACTTTGCCTCATCCGAACCATTCGGTCGACTTGCCCTCCGAAATCCTACTTCCAAGCCTTCAATCTCCGCCACTGGCTTTACTGCGCATACTTCCCCTTTATACTTATCAGAATACCACTTATCCACGTATTTTGGATTGTCCACAAATTCAGGATATACTTCTCGCATGCGACGCAGCACGGTTCCCGAAATCTGATCCACGCTGTTATGGTATCGTAGGGCGAGAACTTCGGGACCCATCATGTCCCGGAGACTCTGCTGAACATGCTCAGGCAGTAAGCCGACCTTGAATAGTAGAAGATCGTAGTGCAAGAGGCAGGCTTTACCATGCCAAGAGCCACCACGAGTTGCCCGATGATAAAGCCCAACAAGAGCTGTGATTGCACCGATGCAGCCGGTGCCGTAGTCTGAGATGGGGAACGGCGGTACCACAGGTTCGTTGAGGCCCATAAACTTGCCTTGTTCCCACGCAACACCCGTCACCTGAAAATTTACCCGTTAGTAAATGGCGATTTAGGGATTGTTCATTTCGGTCCACGGGATTCTTACACAGTCTGCAATTTGCTGCCATCCAGCCCGATTTGCCCACTCGCCTTCATATCCAAAACAATTCTCATTGACGTAGACGAATCCTTTACCCCTCTTAGAGGCTAGTTCAGCGAGCTGCTGGGGGCCATATCCTAGTTTTGCAATAGCCCCGGGGCGATAACCATCAACCACGACATCAGCTTCGGCCAAGAGCTTCTCAAACGTTTCTCTCCCTTTGGCTGTCTTGAGGTCTAAATCCGTCGCCCGTTTGCCCATGTTACCATCCACTTGAAAGAACGGTACATCGCTAAGATTTGGACTTGTCACTTTGATGACTTCAGCACCATATTCGCCCAGAATCCTTGTAATTGTAGGGCCAGCAATGATGCGACATAGCTCGAGTACCTTGATACCGGAGAGTAGCCGACTACCAGTATGGCTTGGAAGAGGAACCAGTGGCGTTTTATCTTCTATATTCTCAACTGACCAAGGCGAAAGTCCAATGTTTGCTCTTCCCTGTCAATTTCGTCAGCCAATGACATTCTTGTTTTGGTACGGTCAGTTTTCCAGGCTTTGACTTACATGGGGGGTGTTCAGAAACTCGGTATGCGGGAAGGCTTTAACGCCTGCTTGCCTATGCTGCGCATTCAGTTTCTCCAACTCTTCTACTGTAAATTTCTTCACAGCAGATTCAATAGTTTCTACAATCTGTTCATGTGATGTCAGGTCGGGTCGATATGGCTCCAGTCCAATCATATTCAGCGTTGTTGATGCTTCTAATGAGCCATGGATGTGGTAGTACTCATTAGGCGTTTTTGTGGCATATAAGTTTGCAGACATGCGACGATAAGGATTGGATTGCGCTTGAAGCAAATCTGTATCTATACATGCGCCATATTAGTATGCGAATAAACAAACTACATCTGTGTCAATGGTGGTATGTACAAACCCTTCAACAGGCTTTTAACTTGTTTATCAAGCTTTCCATATCCACCTACTCGAGCCAGGTATGCTTGAAACAGAAAGGCTGTTGTCTTTTCAAGACTAATCACAATTTCCCTCTGCGAAGGCGAAGGTGCCTCTCCCTGCCGTGTATCCGCGAGGAGAGATGCAACCGATGCCTCGATAGCCTTTAGCGCTGCTGTTGTTTCAGTCTCCTTGAATGGAATAGGGAAATATGGTTGGTCACGTTCGGCGACGAATTGAACATGATCGGCTCGGCTTGCTACTCCGCACGGCAGCGATATGGAGTCGAACTCATTGCAGAGATATTGCAAAATACCATGAGCCTCCTTCTTCGAGGAATATGTGGTACCTGGTCTGCCGTTCATAGTAGGCGGCAGAATTTTATAAATCTAGAATTGTTAAATGACTAAATTCTGATCTTTTCTCACGACTTTTATACAATCGTTTAGGTCGGCTTTATATCGTTTGTTAATACAAAACTTGAGTAAACGAGGAATGCAAAATGGCCCCACAGCCGACTTACAAATCGTTATCCGAATCCCAACTCTAACGAAGGGCGCAGTTTAAAACAACAAGAACAATTGATTAAAAAACCCTCACCTGGTATACACTCGGTACGGATGTGAATTTTGCCACTCAATAACAACTCAATATCAGGGCCCTGACTAGGATCCATCCCGTCCGCATCCGACTCCTAAGGCCGGACAATCCAGCATTATCACAGTGGGGCTGCGCGCCCTTAACCGACACTCTCTTTGTCTGACATCACTTGCGTCTCCCCTCATTTACAGCTTGCTGCAAATTAATAAGATAGAAGAAACCACATTAATACCGCATCTATCCGGTTAGATCCGTCTCTTATATGTCTTACCTAGAACAAAGTTATCCTGATCCTGGCCGTGAACTCAGGCGCTAACTAGTTCAGTTAATACAGAGGTTTAAGTATTTAACAGAAAGAGAACGAATTCGATATAGTGCAAGTTCCGATAGGCCACTCAGCTATGCCGTTCCTAAAGCTAGAAGACCGAGACCGGCAGCTTTACTACACGTTGAATTCACCAACAGCAGCAGCATCGTCTTCTAAGATAACAACTATTATTCTTATCCATGGCCTGGGATCTTCCAGTTCTTATTATGCACCAGTTATTCCCAGGCTCGTAGATGCAGGATACTCCTGCTTGGCGCTCGATTCCCATGGTCTGTCATTATGCCCCCAATTATGTTTCTTATTTTCATGTTATGTATTGCGGCTGACGTAGGTCATAATATTAAAGGCTCCGCGTTGACCAAATTGACTGGCCAGGGCGGCGATCTTGAAACAATAATTCAGGATATAGGCGCTGCCGTATCGACACTCAAAATATCTCCTAGCCAAACAATTATAGTGGGACATTCTATGGGCGGTATTGTCGCTCCTGAAGCCACACTGCGATACCAATTCGCCGGCACTGTCCTCTTAGGCCCCGTATATCCCAATGAGGGTCTTGGAAAAGTTCTTGAGGATAGAATTCAAAAGGTTCAACAAAGTAAGCATAAAAATACGCACAAGACAATCCTGAGGGTCAATTTGATGATTGGAGATTTGCTTAACATGCTAACTGCTCTAAGATGGCATGGACGGTTTAGCAGATGCTATACCAAAGGCCGCAACAGCATCTTCAGCCACTGCACTACAACGAGCATTCATCCGTACTCTTCTTCTCGCTCAATCTCCAGAGGGCTACATTGCAAACTGTAAAGCAATTATAGCCGCTTCGGTGCCAGCTTACGAAAAAATCAAGTCTCCGCTCTTGCTGGTCGCTGGTGCTGAGGATTTTGTTTGCCCGATCGAGCTCTCGCAGAAAATCCACGATAGGTGTGTATCGTCACTTCTACTTCTCTCATAATTAGCGTGTCGCGAACCAGTCACTCATTGTCATGCATATAGCTGGGGATCAACGGATAAACATTTGCAAGTTCTCGATAAAACTGGTCACTGGTACTGTATTGAATCGCCTGATCAAGTTGGTGACGCTATTGTTCAATTTGCAAGTGGCATCAAATCTGTGTAGATCACATACGACACAGAATTTTAGCTTCAAAGGACATTAGAAAGATTCTGAATTATTTCATAAGTAAACTGGGAGGAAATTTTCTCTTGATAGGAGATAGATATTTAGAGCTTCAATCGACGACTGTGTAATGCTCTTAGCTCTCTTCTCAAGATCTTGCCTGTTGGATTCCTAGGTATAACATCAATGAAGGTAACGCCGCCTCTCAAGCGCTTATGATTTGCAACCTTGCTCTCGACATACTTGGCCAGATCGGTTTCCGATATTTTCCCTTTTGCTCCAGGCACAAGGACCACATATGCCATTGGTACTTCTGTATCCTCTCGCTGCGTTGCAATCACGCCAGCATCGAAGACGGATGGGTGAGCGATAAGAATACCCTCTAGCTCGGCTGGCGCAACTTGCAACCCCTTATATTTGATAAGCTCCTATAATGTCAAATGTCAGATTCGCGTCATTTTAACCCATATCAAGACACAGTTCAGTTGCTCGCCTTTTTCCTGTCTATTATATAGAGCAAATCCCCTTCCACTTTAAGGATATCACCAGTTCGTAGATATCCATCAGCGGTGAAAGATGACTTGGTAGCTTCGGGGTTATTATGATAGCCCTTGGTGATCATTGGGCCTTTTAACAGCGCCTCGCCTGGTTGTCCAATCTCAACGTCATTGTCGTTTTCATCTACGAGCCTAAAAACTAGGTTAGCAGCAAGGTTTCTATGAAATCCTTGATCAATTTTACTTGCCTTAGCTCAACGTTCGGCATCAATGGACTCAAAGTTCCCATTGTATCATGACGATCCGGTGGAGTATAAGTTACAGCACCAGCTGTTTCGCTCATCCCCCAAACTTGATGTATTTCGCCTTTTAGTTTATTGGTGGCCGATTGTTGTAGATCGTAGCTCATAGGAGCAGCTCCAGAAACACTATATTCAACGCTCTTGAATTGGTCTGTTACGGCTGGATTCTTTGCGATAGCCATGTATACAGGTGGCACAGTGAAGAAATAGGTCACTTTGAGTTCTGCAGTGTACCTAATAAAATCATCAATATTGAACCTTGGCATCCAGTAAACGATACCTCCATCATAAAAGCAATTTATGAAGTAGCTGATTATGCCGGCAATGTGTGCTGCAGGCAAGTGACCGATAGTGGACCTGTGGAAAGCGTGGCCTAATCTTGTCCAAGCTTCAAGGTTCAAAGTAGCAGGAATATAACACTCGGAAACCATATTTTGATGAGATATGAGAACGCCTGTACAGATTAGTATCATGGTAAAGTATTGCAAAAGTATTTCATTTGTCGGCTTGGTCTACCTTTTGGTAATCCAGTGGTCCCTGATGAGTACAGAATACACGCCTTGCTGTATTCTAGCTCTCTTGGATCAGTAATACGCCTCCAATCCAGAGAACCCTTAAAATCACACTCGACCGTTCCATCTACGCTCTTCAGCTGGATCTCTGGGTACGAACTGAGCAATAGAACATTCTTAGAAGGGATTCCAGAATTGTGGGCGGCTCTCAAAGCGACATCTTTTAGATCTTCGCTGCATATAACAACGCTACTGGGTCCATCTTGAATCTGCCTTGTCAAGTCCGACGCTGTAGAAGATGGCGATGCGGCTGAGTAGATACCATCAGCAGCAAGGACGGCGTAAAAGATGCAACCCAGCGCAGACTGTCCCGTAGATATTGTGACAACTATGTCCTTTTCAGGACCGCCCTCACCAATACCATATTGGTGGCGAAGGAAGTAAGCAATTTGACGAGTTAGATCGCGAGCTCTGGCTTTGGTAATGACTTTGGAAGGATATTTAGCTTCCGCAAAGACAGGAGAATCTTCTTTAGCTTGGCACCCTTCGTAATCTGTAAATGGCCTTATTAGTTCTATAAGCCGAGATGATGAATTGGGGCGCTGAGAGGAGACAGATATGCCGTCACGCGGAGTAGTTCAATGTCGGCATACCAAACAGAAATGTAAGGAGATCCACATTTGGAAACTCCAGCCGTCTTGGATGCGAATATATCATGACGAATTAGCGAGTTAGCCCAACAAAAATGTAGATTTCTTCAAGCTAAGCTTGCTCAATTGACTCTCTCTATCTCTTAACTTGGTTGGTTTTGCCCCCTCGGCTACCATTATATATACCGCAGTCTACGCAAACATGTGTGCGGAGTTTGTTGGTCGAACCCATAATATCACCCTAGGTCACTTCCTCGATGATTCCATGAATTGAGCGAAGCTACTCCGAATAAGTATTCCGTGTGTGCAGAGCAGCAGGGACTAAACCCACAAAGAATGCCACCCCTACATAACTCCCGCCCGCAAATCCAAAACTACTCCGTAGGGGGTAATAATATTTGAATCGCACCAATACTGCTTACTGTATTGTATTAAGAGCTAATACTAGCATCTGGGCAATTAAACCATCAACTCGTCCATTGTGCATTGCTTTTCATTGGTTCACAGAGAGCTAATGAGCAGGGCGGCTTCACAAAGCTTGTGCGAGTAACAAGCGAAGGCAGAAACAATCCATTGGCCCTAGATGCCGCTAATAAGCGGACTTTGATCAACCAACAACGAAACTTGTGCAATGCCCTATTTCGAAGAGCGGCGTTACCAGGTCCAGCTGACTGCAGATGCCGCGGTACCATGCGCGTCTCATTTTATGCAAAGGCCACGACATATGATGGCCAGTCCGAGTGTATAAATCTTATCCTAGGCCATCTATATAGCAGCACGACGCCTCTGCGCAATATCAAGTTGACTGGCGGCTACGAAGTGGGAAACCTCTCGAACTAGGCTATGATTGACCCAGTCTCATATAATACAAATTGCCCGCGTCACCGTCAGAACCTGCTACAACGGCTTCAAGCCGTTACATCTTCCGTAGTATAGTGGTCAGTATGCAAGCTTGTCACGCTTGAGACCCGGGTTCAATTCCCGGCGGGAGAGCGCCACCCTTTCAAAGGGTATTTCTTTTTTTTGCGTTTTGCACATTTTCTCTTTATTGTGTTTTTCTATCTTCTCGTGCTTTTATTATCCTTGTTTTTTTTTTTTTTTTAACTTTTTTTTTGGTGGAAAATAGAACTCAATTTATTTGTCTTAATGCATACAATCTATTCTGTCTATCTGGTATCATATGCTCTGGGAAATCAACCCGCTAGCTAACATGCTACAGAACGCATAGTTCCGCTGCTTAAGACAACATCATGCCATCTCGCTCTTAATGCGTTCTCCCACTCTCTAAAATTCTTCACCATGCCATCGCCCCAGAGGATCTCTCCTGTATGCAAAAACTGGTTCAACGGCTGTATTGTAAACCAGTCGTGGTCACTACGGCAAACAACATCCGGTCTGCGATCGCGAGTCTTGTTCCCGGGCTGCTTGATGATTCCATTCAAACACTTTTCGCAATAGGCATCCACGCAAAGTCGACACAGGTACATATTCTCAGTCGTAGGGATGTTGTTCAAACATTGTGCGCACCACTTATCAAGAGACTGGATGTTGGGAAGCTTTGGTTCGATTCGCGTGAGCGTTGGAGAAGCCAGAGGAGTCGCCATTGCAACCGCGCGGTTGACCTTTCTCATGGACCGAGCCAGCGCCTGCGCATCTTCAGTATCGTTGGCTGCGATGAATGCCTGTAACAAGTTTTCAACAGCGTATTGGTCATTTCTTGGCTCATCGTCTAGTAAAAGGTCGAGGCTGTTGATGACCAAATTACCCAGGAGCTGCCTTGCTTTCGGTTCGTCCTTTAGAAGACGATAAAACAACGCCAGATAAACAGATGCTATATTGACATCTGAGCCATATTTGTCCGCAGGCACATCGAAATTTTGATTGTTGCTCTGCTTCTCTTGGATTTGCTCTAATTTCTGTATCCACTCCATGGCTTCGGGCGATTTGAGCTCGGTTTGGAGAATCTTTTGTTTGTACAGAGCAGACAGCTTCTGGAACGATGTCGCATGCCCATGACGTGTTGGAACATTACCTCTTGGCCTGTACTCAACCAAGGAAATCCGCTCAAATATCTCGATTGAACCATCTAGGTCACGGTTATAAGCCAGAGTGGTTCCATATGCCAGACGCAGATAGAGCACGCCCATTTGATTGCTGCCACGGGCAGTCTCAATGGCTATGTCAAACTGGTTCAACATGAATTCCACTTTACCTGTCTTACAAGCTGCCTTAGGGATCCAATCCATGACAAGCAGCTTGTCGCAATTGCCGAGAAGTAGGTCTATCAGGCAGCTTGGCTCTTTGCCTTTGCCATCGACTTTCTTTGCCATCTCTTGAAGCAGACTCATCATCTCAGAATGCAAATTTGCATTCGCCAGCATTTCTAAATATTCGACTTCGGCTTCAAAACGCTCAAAGGGTTTTAGATTTGCGTTTGGTGCACCGTCAATTGCTTTACGAAAATACTTGAGCGCAGGCTCCATCTTCCCCGTCAGATATGAGCACCGTGCAACGAGCAGATAGTCTTTGTAGAGACGCCAATGGCAACTTGTCAAATCATAACCCTGCAGAGCTCCATCGAGAATACTCTTTTCTTCAATCTCGGCACACTTGAGAGCCCGGTCCAAAGCTTCGCTGTAATGGCCATATTTGGATAAGCAGTAGGCAATGCGACCCGCAGTCCCGACGTTATTGGGATCTAGCTCAAGCGCTTTGTTGTAGTGCATCAAGGCGTCGCTGAATAGCTCCAGCATCAGATACGTGCTTCCTAGGCGTCGATGCGAGTGTGCTGTTGGAGGATAGTTTGCCCACTTAATGGCTCTTCGCACTCTATCCTTGACTGGCATCTCGGACCAACGAGTCTGCGCTTGAGACCAAGGATGTCCATCGCTCATAAAAGCCACATTCTGGACAATGTTGAAACAGAATAGTGTTGGGACATAGCTGATGCAATCTTTAGATAGCCACTGCTTCGCATAGAATCGACCAATTGCCTGGCAAATTCCGAGATCCTCTTTAGCTTGATTTTTGACAAAATCTTTCGCTTCGGCTGAAAGACCAACGAAAGTGTCATTATCATTGAGCCATTTATGGAGGGCTTGGATGTTAGAGTCGGTGAGTACTTCCAAACCTTCATCATTCTTCTCATACATGATGCTCCAGTCGTAGATGACATTCTCCACCGTCAGCATGTTGAATATGCGCATGCCTATCTCTTTCTTGTCTTCCGATGGAACAGTCGCCGGGTCAAGAGCCGCCAAATGTTCTTGCCAGTACCAAGCGGCATATTGTTTTATAGCTTCTTTCCCGTGATCCAACTCCAGCTTGTCAAACCATGCTTTGTCATTGAAGATTCGTAGACAAGACTTCAAAATTGCGATGCGTGCCGTCCTTAGATCAAAGCCGATCGCAACGCCTCCTTTCGTCGCATGGGTAATGTTTGCGTTACCCTCACGAAAGAACTGCCGTACTGAGGCGTGGCAGAAAGTTACATATGTCGTCGAAGGGTTTGACCGAAATTCAATCTCGTTAGAGGTATCAAAGATTCCAGGGCTCCGTGCCGGGCTAAAATGCCGTGGACTAGGCATTTCGACCGTGGGCGGACTGGTGCCCAGGATATCTCGGCCCACGGGACTGATTCCGCGCCTGGGACTGCTTGTATCAAAACCACTAAGGGCGCGAAGACGCGGACTTGGACTTGGACTATGGCTTCCTTCCGGATGCGCCTCTCGCTGCGTTCTAGCAAAATCTTTGACCAGGTCATCTGTGGTTAAGCCGTCTTCACGTTCAAGCGCAAAGAAGCACGCGTATTGGCCTCGCAGTGATTCTTCAAGCCGCAACGGAGGATCTCCAAATTTCATAATGAGTGCGGCTTCCAGTTGCTCGAGCGTGAGTGATTCTTCGGCACAAGAAACCCACCGCAGCATCTCGGTGAGGTCACGAGCATCTTCCTCTGAAATGGTGACAGAGAGGTTGGCAAGCGTTTCGTTGAGCATTCCGTTAATTTCTTTCGGAAAAGACTTCAGGCTTTTAAGAATTGAACTTGGATGCCGCTTCTGGTTGATCTCATTCAACATAAATTTGGCCAAGATAAAGAGGCCGTCAACTTGCTTCTTCATGGATTCGATAACCTCGTGCTTGAACTCTTCTGGAGACCGGCTAAGTATTCTTGAGTGTCGCACGCCGTCGGTAATGAAGGCGCTCACGTCGTCCGCAATACACTCTGGTGTCACATAAATGGTTGTGAACACTTGGCCGGCTGAATTTGGATCCAATGCAGCGGATACCATTTCAGCTAAATAACTCCTTCCAGTGAAAGCAAACTGTAGCCTGGGTCGTGATTCCGACTCGGATTCATCTCCAGGTGCAAGAAGAGACAAAAGTTGTTCAATGTCACTCTGCTCTGCTTCGTCTATACCGTCGAAGAATATGTATACAGTTGTATCCCGGCTATCTTCCAGTAATGGTTGCACAAACAGCCTCCTAAATGCACTGGGGATGGTTCTAATTTCGTCGCTGCTATGAAGCTGCCTTGTTAACTTCTCAGCATATATGGCATCGTTTTCACTAAGCTGATAAGCGACATCGCGCAGCGCCTGCAGCACAGATCGCGTCTCCGGATCGTTTCCAGAAAAGAAGAAGTAACCCAAATGTGGAAGCTTTTCAAGGCCCCAAGTGATAACTCGCGATGTTAAGAAAGACTTTCCAGTACCTAGCAAGGTTAATAAGATTACACACATCCCGCTATATACTTGGGATCCAGAGAGTTTCCTTACCGGGATTGCCAGATATCCACAGATGCTGAGATTCTCCTTGAAGCCAAGATTTCATGCCCTCGTCTTTCAATAGCCAGTCTCCTGTTCCTTGAACTCTATGCTTGGTGAATGCCGCGTAGGAATCTTCTGCAAAAGGAGTGGGCTCTAGAATTTCCCGCAGCTTTTCTCTGTAGAGAAGGCCCCCGTTTCGCTGCTGCCCCAGCCGCAAGTCCAGAATATTCTGGCTCATCTGTGCAATCATATCCTCTACTCTGTCTGATTTGATATTGAGCTCAGCAACACCCCCATGCGTCTCTGCAATAGCTTGCCGCTCCTCTCCCAGCGTTAAGCTGTTGAGCTTCTGAAGTGCCGCTTGGACAGGGCTCTCGATCCCTATTAGCTTTTTGAAATACGCCTTCAACCTTCCATGATGCGCAGCTTTAGTAGCAATAACGAGGACTTCAAACAATGTTGCCAGAATAGTGACTAGTTTCTCGCGCATCGCGGGACTCAGCGTGTGATTCAAGTACACGTCCAGCCTCGAGGTGAAATCCTATTGCACGTTAACTCTGGGATGGAAGACATAGGCCAGGCGGGTAAAATTTACTGACTTTAAGTTGCTCAAAGAGCTCCAATATCGAATCATACATTGCAGAAACATCATGCGCAGCATTTATCAGGTACATCACTGCGGCAAAGATGCCCTGTGCTGGCGGGAAAACTTCCGAAGCTCCCTCGGCCACGATATCTCCTATCAGCTCTATCGGCCGCAGAGCAGCTCCAACAGCGTCGAAAATCTTCTGACGCTTTTCTCGAAAGTGGTTAAACCGATCATTTTGAATAGTCAACTGAAGTTTTAAATCGGATACAGACTTCATCGGCGGCGTTAGAAATTCACTGAGCGTCGGACCCTTGTCAGATGAATCGTTGAACAGCTTCGTGGCATCCGCAAGAACGGCCGCAAACTGTGCCTCCATCCCCTGCGGATTCGTCGCAGACTTCTTCTCCAAATCGGTCATTTTTGCCATGATGCTTCTTCTACCAGCGATATCCATATCAAGAGAATAGCTAGGCATTTAAATACTCAAAGTCATCCTCTGCTACACCAGGGTTTTAGCTACTGCGGCTCATGTGGCGGGGAAATCGTGCCAATGACAAGGGTTCTGCAGCCTCAAGTGACAGACTAGATGCCTCCTTCGCCTCATTATTAGCGCACTAAGAACTAACCCCCAGGCTGCTAAGCCGCATGCTGATCTGTTGATTTGTTGCTTTGTAAGTAAAAATAGTTGCCTACACAGGGCTGTCTTGCTGCTAGGCGCCGTCAAATATCATTATCTGCCACGAAGATAGAAGAATCACTAGGGAATGGTTGTGGCTCCAAGCTTGTAAGGATATTATCTGGACCCGTTTTTACTGCTCTGTCCTGTCCTGTGGAAGGATTAATGTGTGTTTCGTCCAGGATAGTCCCATAGCAAGGGTGACTAGAACAATCAACGCCTATTTTGAGTCATGGACTAGGCTATGGTTGTTGGTACAGGGACAATAAGGGCCGTGTTCCTGAGCCACTGTTGTTGGTACCTGATTTAGCTACATATATAGGTACATGTATGTAGTTTCATCACTTATACCTGGACGTGTCACTGACATAGGTAATTATAACAAAATATGATACACGCCAATAATGACGGTGGTGACAAAATTGGCGCTTGGGCGTGACTCCATGTCGCTTAACTCAGAACAGCGACTTGAACCCTTTGCTGTTCTAATACGACTAAAACTGGAGCTGGGGCGCGGCGCGGCCCGTTGGTTAACCTGCCATGCTCAATATTTGATAGAAACCGTAGCTATTTACGTTAGTGGTTCCCGTTGGTTACTGAAAGTTTGACCAACGCGTAGCTATGGCAGAACTTTTGATGCCAGCGCAGCCTCCGTGTTTTTTGTGTACATGAACCAGTTCTTCCAAGCTCTTTAATTTAATTTATCCTTGAGGGATTTCTATCATTATGCTATATACCAAGCACATATGGCGTGAAGCGGTGTACAACTTGAAAAATGCCCCTCTTCATAACCAAAAGCTGCCAGATTCCCGTCTCCCAGACATGTATGGTAAGGCTATTCTCCAAGCCCACACACTTGTAATAACCCAAATATTACCTACTACCGTTGCAAGCATTTAGCCTACGGGGCAGATCAGAGGTCTATGCTCGGAGGATCGCTGCCATCGGGCTGCATCTTTCTTACATGCAACGCACGTATTACTGGGTACTACGCCGGATGCTTACGGAGCAAATTATGCCTGAATGCTACGCTCCCCACCGTCATTCTTAGCATTGCCACCCTGACCTTTGATGCCTGAGTACGGAGTACAGGTAGGTACGTAGCATACGCATACCTACCGGATACGCACAGCTTCACACCTTCTGCCAAGCAGGCCGGAAAATCTGACGCAGTGATACCCGCCGCTCGAGACATTTGAGACGTGGCTTACAAAAATGCATTCAGACGAGAGCTTCAGACTGGCTGGAAAATGTGGACTGAAACACTTCTGCGGCTACCTGCTGCTTTATTCCTCCCACCGCTATTTCATGTTTCTGCTTTGAGAGCCGGAAAAAAAGAAAATCGTCATGGTGTTGAGGTTCAATATGAAAATGCAATTGAGATGCATCAAACAAGTAAAGTGTCCCCAATCCCGTGTCAGACAGGATCGCTTGTGGGGTCCCCGAGATGCCGCCGGTCTCGGTGACTCGGATTAATCTGCCTCATAATGGAGAAAAAAACATTGAAGGCTTTCGTGCTCCGGGTTGCACGGGCCAAACGCCGAAGTTAAATGGAAAAGAGTTTGGCGAAAAGGCAAGGTTTGTGTGCTGGTTGTGCTACTTTATCAGTCCGAGACACACCGGGGCCCCCGTGATCTCACCCGCAGATTGATGAATTTAAGCTGGAGCCTGCGCAACTATTTAAATCTCAGAGCTTAGACTTTTGTTGTTTGAACTTCGTTTTCAAGCCTTATCTCTAAATCTTTAGTGTCTTGATTGTTTGCCCCTCCGCACGTGCACGCCAATCGATCTATGTTGTAGACGTGTGATACTACATGCGCCTACTACTGCCTTCTTCTGGCCACTTGATTGTCGATACTACAGAGTCCTGGTATCCTGCGCAATCCTGCTCTCTTGCTTTGATTTGTAATGTCACCCAAAATCAATCTTCTTTTGTGGCTGCAGAATCTTCAATTGTGGCTGCGAACACAGTATAAAGCGGAATAGTCGCTGATAAGCCGTTAGGATACATGCACTTATAAGCTTGGAAATATTACCCCCGCGGCTCGCATTCCAGTTCAAAAACTTATAAAGAGAGAGCGAGAAAAGACTCATATCGCCTTTTCTTCAACCACAGCTTCCAAGATGTTAAAAACCGAGCCGCCCAAAAAATTCGCCATTGCGCTTTTCCATGGATTTCAAGCGCTCGATGTATTCGGCCCCATCGATGCGCTCAACTTACTCTCGTTTTCCAAGCCATTGGAGCTCTGTATACTCGCGGAAACGATGGATCCCGTATCAACCGTCCCCGAGCGACTTCCAGACGACCACCCAATCCCAAATCTACCGGCCACTGGTGTAATCGGGGAAAGCGTTGTTCCATCACACACATACAAGAACGCTCCAGAAGATATCGAGGTCCTCTTGGTCCCAGGAGGCCGCGGAACTCGAAATCTGCCACGCACACAACACGTTGCGGACTTCATCAAAGAACGATTCCCGAAACTACGTTACCTGCTCACCATATGCACGGGAGCCAGCATCGCAGCGAGATCCGGGGTCCTTGACGGCAAGAATGCTACAACGAACAAGATGGCCTTTGATTGGGTAAGAAACCAAAGCAAGGGAGTTTAGACTCCTTACCGTAATGCTTAGCTAACGCATCCGCCCAACACAGGTGATAGCCCAAGGCCCAAATGTCAAGTGGGCTCGCCGTGCACGTTGGGTACGGGAGGGCAACGTCTGGACTTCCTCGGGATTAACGGCTGGCATCGACATGATGTATACCTTCATTGCGGATCATTATGGAGAAGAGACTGCAGATTGGATAGCCGAAGCGTCAGAGTTTACTAGGAATAAGGACCCTACAGATGACCCTTTCAGCAAAGAATAGGTACGGGTGTCAAAAAGATGCTGTAGCCGAAAGTCACTCGCGTATTTGTTCTTTTTGGCTATAATATTTAATGTTCAATTACGAATAATGAAGTCTATATATGAAGTCTATAATATGCTATGTGAGACCTAAATGAATAAATTCCTGCGAGGTGAGCTTGGTATAAGTGCCACATCCTGAGACAAAGTATCAGTCCCTGCTGAAGAGGCCCTTATATCATAAGCTATAAGGGAAACAACAAATCAGGGCATTATTGCGTATACTCGCAGCCCACCGGCTTCTTATTCTCCAACGTGCGTGCCGTGAACCCCAAGCAACCCGTGTTGCCGCCGGGCTGGTCCAATCCCTCACCAAGCCAGATGCTCCACGCGCCATCGATGCTGTCCGGGCAAGCAACGAAGCCCTCGCCCTTGAAAACCAGGTTTTGGTTTGCATCGATGGCCCAGCCCTTCAGCTCGGCGTATCGTGGGATGCCTTGATCTCCTGTAATGTATTGAATCACGCCCTGACCTGTTTACCATGGGTAACAACGTACACGAGAGTCAGCGCATCATGACCCCCAGACAAATTGAGAAAGGTAGACAAGATGGAGAGAAAACAATAAGGACTTACCCATGCCAGATCGATCAACAAAAACTTTTTGCTTCTCCCCCTCGGTAGAGTACAAAACTAGCTCCTCGTTTTCAATGTAGAAGGTCGCGTAGCCGCTGGATTTGCCTTCGCATGTGGCATTCGACTGAGGCAGGTTGAGAAACAGACCGCGGCTCGCGGCATTGACTTGTGCAAAGTGGATAGGGCTGGCAGACCGAAGAGCCATGACGTCGAACGCCGCAGGGGCATTACGCGGTGCAGCGACGGCTGAGGAGAGAAGGAGGGAGAGCGCAGAGATGGTTTGGAACAACATCATGGTGACGGAGAGATGTAAGTGATTGAGAGAAATGGATTGCAGTGTTGTACGAGCTCAGGTTGATGTGATGGTAGCGATGGTATTGATTGTCCTCCATTCTCTGTCCTTCTTATAGCATTTTGCTTCACCGCTTCAAAGACACACAACCCTTCATGAAGCGAGGTATCGGAGTCGCCCCCTTTCATGATATCATACCATTGAGGCTTAGTTAAAGCCCCATCTCGTAAAATATTCCGCTGGGGATCACAAAGAAACGCAGATCCTCGGGCTAGACCAGGCACTAGTAGGTACTTCGGATAAAGTCTTTTCAGCTGACAGGTGGTCCCTTACCCGAAAACCTCGTTTAACGGGATGTGGTGGCCAAAAATACGAGTCCTATTTGAAGAACGGTTGATGATTGGTGTAGAGTAATTGTCGGTCTAGGCCTGAGCTTGTTTTGCTTCGTATATGTATGTAAATCAATAACAACATATATATAGGTATATGCCATCAATTTCACAATAATGCACATTATTCTCCCATTGCGCCGAAATTATACGCTCATAAAAGTCAGATACTCTCGATTTGTACGTAAAAAGGAGAAAAATGCCGTTGAATTTAATCTATATGGTATCTCTTGCGTAATAATAACTCGCTTGCTAATATGTTCCTTTGGTGCCACTCCCACTCGGCTTGAACAGGTTGAAAAATAAGACCGCTCAAACAGACTTTAATAATGCATCTTTATATCATACGTCGTTTGGTCTTTCATCCTCCGCATCTTCTTGGACCTGTTGGTCCGAGAGTTTTGGATTCCTAAGAGCCAATGCAAAACCAATCATGGGCAAACAAATACACATAGCCGTAATGCAAAGCAACCGCTGAATGCTCTGATAACTGTGAATAATGGCACTTCGGATTTCAGTTCCGACGGGGTATTGTGAAACAATGGAAAATGGATTCTCGTAAATAGCTCGTGCTAGGGTAGCATTGGGTTGGAAAGCCAGACTTGCTTCAAGCGTTGGGTATAGAGTCTGGGTCCAAATCGCCCCAGATAAGCAAGTGCCAAGTGCACTGCCAACGTTGTAAAAGGAGAGATAGAGCCCCGTCAAGATAGCAACATGGTCTCGCGATGCTGAGGCTTGAATCGAGGCTTGGGTAGGATAAGCAAACAAGCCGCTGGAGAGACCCAAAAGAATTTGTCCGCCGATGAGTCCAGACTTAGAGTTCACCGTGGCACCGCCAGGAAACTTGATTAGAATGCCCAGGGCGATCATGAATATCACCGTGCCTAGGACAATGATGTGCTTGAGACGTCGGAATCTGTAAATGACAAGACCTACGGCAACGCCGCTAACAACACCAAAAAAGGAAAAGAAGGATAGGATTCGGGTCGCATTCTCGATGGGGAAGTCGAACGCAACGATGAGAACGGTATATAGATAGTTGCCCTGCACATACCAGGCAAAGTTCAGCAGGCTCCGCACAGCGAGGGCCGCCCAGACCCCGCGATCCTTCAGTAGATGGAAAGGGACAAGCGGATTTCTAGCACCGTTCTTCTCCCAGAAGATGAAAGCGGGAACGCAGATCAGCCCAAAGACCAATGGAATCACGACCTGCGGGTTCTTCCAGTGCGACACGGTACCACCAGCAACCGTGAGAGGTGTAAGAACAAGACTGAAGGCCGTTACGAGAGTTATGAGGCCTATGCCGTCTACCTGATCGAAGAGCTGAGCACTCCACTTACGGAGGCTATCGAGACCACTGGAGCCGTCAACAAGCTCATCCTTCCTGCGAGGTCCCCGCGTGGAGCGACGATCAATAGAGTATAGTGTGATGAGCAGTGGCAGTGAGGCGACAGGGTAGATGATGCACCACATGCCGATTCCCCAACGCCACGTGGTTACGCGCAGCACAGCAGATGTAATACTGCCGCTGATCCATGTGTTGACGATGAACGGCAAGGCGGGAATGTAGCTGAAGAAGACGCGAGCCCGCATAGACGAGAAGTCGGCAACAAGGATCTCCAGGAGCAGGACGATGCAAGTATAGCCAATCTGGTAGAGGATGGTGCCGGCACAAAAGGCATAGACGGAGCTGGAAGTCGACTCGATGGCCATGCCAACGGTGTAGAAGAAGGTGGATGCAGCGACGACTTCGAAGCGGCCAAAGACATCGGCAATCTTGGCTGCCGTTGGCTGGATCGCAACCGCAACGACACTCCTGAGAAGGTTGATGGTGGCCAAGTACGAGTGCAGCGAAAAGCTGGACGTTGCATACGGCATGTAAGTCGATCGAACCTGGCTCTCGAGGCCATAAGCATAGCCTATGAGAAAGATGCCCGAGAAGATCCAGAAGCGCTCGGTGTGAGAGAGCTGGGCGGAAACGGCCTCCATGCGAGCCACGCCCGCCGCTCGTCTGCCAGATCTCGCCGGCGTCGTGGATTCCGCATACTCGTCGTCGACATGGCCGTTATTGTGAATTTGCGTCGAGATGCTTGAATATTCATGGGGCTCGGTTGTTGAGCGAGGCTCGGAGCCGAGCAACGGGGCCTCTTCGCGTGAGGCAGCCATCGCCGAGCCTAAGCGCCACCGGCGACTGGACAGCGCAAAGGAGAGATGGTTTGGGTGAGGTGGCCCGGGAATAAATAAAGCACGAGCTGGTTTATTATACTATCCCTTCTACCTCATTTCGAACAAAGAAGTAATAGAAAAACAAACATAGCTCATGAAGAGAAGGCGGAGGAGGAGGGTCAAAGAGAAATCGCACGGGGGTGAGCGCTTTATGATTATGAGAGCTTCGTACGAGTCTCGGATCAGATAAGATCAAATCAGTGACAGGCAGCGGCGAACGGCCCACCCAGTTCCGCTATTGATGCCCACAAATCCCCCGTAATCGCTGCCCAGCAGCTCCCGCTGTGGCTGGCATGATCATCGTCACATGGCCAGGTTGGGCAACTAAAATTAGCGGGCTATGCGAGGAAAGGATGGGATGGATGAGACGGCAAAGGGCTACGGCTGAGAGAAACGGAGAGGGAGGCGGCACGTCGGAGTCAGTGACTGGTACTAATGTCTTGTGGGCTTACATGATATTGACGCGTTGTAGAATAAGAGTTACATGTTCCTTAGCAGTAATAGAAGGCAAGCCCTACCAACTTGGGCCTTTTTTTACTAGGAGCGAATCAGCTTTGTCTCCTATAAAAGATGCCAAAAAGAGGGTGCAGAAGCAAATAAAAAATTTAAATCAAATTGTGTGTACTCCGTAATCCAGTAATATTAGCACATATGCCTAGTGAGCGAGTGGGTAACGAGACCCATGCCGTCTCCAGGGATCGATATCAAAAAGACGGCTGAAGCAGATCCCGATACGCTCAGGCGCCGCTGCCGCCTACTGCAGCTCTCTGTCACACGCCGATCAAAGGTTTGCGCAGCAGGCAGCTAGTTACCTACGAGGCGGGGGCGTTTTCTGGTAAGAGATCAGGCAAGAAGTATGCTCTGGCAAGAGCTCTGCTGAGGATTTTTCCAAGCAAAAAGAGTCACCAGCAGCTTGAATCTATGACAGGATCTCTTTTTTCTCTCTTACCATCACCTCCGTCTTGCCATATCTCTCACAAAAAACCACCCTCGGGCTCCTAGGTACATGTAGGGACTACAGCAGGCTGCACCGCATAAGACCACTGATTTCGCCATGATCAACTGCTGGATTACGCAAAGAAAGCCTCCCTTGCAGCCTCAGCTTGGATGCAACCCCAGCGATCGAAGTTCTCTACAGGCCTCCAGAACGAACGCGGTTACAGGGGCCTGTAGGGACTAATCGGCCTACCATTGCTGGAAGTCAGGCCACTACGCTCATCGGCCATAGCGCCCTTCCCGCTGTCTGTCCCCAGTTTTACCCGCACTAACCGCCGCGCTACAGCTTGGGTGAATCAAATTGCATCCTTTGCCTGGAAAATGTCGAGACAAGGCCAAGGTGCTAGTCTTGTGTTCATGCAGTAAAATGACTCACTGTCGGGATATCTTCTTCTTTTTGTATAGTCAGAAAATTGTCAACGCTGACGTAGCTCGGCGTCAAACTGCATGTAAGTAGTATTTGCAAGGGCATCAAACTAACCAAAATGAGGGCAAGGCAATGGGCAATAACGGTGTTGCATTCGGAGAGCCATTAAAATCTCACCCTCAGCGGAATCCCGGCTCCCTTGGCCTATGATAAAAATGAAACAGGGCTGAACAAGGTCGCTCCGGAGTGCATGTAAGAAAGCTTTGATGGAATATGCACCTCATCGGCCGGGGGAGCAGCAAGATATCGCTAGCCCATACCCAGATCGCCTAGGCTACCAGTTGGTAATACTACTACATGCATGTAATTATCCAAAATCTTTTGGCTTTGGAAGTGCAGCTAGATAGCTCAATGATGGCCAAATCGTACTTTGCACTTGGTTAACCCATCCCCCAGGATTATGACTCAGAGCTGCGAACAGGATGGTGGTTATAGGTATAACCGTATAAGCTTCGTTGCCTATTGGAAATGGTAACATTAGACGCACCAGCAGCTACAAAAGGTTAGGCAAATCTAGGGTACTTTTTTTTGGGTTTCACAATCTGTTACATATACTGTTAGGTGATGGCATATTCGCTGTTCTCAGTGGCTCTCGCATATATCAACTTAAATGAATTGCACTTGGCCGTACTATAACTACGGCTTGCATGATATTTTAAGAAGCATCGGTTACCTGTGTTCTTACGGCTTGGAATAATAATCAGAAGGTTCGTAATCGAATTTTACATGATATTAGTAGTACTCTGACTGATGTCGTTACAAGCATTGGTGGTTTTTTGGGTCTCAGACAACCATCCATCTGAATCTTTGACCGCTGTTTTCCAGCTTTAGGGTACGCTCTCAACAGTCACATCTGAAGCATGAAACACACATGTCGTAGACAGCTGCTATTAGTAATTCATATCCCGAGAATGTGGTCTCTGGTCTCCCTGCCTAACAACTGTGAAGAATGTCTTGGAGCCGTCATCGCTGAAAAAATGCGTCGTATCACCACATCCAAAGCATTGAGAGCTGCTGCAAGGGGCTCCTCCCCACAATGCGCAGCTCAATAATATCAAATGATTAGGATAGGGCATGGGTAAGAAAAGTTCTCAATGAAGGAAATATGCCAAACGCATGAGCCAATTTAAATAAGAATGAATAAGAGAGGATAAGACGTAAATACCATTTGTTCATTTCCCCTATTATGACACCCATCAATCTGGTGCTGGTGCTAACATGAAATCAGTAATTTTCCCGACCAAGCTCCAGCCCCGGAGTGCGGCCCGGTTAGGTCCATCGGCGACATCGGAACCCATCTTCCGGCTCCAGACATTCAAATCTGCCCGCTATAATTGTTTGCGCAACAGCCAAACGCCAACACCCCGCCAGACCTCAATCTTTTGCTAAAGAGCAAAGGCAAATTCACAATGGCGACAATAGCCAAGGAGCCGGCAGCCTCTGAGAAGAAGCAGCGTCCCAGCGCTCTGCGATCGGTCATTGCTGGTTCGACGGCCGGCGCGATTGAAATCGGTACGTTTGTTGCATTGCGCCGAGCGATGAGTCGCACGTGCTTGGATTTGAACTTTTCGAATTGTAACTGACAGCCTTTGGGTCGATAGCCATTACTTACCCTGCCGAGTGTACGTCTGCGCCGTTACCATCCCCCAACAAGAATTGGGCATGTTTCCACATCTACGAGCGGCGAACTGACTAGAGATATGCAGTTGCGAAGACAAGGTCGCAGCTCAACAGGCGGCTAGCCGAGGGAAAGAAGCTGCCATGGCCACCGTTCGGAGCGCAGTGGTATGCGGGATGCACCACGCTCATCATTGGCAACTCTGCCAAGGCAGGCATCCGTAAGCATAACGACGCAATTGGCGGGCTTGAATGTTTCAATAGGAGGCGCTAATACGAGGTCTAGGATTCGTTGCTTTTGACCAATTCAAGAGCCTGCTCGCCGACGAGAATGGCAAGCTTTCTGGCCCACGAACCGTCCTGGCAGGCTTCGGCGCTGGTGTTACCGAGTCGCTGCTTGCTGTAACTCCCACAGAGAGTATCAAAACTACTCTGTATGTTCCTCTCTTTCTGATGATTTCTCAATATCTTGTTTCATAGCACAAATGCTGACAGGCCTCTTCTTTCAGCATCGACGACCGCAAATCTGCCAAACCTCGCATGCGTGGCTTCCTCCATGCCGGCCCCATCATCGCCCGTGAGCGTGGTATTCGCGGTTTCTTCCAGGGCTTCGTCCCTACGACAGCTCGCCAAGCCGCGAACAGTGCAACCCGCTTCGGCGCCTACAACTTCTTCAAGCAGATCGCCGAATCTTACACTGCGCCGGGAGAGAAGCTTGGCGCCGTGGGCACCTTTGCCATGGGTGGTCTCGCAGGTCTGGTCACGGTGTATGTGACGCAGCCTCTGGACACGGTCAAGACGCGCATGCAAAGTATCGAGGCCAAGAGCATGTATGGCAATACATTCAGATGCGCGGCTATGATCTTCAAGCAAGAGGGCATCTTCACATTTTGGAGTGGAGCGCTGCCCCGGCTGGCGAGATTGGTAATGAGTGGAGGCATTGTGTTTACCTTGTATGAGAAGAGCATGGACCTAATGAACAAGCTGGATCCTGAGATGAAGTACATCTAAGGAGAGCAGGTTCTTGGGAGAAGAAGGGTGAAAAAAAGAAGCAGGCAGGCCTGGCGTTTAGGATTTAGATGGGGGTTTATGCAGCCTATGCATACAGCAACTAGTTGTACAAGTGTATATATATACTGGGTAGTATACAGCGATGTATCGTAACACATTTTTCGATTTTTTTTTTCTTCGCCATGTCCGTTATGTTGTGGAAAAGCACTTTTTCTTTGTTTCTCACTCCTCCTTTTGAATACCGATGTTGCCGTTTTGTTCGTAACTCATTGCAGTCTAATCATACCAGACAATCTCTTGCCCAGTCTCTCCAACCATGTTCTCTTGGGCGCCTCCTCAATTTCCCTGACCAGATCCTCGAAATACGTCGGCTGGCTCTTGGGTTCCAGCATTGGGCCCTTGAGCTTGTACTAGAAGAACACCCTTGTTAGCGAAATTTGCTGGGCCCTCACAAAAGGCTCGAGACAGTCTATGGTTGCGAACCCTATCTCTAAACTTATTCTGCACCAGGAACTGCAGTGCGCGCGCCTTTAGCAGCTCCTCGGGCTCGATCGAAGGCTTGTACGTCTTGAATCGCTCGTCGACAACCTTGCCCAGGACATCTTGGAACTGGTAGTCCGGCCGGAGGTCTTGCTTAGGCCATTTGGCGAAGACGTCGGAGTAGATACGGCGCTGTGTTGGTAGCAAACAAAAGTTAGCTGGCTTTCGAGGCTCCCCGTAGATGGCTGCAACGAAATAGAATGCTTCAAGGTCACTCACCGCTAGTGATCGCGACATTGTCGAAAGATTCCCGGACTCTGCTCTGCGCGTGCTGCGCAATGCAATGCCGCCACTTGTTTCGCCGGATGGCACTTTGGATACAAAATATTGAATTTCTGCTAGAGCCAAACTTTCCGCGTATACGGTGTGAATTTTACGGTGCATGCGATTTTGCATACGTTCGATGGGCAGAAGGCATGCGCAAGTATGGGGTACTTTGCGAGAGGCCATTTCCTAAGCAAAATCCAAAGTTCCGGATACTTTCGGATGCCGCGCACGGCCCCGGTGCTAAAGGTCATGCAAAACACCAGCACTCAACATTGACAGCGCTTAGAGGGGCTCTGCTGCCTGAGGCCCCTCCCCTTTGGGCCTCGCCCGTCCAGTAACTGCGTCAAATAGCGGCCTCCGACCCCAGCAAAGGTCCCCCCCAAGCAGACCCTAGATTGTTCCAGAGGGTGAGGGTACCTTACCCAGTGCCTGCGGGTACCCAGATCGTCCGCAGCGAGCAGCGGGCTGGCAGGTACCTTTTCTGCATCAGCAGGTTACCTCCCCCTCGCATTGGTCATCAGTGGACGCATCATCTGGCCTCGCCGTTAGTCCCAATCCGATCGCCCAGCTCCATCGACCTGCGGTTTTGCGTTTGGCGCAGGCTCAGCCCTTACGTCCCGTCCATCTTCATTTTCGTTCTTCGTTCTCGTCTCATCTCCGACTCCTCGACCTTGTGCCGCCGTTCGATTTTCTGTTTCTTTCTCGCGCTCTCTTCTCGCCGCCACGGTTCTCCCAATCCGCGTCTTTTCATTCTCTCCGTCGTCGCTTTTTCCACATCCTCTTGATTCCGACTGCGCTCCTTTATCCCTACGGGCGCTCGTGACCAGCCGATTACGACATTGTGCCTTTTCCCCGAGTCTACGACACTGCGTGACTTTGGCAGATTATAGCAGCAGCCATGTCCGGGCGTTACGAGAGGGTATGTCGACGTGCATCGCGATGATTTCTCGCTTTTAGTCAATTTCTTTTTTCCGATGCTGAGACTCTGCAGGTAAATGCCCATGATGCTGAGGACCACGACGAGGTTCCGCAGCGACGAGTCCAGGTCCCCAATTCGCCACCTCCATCCTTCCATTCCCGCGCCTCTTCGCCAACACGAAATGGCCGGGTCAACAACGATCTCGCCGATGCATTCGATGATGACGACGCGAGCGACGATGAGACAGACGATAGAGCAAGATTAGTCCGACAAGACTCTACACCCACCATCAGATCAACCAACGACTCTGCGCGACTCTCTGCACCGACGGCACCGGCCACGACTCCGGCCACATCGGATACGACTTCATCTGGTTCACGACCCCGAGTGATGGGAGGTGGAGTTGGTACCGATGGCGTGTTTGCGAACATGTCAGCCCGGCCGGAGCGGACGGACGGCAATGCCGAGAAAGAAGAACAACCACCTGTTTGTCTACCCCTTCGACTGAACCCCCCAGAAACATTTGTTATGAATTCTTACTAATTACGGTGGAATTGACAGACTTATGAACAAGCCGCTGCTGATGCTGCTCCACCGTACTGGGAGACAACAATTCTTGCTCCCGGCTATGGTGGCGGCGATGAAGTTTACGTCGATGGCATGCCCGTTGGCTCTGTGTTTTCGTTTATCTGGAACGGCATGATCTCTACATCATTCCAGCTCGTCGGCTTCCTGCTCACCTACCTCCTACACTCCACCCACGCCGCCAAGAACGGATCGCGAGCCGGTCTTGGTATTACCCTTATCCAATATGGTTTCTACATGAAAGGATCACCCGACGACCCCCCAAAGATGACTGGGCCCGATGGATACGCTGCACCCCCAGACCCCAACTCGCACGACTTTGAGGTTAGCGATGTAACTGACGGTCCTGGTGGCGGTATTTCTGGCAGTGACTGGATGGCGTATATCCTTATGGTTGTGGGCTGGTTCATTCTCATCAAGAGCGTGGCTCAATTCATGGGGGCCCGACGACACGAACAACTTGTCTTGCAGAGCCCCGATCGTGGACTCAACGTCCCTATTATTGCTGAGGGCGAGAGCGTGGAGCACGTGGTATAGAGCTGCTGGTTCTGACGTTGTAGATTTCAATCTTTTTGTAATTGCCACTGCCTTGGATCGATTTTATTAGAGGCATGTGGGCATCGATACCACTACGCTAGTCAGCGTTTTTCTTTTTTCTTTCTGTTTCTGTTTTTCTTATTCTTATTCTGTTTTCGCCCATGGGATGGATTTCAGGCGTTATGGACATATGCATTATTAGCTCTGAGGCATAACGCGTAGCACGCTTCTCTTATTTCCTATGTATAATGCATGGATAAACAAACATCTATATCTGACTTATTCTGGCTATAACCGTCTCCTTGGTGCACTTGGATGTCGTACTAATCTTTCTTCCATCTCATTTAAGCCAATGAGCTACTTGTCCACCAATTAGCTGGATCTAATCAAGTCCCAAAGATCCATAAGCTCATGTTCATGCTTCCCATCTTGATCCTTACCTACATGTATGCAGATCGCTGCACAGCATCTACAGTAGACTGGAGCTTGTAATTCACAGGCTACAGGCCGTAGGCCACTGTACAGGCACACTGCAGGGCCAGCAACGGCCGCTAACGCACACTATCTACTCCCCCCGCGTGCGGGGTCCTGAGCTTGCAGCGCTATCCCGCCCCCGCTAACCGCCGTGGCAGAGCCTAATACCGCTTCTAGTACGGTGGCCTGAGCAAGCTCGCCAGCAGCTCATGCGTGGTGCCTTTGACGTCTTTCATACATCATATGGGCGGCGATGCTTTTAAGAAATAACAGAAATTTATATCCTCACTTAAACTTTTTTCGAAATCTTTATCCGGCCATATTTACCGCCGAGGTGATACGCGTGATTTATGTCCAGTCGTCAGCACGAGCATGACAAGCAACTGATCCTCGCTCTACGCAGAGTTAATTCTCAAAAGGCATTGAGTCTTGCTTATCGCGTGCCTTTGCATTAACGAGGCAAGAAAACTTAATATTCTGGTGCAACTATCGGCTGGTCCGGCAGTGAGAACAAATAAAAACTGGCGCCTCGAGCTCTAACCGCTGTATTTGGGGCCAGATTGTCCAGGTCGTGTACTCTTTTCCTGAAATCCGCCGGAGTCTGCTTTCTTATCGCAGGAGGCCTTGAAGCTCGCAGAGGCATCAACATGGCGTGGCGATGTTCAGGGAGCTCCAATGCTGGGCTCATTGCAAACATGTGGACGAATGGCCTCATCAGCGACCCGCTGGTCAAGGAGGCGTTCCTAAAGGCAAGCTGAACTATCCAGACTGTTGCTGTTTGATGGGCTGTGGCGGCTAGACGGCGGCTAGACGGGGGCAGTCAGAGAGAGAGAGAGAGAGAGAGAGAGAGAGAGATTTTGTGAAAATGCTTCTCATCATCAATGTCTCTAACTCGCCGCCGTAGGTTGACCGAGGCCATTACGCTCCTGCTATGCCGTACCAAGACTCTCCACAGCCCATCGGATACGATGCTACTATTTCTGCGCCGCACATGCACGCCTCGGCCGTGGAGCATCTTCTGCCTCGTCTTCTCCCATCAGAGACGTCGCCAGCCCCACGAGTGTTGGACATTGGCTCTGGTTCTGGCTACCTCACCCACCTCTTTGCCGAGCTTGTTGGAGACCGGGGGCTTGTAGTAGGGCTGGAGCATATCCGGGAACTCCGAGACTTGGGCGAAGCGAACATGGGGAAGAGCAGAGAGGGGAAACAGCTGCTAGATTCAGGACAGGCAAAGTTTGTGGTTGGCGATGGAAGGCTGGGCTGGGTCGAAGAGGCACGACAAGGCGAAGAAGAGTACGGTACGGCATGGGATGTAATTCACGTCGGCGCCGCTGCAAAGGAAGTACACGCTCCGCTCCTGGAGCAACTCAAGGCACCTGGATGGTGAGTTTTTACGCCTCCATCTTCGTTAAAGAACCCGCTAACTGAGGCATTGCGGCTACAGCATGTTTATTCCTGTGGACGACGACTCCAGTGGGTGGAATCAAAGCGTGTGGCGCATCGAAAAGGACGAAGAGGGGAACATAACGCGGAAGAGGCTGTTTGGGGTGCGATATGTTCCGTTAACGGATGCGCCAAAGAGGTAGCTTTGTGCCGGGAGAATTGGCTTTGAGAAACTTTCCACCTCGCCTCGCAGGATGAGAGCTAATGTCTGGAAGCCATGATGAGCTCGATTTTCTCGAGCTGGTGAGCTTGGGTCCAAAATGATGAATTATTCAAGCATGTAGTTGATTGAAGCAGACACCGAGTATTTATGCGTTCTCTGGTTAGTTTAACGAATGTATTATTATTATATGGAACATCAAACATGTACCCCCACCTCGATCCAACGCCTCAAAAGCATCTATTTGATCCTTTTCTTTTTCGTGCTCCTCCCCCTTTGTACCTCTTTCACTCATTCCAAGCTTCTACTATTTAGGTACTACTCATCTATAAATACGACAAAGTTTCGCTTCACAAGCCATCATAGCCAACTTCCACTCCTACAGCCAACCAACAGCCATCGCCGCCGCCGCAAGTGCTATTAATACGCCGGATTGGTACCTGGTGCCTTCGCTAACAATCACCGTAGGATGAGGGTGAAAGCATCCTCCAGACGGACAGGCTAAAGATGTAGGGAGACCGATCTTGCAGTGCTCGCCATCGCATGCTGGAGGGTGGGGGCAACCTGGAGGACAAGCTGGGAGGCATCCACCAGGAGGACAAGCTGCGCAGCCTTCAGGAGGGCATGGAGGGCTGCACTTCTCAGGACACGCGGGTTTAGCGGGATCGGCTGATGTCGTGGGGATATGGCAACCCTCTCCTGGGCAGTGCGGAGTGGTCTTGTTAGGAGAGAGAGGACAGTTGGTGACTTCGGGAGGGCAAGCTGTGATGGTCTTGACCGTGGAGGTGATGTACTTGGTCTGGATACCGGTCTCTTTACTCTTGTCCTCCTTTTCCCAGCCATCACCATCGTGATGCTCCATTTCCTTTTTGTTCTCCTTTTCACAGCCATTGCCATCATGATGTTCCATTTTTTGTTTATCCTCCTTTTCGAAGTCATTGCCATCATGATATTCCATTTCCTTTTTGTTCTCCTTTTCACAGTCTGTGCCATCATGATATTTCAATCCTTGTTTATCCTCCTTTTCGAAGCCATCACCATCGTAATGTTTCATTTCCTGTTTGTCCTCCTTTTCACAGTGATCACAATCATGATGATCCATTTCCTTTTTGTCCTCCTCTTCGCAGTCATCGCCATCGTAATGTTCCATTTCTCGTTTGTTCTCCTCTTCACAGTCATCGCCATCGTAATTTTCCATTTTTTGTTTGTTCTCCTTTTCATAGTCAGTGCCATCATGATGTTTCATTTCCTGTTTATCCTCCTTTTCATAGCCATCATCATCATCATGTTCCACTTCCTGTTTGTATAGCGAGTATCGCTTCTTTCCCGTCACTTCACACTGCGGGCCTCCGCACACACCCGCAGTTCTGTTGCCACTAATGCACGGCAGCGAGCAGACCGATTCATCGAGGATGTTGTAAGACGGCTCAGCCTTTGATGACGAGTCGTAGCAGTTGCAGCTACCATCCATGGCAGCGTATTTGCCCTTGGCGTGGCACGCATCTTGGCATTGCTGGACACTGAAAGGGGCAGGTAAATCGGCCTTGACACTGAAGACGGGTGGCTCCGCTTCGACGCAGCCAATGTACTTGAATCTGGGGGCTGCGAATTCAGCTTGAGCTGCGACGCTGACCGCCATGAAGCCGGCGAAGAGAGCGAATCGAGACATGGCTCGCTGACTTCAAGATGTGAGAATTGATAGTAATAGAGTAGGATGGCTGTGTGGTGAGAGACAAGTTCACTGACTTGGGAGGAGAAGTATTGCCAAGTTATATAGATCGATTGGGTACCATGATCGTTATGTATCATCCAACCTCGCAATTAAGTAGATGCTAGCACAAAAAAACAATGCACTACGTATGGATGGGACTGGCTCTTGACGCAATGCCATTGCCGGGGAATGGACAGAAACGCGAAGCTTCACATTCATTTACACCCATACACGTCTGTGAGCGTAAGAGATAGACTAAGGAGCTTCATTTGAGGGATTTAGAATGCTACGTGTGAGGATAAATGCCCAGATCAGTAAATGATGGCATGTGGTGCTTACATGCCGCGCTGAGGTATGGACAGAGCTTCGAAAAATTAACAAGGTTGGCGCGTCAAGTCTGCGAATATCAGCTGAATAGAAAAAAAGCGACGCCGAGACATTGGTTTGGCGTATCAAACCCGCTGAAAAGCGGTGCATGTGCAAAGGGAGGCTGGCGCTGTCGGAGTATCAAAGACAGGCGAATCAAAGACAGGCGACGATCCGATCACAAGGAATGCTCCAGGTTTTTAACTGCGACACTAGCCTAGACCTTTGGTTGAAAATTCATGGACGCGATTTTCGCGCTGCCATTGCGCACTATAGACTAGCGAAATTTTGTAGATCAGATCGAATCGAGCTGCGTCTTAGCATTGCAATTCTATATCTCGATATGAGAGACTGCTGTAATAGATCCCAGGCTGCCTTCAACCGGATATAATGGCACGGTCCGTTCTTTTTGCCGAACGTGGCTTTATCCTGATGTATAGCCCTTGAAATAATTCCTTTTGGATTAAGTTATTCGTATAAGATAGGGTTGATAATTAGGACGGCATGGCTGCTCATCCACAGCCTGGTGCATACCAATGGGAGGATAAGTTATACTCCGCCATGCACAATAAATAATGCCTCGGTATATTCACTTTGACGCTTTATACTCGTATGTCTGACTAGATTTCCGATATATTTGCTCATAATCTTGATGCTTTGATTTATCTACGAGAGTTCACTTAAACTAAGACGTAGTAAACGATGAAGCCATCGGCTACTTTGCGCGCTTCTCGCAAGTCAAAGAGTTTCAATTACAATCTAGCAATAGAATATGTGTTCTTTTCTTCTTTTTCTTTTGGCGCGAATCACTTATTTCATTCTCTCGTATGCGGCGCTATGGCGGCCTCTTAAGTCTCGCTTGTATACTGAGGAGCAGTTCTCGACTTGTGTGAGCTTGTATTAGAGCCGCCATCAAAGCTGCAGCTTCATGCACTGAAAATCACCATACTTATACGGGGAAAGCGCATTGTCAAATAAGTAGAAATCTTTTGTACCTAATGGCATGGTATTCGCACAAAAGGTACACGTACGCCAAATACTTTAACTCTTGTCGTTACCCCATAATTAGACCTAGCTTCGGCAAGCCACATAAGCTCAGGAACGATCATGCGGCCTATTATCACCGCACTGAACATTGTAAGCTCAAATGAGGCGTCATGAAATTACGTAGGTAATCCGGGCGATATCCGCACATCCGCATTGCTGTCGATAAACTCAAAAGATGAACGAAGGCTGCAGGAATTCTATAAACCAGCCATACCGACCTTGACCATCTCGCTCTCCAACTCGATACTTGTGCCAAAGCTTCAAAACTTACCATTATACCAGATCTGAAATTAGTTACTCTTGCTACTTTATGTATACCACATAATCAATTCATCACCGCTAACATGCCGTTCAAAAACCTGGCTCAAACACGAGTGCGGCTACCCCTCGCCTTCGAAGACATATTCGATACGCTTACAGGCCGATGGTTCCGCCCAGTCCATGCAGACCAGTTGATGCAGCCATGCAGGCGGAATCCTCAGGCATACTGCGTCGCCGACCTTTTGGAACCGCCTCCACGATATCAGCAGGAAAGAAGGGCACTTCCTCTCGTCGGTGAGTTGGAGATGTTACAAGCGGAGCTTTACCGCTGCCGGACGCGATCATCCAACGGCAATGATGTAGAGAGAGAGCTTTTGGATGCGGATGCTGAGCATCTGAGCCAATGGATAGAGCATCTAGAGCATCTTGTGTACATGGAGGCGGCAACCACAATCCCTTCTAGATACCAACAAGAGTGCATGGCTGTCACGATATTTAAACGAGTCTTTAAACGCAATAAAAACCGCCAAGCTTGAACTTTGCATAGACTGTGTCTTTTGTTTTATGACATGTATGTGTATACATATATACATACATACATATATTGTAATGATTGAGCTTGATCATATATACTTGATCAATACTGTTCTGGCAAGTCTCTACCAGTCCTGAACGCCCCCGGTGCGGATAACTCTACCAGCATCCTCGTCCCTCTCTCCTTCAGTAACTGCCCGAATAAATTGCCCTCCGATGGATGGATGGCCCGCACCCATCTCCTTGAGCTTCTCCGGATCACCACCCAGGTTCGTGGCCAAGAAGCCCGGGCTGATGCAAAAAGTCTTGACGCCGTCCTCATGCAGCAGCCAGTGCCAGTTCAGCATCACCATGTTGAGCGCCGCCTTGCTGCTCTTATAGCCCAGGGTAGCACTAACGTTTTCCTTGGGCCATCCGGCCTGTGGCTTGGGCGCCCATGGCGGGTAGAAGCTCTTGGAGTGGGCCGTGAGGGTGGATAGACCGGAAGTGATGAAGATGAGGCGAGGGGAAGAGGACTTGATCAGAAGAGGGACGAACTTGGCTGTCACTACATGAGTTCCGGTGACGTTGACATCGTATGCCTTGTTGAAGATGGAGCGAATGTTTGGAATGTCGTTTGTGAAGTCTAAAGAGTCAAAAGCAGCGCCTATTTTTGTTTAGACAAAAACATCAATCTCATGTCAGTCTCTTCTTCTTCCATTACGCTTCCATCTCCCTTTGACAGCAAATGCAGGACTGAGAGGGGGTGTTGCACAAACCTGCATTGTTAACGAGCGTGTCGATTCTGTCCACCTTAGCTTTAATAGCCTCATATGCCTGATCTATAGACTCATCGCTTTCCAGCTCAAGGGCGACCGGCTCAAGAGTGCTGCTCGACGATGGCACCTCTTTGGTGATTGAGGCGATTGCCTCTTGACTCTTTTCCAGCGTGCGACAGCCGACAAAGATGCGGTATGAAGTAGATGAGCCCAGGAATGCTTTTACTGCTTCATAGCCAATGCCGGAGTTGGCACCCGTAATGAAGACGATGTGCTTGTCAGTCATAACTGCTAAAGTTGTTATATGAATATAGAACGCTGTTTATCTTGTTACTTAGTTTTATATCTGTTCTTGAATTATGACTTCATGAGATAAGGATATATATATATATACTTTTTTTTTTCTCTCCCAGCCTTATCCCCACCGGCTTTTATTCTAACCTCCTGCTCCATTCAGCTCAAACATATTCATCATTGGCTGAAAGTCCCTTGTGTTGACCCTCTCTTCTCATTTGCTACTACACAACCACGCTCTATTGCTGGCCCGAGCCGAACGGCATTCTGGATGAACCCGGAGTTAAACGAGTGGAAGAGCCGCTCGCCGCGCGAACCATGGCGCTATTTCCATCTCGGATAGCCGAGAGAGTCCGATTTGTGGGGGATGCAGCGTGGGATACCCCGACTCAAGACTGTTTGGAGCCATACGGCCAAAACCCCAGGATTCTGACCGTCGAATAATTGATATATAAGTCGTTTTAAGGTATGAGGCAAGAGACGAATGTTGCAGACATTTTTGCTTACATGATTTAGTCTCTTGTAATGCTGACATGCTGCCAGTACATGACTGCATGTTTATAATCTTCGCCTTCACTTACACGCCCTCATGGTACTACACGCACTCAGTCCGTACATGTATTCAGCACTCTATGCCATACTTAAGCTAGAATTACTTACATACATATTCGAATGAAAATGATGCTACTGTTGATCTTATAGATACAATGCGCAATAGCAATCCGCCCAAACCGCGTATCCAGGGGCCGCGATTCGCCCCACTATACATATACTCCGCATCCAGTTTCTCAATGCCGCAGCCTGCCGTCAGATTGCCCAATCTGGACAGCTTCCAGATCTCTCTTTTCTTCATCTAAATGGCTGCTTAATCATGGCGCATACTCCAATCAAAAAGGTCTGCCTCGTGGGCGCCAACGGCACCCTGGGCTCAGTCATTCTCAAGGGCCTGATCCAGGCAGACTGCTTCGACATCTCCGTCCTCCAGCGCTCCAATTCCTCCTCGTCGTCCCCCTCCTCCATCCCACGCATCCTCGTTCCGCCAGAGCTCCCAGTCGAGGATGTCGCAAAAGCCCTAACTGGCCAAGACGCCGTCATCGCGGCCTTTCCACTCGGTCAGGGCGACCAGCATCTACGCCTCGCAGAGGCCGCGTTCCAGGCCGGCGTGCAGCGCTTCATCCCCGCAGACTTTGGGAGCTGCGATGCGAGCGACCCAGAGCCGCAGAAGTATCTGCCACTCTACCGTAAGAAGACGCTCGTTCGTGAAAAGTGCGAGGCCCTCGCTGTCCAGGCTACACAGCATGGCTCGGCTTTTTCATGGACAACCGTCATCTGTGGACATTTCTTTGACCACGGACTGCGTGATGGACTCCTCCATATCGACTTTGACACCCGCACGGCCCAGATCCTGGACGGCGGCGCCACCAAGGCATCTACTTCGACGCTGCGCCGCATCGCCGAGGCAACTGTCCGAGTCCTGCAGAGAGCCGAGCAGACGCGCAACCGTGCGGTTTACGTGCAAAGCTTTAACCCGTCGCAGCTTGATGTTGTGGCTGCTCTGGAAAAGGCAATGGGAGAGCCATGGCACATGCAACACATTGACTCAAAGCCATATCTGGAAGACGCTCAAAAAAGGCTAAAGAGTGAGGAGCCTCAGGCTGTTTTGGACGCTATCGAGGACATTGTCTTTGTGCTAGGAGCTTTAGACGCGGACTGGACAAAGAGAGATGGGTTCGCGATGGACTTGTTGGGTTTGGAGGATGAGAATCTGGAGGATGTTGTTCAGGAAGTAGTGGCTGCGTACAGAGCCGAGGGGAGCAAATGAAGTCAGCGTTGAATGCGATTGAGGCCATGCATATAGAGAATTTAGACATTCCGTGTATTAGACGAAGCCATCGCGCATCCCTTCACGTATTCAGGGTAGCCGCTCGTATGAGAAATCCTACAGGCTTGCAGTGCTGTCCCCTTTACAGCTAGCCACATGTACGTACATGTGTGCATGCATCCTTCTCTAATGCTTTGATTCATATCCTTTCCCCGCCAAATAGATTGGTGCAGTGAGCATACATGCACCCAATATGCGCAGGTGAGAGGTCAATTTTAGCTTTAGCCTGCGTTGGCTCATAGAGGATGAGCTAGCTTCATGCAAGGGCATTCAATATAGTTATTATCAGTCGACGTATAAAAGATCTAGCTTGAGCTTCATGTCCAACCACAGATCAGGGTTGGAAATATTCTTTTGTAGCTTCAGGCGTTTTGCAAGGCCCGTCAAACTTTTTATCAAGCTTAAAGCTGAGATCCAATCAAATAACGTTCGTCACATTTTAATACTCCTCTCGTTAGACCCCAGTCATGTCTTGCATCTCGCCAAGGAATCCATCAGCACGGGCTGTACCACATCAACAAGCGCCACACAACACGCTTGCCTGCATCGCAGCATCAAGAGCTGAGCACTCCGTCAGTCATGGTGTGCACCATCACGCCACTTGGTGAAGGCATCCACGATGTGACAGCTACTATTAGGTAACGCCAAGATTGGGCCGAGTATTTAGAACCGGTAACAGCGCTCCAGGAGACGAGATTAACAGGCCATAGCCAAATCCTCACAATTAGTTGAAAATCTTTCTTAAGAAACGATAATATATCTCTTCATAATTTGTCGGAGGGTTACTTCAATCTCGGTATTTAGCGATTTAAGAATGCCGCTTACAGTGATCGACATCATTTTCATGCTGACGGCGTATGCTGCTACCCGAGCAAAGATCTCATAAGCTTACCATATCTTTGGTCTTCAGCTGATTGAAACGCCTCAATAATAGATATTTTATTATTAGAGTTGATTCTCTGGCTGACGATAACCCAGCGAGTCCGACTCCTGTTTATGCAACTCTGGAGAGTGACGAGAGGCCGTTCGCATCGCCATCTAGCTGTGTTCCCACCGTTACGGTGACGACGAACCTAGGCACGAATGAAGGTTGCGCATTCAACTGTTCGAGTGATTTTTGCATCATCGATTGTAAGATGGGGCCGTCTAAACGAGACTATAGCTCTATTACTTACCATTATTGTCGCAGATTTCGTGACTTTGCCATGCGGCTGCTCACAGGCAGCGGGCGTGGTTACTGAGACGATCACCGCATGTGCAACATCGAGTCCCTGCTGGAATTGCCACACCGGGTTTCCTTTTACTACAACGGCCACAGATTGCCCAGAACCAACTGGAGATGATTAGGAGTCGGGGGCTATGCGGTCAACATGCAGATGTCTTTCTTGAGATTGATTTGTTACATTAAGAGAACAGAAAGAAGAAAAGAAGAAGATAAAGAGATAAGAATACGTGGCGAATAAGGCAACGACAAATGCTCAATACATATAGGTAGTATGCAGTCGGTTTTTTTTAGAAGCTCAATGTTGCATGTATGAGATGGCACTGCATAAGGCTTTGATATCACCTGAGCGGTGACAGGTGCATCAAAAGGCGGGAGGAACGAGGCTGGATAGATATTTTAAGAAACAATTTAGGAAAGAGAAATTCGAACCGCTATCCATGGTCCACGATTCGATAAACTGACGGAGCGTACGAGCAGAGCGTATGAATTGCTGTGGCTGGCGTCGCTGAATCATGAAGCTGGGATTTTTATAATTGGAACGAGGCTAGAGCGCGGCTAAGACCCCATGACGGCAGTGAACGGGTCCACTAAGGGCCTCTAAATAATACAGTGTCGCAACGTAAAGCCCAACTGTATTAGCCTCGCAGATTGCGGCCAAAGAGACTGTGCTATTGGCACGGTGCCAGCTGCATCTTCAGGCACCCAAATGCCAGCCACGGCCCAACAGATCATGGCTCAGACCGCAACGCAGCCCCAATGGCCATCAATGCTATCTAGCACGGCGAGAACACGAACACGACAGCTTCAACTTCAAGCCCTCCCGCCGTGCACACGCGTTGCCGGCCCAAGACAAAGCGTGAGCGCAGTCCGCTCTCAGCTTCGCCCCATTCGCAGCTGACGCCTCAGCATCACCAGATTCGCCCTAGGCCTATCGGCTCGCTCACCGGCCCTTGCCTGCCCCTAAAATAAAAACCGGATGGGCCTCTGTTGACACAGCCCCGGCGCGGTGACGTTGGTTTCTTGGCCTCGCTCTCTTATCTGGAGCTCAGGCACCGATTTCAGGCTGTTGAAACCGCGTTTGCCTCCGGGAAGAGGAAAAGGGTGAAGAGAGAAAACCACCACAAAATAGGAGAAAGCCCGTTTCTTTGTTCGTCGCACCCTCTTGGTAGACCAACCACCATACCAGGATAATGCCCGCTGCCGCTTACCTTGGCAAGGGTCTGTTATGAGCCATCTTCTTTGTTCATCTGCGTCTTGTCATGACCTATTTCTTTGTTTGGATCGGCATTTCTATAAGCAGTCCTTTCGGTCTAGCCTAGTCGAGTTTTTTTTTTCTCTCCGGCCCTTGAACCTGCAGTAGCCCATGCACGAAGCATCTTGATATTTGGTAACTAAAAAAAAAAAAGAAACAAGGAAAAAGGAGAAAGCGTGATCATCAAAGCCATTCATTCTGACTGGCGCAACACAGCGAAATAATAAGTCTTAATTAGCGGCTTCTATTTTCTGCACATCTCCTCCATCAGCCCATCCAGCATATCAGAAGCCAGCTCATCAAAACCAAACACACTTCCCAAGAGGGACATATTTTGCACACAGAGGTTGCATCGCAACCTCGACCATTCATCATGATGGAGGCACATTCGCTCGCAGCCCTGAACCTGCAGGCAGCGAATCCGCCACAGTATCCTGAAAACCCATCAGAGAGAATACAGGAGCCTCTGGTGCTCTACATTTCTAGAGTTCCCGGCACTAGAGGTATTTGGAAGTCATCACGATGTTTGACGCAACCGCAGCTGACCCCAAAAATGCATAGATGTTATTCTTTCACCTTTCAAACCCCAGCTCAAAAACGTCACAGGCGGGGATGTTGCTAGCAGCCTCTACTATGTTCATCTCGAGCTCCCAATGCTGGACATTACTGGTCCTCAGCCACTGAGAGATGAGCCACAAGGTAGATCCAGTGAGGATAGCTCAGCGACAAGGACGATTGCCCGGAAACCAGTGCCCAGCTCCATCTCATCTCTACCCCCCGAGATTTCGATACAAAGCGATCAGCCACAGCTTCAGCAAACTCGAGGCAATTATGAGAACACGACACTTCGGCCGCCAGGGGATCTTGGCATGCCTCCCAGCTTGCAAGAGACTGAATATGCCCCCCCTCTACCTCCTAGGCGGCGATTCCAAGACTCTGGCTTGGGCTACTCAGACGGCTCTTTCGAGACGAATCCGTATGAAAGACCCCAGTTAAATGTGCCTGCTCCTAAGCGCAAACCCGTTGGACCGAGACAGATGAGTGATGTGCCACAGGGTCGAGTCTCTATGGACGAAACGACACGTTCCAGGGCTCAAACTAGGGATCGAGCAGATACAACAGGACGTAGTAGGCAAAGTCGTTCTTTGTCTCCAACAAAGAATATTGAGTATTCTACGCCTCCATTTACCTTGAGCCTGATAAGGCGGGATCCGGGTACTGGGGATCAATGGAATGTGGGAAAGATTTCATCATATGAAGCGAATCCGATGGCTGCCCAAACTCCCATGTATCTTTCTGCATCATCCGAGCAGCAGCCTCCTCAGCACCCACCAATCGACATACAAATCGAAACTGCTGGATATGCCAAGTTCCGTGGGGGCCCACCAATTGCCCTACCTCCTAGAACCAGCATGGATAGCCGGTCTTTCATCGACGTGGTGCCAGAGTCGCGAACCGATAACAGATCATTCTCCAGGCAGGTCTCCATGTCGTATTCGAGAAGTTTTGGTTCTGCTTTGCGATCCAAATTCCACCAGTTTGAACAGGCGGCTCGGAAGAAGGCACAGGCACATAACCGTAACGGGAGCGAAGCATCAGTCGCTTCGCATAGTTCCGGAGAGTACGTGGCTGGATCGCCAACGGCTGCACGCCCTGAAAAGATGAAGCCACGGGGATACACGTTTGCGAGCCCTTGGAACGGTAGATGCGAATTTCGCACAGGAAATGGTGGCCGGAGCCTGTTGTGTCATCATATACTGCACGAAGGTGAAGTCGGCGCTTACAACCCGCTGGTGCCTGATTCGAGCGCGGCCAAGGGGACTTCAACCGTAGTCAGCGAATTGCGATTCAACCTTCCGGGCTCTGATTTATTCCCTTCTAGCGAATTACCCAAAGGCGACAGCGATCACAAACTCGGTCATTTCGCCAAATTCGTCAAGTCAGCCGTGGATCGGGGTTATGGCGATGAGGACGAGGATGATTTTGTATCGCCGTTTGATGTAAATGTAGGCGGCGAGAGAGCAGGAGGGGGCAACCGGGGCAACCGAGCCAAGCTTGGCAAGCTCATCATATACCACGACGGGATGAAGATGCTGGATCTCCTGGTAGCAGCCAACATGGGGCTGTGGTGGGGGACATGGGAGAAGAGCTATTGAGTGTATTTGGTGTGTGGTATTTGGCGAAGCTGCTGTTAATGACGACGATGCGTTATGATTTTAATCTATGGCGGGCAATTCATAATGAGCCTTTGTTTTCTTCTCCTAATTGCCATTTTTTATCTTTTTTCATTTTCAATTTGCTTGCATCATCGAGATAATGTTAATCGTACTGTATCATGTACCTACTTAGGTAGGTAGCTACGGAGTACCAGGCTAGGCATGGAGTTGTGTCAATTTAATGGTAGTCACGTGCCTTATCACGCGCGGCCCATCACCACCAATCATTGGCCTAGCAATGTAATCCCGCAGTGCACTAGGCCGTTGACCAAAGCAGAAGAAGCCGCCAAAAGTTATACCACACGTCAAAGTCGCCTCCCGCCCAATCGTCCCCCGCCAGAGGCGCCTGAGTCTGCTCTCCTGCAACTTCGTCAATTGCGTCCTCTGCCAGCCAACCTGACGACAATGGCGCCGACCCTCCCCGCCTCGGCAGCGGCCATGCTTGCCCGACGACAGCTGACCCGAGCTCCGGCATCTGCCAGCTCCCTCATGATGGCGACGAGGATGCTGGCCACGCCCTACCACCAGCAGCAGCGCGGCTATGCGACGCCAAAGGGTGCTCTTCCCCAGAACTTCCGCACAAGCAAGCCCGTGGAGTGGGTGTGGGAGAAGGACAGCTTACTAGACCGGCTGGGCAAGTACTTCCTCATGACCGAGATGGCCAGGGGAATGTACGTCCTACTGGAGCAGTTCTTCCGACCACCGTATGTTATATCGACTATGGCCTCTGGTGAAGAGATGGAATTGCTGACGGAGGAAACACAGTTACACCATCTACTATCCTTTCGAGAAGGTATGCAAGTCGCGCGGGGATGGAACATCTGGATATCTGGATATACATCGCAACCACTGCTTGCCATTGAGCTATGACTGACGTCTAATCTAGGGACCCATTTCTCCTCGATTCCGTGGCGAGCACGCACTGAGACGGTATCCTTCTGGTGAAGAGCGATGCATTGCTTGCAAGCTTTGCGAGGCTGTAAGGACCCCGCCAACATCCAAATTGGAAACGCATTTACAGGGATCATATGTATGCTGACTGGTGTACGCGAACAGATCTGCCCTGCCCAGGCCATCACAATTGAAGCCGAAGAGCGTGCTGACGGATCTCGTCGCACTACCCGTTACGATATCGACATGACCAAGTGCATCTACTGCGGTTTCTGCCAGGAGTCTTGCCCCGTTGACGCCATCGTTGAATCTCCCAACGCCGAGTATGCTACTGAGACCAGAGAAGAGCTGTTGTACAACAAGGGTGAGTTTGCGACATGGTCTGTGGGATAGCGGTTTGGTATAGCATTCTGATATTTTGCCACAGAGAAGCTGTTGTCCAACGGAGACAAGTGGGAGCCCGAACTTGCTGCCGCCATTCGCGCAGACGCACCTTACCGATAAACTACGCACAAAACCTAATTCCAATTTGTATGATGTGGGCGGAGAAGAAATCCAATTAGAAGAAGGGCACCAAAGGAGGCTGCATGGACAACTGGATTGTACATAAGTTAGGCGCTACACCAAAAAAAAAAAAAAGAGCCTTTTGATTCGTATTAGTGTGGGTGTATTCTCAAACGTTGACCTAGTCGGTCGAAATTATCCCGGCAGTACTAAAAGCTGTTGGCCGTTGAACAATGTTAACTGCTATACGGAGTATATCTGCCATCACCGGCAGTTCTTAGCCAGCTATACCGCTGAGATTCTGTTTTTACATGTTGCTCAAGCTCATTCTGATTAGCTACTGTTATTATGGCACTACCTCCTGTTTCGCTTGCAGTAATACTCATGCAAGCTTTAGCATTCTTCATTCATCCATAGGGAGAAGCTTATTAGCCCCGCAGCAGCTTCAATTGATGAAACCCAGCAGCACAAAACCTGATCTCGCGGATGGAAGATGGTAGTTATAGTTATGAATCCCGGTTAAAAGAACCTTGGAGGCTATTGACACACTCTGCCTGTATCTCACTCATCTCATCCAATCCCATCCTCCCCATTCTCGCTGATTCAGCCCACGCTCTTTCAAAGCTCAACCAGCCTCACGTGACTCTCTCCGCACTCCAGCTTTCCCTTTCCTACCTTGGTAATGCTTGTACCTTTGTACCTGGCCCAGCTCCGGAAAACCTCCAATAGACCGAGTAATAGCCAGCGAGAGAAATTTATCATCGCCGACAACGATCCTGTCACCAAAAAAAACCCCCACCAACCACCTTTAACCCGCAACCACTTCCCTCCCGCAGCAGTCAAACTTGTCAATTGACTTCTGTCTTTTTTCTTTTTCTTCTCCTCGTTCTCCTTCTCTTTTTTTCCTCCAGCACAAAACGCCAGTCGCCAACATGTTCCGCACTGCCATCCTCCGCACATCCGCCTCGGCCGTCCGCGCCGCTGTTGCCCGACCCGCCGTCGTCCGAAGAACAGCTCTGATGGCTGCTCCTCGCGCCGTCGCTGCTCCCGTCCGCGTCCAGAGCCTTATGGGTGTGAGGATGTACAGCGCTGGTGGAAGCTTGAACAAGGAGGAGGTCGAGGGCCGCATCCTGAGCCTGCTGCAGGGTTTCGACAAGGTAGGTCGCTGCTACCCGTGATTTGGGCACCGCATGGAGGCGAAGCTTGAAGAAAAAACGAACAACGGGGGCTCTGTAAAGAGAGCCATGGAATTGCGTTTGATGGAGGAACAGCTGCGCAATGGATGAGAAAGCTCTTGTGGGAGCGGGGGAGATGAAGAGATGGAGAGCGGGGTGTGAAATAAGTCGCGATGCTGCATTTGCGCCGCTGCAGAAGTCTCCGAATCATGCCATTGCCTTTTTCTTGTGTCTTTCTGTCAAACAAACATGTGCTAACTTCATTTCCGTTTCAGGTCAACGATGCTGCCAACGTACGTCTCTGAGCCGCCATGCGCAATCTCCCTCAATGAATATAGCCCGCATCTAATGCCCCCTTCTAGATCAAGCCTACCGCCCACTTCGCCAACGACCTCGGTCTGGACAGTCTCGATACCGTTGAGGTCGTCATGGCCATCGAGGAGGAGTTCAGCATCGAGATCCCCGACAAGGACGCCGACACCATCCACTCAGGTATGATCCCGCATATATCCCTGCCGTGAATTCCCTTGGCACACCTGCTGATTTCCCACTGCAGTTGACAAGGCCGTCGAGTACATCCTCAACCAGCCCGATGCTCACTAAATCGCTTCCGACCCGATGATTCTGGAAACACTGGCCCCTTTTCTCTGCTCTTGTACCTCTCTCGTTATGCGACTTGAAATTCCCTCCTGAGATATACCCGGATATGTAGAGGCTATGATATTGGGTGGGGTACCGAGGAAAAAAAATAATGAATTGTTTGGAGGTCATTTTTAAAAAAGAAAAAAAGAGGCATAAACAGACGGCCAACAGGTTGACATCATGCTATGGTGAAATCTCATCTAATTTTCCATCTTTGAGAGACGATTAAAGGGATGTTTTTTCCGTCCAAGATCACCTACTTTACCTTGGCTTCAATGTTTCCAGATCAAACGGAAGGGATTGTGGAATGGGGGGTGTTAAAATCGAGAAGAGAGAAAAAAAAAGACGATTGTATTGATGGTGGTTGGAGACGCTGCTACATAAAGTCTGTGCAGCTATCCCTTGTATTAGTGTATAGAAGACTCAATTTACTCTCCACCAACTGCTTGCTTGTGATATGCATTTGAGAATGTAAGCGTCAGTAAACGAAACTCCTCAGAAACGTCGCCGATATACCTACGGCTAGAGGCGGCCTTGGTTGCGAAGAGATTCTAGACGTGCCAGTGTCTGACTAGGATGGATACCTGTTTTTATCATCCGGGCCTCTCTTTCTTCACAAACACGGACTAGGCTGTATAACGAATAGAAATGGGAAAATGATATCAGATAAAAACTGCTATCAAATATGACGAATAGAGGAGTCACACATGCATGCATAACAGGCTTACGCACTCACTCCCATATAACCAACTACCCTGGTGGACATCGTAACTGGCCAGTAGTAACCATCCAATCAACGAGATTCTATTCAAGACACGAGTTACACAACAACTAGACATTCATTCATAAAACGTTGACAGAAGAAGAAAAAGCTGTGTCCAATGACTGCCGCAAATGCATCCTGGTAACCCCTAGGCATTGGCTCAAAAGCCCAAAATATTTGAAGCTGACTACATGTACACTTTGCTCCTATACTGATACATACATACATACATACAAACTAACGCAGAGAGTAATCATTGCTTGACGGCGAATGACATTAGGGAGAAATTATTGGGTGGTTCCAAAACTCGCTTTCCCCTCCCTCCATCCTCCTTTCCCCAAGAACAAGGTCATGAGACGAAAAGTGATCGGCGATTATAGATCCTTGAAGAAAAAGAGACCTAAGCTGACCACATATGTTGTCCTTCGGTAGCAGGGTTATTATGTCCACACTTGGATAGCCCAGATATCCGATCGTGAGAAAACAAAGATCCAAGCTCGCGTAGTCGCAAATATAGCGAGAAAAAAATGGGAAAAAAATATCGATTTATGTTAAACGGTGATCCAGTGATTTGTTATTCTCGTTTTTTTTTTATGATGAAAAGCATACAATGCTTATGTTGCTAGTTCCTTCGATAGGCCTTATTCCAGAAAATGAGAGGTATGTTTTCAGGGATTCGCTGTCCTAGATGGCTCCTCAATGTGACAATAGAATAACAGGAACATAGAAAACGCAAAAAAAAAGGCAAAAAACTCCAGCCTATATAGTATATGTACCCCTTGTGTCCCTTTTGGTTTTTCCCCCCCCCTTCCCAGTTCCTTGGCGATGTTGGATGTCGGATGATGAATTTGTGATTTCCCTTTCCAAAGGCTGCCACTGATTTTGCGAGAGACAAAGAGAGAGAAAATAAAGAAGAAGAGAAATAAATAGCTTGGCAAATATCCCGAAAGGAAATTCGATGGGCCGAATTCTGATTTCCAAGTAAAATGCACGTGCATAGCGCGTTGTCGTCTGGTTCGTAGATCGTTATGTCTTCGTCAAAAATGGGGTGATTTCCTCCGTTCGTCAAACTTGATTTGAAAGGGGGGTATCTTGTCTAAACAAATATGCTCCGCCGCAAGTTTTTTTTTCCATGGTTTCCAACAAATTCATTACCTCCCATTGACTGATACGGCATCTCGTCCCTCCTTCGGACCATTAGGTGTTGCTCCCTTGCTGGCAGCGGCACTGGCGTAGGAAGTAAAGCTCCCTAGAGCCAAGCCAGAAGAGCCACGCTTGCGAGCTTTTGATGACGAGGAATCCTCTTCCTCTTCCATGCTGAATACGAATGCAGAGTCCTCTTCGTCAATTGGTGTTGTGAATCTGCCAGACGAGCCGATACTAGCACTGGAAACGTGACGCTCCAGGCCGCGGTCTTTGCCGATGGGCGAGATGCCATTGCCGGCGTTACGGCTGGCCGTCGGGTGCAAGAGCGGGCTTGAGCCATTCAGCGTATCATCAAGTCGGCTCCGTTGTAGTTGCTGCGAAAGAACCGACATAGACTCGCTTCCGCCAACAGGCCGAATAACAGATGGCCGGCTTACACCATTGTTATCGGACATTTCCTTGGCAAGGATCGAATTCCGTAGGGGGCTCCCAACGTGGCCGAAAGCCGATCCGGCAGCGCTTCGGGCCGATCTTGTCATCTCTTCCTCCTCCTTCTGACGCTGGAACAGGGGTCCCCATCGACTCGGGCTGGAGCCAATCGGGCTGCCATATTTGCCAAGACTGCTGAGACTAAAGTCTGGCCGCTCATCTCGCATCGAACCTCTCCGGGCCTTCTCCGCCGGGGTCAACAGATCCTGCAGGTCACCGGGTACGAGATTTTCTGGTACATTGTCGTCGTCGCCAAACGCAAACTCGGCCTCCCAATCTCGGTCAACCATGTTCTTAGGCATGCTAGCGCTGAGCAGCCGTGGTTGCTTGGGGTATCGGGTGGAGTGCATGATTCGCTTCCCAAAGTACTCTTCGCCAGTAAGATGATGCGAGTCTGGCGGGCTGCTGGCGGTGGGGGTAATGAGATGTTCAGATGATCCAAAGGCAGAAGAGTGGAGCAACTTGAGCGTCTCGGACGTGCGCGAATCCTTGATGCTGCTGAGCGATGGGGACGGCGATTCGAGACCAAACTTTGAGGGCACGGACGAAGGCCAGGGCGCAGCAGGGAAGCGGGCGGCATTAGAAATGCCGTTGGAGTCGAAAGAGGCCGGTAATGGGGCATCAAGGACAGATAAGCCCTTTGCAGCAGGCGACAGACCAAATCCTAGGCGGGAGGATTCATCATCTGGTGGAGAGCCGTAGTTGGAGTCGGTGACAGAGTACGGCGCATCAATGGTCGGGAGGCCACTGTCATGGTGGCTGCTAGACAGGCCGAGGTGCTGCATCTCATCGCTGAGATAAGGATATGCGGGCTGGTCGGCACGATACAGAGACGTGGTCAAAGCACTGGCGGTAGAATGGTTGAATGGACCACTGACAGCGCCCGGGGTCTGTGAGACGGGACTGGCGCCGCCTGCACGATTGGCAAGATTGAGGGGATTTGCACCGATGGTAACGCCATTCTTACCGTAGTTGATTCGGCGACCGTCGGGGAGGACGTGGATGTTTGCGCATTTGGGGCCAAACTTGCAGTTACCCTAAGAGGAAAGCGAAATGTCAGCCAGCCAATCTCGACAGGAATTGTGTCTTTGTCATGCCACAGCACAGCAAGGGAGAAGCTTTGAAAATAAAGAGGAAAAAAAATTCAGGAACGACAGTCGTATGATGCCCTATCAGCTGCGGGTATTTTCGGGCAAAAGAAGAGACCATCTTTCGACGCTTCTTTCCCTCTTTTATCTCATCGTCTTTCTGATTGACACAATAGGTGTCCAAGGCAACGAGGGCAGCAGAACCACAGCCAACAGCACCATGGAAGAAGCTGCTCACCTTTGCGAAATATTTGCAGATGTTCTCTGAAGCGGTGCCAAGGTCATGGCTGAAGGGACAGGCATTGCCGGCCTGGCAGGCTCCCTGGCGGAAAAACTTGCACGGGACGTGCGATGTGTCTGCAAGCAGCAACAAACGGTCAGCGCATCTGTGGCCAATTCTGAATATCTCTCGGCGCGGTCGTGTGCTCGCTCGGTGGGGGAGGGGGACGCTAGATTCGACCACAAGCAAAGGCAAACTGGTGTAACCTACTGGGCGGGCTGCGCGGCATGCTGTGGTGATGGCTGTTTCCGTGGGCGCCGTTGGGGATACTGAGGCTGCCGCTCCGCATGTGGCGATACTCGGGCATCGTTGCGATGGGGTGCGAGAGGCGCGAGGCACGTCGCTTCTCGAGCGCAGAGGCTGGCGTGGTGGCAGAAGCAAGAAGAGGAGCGGCGTGTAGAGGAAGAGGAGAAGAAGTGCTGCGAGCGTGGCGGATTGAGAGGGGAGAGAAATTGGGGCTTGGCCGCAGCGGTGCGGGCGGTAAAATGGGGGGCCCGGGAGCGAGGCCAGCGGGGATAGAGGGGGACGGGGCCCCTGTGGGCGCTGTAAGTGCTGCTGCAGGTGCTGCCACCGGTGGCGCTGTAGGTGTAGGGGGCCCCTGTATTTGTAGCGCTCCTGTGCTCTCTAGGCCGATGGCTCCGTTACGGCCAAGGTAGTATTCGTGGCCGGCGATGGTGGGCAGTAGCACCTGTCCAGTGACTTGTCCAGCAGCCTGCCCAGTGACCTGGATCCTGTCTTGTGGATGTCGGTCTCCCGCGTAATCTCTGTGCCTCAGCACGGCTCGTAGTAGTGCTCCCGGCCGTCGTAGCCTTTGGGGCGGGAGCACAGTATATCGGTCGTGGATCGCGGCCATCCGCTTGTGTATTAGAGGCGGGGACAGTGTCGGTACCCCGAAGCGGATCTTCTGGGGGGAAAGCGAGATAAGAAGAGGAGAGACAGCCAGTCCAGATAGCCAGACGAATAACAGGAAAAAAAGAAAGAAGAGAAGAGAAGAATTCAAAAGGAAGAAGAAGAGAAAGAAGAACGGAAAATGAGGCGGCGATTTACGACTAATCACAACGTTTATGTATCGCCGAGGACTTCGTGTTCGTCCCAAGTCTAAGGAAGAGGTGCTCCAAGTATTACTCGCACTAAGCAAGGAAATGTGAGGCTGCCAATGGGCATGGGCTCAACGCGCGATAACTTGGTCACTCGCCCGTCTGTCAGCAGCACAACTACCGATATTTCGGGTCCACCAGGTAAAGGGTGTGAGGTCAACAGATGGAATCCGGCAGCCGTCGGTACTGGAACGGACGAGAGAAGGATCCTTTCAGACACACTCGAGAAGCGAGCGACTCGGTGGAGGACCTGAAGCCACGGCCGCGGCACAGCACAGCACAGGACGGTCGATCAACTAAATCGAACGATGTCCAAGGTAGTCAAGACAAGGGGGGGTGGACAGGGGGAGCATCGAGGCAAGGAGGATCGGTCGAGGCAATGGTACTCGTAATATGTCAACGGCAGATACTATGGACAGGCGTTGGTTGTTCTGGTTTTGAGATGAGTCGGCTACCTATCAACCCGACTCACCGGGACATCAAGCTTATTATATATGCCAGGCGCATCTGCGAGTCAAAAGCAAAAAAGACTGGGTCAAGCGTGTCTCTCGCCTGCTCTCTCTTCAAGCCCCTCTTGTTCATGTCAAGAACATCTCTCGTCTATCAGCTCCGAAACCTTTGTGGCAAGAGCATGCTCGATAAAGAGTACTCCAAGGCGTGCGATAGCGGCGAGGGCGTGAGCGTAGGTTTTCAGGTGTACGAGAGATACTTACATACCGAGTATTCATCCATGTTAGTGGTGTAGGTGCGGGTGCGGATGACGGCGTCTTCGGATTGGGAGTAGATGGTGTGTGGTCAACACCACGCCTCTTTGGCAATGGCATCCTGGCAGTACTCATCACACGGCACCAATCTCGGTGGCCAGCCATGTACCAGCGCTAGCTGGCCAGAATTGCCATTGTACTCAGATATTTTGACATGCCGCTAGCCGGAGCATGAGCCCGTTGCGAGTTTGGTGGTGAGGCGTTGGTTTCTAGACCAAGACACAGCGAGGCGAGAAGACCAGCTCCAGTTGAGCTACTACAACTAGTCTCAAAGATAGATTGAAGACTAATGCTCAAGCGTTGACCAGTTCAAGGGTTCAACTCAGCTCGGAAGTGACTGTCGCTCTCATTTCTGTCTCTGCCAGAGCCCAGAATAGCAGCAGTATTGGCAGAGGTTTTGACTGTTTCAAAGGCGAAGGCGCCTTGCCAGTATGCTACGAGAGGGAGCCATTTTCCAGCTCCAATCACACGGCCCACACGTCAATAGAGGGGGGGCTGAGATGGGCGAAAAGCATGCCACTCGTGGAAAGCCGACATTCCTTTGGCCATGGCCAACATCGGTCTGTTCAATGGCGAAAAATTCGATTGGCGTTACGAGCATCTATGCATACCAGGCCGATTTCCAAATTACAGTCTCCATCTGTCTTGATGCATTGGCGCTCATGTATGCATCCGAGATTGATGCCTGCATCGGCGCCCACCCTGTCACCCTGCTGCAGATCATCCATGGCAGTTATGAGCACGGGGCCGTCGATGATCTTGCCCCATAGAACTGGGAATGGCACTTTAGCCTCTCCACGGCGGCCAGTTCATGTTTAAGGGCAGCAGAAAATAGAAATAGATAAGCAATCCGGCCTCTTATCGAATTAGAGAAACCAGGCTCAAGACGCCACCATCAAAGCTGCGATATGCCCAAGCAGGTGTAGCCATGCTGATGTCGCACCGCTACCACGGAGTAATGGATAGCGTAGAGAGGCCCTGGTCTCTGCTGCGGAATGCTCGCAACACTAGTCGAATGGGAATGGGCTCGCCTCGCGTTGTGCACGAGCTTGTCAGCCAGGTCCGTCGAAATGTCTCGACTAGGCCGCTTTGTGGTCGGACTGCCCACGCAATTTGGTCTCACCTCGAGGCTTTGAAAATAGATCAAAAGGTTCAATGTCAAAGGCGGGTCCCAGCGGCTGCCGTTCCACGGCATATGATAGCATATCTCGACCAGGTAGGCTGTTGGCAGGCTGTTGGCAGCACTGCAGCAACCCTTGGCACGTCCGGCTAGACCATGATCAGACGGGCCTGCGTTAGCCAAGGGCTAATTGATTGAGTAGCTGCTGCACTGATGCGTGTTCGCTTCATCTGCAGCTGTGTCGTTGAAACGGATTCTATGCTCTCGCCCTCGCCCTCATCAGTTCAAGCAACCTCCCACCTCCGCCACGCTAACATGGACCTGGGTTTGTCAGTCCGGCCGCCCGAGTCTCAGAGAGGACAAGACCAGAATGCGCGCGCCAGGCAGCGCCAGCGAGGTTGATCCCAGCATCCCTTCGTACAGTATGTCTGCGAGGTGCCAGGCCGGGGTAGCGCAGAAGCCGAAATGCGCGAATCCGGGGAAATCCTCCCTCCAGGCTCCATCCCAGTTTCCTTGCAGGAACGCCACAAAACAAACGATTCAGTCCTCCGATGCCCTTTTTAATTCCTACTTAAGGTACTTTTGGCACCTATCTGGTATTTAGTATGTGTCTTTGTCATGTCACTGATGGGATCGATTAGGAGCACGACGTACGAAGTCATGCATGATCCCGGCCATGTCCAGAGAAGGATAACAATATAATAGGTAGGTGGACCATACGAATAAGTCTTCTCTCACTTAAGCACTTACAGTGCATGTTGCCATGGACTAGACACAGCCACTCCACTTTCATTTTGCTGCCCCCGGCATATAAAATAGCATCTTTTATCTGCTCTGCAATGTGTAATACAGAGGATGCGCACAAATTGGTAGCACAAAGTCGTAGCACCTCCCTTAATTGATGCTACGCACAACCACTCGTGCCTATCTCTTATCTGGCACAAACTTTATTCCGAGGCTCCCCGTTTAGCCTCGCCTGCATCGTCCTCCAAATGAACGTGATGCGAGCGAGAAGCTGTCCGTCTCCATAAGGACGGAACATGACAGCGCCACAAAGAGGAGATGAGAGACGCCCTCTGACACCCCCGGGCAGCTTGAAAACGACTCGTCTACTCAACAGGCCGCAGGACGGCGCAGCTTTCTACCGTTCGCCTGTTCCTTGGTTTCAGCTCACCTTGCAAAGCTCTTGATTGCAATGCTCCATGATTTGCATCCATCGCCTCGTGCTTCGTCCAGTCATCATCCGCGTCAGCCCTCCATTGTCCATCGGCATGTCTCAGGGCAAGAGAGCGCTAGTTTTGCCCTCATGCCCAGCCTGGGCGGACGGGGGTGTTCCGTGGCCCAGCCACCAGCGGCATGCAGACTCGCAGTCTGTTGATTTGTGTTTCTCAGCACCGCAGCAGATGAGCCTTTCTCTCTGGAGATGTGCCGATCACCTGTCCGCGTATGTTCCGATTCGCTCGCCCGAGATTTGTAGCTATCATACAGTAGAGCTTTCGCCTATTGCTCGTGCTTAGGGAAGCAGAGCTGAAAATGCTACGAACTAGCCACGAACAATCTTAGCCTGCTACGGCTCGAGGAACGGTAGCGCGAGAGGACCACGACACGGAGTACCCCGCCAAAAAGAAGATTCGCGATGCTCAAGGCCGTGAGCAAGTTTGTGCAACCCAGGCAGCCGCCGTGCCTGTCGACGCTTTTCCGCTTCCAGCCTCACGGGAACCATGAACAGTCTTGTTTGAGGAAAGCCTACGCCACACAAAGAGACCATGTGCAGGGCAGCCAGATACTTGGTCTCCGGCTAGCAATAGCCCAAGCCATGGCCCAACTCCTGCCCACACCGGCCGGTCAGCCTCAGTCCGCCGAGGTACTAGTCGCGGTGCTAGTGCCTCTGGGAGCTGCCATCACCACCACCACCACATTTGACTTTGCAATTCCGGCCGGCTCGACATCAGCCGCGAATGATATCTGTCGTGTAGACCGCGCTATGTTAGCAATAGCTCGATACGATATACGCAGCCGTGCTATTGGCGAACGATGCTGCAGACGCCGGGGATGCGAATGTTCTTCACGTCCATGTGGTTCTTGCAGAGACGGGCACACGCATGGATTGTCCATCCGAACCATCGGCTCCATCCCAGTTACGACCAACCACAATCGACCTTCACGTCTTGCATGCAAGTACGCCGGTATGCCGCATCTGCTCACACCCACCACTACCCGCCTTATTATGCATCCTTATGCACATCTCATGCGCTAACGCAAGCATGTGTGAAGATGTATGCATAGTGGAGACACACCTAAAGAACAGCTCTGTACGAGGGTCATGCGTCGCGCATCGTTACATGCTCCGACCTCCCCTCAACATCAACTATACGCAGTTGCACGACGCAGATTGTGCTGACATATAGGCATCATTGGTGGTTCTAGAAACAGCCTGGTTGATTCATCATTCGGCCCCGAAATTCTGGCTGCCGTCCGCTCTCTTCAGTAAGCTGGTCACTAATACGGTGATATCCGGGGTGCTCCATGCAGTAGTTGCGGACACTTTGCGGGTTGGCTTTGCGCTTTCTCTGCTTTATTTTGGCTCTCCCAGTCTTTTTTTGGCTTGAGCGTGGGCCGTCCCAGACGGGCCACTCCGCATATGCCAAAAAAAAAACCATTCCCGTAGGCCTCAACGGGCAAGACAAGCTGAAGATTGTTTGGGTCCCGCCTTCGTATCTGCCACCCGATTCAGATACTATGCAGAGATACAGCGGGGCAAGCTTCACGAAGCGGCATGGCTAGATGGTCCAGTCGAGTTTCCCGTCGTCTATCTGCACACCCTTCTCTCATTGCTTTGTCTGCCGGAGCAAGAAAGCATAAGCCTTCGGAAAGACACAAGTAAACGCCAAACTAACAGGGATATGGCAACCGTCTGAGCCACTACTTACATTTATTCCTCTAATTCTGCAAGATCTACTGGTTCCACTTTCAGAGCAAGCATTCTCTGAGTGAATCTCATGATCCCTGCCCACTCCCCCCCACCAAGACGTCGGCTGTGATGGCTAGTTTTTGTGGTCATCCGCTCAACAACACCCATCCACATGTCTTCTCTACCCCCCTATTGCGCGTTTCTTCGCCTCTGAGATGCTCTTGGCGGCATCTTCAAGAGGTATCACCATACAGCCAGATGATGCGCCATAATGCCATCTTCCAATCAAGAGGGGTTGCAAACACTCCGATGAAGAAGGAATGACGTTTGCGAGATTCGCTTTGCGGCTCTTTCATTAGAACCGCCTATTTTGCTCCGGTCTCCTCTTTGCCTCGTTTCAAGTCCGGATCTTCTCATTCCTCATTCCTTGCCCAAAGTGAAACATTTTGTTCCGCAATTTTGGTCACTTCAGCCCCTATGTGGATGCTTCAGTATTTGATGTTTCATTTTAGCACCTCACTCAGCCCTTCAAACACCTTCATCTTGCAATGAACCGTTGTGATATCATAGTATGCTTCAGTTGTCTGAGCAGAGACAGGCATTATACGACGAAGGGGGTTGATAATGAGATCTATATAGTAGGCAGTGTCAACGTCTAAACGAGCTGATGTTGTATTATATACGACAGTCATAGCTTTGTTTGGCTTGGCACCTACATGGCTCCATGATGGGCTACGCCACGGCAGCCATGCTTCAGACCCTTGACCCTATTGGAAGATCCATCCAGCCATGGTTACCAGAAACGGCCAGCTCCTTTGCATGTGACGACAACATGTTTTGGAAGTGGACACATGCGCCCGTACAGATCTAGCAAATGTAGGCAGCACGGAAACTTTAATCCGTCTTGGCTCAGTTACGAGCCTCTGCATGTCCAAGGGGTAACACATGCGCAGCTTGATGCTGAAAAGCTTGCCCTCGACCGGGACTCCAGTCGATCTATTTGTCCGCATTTTCTTCATTCGTCATCTCATCCGTGTAAGCTCCTTGCCTTCTCAACTGCTTCTTCTTCAGCCAAGTTGGGCGCCTAGCAGAAGGTCAGGTAAACAGGCGTCTCCGATTTTCATAATGAGTATTTACAAGCTATCACGTTACCAAGGGTTTATTTCGTTCCTTTTTTTTCCCTCTCTTTTCTTTTCTTTTATTTCCGCCTCAATAAAGGCACCAGTACGGCTAAAGTGTCAAGGGGGTGGCTCTAGAACAAAACTTGCCACTCGGCGATGCAACCACTCCTCTGGGAGTGAGACTGGTGAGTAACTCGCAGTTTGTGATGTCTGATGTCTACGCTCTGGTTTGCTGGTTGAATTACTGGATAAGGGCAGTGAACGATCTAGTGCCACTACTATACGCTGCTTTGCTGATTGGCCAGCATGTTGCAGCTTCGTGCATCTCACGTATATCTGTTAGAGCAGTATAGATATGAATAAAATGGAGCGAGATAGTATACGTGACTGCAATATGAACGCTAATCCACGTAAAATTCTCGGCTGTTGCATCTCTTCTCTTTGGCTGCTGCCAGCTGAGCAAGCTAATCGCGCAGCTAGTTATACTTGCAAGAATCAGCTGAGCCGGTTAATGCTCCGACCAATGCAGACTAACACTTGACAGCGTTTTTTATTTTGTAGAATGCATGAGATGTGATGAAAATTATCTGACAGCGTACGTGATTGCATTGTGGTATCAATTACCATGTCTTCTCATTGGGTAGCTGTTGGAAATGTTTGGACAAATGCAAAGGCATTATTGTAAGCAGCGGGTTTGTTAGTGGTGAAGGGTTGCAGACTACAATGACTATGCCACAAAGACTTACTCTTCGCCAAACGCTTTGGTGCAATGAATCGAGAAGAATAATATTAGCTTTGGGAGAAAACAAAATAAAATGAATGCGGGAAAATAGCTGATTTGATCGTCTCTCGGCGCAGTGTTGTTGCCATTACATCTATGGGCAGTTGCGTGCATTTGAGCATTTCACAGGATCCCTCTGCTCGAGATGAGCAAGGATAAGAAAAGCTCCAAGAGCTATAATTCATCCATACCTCTTTTGTTCGTGGACATTTGTAGATTTTTCTCTAATAGCTCATAGATTCGTTATAAGGTGCACTGTTATGAGACTTCACCTGATTGCAGTGTATAGTGAGCAAAGTGGATTATCAGACGGAGTCCCTGAGAAATCTTTGGTGTATAATTTTGACTTGGACAATTGTATCCTCCTGCAGTCACCGTTCAGTGTCTTATTAAAGGCCCGTCATGAGACTACCATCTGTATTCATGATGGCAAATGCGCCAGCAATAGATATAGCATTACTATCAGGCTCTGAGCTCTATCGTAATGACAGTACAACATGATCAACACCAAATTGTAACTTGAGGATTATGTGTGGTCTCATTCCGAGGCTAACAGGAATGATTTGGAAAATTCTATTGTTGACTTGTTTGTTCTTCGTGTTCAAAATCTCAGTGTGGCAGTAATAATTAAATGTTATCCAACCATCGTCGTAAGGACTCCCTCCAGATGATGCAAATGTCTTTCCGCGACGCTGGTAATATCATGCACATCTGATAAGGCTTAATGCCTTGTGTATAAAGCATAACGAAGAAGAATATACTACAGTTATCCACTATTTTTCCATGCTAGGTTTGCAAAAGTGATGGTATTGCACCAGTTAATTACTCATTACCTCATAATTGTGTTGATCTTTATCTAGTCACATATCTGGTTACACAGCATGCTGACATTTGCAAGGACTACATATAGGTAGCTCATGCTGTTTGCATATTCTACATTATTTTACTTCAAAGAGACAAACAGGTAAATACCATTCCTAGTTTCTAACTCTTTTATGAAGAAATAAATAAAAGGAAGACTGTATGGTAGGGAACGGTTCTATATCGCTTGATCAATTTGCCTGTAGATGGCAAACAAAGAATTCGAAGATCTTCAACTTGGCTTAGGACCATTTAGGAATTTTATTAAAGGAGTGTATAGATTGTCATATGAAAAGGAAATCAACTCCTTGTGGGTTTCCCGTATCTTTCATTTTCCGTAAGAGGGAACTATGGTTCACATGTGCGTAAAAGATTCTACATAGAAGCTGCACTCGGAGGCAGTGATCTACTTAGGAACAATTTGATTGGTAAATATACATGCTTCCATGCCTATCCAATCATAATCGGGCCAGATTGTAGAGCCCCCATCTTATCAATTACATTTAATATATATATATTTAGACCCATGTTTAAGATGTCACCTAAGCGTGCTTGAATACGAAGTACGAGAGTTTATGACTTGGCTGCTCGGATAGGAAGTTTACATCTCAAAAATTATCCCCTAGCACAAACCATACGTCTAGATACGATCCAATAACCTATGACATCAGTTTAAATCCTATGAATAGTCACCAAAAGGGATAACAATAGGTGGCTGCTATGTCTGCGTAGCATAGTAGTAAACTAAGTTTATGCTGAAACACAGCATCCACCAAGCTCGCACATTCGGGACATATCAAGGACGATAAGAAGTTAGATTGAAGCCGACTATGCTTCATTTCGCTATATCTTTGCATTACTCGCTGGTACGTGGACGAGCAGTGTGCTAGCTCCCCATTAACCCGAGCACAGGCAAAGTTAAACAAACATGAACTCTTTATATCTGCTTCCATCAGCTATTTGGATAGAAAATTCGGCATCGATCAAAAGAGCTACTTCACCAATCGTCATCGTTCATATTGGCGATACAGTAGATCTAACTGTTATACAGCTATGACCGCACATGTAGTAAAACATCGTCTATTGCAGAATCCTACAAGCAGCATTGTTTCGATGTTAAAACTCCCCAGCATTTTTTTTTTCTTTTGAATCTTCATTTTATTTGCAATTATTCGTTCTCGGTAAATCATCTCGCCTCGTCGTCATTATCATTATCCGGTGGCACGGTGGTAGGTCGACCTGCCAATCAACGCATTACCCAAATGATTCCGCTCTCTTGCAACCTCCGTGTCCCATGGCCCATCAAACTAACTTAAAGGGAAAAAAAAAAAAAAAGAAAGAAAGAAACTTGCTCTGCTCAGTCCAATCCAATGGTTCGTACTCTTGTAAATTGGCGTATCATAGTTCCCAGGGCTAGAAGCAATCAATACCCCGCCCTCTCTAATTTGGAGAGCTCATTTTCTGTCATTACGCATAGCAGAAGCTCAGCACGGGCTTTAGATGATGCAGCAGTCAATAGGAATCGGGCAGGGTATGATGAAGCAAAACCGGCCGGGGCAGCAACCACCTCTATCGCCTCCACGCATGTTAACGTCTTCGGCGGTGTCGGGATGCGGCTGTTGAGGATCTATCCACACGGTCAGTATTCGATTCCCCGCCTGCTTCCGGGAATGGCAGGAGATAGACGAGCCGCCGCTGCAGAGATCAATACGACATACCCATTGCAGGATGCGACTTTGGCTGCGCATCATATGCGCGTTCGGGCTCAGTCACCGTCATGGACTGGAGATTGACGGATCCCTCTGGAGCAGACATGGTTGAAATGCGATGCAGCGTAAGACGCAGACTTGGCAGTTCTTGATTGGGAATATTGCGATTGAACTTTTGATTTCCGCGGCGAGAGAATCAGCTCAAATTAACTCAAAGCGCTTATGATGATGAGAGGAAGAAAATAAACAAAAGGGAGGGTGTATTTCCGTCGCACGGCTTCCGCAATCCAGGAACGCCAGCTACCGGCACATGCACATAGCTACGTCATCGACACGTTGCTTCGCCCATGCTGGTGGATCGATCGCCCGCCGAGGGAAAATTGATTGTTCCGCTAATGGTCAAACAGGCCAGTAGAGCACAACGCTGCTTGTGCACAGTGCGACAGCACACGGCGAGGGCGTGGGTGTAGTGGAACACACGATGGATGCATCTCGCGAAAGAATTGCCGTAGGGCTGTGTCGTCCGGAGTGCGCAGCGGCCTGCAGTACACGAGGATACGCCTCTTGCAGCTAGGGCCATGCAGTAAGCACCGTCTTCAGCATGATTCCAGCGCTGACAGCTAACGTAGGTGGGGGAGCGCAGCAGGTCGCCGACTACATCTCTCTATCGTTCAGAACCGGCCTTGATCGCAATCGGGCAACGGCGGCTGCCGCCTGGGGCGCAAATGGCGTCGATTGCGCCTTTGGTCTGTCGAATCCGCCTCTTGAAGCCTCATGGCCTTGTTGCTGATTCTGGTTATCGCATCTCCGTGTTGGCCGGCTAATAGAGGAATGGCAGAGCTGCTCGCTTAGCACATGTTTGTACAAGTTGCCAGGGCCAGCGCAGACGGACCTGCTGCTACCTATGATATGTACAGAGCAGTAACAGTATCGGAATAAGACTGCCAGCAGGATTCCGCATGGCATGGTCGAGTCCTAGAAGGCCAATATGGGCCATTGTGGCCCAGTGCGGCTCTGAGGGAAATGGAGAGGAGACAAGGATCCAGTCCTGGCGATACCTACAGTAGAAAGCCCTGCGCAAAGATACAGAGCTTTGCGTACATAGCAAGCGTACATGTGGCATACAAGGCCTGCCGCTTGTCTTTTGCTAGATAAAAGCAGTACCAGGAGCTCCATCCTGCTAGTGCTAGTGCGTTTCTGGACCGTATTCGCCGCGTATCGCATCGCATCGCATCGCACCGAGCCGTGCCGGGGCCCCGTATCATCATGTACATGTATGTACTACCTACTAGTAGGCAGCAGTTGGAAGCAATGGTATTGAACACTGCCAGTACTTCCATGAGTCGCCGAGCAAGGCAGCAGAGGCTCTCGTTCCTCGTAACATTGAAATCCAGGCATGGCCACGGCATAGACACGGATCATATTTCGCCGTCCACCTGTCCCAGCATGTCCGAACAGCTCATTTATCCACTCTGGTGCCTCGGCATGCCATGTAAAAACTCTTTGAGCTCCAATGGCCGACATGACCTTCCATGCTGTAGATTAGCGGCACTAAAAGAGATAAATATGGATCAAGATCTGCCAGAATTCCGGCGCCTCTCCCGCTGCTCGTTGCAGGTGGCGCTGGGCTGCCCCATCCACGCATGTAATGCTATTACATGGAAGCGTATTATGTATAGAAGGGAGGAATACCCAGTAATATAATTAGGCATGGATCTCTGTCGACCAGTTTGGGCAGGTGGAGATGTTTGCCGTTGCAGCGTGCAAAGGCATACAGAGCACGGTAGATTCAGATCGAGCAGCAATTTCTGATGCGAAACATCTTGTTGCCTGGCAAAGTCAATTGAGCTTCTGTGGTCCATCTATACGATCATTGACAGGAACATGAGCTTTCAAGGCAATGGGAATGTAAGATGCAAACAGTAGAGATGTTTAGACAGAGAGATGTTGTATGCCTTCGTTCGTCCATTTGTTCGTTGCTCTTCGTTATACGTGGAATCTTTGGAAACCTCGTCCGTCCGTTCATGTCTCGTATCTTGCATCGCGCCGCAATGATGCCGCTGTGTTCTGCATACTCTTGTAGGGCTTTCCTCTTCACACCTAGTGTACATCCCTCGCTTGAAAAGTGCGTGGCGAATAACACTCTAGTGCATGAATCCTTCTTGGTGATGTGACACGCAGGGCTGAAGAGTATAGGAGAGACTTTGCATGCGCCGGTAGCCGCCTGACTAACTGCTACCATTAATACAATGGCCATTGAAATTGAACAATATCATCATCTCAGTCCGGCTGCTTGGCATCTCTCTCTGCTCAGAAACAATCTGGCAGGCCACCTCGGTTATCATCTTCCATTTCAGCCACTCGCAGAGTTCAATCTCTCTTTCTTCTCAGATGGGTGGCCACACATCGCGTTCATTCGATTTGTTCAACTTGGCAAGAGAGTTGCCACGGCCGGTTTGTTGTCAAGCCTGTTGATGATAAGTTCGTCGTGCCCGTATGCATCCGGAACAATGGCCCTGTTCCATCGAGTCGAAAAAATGTCGAATAATACGTCGTCCGGGACGATCGACGAGGCTACGAAGGATGATAATCTGTCATTCTCTATACAGAGAAAATAAAATTCAAAATTGCAGAATTGACACTCGAGCGAGATAATCACGCAATTCCAGCCCGCTACCGCCCTATACAAAGCTCTTGCACCTCACTTCCAAAGTCTGAGACAGAGCCGAATGCAACGGGCGCTTCCTTTGTTGGTCATGATCAGGCTATATCATAAAACAGGAAATAATGATAGGCATGGCATACAGTATACCAACAACTCGATAGCTATATCAGCATCAGGTACGGTTCCTGGACTGTGGATTTCATACAATCTACTCCGTACAAAACCAATTCCGTATATTCTGATGCCACCGTGGCGTCGGACAGGTCTACTAAGGCTTGGTGCTGGCCGCACGGGAGGCATGGCATGGCGCACATCCTCTACGTCCACACGCAATAAGCGCTAGGGCCAGTGAAGTCGATAAGCGGGGGAGTTGCAACGCTGTGACTCATATAGCCGACATGTGTGCTCGGGGCATCCCATTGGCTGCCACAGCGATACCGATAGAGCTTCTGTTATTCGCCTGCGTCTAAACCGGGTCTGCGTAAATCTCCCGCTCACCTATTTTCTAGGCGAGAGAGATTATCTGTGATGCCAATAATAGCAGTAGTAGCGCTAGATATCTGCATACTTGGCTGGGTTCAATGCTATCGTATAGTCTTAAATCCTCCTCATTCTAGCAATTGATTGTGTATAGTAAGTACATATGAGGGGGCTGAGGTAGCGAAGCTTTTTTGTTCTTCCCCCTTTCTTCTCCCCCTTGCTTTTGATCTTGTCAACTTTGCACTTGGCAATTTTCGATCTTTGGCGCTTGGTGGCGAGGGGAATAAAGAAACGCGAGATCAGATCTGCTCGGTGAATCATTACCGCGAGTCAAATATCACAATCGTGTCATGGCCATTTCGCCGTGGATCACAGAAATCAAATGAAATCAAACCAAAAGCATTGACTCGGTAAAAACTCTGCGAATTTTCGTCCAACAACAAACAAGATGAAAGTCTTTGATGTCTACTCTGTAATCTCATGTTCGGTAGGGTGAGTCACTGGCCGGTCGTGACTCCCCACTATGAGCCACCGGCCGCAAGCTCTCAGTGTTTCGATTCATGTAGATGAAGACAAACTCAATCAATCGGACACATACAACAGTCCGAGGATTAGCCCAGAAAAGAAAAAAGAACGGGAGAAAAGATTCTGTATCTCGGGTTAATGATTAGTCCCAGCACCCGAAGTGATGTGTATTTTGTATACTTGGTATACTTGGTGAGTACTCACCATGGATTGCTAATTGCCATCCATCTCAGTGTCATCCTTTCTAGTGTCATTTGATTTCCAGTGTCACTTGGCTTACAGTGTCACTTGGCTCCCCAGTATCCTTTGATTCCCAGCGTCATTTGGTGTAACACAGGTAGCTTGGCTGTATGCCCCTTTACTCCACTTGATGGATGAAAATTCTGTAGCTGTGATGTCTTCAATGTTCTTTCTTGTATTTAAATAGTCCTTCTTTCCAGTCTTCAGGGTTTTAATTGGATTTTTCATCCTCAGCAGTCTGAAAGCCTCTTTACGGCTTCTATCAATCGAAAACTTCACAGAACAGAGAGTACATAGCAAAAGGGGCAGGTATTAATTGCGAGGCTGTTCTTGGTGTAAGACAGTAACCATCTTCAAGCGTACATATCAACAAGTCTTTTTTGGTTGTACTTTGCTAGAACTCAGGGCGATCGTTGCCTTCCTTCCTTTCCTTCCTTTCCTTCCTTTCCTTCCTTTCCTTCCTTTCCTTCCTTTCCTTCCTTTCCTTCTTTTCCTTCCTTTCCTTCCTTTCCTTCCTTTCCTTCCTTTCCTTCCTTTCTTCTTCTTTCTTTCACATTCCCTTCTATCAATCAGAGAGACAGAGAATTGGTCAGCGTAAGCACGTTCAAAGGAGCAAATTGCCTTGGTTTGCTATACCAGACGTTTTTGATAAGTCCCAGCATCTTCTCCTTCTGTTCTTTCTATAATATTCTACCACACATCCACCCAACCCCTATACGTACACCCATGTAATGTGGACTCCTCTTACACCTAACCCCTCCTCCCCACGTGACACTGTTGGTTTACTATGATGAGGCGGAAGAAGTTGAAAACTTTCCATGATACATCTTGTTCATAATTAAGGAAGAGAATCGACATCGTCTGAGTAACCGCATGTACCCTTTCTTCTTGCCTTTGCTTTTATGAGAGAGACATAAGACACACACGCACACACACACACACACACACACACACACACACACACAGGGGAAGAGAGAGAGAGACATCTTTCGATTTTTTAATCTTTTAGATTTTTGAAGGTCTAGCTTCGTTTCTTCTTCTTCTCTTTTCTGTAGTTGATGACTACCCAAGGTCTGTAATCAGAAAGTCTATCCTTATAGGCACGAAGCCTATCGCGCTGACATTGCCCAGTCTTCTAGATATGGCGAGCCCGAGAAAAGCACAATCTTTAATTGGTATACTTGAGCTTTTTGGGACTCCATTTTGGCAAAAATCAAAAGAGTATGGTGGAGTTGACAAAGGAAATAATAAAGCGGCTTCATCACCATCTCGTTGAATTATTGATTTCAAATTCATTTTCTTTCCCCTCATAAGCAGGCATAAAACGTAAAACCCCAAAACTCCAAGAGGTCCCGTGAAACAAAGAGAACAAAATCTGTGGGCTAGCTGCTGCAGATGTCAATGTGCGAGTGTAGGAGTACATGCAGTCTCGTGACATTTGGAGGCGCCTGATCCGCGTGGTATATAGTATGGTACATATAAACATATAGAGAGAAGAGAAAGCAAGGGGACAAGAGAGGAGTAGAATGCAGGTTGCATCTCATCTCTTTTTTCCACCGAGTATCTCTCGTAGTGCCTCTACTTCGGCTTCACGTCTTGCGAGCTTCAGCTTGAGGTCATCACGCTCGCTAGTCACGTCACTCAATGCCCGCTCCAGATCGGCGATCTGGTCGAGGCGTTTCTGCCGGTATTTCCGCGCCGCCATTGTGTTGCGGTGTCGTCTAATGGCTGCTTGCGCTTCGTCACTGCCGGCATCGAAATCATCGCCGTCCGGCGATCGGGCAGCGCCGCGGTACTTTGAAACAGACCCCCCGCTGTGCGTGCTGGAGGGTGAGTCCTGGCGGTACTGATGCGGCGCTGGGGGCGGCGTCATGCCTGGCCCTGTTAAGCCGGCCATGGACTGTGTTGGCACGTGGAAAAAGGCGGCGTTGGCAGCGTCGGCTGAGAAAATGGGAATTGCCATGTTCAGCTTGTCTTGCTGGTGGTGTGGCATGACATGATGCATGCCTGCGTCAAAGTGATACTGGTGATGGAGGTCTTGCGTTGTGAAGAAGTGGTCTGGTGGCAGCGTATCATCGATTAGCACATGTTGCGGCCAGCATTGAGTGAGACCTTGGGCTTCAGCCATGATGAAAGAGAAGACGGAAATAGGAAAGGGCAAAGAACAGCAAACACTGTAAGAAGCGCAATTGTCCAGCGGAATGCACGCATAAGAGGGAGACGGCAACTCGCCACCCAAATATATACACGTATCTATCCAAGGGTGGGCTGGCAGGTACTAAGGCATGGCATAATAAAACAACACCACGCTAAGCAAGAGGGAAACGAATTGAAGGAAATAGAAGAGACTGGTCCAGAGACGTACCGCTAGGATCCATACTGACAGACAGCATTCGGTGTCGAGCAGGGGTGTGCAGAATCGGTTATTGGCGCTGGCCGCTGGCGTGAGACTGATTGAGAAAAGAGACGATAGAAGAAGACCCGAAGAGGCTGCCTTCCTTTCCTTGCGAATGCCGTCGGGGTCCGGCCTCGGCTGTGGCAATGCCGGAAAAAAATAGCAAAAGGCGGGCTTTCGTATAGGTTGAATCGCAGTGTCTTATTCCTGTGGTTTCAGCTGGTATCGTCGCTGCGAATCGTCCGAGCTTCTAGACTATCTGATATGCGCGTGGAGTGGCGCACGGCTGAATTATACGCCACGTGCTGTAGATGGTGGTGAGATAATAGTCCAGCAGCTGCTCGTATGTCGAGTATAGGCAATAGATGGGTTTCCGCATTCAGCGCGCAGAGCGTGGTGATGCTTCGGCTTTTATGTATCTCGACGCCGCCAGGTCTCACGGGCGCCGCCTTTTCGGCATCCGCGTGGCTGTCCATGCCGCAGCCTCTGGATCGAGACTTTTTTTTCTCTTTCCCCACGGAAGGATTCCGCCTGGCGGCCGGAGTGGTGAACCGTCTCCTACAGTATGCTCTTTTGCAGCGTGCAATGCCCGAAACACACACCCCTGGCCCTGGCGCCAGTAACGGATCGCGGGCCACTTTTGCTGCTGCCGGGGGGGTGCGCATACTGCACAGTACGTTGCCGCAGACAGTGTCCTTGTCCATGCACTGGATTTGGGCCCCTGCAGCTGCGTGTACTATGTACATATGGCGAGTGGCAGATGGGCAAGGATAAGTCGGCCTTCGTTGCTACTTGTAGTAGCATCCAGCGCTCCGTCACGCATTGCAGACGATCAAATCGCTGATGATCAGTAGATGGAGGTGGACGGTCGATGTGAGTACATGTACCTACATGTAGCCAGAAGAACGAACACGAGTTGCCTGCAGGCGCTGGGCGTGCAGGTTTCGGCGGGGTGACTAAGCTGGAAGTCGCTGTAATTTCAAGGCAAAGGGTCCCCGGCGCCCAGATTACAGTGCAGTAGCCCGGTACATGTAGGCATTACAGCACAGCATGGTGCGTGGTGCGCTAGCCACATGCACCTAGGCCTCAGTAGGTGCCAGTATTGGCAGCAGGAGTTACGCCGTGCCCAGATCTCTTGCGCCTCACCGGGGCCCACGACGAGCAGCTGTTTGAGAGACACGCAGTTCGCGGGATGGCCTGGACCGGGAATGGTGCCGCCTAATAATGTGCCTTGGGGAAGATTAGTGCATAAGGCGAATGCACAAGCATTGGCCGTAACGTTGCTAAGTAAACACAGGCTCAAGGCGTGCATAGTGTAAAGTGCAGTGCAAATGCCGTCCGTCCCTGTGGGGCCACCGTTATGCTGGCCCGTTCCGAATCCGGGCCGCGGCAGGGGCTAAAAATTTAAAATAAGGACTGTACTCCGTAGAAAACTGCATTTGCCTTCATGTCACTACTGAGGTATTGTAAGTACATGTAATTATTCGCACACAGACCCAAGACTGTATAAACTCAAATGTCTCGTAAATTCATAGCATATAGTATTCTACTAGGAATCACTAAACTATGTAACCAACACCCAGTACACACAGTCCACACTTCAGTGTGTGTATATATCTTCACCCTCAACAACAGCCGCCAGGCTCAACTCTCTCTGAAGCATCCGGCTTCCTCTGTCATCCACAATGGCACAGGAACGCTCCCCCGGCTAGGGCTATCTATGCCCTTCAGCGGCTGATCAGGCGGCTAGACAGGCGGTCAGCCTGAAAATTATGCAGCGTACGCCTGATCTGGTAAGGATCAACTGCTGCTAAAGCAGATCTGTCACCTATCCTACATAGTGCCAATGAACATGATATAGTGCTAGTACGAAACACTGTAGTATAAGGATCAAGTTACGAGATTCCTAAAACACCAGGACAACTCAAGTTATTCTCCGATGACCAATTTCTTGTAAAGTTCGTGTTCGTGTTTCTCATTTGTCTACAAAGTATACGTTGGCATCGTAAAGCGGGAATAACCAGCAAGTATCATAAAGAGAGTTGAGTATAGTTTTAGTTGTCAAGTGTCCAGTCCTCACGAGCCATTTGTAAATGCCTAGCACCGGTGTCTTCGGTGTCTACGCAGCACCACTTTCACGGCTGTAACAAGCTAATCTGATCCTTCTCCTCGGAGCTTAATGATCGCTGACTCCTAACTACACATATCCATTAGTGTTTCAAATTCCGGTGTGTACTACCAGAAGCATCATATCAGTGCCATCGTGTACTTCGATCGGCTTATTGTTTTAAAAAGCACAGCTCCCTAATGAAAGACGAAATGACGCGATCCTACTAAGGTACCCAGTGTCCACCAAGGTACATAACTTAACATCCACTGCCTACAGTAGGCACCCAGGCATCGATCCCAACGTGATTCAGACTCCCCACCTTCGTTTATGTCTACATCATTTAATTCCTTGATCCGGACTTGTGATGAAACCATTCCATGCCAAGCATCGGGCGCCAAGAGATGCTTAACAAGGCTTGACCAAATCAAGAGAATGTAACCAAACGGTATAAGTTAAACTTAAGTATCGCAGAGTTCCCAGAACGCAGTACGGCATAAGATCAAAATAACACAGAACCAACAGATTGCCAACATATTGCCGTTATCAGCCGTTATCGCGATCATCTACATACGTGTGCATCCTCTTGGCTGTAACACGGCAATAGCTTGTCACAGTATTAAGTGGTTGGCAGCCAATCAGAGCTCTGTATACGCATATAAATCCGGCAACCTTGCTAGCATCTTCTGTTCGGCGCTTTCCTTATTACTCCTTGCAAGACACAAGATCCGCACCCAGCGGCAAAATGCAATGCCGCAAGTCTCCTCTTTTCTTTCTACCAATGGGAATCAGAGGTAATGACTCGGGTTTGGGGGGTTTTTTTTCCTTCCTTTTTTTTCTTTTTCTTCTTTTTATTTATTTATTTATTTTTTAACTCTTAAGGTCTATACATAGTATAATGATTTTCCATTTCCCTGGTGTCCCTTCTAAGACTGGCAAGGGGTAATGATCCGCACAAAGAATATTACTAACTAAATAGAGCGTTAGCGAAATGACCACCTTTCGGTTTTCCCTCTTCGATTCTGTTCTAGTCTTGTTTAAAATCCACGCCACTCTTCTTACTGCAACAAGCTTCCATGATGCTCCTCTGCAAACGCCGGGAACATCATACCAGTCTGGTCGATACGATTTGCGAAACATAGGGCACAGTACAGATATGCTTTCTATGAAACTGAAAACTACATGGGACCACCACTCGTTGGCAAGACCGACAGGGTGGACAAGAGGGAAGAACGAGGCGACATGAACGAGATGAACGAGGTGCGAGACGGACGCCGGGAAGTGGCGGGCAGTGCTTACCAGTACTACTACCTAATATTGGTTAGAACCATGCATGGAGATTTCTACTGAGGCTTCGACGCGATGCAAGGCAGTTGTCCGCAGTTTGAGCGGCAAGACCCATGTCTAGGACAGTATCGGACCTTTCAACCTCGGCGTGGAACCGCTTCCTAGCGTCCGGTAGGGCTGGGCAGCTTGACCCGCGCTGGGGAGGGAGGCCTGCCATCCGTCGGTTCGACCTGAAAATCTGCTCGGACACTTGCGCTATTTGGGCCACTGATTGTGCTCGTACTAGTGCTTTTACGAAGCAGCACAATCTAACCCGCGGGAAGTTGATCGATTTACCAGCAGTGTCCATAGTGCAAGGATAACTCAAGGCAATCAACTGCCTGATAAAGGCAGTTGTAGTCCTGGTATACAAATATCTGTGCCAAGGCTTCTCCGGAATAAAAGCCTCAGAGCACAGAGTAGCTTTGTAAACCACTTCTAATCTAGATTCTCTATTTCTTCCATCCGAAATTCGAGCAGCTTATCTTACAGCCAAGCTCCAGCAGAAAGGCGTAGCTCACACTTGCAGGGGGCTGTAAGCCAATCAAGTATGCTTGTGCTTCCAATTCTCTTTGCACGAGTAGGAGAATGGTGGAAAAAAAGTGATCTTATTTCAAAAATTAATGTGTGCTTTACAACACCCTTTCAAATCTCTGGATTATATGCGTCTTAGTTTAATCTGAGTTGTCAACTTTTAAAACTCAGAATGGGCATGTGTGCATGTACCTACCTACGTGTAGAGAGCTGATATGTGGACATGAACTCTGCTCACCCCGCTTACAAACTCGCTGACTTAAGCCAGGGATATTGACAGGCGCTAGCTGCCTAGTGCTGTAATATAGCGGAGCGCCTGAATACCTATGTCTGTTGTTCAAGATTCAAGTACATACATGGACCACCTGATAACTGTGCCCCAGATGCTAAGCCCACCAAATATCCGGGGCGGGGGGAGTAAGTGGCAAAGACAGAGCCACGACAATATAGCCTTGGAGCTTATGTGCTGAGTTATGATGCTTATATGTAAACGCCTACAATGTAAGCCACATAAGGTATCTAGTGCTTGTATTAGCGCTTGAAGCATGACTATGCCATTGTTGCTGAGGTTCAATATCCGGAGGCAACGGCCCCAACACGCAAATCACTTTATCTGAGGCGCGTTATTATGAAACATTTACATGGTTACTTACCCAGTAGAGGCATTATAGTACTCATAATAAAGTATTGTATATTTGTGCTTGGAAGGCATCTCTATCCTTGTATAATACACACATGTACCCTTGGTGCATTGTAGTACCTACTGCTAGGTACCTAACAAGCATCAGGTAAGCCTTGCAGATGCTACTATATATCGTTTCTCCAAGGTATGTACTCCATGCACTGGGTAGGTAGTATTGCGTATACATCACTGTATCCATCGAATCACAGAGAGCGCACGTGGTGTCCCGCGAACGAATGTAATTGAGCAATGCCACAAAAAGGGGATCCTACATCTAATCTGGCGGGTTCAAATGCTGAGAGGAATATGACACGAAGTCTATGTACTCCGTACT